AAAACCTTCAATTGAAATCATATTAGCTTTAATCATATCTCCTCCCTTCTTTTTTTTTTTAAATGTCTCTCTCAACCCACATAAACTCAAAAACCATTATTATAAACTTTATTTTTGCTGTTTTCTAATTAAGTATGTATTCAGTAGGTCAATTATAGAAAAATTTATCGTCTCTATTTAAATATAAAATTAAAAATAAAAAAACGCAATGAGATTATAATAATTCGGAGTTTGACTTTTGATAAGATGGGTGGCAGCATCAAAAGAGAATATACATTCATGATACATCCCATTTTAAGCCTAATTCTCAATTATCAAAAAGTTTTATTGATTAAATAAGGGTTTTGTGAAGTTAATATGGTTGGTTAATTTGTTCCCCCTTTGAACAAAAATAATCACATCTCCCCTTTTGGCTATAGTGGGGAACAATTGTTAACTTTAATTGCAGATTACATCATTGACCTCGATTAAGGAGATAATTAAGCCCCTTAATTATACTACATTAATTCTTTTGTATACTGTAAGATTCTGTTGGCAATTGATGAGTTAATTATTATAATAATAATTAAAAGTAAAATAGGAGATTAGGCAAACACAAACATAAACCACCATAAATAAATATTAAAAAAAGATTAATTGAAGCTTGGAAGAAATGAATTCATAATCATCGATCTATTTGGATATTATGTTAATTAAGCGGGAAAAAAACAAAAATATATTGAAAAAAAAAAAGAGAAAAATCCATTGAATTGGTAATTGGTAATAGAAAATAATTTTCCCATTAACAATTGTAATCAAAGAACATTAATTGTTTTTTATCTATGCATATAATTATATTATCTCACCTTTTTGGTTGGTAAATCAAAGTCAAATATGTCTTTGCGGGCAACATCTCAATGATTGGGTTGCTTGCATGTGGGAAAGGAGAAAGAGAGCCGCTAGTTATTGCAAATCTAATTTTGAATTTGCTATTAAAACTTTCTTTCATCTGTTAATTGTTTAATCATGGAAAGTAGTTTTCTGCATTTTGTCCCTTTGACTCCTTTTTTTTTCTAGGGATTTTGGATGGCCAATTCCCATATGTACATGTATAGCAGAATTATTTAAATGTAATCCATTTATATTTTATTTCAAGATTATGCAATTAAAACTGAGAGCTCACAAATTAATTACTGCAAAAAAAAAAAAAAAAAAAAAAAAACAGATAAAGAGTACATTAAACTACAAGTCTTATTGTAGGCTAAATAAGTCATTACCACAGATAAAGGTTCATAATAAAAAGATTGTTGGAACTCAATAGATTGCTGCCCCGCAAGACCCTTGAGCGAAACAGAGTCCGTAGCCTGATTGGATGATCACAAGTCACTATCGGTGTGCATATATCTCTTCTCAGGTTTCCTTTTTCTCATTGGAAAACAGAGAGCAAAAAAAAAAAAAAAAAAAAATCTTACTACAGTCTATGAGCTCATAATATCTTACCACAGATAAGTTCATAATATAAAGTTTTGATCATTTGCTGCCCCGCAAGACCCTTTGAGCAAGATCCTTAGCCTTTGGATGATTCAATATATCTTTGATATTTCTCTCAGTTTTTTTCTCATTGGAAGAAGAGGCAGGATCTTTTCTTTTACTTATTAGCTGAGATTGTTTTCCTTCTTCAGAAGTAGAAGATTCTTTCTGCACGAGCTCCTTTAATTCCTTCTTACCGTCACCTACACCCATGAAATCATAATATGAATCATCTTTGCTTGCCATGCTAAAGGATAAAGAACAAGGTTACAAAATCTAGTACAATTTTATATTAATTCTGATGATTATTTCAAGATCCCCCAAGCTTAAATACTTGCATTAGCATATTCAAAATAGCAAGACCGTCGTCGGCATTTCTATATAAGACGGATACGAAATCTACCAACTGCTAAATAATAAATAAAATACCATTTTCAGATATAGCCGTTATATTTATTGGTTTGCTGCAGAGGTAGACCAATTTAGGTAATAATTTCTTTGAGTTATATTAGGTAATAATTGTTATGAATAAGTAAGTGCCAGATACTCAAGATAACCACCAACTTTCTAATACGTTTATAATTATAATCTTTATCTGTAACGTATAATTTTCTATATACACTCTTTTGTTAATCCAAAATTATGCATTATGATTTTTGCAGACACATTCTATTTGAATTTTGAAAATGAAAATAATTCTATTTGAATTATAACTAATTAATATCAAAATAATATCGAAAGCGCCAAGCCTGGATGGGTTAAATCCAGATTTTTATCGTGCTTTTTGGCCTGCAATTGGTTCTGATGGTGCAAATGTTGTGCTTAAATGTGTCAATAATAATCAAGCTATTCTTGGTGCTAACAAAACAAACATTATTCTTAGTTCGAAAAAGTACATTGCAAATGTTGTGCTTCATTGTGTGAATAATAATCATTCTATTTTTGGTGCTAACAAAATAAACATTATTCTTATTTCGAAAAAGATATAATCGGAATTTGTTATGATCTAAGACCTATATCGCTAAGTAATGTTATTGAACAAGTTACATCCAAAATTTTGACTAGTCATATGCTACATAGTATGAGTAATGTTATTCTCGGGCGTTTTATCATCAAGAATGCTATGATAGCTTTTGAACTAATGCACTTCCTAAAACGAAAGACACAAGGGAATAATAGATTTTCTGCTATTAAAACTGTCAGTCCAAAGCTTATAATCGAGTAGAGTGACCGTTTTTGGAAGCTACATTATTGAAGTTGAGTTTTGCCTATGGTTATTGAAGTTGGGTTTTGCCTATGATCGGGTGGAGTCACCATTTTTGAAAGCTACGTTATTGAAGTTGGGTGTTGCTTATGATCGGATGGGGTGGCCGTTTTTGAAAGCTATGTTATTAAAGTCGGGTTTTGCCATCGATCGTATCATCAAGATTATGGAAATGGTAACCATTGCTACCTATTATGTTTCTCATGCCAATAAATAGTATGATCCATTTATTCCTGGCAAGGTCTTCGTCAAGGCGACCCAATGTCATCTTATTTGTTTTTAGTAATGGCAGAAGGATTGTCAGCATTGCTTCATTTATACCAACGACGAAAATAATTACATGGGATTAAGGTGAATTGAGTAGCCCTTGATATTTCGCTTGTTTCTACCGATGATGTGTTTTTATTTCTCGACTATACCAGGCTAGATATTATGTTAGCTCAAACTCGTTAGATGCACAGCTTGGATCAAATCTTAGCTATCTGTGGAAACCCATTTTCGAAGAACTCTCATTGCTCCAAGGTGGTTGCCTTCCAAGAATTTGTGATGACATAAAGTAATTTTGTATTTCATTCACCGTGATTTTTGCATCCTCATAACTCATATATACAGTCTGCTAACACATCGGGTATAGAGGAGTTATTGGTGGCAGACTTATTGAAATCCGGAGAACGGGCTTAGAATATAGAAATGTTAGCAATGATTTTCAATCCTCATGAGGTGATTGATACTTATACAGTTGATCCTTTTGAGTTCTGTGAAATCAGCGAACTAAGTAACTTATATGCTAGCTAGAGCCACTAGTTATATGTCTGATTTAATGGAATGAAGGATTACGCCTACATCTATTATTCATAATGTACTGTTTTTGATATTAATAATAATTGAGCAATATTAATTTTCAAAAAAAAGAATTCAAAATAATATTCATAAACAATTAAGAAAAATCTTGTTCATAATAATTAATTCTTGATACTTGATTTACTTTTTTTTATTTAATTTTTAATTAAGTGAATCAAAGGGAGAGTTACTCCTCTTGTCTAACTTGAATCCCAGTAAATCAAAAAAAAAAAAAAAAAAAAAAAAAATGGTTAAAGCTAATGATTTTCAAAACTCCCGAATGAGTGGTGATTGATTTACTTATAAGCAGTGTGTATCTTTTTCTGAACTATTATAAAAAGTCACGCGAACTTAAGTAACTTAATATGACTAGACGATAGAAGCGCATAGCTGAGTTAATATGTCCAGAATTTTATGGAATGAAAGGATTACGTCCTAACATCATATTATTCCCATAAAGTACTTGGTTTATGTGAAAGAAGCTATGAATAATAATTGAGCCAACATATTAAATTTTCAAAACAAAAAGAAATTCACAATATAGTATTCATGTATAACAATTAAGAAAAATCATTGATTCAATATAATTAAATTATTGATAACTATGATTTTAACACTTTTTTTATTTAATATTTATTCTAAATTAAAGGTTGGAATCAGAAGGGAGATGGTGAGTCTTTGCCATCCTGATGTTAAACACATTGAAAATCCACAGTAGATCAACAAAAAAAAAAAAAAAAAAAAAAAAAAAAAAAAAAAAAAAAGGAAATAATGTGTTGGGCTGGTAATTGGTTGCTAAGCTAATTCGCAGTATGTAGGGCCCATATCACTTGGGATATAGATGTATCATGCAGTAGAATAGGCTGGAGCTTCTTACGAACATTTTATTATTCATAATAAAATGAACGTTTTTTCTGAATTGTCGATGAGGCCCATAAGAAAAGTGAATGGGCTTTTCTTCTAAGTTATACTACAACTTCGATCTTCCAGTAAGGCCCTTTAGGCCTTGTAATTAATTAATATCATCTAACGTGTTGTATATTTAAATTACGATTTTTAATTAATGCGATTAATATAAATATAAACTACTACTAGTATAACATGCATAAATATTGTAATTAATACAATTTTAATTTTTAGAATCTGGAGACAGTTAAATTAAGAAAGGACAGGGAAGATGGTTGTAATAATTTTCCTAAAGAAATTGATTTCTCTTCTTCTAACTAGGAAAGGACAGGACGGTCCTCCATTCGGCCCGCGCCTTTAAACTGAAATTGGAGTCAAACAGAACGGTCGAGTCAAACAAGTCTCCTTCCTCTGCCCCACTCCTCCTCTTATCTTCTCTTTCTCGGTCACTCCCAATTAAAATCAGCTCTTCCAATTCTCAGGTCAGTCTCCCAATTAAGTCTTCTTTTCTAAAAGTCGAAAACGCCATAGCCTTTTCAGTTCCGATAACAGAAAAGAAGGATGATCATTCTTAACAGACGAGATCAAATGGCACATAATCTGTCAATAAAGCTATCAGAGCTTGCTATACGTGAATGGGAAGGAGAGGAACGGGAGAATTTGATTGTCGACTCCGTTGACGAGAAAGCAAAAACAGAAACGACAACGAATTTGGATTGCACGACTCCAACGGCGAAGGAGAATAAAATACCTGATGTGATGACGTGTCCTCCAGCTCCGAAAAAACGTAAGGCTTCTTTAGCTGTGGGAGATAACGCGTCGAACAAAGTTATGGCTACGAAGGAATTCTTTGACTCGCCGGTGCTCGACGTTATGTTCGACATTGGAATCAATAAAGTCTCTTCTAAAGTTTCAGGGAGCACCCCGAAAAGGCACCGGTAAGATATGAAAACTCTTAAGACTGACAAAATTTTTCGTTAGGTTAAATTTGCAAATCACAGTGGATTAGGTAGATTAGATAGGTCGTGATTCGGTTTTTCAAAGTGCTTCGTCTGCATACATCATACACGACAAAAGAAGTCTGTTTTCGTTTGTCAATGGCTAATCAAAACGCGTTATGGATTGTTACTAGCCGCAATTTTTTTAAAAGGAAGACAATTTTTAATCTGCAGGCTAGCAGGTTTACTGTGCAGGATTATTATATGTTTAGTGTTCAATAATGGATGTATTATGTTAAGAGAGAATGAAAATTTCAAATTATTGTAATGTAATTGATGAATTTAAGACGGAGACTTGGGAGAACACAGCATTGATTTAAATTAGCGAGATAGTAATATTGTTATTTTTTTCATCCAAACATCACATCTTTTGAAGCCAGAATAGATTTTTCTTGATATGTAGGATAATGCATGAAGGGATCCTTGACCAGTGATAAAGATTCTTGCCTTGCACAGAGAGTAGAGGCGAGAATTATTCTAGTGGACAATATGCCATTTTAGAGCAGCTATATGTTCCCGGAAGGCGAAGTCTTGAATATGATGGGGATGCCAAATTGTGGCTGCAGAGCTATGTTGTCTATTGGTGCATGTTTGTAGTCAGGGGAGATGGAGAAGGAAAACCTCTGCAAAATCATAGCAATAACAGTTTTTACTTCTAGCATAGCGAAATTCTGACCAACACAAGTTCTTGGACCCATTCCAAAGGCAATAAAAGCATTTGGGTGTTTTGCAGCCTTAGAGATCCCATTCGCAAACCTACTTGGATTAAACTCGTTTGCATCCTGCCCCCAGTATTTTTTGCTTCTGTGGAGTTCTGTAATGGGAATGCATACCCACGATTCCTTCGGAATCATCAAATCCCCCAATTTCATGTCTTTTGTTGCTTCTCTGAACGTTTCTACTACTGGACAGTATAGCCTTAAGACCTCTAGCAGAACCATGTGTACCTGCAGATTTGAGAACAGTTTAGACCTTTTGAATGCAATCTTAATAGTAGAATTTGTTGGAATTGTGACTTACCAATTTTAATCTGGCTAACATGTCTGAATCAGGAATTTTTGACCCGCATTCTTCTAAAACCTCTTGTCTGAGTTTTGTTTGCCAGTCTTGATGTATGCTTAATAAGAAGATAGTCCAAGTTAGCACATTGGAGGAGGTTTCATGTCCTGCAAAAAAGAATGTTTTGCACTCCTCCACAATATCATCCATGTTTAACTTTAAGCCATCTTTGTTTTGATCCGTTTCTGATGCTTCTATCATCAAACCAAGTAGATCATCTCCATAATTGCAGTCTGAACTGGCAGAATCCAGCCTGCTCTTTATAATTTGCCTCAGAGAATTCCTTATTTTTCTATCTAACTTCCATAGCTGACGGTTCGATGCAGTTGGGAGATAACTGACATCCAAAAGAAAAAACCAAATAAATAAATAACTATATATTCAAATTAAGAGTTACACGGTTAGAAAGGACTAATGAGGCAATTACTGGCTGCCAGGAACCAAAACATCAAGAACTGAAGCTGCACAATAATGTTGAAGCTCATTTTGTGCTTCAAAGGCTTCTTTCCCTCGAGAATAGCTACTACCAAACGCAGTATGGGCTATAATATCTGAAGTGAGCTTTCGAAATTCCTCGTTGATTTCTATCGTCTTACTTTGATCCTCAGCTGCATTAACCTGGTTTCTCCATTCATCAAGCATGGATACAATACATGGTGCCATTCTCTTCACCATAACCTGTCACACTCAAGAAGCAAATGGATGCAATTAAACATCCATAATTAGTAATAATAAACAACGATAATAGAACAGTGTAGAGACCTTAAGCTTATCGACTGAGAAAGCTGGATTGACAATCCTTCTACGCGTAACCCATTCCTGGCCATTGACGATAGCTACTCCTTTTCCTGTCAATGCTTCTATTGCAGGACTACACTTGGGTTTCACATAGAAACCAAATTTATTTGACAGTACTTGCTTGGTCAGTTCAGGGTCAGCAATGCAAACTACCGGTCTTGTTCCGTACCAATAAAGAATTGTTTCTCCTACAATAAATAAATAAAACAAATTAAATAATTAACAGTGCCTCATACACAAAAGTAAAAAGATGTTCTATTAAATTTGACCTTGGTTGACTTTTCATAAATAATTAAAAAATAATTAAATTATCTCAATTTTAGAAAAAATAAGAATAATTAACTAAATTACTCTTTTACAAATAAAATTAAATATGAATTTAAATATTAAGATAAAAAAAAATTAATATTACTTTAATTTTTTAAAAACATTATCTAATAAGAAAAAAAAATTAAAAATTATCAAACTTAATACAACGAGTATTCCAATCGGCAACTGACTTTTGCTGTAATGAAGCAAAGGACATGCATATGTCAGATGTGCATAAAAACTAAAGAGCCAAAACATAACCAAGCACATGCCCTCCTCAAATTGAGAACCTCATACGGGTATGCTTTTTATCCTTTTTATGCGTAATGCTGTATCTTTATTCTTCATCAATCACTAATTAATCTTTTAATTGTCAAGATACTGCACTTAATGGATTAGCTTTAACATTAAATAATATTAGCATCGCTTTAATGCAGATTTTGCACACAATTCATTAACATTAAATAATTTTAGCATCGCTTTAATGCAGATTTTGCAAAACAATTCATTATTACAAATCAAAGAGACAAATGTTTGTTGTTGCATTATTTTATTTTATTATTTCTTAGTGTCTCTGCTTCATAATATTTATCACATTTGGAATTTCACGTTCCACGAGAAAATCATTAAATTTATCTAAATTATAATAAATTATTGAGTAAATTGACTATATTATCTTAATTTAATACTAATTTTTTAAGAAAATCATTCCGGTGAGTTATACCACAAAAGAAACTCACAAACATGTCTAAAAGAGATAATCATGAATGGCACAATACGCACAACTAATTTAGATGGTTCTTGAAAAAGACATAAAATGTGGTATGAGTGACACTTCAATAGAGCTTCTATTATCCGTCTGAGAGAATGATAAGCTAATATGACCAACGCAGTAAATTGGGTTCTCTATATAATAGTTCTATGGAAGTGAAAAGTGCTATGAGTATCGAAAAATTTCCTCACGTTGACTAAACTCTGGATCTAATCGACATCTTAACTCCGATACACTGCAGCTGCAGAAAATTAAACCCTTATGTGTTTCTCTTCTCCAATTTCTTTCGCTATAAGACTCAAATAGTAGAATAACCTTTAGAATTGAAGAATCGTCCATTCTCTTATCTAAACCAATATTTCTCTGTCCCAAATTCCGCGTCACGTAAGAGATATTGAAATTGAGAGGAGAATTTGCTAAATAAATAACACTCATTCTCCATAACTTTAGTTTAAATAATAATAATACAAACGACAATGTAAAAATAAAACAGATTGTAGAAAGTACCTTAAGAACATCCTAATCACACGAGTACACCGAGTAAGAATAAAAGACTCGTGAATTAAGATAAACTATTCCTATCGCACGTATAACACCCGCATTCCTGGCCATATCAACCGCAGTTAAAGCTCATTCCTGTGAAATACAACTAGTCTCCGTCCTCTTTCTCCGTCGTCATGTTTTACTTTAAATGAAGCAGAACTATACTAATCTAATTGAAGTGTTTTTTCCCATCCATAATAATGATAACCATAAATTTTTAACTTTCGAAACACATGTACTACTACTATTGTCTTGGTTAAGTTCAGGGTCAGCAATGCAAAACTACCGGTCTTGTTCGCCGTAACCATAATCAAATTAGAATTGTTGTGTCTCCTATAATTTTTAAATAAATTAGCAAAGAAATATATATATAATTAAATCTAAGTCGCCGTCCTATAAGTACTCAAACCATAAAAGGAATAAAAAACGAACTGATACATAGTCAAAAGGAGAAATTATAAATTTGAAGCTCACACACCTTGATTGTCTGAGACTAATCCCAATAAATAAATTTACGTATTACAACTGTAAAATTAAAATTTTAAATAATATTCAAAAAGTCCCAGATTTATTTAAGAAAAAATATAGAAATATACATTCAAAAAACTCTAAATTTTACCAATCTTTTAATGAGCTAATAAACATATTAAAATTAATGAATTTAATAATAAGTATAACATACAGAGAAAAACAAAACTAAAATAAATCTTTAGACGAAAGTTGACAAATTTTAATTTTTTGTTAAAAACAATAAGATCCACGAATTGATAAATCCCTCATAATAAAAGAAACATAAAAAAAATGATAAGAGAATTAATCCAAACTTAATATCCCACATTAATTCGAGTTATTAAAACACACCTAAATGCGATGGGCAAACATGAACTTTGTATTGTCTGTAATTGTAACAGCACAAGGAACACTGCCATAAATTGTCAAGAAATATGGATGCTATCAGAAATACATCTGATAAGGAGCACTCAAAACTATATACCTCAAGTCCACATGCCCTCGTAAACTATGCCTCAAAGACTAAATGAGAATATCTCTCATTACGTGGTTTATTATCTTTAATTATCAAGCCATTTGTTATCCATGCGTAATTGGCATAGATCTTTATTCCTTCCAATCAATACCGAGGTAAAATATTTTAATTCTAATTTTTCAAGAATCTGATACTCAACCGAGTATACTGCCACACTTAAGGATCAAGTTGTTAAATAAACTAAAAATCCACATATCAAATTCCAGAGCTGTATATAAAAAATTATTCATGCAGTTTTGCCACGACCACTAATTCAAATGATATTAACCCTATATAAGATAATTTTAGCATTCCGCTTTAAATGCAGACTTTTGATCCTAAAACCAATTTTCACTTATTGACACAACCGAAAAAAAGAGAGAGAACGAGTGAAAATTATGATTACGTTGTATTCTAATGTTCAAGAAAAATTATTATATTACATGTAGTTATTAATATTTCTTTAGTGCGTACGTTTCGTTTGGCTTCATAATCACTTATAAGCTCTCAGAATATACTGGGGTAAAGACTCGAAAACGATTCCTCCGATTAGAAGAGCTTTCTGAACTAGAAGAATATTGTCATTCTATATACTTATAATTTATTAACACAAATTTTAATAATAAATAATTAAAGAATTGAAGTGGACTGATGAGCTAAAATATTTCTTTATACTTGGTTAAAACCTAAATTTTAAGTTGTATTCACGACCAATAGATCTATTTATTATATGAAAAGTAGGAATCGGTGTGAGTTAATTGTTTTCAATGAACAAAGAATGATATAATAAGCATGTCAATGGGCAGTTAAAAATATAATATCTATTTTTACTTGCCACATTATCGATATCTAACCATTGGACACCAGAAAATGTCTAACAAATATTAAATTGGAACTCGATGGGAGAATATTTATGAAATATTTATTTGTGTGTATAGAAATAATAAATAATTATTATAATGAAGATTAATGCAAACCTCTGCACAAAGGAAATGCTAATCCCATTAAAACATGAAGCCCGACTATATTATTCTCACCCAGTCTAAATAACCTATCAAATACCGCAAAATATTGATGGTGAGTCGAGGAAACTTAAGTTATATAAAACCAATTAAATTTTTTTTCCATTTCAAATAGAGCAGAGAAATTCACCTTTTCTAATATTTATTTTTTTGTCCTCCTTTCTTTTACCATAATATTATATCTTCCATCTTAACTCTAGTATTAAAATTAAATTTCCAAAGTAAATATAAACTTGCAAGATTCTCGTGCCTTAATATTATGAGAATTGTTCTTATTTAGTGCTTACGTTTCTTTATTCTAAGTAAAATTATATAAAATAAATCCCGCAAACACATATATAGCTTGTTTTCTAACAATGCTCCAACTAAGTTCATATAATTAAATTAATGGTACGATACTATTCCCATAAACAATTATTAATAATACCGAAGGCTATATACTTAAATAATAAACAGAGATAATATTGAAAAATTAATAAAAAAAAATGAGATACTTTTTTCGAGATAATACCAAATATCCAAATAAGTACTTTTGTTTTCTAGTGAACATTGCAAAATAAAAGAGGACTTTTTGTTGTGTGATGTAGATTGAGTTGCAATATATATAATATGTGGTAAGTTTCCGGTGATAAATGAAATATGAGCATACTCATGTTGGAAAATGGCAATTCATTTATTGGTAGAAAAAAGAATAGGAATCAAGAATAAAAAAACGGGGAAAGAGAAGTTTCCTAATGTAAGTTAAACTAATTCCCTATTTCCCACAAACCAAAAAGTTTATGTTTGGGAGGCAACCAAAATTGGATGAAATAGAAAATTAGAGAGAGCCTTTCATATTTGCTGAAAAGTGTATGATCGAGTTTGAAGTTTTTCGAATCCATAAGAGCGAGTATGAGTAGGCAATTCAATAAACTCTTCAAACCTCTGTTTTATTCCAACTAAAGTCAGTTTATGAAGATCCACTGAAGAAGAAAGACCAGTAATAATCACACGGCCGCGAATCGGTATCATCCATGATGTTGAGTAATACGAGGTAAAAGCTATTCACTAGTCAAAAAAAGACTGTGCGCGACAATAATTTTTTCCCGAATATAAAAAATCTATAATAACTAGTTACGCACAAAGATTGAAAAACCCATTGGCTTTGCTTGTACAGTAAATTATGAAAAATTTTGTTCAAAAAGCTGAGCGACTATGAGAATATCATAATTCATACATTAACCACTATCGAGGGTAAAGAAGAGTGGCAACTTTGCTTCTATTCTGCTCTTAAAATGGAAGTTTAAGTTTTAATGTTTGCTGTTCGATGATTAAGCTATAGGAGAATTTATATTGATTTTTATCTAATAGAAAAAATTAAGACAACGCCAAAACATAATTGTTCAAGTATATCTAAGATAGGGAGATAATATCCAGAGGAGCATACAAATAACAATTCAGTTGGGATATAAGCATAAATTGAAATTTCTTAGAAACACGTGGATCCCTATTAACAATAATAACTGTTATTTAATTTTTTATATTAATTAGTAAGGAAATTTATAGTTTAATCAGATCACATATGCATTATATTTTTTCATGTTTTTGAATATTAATTTGAAAAGTTTAAGATAATTTATAAGTGGAAAAATAAATCACGATCCAAGTTAAACAATAAATTATACTTGGAAATTTATGGTTAAATATAATTTAAATTTATTTTCTTTTTTCACATCCAAAGTTATAAAAGCCTGAAAATTATCGCAAAAAAATTTTATTATTAGGAAGTATATTCACATGGTTTAGGAAATAAAATCATTATAATGATGACTAATAAATTATTCTCTTACATATCGTAAATTTGTAAAAATTCTTAGATAAGCGTAACATCAAACTGTTAGATAATGTTCTTGAAAATATGGAGAATTGTATTGGGCAATCAAACATAATGAAGATAAAGAATCTAAGGAAAAACAAATAACAAAAAATATAAAATAAATACATAACTGTTAAACCTTGAACATTTAAATCCTATGAGTTAATTTAAATAATATAGATCACTACCTCTTAAAATTTCGTCTGTAAATGATTAATGTAAATCTAACAAACAAAGCAAGTAAATTGTGCAAGATCGAACTTAGAGGATTTTGAGATAAAACATAAATTGGAGTTGGACGAAAGATAAACAATAAATCTTGGCCTCTGCGAGGAGAGTATCATATGCACCAAACAAGGTGGTATCCTATCAGCGCTCACACACGCGAACTGCGAGGATGGAAAAGGAAAAAACTTTATTTAAATTCTTAAAAAATTATTATTTATTTTTTGTATTAAGATTATTCTTTTAGTTTGTATGTCGTATGTGGGGTGAGAAATTATAATACATTTGCAACAAATACCGGAATAATCTTTTCAAAACATAGGTATAATGCCATTAAACTGTTGAATTGTAAGTTATGGTATTTCCCCATATCTCAACAAAGAATAGAATTTAAAACAAAGAAACAAAAGGAACGTAAATATTTTTATTAGAAAAAATGAGAAATCAAACAAAACAGATCAGAAAATTTATAAGATTTATGTTAGGGATATATGTTATAATAAGAGACTATAAAAAACACAAGATTACACCAAAAAGTACTAGAACGAGAAACCGGCAGTTCTAACATCAAGTTTTTTCTATCACACATATTAATATTTTTGCATAATAAGAAATATTATATTACCATTTTTGCTATTCCTATTTCCTCATACGCAATCTGGGAAAACCATAATAAATAAATCACACAAAGACACAAGAACTGAGTCAAAATTTAATGAGGAGATGTAATGATTAACAATAGTTTAAATAAGCAACCGACTAGAAAAAAAAAAAAAAGGGTGGAGTATCATAGTTGGCTATCTTACCCAACTTATGTGGAGTAGTCCGCCTCCGGTCTGTTAGTAAACAATGTAGCCACAATCAAACACATTATTTCTCGAATCAAACAGCGGTTGTAGATTATAATAATACCAAGAAAAAAAAGGAAAGACGTTAAAAAAAAAAAAAAAAAAAAGAAGATCATACTTTCAGTATTCCCTTTGCCATTTTATTACTATTCTTATATTTTCTTTTTTTTATTGAGATATTATACGATATAATGTATATTTTAAAATACTGTAATTTTTAGATAAATTAAAAATTACAATTATAAATACAATTGTATTAAAAAGGGATAAGAAACAGAATAGAAACAGATAAAAAATGGAAATTCATCGCAGATGAGTATGAAAAAAAGAATTAAATCCATTTAGAAGTGAGATTTGCTGTTTACAAAATAGCAACGGATTTGAATCGTTTCTAATCAATTGCTAAACTGTTTGAGCAATTGATTTTTTTAATTTTGTTGACGGAAATTTCCGTCTAAACGGTTTTTTCTTTAATGAAATTAGAAGTATAATTATTTTCTTAAAAGTAATAGCTATTAAATAAAAAATGAACAATAGCATAAAAATCTCTTTTTAGTACAATAAGGAGAAAAATAAAAGTAACTAAAACAAAAATGGGTATAAGCTTCCTCCAAGGCTCCACCGAATCATGGCTGAGCAGAGATAAGTTACCAGCTAGAGGAGCTTCAAAAACCTAGATCCCAGCGTACAGAATATGCAAATCTTGAAACATTATTGTCAGATCAGGAGATGGTGGATGAAGCATCTTTCCTATTAAGACCATCCATCACCAGGAACATGAATTGTCAAAAGATTTCAGTTCCAATTTCCGTCCAAATCCACATACTCAAAAACAATATGCCATGGTGAACATGAGAAGGAACATCAACAATTACAGAATTAAGAAGAGAAATATCAATACCCAACCAATAACCAAACCAAAAATAAACAATGTTACCATTAGATATATATATATATATATATATAGATATATATTTGCAGGTCGATATTTAGCGTTTGAAAAAAAAAAAAAAAGATGTTGAAAAAAAAAAAAAAGTTGAAAAAAAAAAAAAAAGATGGGTAGAAAACATAAATAATTTAAACAATTCAAAAAAAGAAGAGTCAATTTATAAAGTGAATCCCATATAAATTGTTTAACTAATAACCCAGTGAAGAATTAAAACGTGAAAATAAATGTAGGATTGAAGGATTAAATAATTATGATTTTTAATTTTATGGTTGAAGTAAAGAAGGATGTAAATTAAAAAAATTTCATATATAAAATATGTTTGTAGAGTAAATTCTCATATAAATTATATCAAATCATATTTATAGGTGTGGGTTGATTTGAATTTTTTATAAATTGTTGTTGTAAATTTTGTATGGATAAAACTTTAAAATTAAATGACCCAACCACGAATACCTTTAGAGTCTGTTCGGCAGCAGCGTTTAAAAAAAAAAAAAAAAAAAAAAAGAAGAAATTTTCATATACAAATAAAAGATTTTTTTCATGCTTGATAGAGTTTTGTTGTGTGTGTAGGTGGAGCATTATTATTGGGTAGTCGGTGATATGAAAGCTAAGGGGAATGATTCATTATTGGAAAAAATGAAAAAAAAGGGTAAAGAGTCAAGTAAGTAATCACTCACCATATTGCTGGCACCATTTGTGGTAGTGAGGCAAAACTCTGGGAGTGATGTCGTTTGAGTTTGTATCCAAAACAGTTTGAGTGGCATCCATCTTCAACCTTTTCCAGTCGTTTAGAGATCCAGAGAAGAGATAGTAAGGTGGCCCACTTACTCCTTGTCTTCGGAAGCTTCTAGTCAAGGCATATGGTTTCCAGATTGAAATCTTTACTAGTCGCCAAATCTTTGAAACGACAAGTACTGTCAAAGCTACCATGAAAATCCCAACATCATAACCCATTATGAAAGGGGTAGAGAGGGTCTCCTTTGCTTTGGCTTTCTGCCTTAGGAGTAGTTGTGCTGTGGATAGCTAGAATGATTACTATATAAAGACACGGTATGGACAGTGGTGTAATTTCTGCACACATTCCAATCGTGCATGAATTCTTGAAAAAAAGTGGCCACAAAAATGTTATATTATATATGGGATTTATTCGCTGATATTTTTTCAGTTTTGATTAATTGAATTAAGTTATTTAAGTGGATTCCGACTCCAGAAGATATTTACTAATTTTAAATATATTAATTTTTTATTTTAATCAAGTTAAGCTGAAATGAATTTTTTTAGGTATCTTGTTAGGTTAATTTCATATGTAAAATTTGAAATTTAATGCTACACAAACTGTGTATTTCTTGAATGGATGTATTTGAAACTCTAATAGAGAAAAAAATCTAAAAAAAAAAAAAAAATAGAATAACTAACTGTTAGACCATCGGTTAATTAATAATTAGTCCTCTTATCTGTGTATATGTACAAACAAGCAGTAATTGAGTGCTTGGGATTTGGATAAACATGGTTGACGAAAACCATAATCTTGGCTCAGAATCATAGCACATCTTCCCCGCGAACTGCGTTAGGAAACATAAATTCTTAATATATATTTTGAGAATCTTGAGTTGAGCGATGTGGGGAATATATATGACAAATACCAAACTTCAAACATGGTAAAATGTTGAAATTTAATTAATTTTCCCATCTCACAAGAATAAAAACAAGAACAAGCAATATTTATAATATGAATCAACAACAATCGATTAAGTTTATGTTTTTTGGCTAAACAAAAGACAAAAAGTACAGACCAGTTCAACAGTTAATCTATTATAATATTTTCCTTTTTCTTTATTTAGAATGGGAACTTACAACCTCATGTCATTAGAGATGATAATTAATTATAGAGACAGAGGTTCTACAATTATGGGTAGTCCGTTGTGAGGATGCAAAGTAATATGATTAACAGGAGTGTGTTTATATTCAGGGGAAAGGGAAAGGGACAACCTTTGAAGAATCAAAGTAAGCACTGTCTTAGCTTCAAGCATCGCAAAATTCTGGCCAATGCAAACTCTGGGACCCATTCCAAAGCCAAGGAAAGCATTTGGGTGTTTCGCAGCTTTTGAGACCCCGTTTGCAAATCTGAATGGATTAAATTCATCTGCATCGTCTCCCCAGTATTTTTTGTTCCTGTGAATTCTTATAATCGGGATTTGTATAGAAGTACCTTTTGGGATCATCAAGTTTCCCAATTTAGTATCTTCCAATGGCGTCCTGATAAGATCTATTGCTGGACCATACAGCCTCATCGTCTCTAGTAGAACCATATTCATCTATAAAATTGACGAAAATCCAAATTATAAGAATGTGACATTAATCTTTCTCGTAATAACGAAACTTGTGTTAAGAAATTTTTTATATGAAAAGGGGGAAAATAGAGAGAGACTAACCAATTTTAACTTGGCTAACATGTCAGCATCAGGAATTTCCATCAGACATTCTTTTAACACCTCTTTTCTGAGTCTTTCTTGCCATTCTTGGTGTAAGCTCAACAGGAAGACTGTCCATGTTAGTAAACCAGAAGTAGTCTCGTGCCCGGCAAAGAAAAATGCTTTGCAGTTCTCCAAGATTTCGTCCACTCTCAACTTTGGAGTATTAAATTTGGTTTCATCTGCAATTTCTGAATATTCTATCATCGTAGCTAGTAAATCATCTCCATAAGTTTTAGTACTATCTTTTGACCTTAATCTTTTCTCTATGATTCCTTTTAATGTCCTCTTCAACAGACTGTCTAGCTTCCATATCCGAATATTTGATGGCGTAGGTAAATACCTAAAACGACCCACAACAGAAGATCAATCACAAATTTCAAATCGAAGATAACTTAAGTTATTGTTATTTTGAGATAGAGTTAGTTAATCACTGGCTTCCATGGACGAAGACATCTAAATTTGCAGCAACACAGTGTTGTTGGAGCTCCTTTTGTGCATTAAAAGCTTCTTTTCCTTGAACATAGCTACTGCCAAATGCAGTGTGGGCAATTATATCAGAAGTGAGCTTTATAAATTCTTGGCTCATTTCAATTTTCATGCATTTCTTGTTCTTGTAAGCTTTTTTCCACCCTTCAAGCATGGCTATGGTGCATTCTGCCATTTTCTTCGTCATAGTCTGCAGAAACCAAAACCAATCAATGGACTATAATAACATTAGATGGCTAGTTAACCCACTAAATAATTTATTCAAGTGATGATAGAGTTTAACTTAACCTTGAGCTTGTCGATGGAAAAGGCGGGATTGAGAAGTCTTCTTTGTCTAACCCAGTTATGTCCTTCAACAAAAATCAAACCTTTTTGACCCATGAGAGTCTTGATGGTCGGCCTTACCCAAGGTCTGACGTAAAACCCGAACTTGTTGGACAGTACTTGTTTAATCAGCTCTGGATCTGTAATTGTGATTCTTGCCTCCGTCCCATACCAATACAACATTGTCTCACCTGATCAAATTTCATTTTTGCAAAATAAAACTGTGTATTTGAATTTGTAATCTTTTTAGTTTTAAATAAAATTACTCTATCTTGCTTGCTTTATTATAAATTAAATAAAAACAAGACAGCTTTTTATCATAGATTTAACCGGTCAAAACGTAACATGCCATTTAATAATAATTAAAAATAGAAAACTCACCATACTCAGAGGACCATTTATGATAATAGGGAGTAACTTTCTGAATAATGTCATTAGAATTTGTATCTAAAACAATATCAGAAGCTGCAACCCCGAGCTTCTTCATGTCCTTGATAGAGCCATAGATGAACTTATAAGGTGGGCCTTTGATTCCTTGCTTCTCAAAGGTTTTAGTTAACACATATGGCCTCCACAGCAGAATCCAACACAGACGCCAAATATTCGTAACGAGAATTACTACCACAGCAACTACAAAAGCAACGAAATAGCCCATTCTACGTTTTGATCAAACTCTCTGAATGCTAAATTTCAGTTTACTTATATAAATATATATAGGGTGAGGCTGAGATAATTAATTGCCCAGATAAACATGGGCTTCGTGAAACTGTAAGGCTATCTTTAATTTCATTGGCCCCAACCAGATAATTTCCCTGTTGTAATATCACCATTTTGAGGCTTTCGTAGAGTTGCTTGTCATCGTCTATCACACATCTTTCTCATTTTGCTTGTATTGAGTACTAAATTGAGTCGCATTAAGTTCGAAAATTTAATTTAGCATATAAAATCAAAATTTTAGTTTGGCCTATGCAGAAACTTGGTTCGATTTGATCTATAAATTTCGCATTTTTAGTTATTTCGATTTAGCATGGTATACCATACAAATTAAACGGTTTGAAATCAAAGATATTTCGTTTTCATGTTATCTAGACATGGACAAACTCGTCAACGTCACTTTTTTTTTTTTTTTTTTCATTTATGACACGAATGTCACTTTTTATTATTTTTTTCAATATGTAGTCGCAAAATTGGACGCCGAGAGACTTAGAGTATTTTTACGACAACACTTGTCGATGGTTCTAAGGTCAACCGGTTACACTATTTGTTGTTCTATATTTTTTTTAAGTGAGAGAGAGAATAAAAAGAAGGATTAATTCGTGTTAATTGAAGATCATTAATTATAATGATCAAACAAAATCTTAATATTTTCAAATTTGCAGGGTAAATATATAAATATCGGTTAAAATACCCTTTGCGAATGCTCTGAATTTATACCTATTTGTATTGATACATTTTTTTTTTTATATACTAAAATAAGAATCAATTCAAGCTCTTAAATAAAATAGATAAGTGTGAGACGATAGGATATGCATTGAAATTTCTCTTAAGAATAAGCATATACAATTCGCATAATATATAATGAGGAAATTTTTTTTTTTTTTTTCATATGTAGCCAAAAAGCCGACTTAGTATTCGAACCACTTTTGTCATGCCGGTTCATATTTTGCTAATTTTTAAGGAAAAAAGAGATTCGGTTGAGATTTTATGAAAATTTTAATAATTTTCATTTGGGGTATTTATTTTTATCCTAGTGTTGAATTTATACTATTTGTATTTACATTTTTTTTATTATAATATAATCAATTTATCTAGTTAAAAGATAAGTGTGAACGTGGATATGATTAATTCTTTAGATAAATATACAATTCGCATAATTTAAAAGCTTTTTTTTACTGTAAATGATAGTCTATGATTTACTTTTATAATTTCCTTTGCTTTATTAAATATTTAAGCATAGCCTTTTTAAATTTAAAAATTAAAGAAATAGTTCTTTTAATAATAATTTAAATAAAATTATGAAACAAATTTTATTATATAATTAAAATTAATATTTTAAAAACTATTTATCACTTCATATATGACAGACTCTGTATTTTCCACAATAATTCATCAATATCAAATTGTATATATATTTTCAATGTTAAACCATTTATTTATACATATAAATTATAAATACACAAAATGCAATAAAAATAATTCTACCTCTACTCAGAAAACTATTTATTTTAATGAAAATCAAACTTTAAATTTACATTAATAATATATTTAAAATTTTAAAATTATTTTTTCCTATACAAATGATACGTAATATATATTGTATGAAATAATAAATATATTTTCCCCTCTACGAATAATTTCTGGCTCCGTCGTTGTTTGAGAGACTGTCATGGAGCTTTTTGACATCTTAGGTGCTTCAGATTTCTCCCTGTTCTTGTGTTCTATGACTGGGTGAACATTAAGCATTAAATGAAACATGAATTATCCGGAAGCTTTGTGAGCAGTGTATATGTCAATCATTGGAGTCGGAAAAGCTAAAATTACATCTTCATAAAGTCAAATTGTTTATCATTGGATCCAACTCAGTGACTTTACCCATGGAAAAATTTATATAATACATCAGCAATATCATATATGATGTGGACTGTCTCCAAGAATCCAAAGATTTCAATCACTTCAAACGTTGGAATTTACCGTCGTACATTTTATTCAAAGAAAACAAAAAAAAAAAAAAAAAAAAAAAAAAAAAAAAAAAAAAAAAAAAAAAAAAAAACGACCTTTAGGGAGATAGAAATGGCAGTTCCCACATTACAAATGCAACGATTTTACATTAACCTGCAAACCATATTCCGGATGGAGAGTAAGATAATCCACAGGAGCATGTTTATATTCAGGCGAAAGCGAAAGCGAAAACCTCTGAAGAATCAAAGCAAGCACAGTCTTTGCTTCTAACATTGCAAAATTCTGCCCAATACAAATTCTTGGCCCTATTGCAAACGCTAACAAAGCATTTGGGTGTTTCGCAGCCTTTGACACCCCATTAGCAAATCTCAATGGATTAAACTCATTTGCGTCCTCTCCCCAGTATTCTTTGCTCCTATGAATTTTTACCAGGGGAATTGTAAGGGATGTATCTTTTGGAATCATCAAATCTCCCAGTTTCATATCTTCTGACGTTTTCCTGATTAACATTATTACAGGACCGTAAAGCCTTAGAGCCTCGAGCAAAACCATATTAACTAATTTTAATTTGGCCAACATGTCTGCATCAGGAATTTCCATTCCACATTCTTTCAGCACCTCTTCTCTAAGTTTTTCTTGCCAGTCTGTATGTAAGCTCAACAAGAAAGTTGTCCAAGTTAGTAAATTTGCGGTTGTTTCTTGCCCGGCGAAGAAGAATGTTTTACAGTCTTCCATTATTTCACACATGCTTAATTTTGGACTATTTTTGCTTTCAGCTGTTTTACTTACTAATGATTCTATCATTATACCCAGCAAATCATCTCCATAACAACCGTCTAAACTTGATTGTGCTGTTTTTAATCTACTTTCTATTATTCCCTTTAATGTATTTGTCAGCTGCTTGTCTAGCTTCCATATGCGAAGGTTCATTGGAGTGGGTAGATACCTACGAAGACCCCAAAAGAGGAAAAAAAAAATCACTATACTGAATTCCTTTAACAGGTTCAGAAAAAGAAAAAATAGGTGGAGAAACGGCAAAATTTGAGCGAGTAGGAGAATTACTGGGTGCCTGGAATGAAAACATCAGAAATTGAAGCTGCACAGCATTTTTGAAGCTCTTTTTGTGCATAAAAGGCTTCTCTGCCTTCCTTGTAACTACTACCAAAAGCAGTATGGGCAATTACATCAGATGTAAGCTTTTGTAAATTTTCATGCATCGCTATCTTTACAGTACGTTGATCGTTATCAGATAAATGACACTGATTATTCCACTCATCGAGCACTGCAATGGTGCAGTCCGCCATTTTCTTTATCATAATCTGCCAAATTCAGTCACAAACAATGTTACTAAATTTAATTAGACCAGAAAAGAGAAAGAAATAATTAGCTGATGACAGGTTTGAGAGACCTTGAGCTTGTCCACAGAGAAAGCGGGATTAAGAACTCTTCTATGGCGAACCCAGTCTCCTCCTTTCACAAAAATCAATCCTTGACCCGTCAGTTTTAGAATTGAAGGCGTTGGTTTGGGTTTTACGTAGAAGCCGAATTTGTTTGATAGGATTTGTTTGGCCAGCTCTGGGTCTGTCACTGTGATTCTCGGTGTTGTGCCATGCCAATATAGTATTGTTTCACCTGAGAGGATTAGAAATAGAATGTTTCATAGCATAAAGTTAAGGATTGAACCTCAGTCGCTTCAAGGCGCCACTTATGATGGCTTCAAGTCCATTTATTATGAAATAGATTTTATATCAAAATAATTTATAAATAACTAAACTTAAAATTATAATTATTTAGATATAAATACATCATTATATAAAACTGCCTTTTAACTTATAAGAGACAAATCCTTTCAAAATGTTATCAAATCTGAGAGGCAGAGAACTGTCATTTTTGAAGAGATTATTTTAGATTTTGGCATATATATATATATATATATATAAGATTTTTAATGATAATTACACCAATTAATTACCAGAATACGATAAAAGAGGAGAAATAATTAAACTGACCGTATTGAGAAAACCATTTGTGATAGTGAGGGACAACTCTATGAATAATATCATTGGAGTTTGTATCTAAAACAGTTTTTCTTGCAACTTTCTTCAGCTCCTTCATCTCTGCAAGAGAACCGTAGAGAAGCTTGTAAGGGGGGCCTTTGATTCCTTGCTTCTCAAAGCTCTTAGTCAAAACATATGGCCTCCACACGACAATCTTAAACAATCTCCATATGTTTGTAATAACAACTATTACCAGAGCCACCAAAACAAAACCTGCATAACCCATTTCCTTACAGTAACTGACAGTGGGAGAGATAGAGATGAAATCAGTAGCTATGTCCTCGGTTTATATAGCACCAAGCAGGGATGTGTTTCTAGAAGTACGACGATGATGAGATCATTGCTCATGTAGACATGGTAATTATTTGAGTTTCGAGTCAAGATGAGTCTAAAATTTTCAGACTTTTTGAATTTCAAGCCTGACAGGTTGGAGTTCGGCTCAACTCCTTTGTACCTAGAATGATGAGATCATTGCTTATGTAGACATGGTAATGAAGATCGCTGTTATGGGTGTGGCTGTCATGACCAGGGATGTATGACTCTTGTTACTTTGTCTGCTTGATCTAGTGGCGCTGGATTAGTGATATCTGACGTCTTCTAGACTTCCTTCTAGACTGAGCTATGTGACAAAATAAAATTTTGTTTTCTTTTTATTATTTTGATTCAGAAAGGGTATATTCATATTGATAACAGCTGATGAGTAGCTGCTGTTGCATGTGAGATAACAGTAAAACTTACAAGTAATAAATTTCTTTTTGCAAATGGAATTTTACTGTTCTACTACCGCTCTACAATTTACAAACGTTCTATTATTGACATCGACTCGGTGCTTGCTAGGGTGATCCCAGTTTAATTAGCAGCGAAAGTTAAAAATGTATTTCTGTATTATGTCAAAATTAATTTCTATGTCTCTTTATTTTTTACAATACATTATTGTATCCTTATGTTTTCTTTTATTATTATACACTATTCTCCTTTTGTTAAAAAAAATTCAAATTTTCAGTTAAATAGTTTGTGAAAAGACACAAATATCCTTAAATCCCTATTAAATTTGCTGCCAAAATTTAAATAAATTCAAGAAAAAAATAAATTAAAGGGCATTCCTAGCATAAAAATTAAAAGATATCAGCTCCTCTGTTAGCCTCAAAACAAAATTCAAAAATGAAAAACAATCAAAATGATGAACCAAAATAAATAAAAAATGGAATCTTAGCCATTTTCTTTAAATTTAATACCAAAAAAAATGAAAAATATTGAAAAAGGAATAGATAGTTGGCTGAAATTAATATATAGCGACACAATAGTGTATTTTAAAAAATAGAGAAATATAATAGTTCATTTTGATATAATACGGAAACTAAGTTTATAATTTTTCCTAATTAGTATGTTTGGTCTATTTAAGGGTGGAGTGAGTGAGATATATTGTTCTAATCAAGTCTAACATTCACCTTAAAATCTGAATTCTGGTTGGTCCTAAAATGGATGAGCTATTTTTCTTTCACGCAACTCCCACTTATTTATGTTTCATAAGCTAAAAATGTGGGACCATTTGTTCTATGGGTGACTTTTATGCACACTTAAGAGTTTTAAATACAGAGAATAGAGGCTAGCAAAGCAATGCTGTATTTGCCTCCCACTAAAATGAAGGGGCAAAAAGGAAAAACTTATCTATAGTCATGGCCCAAAATTGAAAGGATTGACGTAGTGTTTGGGCTTGGGTAATTGGGCTTTCTAGTTCGGTTTCAAGTACCACTCGTCGGGATCCATGCCCGTTATTTGCCTATTTGGAGATTTCGAATTTGCGTTGAAAAGCTTCTGGAGAATTGAATTCCAATTCTCTTCCCAGAAAACCTAAACCCAATTGCGCGAACAACCTCTCGAGTGGCGGGAAATCCAATTCAAATTCAATTACTCAAAAACCCGGTTTGCCGTAGAATCCAAAGAAATGGACTCCAGCGTTGTGAGGGAATTCATAAAGAAAGAAGTTCCTGATTGGGACGACGAAGTGATCGCGACGGCCCGATTCAAGGCATTTAGTGGCCAAAGATCTGATTGGGAATCCAAATACCTATTCTGGAGGGATTTGATTCTCAAAGTCGCTCGCCATCTGGGCCACTTAGCCATTAGACCTTCTCAGGTTCAATTTTCACTAAAACACTTCTATTTCTTTCTTTCTCTGTGAGTGCTTCTTTTCACAGGAAAGAATATTGATCGTTATTTCTTTGGTGGGTCAAATACGAAGGTAAAGAATGAGTGGTTTAATCGAGGAGGATTGACCCCTTTATGCCTTGATCATGTCTTGGTGAGATTCTTTTGCAATTGCAACTCGATCGATAAAGTGTTTTCTTTTTCCACTATTTCTTTTTTTATATTATTATTTTCAGTTTATAATGTATAGTGAAGGTGATATTATACGAAGTGTTGATCTTGTGGATCCAAGGAATGGAGGACTCTCACAGTTTTTTAGGAAAGTGAGAAATTTGGTGGTTAGATCAACCACATCCCCTGAAGTAATGCTCGAAGATTGTGTCATTCTTACAGTTCTGTTGAGGGTATGTAGATTTGGAACTTTTCCATCTTTTTTTATCTCTGTTGGTTGTCATTAATACTTAGTTTAATGTTTTCATGTTTGAAAAAGAACATCTCTCATGCCGAGCTTAACTTGCTTGGATAGCTATCTAGCACCGGTTTTATTGTGTGGGAATGGACCTCCTTAGTGTTATCTTATTCTCATGATAGTTTCTCCTGATCTCTGCACCAATGACTGTTATTCTTGATATGGAATTTTGACTTTCAAATTTTAACGTTTTTGATAGAGCTGTCAGCTGTGTAGTGATGGAAATTTTGTGTCTTGATATCTAGGAAAAAGCTACTGAAGTAATCAAGTTTTTATCTGAAAGTCATTGGACATCTTCATGCATTGTTACTATGACGAAGTTTCAGGACATGTGTGGAACACCAAATGAAGCATCTGCAATTTTGAGTTATTTATCTGGACTCGGGAAAGCATGCTATCTCTCGGTTCATAAGAAGGAATTGATAGAGGTATACAATATTGATATATCTTGAAACATTTTCTGCATATCACTGTCCTAGGAACTGGACTGGTTTCTTGCATTACTAATAGCCTAATGATGAAGTTTTTTTGCTATTATTGATCTTGCATATTGTTGAAACGTCACTCATCACGTGTAACATGAGTGATTAAATTACTTGCTTACAGGGCATTAAAGTTTCCCTCTCTCAAGAACCAGCACCTACAATCTCCAGATTAGATTTTGATGTCCTGCACTTGATATGGACAACAGAAAAGCTTCAGAAACAAGTTGATGTGATCGACCAGCGATATGAAATGTAACTCCTATAACTCTTCCTTGCTCATATGCTTGTATCTTTTGCCTTGATGTTGAAGCCCAAATAAATTATTCTACTCGAATCTCAGTCAATGAGGGTTAACCTGTATGTAAGATGGACCAGCATGAAATTCTTCTTAACCGAGACATTTGTATGGTCATTATCTCTAGCTCATCATTTGGTTGAACCAAATAGTATACCGAGCTCTGTGCCAGCTGCTTTTGAAAAATGTGACCAACATTATTTGTCAACCATGGAGAAATGAATGAGAATTTATTGATAAATAATCATACCTATTGAAAGAATAGGATTAATTAATGCCTTATTTTCATTCTATGCAAGTCAGTTTTCAGGTTGCTGCATTTTGATGGGTCATCATGTGGGTTAAGAAACAAGTTCTCTTACTTCATGGGATTAGTTTATCCTTTATGCAGATCAAGAAAATTGGCATTAGCATCTCTGAAATCTGGAAACAAGAAAATGGCCCTAAGGCATGCTAGAGAGATGAAGTTGGCCTCAGAAAATAGAGAAAAATGCACTTCACTTTTGAACAGAGTGGATGGAGTTCTTAATATTATCATGAATGCTGAATCTACAAAGAAGGTATTTTGTTGCATTCTAAAGGATTTTCATAATTAGCTTTATCTGCAAATTTTTAAATTGGCTTGCTGTCAGCATGATGACCCATTTCATTTTAGAAAAACATTCAGATCAACATTAACTCATTTATTAAGCTATTTGAGATAACCAATTTTTTGATCCAGTAAACTGAATGCATTCACTTGTGTAAAATGAGGTTGCTATTTTACAATGTTCTTAAATGCAGAAAATCAGATCCTCAATACATTCTTTCCATGCAGGTGACCGAGGCCATCCAAATTGGAGCTCAAGCAATGAAGCAAAATAAGATAACTGTAGAGGAAGTTGATATCTGTTTGGAAGAACTCGAGGAGAGTATTGATTCACAAAAGCAAGTTGAAAAAGCTCTGGGTACTCTCTCTTTCGTGAATATATATATTAAAAAATTTTAGCTGACGACAGGCTTTGTTAAGTTTAAAAGATTCAGTAACTCTCCTTTTGCATGTAATATTTGGTCTGTTTCAACTGCAGAATCAACTCCTTCATACACTGGAATTGAAGATGAAGATATTGAAGAAGAGTTCAAGAAATTAGAGGTGGAAATAGGAAGTGAAAACCTTCAGTCTCATGTTCCAAGAATTGGAGTCAGCAGCATATCAGGAGAAAGAGACAATTGGGGACCCAGTGACTCATTAAGTGGTGCCTTTTCAAATCTCAAGCTTCAGGATGCTTCAGCCAGGGAATCCATGAATCAGAGAACCAACGAGTCAAAAAATGTCACACTTGAAGCAGCGTAATTGAAAGCATCATTCCAGTTAACTATCTTTGCGTGCCATTTTGATGCGAAGTGTTCAGTCACTTGATCAAGTTGTCGCCTTGTTGGGCTCTCATGTAATTTGTATATGATAATACGAACATATAGCATTGTGTGACCCATGCATAATTCGGATTCTGTGTAAGGATATTGTTTTTGTATTATTTTATTAGGTCTACATTTTAGTGATATATTAAAGTTGAACGTTTTCAATGTCCATATCAACTCCGGTGATCATTATATTACATGCATAGCATGTTGACATGTTCTGCCATCTCAAAACAAACTGCATTGACAATTTTCGAAAAAGAAAAGCATACAGTACGTTGTGTCACGCATTTATTTCAAATATGAAATTTTCTGGTATTTGATTTTATTTTTGTTTTTCTTTAATTTTTTTATAATTGTCACGGTAAAATATATATTTTGAAAGTTATATATCATTCAACACATTAGGATTCCACATTAATTAGTAGTAATGGTAATAATTATCAGGAATTTAAAATGTTCGACATCGTTGAATCCATTTTCTCAGAATTTTAAGCTATAATTTTCTAATTGAATCTTGGTTTTGATGAAGTTTCTTATAAAATAGTGAAGAATATTGGGGACTTAACTTGTTAAATATATAAATTCTTATTCATCTTGAACAATTGGTTCATGCAGCATCAGACTCTAAATTCGTATTTAAGGAAGAGATCCAAAGATAGTTATTGGAGTAGTTTCAATGGCTTTACTAATTAAATTCTCCAATTTTATTTTAATTTTGCAAAAATGAATTGCAATGATGCTGCTCATAGACTAGGGGAAAAAAACCCTTAAATGTTTCCTTCTGTTATAATTAATTTCTTCTCCTAAATCCAATTCAGGTGGACAAGAGAGAGAGATTTCCTAGTGGGAAAAAGAAAGGAGAGAGATTATACCAAGATTAATGTAACCCAAAAAGAAAAACAGTTGTAAATATTGTCAGTTAAGTTTGCGTTGCAAGAGTTATATATAATTAAGGTTCAACTCGGTTTTGTCTCCTTCCCTTTGATCAATAACATTGGAAGGGAACATCACATTGACTATTCTAAGTTTCTAGCTAGCACAAATCATTATACTGACATGTCTGTATCATCTAACCAAAGTTGATTTTCCTCTGCTTCTTCTCCTCCTTCATTTTATGTTCATGGGAGAGAGTTCTATTGCGTCAACAAAGCTCAACTGATGACTGAGTCTTATTCGAACTGTTTTCCTTCAAGTTCAAACTGAATAAAGGAGCAGAATTACCCCTAATTTGTCCCATAGGCGTGGCGATACCAGAATTAGCCGTTACAGGAACTGATGGGTGCAGCATCGAAGACCCTCCTCCACCAACAAAAGGAAGAAATGGTGGCTGTGGAACTGACATTTGCATAGGTAGTATCCGAGCCGGAAATCCAAGTACTGCTGGATTCTGAAAAGACCCAACTCCCATACCCATCCTTATGCCCATTGGAGAGAAATGAGCCAAATTATGTATCTGTTGCATTGCATTTGGTAACATCATCTGTGGCATCCAAAACCTACTTCCCATTGACATTATCTGCATTACATTAAAGTACGTTAATTTTAATATCAATTAACAATTCCATGGATGATACATATTTAGATAATAAGCTCTATTCATTAATTAAAACAATAGTAGATCGTGTTGTTACCTGTACTTGAAGCTGAAGGGTCTTTAGATACTCGATTGCATTATCAAGCACTGAAGCTTTATCCACCTTAATTACAACAAGATAGAGTAATTGGTAAGCAACAAACCCTAAAAAAGCCATCGATTAAATTCAATTGATTTATGTACATAGTTATAATTCACATATACATACCTTATCGGAATTAGGTAGGAGAGCTTGTAATTCGCGCATCTTCTTGTTGATCTTGTGTCTTCTTTTCTGTTTGTGTAGAAAAAAATTAGTTTCTCACACGTCTTTTATATGAAGAAATCTCACAAGGCTATAGTTTACCACATATACACACACTTACCCTTTCAGACAGACTATGAACCCTTGGAGTTGGCCTTCTCTTGGCACCAGCACGAGCAGATGCTGGTTTTGGCACTTGCTGGTCCTCAGCATGCTGTAGCAAAGATGAAAATTCTTAGTTAATTATGCATATAATCATAGAGTATAAGAGAAAAATGATTCTTTTTACAATTTATTTTAACTTACTTCATTTTCAGATGTCATCCTCCCCATGTCTTCAGTAATTGTTTTCAAAGAAGAATAACTTAGATCATTTGATGCTCCGAGTGAGCATACTGAAGCGGAAGCAGCTTTTTCTTGGACTATATTTATATGAAGAAAAGCTTCTGATTGCTCATCTGGAGGTGTTTGTTCTATAGGATTAACCATTTGTCGTATTTGTTGCATTTCTTTAGCTTCATCTTGTGCAGGAAGCTTTTCATTTCTTTTCCAATCCTTAACTACTCTTGAACATACACTTTGGCTCCCATTCTTCATTGATCTCCTGATTGGAACTGAAGCTTCATACTGCTGATATGAAGATTGATTGTGTAACTGAGGAGATAGAGTATTTGAATTTTCTTCTCTATATTCAGGGACTATTTGGGATTCCATAATATGCTTATCGTTAATATTATTTCCAAATAGACCATGAAAAAAATAATCCGCAGGATTGTTCTCATGCTTCTCATCCAACTTGGGTTTCTTCCGGACTTGGTTGTCTCCAACAGCCTGAGGAGAGTACTGATCAAAAGAGTAAGTAAAAGACGAGGAAGTTGTAGACCGTCCACGCATCAAAATCTGACCATTTTCACACACAAGTTCCATAATTTCATCACCCCTGCATTACAGAACGATCTGTCAAGTTCATACAGCAACAAATTAAAAAGAAAAAAAAGGTGGTTTGCAGAAAACATACATGGAAGAAAGCTTCAACTTGTCTGAATTTGATTCAGTTGTTTAGTATTACTATTATTATAAGAACTAAGAAGGGCAAGAAAGCACTGTAGAGCAAAAACATACGTATATATGTAAAAGATGCTGTATTATATTCTCTCTTTATAAAGGAGATTATTAGAAAGGAAAGGGACAATAAAAACAAGATAATTGCCAAAAATCCTGATAGGATGTCCTGAGATTAGGGACTAGACATTTTTTTTTTTTTTTTTGGCTCAAGAACAAATCAATGCACCTAATAATTATGATTTGCTTGCTAGACCACAGCACTTGCGATAGTAACCATAAGCTTATGAGATTAGGACTCGTCCATTTTTCTATTCACGTGGCTGTCAGCAGTATTTAATACAGGAGGATCAGTTAATTTCATTCTCATTCAGAAAAAGAAAAACTCTGATCAAAACATGATATATTGATAAATCGTATTAATGAAATTTCTTTTTAGGCAAATTGAAAAAAGTCTTATTTTTCGGAAAAAAAAAAAGATCTACTTATTTTCTTAACTTAGTTTTTAAAAAATAAATTTTTAATTTTAAAAAAAAAAAGAAAAAAAAAATCGATATCAAACACTACCCAAGAAGGTCATTTTTCATCACTATGTACCTGCTTCAAATCGAGGTTGTGGAAAGTGAGCGAACGAAATGGGGCCTCCCTACGAAAACGACAACCCTTAAACCATTAAATGTGCCCACTCGAAGAATTTAAGATATCCACGTGAACCATTATAATTGTCCAGCTACTTTCTTGTTGGGCCTACCAAGCCCAACATCCAATAGAAATATGGTGAAAATCATATCAGATAATGCATCCTTGTTTTTGCCACGGACTAGAAGTCTAAAATATCACGTCGAGAAGGTAAAGCAAAAGCGTGCACTTCACGTGCACCAGTGTGACCATTCACGTGCCTCTTCTTTTTCCTGTCTGTACCTTTTCTTTATAATTTATTTTATTTCAATCAAATAACTAGCTGACGAAACAAAATCAGAACCATTAGTATCTGAAAAAACAGATGACGATTGTTTGTCAAATGAAATCTAAGGTTAGTTCATATGATAGGGAAACGAAGGCCCCACCACCAACCATCGAATGGTGGATATATGAAATACCACACGAGATATAACCCATTATTGCAATTTCTACTTTTTCCTCATATGGTGAAACAGCTAGTTCTGTTTAGATATAAATGTATAAAAAAGACACTTTTTACTTTCTCCACATTCTGTCATGTGATTTAGGACTTCTCTTGCTTTCTTGCTGGTGGTCAATATACATCAACCACTCTAATCTAAGAGTGGATACATCAATTATCTACGAACTAAATCCTTTTATCCGAGGCAAAAAGAAAGAAAATATATAGTGTTTTGCATAATTAGCTTTTTTATATTATTAAAATTAATTTACTTGCAAAAGCAAGACTTATGATAAGAACCTGTACTTCTCTCTAGAAGTTTCGGACACGCGTGGCTTGGCTGCTGGTTTGGTGATGTTAGATATTCTTATTAGGTGAAGGTGCCTCGCAGAGGTCCATCTGTCATTCTGTTACTATATGCTTACAGAAAAGGGCATCAAAGCAGCTTTAATGTGTACTGCGAAGCATATTCCTAATCTTCGAGAGTTCTCACCGAAAAAATATACACTTTTATCTTTGGCAGAAAATAATTGAAGGAATTACTACGACGATCTATTTGAAACTTGACTTTTAATCCACAGTTACAGGTTACAGCAACAAGCAAATTGAGAGGAAACCCTTGGATTAAAAATGTAAACTTCAAGAGTTAAGGCATGGTTCTGACTCATCAAAGGTAAATATTAATGGAATAACATAGAAAATATATGCTTATAAACTCAATGTACAGAACAATGAGATCAGACCTTCTAGTCTCCTATCTAAATCTGTATCGAGTCCTATCAACTTAGCCAGCAGTTAAATCAGGTCAACCTATACTAGTCTCATTCAAACAGTCACTTATAACACGTCGTAGTTGAAGCATCTTTTCCCTTGCCGTCTGCAACAAATATGGAGGATAAAGAGCATATTAGATTTAGATACGACAAGCTTTCTTTCAATTGTGAAAGCTAACAGAGAGCTTTAGCATCTCAAAGAGACAAAGTTACGTTGGTATATCTTATTAGACGATCAAGTGACTCAACCTTCTCATAACACCTAGGAAATTTTTATGCAAATTCATTAATCATGAGACGTACAAAACTACTAACCGTATTATCTTGCATTGAGCAAAGCTAGTGTGTGAGACTTACTAATAAAGGTCCCAACGACTAAAATCCATCAGGCTTCTTATTAGCGTCTCAACATTATGGTGCAACGTGTCATACCATTGAATGTCGACTATAAAAAATATACTTCCAGAGACGCACACAAGGCAAATCGAATGGGCCACCAAATATCTGAACATTTGACACTCGTATGCAGGAAATCTTGCCATTAATTCAATTTTCATGCAAATAGAAGCAGAAAACTTACCTTGTGCACGGCTGTAATTCTTCTGTGTGCGTCATTGAGCTGCGTTTCCATGACCTCTTCAGCTTTCATGACAAGCTTCTGATGAGATGCCTCTGTAATAATCAGGTAAGTTAGAATGAGGTTGAGTGAATGATGTATCTTGAACCAACCTAACAGTTTAAATTTTTGTCTTTTTTCCAAGCCCAAGAAAAGTAACATATATATACATGTGACCAATCTGCCACTACCGCTACCCCAATGGTAGAGTGAGTCAACAAAAAAAGTTTCACCTGTGTGTTTTGCACTGCCAAAATCATTTACATTAAATGAAGAATTTGCGAGTCAATTATTTTATGCCAAATATTGATTTCAAGAATTCCCATGAGGGTGGACTCTGGGATCATTTAATCAAATTGACATCTCAATATACGCACCCGCAGTGATCACGGACTATAAGATTAGCAGGAAAGATCCTATCTCAGGTTCTCGCCTTTTCATTAAAACGACATAATAGTATTGACACTATTAATTAATATATTCACCGTAATAAAAGCTCCCTTACTTTGCTTTTTAACGGTTCCTTTCAACTCAATATGGTGCATTTCTAGCTCTTCAACTGTGCTTTTACAGTCCTGGCGATGCTTATGTAAATCTTGCTTGAATTTATCATGTATCGACTTCAGTTTTTCTTCTTGTTCTGCATGGAAAAATAATACTAATGATAATAAAATTGAATAACATTCAAGCTTTAATCAGAAGTCACAGACAAAATGAATTGGTCTTAAGTCTTAACATGTTTCACCCCCTGATTTGGAGCAGGCCACAAATCTCTAAAAATTAAATTTATTAACGAGCACTTCATCTTTAAAAAAAAAAAAGCAATTTGTACATAATGGTGGAGGAACCGCATATGAACTCCTTAATCCATGAATTTGGCTTTGGATAAGAATTTACACATACACATGCATGCATACAAACAAGCAGATTTTATATAGTTTAAGAATTTATGTAGTTAGATGAAGTCTCTACACTGATCATTCAAGAATTTGATTGTCTTTTTCTCTGAAGATTTTTCTACATTCTATCATTGACTGAATTGCAATGGCCTACCAAGAAAAGCATGAAAGTTGAGAAATATATTGATATGAAAGTCTCAACTCTTGTTATAATTCAAAATTAATCTAACAAAAAATGGAAGAGACAATTGAGAACCATGATAAGCATTTGCGAAACTTCAACGGATGCTCATTGTTTTGTGAACAAATAATCAACTTTGGTGCCTAGCAAAAGGCATGTGTTTGCAGAAGTCATCACCAAAATGAAAAGATGCTTCATTCAAGCAAATCATATTCAGTTGTTCATCAAACCATCCAGTTGATAGAAATTCATTACCTTGGAATCTTGTCTCTAAGCGTTTTCTTTTTGCTTTATTAATGCTTGTCAGCTTCCCTCTGTAACATCAAGACTAGTTACTAGCATGTTTAATTGGAAAAGTGACATCTTAAATTAGGAAACCTCTCTGCATCAATCACATACGCATCTGTCTGGATTTGCAATTCAATACTCTGAAGCAGCTGATGTATATCCTCAGAAACAGACATCAAAATTTTAGAGGATTTCTCTCTAGTTGCCAACTTCATTTTGTTTTTGAAGTTTTCTAAAGCCGAGGCAAACAGTGTGACAACCCTGAAACAATATTATGTCAAAACAAAACCAGGCATCATGCAAAAATAAAATGGAAATAGCAGAAGAATAGTTGGGATCCGATCGGAAATTTCTTAAATTCCCTTTTAAGCATAGGAAGTATAGAAAGTAAAACCTTGCCAATTCATTCTCTTGGATTTGTCCTGAAGGCTCTGGATTCCAATCACTTTCACCACTGCCTAATAGTTTCATGCACAATGAAAAGGAAGCATTAAAATGGAAAGATGACATATGTACAGCAGAGATGAGAACAGCAAAAAGTATTAAATGTTAAAGAACTCGTGCCTTTTGGTGGTAAGTTGAGATCAAATTTGCTAATACTGTTGCTTTCATGATTGAGATGCCTCTTAGTTGGATAAAGCACGAATGTGGATCTCTCAGCAATCGCAATTTCTGGAGAAAAGGCATCTCTCTCTGTATGTTCTGGACAAGTCAATTAAATAATGTCACAAAGGAAGATGAATAAGGACATCATATGATGAAACCTGAAACCAGATTCAAAAGCTAACTACTTGATAATCTCTTGGTGCAATCTTACGTTCATTTTTTTCTAGGATGGTCATACTTAAAACCTAATTTAGCTATACAGATAGATGACTGCTACTTGCTTTAAAATTGATTTTTCAAATGAAATTTAACAGTTCAAGCTATACTCTAATTAATCACGGGGCTTAGAAAACCTATATGAAAATTACTGTAGTCATTATATTAACTAATTGCAACCTTCGTCAGAGCTCGTAGAGTCCCCATCTTCAGATGATGATCCACAAAGAACATTATCTACTTTTTTCCCATTAAGAGATGGTTTGCGGGGTGGGGAATCTTTAAGTTCTACTGCTACATTCTAAAGTCCAATAAGGAATTGCCAAGACATAAAGAAAAAAGCTACAGCTATATCACACTGAGATGCTTGAGATAAACAAGGATACAGATAATTCTGTTTTAGCATCTGAGGGATGACAATTTTCCTTTGAAGTCTGCGAAGTCCTGAAGCTGCGAATATTTCCCAGAGTAAATCTTCTCTTCACTGGTGCAGGACTGTAAAAAGTCTGTTCCATTTGATCAGTTTTTGGCGTTGAGCTAGGGGAAGATCTTAACGTAGGAGTATTTACTCTGAATGTTGGGCTTTCAAATTCATCCTGTGGCTCCATAACTCTCTTCAAGGATGGGTTACCAACATCTCCTTGTTGATCCTCATTTTCTGATATTGCTGGACTGCTAAAATCTCCCTGTAGATCCGCCCTGTTTGTCCCTGCAGGCATATGAGAATCTCTCTTTGGAGATGAATGGGAATCTCCTCCATTTCCATTCTTCTTTTCGAGAGAGGTGCCCTTACTTTGAGGTGAACAGCCTTTAATTCCCATTTTATCACTAAGCGAAGATGCTTTCTCAGCAGATGGTGGTGGTGTTTCGCTCCTATGAGTTGCCTTCTGAATCTCATCTGCGCTGTTGTTCTCAGTGAAGTGAATCTTACGTGGCTCAATGACATAATTCTTTCTCCTGCCCTTGTTTCTTGCTGACATTGAGGAGCCACCACTGATAGCAGCATCTCCTTTCCTATGCAATCCATCTTCGAAGGAGAATATACTCTTCTCCTGAAGTTTCAGTTTAGAAAGAGTTGACTGGCCAGTTTTCGTTTTCTTTGGTTGTATTTTCGTTGAAACTTTCCTTCGACTTGAAGAACGTGTTACAGGTCTCTTCATTGTATTATCAGGATTTTCAGAATCAGTTTCTATGGTATCAGAATTCTGTATTTGCTTTACAACTCCATCACCCTTTTGTTGATGTACTTGCTCTTGCTTTAAATTATTAGCACATGCCTCAGGAGCCAGGGAATGAGAAGGCTGACTTCTAGGTGAAGAAACAGTGCCCAATATCTCCCATAGTTTCATTCTCAAAGTTTCAGTTCTTTTTTCGTCTTTGTTATCTTCTGTTGCCACTTTACCCAACACAGGAACTTCCCGTTCAGTCATGAATGTAAAATCCTCTGCCCTCTGTGAGTTCACATCCCTACCTCCCTTCCTTCTGTAGGTAAGTCCATCAAACTTCTTCTGCTTACTATCACTGGAATGTGAAACTGACATCTGATTTCTAAAAAATTGTACTGAATGCATCATTGTTGTATTTTGTGCGCTGCTAAGCTTGTTTCTCCTCCCACTGGTGGCTGGTAAATCGGAAGTTTCTTTCGCAATAAACAGTGTCTGTTTAGTTGTTACTTTTTGGTTAAAGGATCTAGTACTAATCCAAGGGGAAGCGACCGCCTCTGTAGCTTTAGTTGGTTTCGCTTCATTAGAATCAACGGCACTTTTTCCCCTGTTTTTACCTTCAAGGGAATTTTCTCTGTTGGAATTTGCCCTTTCTGCATTTGATATAACAATCTCATTTTCTGTTGTGGCTCCAGATCTTTTCTTCCCATCTGAGATTCCAATTGAAATCTTTCTAGATTGACTGGACGGATGATAATTGCTGCCAAGACTTCGGTGACCACTCATTTGATCCTGAAAAAATGTTTTATTTGGATGCGTCAGATACTTGTTACACTAACTACTACATTGAAACCTTGCCCGGAAATTTCAATTGCATTCGATTTCTTGCTCAATATTAATACTAGAATGAATCTTTTACTGACTTTTCAACTTTTCTTCCTTTTTTTTTTAAATTAAAAACTAATAAGTCACATTGGGAGTGCAAGACGAATTGCACAACTTGGAAATTCCAAATAAAATACAACTACGTATATAGTATGCCAAGTGAAAACCATGTTAATTTTCATATTCAGATATTTACTAGCAGATACCATCATATATATCATAAAAAGCATTAAATTATGAGCTTAAGATTGCAGCATTTTGTTAGTTAATAAAATAAAGAAGACATCATTCAGCAGCAAATCTTATAAAAATATATTGCAAACATGAATAATGTGGGTTAAGAAGTAGGATTGCTTTCCATGAACAGGAAATCTTAAGACTGAAAATTTCATTACGTACTTGTAAATTCTGACTTTCCATTTTGTGGTTTAGATAAGAAGGTTTGAAATGGACGCCAGTAGATGCTGCAACCAAAGAAGTTCATAAAATCATAAGAAAAAAAAATAACGATAACAATATTAGCATGATTTAGCTGGCGAAGACCAAAGAACAAAAAAAAAACCCGTACCCAAATCAGATAATATTCACTTGTTTGGCTTGGAGACTGACATTTTGCTCTGTTTTGAAATCTTAGGACAATTTATTGCCAACAATTCCATGAAAAGTCGAAGTGATCTGCATATTCTCATAGAATTGAGATTTAAAAAAAAAAAAAAAAAAAAAAAAAAAAAAAAAAAAAAATATTCACTTGTTTTTGGCTTGGAGACTGACAATTTTGCTCCTGTTTTGAATCTTAGGACAATTTATTGCCCAACAATTCCATGAAAAAGATCCCGAAAGTGATCTGCATATTCTCATAGAATTGAAGATTTAAAAAAAAGAAAAAAAAAAAAAAAAAAAAAAAAAAAAAAAAAACACAACACAACAAACAGGAACAACGATAATTTCTAATGGATATTCACTAAAAAAAACTACAAAAATAAAAACATTACACCAAAACCCTAATAACGCAAAACCTGCTTCGTTTTATCCAAAATTACCCGAGAGCTACATCGATAAATTCCTCAAAACGCATATTCAAATGCATAAAAATACCAAAAAAAAAAAAAAAAAAAAAAAAAAAAAAAAAAAAAACACAACAACAACAACAGGAACAACGATAATTTCTATGGATATTCACTAAAAAACTACAAAAATAAAACATTACACCCCAAAACCCTAATAACCAAAACCTGCTTCGTTTTATCCAAAATTCCGAGAGCTACATCGATAAATCCTCAAACGCATATTCAAATGCATAAAATACCAAATTCAACACAAAAATAGGTTTCGGATCTCACCAATCAGTCACCAGAGACGAAAAGGAAAGTGAAATGCAAAAATCAACAGTACTGCTTCACAGGCAATCACGTGTTTGGATCTCGGTATATTAGACGAGGATCGGTTAGTCAAGGAAAAATATACTCAAAAGTTAAGATCAACGGGAACCAGCTCAGGCAATTGGAATAGAAAACTTTAGGGAATTAATAGAAATCACATAGATGTTACTCGCTAGGGATAATCGCCGAGCTCATTTTCAAAATTTCAAGCGGGAATCAGAGAAAACTAATCCTACAGAAGCGACAGTCTAGCTTCGTGAAGAAGGACGGAGAATTTTGAATTGTTTGGCGATTTTGAAATACCAATTATTTACAAATGAGGCGGGAAATAAAATAGCGCGTCCATAACAACCTGCCAGTTTTAACTTATAAGGGATGCGCAATGCGCACCGACTTTAGCTTCAAATGACGCCACGAACCTAGTCAATTGAACGATGTCGTTTATTTAACCAAAAGCTGCCGGACTTTGTTAATTTACCAAACTGAACGACACCAAAGAGGACCGCCCGTCATTGTGAGGCTTTATTTTGTTTATTTTGATAATAAATTGATATATCTGTCGTTTACTTAAACAAAATCAACAGATCGTTGGGCCTGTTAATTAAATAAATCTAACGACACGTCCCAACGGCTGCGATTTGAGGATTTTTATTTTTTATTCATGATGTGCACAAAATATTTTTCTGTTGATATTTGATACAGAACCACAGTGGCTCTTTAAAGTGACTAACTGAAATATTATTATTTCTTACATATTGTAATAGGTAAAATAAATTAATTACAAAAAACATAATTTTTTCTCTTTCTTGAAGTAATATCTCTCTTTTTTTTTAATTCAACTGCATTATATTATATATTGTTCATATCAAATAGCAAAACATCAACAATTATGCTTAAAGGAATAAGATCTCCTCCAATAAATCAGTCATAAAAATAAATATTTTAACTAGCATGTGAACAACTTAATTTGCTGATTTCTTGATAAAACATAAAACAATAAGTACTTTAATTTATTTATTTCGTTATATTCTCTCCGTTTCCTCCTGCTATTTTTTCTTTCTTTAATTTCTTATTTTTTGTAAAATCTTCTATTGCTTTTCCCCTTTCTCGTAGATTAAACATCTTTTACTAATTAAAATTTTATTTTTTATACTTTTAAATGATTTAGCTATAACAAAACTCTCTTAGAATTCTTTTTTTTTAGAATTAGAAGTACTTCTCCTTTTCATAATTCTATTTTTTTAGCATGTGCATGCATATATATAAATATAGCATTATATTTTATATAGCATATAATAAGAAATTCATTCTATGTATAATTAATACATTTATGACCTATGTTATAAAAAAATTATAGAAAATATAAAATTATGTGAATCTCCTCGGTGAAAAATAACATCATTTAATAGTTTGATTGTAGCTGAAAAATGTAATTCTAAGGAGGAAAATACCATTAATATTAAAAGTCGACTTCTAAGAATAAAAAAACATATATATCAGATTAGGGAAAATAAGATGACGATGAAAAAATAATTGGAGTAAACGATAATAAATTGAAAGGTAAAAAAAAGTAGTATTCTTGATATAATTAATAGGTAATAGGTTATTTTCAAAAATAATAAATGTTTTTAAAAACAAACAATTGCAATAGCAATCACTGTAATTTGGCTATCAAATATGCATTTGAGGCATCAATTTTACCTTATCAAGATAATATCTTTGATTTTAATATCATCTCCACATTGCAAATCTAAAATTTCGTAAAGAGACTTCCTGGAAATTTTAGTTTTATGAAATTGTTCAATTATGTTATTGCTTTAATCCAAGTAGATTACATTAAATTCAATCAAACAAATACTTATGTTAATTAATTAGGCTTTGAGACATATAATTTTTTAAAATTTTACCAGAATTTCAAATCGTTTAATCCATGGAATCAGATGTTGTCCCTTTTAATTTTAAATCTTTTGTTTTTTTTGTATTTAAAGAATATATATAGGTTTATAGATAGTTTGGAACACAAAATTAATTATCAGTAATAACATAATTAATTTATTTTTCAAATCAATATGATTAGTTCAATAATCTGTAGTATGTTAGCATATGTTTAAAAAGCAAATCCTCACGTTTAATCTCACAATTTCACATCTTTGAATAAAACCACAGCCATTTTAATTATTTTGGGATTTTCTTTAATTGAGAAACGGTAATTAAATCTAATTAGCTCAGAAACTTGCATATGGACTCGCCATTGAAGACGAGGTTGGTGGTTACTGTTACTGATGTTCATGACGGGTTTTATTAGCTTAGAAAGAATGAAAACAAAAATGGCAGAAGATGAAAATATTTCCTCTATTGGATGGAAAAGATTTCCTATCGGATAGAAAAGTTTCACGTAGGTGCGCCATAGAGGAACGTTTCCCAAATAAAGATAACTCCCACCAGTAGTTCCTTTGCTTGATCAGTAGCGTGGCCACACCAATCGGCGATATCAACAATGGCCACTCTCGCTGACTTTTCTCTTCTTCGTTCTACACCCTCTCTCGTTCCCCCATTCTCCAAACCCAACCCTAAAATCACTACCCGCCGGCCGTTAAAACTCTGTTGCTCAATCACAGACCAATCCACTACAATTTCTTCTTCTAAACTGGGCGGAGAAACCCAATCCAATGGCGGCCATTCCGCTCCGCTAGACTGCGTGATTGTAGGAGGTGGAATTAGCGGTCTCTGCATCGCTCAGGCTCTCGCCACCAAGCATCGCGATGTTGCTGCTAATGTCATTGTCACTGAGGCCAGAGATCGCGTTGGTGGCAACATTAACACCGTCGAAAGAGACGGTTATCTTTGGGAGGAGGGCCCCAATAGTTTCCAGCCGTCAGATTCTATGCTCACAATGGTGGTACGTAAAATCAGAGAGAAAAACAAAACTTAATTAATCTGGTTGAGTTAATTGCCTTTTTATTGTTGCTGTAGGTGGACAGTGGATTAAAGGATGATTTAGTTTTGGGGGACCCTAATGCCCCGCGTTTCGTGTTGTGGGATGGGAAATTGAGGCCAGTACCATCTAAGCCAACTGATTTGCCATTCTTTGACTTGATGAGCATTGGTGGGAAACTTAGAGCTGGCTTTGGTGCTCTTGGACTAAGACCTCCACCACCAGTTTGTCCTCTGTAACTTCGTCATTACATATACTTTATAATTAGACAAGAATTGCATAATTTTGGGGGCTAGCATCAACTCTATCTATGTCTTTCTCATAATCTTATACTTTGACAAAGGTGACAGGGACATGAGGAGTCAGTTGAAGAATTTGTCCGTCGTAACCTTGGTGATGAAGTTTTTGAACGTTTGATAGAGCCATTTTGTTCAGGTATAATATTTTGGTTTATGATTTTAACCAATGTGACATCTTACCTTGCATCCTTCTTTCTATCATCTCATTTAAAATTCTATCACTTGGAATTTAGTATGCTAGAGCGTAAGTTTGTTTAAAAGTTGTTAATATATCTTTCCTTGAAAAGTTGAAATATTGCAAATGCAGTCATTAAGCACTATAGTTGCGATTAATCATACTTCAGGGGATCCCCTCTCCTCATCGCCATGATACACGTTTCTTGCAGTTTTTTCATCAAATCTTCGATATTTATGACATTGTTGATGCGCTATAATAATAAGCTTTGGAACAATGTCCTCTCAACGCTTTTCTTTTTGAAGTAATCATGCAAATATTGTTAATTCTTTGGGTTGTTAGGTAATCCTTTAGGATAAATTTGGAGAATGAAACTTGTTCCGTTGTCTTTTACTCCAAATTTTGAATTTGCACAAATTGAAGTGGCAATATAACTGTATTGCTTCATGAAATCCATTAGATGGTGAATTTGTGCCTTTAAATTTCGATGTTTAGTGAAATACAAGAACACCATCCAAACAACATAAATCAAGTTATGCACTGACAATTTAGTTCCATTTAACGAGCTAGGCTCTTAAACTTAGCATTTCACTGATGGAATTTCTTGTAGAGCTGTAATATCATAATTCAATTTGTCATGTGGTGACTGGATTATGGTTCCTGGGTTGACCTTAGAATGATGTTACACGCAGGTGTTTATGCTGGCGATCCTTCAAAACTGAGTATGAAAGCAGCTTTTGGAAAAGTTTGGAATCTGGAGCAAAATGGTGGTAGCATCATTGGTGGCACTTTCAAAGCAATCCAACAGAGAAATAAAACACCCAAGCCTCCTCGAGACCCGTAATATTATCTACTTGCATAGAGCATTTTTTTTTTTTTTTGGAAATAAGTTTATGTTTAATTTCTTAATTTTGGATTTGTAGGCGTCTACCAAAACCGAAGGGCCAAACAGTAGGATCTTTTAGGAAAGGACTTACCATGTTGCCTGATGCAATTGCAACCAGGTAACACATCTGACACTGGAATTGCATTTCATGGAAGGAAGATTTACTGTTTGGATTGTACTCTTAACTTGTGATCATAACATAAGTCTTCCGACAGTAATTTTAGGCCCTGATTAGCAGTGTGGTATTGCAGGTTGGCTAGCAATGTTAAATTATCATGGAAGCTTTCAACTATTACCAAATTGGATAATGGAGGTTATAGTTTAACATATGAAACATCTGAAGGATTGGTTTCCCTGCAGACCAAAAGTGTTGTCATGACAGTTCCATCACATATTGCAAGCAGTCTCTTGAATCCTCTTTCTGTATGTTCTCAAGCCAATCTTATTTTTCACCATCTTTTTACTCTTTTTTTCGTTAGTGGAAATTTTAGTGGTAGATTCTGAAATAGCTTTTTTCTTATTTTAGTTTTAATCTTCTGGACCTCTTAAAATCTGTGGTTAGAGGAGGTTACTACTAGGTCATGATGCGAAGGAAAATAACTTATTGAATGAGTAGTGTGTACAGGTTGCTTAACTGTTGTTAATCATTGAACGTGGGTTTCTATAGCCAGAACATGGTTTATAGCATATGCTCTAAATTTCATCATTAAACAATTACCTTACCTCTTACTGACTGGTTGACTATTTATCCTTTCCTTTTTTTGGAGAAAAATTTCTGAATCTGTTGTTTATCTTTTTCATGACTCCTGTGAGTAGGCTGCTGCTGCAGAAGCCCTTTCAAAATTTTATTATCCACCAGTTGCAGCAGTGTCCATTTCATATCCAAAAGAAGCCATTCGGACAGAATGCTTGATTGATGGTCAGCTTAAGGGGTTTGGTCAGTTGCATCCACGCAGCCAAGGGGTGGAAACCTTAGGTGAGCTTGCTTACAGATTCTCATCTAGCTTTGTTGTGGTCCTTTTTAAACATTATCCTGTACCTAGAAGTCCATCTGAGTGTTATGGTTCAATAGAATATTCCACCGTCATTTACTGAAATATTGTGCCAAACTTTGCTATTATTTTGGTGATTCCTCAGGAACCATATACAGCTCGTCACTTTTTCCGAATCGAGCACCAGATGGAAGGATTTTACTTTTGAACTACATTGGAGGGGCTACCAACCCTGGGATTTTGTCCAAGGTAAGATAATTTCTCTAAATATGTCTCTGTCATAAATGCTGTGATGTGGAGGTTTAAGAGAAAATGCAGTTCCGAGAAATAAGATGGTGGTGAGGCTGTTGATAAAATGTCCTAATCATAGTGTGAGCTGGAATTTCCTACATTTAATTCAGTCCTGGACAAATCTCCATACTTTCATTTTCTCATTCTAATGCCCTGTTTCATTTTATTATTCACCTTTTTTTTTTTTTTTATTTGCAGACACAGAGTGAACTTGTAGAAGCAGTTGACCGGGAATTAAGAAAGATGCTCATAAAACCCAATGCAAAGGATCCATTTGTACTAGGTGTGAGAGTGTGGCCTCAAGCCATTCCACAGTTCTTGATTGGTCATTTTGATATCCTAGATGCTGCAAAAGGTGCTCTGAGGGATAAGGGCTTGGAAGGGCTGTTTCTGGGCGGCAACTATGTATCTGGTGTAGCTTTAGGCCGGTGTGTGGAAGGGGCTTATGAAGTTGCTGCTGAAGTGACCAATTTCCTTTCCCAGTATGCTTATAAATAGCTTTAGGGTACTTGGGTTATTGTTATGGTTTCTTTGCGGCTGTTCTGTGAAGTTCTTGAGTATATTATTTTGCAGGAGATTTAATTTTTGTTTAGGTCTTCTGGGTCATTTCAAATAATGATAGTAATAATTTCGTCATTTAATACATCTGCTAATTCAATGGTTAGAGCCTCTCCAAATCCACTAGACAATATGGGAAAGAGCTGTTAAATACTATACTCCTGTTTCCTGATCGCGAGTTGGAGTTCCATTTCTTCGATATATATATATAAGAAGGAAAATAACAATAACAAAACGGAGATACTGTATTCTTAGGCTCTTACCCTAATGGTTTCAACGTTACGTGGCATTTCTCACTATGTGCGGATGAAAACCAGATGCTATAGAGAATAACCTAATTGCGGATGGTCACATGGCCGGTGGATATATACGGACAAATTCATATTTGGAGGGTGACATTCCCCCTTAACTGTAAGGCACTTTCAACGTTAGGGAAGCACAAAATTAGGCTATAGGTTGTCACTAGTCTAAAGCGTTGGTGAACTACCAATTGGGCTGGTTGTCTAGAAATATGTAGTGAACTAATTCCACATAAATGTAATAGAAACAAGCCCATAAAGCAAGCCTAATCAAGGGATCATGCCCCACCGTAGGGCCAAATATTAGAGACATACCTAGGTGGGGAAGTATCAAATTTTGACTAATCAAAAGATATTAGCTTAAAAGGCATAGAGAAATGATTACGGAAGAGAAAAAAAAAGGAAATAAGCTTCTGGAGAAGGTAGGTAAAGAAATAAAAATGATAGCAGTAAATGACTTAGAAGTAGAAATACAGAAATAGTGGGTTATTAGAGACCAAAAAGTCTTTGGAGCAAGAGAAAGTCCTAAGATGACCAATCGAAGCAACCCAATGGTAGGGATGGTGGGAGACATTTAACTTTTTCTTTTTTAGCAGTTTTATCTTGTGTTTTAATTTCTAACTTTGTTCTTGTTGGGATTAGTCGTATCTTTAGGTCCAAGCAAGATTTGTTGTTCCCCTTGACGTTAAAGAAAGAAAACATGGTTGCATAATAAAATTGACACGTGAGTTGAGAGATTTGTTGAATCAAGAGTAAATGAAAGAATGTAGTAAAATCTTGCTTTGTGTCTTTTCTTCCTTTTCCCATCTTTTCCTTGTGTTCTGAAATCGAATTGATTGCTTGTCTCCAATGTAGTCTGTCAGGATTTCTTGTTCCCTTCAGGTTAAAGAACATAGGAATATGAAACTTGATTATTAGCAGCAGCCAACAATCGTCAGCCTTTTCAACTTTTATGATGTTACCAAACCAAACCAGCGCAGAGCATAATTCCCCACTCAACATTCAAATCTCTGTTTCAAAGATGGGTCCTTTTGCATTATCAAATAAAATTTTGTTTTCTGAGGTTAGATTTCAAATTCAATAATTTTAACCGTGAATCTCTTAATTTTTATATTAATGGTACTTTTTATCTACCCATCAATCGCACAAAAAAGGTAGAAAATTATAATTATATAAGCAAAAAGAAAGAAAAAATGTAATGAATTGTTTTCAAATTTGAGTATGAAACACAAGGACCATCGAGTGCAGGACATTGAGAGTTTGATTATTATTATGTTTTTTTTGCATCTCCTGTACATTGGGTAAGTTTTAAGGATAAATACAATGTCAGCAATGTCACTATATAGAGCAACAAATGGATAGAGACTCTTTCGCCACTACCAACACTCCCTTAATAATGCAACTGAACCCAAGGCCTCCATGCGCAGCACGATAATCCAATCCATTGAACGTTGATATGAGACTCAGACTGAGTTATAACTTCAATGCTTCTTCCTGCTCTATTTTTGGGTCCCAAATACCGATGCCTTTATGTCATGTTTCAACTCAACATCCATTCAATTGTCCACATTCATTTCTTCAACCCTACCTAACCTTCTAAACTAACTAGTAATCACAGGTTTTTTTTTTTTAATTTTAATTTTTGAAAATCAGTCACTTTGTCAAAAAAAAAAAAAAAAATCTATTTTTGGGTCCCGAATGATACGATGCCCTTTATGTCATGGTTTCAACTCAACATGCCATTCAATTGTCCACATTCATTTCTTCAACCCTACCTAACCTTCTAAACTAACTAGTAATGCAACAGGTTTTTTTTTTTTAATTTTTAATTTTTGAAAAAAATCAGATCACTTTGGTCAAAAAAAAAAAAAAAAAAACTTCTAAATGCTAGTGTTTTCCTTTATCACTTTTTAAAAAAAAAAAAAAAAAAACTTCTAAATGCTAGTGTTTTCCTTTTTTTTTTATTAAAAATATCATCATTTAAATTAAAATACTATTTATAGTTAATGGAGATATAGATAATTCTATATACTAAATGTAAGTAAATTTTTTTCTTTACACTTTATTTGGGAAGAAGGGAAGTAAAATAAGGAGTGAAAGTAAAATAGCAATGGAAAATTTACTATACATTTTCCTCCCGAAATAGAGTGAAAATGGAGTTAAAATGGATTTAAAATAAATTTATTTTACACCCTTCTTAATATTTTATATCAAATCAAATAAGAAATTTTGATAATCTTAATAAATTGAGATTTTTTGGTTCCATATTTAAAGACCAAGACTGATTTAGCACACGAACCACGTTGAATCAAAATTAAGCTCAAAACAGGGATCAATCATGACAACCTAATTTGGCTACTTCTTGCCACGTGTATATGTCGGCCCTAAGAGCTACACAAAAGAAATGCCTGGGCCCACTTTATTTATAAATTGAAACCTTATTTAAGGTGGCGGCTTGTGTTAGTAATTTACTTTGACACTTCAACATTGACAAAAACAAAAAATGGGCAGAGGAGGCTCTACGAGTTCTTCTTCATCTTCATCTTCTCTGTACCCGCAAAACAGAGACCTCAGCACAGATCTTAGGCTTGGCCTTAGCATCTCAGCCTCTCATCAAAGGTCCGATCCTTTCATAACAGTCAAGCCAGGTGTAAAGAAAGCAGTAGCAGCAGAAGAAGAAAATTATTATGAGTGCAATAGTGCAACTTTCTTTGTTAAGGTTTACATGGAAGGCATTCCTATTGGGAGAAAATTAGACCTGTTAGCTCATGATGGTTATCATGATCTAATTAGGACCCTTGATCATATGTTCAACACTACCATTATCTGTTAAGTAACTTCCCTTTTTGTTTATTTATATTAACGTTTTGATATGTCATAACAATATACTTATATATATGAATTGATGCAAAACAGGGGCTGAGATGGATTGTGAACATGCTGAGCAATTCCATGTTTTAACTTATGAAGATAAAGAAGGAGACTGGTTGATGGTTGGGGATGTTCCATGGGAGTAAGTTTATTCATATCAATTTTTTTTGTTTATACATTTTTTTTCTAGAAAACGAGTAGTAATTATTCCTTTATTTTATAGGATGTTCTTATCCTGTGTGAGGAGATTGAAGATCACAAGGGCAGAGAATTACTGATGCTTAGTTTGAGTTTCTGGTCCATCCCATTCTGAAGAAACATGTTTGAGAATGATAGATGTAAATTCCTTTTAACAGAGATAATATGATAGAAGAAGAGAAGATTTTATCTTTTGGGTTGTAAATTGCTTCCTCCATGTTTGTGGTGTGAAATGTGTATATTTATTTTTGTTAGTTATCCTTTCTTTTTATCAAAGATGTTAATTTTGGTACAATTAAATTGAAAGAATTAAAATTTCATTAATCCAGCATCCAAGAACCTTTACCCTTGCATGGCTTTTGCCAATTTGGTTTGGTTTATCCAAAGATTAGCCAGAGGAAGGTATTGGGTCGCAACAGGGGATTTGAATAAGTTCTTGTTTAATGGTGTGCGGAAGAAACCCAAGTTCAAAATATTACACATACCTCGTTATGATAATTCTTATTTAGTTTTAGCTCCCGTCACAAAATATGTTTTAGTTATGGAACCTTCCCAAATTTATTTTTTAACCATGATCCCCAATTTCAAATATTAAAAAAATCAAATTATTATGAATAATCTGATTATCCTTTCGCTTAAAAGTGAATATTCCGTTAATGGAATCGAATTAATTCGATTCCCATATAATCAAATGTATTTTTTATGTAAATTGAATTAGAAACCAAATAGTATAAAAATCATTCAATTATTCCAAATCAAATTTACTTATGTGTAAGGTTGAATATTTGATCATACTCATCATCTATTGTTACATATTTTTAAGAAGTCAAGAGCTGTAAACTTTATTATTTAATTTTGGTAACATTTAAATCAAATATTAATAAATATTATAATATGAAAATATAATTTAGTCTGACAAAGTTTTCTTGCGGTCTGGTACGGGTTTTGTTTTGTGAGACAAAGTAACTAAAGTGAAAGTATAGTTGCAAAATATGTTGGTCGACAAATTCATTCTGGTGATTCTAAAGCATTCATTAACCGTCATAAAAAGATGCACTATATGGTAGAGATTTCGTGGCATTTCTAACCAACTTTATTTATCTTTTTGAGGACCCTGACACTCTTGCCTGGGCTCATTAAATGGCATTTCTAACCAACTTTATTTATCTTTTTGAGGACCCTGACACTCTTGCCTGGGCTCATTAAATAAAGCCATAGAATTTTTTTTTTTTTTTCCATTTTTCTAGTCACAAGCCCTTGATTTTTTGTAATTTAATATTTCAATATAATATAAATCCGAATAGATATTAAAAAAATAATTTATTAAAGCATTTATATTGAAATTTATTGTGAAATTTGATAATTCATTGGCCTAATTAAACTTAATAGAATTGAGGCATGTAAGCAGATCTTGCAATAATTTGGCGGATGCATTTGCCAATAAGGGAGTTGTTAGTTTGGATAGTACCTGAGGTATTTCTAGCTACGGTGTAATTGAGATTTTGATCCTTTTTTTTTTTTTTACTGAAGTTATCTAGGTTAGGTTGAATGTAAATGGATGGCCTAATGACTTAAATAGTTCTTGGATAAATTAAGTTTCTGCTGGACAATAGTAATTTAATAAAAATTATCTTTCTTTTTGCTGATAAAAAAAATTTTGAAAAAAAAAAAAAAAAGGTTCAGGATGTTCTTGGATTTCGTTAACCAAACCGTGTTTTGAACCCAAATCAAGTTTTCCAAATTGATTCCAGCGGGTTTAACCCACTAATGCTGCGGATCCAAACTTTTTGTCTTTGAGTTGTGTCTGAGCCTTGAAAAATAAGCCCAGGCAGCGAATATATAGGCCGGGTCCAACAAGGAAATGCTGGGCCTGAATTTTGTCCATTTCATTGTCTTGCTTGAGGAGCTTGACATTTACAGCTAGTTGATGCAGGAAATCTTAATTCAATAAAGATAATGATAATGGACATTAAAAATTTTTATGTTTGTCAAAATATTATAATTTTTTAAAGAGAAAATGTAGACTTCAAATATGTCCAAAAAATAATTAAATTTAAAATAATAAAAAAATTCAAAAAAACGATCTAATCGAACCAATTAAAAACCAAAAAAAAAAAAAAAAACAAAAATCAGTGTTGACTTTAGAAAAAATGCGTAATGGGTCCATTAAAGTGATTATGAGGATGACCGTTGACCCTATGTCGTTTATCCAATGCAATAAAAAAAAAACATAATTAACAGCAAGATGAAGCTGGTGATAGCGTCTTTGGCTTCGCATTGTCGTCTCTTCTCTTCTGACTTTTTCCTCTCAATCAATTTTTTAATGCACATTCATAGAGGAATCACGTTACTCCAATTAAAACAAGGGCAAACTCCATTATTCTTGCAAAACATATTATATTCATTAGCATCAAACGAAAAGAAATACAAATCTCAGCAGCAATAGACTGCTGTATTATTGTGCAAGTAGATACAAATTTTTTTTACGTTCCTTCAGCTAAAAAGGTTTCTGATTTTCACAATCCAGGTTAGAGCCAGTATTAACGTTAAACAACCCGGCATATCTTTTAAAATATCCAATCCTATCATTTACACGACTATCGTTAGCAATTCCACACTCAAGCCCACCGTTGATAATGTTAGTCACCAACCCATATCCGGCTGTCCGATTTGCTGCCAAGTCAGCTTTTGTAGGAATGTATTTTCCCACCATGACATTGTGGCAAGAGGGGATCGGCTTCCGCTCTGTCATCCAAAACCAAAGCGCTGTTTTGAATGCTATTATGGAGTTGTTAGCTACTATTTCTGGGTTCCTCAACCCATCGAACCCTAACGCCTTGCCCGCCGGTCCATAATTGAAATTCCTGTCATAATATAATTATAGTAATATGTTATAAATAGATGTATATTTTGGAAAATGGAAAATAAATAAATTACCAACCAAGAGAGTTGGATGGGTCCTCTTCCTTTATATGATTTTCCAGGGTAACAAGGCCATTGAGTATTCGTTGAGTCGCAGTAATCAGACTGAGGACTAATTTCCTCTTTGAAGCATAAACCCCATGCAAATGGACCGTCAGGTGCAGTTGGCCACCCACCGGTGGTTTCATGGGATATTTGGCCAAGAAAAGCTGCAATTTCTCTCTTTCTTGTAATCAAAATTCCTGTGGTACCAAACTTTGGGAAGCACCTTGTTGCTTTAATGAAAGAATCGTAGGTGAAGAAATCTTTAGCGGGGCAAGCGCTGTCGTCCTTGTGTAGAAAAATAGCGTCATAGAGGTCTTTGCTGATAAGAGAAGAGACAGGAATCAATTTCCTGGCTTCTGCTTTACAGGATACAAAGGAGAATATAGTAGAGTAAACAAGGAATATTGAGAGGAGAAATGTAAGAGAATCAGTTGTTGCCATTTCTCTTGTTAAGGTGGTGGGAGCGAACAATCCTTTCTTCCGATATATATATAACTGGAGTCTGAGATCATATTTGACCACATTATGATCTATAAGAATTTGTCTAACTCTTATCTATTTTGACTAGTCAATCCATATGGGTTGACTTGGCCTTCGCCTTCGTTGCTTGACATCCACTGAACTGTGAAAGTGGAAATGTCGACACCAAGCACAATAATATATATATTATACTTGCCGGCCGTTAAATTCTTAATCCTTTAATATTCAAAATATGAACCACATTCACACAGAGTGCTTTTATATGGGTTTGAACCCGCGGAAGTTGAGATATGACGTTCTAATTGGGCTCCATTTTTAATCCTGGGCTCGGCCATATACCTGAAACAATTTCCTTTTTTTCTTTAGTTCAACCACTTAATAAGCCCACAATGATGGGCCTCAATCATGTTTGACAAAAGCGCCATCTTATTGATAAACGCATATAACTAGTAATAAGTGTTCGAAATGTCATCGGACGACGCGTGTAACTGTAAATAAATTAAATGTTTGTGTTATTGCTTAATTTAATCACCTTAATTTTTCCTCAACCGATTTATCCAAACCAAACCGTAATTTTTGTCGTCAGCTGCATTCAATTTGAAACCCTCAAAGGTAAAGGAAAGCAAGTACAGTACTAGTTTGTAGAAGCGGCACTTTGTACTTATTTTCTACTTTAATTAACCAGTGTTGTTGAACTTTTTATTACAGTATTTATTTATTTCAATGTCACGAATAGATGAAATAGAACGCAGGAGGAAAAAAAAAATGAAAAAACAAATTTAGTTTATAAGAAATGAGAGTCAAGGGAAGAAATGAATACTCTGACATTAATGATGAAGGAGATGGCACTCTATTGATTTTATAAAAGTGAGACTAAGTGCACTTGTGTCTAGTCATAATCAAATTAAATATCACGACCATGTAGAGGTAATTAAATTAGTATCATGGGTTGAATATATCATAAATCAAATTAAAAATATCACGACATGTAGAGGTAGTTATTAAATTAGTATCATGGGTTTGAATATATTATATATATTATATATATATATATATATATATATATTATTTTTATATATAGGAAATTATAAATATATATATTTTATATATAGGAAATATAAACTAAAAACAAACACGATATCTTAAATTTAATTAGTAAAGTTTCTCGCCTTAAATTAAAAAAAAAAAAATACACGGGTAGAATTTCATTCACTTTAATTTTATTTTCTTGTTTGTTGTTAGTCTTCCCTGTATATATTTAATGAACCTAATAAAAGAGATCAAGGAAGTTGATGATGGTAATTAAGGCATAGCTAATGAGCAAGAACTAGTAGTTAATGAGCTAGTTAGGATTAGGTAAAGTCTGCCTCAGCCTGAAAAACCAGTAAAGCCAAAGGACAAAATAGGCTGCCCAAAGAATTCAAATTGAATCAAACAGCAAAGAAATTAAGACAAAACCCCTTTAATTGCAAAGTCTAAAAGATTGAAAATGAGGATATCAACTTGCTTATCTCAATCTTTTTCTTTCCCTCAACAAGTCTACAAGCTTGAAAACGAGTATACCAAATTACCAATTCACCTCTCTCTATAAGGGTCGCTCCTTTTTCAACGCCCTGCATCAATAAGAGATTGGCCCATTTTGATAGGTGACACCCCCCAGTTGGGCCCCACTTCAAACGTGACTTTATAGGGAAAAAAGTCACCTCTCTTGTTGGCTAATGGAAAACGACAACAAAACCAGAACGGAAAATGGTAACCAAATTGCAAAAGGATTTCTTTGTCAGTTTCCAATCACTTTAGATGAGTTTTACACGGAACCCAACCCTAATTCCTGGCCTCCCAATCAAACCCTCTTTATCCTTTTTGTATTTACTTATTTATCTAACAAATTAAATTAATAATATATTTGAAGCCATACATATATTATGCCAACGCAAGTTGACCACAAGTTTTGAAACTAACCCTAATTTTAGAACTTAAGACACAAAGTTAACAGCTTTTTTTTTTTTTTTCCTTTCATTATTTTTAAAGAGGTCAGTCATGAAAATATTCTATCAGTCCATAATAATAGTTTGGTTTAATTTCGACACAAAAACTTTAAACAAAAATGTTTGATTCCGTAAAATATAAATTATTCAAAATTTACGTTAACGGTATGCAGGGGGAAGGTTTTGGAGGCGTGAGCGGTGGGTAGCCATAGGGAGAGGGCACTGCACGGGAAGCTTGGGTTTGGAGTCTGTGGGATGTAGCCAGGAAGACTGAACAACGTGGGGGCAAAGGCGAGTCATGCCCTTCTGCTTGGGTCATTTCATTTATTTACAGGTATCTGACTGATCCTCGTCATTTTCTTTTGCAAATTGTAAATATGAAATTTTCTTTATTTTTCCATTTAATTTTTGCAAACACGTAAAGAAAAAAGGAAAAATAATTAAAATATGTTTATTATTATTATTATTATTATTATTTTGGGCGTAAGTTAAGACCGGCTTGGTAAGCTGAGTTAATGGGACGCCGATTTATTTTTACTTGCCTCCCAAAAATTTCGTTTGTTTTGTGTTGACTTAAAAGCAACCACGTTGCGTGTGACTTGCCCACGACCCATAATCCCTTTAATTGCTCCTCTAAGAATCTTCTCCTAAACCCTATCTATACTATTAGCCCATAGCTGCCGCCTATCTTCATATTATTCTTAATTTCTTACCAGTATGTATAATCCTTTTGTTAATTATTAATTAGTTTCTTTTTTATTGTATATTTTCAATTCGTAACCTTATTGAAACCCTCTGTTAAATTCTTTTACAGATCGTTAATTATTTAATTTCATGAAACAATAAATTGTGGTCAACTTTAGACATTAAAATTAGATTTTTATTTTTCTTGGCCGCTAATTAATAAATAAGGTATCTCATGATTTGGTGGGAGTAGTCATACAACTCATAACCACTGCATTTATTTTTTCAACAATATTATTACCCTTCATCACCAAACTGTTAATTTTATTACATTTGTTTTAAGAAAAATTGTTAAGCATATTTTATTTAAAGACAGAAAATTATAAATATTTTCGAGGCATCGATCGTTTTCAAAATTATGGATACAGAAAGAAGAAATTATGATTATTTTAAGTAAGAATCATTGACTTGTAGATATCCTTCACATGGAAATTATAGAGCAAGACTTTGTTTTCTTCCGGAGAGGTGGAGGAGAGAAGCAAACCTGATGTTTATTCTCTCTGCTTGTATCTTCTACCATTGACCCAGCTTTTTCCACATCTTGACCAATTAAACTGAGATTTTTTTCAATTAAATTATATATGATTATTGTTGATCAGCATGATTTTTTATGTGATGACAACACAAGTTATTTAAAAAAATAATAATAATAATTTAGTGTATTATTTATATATTAGGTCATAATTAATAATTTTAAATTGATTTACTCAAATTTGGAATTTAAATTGATGTACTCAAATTTGGAAGCGGTCTACTTTGGTCATTGTTGACAATTACCTAAACTGACATATACAAGTTTCATTTTTATATTAAGCAAATGATCGAGACATTTAGAATTTAGCATAACTGGACACACACACACACACACACAGTTCAACATTTATATTCTAGATGGGGAAAAAATTTTTTTCTTCTAGTGCATTAACCCTTTTAAGTAAAGTAAATTATATTAATTTATAAATAATATTTGTTTATCTGGGAACAAACAAGGTTAGTTTTTTGTTAACCAATCAGGTAATCACAAGACATACCACCTTAATTCCTCACGTTGAAAGGTTTATTAATATATAATAGAGGGGTTACTAGAAGAATTATAATTTACTCGAAAAATGCTGTAAGTTTTATTATTATTATTATTATATCTTTTTTGTCAAATCAATCGTCATCAGTTTTATTGGCAGGTGGATAAATGAAATTCGGAGAAGATATAGATAGATTATCATGTGGTTTCACACATTGATTAAAAGAATATATAAATTTTTTTTTTTATATTTAAATTTTATGATTTGTTTCATTTAATACCAAGAATTTTATTTTGAGAAAATTCAAATTTATCTAAAATTGGAATGCCTTTGATGTAGATGCAATAGATGTCTCGACCTCTCCAAATTTTGTTTTGGTTATCCTCATTAATTATTCAATATATTCAATTTGAACTGCTTAATTATAAATCAATTATAAAATCTCTAATTGAAGAAAACTGATAGAATAAAATTAAAAAAAAAAAAAGAAAGAAAGGAAGAAAAGATATGTTTTTTATTTTATTAGCATTTGAAGGAAGATTCTCAAATCTGAAGCTCCTACTCCTAATTAAAGATAGATGCTTGCTGTTAGTAGTGCTGAGCTAGTCCATATCTTTTGACATAATATTCTTACACATTATGAGTGCGGCAGGAAATTTCTCATTCTTTTCCTCATAATCGCTTTATTTTCAAATGAATTTCTTCGACATTTACTAATAAAAAAATCAATATTTCAAATAATTTGGCATTCACTTTTCCTTTTTCGGATTGTAAAACGTGTGTATATATATATATATATATATATATGCTCCTTTATTTATTTTATTTAAAGTCAAAATTTACTGCTTAATTATCATATAATTAGAATTATGCAATAAACAGTAGCTACTAATTTGATGCAAAACAATATTTGATTATACACTTTTGGAAAAATATATATAAATAATGAAACCACGTGTGGTTGACATGATGAATATATAGGATGAAGTTGAAATTTACCAGAATTTCATTACTCATTTTGTACTTATTGGCATCAAAAAACCATTTATCAAAGATTGGACATTCCAACTGTATCCTTATTCCCACTTTTTCCCTTTGGTTTTGACTCCGTATACCCTTTCTAAAAGCGCTTAATTATAAAATAAATAAGACCTTTTATAACATAAATTTGAAGTTTACACTACTTCTCTTGTCCAATTCTATTTATCTCACAAGCAAATGTTTTTCTACCTATTTAAAAATTAGAAAATTTAATCATATAATAAGAAAATTATTTATTTTTATTAAATGAAATGAAATAATTGAAGAGGTAAAACAAGGGAAAAAAATAATTAAGACGGACGGTTACAGCAGAGTCGAGCTAGGTATGCTGAGCTATCAACGAAGGTCTTTAATTTCCTTTGTTGACGTGGACAAGGGAAAAAAATGACGTGTTGGCGTTGGCTTTTTAGGGCTTTTTAAGTCAGTGGGATTAGGTATTTTCTCTATGTGAGTTTGGGACCCATCTCTTACTCTAACCACCGTCAGATGCAACCGTGCCGTCAACTTAGTTGACCAAAATACGACGTTCTCCATCTCCACTTGGACTCTTCGATCCCATCGCTCTTCAAAAATGAAAATCCTTCTCCGTCATCTTTAACGGAGCCAAAGTCTTCAATCCCTACCGCTCCGCTACTGTGTGCTAAGCGCAGCCGTGTGTTCTCTTCTCCTATATCGCCACGTGTACTTCTCCTCAACGGTGATGTCATTTCTCCCGCGAAAAAAACGGCTGGTCTTTAGTATTATTTTTGGACCCCCTCATATCTATCTCAACTAAGTTTAACAAAGAACGAAAGTCACATTATAAATAATTTAACCCTCTTGGAAACCCTGTACAACTACTCCCTCTCCTTTTACTCATGGAAAAACAAGGACGGGAATTGAAATTCTTGCACTCCGGCGATTTTCTCCGGCAGATTCCAGGCGTTTCTGATAATTTAACCGATCATTCCTTCGCAGGCCAGTCCAGGATCAAAGAAGTGGATTTCTTCTCAACCGATATTTCCACTGACAAATCCTCCCGTGATCAAGAAATGAAGGATGGATCATCGCCATCAGCTCTTGTTGATTCTGGGATAAATGTAAGTTTTTCAATATTTCTTTCTTCACACTTTTAATATTTAACTATATATGCTTGTGACTTGTGGAAGTAATTTCAGGTTTTCATTAATAGCCATATATAGAGAGAGTATTAATATAATCATGAATTTTTACTTGTAATTGAATTTAATTAGTTGATGTGTTTCAGACTGGACTGAATCTCCTGATTTCGAGCTCTGGAATTTCGGAAACTGAAAATGGAAATAAATCCAATAATGAAGTGAGCTTCCATACACTGTTTTTTTTTTTCCCATATCATAATTATTTAAATTTCCTTTGTTGTTAAAGGATTGGAATTCGGCTTTTGCAGATGACGAGACTACAAGCGGAGTTGACGAGACTTCATGACGAGAATAAGAAGTTGAAGAGCATGTTAGATCAGATTACCAGAAGTTACAAGGAACTGCAAGCTCAGCTACTTATGGCAATGCGAAAACAGGCACATGGGAATCGGCGAGAGCAGGTGAGATTTTTTTATTGTTTTTATTTTACCTTTACTCCTCTAGGTTTAATTAAAGAGAGCAAATCGAATATCATTATCCACAACTGACACAATATAAAAATTGAAAATAATATCTGTAAAATAAAGAAATCGGTAACGTGCATCTCTTGAATTGGAAACTGTGCTTTCTTGATCCAGTATCGCCTTTTCAATTCTTAATACCCATCTTTTTGCCCAGTTTAGTTCTAAATCCACCTAAAGGAAGCAAAAAAGTTCTGTCTTCCTATCTTAGTTAAGTAATTTCCACTGAAGTAGGCATCTTCTTTATTAATCAATTCAATTACGTGTTGGTGCAGGATTGTATTCACCCCCAAGCATCCCAGACCTAAATATTTATCCCAAGCTATCTTTCCTGAACAATTTTTGATAAATATATAGGATTTTTTATTTTAATTATATTTTGATACAGAAAGGAGAGATGAATGGGATTTCAGGTCCTATAATGTCAGCCCAACAGTTTATGGACCCACGCCCATCTGCCACTTTGAATGTAAACGATCCTTCAGTATCTGATGACAAGGCAGAAACTGCGTCGGTTTCTCCAACAAATACTACTACTGAAGCTATGTCTCAAATAAATCCAGGCAAACAAGCTTCCACCACAGAGGATGCTCTTGATCAGACTTCGCAAAGTTGGGGATCTCCAAAGAGTCCAAGATTGGAACAACCAAAAGGTGAAGAACAAGTCAATGATCATGTCCCTTTCAGGAAAGCTAGAGTTTCTGTTAGAGCGAGATCAGAGGCTCCTTTGGTAAACACCTAATTAATTATGCCCAAGAATTATATGCATAGTGTAGTAATTTTATTTTTTACCTGTTAAGAAATTAAATTTGTTGTAGATCACGGATGGTTGCCAATGGAGGAAATATGGTCAAAAGATGGCTAAGGGCAATCCTTGTCCACGTGCATACTATCGTTGCACCATGGCTGTTGGATGCCCAGTCCGCAAGCAGGTAAGTAATTATCGAAAACTTTCAAGACGTTAAATTTTTGAATTAGTTAACTACAAGCTTTGTTTGATCAATAGGTTCAAAGATGTGCAGAGGATAAGACCATTTTAACTACAACGTATGAAGGAAATCATAACCATCCACTTCCACCGGCAGCTGCAGCCATGGCTAACACTACCTCAGCTGCTGCAGCTATGCTTCTTTCAGGTTCAACTATGTCCAAAGAAGGGTTGTCATCGAGTAATAGCTTTTTCCCTTCTTTACCCTATGCATCTACAATGGCTACTCTTTCTGCTTCTGCCCCATTCCCTACTATAACTCTCGACTTGACTCAGAGTCCAAACCCTACACCTTTCCTTCGCACTCCTCCAACAACCACATTTCCTCTTCCTTTGCATGGCTATCCACAGCTTCTAGGTCACCCTATGTATGTTTCAAATAATAAGCTACCAGCAGCCGCAATTCCACCGGTACAATTAGGGCAACGGCATGCCTCTATGGTTGAGACGGTTACTGCAGCCATTGCTTCTGACCCAAATTTCACAGCAGCTTTGGCTGCAGCCATTTCCACAATTATCGGCAACCAAAGGAGCAATGACGGAACCGACAGCAACAACAATGGTCCAAACGGGATAACCGGAACGCCTGGGTCTCCACAACTTCCTCATTCTTGCACCACTTTCTCCACCAATTAGGGCGGCTGGCTTTTTGAGCTCTTCTATAGCTTTTGGGTCGAAGATTTTGAAATTAAAATCTTTCTTTAAAATGTTGTTGATATAGGTGCAACGGTGGGGCGAAGAGATAAATTTTGGCATAATCACACTATAAATAAATTTAAAAAAATAATTAGGATGTATCTTTAGATGATACAAAAATATTAATTTTGTACTGTATAATATTGTTAATGCAGGTAAATTTTACACTGTGTTATTACTTGATTAAGTATGTGAAGCTTTTGAAAGCGTAGAGTGGAGTGTAAGAATTCATGAACTGATCCATGTACAAAGACTAGAATGGAATGTTTTTGTTAAAGAAATATTTTTATACGTATAAATATTGTAAAATATGTACAGAAACAATTCTTGCTTGCACCTACTGCATATATATACGATTAGAGCAGGATATTTTATGACAATTTTTTTTTTTCTCGCTGATAATATCATAATTGAAGGACATACATAAATGAATCCTCTGGTTGGAAAGCTTTACCACATCGCTATTAATTAGTGTATTGTTATTATTGGGTTGCAGGAAGTTAGTATAGAGCTTCATTAATTGTACATTGCACTTCCAGCTAATTATTGTATACTTATGTTGAAGTGAAAGAACTCTACCTGCAATATTTTATTTATTGGCATTGTTTTGCAGAATCAGGTATGTTAGAGATTATGAAAAATAAAATAATCTTATGGTATCAAAATGAAGTTGATAAAACAAATAGTTGATTTATTGAAATCTTGTAGCTCTCTTATTTGGATTTACAAATACAAACTAATGTACTAAATTTTACTTGCAATCTAGTAATTAATAACAAATACAAAATAATGAGATTGTTTAATTAATTCTTAAAAATAAAAATTTCAATTTTATAAAATTGCACTAAAGTATAAAGAACCCAAATTTATATTACTTGAACTTTGGTGATATGATGTGCCTGTTTCAACATTATTGGAATATGGACATCCATTATTTACGTATAAAAAATCCAACTTGGCCATTGCTGTGATGTGTCTCAGATAAACCAACGGCCCAGGTTTTCATATTAAACACATAGGCAAAGTAGCAACAGCCTCAGGTTATTTGACTCTGCAAAAAGATTACGTGGCCATTGGCAGGAGAGATAAAAAAACTATCGAAGCCACAAAAAGAACTGTCTAAATTCAATGCACCTAATAGTTATCAAGAACCAGGGACGTCACTACGGCCAAGTTCAATTACAGAGAAAGGCTGCTTCCTGCAATCATGTCAGTACTGGAAATTCCTCTCGGTGCGCTCATTATTCACTTTGATTTTTTGTATATATAAATACATAAAAGGAACTGTTGCCACCATTTTCTTAGGCATAGATCTTGTATCTCTTGCAATGGCGTGTGTTTGTTTGGGGTCACCTTGAGTTCCTCCTGCTGCTTCAGTGCTAACTGGAGATTAATTTATCCGATTTACTGAAGAGTTTGGAGGAACTCTGGGTGCTGCCAAACTTGTTTTTTTATATTTATAGTTATTCTTCAAATATCATTCCCAACTGGTAAGTTATTCCTATCTCTTATATCATTTATCTATAGATTTTGATTGAACTATTCTCATATACTAACAGGGGACGGAGCTGGCCTTTAAAATTAGGAGGCCAAAAAAGAAGTTAGAGTGGACAAAATGGAGAAATATTTTTTTTCATTATTTTGTAAAATAGATAAAAAAAAAAAAATTCTTGAACCTTTACCTATCAGTAAAAGTGTATCGCATTTTAGACAAGAGCCGTGAAAATCTTAAAATTGGTATGTACAAAAATCTTAATGTTAACTTTTTCCCCCTCAAAAATATGATATTTACTTCATTTTACCCAAACAAATATAAAAATAATATAATGATTGTGCAAGTGAAAAATAACAAGAGAAGTTTTCTGAATCTAACTAACCCAACAATGATTTTAAATGGGCTTGTAAGCCTAAACTAAAAGCCCACCAAGTAACGCTCTTACTTGATAAAAAATACACTGGAATAAAAAAGCCCAGCCAACCAAGGGGTCCACATATTTCTTCTCCCTCTCCTTCACATAAAGAAACAAAAAGTTTATCCATATATTATAAAAGCATTTTAATAATATGCAACGACCTGGTAATAGAATGACACTGAGTCGGAAATTTAATAATTTCTATTATATATTTTTTTACTAAAAAAAGAAAAAAATATTGCGACTCTATGTTTAGAATAATTCTTCAGAAGTAAATCCATTTGTAGCTCAATTTCATTGGGGATTTCTAGAAATTCAGAAATTCTAAACCGAAACTATTTATTTTGACATGGGCCTTTCCATTCAAATGAAACTGACATAGCTTTAACATTTGGGCTTACAGTTAAAAATCAGATCCACTAACCTATTTGCATCTAAACCGATAGATATTAGGTCCCACAGATTGACAGTCCAGATGAGCAAAGCCAGGTCGGCTAAGGTCAGGTGTGTGAATGGGGCCCTGCAAAACTCCATTAGTTAAACCGTGAACCGTCAGATCGTCTTAGATCTGCAAGTCGCCGTTCAAATTTCAAACCGCTTTCAGTAGTCGACCGTTGGAGTGAGAGAGTCCTTCCATTTCTTTTCTGTGTAAACTTCAAGACAAAAACCAAACAAGATAACAAGATAGCTTAATCCTTTACAAAAGTACAGTTTTGGATTGTTAAATTATAAACCGCAATCTCTTTGAAAGAGTGAATCCAAAAGGAAGATTGTCTAACAAAGAAAACAATGAGGCGCCATGGCTGGCAACGCCCTCTCCACCCTTTGCAGGTATACACTCAGATTCAGGTTGCTATCATTCGGTCTAATTAAAGCACCTCAATAGGTTTATAGAATTATGTGCTTTGTTCTTGCTCATATGTTAAAGACTTCTATTATTTTTATTTAAGCACAGTTCTTCTTTTATATAAGCTAGTTTTTCTGTTTTATTTTTTTCCCTCATGGAATTGATTGAAATGCATGATTACCCATTTGCTGAAATCGTGAATTCTGCATAGCAGATAGTGGGAATGGCAATTTACAGTTTCCTCGTCGTTTCCTTTTATACATTTCTCGGGCTCTTTCTTGGAAACAGAACTGCTGAAATCACAGCCACGACAATATTTTCGTTTGTGGTAATGTATCAAAACAAGCTCAAATATGTCAATTCTTTATCAATTTAACATATGTTTGATCAAAATTTGTTGCTTTGTTTTTCAGGCAGTTTCAGTTGTGTTCTTATTTATTAGATGCACAGCCATCGACCCAACTGATAAAACCAGCTTTAGGAAGAAGAAGAAAGCTAAATCCAATAAGTTTAATTATGGGTTTATCTTGAGTCAAATAGTTGTTAGGTTTTTTAGAAGGCTGGAGAGGAAAATTCTCAGGAGTTTTATAAGAAGAAACTACTTGGATCCACTGAAGACCACAGCTCAAATGGAACCATTACTTCCATTTCCCCTTGTCTTCAAGGATGATTCAATTTCACCTGATCCTAAGGACGATGAAATCTCTTATTGCTCACTATGTGATTTTGAGGTTAGACAAAACATAATCGTAGGTCATAAGATTTTAATTGAAGGATAATTAGAGAGAAATGCTTCTAGAATTATACAATGAGCGTGATTTTGTCTTGGTTTTACTGAGTACAAATTATATATTTGTCTCAGGTGAAGAAGCATAGCAAGCACTGTAGGACCTGCAACCGGTGTGTCGAGGGGTTTGATCATCATTGTAGGGTAAGAACTTATTATTATTATTAAATATGATATTGGTTGTCTCCTACCTTTGTTTTTGATAAATACTTGTTTTGACAATTGCCACAAAACTTACATGAACTTTGTGGTCCAGTGGTTGAACAATTGTGTTGGCAAAAGGAACTACACAACATTCATTCTTTTAATGCTATGTGTCTTGTTAATGGTAAGAACCTGTATTTCTTCCAGATCTCAGAAACCAAACAGCTATGTTAATAATGGAAATGGAAATGTACTTACCTTTTCTATAAATAATTGTTGTCTCTACAGTTAATCATAGAAGGGGGAACTGCAATTGCCATATTCATCAGGTGCTTTGCAGATAAGACAGGTATAGAGAGCGAACTGCTGAGGAAACTACATGTGCACTTCCCGAGATGGGCTCTTGCCACAATATCGGTAAATAGACAGTTAATTTAGATCCTGTTTTATTATCTGCTTTTGTACTAATTATTTCAGAGTGACACAATGTTACAGGTTTTGTTGGTTTTAATGACTGCTTATGGTTCAGCTGCCATGGGACAACTTTTCTTCTTTCATGTTGTTCTCATTCGGAAGGTAATCATAATCTATGATATTCTTTGAGTTTGGTTAGTGGGGTAAAGGAAGTATATTGGAAATCAATTATGAATTCTGCAGATTTTATTGTATATTTTGGCAGTTAAGTATAAAGTCTTATTCCTATAATTTGCTCATGTAGGGAATGAGGACTTATGACTATATCTTGGCTATGAAAGAGGAGAATCAATCAATGGAATTAGATCCTTTTGATGACTCAGATTTCTCTTCAGACTCTGATTTTGACTCTCCTGAAAAGCCATCATTTGTTTCGCGGTTTATATGCAGAGGACATAAAGGAAATCTGGTATATATTACTTTTGCAATATAATTATGTGCTTTAAGCAGTTTAGAAATAAGCAGCAGAACATTCGCAATAACCGGTTCATAATTTATATTCAGAACCAAACAAGGCTTTCGATTAGGATTGATAAAGATCCCGAGCCTTCAACCTTAAACAAGAAACAAGGCTTCTATGTAAGTATCAATCCGTGGAAGTTGATAAAGCTAAGCAGAGAGAAAGCTCTACTAGCAGCTGAAAAGGCAAAAGAAAGGCTCAGGAAACAAATACCAATAGTGCAACAAGATTCATTAAAGCCATTACCTTTGGAGACAAAATGTGGACCTTTGATGAACCCAGATAAGAACATAAGCAGTGCAGGAGCAGGCTCAACACCTCTTATTTCCAAAGGGACAGGTTCGCCAGGAACATTTTCAAGTCCAAGAAGGCGATTTTCTGGCATTGCTCCATCGCCAAAACAGAAGTACAGAAATAGTTTTGACTTGAAGCTGACTGAGGTCTCCAAGGAGCTTGAAACCTACATTTCAAAGCAGGTTTTATGTTCTGTTATAAGGAAGGATGCTTATGAGGCATCTCCTAGATAAATTATTATGCTCGAGTTTGAAATTCTCAGCCTTTGAGAAAAAATTCATTGATTGATTTGAGGGTGCATTCTGGCCAAGTTTGCATTTTTTGTTCTTTCCTAATGAAATTTCAACTAACACTTGTATGTTTGACCTTTTATACAAATTTAAATTAATTACCGATCATTCAATTCAAATTCATCCTCCAGTAGACATTTTAGAAATTGCGGATTTAAGATGTGCTTGTATTATGGGAGAAAACATGCATGCTATCTGTGTTGTTTTTGTACAAGTACCTGGAAGTCATGGAACCTAGAGGTATTTTGGCTGTTTTAGAGGAAACTAGATACCAAAAAGGTACCGACGGCAGTAATAGATGGTCCCTTACCTCAATTCGTCCCTATTATCATGTATAGAGAATAAGTAAACAAAGTGACAAAGTGCATTTTATTGCTGAAAGTGAGATTTTTAGAGCTAATTTTATCATTCCAGGAAGGCAACTTTCCAGGAAATAGGCTAGACCAGCCTCATCAGTTCACAAGAAAGTGGGATTGAAATGAAATTGAAGAAAAGAAACCCAAAACAAAATTAAACATATAAAGACGAAAACATAAAGAAAGAGAGATTAGAACAAATAAACTCATTCTATTTTCACTTTCTGATAAATCACTCAATTATTTGTTACTGCACACAAAGTTACAGGAAAAATCATTTCTCAATATTCTCTCAGAGTCAACAACAACAAATCAGCGACTTCACTCAACTCTATATGTCAGGCAAATAATTTCTTCTCCATGGCAATGAGCAGCCGTGTTGAGAAATGACAAGAATCAAAATTTGAACTAATTGACCATTCACAATCGAAGGTGTTTTGACCACCGAACAAATATGAAGCTCAATGAATTTACCAAGACAGCAACCAGGTACCTCTGTTTCGATTACTTGAATTCACTAAATGACTTGATAGATGGTAACAATCAGAGTAATGATCAGGGTAGATACTCTCCCTGAGAGGCTCACAAGTTTCTGGAGAAACTGAGTCAGAATATCCTTGAACGTACGAACAGTTCCAGGGAGAATTGGAGGTCACATTGAGGGTTATGTTCGATAAGCAGATGTCAAGAAAAGCGTCTGCTTGAATGCCATCTAGAATGCCTGCATACTCTATGTTTTCTCCTGTGACATCTTCAATGGTTATCCGTTCTACAATTGGTAGAGCTGCAGGATCATAATGCTCGTCCGGGTGTTCCCCATAAAGACCAGTGAACCTTATAGCAATTTTAACATCAATTAAAGTTATATTTGATACATGAATATTTCTCACATAACCACCCCTTCCTGGAGACGTCTTTATCCTAATACCTGTACTTGAATTGTAAAATTGGAGATTTTCAGCATGAACTTCTGATACACCTCCAGACATCTCACTTCCAATTGACAGCCCTGCACTACTTCGAGTTTGTCCAATAAGCCGGCGAATAATAATGTTTCTGCAAGGACGGCCATATGATATGCCATACTCATCCCACCCACTTTTGATGGCGATTAGATCATCACCAGTGCTAATGAAACAGTCCTCGATGCAAACATCATCAGAAGAATCTGAATGCATTTAAATGAATGGTAAGCACCCTAGTAAGGTACTTGGAACAAGTTACTGAAAAATGATCAAGCAAAGTTGAGGCTGCTGCTGTGGAGGGAAGATTTCTTAGCCCAAGCAAGGAACTTACAAAAACTTATTGCTCTTGTTTAAACCACACTTGTAGAACTAGTGTTTTTCCTATATAATTTGCATTTAAAACTATAGCATCCATCATTCATAAATGTACAAATGAAAAGATTCCAGCCTAGCAAAGAAATTTACCTGGATCTATCCCATCTGTGTTTGGTGAATCAAGAGGTGCACGGATTGTAACATTTTGGACAATGACTTGGCTGTTCATCCAGAAAAACAATCTCAACTCTCCCCCTAAGCATGAAAGTTTCACTTTTGCACAGTTTTATATGGTACTGTAAAAACTTCAAGTCCAACAGAAAAGGAGGAGAAATGCATTATAATCCAGTTAGAAGGACAAACCTGCAGTAAACAGGGTGGATTGTCCAGAATGGTGAATTTATGAAGGTCAGGTTTGAGATGACTATCCCAGATGAGTTCATTAGCTCAACCAAATGAGGCCGGGTAAAGTTCAGGGTTTCGGTTTTGAACCAATCCCACCAGATGCTGCCTTGACCATCAATAGTTCCATTATCACCTGCATGGAGGAGCCAGTGATGTTACAAAAGCAAACAAAATAGACATGGAAATTAATCCTTCATTCACGTCACCAACCTGTTATAACAACATCTGTCAAATTGCGACCATAAATGAGGCTTCGATGCCTCCTACCAAGCAATTCCCTCCCTCGGCCATATGATGGTAGAGGATCAACAACTGGCCAATCATCAGAATTCTGGAATTGGCAGGTCAACGTTTTCTTTTAATATTATCAGCCAAAATATTATAACTATGGCCCTAGAGTCACAAAAGATAGCACAGTCCTATCAGACTAGGGGCTCAACTTGCACAAGTGGATAGCAACGAGTCACCAATAATCACATTTCGACTCCATGTAGTCATAATTTATTTAAGTTCAAGACAATGACAATTTCCCTGGGCATGCACATTAATTCTTAGAATCCCTCATAATCTATTCCTAGCTTAGATCAACTACAAACAGGTCAATCACCATAAATAAATTGCAGAAAACTGGCAATAAACAACATGCATATTTCCTCTGGCATGGAAGTAAGAACTTACAGTTGATCCAAGAATCACTGCGTCCTTATCTAACCACAATGTCAAATGACTGATGAGATCGAAACTGCCTGTCAACCACCGGCCAGCTGGGACAAAGAGCTTAGCTCCACCCTTATCAGCGAATGAATTGAGATAGAAAAGAGCATTCTGAAATGCTTTAGTGTTGAGAGTGACGCCATCACCAATAGCACCAAATTCAGTAATAGTGACACTATGAGGCCGAATATCTGCAGACTTGGCCCTTTTGCAATGTGAACTGCCCATGATAAGCCATGGAAGATCACTGAATAGTGCAAGAACGAGAAGCACATCGACTAGCTGAAAGGGAAAATGAAAGAGAACGAAAAAATAAATATCTAACTAACAGAAGAATGAGATCTGATTTGAATGTGGGGTTTCGCTCTTTTTCTATTTGTTCCCCCTTTTCCTTCTTAATAATGCTGAGCAGTGATGTCTACTTATATGCTATACATATTGGGTAACTGTGTTAACATTGATTATCTAACAAACTCAGAAGCTAATCAAGAAATACAGAAAGGCCAGCAAGAAAACAAAAAATATAGCATCAGAAAAGTAAAAAGAGCTTCAAAACACAATTCAAATGAAATATTTCAGGATTTGATGACATATGCGAGCCAGATGGGTATAAAAAGCTGACCAGCTGAGCTACATTCTGTCAAAAAGGTAGAAAAGAAGAATAACTCAAAGCCCAGTTCATTATCAGATCCCGAGAATTTGCTTTTATTTTCATATAGGCTGTGTAATCTGCGACTGAGTTAAGTTCATTTAGAGACTCGGCTATACATTTTCTTGTACTCTTATTCTAAATCCCCTCTCTATACAGAAAATGCGGAATCAAAACAAGGAAACAAGAATTGGTAAAAGTAACTTACAGTAAAAGATCTCCTCATATGACTGAAATCTGCTGTTTCCCGTTAGAGCCAAGACACCAAAAGAAAGGAGCTTAATTTTCACCTTCCTTGCCAGAAAACAAATACCACCAACAAACAAGAAATTCCCTCAAAAATAAGAGAAGGAAATGAAGTTGATAAAGATAGGGCAGGGATCTTGATTCTTGATCACCGAGATCTCCCCCAAAGCAATGTTTTGCAAGTGTGTGTATTTGTGTCTGTAAGTATAATTACTGAATATTAGATATTGAGAGAAACCACCAAAACCAACCAAAGAAGAAAAATCATTGACAGTGACCGTTGCTGCCAGCCAAAAATCAAGCAGTAGGTCCCCCTTGTTCCTTCACCTGCTCCTCCATTACTCTCTTTCCCCTGTTTCTTCTTCAAGATTGCACTCTCAACCCAAAAACTTGGACACCCAAAAAGGCAAAAAGAGGCTGGAGCGGCAAAATACTCGATGAAATCGAAGTTGGTTTGGTGTTACTACTTATTAGTTTCAAGAGTGACAGTGTTTTTCCTAATCAGAGAGGCACATAGCGCAACAGAGAAATTAAAAGTTTGCATGGAATAGGCACATCTCTAACTCCTCTCTTGTGACAATTTCAACATTTCTGTTCTGTTAAAACTTTGTAAACTCCGTATCAGAACGAGAATTGTAAATTTTAAGTTCAAGAAAATATGCTAATTGTTTAAAATCAATGACTGAATTATCTTCACAGTGTAAATTATTCTTCACATAAATGACTTAATCTTGTTTGAATTTAAAACAAGAAATAAGAAATTAGAAGCTAATGTTTTTCACATACTTCCTCTTTTTCACCTTTAACAACATTTGATTTTTTTACCGAATCTCTTTTTAAAAAGATTAAAAAATCATTAAAATTTATTAATTTTTTAAAAATATATAATATAATTTCTAAATTACGCTTCTTAAATATAAATGTAAAAATAAATTACATCTAATAAATATGAGTTAAGTTGAAAAAAAAATTAATATAGTCTTAAAATCTTAAATGAGTAAGATAAAATATATATTTATTACTATTAAAGTGGAACGGGGTGAGTAATAAATATTCTTTAAAAAAATAATTTCTAAAATTTCATTCGGTTTAAAACCAATTAAGCCGCAGGTACTCAAATAAATTAAACCTATGAATGCAATTTATTTGGACAATTTCTAACGCTGGTTTGTACATCCTATATATATATATATATATATAAAAGTTAATTTGTATCCTTGTTTATGGACAACAAAATTAAAAATATATTTATTTAATTATTTTAAAATTAATATTTTAAGTCTTTAACTATATGTCATTAATATAAACAATGTATGTTTTGAAATTTAAATGTTGATATTAGTAACATTATTTCAAAATTTATTGGTAAAAAAATTATCAAAAAATTTCATTTTAACCCATTTATAATTTGTGCATAATTTGTATTAGCATATTTTTTTATAAACAAGCTTCAATATTTGAATTTTTATAAAATAATTAATATAATTAAAGTAACTAATATGAAGTTGTGATTTAATAGGCATAGGTCAACACAAAAGAAATCTTCATTCAAAAAATAAATTGAATTACAGATCATTTTAAAGTTCAAATAAACATGATTTTAAATTCTCAATTAAATTGGTTTTTGAAAAATAAAAATTTCAAAAAAAATGATTTTAAATTGATTTGGATAATTTCTGGTGGTTTATAAAATCCTAGTTCTCCTTTTTTTATTTATTGAGTGAGAAAAATACATAGATGTGCCTTTTCATAGAGTGCGTCTCTTTTTCTGTTTTTGTTTGTGTGTGGAATGGGATCATTGGCTCATAGCTGGAAGGAGAGTTTTAGACATATAGACAAAAACTACCCTATAAAAAACAGCTGTATTGCGATTTTGGTGGATGGACACTACTAAATAATTAAATTTTGCTATTAATAATGTTTTATTGTATTGTTATTTTTTAAGTAGGAATATTTTATTTGTATTGCCAGATATTTGCACATTTAGATATTTTTGAGTATTAGACTGTGTCTTAGTGTTCAATCATTCTATCATTGTTGGTTATATAAAAAGAATAAAAAAGAAAAATAATATTATTTTTTAAATTTACAAATGTGATAAATATTTAAAAATATAATATTTTCGAACGGCAAGTATTTGAGAATATAGTAATTATATATTCTTATCGTATAATATGGGTAATTTTTAATTTTTCTATTTCAACATAATTATGAATTTACAAAAAACATAATAAAATTAATATTCTATTTAATTACCATCCTTATTAATAAATAAATAAATACCAATTACCACTAACACGAAAAATGAAAAGAGAACGTGAAGTGGCATGGTTTTGTTATTCGAAAACAGAACGGTTAAAGGTTCGGTTTCTTTAATGAGGAGACAAAAAATGGCTTGACCTTGACCTTGACCAATTCTTCTTCTTCTGCCACTGCTACTATTCAACAAAGCTAATGCTAATCATAGGCCATTAAAAAGCTCAAGTTCCTGTGAACTTTGGAAGATGAGCGTATTAGACCTAGGGCTGTGGACTCAGGTTTAATCGAATCAAACTGAGTTGATTTAACTAAATAAGCAAATTTCTTTTAGATAATCCACTACTCACAGTTTTATGAATATAAAATTAAACCGAATCGATTAACTAAGAACAGAAATAATTGAAATTTTTAAAATTTTGAAACTGAGAACTAAAAAATCAGTTAGTTCTTAACCGATTTATACTCGCCTCTAATTACATCTCCATTTGTTAAATAGTTGAGTTGGAGAATGTAAATTGTAATTACCTTCTAAAAATTTCAAATATTAGGATGTCTAACGATAAATGCACGTACATTTGAAATAAGAATAGATTTCAATTGAAAAATCATAAAAATGTTAGTATAGTATTGAATTTAAATAATTTTTGTTATATTTTTAATTTATAAATAGATGAGATTTAAATTTGAATTTCAAGTATAAGATTATAAGTTTGTATTAAATTCTAAATACTCAACCGTGTTTAGTGCCTAGTTATCTAAATTGAAATTTAAAATTTTAATTTGCTAATTTTTAAACAAAATTTTGGATTGTGTTTCATTTTGAAATTCCTTTCCTCTTTTACATATTTTCAAATTTCATTTTTTCCAAAAAATAAAATCGTAATAAATATATTTTCCTTCGTTATTAATAAGAATCGATTTCAAAAAGAAATAAAGAAACCCCAAAAACTATTATTCCATCTTTTTTTTTTTTTTTTGATTTTCGCATGTTAAATCTATTAAAGCATAATGATTGTTAGAGATGGATTATTCTTTAAGAAACCCATTAAAGAATTAAAATATGAAAAAACTCATTACAGCAGACAGCAAGTAATTAAGTAGTATTAACAACTAGATTAAAACCTTAAACCAGACAACAGCAGAGGGGATGTGTAAAGAGAAACAAAGGTGTATATTCTCATTCATTGCTTCCAAGCAATATTTGCAAATTAACCCATTAAGAAAAATTGTCCATAAAGAAGGAGACAAAGTCCTAATGCAGTACAAGAAATACAATACACAGCAAGAGAAAGCCTCAAAGATCTGTGGAAAATTGTGCTAAAAAAAAAAAAAAAAAAAAAAAGAAAATTTCTCGCATAATTCTTAATTATTTCCCTATTAATTGTTTGAGCAAAAGAATTCCACAATTTTTTGATGCCTGTTCTCTTTCGGCTATGTGAAAGCAAGTTGAGTAGACATCTTGTAAAACTGCTCAACTTAAGAGATGTCATTGTCCTCCAGTCGTTTATGAGACACCAATAGATTCATATAATGGTGTCAAATTTGCAAAACATATGCATTGGTAACAAGTCAATGAGAAATCACACCTTTGTCTTCGTCTTGTACACATCCGTCGTCGCTGTTGTACATGGTATGAAAAGACTTGCTAAGGCATAATGTAGGTAATACTGCTAGTGTTAAGTACTGAGCTTAAAATAAACTTTGCTGTCGCTGTAAAGTGAGTGTTCTTTATCAGTATTTCTTAAATTCTTATAATGAAATTATTCTATAAAGAATAAATCCAAATAATACTAACAATACAATTAAAGAGTTTTAGAAATAGATTATTAACATTGAAAAGATAGAGTTAATAAATAAAAAAAAAAGAATGGAATTTATCAAAGTTATAAGTGTTGAGGATTTACTGGATAGTTAACTATTTTGAACACGTGAGTTCGTTTATAACTAACCGGAAGGACACATGATAATTTTTAAAACAGCATACCAGACAAATTTTATTGTAGTTCCATTTGTGTTAAAGAAAAAGTAGAATTCATGAACAAAATATTGTGTAATACAGCAGGAAAAGGAATACATGCACCAAAATAAACACAAAAGAACTCCCCATAAAATTTTCTGGTGTTAAAAACAATTCTGATTCTTCAAAACTTTTATAATTATTTATGAATTTCAAACTCATAGATAACTCGCCTAATCTTCAGGCTCTGAGATTCTTGCAAATTTAGATACATAACACTTAAATTTATAGACTACTCGAAAAATTTCAAAAATTAAATCGTTTATCCTCATTTATAAATTAAAATCTAACGAAATGGACTATATAATTCAATTTATACATATCTAATCTCATCCTTCATTTAGTATATTTTTCATATGAAATTGCTCATTCGTCATTATTAGATACAATTTCATGCATTTAGTTGAACCATTCTAGTAATAATGAATATCTTTTAGAAAAGGTAGCAATATTAGCTAATTTTACGATCTCCAACTCAACTAGCTCACTTTAACATATGGCAGTCTGTATTTTGAGAAAGCGATGTATCATGGTTAAGATGACTAACTGATTTATTTTTTAAAGTTCTTCAGTTTTCAAATCTTTATCGTATAAACAATTTTGCAATAATTCTTTCTTTATAAACTCTGATTTCCGGTAAATATTATAGTTTGCACTATAAACAATGTGAAGAGTAGGAACTTATAAAAGTAAAATTTGCATTTATCTAGCTATGTTATAAAATCTAACTCAGTCTTGAATTAGATGAAAGTACTTCTGATGTTCCACAGTCCTCCTATGTCTAAGACGCTCAATTTAACTCCAAAAGCAACTGTCCTTAGAGAATAGCTTGAAGCATGTTAATGATGCCTTATGATCTAAGACACTTCGAGTCTGGTCTGAGATAGTAGCAGTGGTCAAAATGAGAAAATATTGGACAATTAAGCAAGGTACCTCTCTAATAGCCGCTCATCCATATTGAAAGTAAAGCTCGATAATCTTAACTCGTTCCTCTGTAGTTTCCGAATAAACAGAAACATCCACTACTCAAAGTCCTCCTTAACTTCATTATATTTTTTGCGTCGTATATGTTAATTGGTATATTTATTATAATATGGATTGCAATTAGAGTAGAATCATTCGAGTTCTCAATTATGTTTTTGCTATAATGAATCATAATGATTTGAACACAAGAAATAGTTCATGAAATTACCAAACCAGATTGTACTAAAACAAAGAAAAGAGTTTAAAGAATTAAACTCATTATTTCACATATTATCTGTTGCCGGCTTCGATTCAAATATTATGTTTCTTTAACTCACAATTTAAACAAGTGTATAATTTTTAGGAACATAATATATTAATCTAACTTTTTTTCTTTCTATTATACTTTCTCTGTTGCTATTACCAACATATTGGATTATAGAATGATTGAAAAAAAAAAAAAAAAAAGAAAAAGAAAAGACGGGTTAAGGTTTCCAAAGTGTAGGGAATCCAATGTCCCATTAACAAACACAAATAGTCATGGTTGAAATGAAATTGTCCAAACACCATTACAAGAACACTATGCAACTTTCTTTTTTGTACCATTTTTCACTTCTTTACTGTCCAAATCTATTTGGCAAAATCTTTCTCAGATTTGCATAATCTCATTTTGTCTCATAAAGAACAAATAGTTCACTTCTCTTAAACTTTATTTTCTAGTATTATTATTCTTAAAATCCAAAAGATTATTATAATTAATTAATTTCTAAGATTATTAAAAACGCTAATGTTTCAACAGTTGAATTTATCAAACACCCTTAATTATTTGTCTAGTCCAAACACCAATAATTGATTTTCGGCCGCTCAATTAATCCAATCTTAACTGCAACAAGAGTAGAATATACCTTTATAGTTTCAATAGTCTAAAATGGATATACCCTTAACTCTTGTATTATATGTACAAATTTGGATAATTTAATTTATGTATTACAGGTGAGAAATACACAGAAGAAGCAAGCAAGCTATAGCAGGGACCATCCATGTATAAGTACGTAAATTACCCTTTCTGTTGATAATAATATTTATGGATCTACCAAAAATTGAATTATTATAGTGAGAATGACAAATTTTTTTTACTTCTTCTTTCACCAATCTCTGTCGGATTTATAGGTGGCAACTAATAGAACTAATTGTTTGTCTTAAGTTGTACACGCATAATCATGGATTACAAATAATGGAGTTTGATTAAAATTCCCTTGAAAGGTAATTAATTAAGAGGACAGGACAGCTTTATCTAATGAAATCTTAATCAAACAATTTAGATAATACTGGTCAAATCAAGGATTTAAAATGGACCTCACTAACTAAATTAAGAATAATTAAGTAGTATAATAATGGACAACAATGGAGTAGAAGCATCATAATTTCATGTCCTAAAGGGAGAGAGAAGAGGTTGTTCTTCTAGTTATATCTACTATATAAATACATCCTAACTACCCATAAAATAAAAAATAAAAATTTACACTACACATGGGCTGTCTCTTCCATTGCCATTGCTTGCCTCCTGTTTATTTCTTAGCGTAAAAGTTCATTAATATTTACGATCCTATCAAACCAAATATTTTTTCTCATAAGGAAAAGGAAAACAATAGTAAAGTTTGTGAAGAATAGCATAGTGTAAATACAAACTCTGAAAAAAAATCCCATAATTAAATAGTTTCTTTCAACTGTTTTTTCTTTACTCTCCACTCTTAATGATTGATTTTGAATTTTTTTTTTTTTTTTTTTTTTTTTTTTTATTTTTTTTTTTCTTTTTTTTCTTTTTTCTTTTGCTACACTACAAACATGTTATTGGAGCAGAACCTTGTTTTTTTTTTTTTTTTTTTTTTTTTTTTGCTAATACAAACCATGTTATTGGAGCAGAACTTGTTTTACAGTAATAAAAATTTGAAAATTATTACGTGATTGAACCTTTTTAACTTATGAATAATATATAATAGTACTCGAAATTAAGAAAAAAACTATAAAATTGAAAATTACTCACATGGTATCTCATAAAGTGATAGATGTATTAGTAATCACAAAGGTTCTTCGAAAAAGAAAGAATAAGTTTGGTAGAGAGCAACAGAAGCTACCATTATATACGGCCACCTTCTACTCCAACTACTGCATGACCAAGATCAACGCCACCAATTAATGTTTATATATATATATTAACCCTAACAACAAATGGGAGAAGCACTGCAATATCTTGCAAGAAATGAACTTTTTTTTTTTTTTTTTCTTTCACCATGTTTATTAATGGAGAAGAAGGAAACAGTAGTACAAAAGGATAAAAAAAAAAAAAAAAAACATATCCCAAAATTTGTGCGATTCTTCTTTCGAAATAAAGACAAAAATAATTGAATGGGATGAAAGAAAATGTACAAGTTAGCAAACATGGAATGCGGGTCAAATTGTTTTATTTCACATCATAATAATAAATGGGTTTTAATGCCTTGAAGGAGCATTGCCGACTTGAATCCCCATTTATAACATTATTTATAATAATTAAACAGTTATAACTGTGATTCTTGCTCCGTTTACCCTCTTTATAACCTACCAATCTATGTTAAATCTTGAGTATTAATAATTCAAAAAACAACATAAATTTGCTTAAATTTCTTCTCAACAGTTTGATTGTCCATCTCATATATACATATATTGCAGTTCAATAATCTAAAGAAATTTTTAATAATTATACATTCAAAACCTTTTGGTCTATTATTGAAAATAAGAATCAACCATGAACATTTCCCTTCTTCTTGGCTTCACATACTGTAAATTTGTGATTACTTGATTCCATTAAAAGTTCATATCATTTTTTGGATCTACCGATCTAACGAGGAGGAGGAGGAGGACCACTTCATTTTCACTCGTGAATGTACTAAACGTTGCAATTATTTTAAACTTTCAATGAACAAACGTTAAATTGTACCAAAAAATAAAAGAAAAAGTAAAAAAAAAAAAAAAAATCTATAAAAAAAAATAAATGAAAAAAAAAAAAAAAAAAAAAAAAAAAAAAAAAAAAATGCAAGATGACCAAAAAGGACTATGTATAATGGAAAAAATTTATCTAGATTGAGTCCATATTCCACTTATGGACCTGAAATTAAGATCAAAATAATAAAATTAAGGATTCTTTAAAGTGTTTTTTATTTTATTATTATTTTTTAATGTATGATTAATAATACTCTGGTTTCAATAAAAATTGTAATTTCAATGGTTTGGTGGATAAGTGGGAGCATACATCTTGTATAGGCAATTATTTTCCATGTATAAATTTCTCTCTTCACTTTGTTTTGGGGCTATGGCCTATTGGGCTCAACCCATTGGGCTTCTTTCTAAGTGCTAAACGCGATTGATCCATTGGGTGCATTTTCTCGAACACGTAGCAAGCAATGGAAAATTCAAAACCCTTTCTGCTAAAACCTCCAAACGAAATCAAACCGCAACCATGGGAAACAAAAACAAAAACAGAGCTTCTAAAAGCACTACCGACGCTTCCAAGTCTAGCTTGGTTCCTCAAGACCAAGAGTATGCATTCTTTGTTTATTTTAGCTTTCTTTTCTAAAGAATCCTATTTTTCTTAGAAAAATCTTAGCTTTATGTGGTGCTTTTGACTGTATAGTTGCTATGAAGGGGAACGTCTTGCTCGTTTGCTCAAACTAATCAATCGGTATAATCACAAACAGTTTCGCACTTTCAGTTTCTTTTCTTTGAATGGATTTCAATTGCGGTGTTTGATTTTCGTTTCGCTTGCTAACAGGGAAGTTGAGTCTGTAAAACTTCTGGAAAGAAATTCGCTGCCCGAGAAATTCTGGTTCAAGGTTTTTAAGCTATTCTTATTTATATATATTTACTATTTTTTTTTATGTTCGTAAAACTTATGGGTTGCTTGATACAGCAACAATTCGCTATTGGAGTCAATGAAGTCACTCGTGCTCTTGAACGAATGTTGCCGACGGCGGAGATTGATGGCTCCCATCAAAAGCCGCTGCCTCATACCGTCGCCACTCATCGTCGCAAACCGCCTGCAGTTCCGCTTCAGGTTAGTTGCTGTGGTCTTATTATTGTTGTTATGAAAAAGGTTTGTCTTTTCATTGTTAACATAGTTAAATTAGATATTTTTAAGACTGGTAATGACTCTCTTAATTTTACATTTAGGCCATACTGATAGCTTCTGATTGCAACCCTAAATGGCTGACAAAGCATCTCCCAAGCTTGGCTTCTTTGAAGAAGGTACCAGTGATATTGGTTAAAGATCAGAAAGGAGGATCTTTGAGACTAGGTGAACTTGTTAGACTTAAAACAGCAATTGCAATTGGAGTAAAAGTAAGAATCATCATGACCTGAATTTCATTATGTTATGAAAATCGCTTGATATTAATTTGATATTTCGTTTCATGTAGGATAGAGGAAATTCCTTAAATGAAATTGTGAAGAAAATTCTTCATGATGGCAATGAATTGAACCTTGGAACAAAATGTCTGGAGTCGGCCGAGACACCTTGTGCGCCCTCTGTCAATGGTCTATGATTTGCACAGCCATGGTTCTTTTACAAGCTTTGGAGCAGAGCAGAAACAGAACAGATCATACTGATGTATTTACCAATTTCTTATTAAAATTGAAAAAAAAATAAATAAATAAAATGATTGGTTCTTTGTTAATGTTACAATCTTTCCTGATTTCTATCGTGTGGTTCCGCTCTGGTACAGTTAAATAGACATAAATATTTCTCACTCGTGCATGTTGAAGATTTATATTCTACAAAGTATCACAGAGCAAGATGGCTTTTTGGATTGTCTCCATCATTTACAAATTCTGTACGAATTCTTCCTTAGGCACTAGCCTGAGGGGTTGCAGTTGATGACGACGACTCAGTGGCACCAACTGGATCGACATTTTTGTTAGCGCCTCTACCATTTGTGACAAGCTTGGCTGACTTCTCATTCCGGATTTGTTCCTTATTGACAACCACAGGTTGAAACTGCCAAAGAGAAAACAACACTCCAATAAATACATCATTCATTTCAAAATGAACAGCTAATATGTTGTAATTTTTAGTTTGGCTGTGTCGAACCTGATATATGGAATATATGACATTTCTTCTTATCTGAGCCATCATCTCTAAGAAGAGATTGTAGCCTTCTAGCTTATACTCAATAAGTGGATCACGCTGTGCATAACCACGCAAGCCTACAGCTTGCTGAACGAACTTGATTGCCTGCAAGTGTTCCTTCCACAAACGATCAATATTACTTAAAATTAAGAATTTCTCAGCTTCCGCCATCAAGCCCGGTGCTTCTTTTTCCACAGTGTCCTACAACACAGTTCAAACAGAGAAGGGAAAATCAAAAGTTATTCTTCCTAATTGGTGGGTAAACTCATTTATATCCAAATCATGCAGATTCAATGTAAAGGTTGAAACAGGACACACAGTACCATGTCCTATGCAAATCACAGTGCAATAATTCATCATTAAACATTTTATTTACTACAGAAATGTTGGAAACTGTCAAAAAGTTAAAAGAATCCAGGCTCCATTTTAGCCAAGCTATAGCAAGGAATCACTTTTATGTGATGTGATGACCTAACAGAATTCTTGTTACATGGTTCAAGCATGGATATAAATACTAGCATGATTATAATGCAGCAGATTTTCCTCTCATTTAAAAGAGCATAGGAAATGGACTCAATTAATACAATGATAAGATCCATGGATCTATAATGAACAGGAAAATCTTTCTAGAGATAATGAAATAAATATAGTATTTGCTAACCCTTTTCTGAAAATATGCTTCGCGACCTCGTAGACGAAGGTAATCCTGCAAGTCCTCATAACTTGAACACTTGCTTCTCAGCAAATCAGGGGTCAAATCAGTCAGCAGATAGCAGTACCTAAGATTACAGTAGTACACGTTAGTAAATTATTTAAAGAGCCATATTAAGCAAGAAAGCCATCCCATATGAAGGTCTTCCAACTACAGAAGCGCTGGTTTTAAATTTCATTTAAGAATTTGATCAATAGATAATTTGAAAACGTTAAATTTAACTCCAAAATATCTGAAAAAAAAAGAAAGAGAGACAGAACCTCCGTATCAATACTGCATTCAAGAACTAAACAGGCATCCAAAATCCATCAAACAGAATTCAGTTTTGGAAGTTTATCCAGCATTAAACAAATAATATAGGAATGCTCTTACTGTTGAAGTTTTGCAATGAGCTTTTCTAGATCCCAATTTTCCTTTGAAGCATCAGAGCCGATATTTGCCTGCTCATAACAATATTACAGTTGTTGAAATGTTTGAAACCAGACCCATTCACAGTACAAGGCACTGCGTAAGAGATATTAAAAAGAAAAGTTCAAATAACAAAGTTCTCAAACAGGTTACCTCTAAGATGTCATCCATCGTCAATTCAGCATATTCAATAATAAGAGATTGGAGATTATCAGATTGAAGAGCTCGCCTCCTCTCCGTATATACACGATCTCTTTGGCTATTCAAGACTTCATCATACTCAAACAATTGCTTCCGAATATCGAAAAAGTAATTCTCCACTTTTCTCTGAGCTTCATCTAGAGCTTTTGTCAGCATCTGGGACTCGATTGGTAGGTCTTCAACTCTAAAAGCTCTCATCAAGCCCTGTAAGTAGCAATACCAAGAATGTCATACACTACACCAGTATCCCCTTAAGAAAGACCAAAATAGGGAGTTATGACAAACATATTCCACAGGAGAACTAACAACTAGGGAACTGAATCAGAGGCCTCACCTGGATACGGTCACCACCGAAAATCCTAAAAATGTTATCTTCAAGACTCAGGAAAAAGCGGGAACTTCCAGGGTCACCTTGGCGACCACTTCGACCACGAAGCTGTGCAGAAACAACAAACAAGTTCTGATTTAGTACATTTTAAATAAAAAAAGATTCATGATCCCATCAAAGAAACAAAGAAAAAGACAGAGTGAGTTTCTTTTTCAAGTGAAAATCAAAAGGACAACATGAGTTTGATGGATGATCATGTAACTTGTCTTTGCAGTTTAAATTCAACAATTACATAAAAATATTGACTGATCAAACCTGATTGTCAATACGGCGTGATTCATGCCTTTCTGTTCCCACCACATGTAGTCCACCAGCTGAAACAACCTGCAGGAGGTGTGGACATAAATTAAGTTGCAAACAATACTTGCATGTAAAATCAGGGTCAAATGTTATGATATGACAAAGCTTACCTTCTTCCTTTCTTCCTCAGTATAGATCTTATATTCTCTAACAATTTCTAGAAAGGCATTCCGCAGTTTGGCTATGACTTCATCTTGTACAGGGCCCTACAAAAACAAAACAATAATAATACAGAGCTTTACAGAGCCTAATGGAATAATTTTTTAACAAGAAACATAGGAGGAATATAATTCATAGTGTCATAAAATTAGTCTCAATCGATCAAGGAATCAAATTAAACTTTTTGCCAATTTGACTTCCAAATGTAAAATTTACTTTCCATGTATACCTTTTCACAAGAGTAAGATAAACGCTCCTCTGCTTCAAGCTCAGTCAATGACCTTTGGCCCCATGTTTTCACAGCCAACTGTACAGCTTCCTCAGCCAACTTCATATTCTCATTAGATAGCTTGCATGGAAACAAACTCTCATTGACCTAAAATTTTATTAACAATGTTAGACAAATGAAATATATGACACAGCAACATCTCTCAGAAACCGGGCTTATTTCATATATTTTTATATATTAACATGAATGCCAAACCTTCCACGTCTTCATTGGAGGAGGTTTCTTCACTGATACAAAAACTCCTTCAGCTGGCTTAACAACTCTGCAACATTTAGATAAATATAGATACTTTAAAACATATAATTAACAGTGATAAATACGCACATCATTTAAGAGAGTTAGTTTTGAACAAGATGCCTTTCTTGTCTACATTATTAGAAGCTCAAATGTCATCCAGTGCTGGAAAGAACAGCGCATGTCATTGCTGAAACCACAACATATGTGGTGAATGGTTTCCTCTCTTACAAGATATCCAATAGTTCTTAACTAAGTATTCACATAGACTTCAATGGAATATTCCAGTTACCTCAATAAGCTGAGGATAAGATACTTGTGAATGCTATCAGATTCTCTAACTAGCTAGGATTCATGTCTACTGAATCATTCTTATGAACATGTAGCAACATATGAATATAAACTGGCAATGCAAATTTCAATAATCTAATTATGGGCATACCAGTTGAAACACAGAAATGTTTTAGTTGGAAAAATGTACAGAATACACCAGTCGTTATGAAGTCTAGACCTACCTTGGCATGAGCATCTCACGTAGTTTCAACCTTGCCATAAATTCTGCGTTTCCACCTAGAATAATATCCGTTCCACGACCTGCCATATTAGTAGCAATTGTAACTGCTCCTAAGCGTCCACTCTGTGCTACAATCTCTGCTTCTCTCTCCACATTCTCTGGTTTTGCATTGAGAATCTTTAAGACAAAAATATCTACTTAGTGTCTCACCCAAAGAACATTTATCCAAATCTCTGAAGTTTATTTTCCTGGTTCACACTCAGTTTTTCATGTATTAATTCTCCAAAGTTCTACAGCTTCAATTCCTAAAGATCAACAAGGCCTCACCTCATGAGGAATTCCAGTTTCTTGCAACTGTTCTGACAGTGCATCACTCTGCTCAACACTTGTTGTGCCAACAAGCACTGGTCGACCTGTTTTATACATTCTAGAAATTTCTACCACCACTGCCCGCCATTTTCCAGTAGTTGCCCTGAAAACTACATCGGATTCATCCTGAGAAGGAATTGAGAAAATTGACAGCATTCATCAATAAGTAAACGGTTCTGCATTAGGTAAAACTCACAAATGAGCTGAAAAACTTAATGGAGTCGCAACTGCAGATAAGAAGGTAAAATCGCTCTTCCTCTTAGAGAGTATCTAATGATTCTTACACTTAACTACCAGGCGAAAAATCGAAAATTTGCACAACTTGTGTTGCTTATCTTCCATATCTAGGAGATTCTAGTTAAAACAGTAACCAACATAAATATGGATGCAATAGAACAAACCTTTCTTATCATGGGCTTGTTTGTAGGCACAATTGTAACTTTAAGTTTGTATATACTCTCAAATTCTGTGCTTTCAGTTGCAGCAGTACCAGTCATTCCACAAAGTTTTGGGAACTGTTAGATGTAATAAGCATTATCAAGCTAAAATTTCATCGCCAAAACTGATTTATCTAAGTAGCTGAGAGATAGAATGCCGGAACCTGGAGAAAGAAGTTTTGGTAGCTAATTGATGCCAGGGTTACAGTTTCATTTTGAATGGGCAAACCCTCTTTTGCTTCAACTGCTTGGTGAAGTCCATCACTCCATCTCCTCCCCTGACAGTAAAGACAATATCAAACTCACTGTACCTTCAGTTATCAATGAGTCTGCCTCCTTTCCTAAAAAAGAAAAATCCCTTTCTAGACCCTCAACATTCTTTGCATACAAAGTATACAAAGCTTATAGTATATAATAATATTTAACTACAAATGACATAGATAATTTCACTATTTAGATAAACAACATCACCTGCATAACTCGACCAGTAAACTCATCCACAATAAGCACCTCCTTGCCACGTATAATGTAGTTAACATCCCTAAGAAATAGCTCTTTTGCTTTTATTGCATTGAGCACATATGATGCCCATTGTTCTCGAGGATCATACAAATCTTTTACATCCAAAATTTCTTCAGCATCCTCATAACCCTGTTCTGTGAGGAGAACTGTTTTCTGCTTCTCATCCACCTGCAATAAGTCAAGCACAGCCTTGGTAAGAAAGAGAATTAAAAGAAAATCATACAAAATTTGTCCTTGCCGTCTGGATATAAATGATCACTATTTCTGCTGACTGAAAACTGGAAATCCAATTTAGGACAAGGTTGCCTTTTAAGCACAGGCAATATGATTTAATCCACAAGAATCAACATTTAAAGCAACCCATTAGCATATTTATTTCCTAAGAATAAATTGATTTCCCAATTTACTTTTGTTATACTTTGTCATTTTCATCAGTTTGTCCTGTATACATTCCATCTCTCAAACATGGCTGCCATTGACAAACAACCAGTAGTAAGTTTTCAAGCAGTGTCATTTATACACAGGACAGTGTATAAATTATGCAGTTGCCACAACATGGATATTACAGCAATGTTAGTAGTGTTTGTACTTCTTTTCTCTACACAATCTTTCTTTTTGGAAATATTTGTTCCTACTACTGAAATCAATACAAAAAGAAAGTAAGAAGAAAGAACATAGACTTTTCCTCACAAACCAAATAGAAGTTTAAGTAGTTAGACTTAATCAATTTTAGATAAAGCATAATATTAGTAGAAGTCTTACAGTGTAATGTATATCTCGTTCAAAGGCTGCAGCTATTTTTGCAGCCTTATAGTACCGATCACTAGGTTTCTCTGCCGGTCCAGAAATGATGAGAGGGGTCCTTGCTTCATCAATGAGGATAGAATCAACTTCATCAATTACACAGTAATTGAATCCCCTCAAGACGAGCTCCTCAACACTCTGTATATACCAGAAAATAAATTCAACCAGGGCAGAACAGACCTTGAGCAAGCTCTTCAATGTATGAATCTAAACAATGACAGTAACAATATAGGATAATTTAGCATGAAAGACAAGAATTACTTTCCGTGGCAAGATTATCTCTCAAGTAATCAAAACCGAGCTCACTGTTGGTGACATATGTGATGTCACACAAATAATTCTCTCTTCTTTGTTCACTCGTCATGTTTTCTGACATCAAAAGCAGTTGTTAAATTATGATGCCAACCAAAAATCACAAATCAACTTGCAGAAGTAATAACCAACCAAACACAAAATATAGGTGACACGCATAGACATGTAGAGAGAGAGAGAGAGAGAATAAAGCCTCAGGCATAAGACAATAGCAGAAGTTCAAATATATAATAAAGCTCAACAGTTAAAAACTAACAGACAAAAATGAAAATAAAATTATATAGGTAGATACTGATACATGCGTACATGCATAAGAGTTTGCAGAACATGTAATAAACAAATCAAAGTAAGTGACATACGTTGGATTAGGCCAACCTTCAAACCAAGGAAACGAGGAACTTGACCAACCCATTCACAATCTCTTCGTGCTAAATAATCATTGACAGTGACAACATGAACTCCTTTCCCACTTAATGCATTCAAATAAGCTGGTAAAATTGCAACAAGTGTCTTTCCCTCTCCAGTTCTCATTTCAGCGATTTCTCCCTTATGAAGCACCATGCCACCTACATAACGAGTGCGAGCGCACAAACACAGACAAAAGAGTGAGGTTTAGGAATGCCAAATGTCAATGTATGTTGAGACACTTCATATGTTAGTAACAATAAACATTACCAAAATATCAAATTTGATAAGACCTTACCTATCAGTTGCACATCAAAGGGACGAAGTCCTAAAACCCTCTTAGAAGCCTCTCTGACTACTGCAAATGCTTCCTGCAATAGATATGTTTTTGATTGCCATAAACAAATTCATTTAGAAGCACAAACAACAACTGCATATAAAGTATTTGATAACTATCACCGCAAAATCTACACTGAAGTCCCAGTCCAACGCATTATTACCAATCAACTTCTGACCAACCCCTTCCAAACATTCAAAAATAACAGAACAGTCACCACTAACAAATTTCCACACGACTTACAGGTAATAGAGAATCCAAGGATTCTCCATTCAGGGCCCGCTCCTTCAAGACAGAAGTCTTGTTTCTCAATTCCGAATCAGACAATGCAGACATCTCCGTTTCCAATCCGTTAATCAGTCTTACAGTTGGAGCATACTGCTGCCTAGTGGACTCCCCTGTATCCGTCCCCTTAAATATTCCACCAAGAAGACCTCCTAATGAAGCCATTGCAACCATCCTCCGTCTTCTACTCCTCTCCAATTTCCATGTCTTTGCTGCAGAACCGAGCATTTTTGGTGATTTTGCACCAAAAAACGAGGTAACAAGTCTAGTTTTCCCATGGTAAATTTCATTGGCAACAAGAGAGTTTGGAGGAAAAGACGAAATGGAGGATAAGCGGTTAACCGAAGACGAGTCGCATAACGGTGCTGCCATTTCTAGTTCAAAATCAGAAGACAAGAAGATGAGCGAGTTTGAGGTAAAGCTTGAAAAACTAAATAACAAGGAAGGAGGATTGGTGCGAGGAATTTGTAGTTGCGGGAACTGGTGAGTAGAAAGATTTTAGATTTTTCGTGTTCTGTTCTGGTTAGTTAGATAAGTAAAGCTATGCTGGCAGATGGAAGCCTGGAGATGACGAGAGAGAGAGAGAGAGAGAGAAGGAGGGAGGGAATGAGGAAGGGGATAAGGTAAGCCAACAAATCATTTGCGGAAAGGAAATTACACAGCTGAGAAATTATTTGGAAAGCATCATAATCTTTAACATTTTTATTAATATTTTAATTTTTAATAAGATAATAATTTTTTTCATTTTTAATTGTATTTTACTATTAAAATTAAAAATTATTGTTTTTAATAGAAATTGGCCCTATTTGCCCTTGTAAATATAATTAGAACAATATTAATGTAATGAAAATTGTTTTTTGACTAAATTATATATTACATGGCTTAAATTCATTTTTTTTCTCTCCATTAATTTGCTTTTCAAAACAAATATTAACATTAGTCAACTTAAATTACAAATAAATTGCATAAATGATTGGCCAATAATAAATTGTGTTTTGACAGTCTGCAAAATTCAGGACGTGCACATATTTGCATGTGTTGTTTTTACCACAAAGAAAAACAATATTTTATTTCATCAATCCGTTTTTCAATAATGTATTCATAACAAAGATAAAGATGATACTGGTTAATTTCTAAATATTGAGAAATTTTGCCACCCTTGACTTGTTTCTATTTTATTGGGGAAACATTAGAAAGGGGATTTTTTATTATTATTTTAAAATGCCATTTTTCAGACGTCAAATAATCCCAGGCCCAGGCCCAGGCCCACTATTTGATTAGCCTCGGATTGGATTTGAATTGGAAGATGGATCAGATTAAACCAGCTTGAGCTTTGCTTATTTTGTAATTCATTTTTATATTATTTTGTTATTCTTAAAAAAAAAAAACTTTTTACCTTTTTATTTATATATATTTTTAAATAATTATTTTTACTATTTTCATATTCCATAAACTAAAATAAGATTAATACATTAAATATTTAAAATAAAATACATACAATTGAAATAGGTTTTCCTACTAGCTAATTTTTTAACAAAATATAAATTAATATCGTTTAGCTCACACCATTGACAAGATGTGAATCTCATATTTATATTATTGTATTTAAATATTTCAAATCCCAGCTCGACAATATATTTGAGGGATTTTACAACAATAAATTTAAGGGATTTTCATAGATTTGAACTGCTAAAACTCAAAAAATACATAAATTTAGTTTGAACTGGATGGGTGGCATCCAGAATGTAATTGCAGCCAATGATGCAACTATAGTTGCCGTTAATGCAACGCCAATTTTTGTTTATTCACAAGATTTAGTATTCTGGTGACTTATTTTCAGAGATCATGTCAAATGGATTGAGAGAGACGAGATGGAAATTTTTATTACATCCTCAATACATTTCAATGAGAATCAGAATGTGACGAGAAAAAAAAAAAAAAAAAAATGGCATCCAGAATGTAATGGGCAGGCCAAATGATGCAAACATTAGTTGCCGTAATGCCAACGCCAATTTTTTGTTTATTCACAAGATTAGTAATTCTGGTTGACTTATTTTCAGAGATCCAATGTCAAATGGATTGAGAGAGACGAGAAAATGGAAATTTTTAATACATCCTAATACATTCAATGAGAATCAGAAAATGTGACGAAGAAAAAAAAAAAAATAAATAAAATCAAAACTCTTTGACAGTCGAGTTTAATGGATGTTTCCTGTGTCAAAAAGGAAAGAGCGGGGAGGAGGGCAGGGAGGGGAAGGGGAAAGGGAAAAGGGGGGGGTGGATTATGAAATAGGCAAGAGGGCAGGTTTCAACTAGCCAAAGTAAGGATCTTTCTAAAACACAAGCCACTGAATGCCAGAATATAAAAAAAAAAAAAAAAAATCAAAACTCTTGACAGTCGAGTATGGATGTTTCCTGTGTCAAAAAAGGAAAAAGCGGGGAGGGGAGGGCAGGGGAGGGGAGGGGAAAGGGAAATGGATAGAAATAGGAGAGGGCAGGTTTCCACTAGCCAAAGTAGGATTCTTTCTAAAACACAAGCCACTGAATTGCAGAATATTACTTAACTTGGTTCTGGTGGCACTACTTTCAAGCCTCGCATCCATTCACAGAAACTAGGATCATCAAAATGAATAAAGCTGCATTTCAGCTTTGTCCGCTGTTCCGTTGTCAAAGACCGAAGCTGTGGAAACCTTGCCTCCTACAGCCAAACCGGATCAAATTCACATCAATAAATAGGTGACAAATTACGATAGTTGTTTGTGAAAGTCCCAGAATAAGTACAACATAATATCCATTATTATCAACCAAATATGCTTTTTTTCACTTGTTTCTATCCTTACCTGTTCATAAGGAGGATCTTTGTGTGCTGGTATCAGGCGAGAAACAAAATATCGAGCTTGGGAGCTCCCTTCCTGTTATTAAAACCAAGTTCATTGATTTGGGGAACAAATGGAGCCACTAATGGATAAAACTGCATGAAAAAAAGAATGAGAAAATAATATTGGGAAAAGAACCTTGAATGCTAGGATCCTAGGCGCTGGAAACCGCAGTTCAGTGAGCTCTTCAGCCAATGTTCTGCAAGCTGCCAAAGCTGCTGCACTTCTTCCTTCATCAGCAGCTAGTTCAGAACCCTGTAGTTACAAGTTATCAGTGAATTATATAATAATAGTGAGTGCAAATGAAATTAGAACAATAAGTTTCAAGACAGCGAAATAATCAACTGACAGAAAAAGAAATCCAGGACATAGAGAACATATTTTAAGCAGTTAGGCTGTAAATGATGCAAGTCCTCTAATATGAACACTGGTTCGAGATATGCAGGTGTCCGGAAATCACATGTTCATTTGGGATATGATGTTTGTAAAATGAAAATCAACACACAGGCCACTAGCACAATGGACAGAGAGTTCCAAATTCATGTGCGAGACTACCATAATGTTACGGGCGCTCTTCAGATATGGCGAATTGCATGGCCCATTTGATTTCAACAGTTAGCAACTCCTCTAAGAAAGCCTATCGAAAGCTGCTGCCAATAGTCATTCATCCAGTTCATTTTTTGAATAAGGTTTTAGGAAACAAAAAATATTAGACACTAAAGGGTAGTGTTATTCTTGAATTTCCTTCCCACTCAGAAAATGGAATTAGAACTACATTCAGAGTGGCAGAGGTGCATGCATGCACGGATGCATACACTTGGAAGCACATGCATATACCCTCAAAGGTAAACACATCATAGGCATGAGAAAGGCAAACAACATATCAAATAGACATTTTCTTCCAGTGGACACTGTTGTTAAAATTTTTAGTAATTTGAAACTACACAACGAAGGTTTTAGAAAAACAGATATTGGACACTCAAGGCTTTGTATTATTCTTGAATTTCCTTTCCACTCAGAAGATGGAATTAGAACCATATTCAGAGTGTCATAGGTGCATGCATGCACACACTTAGAAGCACATGTTTATATATGATTATCCCCAAAGACATGTGCATGCATGCACACACTTAGAAGCACATGCATATATGATTATCCCCAAAGACATACACTTCGTAGGCATGAGAAGGCAAACAACATAACAAATCGACAAATCAATACACCAGAAGCTCAGGGGCGGCGCCACACTATGTGAAGTGGGGTCAATTGACACTCAATTTTTTAAAAAATATTTATAAAATAGGATTAATTTGATAAAAAAAAAATTAAAAAAAAATATACATTAAGTGAAAAATTTAGGGTTTTTAATCTAATTGATCCCACTAAAAATCAAATTTAATAAAATGACCCCACTAGAAAATATTTCTAGCTCCGCTACTGCAGAAGCTCCAGGGATGAGAGGTCGATAAAGGTTGCCATATTAAAACAGTAAAAAGAAAAGTTAAGTAGCTTACCAACCAGATGAAAACATTAGTGCCATGGTCAAGAACCACAGCTGTATTGGACTGCATTGCCAGGTCATATGCAGGTAATTCCTCAAAAGTACCCCCTTCCCGGTGCATTAAGCAACGAGGTGCTACCATACGGAGTGAAAGATCAAAGGACGCATTTAGAAACAAATTGCGTAATACAGACCTCTCATCTTCATGTCCAACAATGCTTCCCAAAAGTGGCCCCCTTCTAAGATGAAAAAGGAACTCTGGTAATGATGAGAGTTCTTTGGGGAATCGATGAAGTTTTGACTTTGGTACCTGGGACCCAAATTTCAAAGCAATGTCTTTAATTCTCTCATCTATTGTTGCTCGCATATCAACTGCATCAGAATAGTTTTTGGCTCGCAAGAGAGTCCTCTTGGCAATGAGGATTGCAGCCACTTCATCCTGAACACTCTCTAGGTATGTTGAAATGCTATCAACAGCAGGCAATCTGACCGTAATAACTCTGGAGATATCAGCTTGATAAATGCTTGAATATTGAATTGCAAATTGGAAATATACAAAATCATTCTTGATGTCCCCTTTAGTTTCCATGGAGAGTGCAAAGCTTTGGGTTTCTTCGACGCTCAACATTTGAATAGAGAGAGACATGTCATTTTTAAATGTTTCATGAGTGTCTATATGTGCCTCTTCACCAGGACCCACAACTTGAGTAATAAGAATATCATTAGAACATCGAATCTCCAGTAAACCCTGGGAACCTGATGCCCGGGAAGATGCCCTTTGCAAATTTACCCCAAAGGCTTCTCCAAAGTCATCATGGAGTACCAAAACACCCCCAGAAGCTTTAGCAAGAGGCTGCAAAACTGGAACTCTAACAGGACAAGTTCCAGCACACAGAATGTCAACCACTGTATTGTGTCGATGAGCTTCGTGACCCAGATGCTCCATCCATTTCAACGCCATCTTTTCCATATGAGGATAATTTGGATGACTAAAAGAATGGGGGACTGATCCAGGGCCATAAGTGTTAGGTCCGCCAGCACACACAATTATCCTGCTATTACCTCCAGCCCTCTTGACTACACCTCGAGACATTTCTGCTGATGGTCCTTGAATTATACCCAGAGCAACCTCAACTGCAGTACCCAGGCACCGATCTCTTGAAGCTTCTGCAATGTTCAGTTTATATGGTCTAAGTGATGAAAAAATTTGGTGTGCTACTTCTTTTGAAGCATGCATAGGCGATAAGTACACCCCAGTTCCATAGATCAATGCTTTCAAGGATTCCTGAGAAGGTGATTTGTCACCAGGAAGCACATCAGCTGATGCCATTGATTCCTCCGAAAAATCATAAACCGACACAGTGCGTCCATACAATATGATTCCAATTCTTGCTGTAGGGGGAAGTGAATCGACAAACGCATGCAAGGAGCTTTGTAAATGTTGCAGGTGTGGTTCATCTAAACAGTCATCTATAACAAGGATGATGGGTGCAGACATTCTGGAATCGGAAACTGGAATAAAACCAGGTCTCTTATTCCCAGTTTGAACATAATCAACCATGGGCGATGACATTTCTGGGAAGTTACGAAGATCTTCTTTGCTTGGAGCTATGTATTCACCACCACTTCCATTCAATGTCCTGCAAAGTACACATTGCCACTGGCCTGAACCAAGTAATATCTTGGAATAGAGGTTAGAATAAGCTCCACAATTTTGGCAGCGATGGGGATCACGCTGTATTATTTGTGGACCTGGTGAAATCTCCCTCCCAGGGGAAATCAATGCCCCAAAACCTAAACTGGGTACATTTGCAAGTTTCTTCTGCTTTAAAACCTATACGACAATATGAGCCAAACAGAAATATTCATAACGACATTCTCTTAGCAAAAACGATATCTGGAATTAGTATCCAGATTTAATGAGAATCTCATGATAATGACATTTTCTTAGCAATGCCATAACAATAATATTTTAGAAGACAAAGAAACATACTAATATGAAAATCGTTAACTTGTTTGAATCAGAGGGAATCAAAGAAATACCTTGTGAGCAGAGAATAAGACACATGGTAATTCCCCAATAGGCAATGTGTCCTCTGCAGATTCAGGAACTTGGTGCTGCAACTCAGCTGATCCATTTGAGAAATGTGGAGGTGATGATGTGGGCAGTGATGAGCCTGATGAGAAAGCAACTGGCTGAGGAGTTGCAGGAGATGTTCGAAAAGGCACAGCAGCAGGCCGGACTGGTGAAGTAAAAACAGGAGGTCCTGGGGGAGTGCTTAGATGAGGAATTGGGCTTCCAGTTTTAACCCCATTGGCTGGTGATAGTAAATTTGGAGTTCTGATTGAGGGGGAAGGAATTTGATCCTGTTGCAAATTAGGAGATGGAAATCTGGGGGCTCCTGCTAACAATGGAGGAGAAGGAGGAATTGGACTTTTCTCAGATTGAGGCGTTGATGTGTCAGTGGTAGCAGGAGTAACAATAAGAGGATATCCAGAGGAAGATTGTGGAGGATTAGACATCGGAATTCAAAGTGTTTCTTTTTGTTTTTTTTTTAAAGACCAAGAATATTCAAGAATCGAAAACCAAGTATCAGACGTTACAGGAACCCAGAAACAATTCAATCTGAATATAAAGGACCAGATATGGAATAAAAGGGCTTTGAGACTGCAGTGAATTTCAATGGCTTATTCATAAAAGTTTAATCAAGAAATGAAAGAGACGAAAAGCCTAAGATTACTGCCACACGCGGCTGAAGAATTCTAGCACAATCCAACTTGCTACAGCACAAGACAAAGAATTAGTTGACTAGAGAAACCAAAACCCTCAATACAAACTAAAACCCCAGAAGCAATCAAGAACCAAAATTGAATTTTTGATCCGAACCCAGCTAGTGAATACTAGATAAAGAATCTTCTAAAACACATAAAATTTTCACCTTCAGATATCAAATTCATTGCAATACAAGAAAATTTTCTAGTGATCAAAACCTGATCACCGATCTCCCTTATATCCACTCGGGCATTCTTGAACACTGAAATCAAAAAAAAAAAAAAAAAAAAAAAAAAAAAAAAGTGATCAATAACCCTGATCACCGGATCTCCCTACTATCCACTCGGCATTCCTTGAAGCAACTGAAAATCAAAAAAAAAAAAAAAAAAAAAAAAGAGGAATAACACTTGAAATTAAAGACCTCGTTCAAGAAAAGGAAACGGGGTCTAAGCAATAGCATATAAAATGATGAATTTAAAAAAAAAAAAAAAAAAAAAAAAAAAAAAAAAAGAGGAATAAACTTGAATTAAAGACCTCGTCCAAAGAAAAGAAACGGGGTTCTTAAGCAAATATGCATATAAAATGATGAATTTGAGCTGAGAGAAATGGAATCCACGTACCTGAGAGAGACGAGCATGGGATTAAGAGAAATAGCAGAGAAATCTTTTTTTTTTTTTTTTCAAGAAGGAAAACATCGTTTTTTACTTCTTTTGGATTCTGGGTCTTGGATCCTGATCCTGACTTAACTTGAGCAGCTAGAACTAGAAGCGAGAGATCACTTCTCGTTCTCTAGTCCTTGGCTCTGCTCTCATGACACGCGTTAGAGCACAGACTTGCAAAATGCAAACCATCGATCCACAAATCCTCATCCTTTTAATCTAAGGCCCATTAATTAACATAGGCAGCCCAGATCCATTAATAATCGGGTACTCTCTGTGGGCTCGCTCAATCGATTTGGTGAATTTTTCCTTTTGACCCTTGGTGATTGTCCACGTGTCTTTCTCTAGATGGAAAATCTACTTACGCAATCACATGATCACGTCCTTTACTACTTAGAATCCAACATGGCATCCTCAAGCGACGCCGTTTTTCTTACTCATCCAGTACGGTATCATTTCTACCTGGATAACGACAGATCTCGCTGTTGGGGCCTCTGATAGTCTGATGCTAAACAAACCCTGGGCAACTCTTTCATGCATTCGATTTCGAGTGTCTAGCCGTGCTGTTTCAAATAATGCGCAGCCTCCTTCACAAACCCTAACTCGCTCCGACTCAGCCCAATGGAAAACGAGGATCCTCGAAACGGTGAGTCGGTTCACCATCAGCACGTCACCAAGAAACCCCGACTCGCTTGCGTCATAACGGAATCCGAAATCCAAGAGGAGTTCTCTCACCACCAGTCTGGCATAGCCCGAATCAATAACGGGAGCTTCGGCAGCTGCCCGCAGTCGGTGCTTGCCGCTCAGAGGGAGTGGCAGTTAAAGTGGCTGCAGCAACCCGACGATTTCTACTTCAATACTCTCCGCAAAGGGATTCTCCACTCTCGCGCCGTGGTTAAAGACCTCATCAATGCCGATGACGTCGATGAGATCTCCCTCGTAGACAACGCAACCACCGCGGCAGCTATCGTCCTCCAGCAGATAGGCCGTTCCTTCTCTGAGGGCAAATTCTGTAAGAACGACGCCGTCTTGGTGTTTCATTGTACCTTTGAAGCAGTAAAAAAATCCATCCAAGCTTATGTCACGCGTGCTGGTGGGTCAGTAATCGAAGTTCAGCTTCCATTTCCGGTTAATTCCGACGAAAAAATTATCGCTGCGTTCAGAAAAGAATTAAAAAATGGTAAGTCCAATGGTAAAAGAGTTAGGTTAGCAATAATCGATCACATCACATCAATGCCTTGTGTTGTTACTCCGATTCGGGAACTAGTTAACATTTGTAGAGAAGAAGGCGTGGACCAAGTTTTTGTTGATGCAGCTCACGCTGTGGGTAGTGTTAAAGTAGATGTTAAAGAAATTGGGGCTGATTTCTACGTTAGCAATTTACACAAGTGGTTTTTTTGCCCACCCTCGGTTGCATTTTTGTACTGCAGAAAGAGGAGTTCATCTTCTGATGTGCATCACCCTGTCGTTTCACATGAATATGGGAATGGATTGCCAATAGAGAGCTCGTGGATTGGTACAAGGGATTACAGTTCACAGTTGGCGGTACCAGCTGCTTTGGAGTTTGTAAATCGATTCGAAGGAGGGATTTATGGAATAATTAAGAGGAACCACGGGAAGGTTGTTGAGATGGGAAAAATGTTGGCAGAGGCATGGGGGACTAATCTTGGGGCTCCACCGGAGATGTGTGCAGGCATGATTATGGTTAGTTTGCCTTCAAGATTGGGTGTCAGGAGTCAAGATGATGCTTTGAGATTACGGTCGCATTTGCGTGACAATCATGGGGTTGAGGTGCCTATTCATTATCAGCCTCCAAGAGATGGTGAGATGGGAGTAAAGGATAAGGATGGGTTCATAACGGCCTTTGCAAGGGTTTCTCATCAGGTTTATAATACATTTGAGGATTACTGCAAACTTAGGAATTCCATAAATCAGCTTCTTGAGGAGCCACAGATATTGGAAAAGCTTTTTGCAGGATGAGAAGGTATTAATTTTTGTACACAAATGGAGTTCCTTGTGAAATATATGTATCGAAATGTAGAACTCTGATTTGATCTGATTGTTTTCACTTTTTAGTAATCAATAATATGACCTCTTTTACATTCCCATTATGTTATAACTTGAGAAACATAAAGATAAATTAATACTGGATCATCCACTATACAATATCTGAATTAAGTAGCTCCCATGTTGTCTGTTTTTCTAATAGAGTGCATGTGGCATGCATGCGTTATAGATTTTGAGTTTTGGCATAACAGCAATTGCAAGCTGGCGTTGTTTTATTTGTTTTGCATAAAACTTAATCAAATGGGATTGACAGATGCTTGCCTCCAATTGAGAATTTGAGATGGCATTTCCTATGTCTATCCAGGTTTAAGCAATCATTTATGATTCTTGTGCATTTCCGATAATGGTTAATGGCTGTTTTCTACTGCTCCACTTTTAGCCTTTTGTTGTAAGCTTTCTGTGGTTGTTTCTTCAATCACTTTCCTGGAACACTTCCTTTTTTCTTTCTCCTATCTTTCTCCTAATAATCTACTCAAACACTTAAAATTGTAAGAAGTTCTGGAATCGATATTATTGAGTTGATTGAGTTTTGAGTTTCTATTGGTTTAGTATGTACACTCTGATGTCACAAACTCATCGATTAAGTTCTTCCCATTTCTTTTTTGCAAAGAATTATTCTCGTTGCGTCAGAGTGTTTCAAGGTGGCAAATTTCTTTTAGGTTTGGATTTCAAAATGTATGAGCTTCGAGTATATTGAATTCAATGTGGTTCTGCCTGTTTGTGCTGACTGCCCTTTTTTTTTTTTTTTTTTGGGAACAGCACACTGTATGTTGTTAGCTAAAACTAAAACTAGAAACAATACAAAACCATTAGGGAGAATGGAGATTTCACTAAATTAGAAGATTTGCTTGGAAAGCGATGACATATCCTGTAAACAATACGGTGACATTTCATATCTGGGTTGAGAATGGCTTCAGGCAATGGTCTGTCAAACTGGAGATGGTAGCCATTAGTGATGCATTGCGGTCGCTTTGAATTCTTTGCCTGTTGAGTTGATCTCCAACTTTGACTGCAGATTAGATTCATCTGGCTGAAAGAGTCTTGGTTGAATGGCTTAATGCTTTAATGGTCAATAACCATCCTTTGGCTGGGGCATCTTGGGTGCAACAAGCCAGATAGTTGCCAGCAATTTCCCGTTTATGCAACTCCCTTTTTTTTTTAATTCCTTCTTGGGCTGGGAAATGTTTTTTTGATTTATTGAGTTTATATCTGTATTTATTTACTTGAGTTTAGAGGTGTATTTGTTGACTCTTTGTATGTGGTTACTTCAAAATACTTGGAGGGATAATGCCATTTGATTCTCTGTTGATCTCTCTTTTCATACATAATATCTGAAAGGGATAAATACTATTTAGAGTCTAGGGCGTAGTCGAACTAGCTTCTTTGTTCCTGTATTTTGCAAAATTCATTACTTGCTCCATGTGTTTTAAGCCTGTTCAAAGATTTGGTGTTTCTGTTATAAATGTGCATTTTCTTTTTTTTACTCAGTCAAATGAAAAAGGTCCAAATTAGAGCTGAGAGCAAACTTTTAATTGCAAAAATACCTCTAACCATATGTAACTGTACTTTTCCTTCTCCTTCTCACTTTCTTGTTCTTATCACCTTCAAAACCAAACACCACTGTTGCTGCCCAAGCCCTACCATTGCCGACCTTCATCTCCATTAGTTATTTGAGTTTCATCGGTAGTTTTTTAGTCTGCTTTAAGGGTTTCATGGCTCGTGTGCAATTCAATTAACTTTGGTGTGATTTCTTCTTCCTTCTTTTTTTTTTTTTTTTTTTTATCTGCCTTTAAGGGTTTTCATGGCTCGTGGGTGCAATTCAATTAACCTTGGGTGTGATTTCCTTCTTCCATCTTTTTTTTTTTTTTTCGCTGGTGGGGGGGGGGGGGGCGGGGGGGGGTTGAAATTGCTTGTGTCTTCATGAATTAAGTTGTGGAAATTCCATGCCTGCAATTCTCATTGGGGGGGGGGGGGGTTGAATTGCTTTGTCTTTCATGAATTAAGTTGTGGAATTCATGCCTGCCTTCTCATTTGAACCAAGGATTAAGGCTTTTATTTTGGAAAATATTCTTTTACAGATCATAAATGTATTAGTAATTGTAATTTCTAGTTGAGATTTTCTTTTTTCTTCCACTCACTTTCCTAAAAAGTTTATTTTCTTATACTCTTTTGTGATTGATTATTTTTGCAACTTAGCCATGGAAGTTGGCACGGGGTTTACAAAGGAAATTTGTCAGATTTATTGATAATGTGTTTGATTCTTCTGCTACTTGTCTTGCATTGTGTTTAGAATTGAAAGACAATGAATGAAAGAAATGCACAGGAAACCGATAGTGAGAATAAAGGAAATGAAAATTGTCTTTTCATTAATGATTCATGATTAATGGTTAAAATATCAATTCTTTTAATGGAAGGACGAAATCATTTAGTGAGTTTAAAGACAGGGACTAAGTAATAAATTTACCAAAATACAGAGACGATATAATTAATTTAGCCAAATCTCAGGTCCTGAATAGTATCTATCCTTTTATGAAATTCAGAAGGCAGTCGTCTCTTCCATTCATTTTTGGCAGTTTACTATTAATATTGGAACAGCCAGAAAAATATTTGCATGTCCGTGGTTTCTCTGATGCCTGAGGTAGATACGCAGCACAGCAGATAGAGAGAGCTAAGAAGGTAATCCTTTTATGTTTCACCAATGTAAGCTGACAAGCTGCTTTCTGTGCCCTTGTTTTAGTTTATATATGTCAAAGCAACTTGGACAATCCTTAAATGTTGTCTGGCTTTATTTGGAAACTAGATGGCTGTCGCCCTAATTGAGTTGGCTGTAATGGTAGTAAAGTACGAGGGGGGAGGGATTAATTTTATATACGAAATATAAAAATGAATTTAATTTAATTTAATTGCATATGAATATATTTACATCTTACTGGTTCTAATTTGTCTCAACAAAAATAAGCTTCCAAACAAAACTATTACGAAAACAAACAGATCTTTCAAGAGATTGCCATCAGACAATTGTCGTTCCTGTCTTTGCCAAGAAGATTTGCAACAATGGCATCTACGTCTTCTAGCCCAACTCCCATGCACAGCGACAGAGTACTCTCACCTTGAAGTCCAGTAGAACAATTAGAGACCTTCACATTAGGGGCGTTTTTACATTTCCCCATGCACTTGCACCCGACAACAGCACCCTCTTTTCCAACTTTCTTCTCAAATTCTTCCAACAAAGCAATGGCCCCCATTTTCTTACACTTGCCCCCCATGCATATCTCAATCTTCTTTCCCCCTGCAACTGCCATGCCCGTATTTTCACTTTCATTGGAACAATTTGAACGGCAATCTTCTTCAATGTTCAAAACATTGAAACTTTCAGTCGTCTCCAATACTGGCGTACTAATCTCTGCCAAAGTGGCTTGTTCTCTGTAATTCGCATGTTCTGTTTCATTCTCGATAAATTGCTTCACAGCTGTGTTTCCAAGGCGGCTCACGTCCATTACCACTTCACAATCGCTGTCACTTGAGTCCGATGAAGAGCTTGAGGACGATGATGTAGAGTCAACCGGGGCCTCACCATTGATCAATGAGGCTTTCTCTTCTTTTCTCTTTCTTTTTTGTTCCTTTTGCTCTGATTTCAAATGTCGAAGCTCTGCCAGCAAAAACTCTGTTGCTTCCTGCATTCGACAACTATCAGATTGACATTTGTTTCATATAATCAAGCAAGTAAACATAGAAGTATCACTTCATTAGCAAAATCATCACATTGATAAGAAACAAGAAAGTGAGAAACTCACCGAAATCATCTTCTGCTTGACGTCATCCATCAAATTCAAACGACTGCCAAACTCTTCAGCCTGTGCTGTACGAGAAAAAAGGTCCAAATCTTTGGATAATCTCTTCATCAACTTCAGCTTCTTCTTCTTCTCTGTTTTTATCTCTTTGCTTTCTTCCTTCTGCTTCTTTCCACCACTCCTAGTTGGTGATACATAGTATTGTAAATGACCAGAATCAGAAAATTTATGACTCAAAATTCCAGAAAAATCTCTGGTTTTGAATGAAACTCTAGAATTTACGGTCCCGAGAGGTAATTTCAGAGAGAAATTATTGACTCCGGATTCCGAGAAACGAAGAACAGGGGAGGAAACTATTCCAGCGGTATCCATCTCTTCTGCGAATTGAAAACAAAAGCCACAGATTTCAAATTTGTGTTTATGCTATATATATTTATATCAAAAAGGAAGCAAATTTAACCTTGTTTCGAGTTTCATTAACAGTTTCTGTAATCCGCATCTAACAAGGAAAGGGAAACGAAGGTGAAGAAACGTGGCCTTTTCTGGTTCGTAGATGAAGATCGAAAGCTGACGTGGATGGCTAGTTTTCGTTGGCTATGGCGCGCTCGTGACTCCTCCGGTTATCCACGCTCCGATTGTGCATTTGACACGAGCTTTTTTTTAGTATGAGCGGTGCGATGAATTATGTTTGATTGGGTGGCCTGAATTGTGCCATCTGGAGAAGAATTTGAGCCAGTTGGCAACCATATGCTGCTCTACATGCCACGTATGTATATAAACACTTTCTAGTTTTAATAAATTGCCACGTATGTATATGGCCACCTTCTATTTTTTTTTTTTTTTTTAGGTTACTGATCGTTAAAACTTGGAGCCTAAAAACTGAAAGAACAAGATTAGTTTTTGAAAACGTGAAATTGAATAATTTTGGAGATAGAAGTTGAAAGATGGCAGAGGAATCGCCAAGAGCCATGAGATTGATGAATTTCATATCGGAGGAACAGGTATCCCAATTAATTAACTTTAAACCCGAATTCTCCCGTATTAGTATGTTCTTACGATTTCAATATTTGGCAATTTGGGTTTTATTGTTAATTTTGTTGTCGATTAAATAATCTATTTTTACAGTTGGATGAGGCTAAGAAAACAAGGGGTGAGCGGGTTGATGACGGCACTGCGCAGAGAGATAGGCCTCTGTATGAGGTTTGCCGCGTTGTCTTCTCCTTCTTCTTCTAAATGTGATAGAATAAGGAAATTAAATTAGATGTTCTCACTACTATTGCCACATTATCTGGGATTAATATCAGCAATGCGGTTAATTAATGAACTATTTACCAGTATGAACTTATGTTTTCACTTGCACTTTCTATTAGGAAGGTGGCTGACAATAGTATAGTGCTATAATGTGCTCTACTGGTCTTTCATCGAATTTGGAGTTTGTGTTTATTATGTGAAGTGCATAAGTTCATAAATCATAAGCACTTCGATTAATGCAGATTTTGAAGGAGAATAAAGACAAGCGAGATGCAGAATTCAATGAGCGGTTCAAGCATAGTAAGTGATTAGTTTATTAGTGGTCCTGTTTTATTGTCTCATTTTCAGCTAATAAATAGAGGAAAATTCAGTTATCTGGACAGGGTCAGTGTGATATATTATATAATATAGTATTGTCTATCTCTCCATTTATCTTTGCCATCCATATCATTAGAGAATTTGCATTCTTCCTCTATCTCCTGCATGTCTTTACCATATCCTATTCAGTTGCTTTTTAGTGTGTATGCGTGGGAGTTTGGCGGGGAAAATGAGAAACAGGACAAACAAGCTAAGCAATCTTAACAAACTTTAAACAAACTAAATAATACTAAAACTGACTAGCTAACTAACTAACTATTAATTACATTAGTTAAAAGTAGAGCTTGAGCTTTCACCTTGAATGTTAACTTCTTCTTCTGCTTCTTATGTTTCGATTCTGATGCTCAGGAGTTTCTGATAAGATCAACATTCTTGTAATTGCCTAGTCATTTCTTTGAATTTCCCATCTCAAGGCGTCCAATTTCATAAAGGCTGAAAATTGTGTTCAAGCAACTTTTGCTTTGCAAAATTTTTATGAGTGAAAATAGAGCTTTGAGTACTTGTTTTGTTGCAGGACCTCCTAAAGCTTTGGATGAAGATGAGACTGAGTTTCTTGAAAAATTGGAGATGGTGAGAATATGTTGCAAGATCAGTAATCTTTAGGATTCTAGTAAAAATGAAACCTTTTTCTGCTGTTTATTCATGGTTAATCAATATATCAGCTAGTGCTCATATGGAGATACCATTTATACTGTGAGGCTTTGTTGATTAATTAGGCTGTCACATAGTAACGTAAATTGTTTGAAGGTTGTCAAGTACACTACAGTGCAATAGGTATTTTGCTCCCGAGTTTGTTAATGGGTGGACATTCTTGATAGTTTTCTTCTGATGATGTTGATGATAATTGATCATTACAGTTGGATGTATATGCTGAAGCTAGGAAAGGATATTTTCACTTCGTTTTTTGTTTTATGAATAATTAACTTTCCATGTCCATTAAATGATTAATTATGCAACATTTATGAGAATCATTGATTCTTTTTCTTTTTGTTATGTGTTTGTTGTAGTCAAGAAGGGAATATGAGCAGCAAATGGCAGTTGATGAAGCAGAACAGCTCCGAAGTTTCCAAGTAATTTTTTGACTTATTTTGAGCAGGAGAATTATTATTACTACGATGTAGTTCAAGAAATTGTGGGATTTTCTTTGACTCCGTGTTTAGGATTCTAGATTTGATAACTGGCATTGAAAATGTATGTCTCGTTGAAAATGATATTGGGGCTTGTTATTCAGTTCCTTGGGGTAAAATTAATCTTTTGATAGAAGTTTTATCCTGGTGGAAAACTATAGATCTATATATTAAATTAAATTCCAAGCTAATGGGAACTAGAGCCAAGTTACTTTATGCTGTCTCTTTTACCATCTGGGTAAAATTAATCTTTTGATAGAAGTTTTATCCTGGTGGAAAACTATAGATCTATATATTAAATTAAATTCCAAGCTAATGGGAACTAGAGCCAAGTTACTTTATGCTGTCTCTTTTACCATCTGTTTGCTGAGTATCATATTAATTCTCATATTTGCGGTCCCTTCCAATACCAACTTTTTGGAGCATCCCTCATCTAATTTTAGAGACCTCTTATTTTAATTTTAAACCTTTCTTACAGATGTATTTAGAACTATCATTATGTCTCCATCTCAGATGATTTTTCTTTTTTTCAGGCAGCAGTTGCTGCACAATCTACAATTGTACATGAATTGAAGGAAAAACCACCTATCCCTGTAGTTGAGGTTAGTTTCTTTATGATTTGTGGACTGCTGCATTTGATTATATTTTGTTGTTGTAGGCTTTAAAAATGCAAACCCACACATTCATGGGCTTGCATGCACTTATGGAGTTTGTACCTGTGATCTCTGTCCTGGTTTATGTGCTTGTGCATGTGCTGAACTGGTATGGAGTCTTACGATTAGTGTAGTAGAAGTACAATGTCAGCATGTTTTGCTGTTGTAAGTTTTTGATACTTTGTTGTTATGTAGATAATCCAATTCTGTATCTAATATTTAATTTACATAATATTCTTTAGACAAAACCAAACGCGACTAAACTAAAAAAATATGAATAACTCATAGAAAACTTAAAAGTACCTACAAGTTTAGTAATGATAACATTGTAAATTATTGAAAGCTTTCTTATTTGAAATTCTTACTATTCTCTCTTGTCTTTCTCCTTTTCTCTTGATATCTTCTTTACTCAAAATCCTCAGTATTGAAAATGATCCGTTTCCCAATTATTTTTTTAAACATGAGGGTTGAAATAACATCTAATACCATGCTTTTGCATCTTTAATGCATAGGCTTGGTAGCTCAAAATAGATTATTGCTTTATTTGAGTAGTAAAATCCATGGGGGTAGCCTGAGGTTTTCAGTTAAATGGTTAATGATCCATTACCTGGTTAATGATCTGTTACCTAGTAGATATTCTCTAGGTATTTTATTTAGTGTGGATAGCATCTATTTTTATTTTGACAACTACGCGTGTTCTTGGTATGCACTTTCTCAACCGAATTTGATGACCTTTCTTGTGGCTAAAAACAAGATCAGATTCTGATTATTGTATTAGCATCCATTAAAGCCAGTGTTGAACATATTGGTTAGTTTGTGAATTATGGAAAGTTGGTTTTCTCTGATTGCAGGAACAGAAAACAGTTGGGAAGAAGAATCTGCCTAGTCGCCCATTAAGCATGATCATTAAGGTCAAACCACAAGCTAAGAAAGCAAAAGTAGATGAGGGAAATGTTGAACCTTCAGACATTGGTAAAACACCTAATGTTGATATTGAAAAATTTTCAGAGCAAGTGAAAACACATAATGGTGATGTTAACGAGTTGAATAATGTTGCTAAAACCGGTCTTGTGTCGTACAGCGATGAAAGTGAAGATGATGATTAACATGTTTGCTACTCATATTGTGGATATTTATCATTATTTAATTTAGTTTTCTTAAATTTGCTTTGCTTCAGTTTGCTTTTATGCATTTTTCATTTACGTGTTTCATTTAAAATCCAGTCTAGCCTATACTATGAATAAAAACATGGAAGTATGGGTTATCCAGTTTTAGCACTTATGTGAAGTGCGACTAAGGAAGCATAGAAACCATCTTTGATGTTGATAAGAGTTTCATGCCTTCCTTTCTCAACTATAACTCCATTCTTGACCACTGCAATAACATCTGCATTCTTGATTGTTGATAGCCGGTGAGCTACCACCACCGTAGTCCTGTTCACCATCACTCGGTCTAGTGCATCTTGAACCACTCTTTCAGATTCTGCATCTAATGCACTTGTAGCTTCATCTAACAGTAATATCTTTGGATTCTTCATGATGGCACGAGCTATGGCCACTCTTTGCTTCTGTCCCCCGGATAACTGTACTCCTCGTTCCCCTACCACAGTTTCATAGCCCTACATTTTGTATTGGCAATGTATCTTAATTTATAATACTGAAATGTCTAAATATAATGAACAAAATAGACGTATGTCAGTTTGAACCTCTAACTATTTTTTTTTTATTATGTAGCAAGGTTTTATCATGCTCATTATATATATCGAGTAAGGACGGCAGTCTCGAGATGACCTCCTCACTGATTTTTTTTTTTATTATGTAAGCTATATGCAAGGTTTCATACGCACACTCGCACGAGTTATATCTATGTTTACTTATTATAATGGAAGAGAGAGAGGAGAGGTTAATATTATATGATACTAGACGAGGCAAAGTCACTTATTGAACATAGTTTGTCAGGTAATGATACGCCAAATACTTCGAGATGTATATAATTTTTTGTTTTCTCCACCTGTTGGTAAAGCTACTGATTGTAACTTGTGGGCATTGGCCAAACCTCCTGCGCTGTCACCTGGAATACGGCAATCTCTCTTGCTTCAGTTTTGCTCAGTGTGTCCTATCTTTCCAGTCAATGGACAATGTTGGAACACTCGAAGAATCTAGGTTTTCGTGCTGAAGCAACAAGCACAGCGTGTGCTGACTATTGAGGTGGGCTCAAGAGATCAGAGGCCGCCATAGTTATCTTGTAGGTTGTCCTTGAGACGCCAGCACCTCTTGCTAGTATATATTTTTTTTTTTCTCACCTGTTGTAAGCTACTGATGAACTTGTGGGCATTGGCCAACTCTGCTGCACCTATAATCTCTGCCTCAGTTGCGTTTCCTTCCTTTCCATATGCAATGTTGGAACGAATTGTTTCGTTGAACAAAACAGGCTCTTGGCTCACAAGCCCCATTTGTTGTCTTAGCCACTTCAATTGGAGCTTTTGAATTTCTATTCCATCAAGTGTGATATGACCTGAATCTGGATTGTAAAACCTTTGCAGCAATGCAACTACCGTTGATTTACCACTCCCACTCTCTCCAACTAGGGCAACAGTCTGAAAGAAATTGAAGCATGTTAATACTGTTCTAGGGTATATCTCGTTGCAATTTCTTTAAAAAGTAGGATCTGAAATAGACGTACAAAGAAGTTACCTTTCCAGAACGAATAGTCAAACTGAGGTCCCGGAAAATCTGACTATCTGGCCTAGATGGATACTTGAAACTTACATGATGAAGCTCAATTTCTCCCTTCACATTTTCTAGTGTTGTTCCTGATTCATCACTAGAATCTATAGTTGACTTCCTATCTATGATTGCAAACACAGAAGCAGCTGCAGCCTTTGCCTTGATGGAATCAGTACCCATGGAACTTGACTGTGAAATTCCCATAGCTGCCATAGACAAAGCAAAGAAAACCTGCAAAACGACTCGAGGCTTTAGTATCACTGAAAATATTTCGTTGTTGTAGATTTCACAAAATTAATAGGAAAAGATGGTAGATATCAATGACACCTGAAAAACATCTGCAAAGGTTATGTGGCCACCCTCAACTAATCGAGCTCCCGCGTAGAAGCTAGTCGCATAGAAACAGAACAAAAAGAAGGATGACGCTCCAAATCCTATGCCACTGATCAACCCTAGCCTAACTCCCGTCCTCTTGGGACCCTCGCATTTCTTCTCATAAAGTTGCATCACCTTCTCTTCCGCACAGAAAGAAGCAACCGTTCTTATACTACCAACTGCATCGTTAGCAACTTGGCTTGCTTCCTCGTACATCATCTGCAACCATTTCAATTTATCTGAGTTTGTAACATTAAATAGACAAATTTATAGGATACTGATTATCTTTTCAGATAACAGTGTGAAAAAAAAAAAAAAAAAAAAAACCGTTCTCTTCCCGCACAGCACACACGCGCCAGCTATCACTGGTCTTTCTTTTAGTGGCTTTATCCGGCAACACGAGTGCATTCGGTTAGCAACTTGGACCTCTCTTTGCTTCCTGACCGGTACACTCCATCTGCAACCATGTAGATTCACATATTTTAATCTGTGACGTTGTCTGGATAACAATTAAATAGACAAATAATTAATAAGGGATACTAGATTATCTTTTACAGATTAACAAGTGTGAAAAAAAAAAAAAACAAAAAAAAGAAGCCCAACTAATATCCAATCTGATTAAAAAAAAAAAAAAAAAAAAAAAGAAGCCCAACTAATATCAATCTGATTAGTAGCGTCAAAAGGTTGAGAATTCATTTTCTTCAAATATGAATTAGCTTTATATATTGATTTTCCCTTAGCCAAGTAAGGCTGATTGGCTTTGGCGCATACCTTTGCATCTGCACTGAATCCTTTCATGAACTTTATTTGAATAATTCCATTGACACCCATAAGAGGAACGAGTGCAAGTATAATGAATGCTAGTTGCCAACTTGCAGTGAAAGCAATGACCAGAGCAGCTACTGCTGTTGCAATGTTTTGAACCATCTGAGCTAGTGCATCTCCAACCAGGGCTCGCACTATTGCTGCATCTGATGAAAGCCTAGCACCAATTGCACCGCTTGAGTGATCAGGCTCATCAAACCAACCAATCTCCATGTGAACCACCTTTTCAAAACAGAGAGATCTAATCCTTTGGATTAACTTAGACCCAGCTACAGAAAAGAAGTAAGTTCTAATTGGATGCACCACAAATGATGCCAGACCAAGTGTCATAAACATTAGTGCCCAGAATTTTGAATCCTTTCTCAGTTCATGAGGCGGTTCAAAAAAAGTTTTGATTGCTTTTGAAATTAGTGTACCATAAATTGGAAGTATTGTACCATTGATACATGCAGCAATAGTACCAAGTATAAGAACTGGGAGTTCTGGCTTGTTAAGATAGGCGAGGCGGCGGATTGGGACCTCTGGAAGTTTTTCTTTTGATTAGGCTCATCAAACCAACCAATCTCCATGTGAACCACCTTTTCAAAACAGAGAGATCTAATCCTTTGGATTAACTTAGACCCAGCTACAGAAAAGAAGTAAGTTCTAATTGGATGCACCACAAATGATGCCAGACCAAGTGTCATAAACATTAGTGCCCAGAATTTTGAATCCTTTCTCAGTTCATGAGGCGGTTCAAAAAAAGTTTTGATTGCTTTTGAAATTAGTGTACCATAAATTGGAAGTATTGTACCATTGATACATGCAGCAATAGTACCAAGTATAAGAACTGGGAGTTCTGGCTTGTTAAGATAGGCGAGGCGGCGGATTGGGACCTCTGGAAGTTTTTCTTTTGATTGAAAATCTTCTAGCTCCTCCAGGTCAACATTAGGACCACCGAGTTCTGTAGGTAAACCGCAAGACAGTGACAGCGAGTGGTGACTGCTATTTCTTGATGATCCTCGACTTATGGAGCGTCGCAATGACCTTCTTTGACTTGACTGTCTAAATGATTCCACAGAAATTTCTGATCTGCCATAATCATGTACGGCCTGTTCCGTCTCTTTATTTATTTCCTGTAAGCGTATCAGCTGAGAATATGCTCCATCGGGATCTTCAAGTAGTTCTGAGTGCGTGCCTGCCAATTTTTCACACACACATGCAAGTGCAACAGTTTTATATTCTAGTATGAAGAAGTAATATGTAGACCATGAAGGATCAAAACCGTAGAAACTAATGAATGAAACCACAAGGAAGCATATAACGCCTTTTTGGAAAGTTATAACTGCAAATGATACCTTTTTCAACCATCTTTCCTCGATGAATGACAGCAATTATATCAGCGTTCCTCACAGTAGTTAAGCGATGGGCAACGATAACAGTGGTTCGGTTGACCATAATCCTATCTAGTGCCTCTTGCACTACCCTCTCAGATTCTGCATCAAGTGCACTTGTAGCTTCATCTAAAAGTAAAATTCGAGGATCCTTCAGGATTGCTCTTGCAATTGCAATCCTCTGCTTCTGTCCACCAGAAAGCTGAGTTCCATGTTCACCAACCATGGTGTCAATTCCCTGCATGCAACATCCAAAATCAGAAAAAAATAATCTTAAATGAAAACGATATTTTGGTTGATAAATTCGGAATAACTGGAACCTGGGGTAGTTTATCAATAAATTTTGCAGCATTGGCAAGTTCAGCTGCGGCTTTTATCTCTTCAACAGTAGCACCATCCTTCCCATATGCAATATTATCCTTGATGCTAGATGTAAACAACGCAGGTTCCTGACTAACAAGACCAATTTTTTCTCTAATCCATTTAAGTTGAAATTCTTTGAGGTTAATGTTGTCTATAAGAACTTCGCCAGATTTTGGATCATAAAATCGTTCTATCAGACTAATTACTGTTGATTTCCCACTTCCACTATGTCCAACCAAAGCTGCAGTTGTGCCACTTGGAATAGAAAGAGAGAATCCACTAAATATCTCCTCTTCTGGTCTTGCTGGATAACTGAAATATACATCCCTTAACTCTACATCTCCACGGATGTCATCCAATACTCTTCCATTCGTATTATAAGGATCTATCTCAGGCTTTCTATCAATAGTCTCAAACATTTTATATGCTGCAGCTCGACCAGAAGCAAATGCACTCATACAAGGAGATGTCTGCCCCAGAGACCTACAAAATTCAATAAATCATCAAAGACGATATGCTTAAATTCCTTAACTCACGTCAGATATCAAAAAAGCTACTCACATTGAACCAGTCAACACAGCAACAATCACATTAATAACTGCTCCTCCGGTATATCCTTGTTCCAATATCATTTTCGCACCAAACCAAACAGCCATGCCATAGCTACTAAATATAACCAACATTACTATGCCAATACCGACTCCAGAAGCAAGGCCTTCATGAACACCTGATTTATAAGCAGTTTGGAGATGCTTGTTGTAAACACTAATGGCCCGTTTCTCCCCAGTATATGATGCAACCTGGAACATCAAATGACTATCATACTTTTGCGAGAAAAAGAAAAATCAAGTCCATCTGAAAGACAAATTATTGATATTTTCCCTGCATTCTATGGTCCTGGCTATGTAACATACAGTTCTAATAGAGCCAATCGTCTGCTCTACAACAGTAGCTGCTTCTGCATAAGCATCTTGTCCACGACTTGCCATCCTGGATATGATAATGGACACAGTGGCACCAGCTGCCACTAGCAGGGGAATTGCAGCTAACATCACAAGTGTAAGCTTCCACCCTTTGATAAATGCTATTAGAAAACCCCCAATGAATGTTGCCATCAGCTGCAGGAATTTTCCGACCTGCACAAATCAAGCGGGTCTAAATGAAATTGACAAGATTAATTCGTTGCAATTTTCCTTTCTGCAGATTATAAAGTACCTTTTCGCCCATTGCATCTTGTATAAGAACAGTATCACCGGACATCCTGCCAACAACCTCTCCAGTACTCGTTTCTTTATCAAAAAAAGTAATATCTTGTCTAAGTATTGTTTTGAGATAATAACTCCTTATTCGCGCTGCCTGTCTTTCTCCTGTTACCATCCAGCAGGCCACCTCTGGCAAACATCGAAGACAAAATTTCACTTAATTCACATATATCCTTTTGTAAATTTTAATTGGAAATTTAAATTTGACTTGAACATACGAAGAAAGGCAGCCGCCGCAGCTCCTGCTGCTAAGTAGACATATTTTAGAGAGACCTGAAATGAAATTCAAATACCAAATCAGTACAATCTTCAAAACATCAAATCCCTTAAAATTCAAAGAGAAGGAACGTAATTTTAGAATCTGTTTTTTTCTTTTTTTTTTTTCTCCTTTACCTTGGAAACTATATGAACCGTCTCATTGCCAGTCTGGTTTTTTCCAAAAGAATCAATCATTTGTCCTAATAACAATGTCATAAGAGGCGTAGAAACTCCATTGCCAACAGCACCAATTGTGCCGACAATCATTAACAAAATATCAACAGAATCCGCAAACGAGAAAAGCTTAAGAAATGGAACGGTTTCGACTTTCTTCTTATCTACTTTGCTCATATTGGAGCTGCTACTGGCGGTAGAGTCATTCTGTTCCTTCGTCGGCCTGGTCTCATCCATTATGGGATGACCGTTCTCCTCCACCATGAAGATTAACTCAAAAATCCTTTTAACTACGGAGAATATTTATATAGCGGCTCCAGCATCTGTCCAAATAACATTACAGAGTCAAAGAAAAAAACAGAAGAGCAACTTCCATTGCGAAACGTTCATGGCCGGTTATAAAACAACAAATCAATTAGTGAAAGTAAAAATTAGACCAAGAAAAAAAAACGAACAGATCGACAAAACCAACAATTTTGTCTTCAATGAAAGTAAGCTAGCAAGCATGCCATTGCCAAGCCGTTGGCGCTAAATCTACGCGATCGACAAGGACCGAAACATTAGAAAACCTCAGTAAATACAACTTCTTATTTAAACAATTTTTTTGCTGCTCAGATTTCCTAAGACTCTGCACCTTTCATCTATCTTGATTCATACTACACCTGATTGATTTATATTTCATATTAACTTATAAAAAATATTATTTATTGGAAAAAATAACCATTGCTTTCATTTACTTGGTATAATAGTGAAATATCGAGTAAAGGAAAATATATCTAAACTAAACCAGTAAACCTACTATATTACATTCTTTAAAAAATTATTTATTTAAAAAAATCCTTTTTTGGAAATTTTTTTTTTATACAAAAGTAATTCTTGGTGTAATATAAATATTGAATTTGAGAAAAAGGTGAAATAATTTCATTGGTAAAAAAAGTCAAATAGGTTAGAGGTGCTGTTCAAATCCAACTCTTCATGATCACGAGCGCAACAAAGACTTGAGAGGCAAGAAAGAAGTGCCCCATTTGGCTAAAGACTAAAGGCATATATAATAGCGGGACCCAACCACAACGATTGTCTGGTGGTCCCAGCCAGTTCCTTCTAAAGTCTAAACACCAGCTAAATCCCGTTTAAATCGCCATTAAGCTCTTATCGAATCCAAGAGAGCGATCTGGTTCCGGTTCCGGTTCATTGACTGCACTGCAAGAACCAAAACCTGCGGCGTATTATGAATTAAGAAACCGGTTTTCTTACTCCGAATCATGATAAAGACATGCGTTAGGGTTATTGGGTTTATTGTTTAGGTTAGATTATACAGTATCAGCTGCAAGTTTGCGAAGAAAAGAAAAACACTTCCCGTTTCTTAAAACCACTGTAAAGGAAAAAGTCAATTTCAAAATATTTTAACTTTTCCTCTTCTATGAATAATCTTTTGTTAACATATAAAGAACGGGAAAAGAAAAGGAAGGAAACAAAGAATATGGGTCAAGGCGTGGTATTAATATTTACTTACTAGCATAAGAAATTGATGAATGGCTATGGTGGTGAGCAGTTGAGCAGTTTGCTAGCTGCTTGTGAAGTTGATGCACATGGTTACAGGCGCTGTCTTTCGAGTTTGAGACCAATTATCTGTCTAATAACATTTTTGCGTGTGTATATATATATATCTATATAAAGCATGACTAATGTACAATACATGAATCTACAGCAAAACACAAACTAATAATTAAAAAACAGAGCCTGGACCAATTTTTTTCTTTTAGCCCCAGAGGATCAACCATGATTTGCATGTAGCTTCTTCGTTGAAGCAACCTCGATAATTCACACACACACACATATATATATATAAGCTAATAAAAGACAAATGGTTTAAGATTTTTTCATCGAGACTAAGGAATCAATTATTTTTTTTCCAAATTATAACAAATCAAGAGTAATTTATCCGAATTATCATTTATCTCGTATTAATACTTTTATGAGATAATTTATTACTCTTTAAAATTCTCAAACCAATTTATATTTTAGGACAAAATTATCGTCCAAAAATCACTTATATTTTGGAATAAAAAAAATATATATACTTTTCGGAGTAAATAAAACCGATCATGTGGATTGATACTGCCTATAGTGTGTGCTATACTTACTATTCAATTTTGCCTACTGAAATTGGAGGGTTTTGTACAACCCAAGTCATGGATTGATAGACTCTTAGTTTTTGGAGTGCTACCTAACCTAATCCATGTGTTAGAAATTAATTCCATGGATGGTCATGTGAACCCAAAATCAAAATTAGGTACACGTCAATTAATTAATTAATTATACTATTACGCTATAAGGTACCTATCAATCTTTCTCATATACAGATCACAGGCTATCATATGTATAGAGCCATTCAATTAATAATAAATAGATAACAAAGTAAAAATAGCATGTTCTTTGAGTCCAAGAAAGAATCATGGCAAGTTTCCTGCCTCTTTTGTGATGGTAAGTCCCACGATATAGCTAGTGCACCACCACAACTATATGCTTTATTTCAGGGAGTCACGTCACATGTTTATCTCTATTTCCGGTTTAATGTATAAATCTTTTAACTGATTATTTTTATAACTCTTAAATGTTTACGAAATTTTAACCGTGATCCCTTATTATCGTATTTTAATAATAATTATATTCCTCGCCATATGAAATATCTTTACAGAAATTCAACTATGACATAATATTTTTATAGTTTATTTTGGCAAGGGACATAATTATTTCTGAAATGTGAAAATACATAGTCATAATAGATTTCTCATAATGTTTAAGATAGCCACAAGAACAATCGCTAAAAGTACAATGTCAAATTTATGAATTAAGCTTTATTGACGCTTAATGAATTTACTATTATTGTATTTTTTTTTTTGGCACTTTTACTTTTCTAAAATCAAATTTTGACACCCTAAAAAAAGAATAAATTTCAATTTCATCCATCAACAGAAGCCATTGCACTCACTGCCATTGGCTTGGTATGTATTTCTCATTGTCGGCAACCGAAAACCACAATTTCGTCATTTTATATTAGTGATGATGCATCCCCTAATCAACATCATATGAGTTGAAATACAAATTAATTTTTTAAAAAAGAAATAGTGCTATTATTTTAAATTAAATGCAGACTGTGAATAAATTAGCTGTTTCATTAGCTCAAGCATAGTGTATAATTTAAATTAAAAAAAAAACTTAATTAGAATAAATATTTTAGCTCAATTAAGAAAACTGTAATAATTGATTATTATGGCAATAAAACATTAAAATATGAACCTTTGAAGTCATGTAGAACTTTTAATAGCATGCAGAACATAAAACCTTATTAAGGATCCGGCACAATGGGAACTGAAATGATTGAAGTAGGTTAATTATTGACGCAATTAAGCATTAACCTGACCGTAATGACCTTCCAAAAAAAAAAAAAAAAAATGTTATAGGACTTCTTAAGTTTTTGGACAGCCATAGCCGTGAATTCCGAGTTTGTTGTTAAATATTAGAATTCCATGGCCATGGGACCATGTCATGTAATTCCCACAAAGGCTCAGGGAATTGTCAGGTAGCTTACGTGCGAATTAGATTTAAGCAAGGCTTATATTATCCACTATTCATAATGAACTGCTCACTAGGCAATTTAAGGCGTACCGCCCTTCGGTTCGAAGAGACTGTCTCCATCCTCTATAAGTCTCAGGGATAACAATGGGGCGCTTCAATATGTAATCATGGACCGAGTCTCATTCAATAACTGGAAAGAGTCATGAGACTTTACAAACGTGTGAGGAGAACATGTCGAGCTTCTCTATCGAGTCACAATGAAAGAATCATACTGCGGCTTATCTCACCTGTACCTCTTTTATGTGATGGTAAGTCCTCACGATTGAATATGAGCTAGCTCGCTACCGCCACCAGCATACTATTATTTGCTTTATTATGTGGTCAACCAGAGGATGAGTCACACGCAATAACATGATTTATAATACTGTTTCCCTTTTTCCGGTTTAATGTAAAAAGGAGATTTATCCTTGCTATGAACTATGATGTCAAATTAAATGTTGTATAATTTCTTAATTAGGTGCGCTCATATAACGAAAATATGTTTACACCCACGTCGAATGCCCCTTTATACATACTTTCGGGTATCTATTAAAGTGAGAATAAAAATTTTATAATTTTTATTATAAAATTCCTCGCCAATGGACTTGAAATTACTCATTTTAACATGTAAATAATCGACCTATGACTATAAATTTAACTCTTTCTTATAATCAGTCTTTTATTTGGCAAGGGACATATGACGCTTTACCAAATATATGAAAAATGCAGTGATTTGAGAGGGAATATATAGTTCTTGGGAGTATGTCCACTATTATTTAGCTTTTTCTTCTTATTTTAAATTGTTGTTTTAAAGATTAGCTCACTAAGTACACTAACCGCTTTATTAATAGTATGAGGATGAATGGTCATTTAAATATGTTTTATCTATGCTTAAAATTTAAAAGCTTTAATTTGGTTACCGCCACTTAATAGAATTTTGTACAAATAACTTATCAGATAAAAGTTGGGAAATGGTTCATGGATGTTATTTATTTGAGCGCAATAGTCATTACTCTCCTATCATAAGAATCAATTTTTTGAAACCAAAACAAAAAGAGAAATTAGACATGTTTGTCGAAGTTTTTATCATCCATCAACAGAAAAGGCAATTGGCTACTTCGCACTTTTGTTCACTTGTCCGTGATATGTGTAATATGTGATGTCATACCTATTTGTTAAACGAGGGCAAAAATTGAAGATACCCACACGCACAAGAGTTTGTGCGAGTTAGTTATGATGTATTGATAGGAGTGATTGTAGTCACATGCCCTTGAGCACTAACAGGATTCATTGTGAGGATGTGCGGTATAACTACACACATCTATATTCTTTTAAAAAGAAGATGAGGTGGCTTATTCCTATGTTTTTTAAAATTAAAAGAGTGCAGACTGTCGGAATAAAACAATATTAGCTTTTCTTACTATCGCTCAAGCATAGTGTATAACGGGAATCTTCTGAGAATTAAAAAAGATTAAAGCTAGGGTTGGAACCTTCAGAATAAAATAATTCTTAGCGCTCAATGTCATTATGAAAACCTGTAATAATTGATTATTATGGCAATAAAACATTAAAATGATGAATTCCTTTGTATAGTTCACTAGATGAGGTGGGTCATGAGTGGAAATCTTATCTCAAAATCGATTCGCAGAACTAATAAAAAATCCTTTGGGTGTTATTTGGAGGATCCGGCACAATTAGGGAACTAGAAATGATTTGAGGTGGTTTTAATTATTTTGACGCAATTAAGGCATTAACCTGAACGCGTATATGACCTTGCCAAAAAAAAAACCAAAAATCTGTTACCTAATGAAAACTCGGATTAAACACAAGGAGACAAAGAAAAGTGTTTTGCCTTGTACTTATTTGGCAGGCATAGGCAAACCGAAAATGGCAAATGTATGCTACAACGACTATTCGCCAGAGGCTGCGTTCGGCTGAGAATGTTGATATGGTATCCCGTATCTTCCTTTATATTTGGATAGCCTCACAAGTGATTTGGTCAAAAAAAGTTTAGAAGTTCTTCTAATTTAATACAACACTCCATTTTTCTAAATACTTTATCTCAGCTTAAAAAAGTAAATGGTGTATCAAAATAATTATTATATTTATAAGATTAATAAATAATATTTTTTTTAATTGAATTTTTAATCCTCTTTGTACATAATTAATTGAATGGTTTTCGCATTCCGACGATAAATTAAGAATATAATATCATCAATCCATCAATAATATTTATGTAATTCAAACAAATTGAAATTGTTTTTTATTGAAAGTGAAAATATCCAAATATGATAAATATTTGAATATGGAAGCGTAGTATTTACAGCTCAATTATCAAGTAGAATTTTCCTAACTACCCCTTCTAGACGTTCCAATTTCGCTGATTTTTAAATCAAAAAATAAGGTCAAAAGAAAGTGGTTTGGGTGTTTGTTACACCTTTTACATTGTTTGTTCCTTTATTGCGGGAATTGCCAAGGTAAATGGCTGGAAGAAAAAAATATGCTTATATTCTTTCCATTCCAATGTATAAGTAAGTTTTTCAGGGGTTATTATTTTGTTTAAAAAATGTAAGTTGTGATTTTTAAGGAATAATTAAATCAATTTTGTTAATGTACCCTTGATTATATTAAGATACAGTGAATTATCTTCAAAAAGTTACATTTAATTTTTGAATATAAAATATTTGACAAAATTATTCTTGATTTTGTTACGAACTTAAAAAGAATTAATTAATTCTTTAAATTTTTCCATATACAAAATATTAAACTACTTGGATTTGGAGTCAGACGAGTAATAAAATTTGTAAATAGGGACATTAATAAATTGTTTGTTTAATTCACTAAATGGAATAGATATTGTAGTCCTTTCTTCTTTAACTGTTTTTGCAAATAATTCATTGGTATATCCGCAATTATCAACGAAGGTCAATTGTGCCTCCGACAATGTGAGGTGCATTGTTATTGTAGCCATGTCATCCACATGACGTTTAATTTCTCAAAACGGATCTTTTTTTTATTTTTTTTTGAAAAAATCGGATCCCATTCTACCTGAGCTCCTTAAAAAATTAGGAAAGTCTATGGTACTTATAACAGAATCCTGGTCATGTAGCCCAAAGTCATAATAGCTTTTAATTATTTTTTGATTATACCTCTCCGAATCCGCGTCCAGTGATACCATTCGATGGAAACGCAATGAAAATAAAAAATTTTTGATTAAATAATTTTTCACTTAAAGTAAATTCCTTTTAATTTTTTTGGAGAAATTCGGCATCGCATAAGACAAGAGTGTGGATAATTACTACTGGGACTATTAACTAAGTATTGTTGTTTAATTTTATTATTAAGATATCAAAAGAATACACGTCCAATGCAGATATGTTTGAACTGTTTCACTCTTTGGTCCAACCTTAAATAGCCCACGTAACCCCTAGTCGATTTTAATGAAAATTAAATAGAAAAGTACATATCAAATACAATAGGTCCATAATAACCATTGAGTTAATATACTTTAAAAAGAGAAATGTCAGCAATTAGGAAGCAAACATTAATCGGAAGAGGTGTTTAACGGACAAAGTCGTGACTAGGGAGATCAGGTCATACTTGTAAGCACAAGATTAATTTTTTAATACGGCGGAAGTAATTCGAATAATGGCAATATATATTTCTTCCATCGCCACATCAAATACCAGGATCACGAGTGGGGAGAACGTACATATAACGCACTGTACGAACTGCTTAGGTCAACGGGATGGCACGAAGTAATTAATTACGGTATACAGGTGATGTCACATCTAGTTCATATTTCGACTTGTTTCGACAGACTGGCCTACTCGCTTTCTAATTTTCTTCCAATCTCGATATATTGTCGGGGTTAGAGAGAAGATTTGTGGTAGAGATTGTGAATAAAATTGGTTTTTGACTTAAGTATTCCAGAGCTTTAGTTGTCTATTTAATTTGCTTTCTTATCGACTGAAATGCATAAGAAGCATGTGATTCTATGTACCAATCTTACAATGGAAATTGTTCTTCTTAAGTTCTATATTCAGGCCTATTGAGTGGGAGAGAATAAAGGGAATTCAAGGAAAGGAAAACAAAAAAAGACTTTTAACACATTGAGTGCAACTGTTAGCGGCTAGCACGTTCTAAAAATCTAGGGGGCCTTGTTTGAAAGTCACAAGGAAGACACTGTTCTTTGGATTTTAACATACCGCATAACAATTGTCAGAGTTCAATCCTACAAACATTGTGGCAAAGCATATGATTTGGAGAAGCGCATAAGGAAAACTGGACCGCACAACTGAGAGCATAGATGATTATAATTAAGGGTGCAACGCCAGGTTTGCACCTATGGCCTCGACCAACGAGTGTCTTTCAACTTACGTTGACTTTACAACAGTGAGAAAAAAAAAAATATATATTATATAACTGTATAATAGATCACATAATATGAAACTATAATAATACTATATCTATATTTAGAGTAGATGTATATATAAGAACTTTGACTAAATAAAAGAAGTATTAAAATACAAACTAGTTAGAGGTAATCATGACCTTGCACTATCTACCTTTCTCCACTATCAGCTATTTTGGACTTTTTCACTCTAATATTTTGTAGACCATTATCAGCTTTAATTGATACAAAAATTAAAACATACTTGCATGTCTTGACTATTGGGTTGATCCATTAGCCGGTGAGCTAAACCAACCACCTAGTCCAGGTAGTAGTGTCCAAAATAACTAAAAAAAAAAAAAAAAAAACTGTACCTAATGAAAACTCATTAACACAAGGAGACAAAAGAAAAGTTTTTGCTGTACTTATTGCAGGCATAGGCAAACCGAAATGGCAATGTATCTACACGACTATTCCCAGAGGCTGCGTTCGGCTGAGATGTTGATATGGTATCCGTATCTTCCTTTATATTTCCAAGTGATTTGGTCAAAAAAGTTTAGAAGTTCCTTCTAATTTAAATACAACCTCCATTTTCTAAATATTTATCTCACTTAAAAAAGTAATGTGTATCAAAATATTTATTATATTTATAGATTTAATAAATAATATTTTTTTTATTATTTTTATCCTTTGTCATAATAATTGAATGGTTTTCATTCCGACGATAAATTAAGAATAATATCATCAATCCATTCAATAATAATTTATGTAATTCAAACAAATTAAATTGTTTTATTGAAAGTGAAATATCCAAATATGATAAATATTTGAAATGGAAGGTAGTATTTAAGCTCAATTATCAAAAGAGAATTATCCTAACTACCCCTTCTAGACGTTCAATTTCGCTATTTTTAAAATCAAATAAGTCAAAAGAAAGTGGTGGGGTTGTTACACCTTTTACATTGTTTCCTTTATTGCCAGGGAATTGCCAAGGAAATGCTGAAGAAAAATATATGCTTATATTCTTTCCATTCCAATGTATAAGTAGTTTCAGGGTTATTATTTTGTTTAAAAAATGTAAGTGTATTTTAAGGAATAATAAATCAAATTTTGTTAATGTCACCCTTGATTATATTAGATACAGTAATTATCTTCAAAAGTTACATTTAATTTTGATATAAAAATAATTTGATCAAATTATTCTTGATTTTGTTACGACTTAAAAGAATTAATTAATTTCTTAATTTTCATATAAAAATATTAAACTACTTGGATTTTGAGTCAGACGGAGTATAAAATATTGTAAATAGGGACATTAATAATTGTTTTTTTCACTAATGGAATAGATTTGTGTCCTTTCTTCTTTAACTGTTTTGCAAAAATCATTGGTATAAATTATCAAGAAGTATGTGCCTCCGACATGTGAGTGCATTGTATTGGTAGGTGTCATCCATGACGTTTAATCTCAAAAACGGATCTTTTTTTTATTTTTTTGAAAGCAACGGATCCATTCTACTGCTCTTAAAAAATTAGAGTCTATGTTACTTATAACAGAATCCTGTCATGTAGCCCCAAAGTCTAATGCTTTTAATTTTTGATTATACCTATCCGAATCCGGTCATGATACATTCGGATGAAACAATGAAAATAAAAATTTTTGTTAAATAATTTTTATTAAAGTAAATTCTTTTAATTTTTGAGAAATTCGCATCGCATAAGAAAAGAGTGTGGATAATACTCTATTACTAGTATTGTTGTTATTATTATTATTAAAAACAAAATACACGTCCAATGCCAGAATTTGAATTTCACTCTTTCCACCTTATACCCAGACCCCTGTGATTATGAAAATAAAAATAAAAAATACATATCCAAATAAATTAATTAAATTTAAAAGGAAATGTCAGCATTAGGAAGCAAAATTAATCGGAAAGAGGGAACGGCAAATCGTGACTAGGGAGATCAGGCATAGCTTGTAGACAAGAAACTTCCATCATCATATGCAATATTTTCCATCGACATATAATCACGTGGGAACCAAAGATGATACGAACTGTCACGTGGCAGAATTCGTATAAGGTGTACACTAGTTTTTGCTGAAGCCTCTCTTTTCAATTTTCTTCAATTCGTTTTCGGGTTGAAAATTATTTAAATTGGTTGATTTAGTTTCAACTTTTAATTTATCATGAAATGCATGACATGTGACATCCATCAATGAAGTCTTTTATTAGGATAGGAAAAAGAAAGGGAAACAAAAAAATTTACATGTTCCGTTTAAAATCTAGTCTAAATCTATCTCCTATGAACAAAATCATGGAAGCATATGGCTTACGCAGTTTTAGCACTCATGTGAAGTGCTACTAACGAAGCATAGAAACCATCTTTGATATTGATAAGAGTTTCATGCCTTCCTTTCTCAACTATAACTCCATTCTTGACCACTGCAATAACATCTGCATTCTTGATTGTTGATAGCCGGTGAGCTACCACCACCGTAGTCCTATTCACCATCAATCGGTCCAGTGCATCTTGAACCATTCTTTCAGATTCTGCATCTAATGCACTTGTAGCCTCATCTAACAATAATATCTTTGGACTCTTCACTATGGCGCGAGCTATAGCTATTCTTTGCTTTTGTCCCCCAGATAACTGTACTCCTCGTTCCCCTACCACAGTTTCATAGCCCTGCATTTTTTTATGAACAAAATAGAGGTATATCAGAATTTGAACCTCTAACGTTTTATATGTTCTGGTGCCAAAAGTTTTATAATGTTCTTTATATAGTTTTTCTCACCTGCTGTAAGCTGCTGATGAAGTTGTGGGCATTGGCCAACTCTGCTGCTTCTATAATCTCTGCCTCAGTTGCATTTCCTTCCTTTCCATAGGCAATGTTGGCACGGATTGTTTCGTTGAACAAAACCGGCTCTTGGCTCACAAGCCCCATCTGTTGCCTTAGCCACTTCAATTGGAGCTTTTGAATTTCAATTCCATCAAGTGTGATATGACCTGAATCTGGGTCGTAAAACCTTTGCAGCAATGCAATTACCGTTGATTTACCACTCCCACTTTCTCCAACTAAGGCAACAGTCTGAAAGAAATTGAAGCACATTAATATTGTTGTAATGTATATCTCATTTCAATTTCCTTAAAGAAGTGGGATCTGAAATGGAACATACATAGAAATTACCTTTCCAGAACGAATAGTCAAGTTGAGGTCCCGGAAAATCTGAATATCTGGTCTAGATGGATACTTGAAGCTTACATGATGAAGTTCAATTTCTCCCGTTACATTTTCTAGTGTTGTTCCTGACTCATCACTTGAATCTATATTTGACTTCCTGTCTATGATTGCGAACACAGAAGCAGCCGCAGCCTTTGCTTTGGCAGAATCAGCACCCATAGAACTTGACTGAGAAATTCCTATAGCTGCCATAGTCAAAGCATAGAAGACCTATAAAATGATGAAAAGGTTTAGTATCACTGCAAAAATATGTTGTAATTGCAAACTTCAAAAAGTTTCTGGGAAAGAGTTTATAGATATGAAGGGCACCTGAAAAACATCTGCAAAGGTTATGTGGCCACCCTCAACTAATCGAGCTCCCGCATAGAAACTAGTTGCATAGAAGCAGAACAAACAGAAGGACGACATTCCAAACCCTATACCACTGATCAATCCTAGCCTTAATCCAGTCCTCCTGGGACCCTCACATTTCTGTTCATAAAGTTGCATCACCTTCTCTTCGGCACAGAAGGAAGCAACTGTTCTTATACTCCCAACTGCATCACTAGCAACTTGGCTTGCTTCCTCGTACATCATCTGCAACCATTTCAATTTATCACATGGTATATAATATTAAATAGACATATTTATGGGATACTGATTGTCTTCCAAAAAAGAAAAAAAAAAAAAAAAGCCTAATGTCAACCTGATTAGCTTTAGCGCTTACCTTTGCATTTGCACTGAATCCTTTCATGAACTTTACTTGGATCATTCCATTGACACCCATCAGAGGGACAAGGACAAGTACAATGAAAGCTAATTGCCAACTTGCAGTGAAAGCAATGACTAGAGCTGCTCCTGCTGTTGCAATATTCTGAACCATCAAAGCTAGTGCATCTCCAACAAGGGCTCGCACTATTGCTGCATCTGCTGAAAGCCTAGCTGCTATTGCACCGCTTGAGTGCTCAGGCTCATCAAACCAACCAATCTCCATGTGGACCACCTTTTCAAAACACATAGATCTAATCCTATGGATTAACTTAGACCCAGCTATAGAAAAGAAATACGTTCTAAACGGAGTTACCACAAATGATGCCAGACCTAGCGTTAAAAACATTAGTGCCCAGAAATTTGAATCCTTTCTCAGTTCGTGAGGTGGTTCATAAAATGTTCTGATTGATTTGGAAACTAGTATACCATAAATTGGCTGTATTGTACCAGCGATACATGCAGCAATGGTACCGAGTATAAGAACCGGAAGCTCTGGCTTGTTAAGATAGGCAAGGCGGCGAATTGGAACCTCTGGAAGTTTTACTTTTGATTGAAAATCTTCTACATCGTCCAGGTCATTATCAGGACCATCTAGTCCTGTAGGAAAACCAAATGGGAGTGGCAACGAGTGTCGACTGCTATTTCCAGATGACCCCCTACTTATAGAGGGACGCAACGACCTTCTTTGACTTGATTGTCTAAGTGATTCCATAGAAATTTCTGATCTGCCATAATCATGTGCAGCCGGTTCTGATTCTTTATTTACTTCCTGTAAACGTATAAGCTGAGAATATGCTCCATCAGGATCTTCAAGTAGTTCTGAGTGTGTGCCTGCCAATTGACAAAATTATTAATATGTTCCTCCCTGACTCGATCACATCAAAAACTTCAAAACAAAAGTAGATTGATGCATACACACATGCAAGTGCAACATTTTTATTTTCTTGTAGTAAGAAATAATAAGTAGATTAAAATACCATGAAGGAACTAAACCACGAAAAGGGTGATGAATGAAACTACAAGAAATTATATAAATAACTAGAAGAGGTACCTTTTTCAACCAACTTTCCTCGATGAATGACAGCAATCATATCAGCATTGCTCACAGTAGTTAAGCGATGTGCAACTATAATAGTAGTTCGGTTGACCATTATCCTGTCTAGTGCCTCTTGCACTACCCTCTCAGATTCTGCATCAAGTGCACTTGTAGCTTCATCTAAAAGTAAAATTCGAGGATCCTTAAGGATTGCCCTTGCAATTGCAATCCTCTGCTTCTGTCCACCAGAAAGCTGAGTTCCATGTTCACCAACCATGGTGTCAAGTCCCTGGATGCAAAAATCTGAAATCAGTAATTAATAATCTTAAAAGAAAACAATACATTCGATTGATAAATTGCAATAACTTTGAACCTGAGGTAGTTTATCAATAAATTTTGCAGCGTTGGCAAGTTCAGCCGCAGCTCTTATCTCTTCAGTGGTGGCACCATCCTTCCCATATGCAATATTGTCCTTGATGCTAGAGGTAAACAACACAGGTTCCTGACTAACAAGACCAATTTTTTCTCTAATCCATTTAAGTTGAAATTCTTTGAGGTTGATGTCGTCTATAAGAACTTCTCCAGATTTTGGATCATAAAATCGTTCTATCAGACTAATTACTGTTGATTTCCCACTTCCACTATGTCCAACCAAAGCTGCAGTTGTGCCACTTGGAATAGAAAGAGAGAATCCACTAAATATCTCCTCATCTGGTCTTGCTGGATAACTGAAATATACATCCCTCAACTCTACATCCCCACGGATGTCGTCTAATACTCTTCCATTTGTATTGTAAGTGTCTATCTCAGGGTTTCTATCAATAGTTTCAAGCATCTTATATGCAGCAGCTCGACCAGAAGCAAATGCACTCAAGCAAGGAGATGTCTGCCCCAAGGACCTACAAGATTCAATAAATCATCAAAGAAGATATGCATTAACTTCATAAACTCACATTAGAAATCAAAAAAGCAACTCACATTGAACCAGTCAACACAGCGACAATCACATTATAGACTTGTCCTCCAGTATATCCTTGTTCCAATATCATCTTAGCACCAAACCAAATAGCCAGGGCATAGCTACCAAATACAGATAACGAAATTAGACCCATACCAACTCCAGCAGCAAGGCCTTGGTGCACACCTGATCTGTAGGCAGTTTGGAGATGCTTGTTGTAAACACTAATGGCCGGTTTCTCTCCAGTATATGATGCAACCTGGAATATGAAATGACTATCATTCTTTTGCAAAAAAAAAAAAAAAAAAAAAAAAAGCGCGGCTTTCTCTTCCAGTATATGATAGCAACCTAGCGAATAATGAAATGACTAATCATTCTTGATTGCAAAAAAAAAAAAAAAAAAAAAAAAGGTAAAAACAATGATTAATATTTTAAAAAAAAAAAAAAAAAAAAAAAAAAAAGGTAAAAACAATGATTAATATTTTCTAAACATACAGTTCTAATTGCGCCAATTGTCCGCTCTACTACAGTAGCTGCTTTTGCATAAGCATTCTGTCCACGATTAGCCATCTTGGATATCAAAATGGACATAATTGCACCGGCTATCGCTAGCGGAGGAATTGCAGCTAACATGACTAGCGTAAGCTCCCACCCCTTGATAAAAGCTATTAGAAAACCCCCAACGAACGTCGCCGTCAGCTGCAGAAATTTTCCTACCTGCACAAATCAAGCAGTCCTAAATGAAAATCGACAAGACTAATAAAATTTTAGTTCATTGCAACTTCCCTTTCGGCAGGCAGTGGTTTAATTACTGAAGCAATTATAAAGTACCTTTTCACCCATTGCATCTTGTATAAGGACAGTATCACCAGACATTCTGCCAATAACCTCTCCAGTACTCGTTTCTTTATCAAAGAAAGCAATATCTTGTCTAAGTATAGTTTTAAGATAATAACTCCTTATTCGCGCCGCCTGTCTTTCTCCTGTGACCATCCAGCAGGCCACCTCTGCCAAACATCAAAGAGAAAATTTCATTTAATTCACATACATATATATTGTTTTGTAAAGTTCTATTAGAAATTTAAATTTGACTTGAACATACGAAGAAAGGCTGCCGCAGCAGCTCCTGCTGCTAAGTAGACATATTTTAGAGAGACCTGAAAATAAATTCAAGTACCAAATCAGTACAGTCTTCAAATCATCAAATCCCTAAAGATTCAAAGAGTAACTTCAGAATTTTTTTTTTTTTTTTATTGGTTACCTGGGAAACTATATGAACCATGACATTGCCAGTCTGGTTTGTTCCAAAAGAATCAATCATTTGTCCGAGTAGCAATGACATAAGAGGCATAGACACTCCATTGCCAACGGCACCAACTGTGCCGGTAATCATGAACAAAATATCAACAGAATCCGCAAACGAAAAAAGCTTAAAAAATGGAACTGTTTTAACTTTCTCCTTATCTGCACTATTTCTGGTGGCCTCTGCCATTTTCGAATCGCCGTTCTAACTCGCTGTGGATATCAACTAAAAATTTCAGGAACGCAGAGAGAGTATTTATGGTGCTGCTGTTGCAGAATCCTTTTCCATTCAAATAATGAAACGTGTAAAATATACTTGCAGTATAAGAAACAAGAATTAAGCAATTCTAAGGTTTTATAGAACTCTACAAATAAACAATATATATAAAAGATTAAAAAAATATATTGAATATAAAAAAGCAAGCAGATAATAGAGGATCAAGTGTACGTATTTTCTTTTTCAAATAATACTAACAATTAATAATTCTATATTTTATTATTTTATATAGATAAAAAAGTATAGTATTTACGAAGTAGAAATATAATGTATTTATAGAAAAATCTTCTAGAATTTTCAGTTTACATAGGACTAGGCTTACATTTACTTACTGTATTATCAAAAACGAATTTTATTTGCAAATCGAAGAGAAACATTCAAATATAATAAAAAAAAAAAAAAAAAAAAAAAAATTCGCCAGAGGAAACATTCAAATATAATAAAAAAAAAAAAAAAAAAAAAAAAAAACAAGAAAGTGTAATAAGCCATTTCCTTTAAGTACAAGAAAAGTGGCTGATTTTGTGCTTCGGCTGGTGCACCAATAGCAAAGAGTGATGAGATATAGTCATCACAAAAGTTGTGGTTTATGTTTTTTGGAGGGACCTCATGCAAGGAAATCTTTACTTCTTAATTTCTTTCGGACTATCCAAGTCGTTGGGCCGGGTTAGAGGTAGAGAGGGTGGGGTGTGCCTGCATACTTAGTTTTATTTTGAGTTCTCATGTTTGAAAACCAAAATACACAACCAAAAAAATCACACGTTAATGACGTACAAATGGTATAAAGATTTTCAGTTAAAAATTATTTTGAGTTCTTTTACAAAACATAAAAACATCGATCAAACCATATATGATCGACATTTATATTTTAAATGTACATAAATAGGAACTAAACAATAGAATAAAATTTTGACTGGATTAATTGAAAAAAAAAAAAAAAAAAAAAAGAAAGTGTATAGCATTTCCTTTAAGTCCAAGAAACAGTGGCTGATTTTGTGCTTCGCTGGTGCACCAATAGCAAGAGTGATGAGATATAGTCATCACAAAGTTGTGGTTTATGTTTTTGAGGGACTCATGCCAAGAATCTTTACTTCTTAATTTCTTTCGGACTATCAGTCATTGGCGGGTTAGAGGAGAGAGGGTGGGGTGTGCTGCAACTTATTTTATTTTATTCTCAATGTTTGGAACCAAAAACCAAAAAATCACACGTTATGACGTAAAATGGTATAAGATTTCAGTTAAAAATATTTTGAGTTCTTTTACAAAACATAAAAACATCGATCAAACCATATATGATCGACATTTATATTTTAATGTACATAAATAGAACTAACAATAGAATAAAATTTTGACTGGATTAATTGTCAAAATGTATTTAGCGCACGCGAAAAAAATTCATTTAGATTATAGTATTGAAAATTCTATTCCTTTCGACACGTGTATCATAATCAATTGGGGCTGGAGCGACGACCGTTACACTGACGGTGACGGCGAGGGTGCAGCAACGAATTGGAAACGACAAGATCAATCGACTAGGTAAAATAACCAACGGTCGCGTCGCCAGTGGGAATCTGGCTGTCCTCGAACGGCAGATTGATGTGACGAAGGAATTCAAACGACCAGACGTGTGATCCCAGTAGGTTGTTTTACGAGGTCGTCGTTCCTGCAGCTTGGCAGTTTACAACATGCTTAAATTACGTGTCAAAAGAAATAGTCGTTGCTGTCGAGCAAGTCAAAGAAGTCGTCGTCGTTTCACTTAGCCCTGGCAATCTAAACTACAGCAAGTTCCTTACCCCAGTCGCAGAAAACAAACCATTAACATAATCGGAAATATCACTGAATTTGGTTTTTAGCTATTAGTTGAACGATGATTTTATCACAAAGAAAAAAATATATACATACAGAAACCCCAGACCAAAATTATTATTAAAAGAAACAGACTTAGGTAGTAATTCAAGCAGATGAGGCAGTGATGTGAAGCGCTACTAAGGAAGCATAAAAACCATCTCTAATGGTGATCAAAGTTTCATGCTTTCCTCTACAATAGTTCCATTTCTAACCACGGCAATAACATCTGCATTCTTGATCATAGATAATCGATGGGCTACAACAAATGTGGTTCTGTTCACCATCACTCGGTCCAGTGCATCATGAACCACTCTCTCAGATTCAGCATCCAGCGCACTTTTAGCCTCATCCAGCAATAGTATCTTTGATTTTTGGCACGAGCAATGGCTACCCTTTGTTTCCGTCCTCCAGACAATTGGACTCCTCGCTCTCCAACCGCAGTATCATACCCCTGCATTTTGCATTGTTATAAAGCAACAAAAGTAAAGCAAACTTATCTGTATTTTGATAATTTCAGTTCTTATCTGTTAGAATTTTACATGGTAATTACTTGTTTGACCAGATTAATTTACCTGTCCTTAATTATAAAAGATGAAATTGTGTTCTAACCTGTTGTAAGCCGCTAATGAAGCCCGTTGGCCAGCTCTGATGCAGCCAAAATTTCTGCTTCCGTTGCATTTCCTTCCTTTCCATATGCAATTTTGGTACGGATTGTATCATTAAACAAGACTGTTTCTTGGCTAACTAGCCCCATCTGTTGCCTCAACCACTTCAGTTGGAGCCTTTTAATTTCAACTCCATCTAGAGCTATGTGACCTGAATCAGGGTCGTAGAATCTTTGTAGCAATGAGATAACAGTTGATTTCCCACTTCCACTTTCTCCAACTAGGGCCACAATCTGAAAGAAAAAAGAAAAATCCATGTTTATACAATTTACCTTTTGACGTTAGCTGTATTGGAGTTTACTTTCATGATTCCTTCTTGTCTTCTGTTAACTGTTTAAACACATGAAATGTAAAAGAGGAATAATTACCTCGCCAGAATGAATAGCCAAGCTGAGATCTTGGAAGATTTGAACATCTGGCCTAGATGGATACCTCATCTTCAGCACAGAAAGAGGCAACAGTTCTAATACTTCCTACAGCATCATTTGCAATTTGGCTTGCTTCCTCATACATAATCTGCAATCATTCATATCTATGTCTTGATGAATAATCTTAAAACGGCCAATCCAATAATTAAAAGCACTTTCTAGAAGAAGCACCTCGAACATTAAAAAGAACTTATTAGTGGAACTGTTTAGAGAATAAAATACAAGATCAAGAGATTAAAATCAAACCTTTGCATCTTTGCTGAACACTTTCACGAACTTTACTTCAACATATCCATTGATTCCAATGAGAGGAATTAGCACAACAACAATGAAGGCCAACTGCCAACTGGCAGTAAAAGCAATGATCAAACCTGCTATTGCTGATACAATGTTTTGAACTAAATGAGCTAGTGCATCTCCAACCCAAGCACTAACAATTGCTGCATCTGCTGAAAGCCGAGCACCAATTGCACCGTTAGAGTGTTCAGGCTGATCAAACCAAGCAACCTCCATATGTACTATCTTCTCAAAACACATTGATCTGATTCCGTTGAATTAACTCAGACCCAGCCACAGCAAACAAGTAAAATTGTGATGGATACGCCAAAAAGATGCCAGTCCAAGAATCATAAGAATTATTGCCCAGAACTCCGAATCCTTTCTCAATTCATGAGGTGGTTCATAAAATGACTTAATTGCTCGAGAAAGAAGCATACCATAAATTGGAAATATTACACCATTGATACTTGCAACTATAGCTCCAGCAATAAGCACTGGAATCTCAGGCTTGTTGAGATGTACGAGGCGCCGGATTAGAACCTCTGGAGTTTTTCCTAGTGGTGGAGAAACTTCTGGTTCTTCCAAAGGACTTTCAGAAACCTTTAGTCCTGAAGGTAACCCAATGGAGATTGAAAATGAATGGCAACTGCTATTTCCAATTATCCTCGACTAATTGATCGTTGTAATGGGCCTTTTTGACTCGGCTGGTGAAAGGATTCCAGAGAAATGTTTGATCTTTTACTCTCTGCTGCTTGTTCTGCATCTTTGTATACTTCTTGTAAACATATAAGCTGAGAGTATACTCCATGAGGATCCTCAAGTAGCTCTAAATGTGAACCTGATTATTCAACAAAAAGTACAACTAAATCATGTGTCCTCCCACCCCCCATAGAAAATCAAACTTCTAGCCAGGATAAATTACAAACCTTAGAATGAAGTAGGAAATTAAATAATTAATTTAGTTAAATAAATTTATGCAAGGTAGCAAGACAGCTCATTAAGCAAAATCAAGTGAACAAGTAAAACTTTAGGAAAATTAGTCAATGCATCCAGTGTAAGCATCAAAACGTCGTAGGACTCAAAGTACACTATAGTTTGTGTTTCAATGATAGGGCATATATGAAAATGTGAAGAAAAGATCAAAAGATTAGCAACAAGAATCTGGGATTGCTGTATGTGTGGTTAAGCGTCCTCTATAAACACAAGATACCTATTTCAGCCGTCTTTCCATGGTGAATGACAGCAATTATATCAGCATTTCTAATTGTACTCAGACAATGGGCAACAACAACAGTTGTTCGATTGACCATAATCTTGTCTAGTGCCTCCTGAACTGTCCTTTCAGATTCTGCATCAAGTGCACTTGTGGCTTCATCTAAAAGTAAGATCCTTGGATCCTTTAAGGTGGCTCTTGCTATTGCAATCCTTTGCTTTTGTCCACAAGATAGCTGAGTTCCATGCTCACCAGCCATACTGTCTATTCCCTGGATGCAAATCCTCAGATCCAAATCAAAATGAGTAATCCATATGATCCAAACAAGATAAAGACAAAATATTTAAAATTTATTATTGAGCAAGCAGTTAGGACCTGAGGTAGTTTGTCAATGAATTTAGCAGCGTTGGCAAGTTCAGCTGCAGCTCTTATCTGCTCAGTTGTTGCACCATCTTTTCCATATGCAATATTATCCCTAATGCTGGCAGTAAACAATACAGGTTCTTGACTGACAAGTCCAATTTTCCCCCTAATCCACTTTAGCTGAAGTTCTTTGATGTTAATGTCGTCTCTTAGAACTTCACCAGCTCGTGGATCATAAAATCTCTCCATCAGACTGATAACTGTTGACTTCCCGCTTCCACTTTGTCCAACCAAAGCTGCAGTGGTGCCACTTGGGATGGAAAGCGAGAATCTAGTAAATATTTGCTCCTCCGGTCTGGCTGGATAACTGAAATATACTTCCCTGAACTCTATGTCTTCGTTGATGTCATCCAATACTTTTCCCTTTGTATCATAAACATCTATTTGTGGCTTTCTATTGATAGTCTCAAACATCTTATAAGCTGCAGCTTGTCCAGAAGCAAATGAGCTCATGCAGGGAGATGCCTGTCCTAGGGACCAGAAACATAAAAATATAGATGCAAAAGGTCAATTAGAGCAAAGAATTGCTACCTTTATTAATTTTACTTACATGTTCGTGTTTCATTTTCTGTGTGTGTGCATGTGCACCCATAGAATCAGACAGGAACTCACATGGAGCCAGTCAACACAGCAATGATCGCGTTAAGCACTTCACCTCCTGTGTATCCTTTTTCCAGTACCATTTTTCCACCAAACCACATTGCCAAGGCATAACCACAAAATATGATCAAGAATACTACACCAAGACCTAGTCCAGTTGCAAAGCCTTCATGAACACCTGAATTATAAGTGCTTAAAAGGAATTTCTTGTAGTTACTTATGGCTTGCTTCTCCCCGGTAAATGATGCGACCTGATTTTGAATTAATTAATCAGTATACTTCACAAAAAATTATTTTCAAGAAATGTTTCTTTTATTGATTTCATAAACATACAGTTCTAATTGAGCCAATTGTCTTCTCAACTACAGTGGCTGCTCTTGCATAAGCATTTTGTCCACGGGATGCTGACCTAGCTACCACGATGGACATTATGGCACCAGCAATCACAATCAAGGGAATAGAGGATAACATGACAAGGGTAAGAAGCCATCCCTTGATAAATGCTATTACGAAGCCTCCAATGAACATTGATACAAGCTGTAGGAATTTCCCAACTGCATGAAAGAAGCAGATTCATTTAATAAAGACAAAATACATCAGAATCAGTGCAAATATTTTTAACTTCCATGGGAGCACAAATGCAATACCTTCTCCCCCATAGCATCTTGTATAAGAAAAGTGTCACCAGACATTCTGCCAATGACCTCTCCAGTGTTTGTTTCCTTGTCAAAAAAGGCGATATCTTGTCTCAATATAGTTTTCAAATACAAACCCCTTATTCGTACAGCCTGTCTCTCTCCTGTAACCATCCAGCAAGCTACTTCTGACAAACAATAAACACAAGTTTCTCAACCCACATACCTAATAATCTATGCAAAAAAAATGACATTATTGAGTTATTTACTTACGTAGAAATGCAGCTGCACAAGCCCCCACTGCCAAGTAGACAAATTTCAGGCACACCTAAAATTTTTCCAGGTGACAAAAATTAGTAACATCTTCCTACTTACATAGAAGAATGAGAAAGATCAAATTCAAATCCTCAATAACAACAACATTAATAAATTGTTTTCATCTTTTTACCTCTCTTTAACTAGTTGCTAAACTTTTGAACCATATCCTTGATCAGAAAGATACACACTAGTCCCATACCTAAGTGCCCGTATTGGTACAAATAGAAATCTATACTGGAAATACATGAGCTTATAATTAAAGATTCTGTTGAACAAGATTATTAGTTATTACCTTGGAAACCACATGCACTATGTTTTTGTTATTCTGGTTTCTCCCAAAAGCATCGGTAAGATTCCCTAGGAATATATATAGTCATAAGGGGCATTGCTAACCCATTCCCAACAGCACCAATTGTTCCAATGACCATCGACATAATATCTGTGTAATCTGCAAATGAAAAAAGCTGACGGAATGGAACCAAATTAGTTTTTTCATCTTCTTTGCTCCTCTCTGTATCTTGTGAGTTTCCATATACAACAAAGCCTTTCTCCATCTCTTCATTTTTGGTTGATGTGCTCGCCTCATAACTGCTTTTACCAACGTTGAAGCCGTTCTCCACGGCCATAACAAACAATCTGAAGAACCTAAAATCTTTTCGTTTGTCAACTATTCTTAAGCTGTGCATAGTACTAATATTGCAGTAGCACATCTGCAAAGCATAAATAAATGGTATAACCAATGGGCAACTTTAAACTGTACTGAGAAAGAATCAAAAACCAACAAAATGATGTAAGAAGATACATTAATGAGTCAGAAAATCTATGAGCCACCAGTTCAGTTCAGAACATTAATAAATCTCACACATTCTATTGACCACCTATCTTCTTGATTGAACAGAGCAGAATTAGCCATTAAGCAACAGAAAGGAAAAATCCATACGAATCTTTTGAATAAAATAAAGAAAAATCCATACGAATCTTTTAAAATAAAAGCGTTTTGCTTCTATTCCACGGAATCAAGAACCACCATTAGAGTATTCTAATATAAAGTACTTCACAAACAAGAGGCACTTTTAAACGGATTTAGAACCTATAGTAACACATTTTCTGGGAAAATCACTCAACAAACACCAAATGAAGTATAAATTCTACATCTACTGTTACTGGAAATGGATTCGATTTGATTACTTCACAAGAATTGTTCAGGAGTAGTGCCGCAATCGGTTCGCGCTTTGGTAAACCGACGTCAGTTTAATATGGAGGGAATAAAGAGAAATGCATTTGGGGAGGATCGGTTTATACTCGCAAAATCACAGTGCGGAATGGGCAAAGATGGGTTTTTGATTCTACTTTAAGGCGGAAATTAATAAAACCGGGAACCGGCGTTTGTAGGTAACTGTTGTCGTGGAAAATCGCACTCATGTGGAAAGAGAGTTGAGAAAGTTTTTTAAGCAGCTTTTTTGGATGCGAGGTATAGCCAGAGGCAATTCCTTTTAATTCTTTCTTTTTTTTATTATATTTTTAGAAAGTAGGAATTAGAATGCTTGAGAAAATTGGCATTCAATTCAATGTAGGATCTGGTTATTTATTTGGAAGTACAGTATACGTTTCTCAGAAAAAGAATATAAATTACATTTTGTAAATAAGGGGTTGCATCCACCAAAACTATAATTGCTGAATTTGAAAAAATGGGTAGTAGGTCATGCAGTTGAGGCACTCATGTGAAGTGCTACTAAAGAAGCATAAACACCATCTTTGATATTGATCAAAGTCTCATGCTTTCCTTTCTCTGCTATAACTCCATTTTTAACCACCGCAATAACATCAGCGTTCTTGATTGTAGATAACCGATGTGCTACTACAACTGTTGTCCTGTTCACCATTACTCGGTCTAATGCGTCTTGAACCACTCTTTCAGATTCAGCATCAAGAGCGCTAGTAGCCTCATCTAATAGCAGTATCTTTGGACTTTTTACTATTGCTCGAGCAATGGCTACCCTTTGTTTTTGCCCACCCGACAATTGGACACCTCGCTCACCTGCAACAGTATCATACCCCTGCATTTCATCAAACCATAGAGAGTTAATAACAAGAATCTAAACTAAAATTAATACTATTTTAATTCATGTCAATATCATATGTATTAACCTGTTGTAAGCTACTAATGAACTTGTGTGCATTGGCCAGCTCTGATGCAGCTATAATTTCTGCTTCAGTTGCATTCCCATCCTTTCCGTACGCAATATTGGCACGGATTGTATCATTAAACAGTACTGGTTCTTGGCTTACGAGCCCCATCTGCTGTCTCAACCACTTAATCTGGAGACTTTGAATTTCAACACCATCTAGAGTTATATGACCCGAGTCAGGATCATAAAATCTCTGCAACAACGAAATGACTGTTGATTTCCCGCTTCCGCTTTCTCCAACTAAGGCCACGGTCTGAAAGAAAATGGATAGATTTAGTAAGATTAATTCAAACAGGAATGTTTTATCTTTTTTCTTCTCCTTATTGTCTGCTATGAATGAAAAATAAAACAGGATTGTTTACCTTGCCAGAATGAATTGCCAAGCTGAGGTCTCGGAATATTTGAATATCTGGTCTAGATGGATACTTGAAGCTTACATGACGAAGCTCAATTTCTCCTCTCACATCCTCTGATATGGTTCCTGACTCATCACTCGGATCTATCTTTGACTTTCGGTCAATGATTGAAAATATGGAAGCAGCAGCACTCTTGGCTTTGGCAGAGTCAGGATTCAAAGAACTTGATTGAGAAATTCCAACAGCTGCCATGGTTAATGCAAAGAAAACCTAAAAAATGGACACACGAGAAATAAATATCATTAGAACGTAGGTCAGGGTTTAGGAAGCCTTGAATGTCTTTGGATGAATATATATAATTTGAAAGATATACCCACTTGAAAAACATCTGTGAATGTTGTTTTCCCATGCTTGACAAGTTGAGCTCCTGCATAAAAACTGATAGCATAGACAGAATACATCAAGAAGAATGATACTCCAAATCCTGTCCCACTTACAAGCCCTGTCCTTATTCCTGTCTTCATAGGGCCTTCACATTTCTTTTTGTACAGTTGCATCACCTTTCCTTCTGCACAGAAAGAGGCAACAGTTCTTATACTCCCTACCGCATCATTTGCAACTTGGCTTGCTTCCTCGTACAAAACCTGGAACAATTTAGATTTAATTGTTTACTATTTTTTTTTTCTTGAAAATCACGTGGCAGTGAAATGCAAAATCGCAAGATAAAAAGCATACCTTCGCATCTTTGCTGAACCCTTGCAAGAACTTTGCTTGAACATATCCATTTACACCTATGAGAGGAATTAATACAAGAATAATTAAGGCCAATTGCCAACTTGCAGTGAAGGCAATAACTAGACCCGCTACTGCTGACGCAATGTTTTGAACCAACTGAGCTAGTGCATCTCCAACTAGAGCACGCACTTTTGCTGCATCTGCAGAAAGCCTAGCACCAATTGCACCACTTGAATGTGCAGGTTCATCAAACCAACCCACTTCCATATGAACCACCTTCTCAAAACAAATGGATCGGATCCGTTGAATTAGTCTACTTCCAGCCACAGCAAAGAAGTAATATTGTGATGGAACTACTAAAAGTGATACCACACCAATTATCACAAACATTAATGCCCAGAAACTTGTATCCTTTCGCAATTCATGAGGTGGTTCATAAAATGATTTAATCACTCTAGAAAGTAGTATACTAAAAATTGGAAATAGCACACCATTGATACTGGCAGCTATAGTTCCAATTACAAGCACCGGAATCTCAGGCTTGTTGAGATATGCAAGGCGGCTGAGTGGGACCTCTGGAGCTTTTTCTTGAGTAGAAACTTCTTGCTCTTCAGGTAAACCAAATGATACTGAGAAAGAATGGCGACTGTTATTCCCAACTCCAGATGATCCCCGACTAATTGATCGATGTAGTGAAATTCTCCGACTCGATTGTCTGAAAGATTCAGATGAACGTTCTGGTCTAATATGGTCGTCTGCTGCATGTTCTGAGTCTTTATTTACCTCTTGTAAACGTATAAGCTGAGAGTACGCTCCTTCAGGATCCATAAGTAGTTCTGAATGCGAGCCTGATCCATCAGCAACATGTTATTAAGTTACAGATGCTTTCTTAAGATTGTTGTATATGAGGATAAGTGTACTATTAAATCATACCTTTTTCAATCATCTTTCCACGATGAATGACAGCAATCACATCGGCATTCCTAATTGTACTAAGACGATGAGCAACGATTACAGTTGTTCGATTGACCATAATCCTATCTAATGCCTCCTGAACTACTCTTTCAGATTCTGCATCAAGTGCACTTGTGGCTTCATCTAGAAGTAAAATCCTTGGATCTTTTAAAATGGCCCTTGCTATTGCAATCCTTTGCTTCTGTCCACCAGATAGCTGAGTTCCATGCTCACCAGCCATAGTATCTAGTCCCTATACGCAAAGTCCAAGGTCCAAATTAAATGAAAAAATTAAAATCCAAAAGAGCAAAAAAAAAACACCATGAAAACTTAATTACTGGCAATGCTTAGGACCTGAGGTAGTTTATCAATGAATTTTGCGGCATTGGCAAGTTCAGCTGCAGCTCTTATCTGATCAATAGTAGCTCCATCTTTACCATATGCAATATTATCCCTAATGCTTGCTGTAAACAACACAGGCTCCTGACTGACAAGTCCAATTTTTTCCCTAATCCACTTTAGCTGAAACTCTTTCAGATTTATGCCATCTATAAGAACTTCACCAGCTTGTGGATCATAAAATCTCTCTATCAGACTGATTACTGTTGACTTCCCACTTCCACTCTGTCCAACCAAAGCTGCAGTTGTGCCACTTGGAATCGAAAGAGAGAACCCACTAAATATTTGCTCATCTGGTCTGGCCGGATAACTGAAATATACATTTCTGAACTCTATATCTCCACGAATGTCATCCAATATCTTTCCCCTCAAGTCAGAAGCATCTATTTCTGGCTTTCTATTAATAGTCTCAAACATTTTATATGCTGCAGCTTGTCCTGCAGCAAATGAGCTCATACAAGGAGAAGCCTGCCCCAACGACCTGAAGCATTCATATTAAATTCAACACGTCAAAAGATGGCGAACAATCAAAGAAAGGATAGCATACATTATGTCTTCATAAATGAAACTTACATGGAACCAGTCAACACAGCAAGCATCACATTAAGAACGTCACCTCCTGAGTATCCCTTATGCAGTATCATCTTTCCACCAGACCATATTGCCAAAGCATAAGTGCTGAATATTATCAACAATACAAAGCCAAGACCGAATCCTGTAGCGAAGCCTTCATGAACACCTGAATTATAAGCGGTAACTAAAAACTTCTTGTAATTACTTATAGCTTGCTTCTCCCCAGTAAATGATGCAACCTGATTTAAAGTTAGACAATGAGCATTCTCTGGACTGAAAACTATGTTCCAAGTATATATATATATATATATCTAGTGCTGCTACTTATACATACAGTTCTGATCGAGCCAATAGTCTGCTCAACTACAGTTGCTGCTTTTGCATAAGCAGTTTGTCCACGGGATGCCATCTTAGATATTGTGATGGACATGGCTCCACCTGCTATCACTAGAAGGGGAATAGACGACAACAAGACAAGGGTAAGAAGCCATCCCTTTATAAATGCTATTACAAAGCCTCCAACGAATGTTGATACAAGCTGTATAAATTTCCCAACCTATGTGAAAGAAGAAGATTCGTTTAACCACAGGAATACATCGGCAAGACATCAAATTCAGTACAAGGAGTTGTATTATTGTAGCAAAATAGTACCTTTTCTCCCATGGCATCTTGTATAAGAACAGTGTCACCTGACATTCTACCAATAACCTCTCCAGTATTTGTTTCCTTATCGAAAAATGCTATATCTTGCCTCAATATAGTTTTCAAATACAAACCCCTTATTCTTGCAGCCTGTCTTTCTCCTGTGACCATCCAACAAGTCACCTCTGACAAGCAACAAATAAAGGTTTCTCAATCCAAATGCTTGACATAAATAAAATTTTACTTGCACGTTGAAATAGCATTACTCAGTATTTGCTTACGAAGAAATGATGCCACGGCAGTCCCTACTGCCATGTAGACAAATTTTAGAGACACCTGAAATTTTTCCAGGCAACAAATTAGTAACTTCTTTCCTGTTTAGAAAGTCGAAAATTGTAGAAGAAATAGAAGGATCAAGTTCAAATTGCTAAATAAACGCAATTAAGAATCAGAAAGATACACAATAATCTCATACTTCAATAGGAATTTGTATTAGAAATATATCTGTTTTATACCTTAGAAACTACTTCTACCACATCTTGGTTATTTTGGTTTTGTCCGAAGGCATTAATAGTATCACCAAGCAATATTGTCATAATGGGCAGTGATAACCCATTACCAACAGCACCAATTGTACCAACAATCATCAATATAATATCTGTTGGATCTGCAAATGAAAATAGCTTATAGAATGGAACTGAATTAGTTTTGTCATCTCCTTTGCTCTGCTCTGTATCTTGTGGGTTCCCTTTCCCATTTATGATAGACTTCTTCTCCTCCTCTTCATGGCCTGTTGATGTGCTTGCCTCATGCCCTTGTGGAAGCCCATTTACTCCCTCCCTCTTGGCCATGATCGAGGATCCACAAATAAATTCTCTCTTCAAAGTGTTATATTTCTACAGGAGCAGCAGAGCACAGACAAAAAGTTTCTGAAATCAGCAATCTAGTATAAACTGTAGACAAAAGCCAATAAAAGGGGTACTAGGAAGAGATTGTTTTTGGTTTTATTGAATCTTAAAAATCCATGTATTCTTTCAAAAACAAGTAAAATATAGTAATATACAGACAGAATATTAAGTAAGCATCTCTTTCTTGAACTGAATTCGAGTAACCATTAAGCAACAAAAAGAAAAAGAAGAAAGCTGACAAATCTCTATTTAAATAAATAGAGTAACTTTGTTTATATTTCAAGGAATCAATATCTAACACCAACAATCAACAATTAGCTTATCCTAATATATTAATAAACAAGGAACTAGCAGAAGCAGATTCCCAATTACTAGTTGCATAATTTTATGCCAAGAAATGCTCTAATGCTTTAGAGCATTTCTTTAGAGAGAGAGAGATTGATGGGTTTTCCTTTTTCCCTTTTTTTCTGCCCTACCACCTCATGTTTAAAATATGTTAAAAGAAGACATTGATGAAACTAGTAAAATGAGCAAAGCACTGAACCAGCTGTACTCTGTATATAGTGGTAGAAATCTGTACAACCGAACAAGAGAGAATTTGAAAAGAAAAATGTACTCGCTTACGGCTTACCCAAAAGTTAAAAAAAAAAAAAATTGTAAAACGGGAAAGATAATTGAAGTGAACAGAATCTGAGATCTGGGTCGCAGCTAGCTCTTAAGCGGATGCGGTTTTCGGTTTGAGCGGTTCACACATTATATTGGCGCTTGCTTTGCTTGCAGAGGAAGCATTTTTGAATTTGTCGTATAAAAATATAACAAAGAAAATCGCAGCAGCTGCCGTTGCAGACTTGCAGTACTGCAGAATGGTCAAATGCGTGGAGGGGGCTCCTTCTTCGTCAACCAAATCTCATCTCATATTAATTGTTTATTAATTTATAAATTTTACTTACTTTATACTACATCTGTACAGAGCTATCTTCTGGAAGTGAGTGTGGGTCGGTTGGTTCTTCCTACAATTTCTCGACAGAGTTCTAATTATAAAAAAACATAAGTTAAAATAATGATCACGTAATGCACGCCGTAACCTGTACAGTTCTTTTCCAACGACAATAGAAAAAATCGGCGCGTAATTGGTTATTGAACTTTTAAATTCAGGAATGGATTCTCGAGTTGCGATCCGTGAGATTATAACCTTAATTAATGTTTTATGGAAAATTAACATTTCTATGGAAAATATAATTTTTGAAAAGCATTAAAAAAAATTATGTTATTTTATTTGGATTATAATAAAAAATTCGGAGAAAGTTTTAATAATCCATTTTAAACAAATGAATTCCATAAAATTCTAAATTTTGTGTTTAGAATGAAAATAAAAATACAGATTTGAATTGTATGAATTAAATTCTGTAAAATTATATATGTCTTATTCAAATTTTACTAAAATTATGAAATTTCTAGATAAATTTCACAAAATTAAACTATTGAAATTTTAATCGATAAATTAGCCTCGGTTATAAACTCAATTGGTAATACTCTTTTTTTTCCCTTTCTATTATTAAATTTTTATTAAGTTCTTTAAAATATTAGATAACTATAATATAACGTATTTGTAACCTTGCACTTTCTTTTTAAGAAATCTTACACCTACTAATATATATTACTTTCCTAAAAATAAAACTAATATATAATACAAAGTATTATCTGCGGGAATTTATTATAGGACCAACCTAGATTATTTAATTATACAGACATTTTAAATTTATTTAAAATGTTATAGGTTTATATCTTTGTCCCCATTAAATTTATTAAAATACTTTATACTTTCATTTTTGCGTTTATATTATGTTTTACTAGAAAAATTTTCTGAATTTGGATGCGAAAATATAGAACTATATATATTAAAATCGTGGAAAGAGTTCTAGTCGACGAACACAATAAATGTTATGTACTGTCCCGTGATATAGGGAACAATTCATGAGATGGCCATTGACTCTGACATTCGAAAATCACTAGTCTACAATTTTTAATACCATAATAACCTTTTTTTATTATTATTTTCATGATTTAGTTAATGTTTAGTTGACGTAGTAGTAATATCTAAGCTCAAGCATACTATTACTTGTATAATTATTAATTAGCGACACTATCTCTGTGTTTCTTGTAATGGGTGTTCTAAAAGTTATTTTCTTAAAATTTTTAATTTTATTTAATTTATTTAGGTGGCAGTAGGTGAGAAGGGATTTTCCATTTTTTATTTTTTTTTTAGTTGAAAATTTTATTTTTCCATATTGAACCAAGAAGTGGAGGTCCAGGGTTTGACAAGTTTCATTCAAATTTCCTTGTGTCCAATTCTTCCAGAGGTTTGACAAGATGGAACAAGTTGACTTATGAATTATCGATTCACGTGTATTGATCCACGTGATTTTTTGATATTTTTAATTTTTTTTTAATTATAATTATCTAATTAATATATAATTCATTAATTGAACTATTTACCTATTAATTAAATTAATGACTCATTCACCATATTTTTTTTTAGCTAGCCAATTTTAATAACACTGACAATAATATTTGATTTTTGAATTATATATCTATCAATGTTCAATTGGTGGCTTAATGTAAATTATAAGGACTAGAGAATTTAAATTTAATTATTATAAAAAAGCCAATTTTAATAACACTGACAATAATATATAAGGACTAGAGAATTTAAATTTAATTATTATAAAAAAGCCAATTTTAATAACACTGACAATAATATTTGATTTTTGAATTATATATCTATCAATGTTCAATTGGTGGCTTAATGTAAATTATAAGGACTAGAGAATTTAAATTTAATTATTATAAAAAAGCCAATTTTAATAACACTGACAATAATATTTGATTTTTGAATTATATATCTATCAATGTTCAATTGGTGGCTTAATGTAAATTATAAGGACTAGAGAATTTAAATTTAATTATTATAAAAATATATTTAATTAGACCGAAACCGAATTAATTTGATTTGGTTGATTTCGGACTCGTGGAGGGAAGTAATTGAGATGTTAGTACCGCAGTAATTGGTGGTGGGATATCCTCACTTGTTAGTTTGCGAATCCGACAAAGGACTGGGTGACGGATTGGTGTTTTGATAAGCAAAAATCATTAGAGACTGATTGAAGAGCACAAGAGGCCGTAAGAGACAGTAAATGGGCCAATTCAGTGTTTTTTTGTGGAGAGGGAGGAATCTCTGTAAATGAAATAGGTACATATTGATTTGACCATACAATATATCCCTAAAGTAAACTGACACCACAGACAGGTATTAACCTAAGAGTGCAGTTAATAAAATTAGTTATCTAAGTTTTTTTTGTTCCCTTTTTTTATTTTTTTTTTTTTTCTTTTTAATTTAGACAGTGTTTGGTAGATGATTTTGAAATAGCAAAATTTATCAAGACAAAACATTTATGCCTGACACAACTCGATTGATTTATATAATATGACATTAGTGGACAGAAATAAATGCACGTGTTTTTATTTAGGGTCTGATAATGTTTGGTTATGGACAGTCATTCATGTTCTGTCTGTAGCAAGCAGAGTAAGGATATGGAGACTGTTTTACTGTTTGACTTCATGGAAATGGAATGGGACCTATCATTCAAAATCCAACCAACACGAATAATAAAAAATCAAATGAAATTTTTGAATTCAAAATATAAAAATAAACATATTAAATAACAGAAATCAAGAAAACCAACAAAGAATAAATTAATTGGAATTTACCAATCTGTGAAGGCAACAGAAGGAACTAACTATACAAGGCACGTCTCTTTTTTTTGTCTCCAAAGTGGACTACCCACTTAATTAGACCTTATCATGAACCCTCCTTACCCTAGCACTCTCTCTCTCTCTCTCTCTCTCTGTCTCTCTCTGTTGTTCGACCGTCGGATGGATGGAGATGCTTTATATTTTCAAATCAATCTTTACTTACTGTCAAGCACGACAATATGCTATGGACAATGGGGCAATTGATTGGGTACGCAGTGGCTACAGTATTTGGCTAAAATAGACATTTTACTGTAGTGCAAATTATCATCTCAAGGAATTATTCTCCTCTCTTTTCTTTCTTTTGTCTCTTTGTATAGTGTCCATCCATCTAAAGAATGACATGGCCAAATTCCTGAAAATGAGATTTTGATACCTGCCCAAATTCCCAAAGGAAAAATAATTGTACCCGTACAGAATATCAATTTCTTTCCTTTTTTTTTTTTTTTTTTTCTAGTTCATGTATTTATTGACTGATTAAAATATTTCTAGACGTCATACTTTGGTCAGAGTATTTCAGTAACTTAGCCCCCACGGAGATGATCCTTAGTTTGGTTTGGTTTGATTTAATTACCTATAAACATTAATCAATTACTTTTGACGTACAGATTCAATCAATTGAATAAAAATAAATTTACAAAACTGAAACAAGAAGACAACCTTACTCTCTCCTCCTATAATACGACGTGAAGAATATTTTGAGCCCACTAATTTGGAATCTTTGATTAAAATGGAATTTAATTAAGAAGAGAAGAAGCATTTAGGGAGATCCATCGATTATGCCTTTTTGAGCAGTAAAATAATGCCCAAAGATATATTTTCAGTGGTAGGTTAAATATCCATGTCAATTGCAAGTTTTGTTTTTTATTTGCTTGTTATCAAAGTAACTGTCAATCTGTCATGGCTCAACTACCGAACCCAACCCTTCATTAATTAATTATCGATAAGTAACCTCTTCACATCTTCAACAGCTGTTGTTTTTGACAAGTGAAGCAATCCCCACCGTTATTAATTATTTCAAAAAAATCAGGATTTGCAAAACAAAACCTTCCATTATTATTTAAAAAATATTACTTTTATGCCTCTATATTATACAAAAATTTTAATCACTTAATTTTTTTAAATATATACTATTTCAACCCTAATATTTGGTTCTATCAACTATTTATTTATTTCCTTACTTTTTGACTTTTACGGTTGTATATCTTGTAAAAAGATAAAAATATCATTATCTTTTTGTAAACTTTAGAGTGTATTTTCATATTTTTACAATATATATATATATATATAAGCAGAGCGGTTTACATTGTATAGAAGCCAAGTCTAAACTTCTGAAATTACCAAGTATGAGAAAGACAACAACTATTTAGCACGGTTGTAAAAAGATAAGATGTAATAATAATAATTGTAAGAAAATAAGTTATTTTATATTTTTATATAATGTCTTTATCATGATAATATCTATTAGTTATATCCCATCAGGATAATGCATTAAATTAAATTAAAATTTGATTAAAATACAAATAACCCAAGCCATAAAATATATTCCCCATCAGGATTAATGCATTAAATTTAAATAAAAAGGATAATGCATTAAATTAAATTAAAATTTGATTAAAATACAAATAACCCAAGCCATAAAATAAGAAATACTTAATTTCTTATTTTAATTATTACCTTGGTGTATGAGGTAGTCTTATATAACAGGAGTTAGGTTTCACAAACACGGGACACGAGATACGAAACGTACAGATATATGATAATAAATAAAAACATAAAATAAAAAAATACTTCTATTTTAATATAATTAGTTTAAGTTAAAACACATATAACCAAACTATAAATTAAAAAATATTTAATTTCTTATTTTAATGATTACCTTTATGTATGGAGTAGTTTTATATACCAGCTAGGTTGCACAGACACGAGACACGAGATACGGAAACGTACGGAATATGATAATAAATAAATATAATAAATAAATAATTATTTATAATAAATGATAAATATAAAATAAAAAATACTTAATTTCTTATTTCAATATAATTAGTTAAATTTTCAAAATTATTATCACTGTTGAAATATCTATATCCACATATGTAATATATAAAAGTATGATAGCTTGCTTTATATGGAAGCCAAGTATAAGTAGCACACTTTACCACTTGATATTATTTTGGATTATAGAATGACGGATGTTTGAATTCATACAATTTAGCACAATTGTAAGAATTGTAAAAAAAATCAGTTATTTTATATTTTCAGATAATCCCTTTATCAAAATAATATCTATAAAAAAAATTTTCTTTAGCATTTAATATATTAATATAAATTTATTTCTACTTACAAAACAATTAATAAGTGATCCACACGCTTAAAAAAAATAAAAAACTTAATTTCTTATTTCAAAATAATTAGTTTAGTTCTCAAAATTATTATCATTATTGAAAAATATATTAATAGTGTGTATGCATTTTTTTATGTATGTCATACCATACATGACTTTTGCTATTGCATATCTTATAAAAAGTTTCACAAGATATACATGACTTTTGCTATTGCATATCTTATAAAAAGTTTCACAAGATACTTAAGAATGCATATCTTAGCACCGCAACTTTTCAGCATATCTTAATAAGATACAATTTATCATTTTATTATATAATTTTACTATTTTTGAATAATGTCATAAAACACTATTTCATATGTTAATATTACCCTGCGCATCGTACGAATTATAAGGGAAAAAAAAACAATTATATTTTCAGATAATATCATATAGGAGGAAAAAAATTCAGATAATATCATATAGGAGGAAAAAAACTAAATTAATATTAATAAGCAAAAATTATTTTTTTTAGAAATAAGAAAGGAATATAAGGGAAAAGAATTCTAATAATTTTCTCTTTAAATTAGAAGGAAAATTAAAAAAAACTATTAAAATAACTTTGTAGAGGAAAATTAATTTTATTTTTCTTTTATATCCAAAAAAAATAAGTAACAAAAGTTTTTTCAAAAAAAAATTTAGTCCCTTTTTATTTTTTTTTCTCATTATTCATTAATAAAAAAAATATAAAAATAAATTAAAAAAAACACTTCATCACGCGATATGGGAACGTATACAATTTGACAATTTTTAAAAAAATATGACATTCACACACTTAGGACACATTACACCAAATAATTATAATATATTAATATTTTAAATAAATAAATAATATTTTAAATTAAATAAATAATCATTTATAAATAAATTCATAAATATAAAAATCATAGATACTTAAATTTTCTCTATTTCAATATAATTAGGTTAAATCAAAAATTAAATAATCATTTATAATAAATCATAAATATAAAATCATAGATACTTAATTTCTTATTTCAATATAATTAGTTAAATTTTCAAAATTATTATCATTATTGAAAAATACATTAATAATATGTGTGCAGTTTTTTATGCAGGTTATACTAGGAGTGTCAAAATGGATCACGATACGCGAATATGGTTCGCCTAATACGTGAAATAAATGAGTTAAGGTTAAGGTTAAACGAGTCCGTATCATAAATGAGTCACCCATTTATGACACGAATATAAATATGTTGTGTCGTGGGTTGACACGCGGATCGGACTAGTAACCTGCTTATTTAAAAGTAAAGAGGTAATTTTAGTGTTAGATATAATACTCCAACTAAAACCTATTTATATTTTATTGTTGTATTACTTTTTTATTTTAATTATGAATCTTGAAGAGTTTATGCATTTTACGTGTGAAAATTTATTTTAAAATATAATTGCGGTAAAATATATTAAAAGTTAAAAATATTATAAGCAAGTTAAATGGGTCGTATATAGGTCAATACATCCATTTAACCTATTTATAATATTAAGCGGGTTACACGGGTTATATATGAGTCAACACGATCCACTTAATTTGTTTATGATATTAAACGGGTTAAATATGTCATGTTCGTATCAACCGTCTAATTTTCATGTTGTGTTTGTACCAAAGTTATAAAAAATTATTTTATCATTTAATATTGCTCGGTACATCGCGTGGATTCTAATACTAGTTTAACATAATAATAAAAGTATAAAAGAGTGAATACAAGGACGATTTCATTCTAAGAAAGAAACAAACACTAGGGATGAAATATTACATTTTAAAAAAAGCGAGGACAAAATAATTATTTTTGGTATAATGCGGGGATGTAATTATTATTATTATTATTATTATTATTTTTGAAGAGTAATATTCTGAGATCCGAAGGTTTCAGGATCTGTGATGTGTATTCCAGTTCTCTAATTAGTAACTACGCGTTAAGCTGCCTGTAAGGTGCTTTGATATTATGTGGTGGAAACTGTATTGTGCACATAATATCTGGTGGCAAAAATAAATAAAAAAAAAAAAGTTATTCATTTTTTACATCATACTATGTATTGTGCACATGGAGATGGGCCCTTCAAAAAGCCTAATGTTGGGCCTTCTAGTAGACAGTATCAGGATGTCTTGATTCTTCAACTTTTCACTATGAGTGGATTTATTTAAAAAACAATACAATAAATATTAGATGAATCATTATTTTTATTTTTGAGTAATTCGATGAATTAATTTAAGATATAATAAATACACATTACCGGTGACGTGTAGAGTGACATAAACCACCCGTCATCATTTCACCAGGGACAAAAAGAAAACGATGCCGTCTCATATCGAGACGAGAGATAAATCTCACCTCTCTTTATTATGTTTTTCGAGAAGCGACTAACGCCTTGGACAAGGCTCATGTGGGCCAATAACATTGCATGTGATTTCCACTCATCTCTTTACCGAATACGGACTTGGGCCGATGTTTAGCTAACCAATTAGTTGGTACAAAATGAGAAGCTGAAGAGTGAAGAAGGTATATTCCTTATTTAGAAAGCAAGCAAGAGAAAAAGAGAATATACCTTTTCTAGATGCCACTGTTAACGAGAAAGCAACCATAAAATGATTAGTTCCTTTCCAACTAAATAACATCTCCAATTACATAAAGTGTAAAGTAGTGCACGGATCTTACATGACAACTCTTCACGGAAATTAATAGCATTACTTGTTCATTGCTACATTGAACAATCAACTTTTAAGTCTTTATTTAGAATAGTTTTTCTTTTTGAAGAAAGAAAAATATATGAGAAAATGTACTTTTTTTTTTCCTTATTTGGAAAAAAACTGTTAAAGAAAATTACATTTCACTGTGATTTATATTTTTAAATCTGTCCAGTTTGAATAAAAAATAATGGATAGACATAGAAAGTTTACTAATTTTTAAACATTGTATAATAGAATCGCATTTATTACTTAAAAAATAAATGTGGACATGATAATAATATTTTTTTCTATAAATTTTGTCTTTTCCGAATAAAAGAAAGTAAAATTTTTTTTCCCTCGTCATAGTCAAATACCAAGGTGGAAATAACTATAAAAGGAAATTGATATTTTAATTCACTTATCTCCATTATTTTCCTTTCTCTTCTTCCAAATAACTACCTACAGGCCGTGGCTCATTTGGCGACGCAGGCTGGATCTGTGGAAAAAATTATCGGATTCGATCTCCACTAAACACAACGGTAAAAATGAACGAAAAGTTTTAATTGTAATTGAATCTCAAGCCGGATTTAGTCGGTTCCTGGTAGTAAAATCTGAAAATTGATGATATATCGGATTAGTCGTCCTGGTAGTAAAATCTTGAAAAATTGATGATATATATATATTATTATAATATATATATATTTCTAATCAAATAACCATTTCAAAACAGTTACCATAGAGAAAATTATGCAAACGAAAATAGATTCTGAAAATTGATGATATATATATATATATATATATATATATTCTAATCAAATAACCATTCAAAACAGTACATAGAGAAAATTATGCAAACGAAAATAGATTTATTGTGTTCGTAATAGAATCGGCAAGAGTATACAAGCATAAGCAATTTAAAGCAATAATATCTTTATTTAAAATAAATTCAGTATTTATTTATTTATAGTATTCCCTCCACACACACAAAAAAAACTTTCTCATTTTATTTATTTCAAATTGTAATTTTCCTTTTTTAATACTATATCTTTATTTAATTTGTATCGTTACCAATAGTTTCCCACTAAATTCTTTATTCGAAATAGCATCACTAAACATTACTGCACGGACACCACTTTCTTTTCCACGAGAATTGGAGGCTAACAGAAGAGCCGGTCGGCCGGTCGGTTCAAAGTCCATGATTGTCCCAAAATCAGGCACAGCCGCCAGCAACTCCACCGACCACCGTCTTTCCGCGAAACCAACAAAAAAAATAACTTGAGCTCAACTGCCAATTTTGTGGGTCCTCCTACTACCTTAGGACCCCATAGCACTTCTTCTACGGACTACTACGGTCATCACATAAAAAATAGTAAAAAACAAAAAAAACTGAAACCACCGGCCTACCACTAACTCCAGAACAAGTCAGCAACTCCCAATCCACTTTTCCTTCCTTTTCTCAGATGGAAAATGAGCCTTTTCTCGCCACCCAAACAGGGCCCCAGTCTCAGCTCCAACCCATTCTCGAAAACCATGATCTCTCCTTCACTCTCCCTCAGTCTCTCTCCACCGCACTTGTTTTCTCTGAAATTCAAGACCTCGCCCAAGACCAACCCACCTCAATTTCCAGAGCTCCAACTACTCACAAAAGGAAACCGGGTTCTTTGCAACGGTCAAAAACAGCTCCGGCCATGGTCGTGCTTCAAGACTTGAAACCACAAGCAACCCAAGATCCCAAGCCAAAATCTGAGTCCAGCTCCATTATCAGGCAAGCCATTTTCTTGCTATCTATGTACCTAATTCTTGGTGTGGTTATCTATTCTTATAACAGAGATAACTTCTCCGGCATAGAAACCCACCCGGTTGTTGATGCTCTCTATTTCTGTATAGTAACTATGTGTACTATTGGTTACGGTGATATAGCTCCTTTGACGCCACCGACGAAAGTCTTTGCTTGCGTGTTTGTATTGGTAGGTTTTGGGTTTATAGATATATTACTCAGCGGGCTTGTTAACTATGTTCTTGATTTGCAAGAGAGTATGATTTTAGCTGGGATTAAAATGGGGAAAGCCCATGAAGGATTTTCAGCTAGGGATTACATTGTTGATGTTGAAAAGGGGAGGATGAGGATAAGATTGAAGGTCGGATTGGCACTTGGTGTGGTGGTTTTATGTATTGGAGTTGGAACTTTGGTTCTCTACTTTCTTGAAGATCTAGGTTGGATTGATTCAATTTATTTGGCAGTTATGTCGGTTACGACAGTTGGGTATGGTGATAGGGCGTTTAAGACTTTGACTGGAAGGCTGTTCGCAGCCATTTGGCTTTTGGTTTCTACTCTGGCAGTGGCAAGGGCGTTTCTTTATTTGACAGAGGCTAGAATTGATAAGAGACATAGAAGGATAACCGAGTGGGTGTTGCACAGGGATATTACTGTTGAGGACTTGCTTGCTGCAGATCTTAATAACACTGGATTCATAAGGTGCGTTTTCTATATGGATTTCCTGTTCATTTTGTAGTTTCAATTTTCTGGAATTGTCTAGTTTTACCACTTGGTGAATTCTGTTCGATTTGTGATGCAACAATATATAGATGCAAATATCTGATTAGGTTCAACACCTGAAACTTCTTCTTGTACGTTTGAGGGACTTAGATTGGTTAGGTTTGGGCATTTAAGACCAACTGTTGTTGAAAATGCTCTTCTACTAAATTTGGAGATCTTAAAAGAAAGAGGTTCAGAGTTTGTATAAAAGAAAGGGTTCGAGTAATCTTTTTCTCTTGCTGAAATCGTTAGAACCTCTTGCAACTTGAACAAAATAAGGCATTGCAATTGAACAACCCATCAAACCATTTTAATATAAATTCCAGGAGATAGAATGGTTTCTATGTTTCTGATGTTTATGAATCCATTACTATTCAAGATGGGTGCGAATTTAGCCAGTATGGAATAAGTTCCTCGTTGACGTTTAACCTCACAATAATAGCCACAATTTCTATGCTTGATTTTCCTGAAATAACCTCTTCATGGTTAGATATATCCAAGTTTTTTAAGATAGGCTTCTTCACAAAAAGCCATAATCTAAATGTAATGTATAGAGGTCAAGGATGCTAATGGAGTTAAAGAAGAAGATCGTACAGTTGATGATATTTTTGATTTCTTGTCTAAACTTATTTGTTTTCTTCCCTTAATTTGTTATAATTGACACCTTCTGTTATTCGCTGCACAATGGCATTAAATCTGTAGAGCTTTACTTAGAGAAATTTGCTTCATGTTTATACCAAGCTAAGATTAAACTTCATTTCATTCTTGTTCTCTTAAACCTTTTTTGCAGCAAATCAGAATATGTAATCTACAAGCTCAAGGAGATGGGAAAGATTGGGGAGAAAGATATATTGCAAATATGTAACCAATTCAGCAAGCTTGACCCCAACAACTTGGGAAAGATAACCCTTCCTGATCTGTTGGAGAACTATTTATGACAATTAAAAAGATTAACTTCATCTGCATTCTTTTCAACAGAAGAAGTTGGAAATATTTCCTTATTCTGGGAGTAGGAATGTAGGATACAGGAAAGTAGGAAATTGTGAAGCTTAATGTAAAAAATTTGCAGGTAAATACACGCACTTTATTCTCCTAGCAAAAGATTATTAGTCACTGCAGGCCACTGCAAAAGGAACTGTACAATCACGGAAGAGTACCTGTTGGTGATAAATGAAATGCAATGATCACGGAAGAAAGAAGAAATGACAATGTATAGCAGATCAAAAGGGTATAAATCATGAGATTTGAAAAAATTGTATAGTGCAAATAAATAAAATTTTTGAATAAATATTTTCAGACCACATTTTCTTATGGATCGAGTGATGATGAGTTGGAATAAATTATTTTTGTTTTACGTAACTAAATGGTATAAATCATGATATTCAAGAAAAAAAATATACCACAAATTTATAATATAAATGAATAAACATTTGAATTAGAAACTTTTATACCACTTTATTCATGTATAGAGAGAACAGATTATGATAAATTCGAAAGAAATTATTTTTATTTCACATAATTCAATGATAAAAGTTATGAGAATCTAAAATAAATAATTTTTGTACCACGTAATTTATGGTATAAATCAATAGAAATTGGAATAAATAATTTTTGTACCGCGTTTTTTTGGAACAAATGATGATAAGTTGAAATAAATTATATTTATTCCACATAATTAATTCGTACAAGTATATACATAACCTTGATGTTTAGAACCAACAAACTATATCAGTCTCCGAATGTTTTTATTTTGGGCCAGCTCTGGGCCGATAACCCTAAACAGCAAAGCAGAAAAAGCGGAGCAGGAGTCAGTTTTTTTTTTTTTTTTTAAAAAAAAAAAGATAAAAGTTTATTGAAGAATCTTAAAATAAAAAATTTTTTTTGTACAACACGTAATTTAATGGATTAATAAATCAATAAGAAATTGAATTAAAATAAATTTAATATGTACCGGCGTTTTTGGAAACAAATGATGATAAGTTGAAATAAATTATATTTATTTCCACATAATTAAATTCGATTACAGATAACTTATACATAACCTTGATGTTTAGAACCAACAAACTATTCCATCAGAAGGTCTCCGAATAAGCTGATTTTATTTGGGCCAGCTACTGGGCCGATAACCCTAAAACAAGCCACAAGACAGAAAAAAAAGCGGAGCAGGAGTTTCAGTTTTTTTTTTAATTTTAATTTTAAAAAAAAATCTGAAAGAGCAATTATTCACGCTGACCAATAAAATACGGGAAATTCTAAAAATTAGAATTTTTTTTTTTTTTTTTTTAAAAAAAAAAATCTGAAAAGGCAATTATTCACGTGACAATAAAATCGGAATTCTAAAAATTGATTGCTTTTTTATTTTTAATTTTTTTTAATAAGTAGAAAATATACGGGCCGCACATATTCCATCAACAACATCATTTATTACTCGCTCTTTTTTCGCCTGATCTAAAAAGTTAAAACTCCTCCGTTTTGGAAAAAAGCATATACGTCTTTCTCTTTCCCACTCCTGATCCCATTGAATGCGCTCTCTTTCTTGTCTCAGTCTCACAATCAACTTGCATGGATTGGATATTATTTCCTGGATTTTTTTTTGAACTTTGCTATTCTCTTTCTGGCATCCACGAGAAAGATTTGCCCACTTTTAACATGCTATGAGATTCATTTTTTCGTATTACACACTGGATAAAAACTCCTCATCACCTAAATTATTACCAATCTAGAAATATTTACGAAGTTGGAAAATTAATTTTTTAGGCAATCTTTGGTTTACTGTGGGAAAGAAAATGAAATTTATTAATGTTCACTTATTTTAAAAAATTAATTCTTTACATGTAGGGATTTATTTGTATATATTTCTTGTTGTTGTCAACATGCGCGCGCTCATAAAAAAAAATGTAGCTTTTAGTATAGTTATAGGAATAAATCATTTATCAAGAATAAAAAAAAAAATATGTCAACTTATTTTAAGATGCTAAAGTTAAATGAGTAATCATATATGTCTACTAAAACCAATTTAAGATATAATAATTGAAAAGGAAGATGAAGCGTTGAAGAATAAAATTGGCAAGAAACATACAAAGATACAATTTAAAATAATTATTATTATACATATAATTTTGGTTCTAGGTTGCAACTTGCAAGAATCTTTCTCTCCTCTTTAGCTACTCTTTATAGGTAACATTCAAATTTAATACAATCGAAATTATCAATCAAGTAGCAAGCTAAGATCTGGAAACAACAAGGCAAGTGTCAAATGTGGGCCACGTCTTTGTCTAAAGTCAGCACCTAATGTTAATAAAATAATCAAATATCAGGATATTGAGATCTCACACATGACATGCTTAATTATATTCCATGCTAAACGGATTAAGTGAAGTTGGTTGAATTGACAATGACGAACATACCCCACAACAACTTGCCTATCGCACTTTTTCACATGTAATTCTAAGATAAACAAAAGAGTTCAATCATCAACTAACACACTTCGAACTAGCATAATTCTTCTGGTGGAGGTGTTTGTTTGTTAATTAACAAACTTTATCTTTCGAGTTTGAGTTAGTTATTATTAATATTATTTAAAAATAAATAAAAAACATACCTGCATTAATCATGAGTTCATGATCAAATGCTTCTAATCTCATTCTAAACCATTCACTTATCGGCTACATGTCATTCAGTACAGAAGAAAGAAACTTCCTTTTTTTGGGGAATTTTTACTAATTAAAAGCGAAACCCACCTTATACTATTAATTCCAACTCTTCTTCTTTTATTGAAATCTGCTAGAATCAGCTACTTTTGTTTATAAAAGTAGAAATTAGTGAGAGCAATTTCAAATTGATTAAAAATGGGTTCGATTCCAAAATGGACCGTATCATATGCTGAAACTCATCTTTCTCTTGGTATCCTTTCTGTTCTCGTGTCGGCAAAGTAAATAAAAATACCAAAAAAAACAAACAAAAGACGTAAGGCTTTCAATCTCTTTTCCTCTTTCGTCAATTTAAAGAAATCGATAAACTAGAAAAAACATATTGATTTTTTTAGTTAAATTCCTTTGCTGCGAAAATGGATTTTAGGAGCCTCGAGCAAGGACACGTTTCCTAAGGTAAATCACCCCTAATGACACGTTTGTGTTGCTTCACTATTTCATTTCCCTATCCACAGATGGGTGTGAAAGTGAAACCAATAGTATCTTTCCATCAGCATTTTTTTTTTTTTGTTAAATTATTACTATTGATAATTTTTTTCATAAAACTTTAAGTTATTTATTTTTAAAAAATTCACCTGATTCAGCAGAAGTTAATTTCAACATAATTTAAATTTTATAAATGATTCATCAAAACTTACGTGAAATTCATATACAAACAGAGGGTAAAACTTTAATTTTCTGTACTGATTTGACTACTTAACTAAACAACTGGCATCAGATGCATTTCTTTGAAAAGAAAATTATCATTTGCTTATGCACTCACAATAAGCAAATTCCATTATATGTCAATAATAGTATCATAATTCCTAATTTGTCCTTAATTTTTTTTTTTTTTTTTTACCAAAGTATGCGTCTCAGCAGTCATTTTTTTTTATTTTTGATTTATATTATTATCTATTTGAAAAATATAATATTTTACATTAAAACTTTAAGTTATTTATTTTTAAAAAAATCACCTTGATTCAGCAGAGTTAATTAATAACAACAAATAATTAAATTTGTATGAAAGAAATGATTCAATATCAAATAACTTACGTCTGAAGAATTCAATAATTATCATAAACATGTAGGTTTAAAAATCTTTAAATATTTAACTGTTATAAGATATTAGAAACATAACATAATAAACTAAAACAACATTGGCATCAGATTGCAATTTCTTTTTAGAAAAGGAAAAATTAATACAATAATTGAACTAATATAGCCTAAAAAAACAACAAATAAGAACAAAATTCCATAATTATATGTATCAATAAATTCAGATATCATTAATTCTCTAATTTGTCCTATAATTTTTTATAATTTAATTTTATTTTTGGGTCTGGTCATCTATATATCGCATCTGCGTTAACCATAACCAACCAATTCGTGAATTAAGGTCATTTTTTTTTTTTTTTTTTTGGTCTGTCTTTTTGACTAAAAACTGCACTGGTAACCAACCAACCATATCGTGGTCCATCAAAACGTACCTAATATACTAAGCAGATGGTAGCTTTTAGTAGAAGTCAAACAACCCAACAAAACTCCTTTTCAAAAATTCAGAATACCAATTTTCTTTGAAAAACCAGAAACCAAAAATATTACTCCCATTTTCTAATCTAACCTGTAATTATTTAATTAATTAATAAAACAGAGGGGAAATTGCTTTTGGAAGTGGGAAACAGAGAATAATATTATCTGTTCACATTTATTTATGGAAATTTTTTTTTTATTTAAAAATGGCAAACACATTCTATCGCTATAGTGAGTTTTCTAATAAAGACTGGAAAAAAAAGAAGGTAAACAATAATTAATATATACGTCTCTTTTGTTAAAAATAGTAAATATATATTATCAACAGTTGGTTGATTGAGTAAAGGAGAATTTTATATCTGACATATTGAAAAATAATTATATTTTAAAATTTTTTTTATTTAGAACCAAATAATAATGAAATATAGTTTTCAACTTCCAGAAAAATGCTTCTTTTCAGTTGGTTTAGAGCTCTATTAACGCGTTGGCATTCCAATAGCAAAAGGAAATTTAAACTCTGTGTAATCGGTCATCATCTAATTAAGTAACATGTAACATTAGAAAAAGGAAAAAAAAGAAAAAAGAAAATTATGGGAAAGGGACAACATCAGCTGTTAACTGGAACCCACCTCCAGACCGGAATCTAGCCTCTTTCTATATAAATAAATCTGTTTCTCAGCTCTGTTTCTGAAGCAGAGCACCGATGGGAGTGGCTATGGAAACCCATTGGCATGCGATGCTTTTATTGTTAAATGTGATTCTTTTAACTGTTTCTAATGTAGAAGGGCACAAGTATAGCTCAGCTGTGGGAGACCCAGGAATGAGAAGAGATGGATTAAGAGTAGCCTTTGAAGCTTGGAATTTCTGCAATGAAGTTGGCCAAGAAGCTCCTGGCATGGGAAGCCCAAGAGCTGCTGATTGCTTTGATCTCTCAGGTCAGCACAAACGCCATAGAAGAAAACAGACACATTTTGAAAGTGGGTTCTTTTTTTTTTTTATTCTCCATCTATTAACTTTAATGTTCTCAAATCTTTGTTGTTTGTTGAAATGGGTTGTTTCCATTTATTTTTCATGAAAATGCTGTTGTGAAAAACTAAAAAGACTAATTTTTTTTCTAATTATGTGGCACTTTTACTGTTTGAATTTACATTTTGGATATTGGTTTGCTATGCTCAACCTTCTTTGACATTTTATCTGTTATCCGTTATTTCTGTCATAATGGAGCAGGTTCTACAATAAAACACAAGGTAACAGAAGCTGATAATAAACTTGGAGTAGGCAAACCGTTTCCTGGTTTGCCCCCAGAGGCTAACAGCAATGCAGACCTTTATGCAGCACAGAAAGAGCTTTATCTGGGTTCTTTATGTCAAGTTGAAGATACCCCAAATCCATGGCAATTTTGGATGGTTATGCTTAAAAATGGAAATTATGACACAAGATCTGGTTTGTGTCCTCAAAATGGGAAAAAGGTGCCTCCGTTTACCCCAGGAAGGTTTCCTTGCTTTGGAGATGGGTGTATGAATCAACCCATTTTGTATCATCAACCAACTGAGCTCATGCATGATGGTACCTTGACAGGAAGTTTCAATGGGACTTATGATTTGGGTTCTGATAGTGCTAATGGACTCAGTGGAATCTCTTTTTATCAAGTTGTTTGGGAGAAAAAAATTGGTGTTGGAAGTTGGGTTTTTAGTCATAAACTCAAAACCTCAAAGAAGTATCCGTGGCTGATGCTTTACCTTAGAGCTGATGCAACTAAAGGATTTTCTGGAGGGTATCATTATGACACAAGAGGCATGCTCAAGATTGTAAGTAGCGGAAAATTGATCTCTTTATCTTCTTCTTTTTCCCCTCTATATTAATTTTAAAGTCATTTCAATCATCTTCACATAGTAAGGTAGATGGAGACTTGTTTCCTTGCTTGTTGTGAAAATTAAAATTCTGTAACACAGCAAAATAGCTTACCAATAAGAAAGCCGAATAGTCAAATCACATTCCCAAAAACTTTAATTAAACTGTTTTCATTTTTTAGTATAACTTAGAAGCTGGGTCACGGAATTAATAACTGTTTAATTTGTAATTGTCGTATTCTTGCCTTTCGTTTCTTGGATTATTGTTTGACATTTACTATTATTGACTTCATAGCTGCACATGGTCAAACATACAATTAATTCTTAATTTTATTGTAACTGAACTTTTTTGAACTTGTACCAAGTTTACAGTATAGAATTTGAGACAGATTTAGGATTCTAAAGATCTTTTGTCATAAGCTTTGTTTTTGGGGATACTTTAGCCCTTCTGACACTAGCAATTTGGAATCTGAATTTTCTTGTTCAATTATTTTCAAACTCTTACCAACTATCTAAACACGGTAAAGGTTTAAATTGTACATAGGACAAGTAAATAATAGTTATCTTCCCCCAATATTAATCAAACCGACTTCATTTACTGTGAAAATCAGAGGTTGTGCCAAGCAGTAATGGTTCTATCTGCACTGCTTTTCCTTTTCTTGATGTTTATATCTGGAACTTTTGTGACTTCATATCTACAAATGGTTGGACATATAGTTAAAGCTTAGTTTGTATTGAAATTTGTTACTGGGTGTATACTCTGAACACAGATTGGTGAATGTCAGAAGACCCTACCATGTTTCTTAATAGGACATATTAGCCTGTTCGACAGGGTCTGCAACTGCATACTTGTCCACATTTCTCAATGTGTAGCAAAAAAGAACTGCATATTTATACGGCTAACCATTTTCTATGACTTAAATTGAACAAGCACTGTTGGAAAATAGAAACTTAGGATTTGTTTCAGCATATATATTTTGTGTGGATAATGTTAATGCACCTAAAATCAAATTTGTGTTGTCATCAGTTAGCAATTTTGCATTATGTGGTAGCACTAAAAGCTATAGCTGATGTATGCATGACTATGTTGAATCCTGTTATTTTTTTCTGATTAGGCAAATTTAAGGCAATCCGTTCTGTTTCTATGTTCCTTATCCTACTCATAAAAGTGGTTACTTTCCAGCTTCCAGAGTCCCCCAATTTCAAGGTTAAAATGACATTGGATGTCAAACAAGGGGGAGGACCAAAGAGTCAGTTCTATTTGATAGATATCGGTAGCTGTTGGAAGAACAATGGCGATCCTTGTGACGGAGATGTGCTTACTGATGTAACTAGGTACAGTGAGATGATCATTAATCCTGCCACTGCTGCTTGGTGCAGTCATGATCATCCAGAGAATTGCCCACCATACCACATTACTCCAAACAACACAAAAATTTACAGGAATGATACAGCCAACTTCCCGTATGGTGCGTATCACTACTATTGTGCTCCAGGGAATGCAAAATTTTTGGAGAAACCTGTCAGCACTTGTGATCCTTATAGCAATCCTCAGGCACAAGAGCTACTTCAGTTGCTGCCTCATCCAATATGGGCCGAATATGGCTATCCAACAAAACAAGGTGATGGTTGGGTAGGCGATGCAAGAACTTGGGAGCTTGATGTGGGTGGACTTTCTAGTAGATTGTACTTCTATCAGGTTAGTGAATTAACTGACCAATCATCTTGAAGAAGATATATTGCAGGTACACGTAATGGGTTGTTGATTGTTGACGTTGTTCTTGATTTGCAGGATCCAGGTACCCCTCCTGCTAGAAGAATTTGGACATCCATTGATATGGGTACTGAAATTTTTGTTAGCGACCAAGAAGAAATGGCAGAATGGAACCTAAGTGACTTCGACGTCATCCTTACATAGCTCAGGATTCAATCTTTCAAACTTGTCCTTTCTTTTCTTTTTCTGCAACAAATTTGTTTTGAAAATCTCAAAGGGGGGTATGATATAAAAGAGTCGCCAAACAAGTCCGCAAGGACTGGTGACTTGATCTAGGAAGACATAGTTGTTGTAATACAATTCTGTTTCTCAATTATGAAATGAAAATTTCAGTTGTCGTACGGGAAATCTGTTTTATTCTTTGGCGTTCTGTTTCCTCTTGTTGAAGCAAAAAGTTGCCCGCTAACTTTGATTAGAAAACTAACGAATGATAGTTAAAAACACGAAAGTCAAATTAAATCGATTTTTATGGGACAGAAGGAATAATTTGTAATCTATCACCCCACTGTTTATCACATCTATCCTCTTTCTACATACATAAAGCCGTTTCTCAGCTATGTTTCTGAAAACAGAGTAGCGATGGAAGAGGCCATGGAAACCCATTGGCATGCGATTATTTTCTTGTTATATGTGATTCTTTTTACTATTTCATAATAAGAACAACAGTATAGCTCAGCTGTGGGAGACCCAGGAATGAGAAGGGATGGATTGCGAGTAGCCTTTTAAGCTTGGAATTTATGCAATGAAGTTGGCCATGAAGCTCCTGGCATGGGAAGCCCAAGAGCAGCTGATTGCTTTGATCTCTCAGGTCAGCACAAACGCCATAGAAGAAAACAAACACCGTTAGAAAGTGGGTATTTTGTTATTTTCCATCTATTAACTTTATAGAAAGTCTTCGTTTTATTCTTTGACGTTCTGGGTCCTCGTGTGGAAGCAAAAGTTTACATCGATAAGAAAAACTGTCAAAATGGCAAACGATTGTCGTTTTGGAAGAAAAAAAATTAATGGAATAGAGGGATCATTTGGTTGGTCGTACTCATGTGGTAAAGCATCTAAGTTGAACCAAATTAAAAACCAAAGAGTTAAAGAAAAAGGAATTGAGGATCAGAGAAAAGCATGGAAATACTATGCACTGTGCTTTTTTCCTCAGCTCAGCAGCTTTCATTTGACTATAGCAACCAAATTGCATATGCGCCAATTGGACGGCTGCTATAATTAGAAATTTATGATCAATTAACCTTCTGTCAAAATCTTATTTTCCTCGTTCAAACAACAAAATATAATAGAAAGAAACCAAGGGTTGAAAAACGAAAACTATATGGGCAATTTCTTTATTAAAAGTTTAAATAAATAATTAATTATTTACAAGTAAGTTATAAATATAAATAAAAAATTTAACATCATTAATTAAACTTTTAACTATCTTTGTTAAATATCATAACCCAAAATCTCTTACTTCTTTAAAGATAAATCCATAATTTAAGAATTTTAGCATTTTTAAAAGAGTAAAGTAGTAAATCATAATATATAAATTTTCTTTTATTTTTTATTTGTCTTTTAAATTTAAATAATTATCAAATAGATATTTAAGATAGTAATTTAAAATTCTTAACTATAAATTTATCTTTAAAAGTATTTAACAACTGTGTTTAAAGTGTTTTAAAGTGTATAAAATTAATAAAATTAAAAAAAATAATATGACATATTTTTCAAAATATCATACACAGTGTCTAAAAATTTCTAAGAGGTGTTACTGTTCAACAAATACATTGAAGCTGTTAAGTTGTCTATTCAGCATATGCTACACATTTTACCTCCTCCTCCTCCTTCTTCTTCTTCTTCTTTTTTTTTTTTTTTTTTTCAGGCATATTGCTACACATTTTAACCTCCTCCCTCCTCCTTCTTCTTCTTCTTCTTTTTTTTTTTTTTTTAGTACTTTTTGGATTTGCCAAAATCATTTCTATAAAAACGAATTGTAGTAATACTTATAAAATTGAAATTTAAGTAGAGAAAGAAAAAAACAACAGAAAAGAGAAAATCGATTTTATAGTTTTGAAATCTAATTTAATTTTGATATTATGAGGCGGCTTGCATTTTCCCTTTTTTTTGTCAAATTAAAATATAATTACATCTTGGTTCTAATTGAAAAAAAAAAATAATTTAAAAAAAAAAAAAAAAGTGTCAAAGGAAAAGGAAGAATCCACCTTTGTCAAAAAGCCCATCCATATTGCATACGTATAGACGTCGGCCCCAAGATGGATAGGAACGCTGAAGGCCCATGAAAAGGAACATCTAAATGGGTCCCAGTGGAATGCCCAGAAAACCACAGTCAAACAAAACGAAGTCGTTTGTGATCCCCGACGTTACTTCAAAATTACCAGAAGCCCCAAGAATTTGACTTTTTCTTTTTTCTTTTTTTTTTTTTTTATTTTTTTTCACTTGGCACCATTAACAATTTATTTTTTCCTATTCGTTCTTGCTCGTTGAAAATCTGAAACCCCCGATACGGAAAATCTAGGGTTTCTTCTGCAATGCTGTGAAAGCGAGGGCTTCCTGTGGCCAGGAGTCTGGGTATGTTCCTCTCTTTTAATTTCTCTCTCTTTCTTTTTTACTTTTGACAAAGTTTTCTCCTTTGGTGCATTGTTTTCTCGTTTTAGTTCTAGGTGTTTTCACTAAGAAAAAGGTACGATCTTTATGTGCTATATATATATATAATTATATAATATATATATATATATACTATATATATATTTATCAGTTGAAAAATTTTTGAATGAAAGCCTCTTTTTAATTTGACATAGCATACTATAAGTTGCTTATTTAATTTGAAATGTGAACGATCCTGATTGAATAATTCTCTCAACTTGATTGATAATATATATATATCAGTTGAAAATTTTTGAAATGAAAGCTCTTTTATTTGAACATAGCATACTTAAGTTGCTTATAATTTGAAATGTGAACGATCCTGATGAATAATTCTCTCAACTGATTGAAGATTTATAATTCTGAACTTTGCTTGAGCCCCCATTAATATTATCATAGGTAACACAGGATCGTATGGAGATAATCGTTTTGAAAATTTTATCTACTAAATCCTGCATTTTATTGATAGCTATAAGCCTATAACTTGTTTGTTTTGGAGGCGAATGTACATTCCATTTGATTTAATGACTGATAGATTTTGCTCGGACAGGTTATTTTATCTTATTGAATTCCATATATCATCACTCATTTCCTATCCATGCCAATGGGGAAGCTTATTGTCGTATGTCAGTCACGTGGAAAGTTCAACACAGCTAGCGATGGTTCCTTATCATACACTGGTGGAGAGGCTCACGCTATTAGTGTAAGCCGTGAAAGTAAATTCGATGAATTGAAATCAGAGATGGCAGAAATGTGGAATTATGATCCCAATTCGCTGACCATCAAATACTTCCTACCCAATAACAAGCAGACTCTCATCACTATATCCAGTGACAAAGACATACAACGCATGATTGATTTCCATGAAGAGTCCAAAACTGTAGATGTTTATGTCTTGACAAATGAGATCTTGGCAAGTGAGGCCTCAGCTATGCCTTGCAGTAGGTAGTATATTTATCTTCTTTGAATACATTGTTTCGGTTTGTTGAGTGGATCACCTACCTTGTGATTTTAGTGTGCCTAAGATTCACTCTGGTGGCAACAGTTTCCAAGCTTTGAGATTCTATTGTAAGAATGAAGATGGCCATGTGTATACATGTCAAAATTCATATGGCACTCAGCCTTATATTGTAAGAATGAAAATGGCCACGTGTATCCATGTCAAAATTCATATGGTACTCAGCCTTGCATATTACTAAACCTCTCATGCATGCTTGTTCTTGCAGGTCCAGTGGTAATACTATGGTTGAACCTGTCACCCCCCTCAATGTTACTCCCGTTGCTTCTATTGGTGGGGATATGGACCAGCCCAATCCTGTGGCTATTGAAATCAAGGATGCTGGGCATCATAAACTTTTTAAATCATGGGCCAATTGCATAACTGGTCTGCACCAGCAATTTAACAATGTTCAGGAATTACGTGATGCCTTGCGTAGGTATTCAATTGCTCATGGATTCAAATGCAAGTTTAAGCACAACGACGCTACCCGTGTAAGTGCCAAGTGTAAAGCTGAAGGTTGCCCCTGGAGAATTCATGCATCGAAGTTGTCTACCACTCCATTATTCCGAATTAAAAAGTTGAATGAAATACATACATGTGGAGCTGGTACTGGTAGGCTTAATCGTCCTCAAGCCTCAAGGAAATTGGTTGCAACTATTGTCAAGGAAAAGTTAAAGGATTCACCAAATTTCAGACCTAAGGAAATCGCCAATCAAATTCGTCAGGAATTTGGAATTGAATTGAGGTATTCACAGGCATGGCGTGGGATGGAGACTGCTAGAGAGGAGCTTCAGGGTTCATACAAAGAGGCATACAATCAGCTACCTTGGTTATGTGAGAAGATAGTGGAAACAAATCCTGGTAGTGTTGCTACTCTCATCACAAGGGAGGACCAAAGTTTCCATCGGTTGTTTGTTGCCTTGCATGCCTCGATATATGGTTTTCAGAATGGCTGTCGCCCCTTACTTTTTCTCGATTCTGTGACACTGAAATCAAAATATCAGTCGGAACTGTTGACTGCAACAGCATTGGATGGGAATGATGGCATTTTTCCTGTGGCTTTTGCTGTTGTAGATATTGTAAATGATGATAATTGGCATTGGTTTTTGGTACAATTGAAATCTGCACTTTCCTCTTTCCAACCAATAACATTTGTTGGAGACAGACAGATGGGGTTAAGACAGTCTATTGTAACGGTATTCCAGGATTCTTTCCATAGTTTTTGCCTTCATAATCTATCGCAGGAGCTAAAAGATGACCTCAAGGGCCCACATACTGAAGAAGTTGCCAGTGTCATTGTTTCTCATCTTTATGATGCTGCCCAGGCAGCCACACTTGATGGATTCAGAAAGTGCATTGATAGCATTAAAAGCATCTCGCCTGAAGCTTTTGAATGGATTTTGCAAAGTGAACCTGAACATTGGGCAAATTCACTTTTTGAAGGTTCACGGTACCACTATTTCACATCAAGCATTGGTCAATCATTTTATAGTTGGGTAAATAATCTCCCAGTATTACCGGTAGTACAGATTGTTGATACCATTCGCCAAAAGTTGATGGAGTTGATTTACACCCGAAAGGCGGAATCAGATAGGTGGTCTACGAGACTGACTCCATCTATGGAAGATAAATTGCAGAAGGAAATTCTCAAGGCACAGTCACTTCAAGTTTCGGTTCAGGTTGCATTGTCACCTGGCTCCACTTTTGAAGTACATGATTGTTTGGGCGAAATCAATGTTGTTAACATTGATGCATGCAGTTGTAGTTGCAGGACGTGGCAGCTTAATGGTTTCCCGTGTTATCATGCTGTGGTTGTTCTTCAACATTTCAATAGGAACCTGTATGATTACTGCTCCAGATATTATACAACTGAATCTTTCCAATTGACATATTCAGAGCCTATAAATCCAGTTCCAACAACTGATAAGCCCGTATACAAAGAATCCTCTCCGGTCCTGGTACACCCTCCTCCTCTTCGTCGACTAGCTGGCCCACCAAAGCAAAGGAGAATCAGATCAAAAGGAGTGATAAAAAGACCACTACATTGCAGCAAATGCAAAGGAGCAGGCCATAACAGAGCAACATGTCATGTGTACTCATAGAAGCGTAATGTTTCTTAGAACTGTGAATTAATTGTACAGGTCCTTGGGTAGATCGGTATTTTATTGGAGGATAGGGATGGGATAGATGGACAGCTAAGCTGTAGTCCGTCCCTTTTGTTGCAACCGTCAATATCTAGTAGTATTAGTAGGCATGATCTACTCAGTTTTTTTAGGTTTACATGTTTTGTTGTCTTGAGGATATCAGCAACTGTTCATTTATTACATCGTTCTTGTTCGCTAGTTTTTGACATTCCTTTTACTTTTGCACTTGATTTAATTTTCTTCATAATTTTTTCATTTGTTGTTTATTTCTTATCAAGCCCTCATGCTCGTGCTTTGGGGTTTGACTGGTAAATATGTTCTTGACTGCTGAAAATATCTCAGGTTCCTCTAAAGCAGATTATGCAAGATTTAGAGCTAAAGTTTGAATCTTTATCGGTAAAATGCAGTTTGCTGAAATGATATGGGACAGAGTAATTGCAGCCTGTTGCTTGCACATTAATCTCTTCAATATTTTTGCATCTAAATCTTTCGAATCAAATGTCTCATATTGCTTCAATATCTTTGTACAATATGGACGCATACAAATATTTTCGGTGAAAGAGAATTTAATTACTTGTAATAAATAATATTTGAACGCTTTATCGCATTTGCAAACGTGGAATTTACCATCATAATTGAATTGTAAGTACTAATGAGCAAAACTGCAGTACCTAGAACTTCCCTCATCAGATTAGTGGTTGGTACTGAAGGTAGAGGTAGTACAAAGTCAGCTAGTCCAAGTAGAATTTGTTAGTACATATCTGTACTCTGTACTGTTAAAGCCTTTTGCTTTAGTGACATATAAAACTCTGATAAACAACATAACCCCAGTAGTCACTTCCAAGGCCCCGAATATATATGGTCCAAATATTACTTCTAAACCATGTCCATGGAGGAACGGGAAGAGTGGCAATGGCTTTCAGCTCAGTAGAATTTTTATTTTTTATTTTTTTGACAGCATCTCCAATTTAAGGGTAAGTGAATGATATTTGGGATTTAAGGAAGAGGGTAAGAAAGAGACAGACAAAGGCTGGGAACAGGCAGAGCATGGATTGAGCTACTAACAGAAATATCTGTTTTGGCTCTACCCATGCACTGCCTCTTCCCTGGCTTGTGAATCTTCTTTTTCTCTGCTCCCTCACTTTTATTTCCAACATTTTGTTCTCATGCTTTTTTTTAATTATTTATTTTTTATTTTATATATATATTATTATTATTTATTTTAAATAGAAAGGAAGTGTTCATAAAAACTAAAAGGGGTATAAGGCCTTTATCATATACTGTTAACAATGTTTTCTTCTTAAACCCTGTCATCACTTTGTTTATCTTTGGGTCCATACATGCAATATTCTCTGGATATTAAGTGGAAACTGGATTTCTTCCTTTTTCTTTTAATATAACAATGTTTACCTCACTAAATTGGACTAAATATTTGCTGACCCTTTTATACGAGATTAGTACTTTCAGATCGCTTTTGTTGAATTGACAAAACATGAGAGATCAGTTCATGCAGTTCATCTTCTGTATTGGGTCTTGAGATAGTGCTAAGCTGTATGTCATTTTAGTCGAGAAATTCTGTGCCAGGAGGACAGTTAAGACTATCAACAATGAAGTATGAAATGTTGCTGGTTCAACAAATTCTTCTGGAGAATGGAGCAACGTGGTCCGAAAAAAGAATTTTTCGCTCAAGAATTCTTGATATGAAAAAGAACACAAGGTTTCCCAATTAGCAGTCTTAAGTATATGCCTATTTTACCTGTATGGTCTTTTTCTTCCTTGCGAAAATGAAATACTTGTGGATTTTTTTTACCTTGTTACAATTCAAATCATCGATTCAGCCATTGCTCCGTTATGGATCTGTTTCTGGGTAAATGAAACAGAGGTTACATTTATTTTCAAAGAAATTTAATGATTCTTGATTTTCTCTAACTAGATTGTTCGTAAAAGTATTTTGCATTATTGAGCGTGTAGTACACTGGCAAACGACATGTCACTTTAACGGGGCATTTGGTAGTGATTTGTCGTGGTCGTAGAACGGCCGATCCGATCGGTTATATTAATTTGAAAGAGTTGATGTGGAGGCTCACTAAATGTATACAATGATCTAATCTCACCGGACATCAGACGAAAATACACGTCTGTTATAACACCCAAAAGAAAAAAAAAAAAAAAATCTAAAACAAGGAACAGATGGAGCCATTGACAAATTGATGCTCTGTTACAATTCAAAGTTCTCAAAAATAATAAAACGACAACCAAAATAAAAGAGTTTTCCAAGTCCATCTGTTACGTATAGGTTGGGATATTCTGATAACTGGTGACTGGCGCTGCTTTATAGACAAAACTAATAATAAAAACAATAATCCCATCATCATCAATTTATGTGGATGCCTTCCGTTCTTTCCAGGCAAACCTCGGACTGGAACGTCTCTGCTTTCTGATGAACTGCCAATTTTCCATTAGCCTTACCAATCAATTTATTTCCAATTGCACCAGTAATCTGCATTTAAACATACATTAGAAACACTAATTTAGTTCCAAACATCTCCTTCTGCATACACATTAAGATCCATTATGAATATATATCATATATATTTTGAGAGAGGCAAGAAAAATTCATGTCCCAAAATAACACAAAAATCTGGAACTGTAACTTTCGCGAACTTTCTGTATATTTTTAAGAACAAGAATCATTCTTTTTTCCTCAGGAACACTAAACTGTTAGATTTCAATTGTTCAACCTTGACTTTGAAGACATTCCAATGAGCTGAGGGAAACAAAATCACTAGCAGAAGGACAAGAATAGAAATGACATAAAATTTCCTATAACTTCACTCAGCTCTGGCTCTTGATTGAGCAGAATAGCCAAAAACTATTCACTTAGTTGACCCTAGATAGAGTTGAATAAATTATAAATACCAAATAAAAGGAGACACCTTTTAACAGCAAGAATTCAATCAATCAAATTTCACTATGAACAGAAACTTGATTTTTTCCAATATAAATTAATTTTGCAAAATTTTATAAAATTCAACATACCCCGCCAAAATTCCAGTGTTTTAAAATAAAATCTACACTTCAAATTCAGTTTTATGGGGTAGTATGATCTTTGTGAGGGATGAAACATGCAATAACACCCAAATTAAATCAGAAAAGGAAAAGGAAAACAAAAGCTAAAGAATGAAGAAAGTAAAAGCATACTTGTGGTCGTCTTCTGTCCAAAAAACAGATCGAGTAAAGTCAACTTGAACAAAAGCCTGATTTTCTCCAACAAGGGTATGATCAAATTCACCAGACTCTATACACTGCAAATCCTTCAGAAGAATAACATAATGTTTTTGCACATCTTCTGCACTTTTCTTTCCTCCAATCATTGATGCAACCGCTTCCCATCTATCAGGGTCTTGTTCGTCAACCACTGCTAAAGCTAGCTCAAATAGCTTGTTCTCTTCCCAGCTCCACCCATATAACATTTTTTGAAGATCTTCCATTCTTTTCTCACAACAAACTCTTTTTTGAGAAAACTAAAGAAAACCCACTTTGTCATTCACATCATACTATTATAGTATTCATCGAAACGAGTATCAGAAAATTCAGAATCTTTTCTGGTATTTCGTTTGTTTCTTTTGACAAGATTCTAACACCCCTCACTTGTTGGGAGCATGTCAGATATTTGAATCTTGCAGCAAATCTTCTCCTTTTATTTGTTTTTTTAAAGGGAGTTCCTTTGTGTCAGAGACAATTGGCCCTGCTTAGTCTAGATCCAGGCGTAAGCAATGAGAGAGATATATATAAAAAAACTGATAAAAATGGAATAAAATAATACAGTATTTGACAATTTGGTTCAAATCGGGAAACCAATAATCACAAAAAGACAAAATTGAATTCTTTACCAACCATTTCTTGCAAGAAGCAGAATCCCAATTCTTTTCCTAATAGCATTGGATTCCAATTGTTGTTAGATCCGAAACTACAGCCATAATCACATGTAAAAATATCAGAATTCTATTCATCAATGGTGGAATAGAGCCGACAGATTTCATCTGAAGCCAACCACTGAATTTTTTTCACATTTCCAAATTTTCTACCTTGCAAGAAAAGAAAATGACTTTTGTGGATGTAAGTTATCACGCATTACTTGATTTATTATTATTATTATTATTATTATTATTATTATGATTATTATTATTATTTTCAATCAATAATATTTCCAAGAAATTGCAATTCATAACCGGGTCATTTTCATGGACTTTTAAATGTGAGGCAAGACTTTCCTGTAAAATAGTGAAATCAATCGCTCAAATGAGATAAAAGGATATGTTTCTTTAATCTTTAGCTACCAAATTTCCTTTTATTGGACACACCAACGCTGATCCAATTATTTTTTAAATCATCTTTTTTATTTTCTATATATATATGTATTTTATATATGATGGGTATCTTTACCTGTCTCCTTCAATCGGGGCAGTTTTTTGGATTGGACCCATAGGATTACTGCCATTCATCTCTGGACTCGGCTTATAGGCTTTATATATATATATCAAAATGGTGGAATTATGAGCCCGACAGATTTACAATCTGAAGCCACAACCACTAATTTTTTTCACATTTCCAAATTTTCTACCTTGCAAGAAAAGAAAATAGACTTTTTGTGGAATGTAAAGTATACACGCTATCACTATGATTTATTATTATATCATTATTATTATTATTTATTAATGATTATTATATTATTTTCAATCAACTAATATTATCAAGAAAATTAGCAATTTCAATAACCCGGGTCAATACTTCATGGACTTTAAAATCCGTGAAAGGCAAGACTTTCCATGTTACAAAATAAGTGAAATCAATCGGCTCAATCGAGATACAAAGGATATGATTACTTTAAATTCTTTAACTACCAAAATTTTCCTTTTATTTGCACACCAACGCTGATCCAATTAATTTTTAAACATCTCTTTTACTATTTCTATATATATATGTATTTATATATGAATGGGTATCTTTAACCTGTCAATCCTTCAATCGGCGGCAGATTTTTTTTTGAATTGGACCCAATAGGATATGCCATTTCATCTCTGGACTCAGGCTTTAATAGGCACTTAATATAATATATATATAATATATAATTAATAACAAATATATAATATATTATATATAGTTAACTATTTGATATTCTTGACATCATCATCATTAGAATTCTTTGTGTGAGAACTGTCGAACTCACACATGATATATTTTTCACCCCATTCTATATATATTTGATATTTCTGCATCATCATCTTTGATTCTTTGTGTGAGACTGTGAACTCACACATGTATATATTTTTTTCCCCCTTCTTGAATAGATCATGAATTGTGTAACGACTTATTCTTTTTCCTTTCGTAGTTTTCCACAAAGATTGCCATCTTCCCTCTCTCTCTCTCTCTCTTTTTAACAAATGTTAAAAAATTTATGCATTATAATAAAGTTTAAATTGAAGATTTTTTAACATAAATAGAAAATTCAGTACAATAAACGTCTTTATTATTATGAACGCTTTATTCTATCTCCATTTATAAAAAACAAAATCGACATAATAAATATTATATTATGAAAAATTTACTTGGAGAAATAGAAGGAATACACGTAGGAAATCTTAAAAAAAATATGATAACAGACAAAATTTGATCTTAAAAATCTTTAATTTATTAGAAATGGAGATGAGTTTTGATATTCCTAAAAATGGAAGAGAGGAAGTAATAACTATTAAATTCTATAGATACAGAGATCATGATCTGAGCCAAAAGGTTTAGAATGAACCCATATATACCCCGCCGGCAATATGATCCAATAGGTCAGCAATCTCTCTCTCTCTCTCTAAACTTAATTATGTTTGAGATTAGAGACAGCTAATGATAATTAATTAATAATATTATCTTTATGATTTACATTTCCCACTTGCGTGTGGGGAACACAGCTTCTCTTTTCCAGTGTCTTGAATGGCAATTAGCCAATTAGTGTTGTCTCTGCTCTGAGAGCAAATTCGGGAAGTCAGCTGGGCTCTAACAGATCACGATCATAAAATTCAAATGACCATAAATAGATATTTGGTTTAAGTATATATTTAAAAAATAATAATTTTTAGATATGTGTATCTCATCCCTATTTTCCTTACTAAATATTGAAATTAATTTCTCATATTCAACGGCAGAAAAGTTATGCGAATTAAATTGTTCGTACCATAACTCAAAGCAATTGGTTCTCATGCTTATTTCGAGTGGCTTAGGGTTTAGTCATAGATGAGTGTTCTTCTCACATGTCTAAATTGTCAATTGAATCACAAACTTTTCATAAATAAATAGAATTGTGGTTACCCAATCCCCAAGCAACAAAAATTAAATTTGTTTCTAATTAAGCTCATAAATCACAATATAGATTTGAACGTATTGTGATCTAATGATAAGAAACGTGTAATGCAGGACAACAAAAACGTAGTACCAAAAATCAGGTCTAACTTAAACGTGTAGGGCTCAAAATTTCAAAGGATAAGATCGTTCGTGGTGACTACATGAGTTGAAAACTGAACAATATTTGTTTGGGTTTGAATTACTTGAAATTCAATTCAAATAATTATTGATCTTTTCTTAAACATGTAGGAAATTGAATAGTGCTATTGCTAGATTTTTGTTGGATAAATTTAATAAATTAATTTTTTCAATAACAAAACTATACTTATTTTCCAAAAATTAATCAATGTTAAATGAAAAAATTTAATATTAATATGAAAATTTCTTTTAGTATGAAAAAATGAAAATATAAAGATTCATATTAAAAGAAACATATTAAAAAAAAAAAAAAAAAAAAAATGTTTATTGAAAAAATGAACAATATAAAGACTTCATATTAAAAGAAAACAAATTAAAAAAAAAAAAAAAAAAAAAAAAAAAAAAACAATATGCAAGACCAAATGTTGAAAGATATAATAAATCCAAAGTTTGGCCCACTTCTTAAGTCTTTTGTTATTTGTTTGGATTCGATTAGGTCGTAATCGGACTGATGGAAGTTTTTAGTTTTGGGCTTGTTGGAGAGAGTCCCAGGCCCATGATTAAGTCTTCTCTGCAAGTCCACTTCCATCTTCGGCGCTGATCCCGTTTCCTTTGACTAATGCTTATCTCTTTGATTTCAACCCAAACAGCCAAAAGCAAAAAGGAAAAAGAAAAACGTAAGCCCATAGTCATCTGCGCACCTCTGGACCCCACACCCCAACTCCACCTACATCATTTCTTCGTTTGTAATTTCAACGTTGACCCATTGCTCACGCTAGCTGGTCTCTCCCTCTCTGTCTTTTGTTTAATGGTTAGGGTTTCATTAACCTCTCTTTCCTTTTCGAGAGGTAACGAGGGAGACTCTAGGGATTCTTCTTGGCGTTTTTAGCTCAATTTTCAAATCAAGCTCATGTAAATTTCTATTCCCTTTCTCTTTGACTGTCTTTATCTTGATTCCTACTTTCTGCGTTTACTCATTTGTTTTCCTCGATAGTGTATGTGAAACTGGGAGTTGATAAATTAGTTGAGGGGTTTGCTTTGGATTATTGGGTTTATGCTTGTTGCATATTTTTTGGTTCATTTACTATCAATTTTGATCAAAGATTCCGTCTTTTGGGTAAGGACTGTGCAGGGATATGTGGGTTCTGTTACATGGTATGCAATAATTTTAGGCTTAGATTTAATATAGTTTGAAGCAGATTTAGGTTTGGATTTTAGGATGAAGTGAAAAAGAAATCGAAGGAGTTTACTGAATATATTGGGTTGCTTTTGCTTTTGTTTTGTGGAGGGATTTAATGATCTGCTAGGTTTTTGGAGCTTAATTTTGGAGTTCTGGTGTTACTTTGAGCTTTTTCTATTGGATTGACTTCGACGATACTTTAATAGAAATTAATACCTGCCTTATTCCTAGAGAGGAGAGATTAAGTGTTAAACTTGAAATTTAAGTTCAGAATTTTTATTGTTGGGGTTTTTGGATGGTCTGACTTTGAGATTCTCTGATAAAATTGGTGTTTTGAATTAAGCTGAAGTTGGTTTTTCTGGTATGGATAACTCAAAAAGTAGGCCGCAGAATGATCATTTGGGTGTGAACAAAATGGGCAAGAATATAAGAAAGAGCCCATTGCACCAACCGAATTTTGCGAACAATGTTAATAGGCAACAACCTCAGCCTCAGGTTTACAACATTAGCAAGAATGAGTTTAGAAACATTGTTCAGCAGCTGACTGGTTCTCCATCTCAAGAACCTTTGCCTAGACCTCCTCATAATCCCCCCAAACCCCAAAGTATGCGGCTGCAGAAGATTAGACCTCCTCCTTTATCTCCAATTAACAGACCCCAGATTCCCCCTCCAGCGCCGGCTCCAGCAGTGGCTCCACCCCCAGTTCCTTTTAACAATGGCTTTGTTAGGCCAGGCCAATATGGACACCCATCTCCAACTATGATGCCACCAATGGCTCCTGGGGAGGCTCCTTGGGCAAATACTGCTGAGTCTCCTATCTCAGCTTACATGCGCTATCTTCAGACTTCAATCATGGATCCTAGTCCGAGAGCAAACCTAACCCAGCCATCGTTACCTCAACCGCCAGCACAAGGTCCAGGGCAAATTCAGCCTCCACCACCATCTTCTGGTTTACTTCCTAATCCACCTATGCCTCCACTACCATCACCCAGATTAAATGGTCCTGTTCCACCTTTACCTAATCTCCCTTCCCCACAAATTAATGGCCCTCCGCTGTTACCCTCACCAACATCCCAGTTCCTTTTACCATCTCCTACAGGTTTCATGAATTTGTTATCTCCGAGGTCGCATTATCCGATGTTTTCTCCAGGGGTTCAGTTTCCTCCACCATTGACACCCAATTTTCCATATTCACCTATGGCTCAGTCGGGGATTTTAGGTCCAGGTCCTCAACCTCCACTGTCACCAGGTCTTGTATTTCCATCACCTACAAGTTTTTTCGCGCTATCAAGTCCAAGATGGAGGAATCAATGATCCAGGTTATAAACTATGTTGTTTCACAGAGTTCTGTGCTTGAACAGGAGCTTGTACCTTTGTCATGGAGGCTTATCTGCAATTCATGGGAACTTGATTTGTGAAATGTTCTGTATACTGCTTGTGTAAGAGGTACTCCAAAAAGTTTGTAAACTCTCTTTCCTTTGAAATTTCCTTGTTCTTTTTTTTTTTTTTTTTTTTTTTTTTTTTTTTTTTTATGTTTGTTGTTTCAATTAGAGTTCTGTTGTCTTGAAACAGGAGCTTTGTTAACCTTTTTGTCGTGGTGAGGCTTATCATGCAATTGACACATGGGAAAATTGTTTGGATGAATTGTTCTGTATACTGCTTGATATATAGAGGTAACTAAAACCCAAAATGTTTGTTAAAACTCTCTTTAATCCTTTGAATATTTCATATGTTTCTTTTTTTTTTTTTTTTTTTTTTTTTTTTTTTTTTTTTGCAAGCTTGTTTTGGATTTAGAATTTGTTTAAAACCATAAGTCTGGAATATTTTTTAAAATTTTGCTGTGAGTTTATATTGACGTATGTGTGATGTAGTTATATTTGAGCCTGCACCATATGAAACGTGCAACAAGAGCATGTTACATTAATCAGAACTAGCAAGACGTATAAGGAATATAGCTTACAAATTTAAAATATAATGTTAAAAGATTTTTTTTTTTTTTTTTTTTTTTTTTTTTTTTTTTTTTGCAGCTTGTTTTTGGATTAGAATCTGTAACAGCTGCAATTTTTAATTTGCTGGAGTTTTGCCGTAGGTGATGTAGTTAAATTGAGACCCAACACAAATGACACCTGCACAAGAACTGTAACATTAAGACAGATAGCAAGAAAGTAGGATTATAGGCTTCAAAATTTAATATGTAGATTATGTCAGTCAAGAATTCTTGTGTATTTGTACTGCTTTTGATTATATCTTAATTAATAAAGTTGTAGTTCAAATTCTTCCCTCACGAATTAATTAATACATTTCCTTTTTCTTCATCATTACGTTTTTTGTGCAATTAAGAGATCATCGCAGTTTATATCGTTTCATGTTTTAATAGTTCAATTGCCAAACTATTTTCTATTTTGGCACTATTTTACTAAAAAAAAAAAATGAAAAATATAATTAACGAACATGAATCAAATGGCTTCTAATCGACCCGGATTGTTGACAGGATATGAATCAAAGATTGAGTCGCACCCAAAAAGAAACAATCAATAAATTAATAGCTCATAAATTGAGTTAATGATCAACACTAGCATGTTCCCACTATTAACTAGAAAATCAAACAGATATTGATCAATTACTCTTATATAATGAAAAAGAAAAAGAAAAAATAAAATAAACTAAGAAAGCATTTGGTTTTTCTCGTTTGATTGGTGGGAATCCTGGCCTCGTTGAGGGCGATCAGGTGGACTTACTTTTAACTTTAGTATTTAATTACATGAGTGCCCTTGGATTGGAACAATGAATAAAATTCAATTGATAACTTATTTACATACATACACAAAAAGTAGGGATGTAGTTTGGCGAAGTGGCCAACTAAAATTCAATTCCATTTTCTATCAAACTCTTTTTGTGATTACCATTATCGTTTATACCTAGTTATTATTATTATTATTATTATTATTATTTAGATTATGTTTTGAAATGCCATAATGAAAAGATCTAATGTAATGTAATCAAACCATTTTGATTGGTTATAAATATTTTTTTAACAATGTAAAGTAATTGTTTTTATTTAATCCTTAAAAAAATATATTAAGAAATATGGTAAATCAGAATAGCACTAGTAATAGTTTAAAATATATAAAATATTGTTTCCTTTTTCTAATTAATGACTATTATGAATTTCATAATTTTCAATTTATTTGTACCGTTAAAAGTTATCAGTATTTTTTAATTTGAAAAACCCAAGCACTCAATAAAACAATCAAAGACATTCATAATTCAGGAGAAAAAAAAAAAAAAAAAAAAAAAAAAAAAAACAGAAACTCAAAAACAGGCTTTTTCCAAAAACAAAATTGAAATCTGTGCTATTATGTAATGAGAAAAGATCATTAAATGCAAATAAAACAAGAAAAAATATTAATTGGATATTTATAAACAACACGTGACTCCTATGTCATTAGGGCAGGCAATACAAAAAAAAAAAAAAAAAACAGAAACTCAAAAACAGGCTTTTTCCAAAAACAAAATTGAAATCTGTGCTATTATGTTAATGAGAAAAGATCATAAATGCAAATAAAACAAGAAAAATATTAATTGGATAATTATAACAACACGTGACTCCTATGTCATTAGGGCGGCAATACCCATTTGCTTGCGACAAGCTCCGACACCCAGGGAAAGAACAGCTAACGAAAACTCAAAAAGAAACTTCGCAAGGGAATATCCCATGTACATCAACCTTGGGTCCTCTTAAACTATCAACTCTCAGATGTGCATCAACAAATACAATCTATGCCTGATTTTGGCATCACAAAAGGAAGCTTCTGTGAACTTGACGGTTCTACTTGGCAAGCCCCATCATTAAGAACCTGCACAACATAGCCTGCAACCTCTCTGCGCGGAAATCATATAGCAATCAGTCTAAAATCAACTGAATTTTACTCTCTATGTCCAATTTCAGCCTAGCAAATCTTTAAACAAGTTGGGATTTTGACTTGACGGGGTCACGCCCAACTGCCTCACCAGTGCATCCTTTTCCAATGAATCTTTAAGATTTGGTCCTTTACCGAATTGTGTGGGGTTTGTAGCTGTTGCGGTGCTACTCTGAGCAGCATTCCCTAGTCCAGACAACAAATTATCATGACTCTTATTAGATGATAAAGTAAACGTGAAACCACCACTTGGTCCACTTGCAGACGTGTCTGTATACAGTTGCATGAAATCAGGCGCACTAGTGGAGCCAACGATGCCAGGATTAGCACTGGAACTAAGTTTAGTTGGATCAAGCAGCCCTTCTAATTGTTTAAATGGGTCAACTGATGAAGCCCCAGTGCTAACAACATTTGGTTCGCCTAGGTCAAGCAAGTCTGGAGGAGGTTGAACTGGAATTGTCTTCTCTACTGCTACATCAGTGGTTGATGAAACCACTGACTTCGAAACATGGCTGCTTCCCTTGGCAACCTTATGGCCAGTTGAAGGTGGCTTTCTCTCGGTTTTTGATGAACCTCCAAACAGTGATGCAGCAAGCTTCTGCTTTTCTGGAGAGATTTCAATTTGTGCCTTCTTTGAATCATAAGAGGTTTCACGTGCTTTAGAATTTACATTGCTTCCCCCATCAGGATGAGTCACCCCATTCACTGTCTTCTGAGAACTAGAATTTGACGTAGGTGTTGCAGGAGAGGAGTAATTTGGCCTACCCCATTTCTTTTGCACTCCATCAAGTCGGAGCTTGACTTCCGATGATCCTGTATCGGATGAAGATGGCAATGTTGCCGTCTGCTGGGCCTCCCTGTAATAAGTGGGCTCAGGAACTGGAACAAGTTCTGTTGAGGATGCAAGCGATGCTGGAGGTGTCCTAGATGGCACAGAAGGCTTTGGAAGTTCATAAGCCTCAAACCTAAGACCATGAGTTGATGCTTCATGTTGATCTTGATTCCTGAAACTGTTGATATTTAACATTCCAGAACGTTCACTCTCTGGAATATAGGGCTGAGCCCCTTTTTCTATCGCTTGTTGAACATAACCGTTAAGAAAAGAGAGGTTTTTATCAATCTGCAAACAGAAATTAAGACCGACGAGCAATGTCAGGTTGCTAGTGAATGGCAATATCAGAGATCCAAGAGAAATCAATCAAACAGTAATAAAATCCACAGCTCAGATAACTGAGAACTCAAAGACCATGGTAAAATTGGAAACAAAAATTGAAAAGAATAAAATGATGGTTCCAAGCTTGCTGTATGCCTATAGTAGCATTTCTCTCTTTCTTTTTTTCTTTTTTTTTTTTTTTAATTAAAAAATTGTCCCAAGTAATGGAATGCAAAGGACCAGTACATTAGAAAATCGTAATATCCCTCCCAAATTTATTTATTTATTTCAAGGAACCATCCAAGGAGAAAAAATGAGGATAACAAGCCAAAGAATAAGATCACAAGAATTAGCAAGGATAACAATAAATTTAGGAAATGCATGTGGCACCTGAGACCGCATAAAAATGAAAGCAAAAGGATGATAAAAAGCATGCATATTAAAATTTAAAATATTTGACAAGCCTATTAATTTATAAAAGTTAGATAAATTCATAAAAACAAATATTTAACTTGACCTCGATATCTTCACAGCTTGCATCTGGTGGCATAATACATTCAACGGCATGAGCATCCAAGCCAATAACTGCTTGAAGTTCATATGCACGCTGCTGCAAGTCTGTTGAGTGGGATGCTGATAATTCCTCAATCAGAGATTGACACTGCAAAGTATGAAGTAAAATTTACAAGAGTATAGACCTGATAAAGGACAGCTCGTTCTTAACTGACTTTTCTACCACCAGTAGTTCCTACTGCTGAATATGGATATTCCCACTACTGAGAGTCCATGCCCATGGTCTGGACATGAATAAGATATAAGATGTGAAGTATGTCAGTCTTAAATATAATCAGAACATGCAAAGGGTAAGATTTATCAGGATATTAACTTGAAGGAACATGATTTAAAACTATATTTTAATTCTACATTACCAAGGGTGTCCCAGTTTTAGATGATAAGACATAAAGGACATACCAGCCGACTCCAAAAATCAAACAGGATAAAAAGAAAAAATTAACTCTCTGAGGCTTAAGAGCGTACCTCAGGTAAAATTTCCACTTGCCTTTCAGCTGCTATTTCAAATGCATATAGTTTCATAAGTGCTGTCACTGCATATGCCTTTTAAAGGGACAAAAAAGGAAAAAAAAAGGGGGTAAAGAATCAAATACTCATTTAACAATAAGAGAGATTTAATACCATAAAGATTTCAAGTTTATCAATTCTCAGCACGTTACATTCTTTACCAGAAGTGATTAACCACTAATATAAACGTAATTGAAAAATAAACAGCACACAGAAAAATAAATATAAAATCCCTTCTTTGCATACATGCATGCATGTGTGTGTGCTCACACAGACCCAACACAAAAACTTATTCTAAAAAAACGTTTAGAAGAATAAGATTTTCAACAACACAGAAACCAGAGTCTGCAGCTTTCCAGTATTTAGCATCAAGTGCAACTCCAGTAAGCCTTGTCCCCATAATAAGCATTTGGAGTAATAGTGACAGCTCTACTTTACAGTGATATTGACAATTTAATTGCATGAAAGACATCTTTACTTATGGAGCTTTCTCTTGGTAAAGTAATAAAATAAGACTTAAAGAAAAAAAAATTAACAAGAGAATCCACAAAAACATACAGTAATTCACCAAGTATGCAGAAGCACCAAAGAAAAACAACCAAAAACATAAAGGAATAAATCTAGCATCAAATATACAAGACCATTTCTTATCTCCAGGGCACTAAGCAACATTAGAAATTAGAGGGATACCTTAACAGTCTCATCATTTGAATATGCATCTGCTACATCACATAACTTCCCAGCAACATATGAGGCAGAAAACTTTTCATCAGCAGTTCCATATTCCCCCAAGACCCAACAAATGACCTGCAATTAAGAATCCAATAATTAACAAGCAGATCACTTAATGTGCACACAGAAACCAAATTCTAAAAGCCATACTATAAACCTTATTTGAATGGGACATACCTGAAGAAATAGAGATGGAAGCTTTGGCTCTCCGATAATCTGCAAATATGACTCCACCTGAAAAACAGGAAAGAAAAGTTCCCAATTAGAATAGGAAAAGAATAATAAAAGTTGAACTGTATTACTATAAGACCTCAGCTATTGGTGTATAAATAGAAGTTAAAAGGTGCATCTTCTTCTTCTTCTTCCTCTTCTTCTTCTTCTTCTTTTTTTTTTTTTTTTTTTTTTTTTTTTTTTTTTTTTTTTTTTTTTTAAATAGAAAGTTAAAAGGTGCATCTTCTTCTTCTCTTCCTCTTCTTCTTCTTCTTCTTTTTTTTTTTTTTTTTTTTTTTTTTTTTTTTTTTTTTTTTTTTTTTTTTTTCCTCTTTTGTGTTTGGTCAGTATACCTTATTCTCACACTAAGGCTGGGGTGGTATTTTAATTAAAGTCCTTCCGCAGCAGGCGCCCAGGATTTGAATTCTCATTTCAAGAGTCATTCAATTCAAATAGCATTTGAAATTATGAACAAACAAGAAGGACCTTTTAGACCCTCTTTATATTATTCACTACAACCAAATTAACAAATGCTACTTATATTACCAACCTTAAGAGTAGGCCAGATCCCATTTTGAAATTGATAATGCATCCCAAAACCATCTAATCTTACCAATTAGATTTTTTCTTTTTTTCATGTCTCTTATCTTTTTTTTTTTTTTTTTTTTTTTTTTTTTTTTTTTTTTTTTTTTTTTTTTTTTTTTTTCCTCTTTTGGTGTTTGGTCAGTATACCTATTCTCACACTAAGGCTGGGGGGTGGTATTTAAGTAAAGTCCTTCCGCAGCAGCTGCCCCAGGATTTGAATTCTCATTTCAAGAGTCATTCAATTCAAATAGCATTGAAATTATGAACAAACAAGAGACCTTTAGAACCTCTTTATATTATTACTACCAACCAAATTAACAAATGCTACTTATATTACCACCTTTAAGAGTAGCCAGATCCCATTTTGAAATGATATGCATCCCAAAACCATCTAATCTTACCAATTAGATTTTTCTTTTTTCATGTCTCTTTATCATGTTCCATTTCCCATCCACATAAATAAACAAGCACAAATTGACAATCAAGTGTAAATACAAGAGTAACGTACAGCAGATGATCTCAACTGATTATCTGCAGTATCATCATCCTCCCCAAATCCCTCAGCAATTAAGCGCATCAAGTTATGAGCCACTTTACTTTTCACCAGATCTCCCGCATGCTCAAATACTCTATTCATGGTCTGTGGAATTAACATGTCAAAGTACAAAAAATGCTCAGATTAGCCAAAAAAAAAACATGCAATGATAGAGAAGGCAACATCGTGTATACCTGGATAAACCAGTGGTTGCTAGGTGCAAATTGCTCTGCAAGTTCTACACATCGAGATGCTATCTCAGTCTTGTAATGATTATCATTGATATTGATCATATAGTCAATCATGCGATCAACAATCACTTCCACATTGGAGGACTTTGTCATCTTATACAGCAGTTCAAAGGTTTTTCGCTTCAGAGTATCATCTGGATCCTGTGTCATGTACCGGTATTACAAAGGACTGCTTCACGAATGAAATGACTCGTGCAATTAATTTGCAAGCTAAAAGTAAAATCAACAAAGTAACTACACTCTGAAAAATTATGCCTGCAAATAAATGCTTCTAATACCTATCCTAACCCATATAAATGCATGATAACTGACTCACGACACTGAGCCAACTAAATTTATCTTACAATATAAACTAACTTTGTATTCTATGTTTGCTTGACATCAACTAACTTTATAAGTTCTTAGAACTTTAGTAAAACTAACAAGACTTCTTTAGTTTTGATTACTCGTACTTTATTTTTATAGTATTATTGAATATCTTGTGATCAACTTTTGCATATTAGCTATACTTCAATTTTTATTCAAAATAAAAAGAAACTAAATTTTCAACAATTTTAATAGATACGTAATAGTCATATTTAATATTTAAATTTGAAAAAACATGCAAATATAAAAGTATAAAAAAGTTCAAGGAACATGCTAAAAATGCCAGTTAAACAAAATAAGTGATTTCACAAGCACGTCAAAGTACTCACCTCTAAGCAGTCTATCACAGCCAATTGGTGTTGCTCAGCAATCTCTGGACTTAATTTTATCAACCGACCAAGGGCATCAATGCCCATATATCTTAAATTATGACTGTCACTCTGCCAAAAAAGATAACATTGTATCATGTGAGCTGGAGCAAAATAACCAAACAAATGCCCCAACAATCTATTCACTCTAAAGAAATGCATAAGCTACAGAAGACAAACCTTCAAGAATCTAGCTATTACATCAGCAGCAGCTTCTAGTAGCTTAGGATTCGGATATATTGAAGAAACACAGCATATGCACTCATAAAGTACAGCATTTCCTATATTACTTGATGAATCACACTTCCTAAATATCTCGCCCACAACTGTATACATGTGTTCACTCGCTTGCTTGTCACCACTTCCTAGCAATGCCAAGATTTTCAGCAACTTGATCTGCCAAGTACACCATATTTAAATTATCCATATATGAAAAAATTAAATAAATAATTAAATGCATGAGAAGACAAAGTAAGAAGAAGAAAAACACATCGGGAAAGTAGGTGAACATCTTTCCTCACAGTGAATATTGCTTATTCTAAAGCCATGTAAGCCTTCAGATCAAAGGAGAATTAAAGACATCATTTGCTATCAGAACAAAACCGACTAAAACAACCAAGCAGTTGCGTAGGTTAGTGGTGGATATGTATTAATAATCCTTGATATAATTCAAATATGCAGACCAATTAAAGCAGAAATGGAAAAAAATTCAGAACCATAGAAAGGAAAACCATCAGAATTGGAAAACCAGTGCTGCCACCATATCATTCTTAACACCTACCTGCTCCCCCCAATACCCGAACAGTTAAATCTCTAGCTTGCAACACCATCAAGAACCACAAGGACACAATCCATAAGCATGGTGATGGAATGGCACATTGATAGTGACAGCAATAAGTTGGTGATAACAATATTGGATGGTGAAGGGGCAGTACCAGTGGTACAATACCCCAGGGATGGTGACAACATTGGTGATAGCAGTAAGTAGGAGGCAGCCTGGCAATATGGAGATAATAGTAGAGCTGAGGTGGTGGTAATGGTAGTTATGGAGGTGGAAATTGAAGACCACATTAATGGTTTCTAGTATTTATATTTCTGTTTCTTAGAACAGTTCCAAAAAAAGTATCAAGCAAGAAAGAAAAACGAGACATGCATCAAACACTTGATATTGTCTTTTTCTTTTTTTTTTCCCCAAAATATAAAGCAAAGAAGGAACCTATAGAAAATGCTGTTTTGATCTATAACCAGATTTCATAGTCCATGTGATAAGATAACTAATGCATAATCATCCAATCTGCGGTGACAACAAACTCATGATTAACACCATAGTTCAGCCACATGCAGCAAGAAAGTTGAATGAGAACAAACACAATGCAAAATACCTGTATAAATGGAGCTGGCATCTGATGATAATCGTAACTCTTTGGCAATCTACGCTCAGCTACTTGTTTGAGAATGCTAACAAAGCTGATGACCAAATCTTTATAAGAATTAACATCTGTAGTTATAAGATCAAAAAGAGGACAAAGTGTTGCACCCATGACTCCCGGGTCATTATCACAAAGTCTCTGCAACGAAGGAAGCCACGTTACAGTCATCGTACTGAATATTCAAGGGAAATATAAGAAGTAAAACAAGAGACTAGAAATTGACTGGAAAAAGTAATAAGCAAAAATGGAAAAGAAACTATTTAAAAGGTTGCCTTTAAATTCTTTTCACTATCATATTCTTCCAAAGATCTTAAAAGTTCCAGGCTCAATTTGTTTGTAATTAGCTCAAGTGAGATATTTATTCCTTTTCTTATATTATTCACAAAAATAGAAAAACTAATGGAACTTCAATAATTAGCAAATGCAAATTAAATTTGAGATATATAGAGTTCAAAATATTGTCGTAGTTGTCTTTGATTAGTATTAAGCTTATAATTTCTTTTACAAGCAAATATTTCAAGATAAAATGTTGAGGATGCTCCTTTTGAACTAACCAGAATAATTTTCTAACGAATAATTGTCAGAAATATCAGGCACAAGGCAGAGCAGTGGAGGCCATGTTGCAGGGGATGGGGGCAACATTTTATGGGTTTTATTTTTCTTCTTTCAAGTCATACTTCCACCGTTTGTCTGAACAAAATATGTATAAACTAAAAGAAAAAGAATTAAATATACAATCTCACATAAATGCCCCTCCCTGAACCTAACTCCATCCTAGAATCCCATATTAGTATTAGCTCTTACAATCTCTAAAGATATACTTAAACATCATATGCAATTCTAAGATATGATTGGACTTGAGTATCCATTTCTCACATTATGTTCGGAACCAATAATGAACTCATTTATAGTTTCACATTTTCAGTTTTGTAGAATTTACTGAAGGAGGCGATAAAACTCATTTACAAAATATCAATATAATTCTTCGTACAAATGATTTCTATAGTGAACTCATTACATAGCTTTTGATATAAATCTCTGCCGAATTCATTTCAATTGTAAATGAATTTTATTAAAAAAATTTCATTTGTAAATGAATTTTCATGTTTGAATCAACAATAGAATTATTCTCAATATGTAGCTTTACTAGATTATATCAATTAGCTTTTTTTTCAAGTTAAGATTTCTTGCAAATTCTACCAATTTTAGTAGAATCTGATACAAACATTACCAATTCCATAAAATTGAAAATGTGTAATTCTAAATGAATTTTCATTCATCATCAATATGGAAATTTGGATTTGTAAATGAATTCAATAAAATTTTATGGAATTCATTCAAATCAAATAAGCTCTTAGAAATGAAATTAATAGCTCATTCATTTGGTTCCAAACATGCCCTTACGCTCAGATTTAGCTTACCGAGATATAGTACAAGTACTACATGTGACTTTACTACAATCAAAATTATCGATAATTGGCGAAAAGCAAACTTCACAACACAGAAAGTGACCAAAAATTCCAAATGCCGGGAAGTACAAAACCTAACCTTGCGAAAATTGGAGACGAGATGAGAAACGGATGATGGAGACTTCTGATAAAAGCGATGAAGAGCCATAATCGCCTTCTTTCTAACAGCCTCCTTCGAGTGACCCAACAACTCCACCACTTGCGGCAACACAGCAGGAATTGTCTCCTCATTAATCAACTTACAAACAGCATTTAACGCAGCACAAACAACCAGATAATTATCCGATTTCAAGTCCTTCTGTATTGTATTCACTATCAAGATAATCAAATCGTGATCCTCATTAAGAAACAGAGTAACGGCAAGATATCCAGTTCGCTTGAGGAGCAAATTATCATCATGAGTCATCTTGACAGCGTGGATGTAGCCAAAAGAAGCATCGTGGCCCAGCATCTCGACATAAACGAGGCGTATGATGTATTCCTTCATCTTCCGCTTGGGGATATCGGGCTCAACGATGCGTCGTTTTAGAGTTTCGATCTCGCCAAGAACAATTCGGTCCTCTTCAGCCTTGGATCGAGCCTCGCCAATCGATTTGACGAGATCGAGAAACTCTTTCGATTGGCCAAAGCCGCCTTGGGATCCCATAGCGAGCTCCCTGCCAATCGTCTTTAGTTGCTCCATTGAATTGGATTTGGTTGATTGGTGAAAATGGAAGAGAGTCTAGGGTTTTTGGTTTGGAATTTGGAGCATTAGTGAAATGATAAGGACCAGAACGAGTGTGATGATAGATCTGAGAATTGAAAACGGTTTTCTGCGAGACAGATGAACGATACGAAGCATACCAGAGAAAGGGACAAAAAACCAGTGTTAGGTGGAAATAATATATAACTCACGGCACTTTGAAAGAGGCAATCCGGTGTCGGAGAAGAAGAGCTTAGAGTTAAGCTACCGTTCACCAAAATAGAATCTTGAGCCAATAAGATGGACCAATTTCACATTTGAGGATGATTGAAAAATAAAATTCGGAAAAATAATTATTACGTTATGGACTTTGGGTTGTTCGATTTAGCTGTTTTACGTGACTATCATATATTTTGAAAAATGTAAAATGAGTATTAAAATATAATTATATTTGCAAATAATTATGTAACACATATTTTTATTTGAAATTTTAAATTGAATATACTACTTGTAAATGATTATATATCATATTCTTGTTTTAAAATTTTAAAATAAAGATATATTTTTTATTTTAATATATAAAAAATATACATTTTTACAATAATATCATAGTGCAATAGATTAGGTTCATTTACTATTTTTTATTATTGATTTATGATTTAATTTTTTAAATTCATTTGATTGGAATAATAAAAGATAAGAAAATTTGAGATTTAAGAGTCCATGAATCATTTTTTTTTAAGAACTTATATTTTCACTATTGCCGGATTATAGCTGCCTACCACACAAACCAACAAGTTGTTAATACCTATCATTATTCCTTATATGATAATGCTCTAACTTTCTAAGTATAATTAATGTTTTATAACTATAAATTATGAACAAAAATATAATATTAGAGTAAAAATTTCTATAATGTGATAGTAATATAATGGCATAATCATTTTGGTTTAAATTATTAATAGAGTGCTAATTTTTTACATTCTATAATTATTTATTATTTTAAAATTTAAATAATTATAAATAAAACAACCATACAAAAATAATAATTTGAAAAAATAAATGATTATTTATTATTCTAATGCATACAAACATAAAAATTACAACTATTTAATAAATAAATGACATTTTCATATACGATTTTAACAAAATGAATCTGCTATAGATCTCTAGCACAACCAATTAGACATGGTATAAAATCTGCGATATTATTAGAGAATGGATAGATGAAAAGATCCTGCATCAAACAAAAACAATCTAACTTAACTAATAAATAAATAAATGGATGTGTTACACCTGACACTATCAGGCAGCTTGTGGACAAGATGTTGAATCAAGTTCATGTGCCTCTCTCGCGTCTCTGAGACCAAAGTGTATTCATAATGACTTTGAGTGATCAAATGCTCAATAAAATTACATGACAATAGGGGAACATATAAATTTGCCAAGCCTTGAATACTACTGACTGAGTCTTGACTAGTTTCACTCAACAGAACTGAATGATGCAATTGCATCGATTTCCTCCTGCAGAAGAAGAGCTTCAATGAAGACATCCAGGCTCTCTCCTAGCATCACATCGTTTAATGCATGGTGGGTAATGCCGACACGATGATCAGTGACACGCCCTTGTGGAAAGTTGTAGGTGCGGATGCGTTCAGATCTGTCTCCGCTACCGATCTGTTCGAGATGGCAAAGCGTTAAACCAGGTGAAAAATCAACGGCAGCAACAATAGTACCTTCTCATAATTTTTACACCTGTTCTGATCGAAGTTTTGATCGACTCGTATGAATTCTTGACCTTTCCATTTCATATAGCTTGGCACAGAGCACCTTGAGAGCTTTTGCTTTGTTCTGTGAAGGGGCCAAAGGGCAAAAGGAAATTGTAAAGAATTATAATTTCTATGCTTATGGCTTATCCACATCCACATGGCAAAAAATGTTTGAACAGACAGACTGATATGGGCATAGGCTAGCAACAAAGATAGCAAACATAAACTATTGAAATTTACCGCTTACTGCTAACTTCACTATTCAAATTAGGAACGAATCTGTGACTTGCAAGTATAAGCAAAGAGTATGCATAATCTATGGGTAAAAATGAAAGGACCAATTCTATCAAGAGGAGAACTAAGATTTCAAGAATCCTTTACCATATGCTGGGAACGTTCGTCCTGTATGGACACTGTCATCCCAGTTGGTAGATGAGTTATTCTAACAGCACTATTTGTGGTATTTGCGTGCTGGCCACCTGAACCACCAGATCTGTAGGTGTCAATTCTCAAATCATCATTCCTCAACTGAACATCTACCTGCAGAAGTCAGAAAAAAGGAAATTGGAAGCAAAAAGAGACATTAAAGTAATAAAAAATACTTCCAGTTCCAATAATGTCAAGACAAGTGAATTGAAATGAACTGCACAAATGCTTAGATGCTAAATACAGCTGCTCAAAAAAATTAAAATAAAAAATCTTCCTAAGTAAAGAAAAGAAAAAGTTAATGTATTCTAGAACATCACTTAGAGTTTAAAACCTCATCAGCTTGAGGCAGGATAGCAACAGAAACAGCACTAGTGTGAACACGTCCAGACTTCTCTGTTACAGGAACACGCTGCAAGAGATAAACTGTCAGTCATTTCTGCAAGAACTCATAGACTGTTTATCTCTAGATAAGCACTGATGAGACCTGAACCCTGTGAATTCCACTTTCAAATTTAAGTTTCCCAAAAACACCAGCTCCTGAAATTGCAGCACTGGCTTCCTGCCAAGAAGAGCTAGAAGTTAAAGGGTTGTAAGACCACTAAGTGATGAAGAACTAATCTGAAACTCAATACCTAAAAAATAAAAATTCAATACCAGCCATGTGCAGTAGAATAACCTGTCCAAGATAGGGTATAAAGAAAAGGTAATATGATATTCAATGAAAGAGATGGGCACCTTGTATCCTTTCAAATCAGATTCTGCAATATCGACCACTTCAAATTTCCAACCCTTTTTTTGTGAGTATCTCTCATACCTGCCACAATCCAAATGAGGTCATCTCTCTTAAAAGAGAAGTTGCAAGAGAATTTAAAATGAAATATTGCTTACAAGGTTATGACAACTTACATCTTGAATACATCCATGGCGAACAAAGATGCCTCTTCTCCTCCAGTTCCTGATCAAAAGTATTCTCAAATTTAGAGAAAGAGTAAAAAAAAACATCAGAGTGCCTTAGAAAAGCTTAGCAATATTGACATCAGACCGTATGTACAAATTGAAACTTCACTTCTGATGCCTATCTCTAAAGACCGAGGGAATTATTACCAGCTCTCACTTCCAAAATACAATCTCTCTCATCAGCATCATCCTTTGGAAGTAATGACTTCAGCAGCAAATTCTGAAGTCTTTTTTCTTCTTCCATTGCCTGACTCAATTCCTCATTTGCCATATCAAGCATATCTTTATCTTCCGGACATTCAGCCATCAGTGAGCTCAAGCTATGAATCTCCTACATAATCAGAAAAGGCAAACTCCATTTAGTGCATCTTACCCCTAATCAATGGTAAGTAGTAAGTAAATTGAGTCCCTAACTGAAGGATCCAATCTTGAATAACCTATCCTTGTTAACAGAGAAATGCTATGCACTTGCATTGAACAACGAGAAAAGTATTCATGATGATTTGAACAATTTACTGCAATTCAATACCTTCTGTTTGGACCTCAGCTCAGTTATAAGGTCCATTGATCCCCTGATTTTCCGCAGTTCTTTGTTAGCTCTGGCAGATTCTGTAGGTGAGGCTTCTGGCTGTCTTCAATCAACACCAGAATAAGGAAAGAACAAAAAACACTAAATTACCATTTTCATTCCATATATTTACAAAATAAATGCAATATCTAACACAATACATTAAAGACAGAGTTGGAAGACTAAACTATTTTTGAAGCAAAAGTTTGCAAGATTCAACAGCCATAAATCACAATTTATTTAGAATCCTACTACAAATGATAGAAGAGGTAAAAAGAATCATAATGCTTACCCGATTTATGAAATTCTCAAGGTAAGCACTCCTATGTTCAATAGCTGATAACCTTTGATCCATGATTCGAATAAGGTCAGGGGACAGTTGAGATTGCAGTTCTACAATTAAAAACCAGCAAAATGACACTAAAATTTCTGGTTGTACATTCTAAAATTAAATGGTTATACACGAGTGCAAAAACTCTTAAAAATGACTAATCACCCCTTTGATGAACCCGTAGGATCATAAATCTCGATGCATAAATTGAAATATCGAGATTCCTTTATGAATCGGTATTTCTTGAAATTAAATTTCATCTTACTTAAATTACCAAGCATATGCAATATATTAAATAAATTGTACTATATATGGAGCTAGGGTTTTAGAAGGAACCGCCATGAACTACTAAAACCCATTAGAACAGTGATCACATAGAAGCTTGACAAGATACAGGCCATATAAAAAAATTTACTTTGCTAGAAGTGAAATTCTATTTCAAAGAGTAATAACATAATTTAAATAAAAAGAAAACCGCACCAGTTGAGTAGGAGCGTGAAAGGAGGAGAAAAGCATTGGCTACGGCGGATGTGAAAGAAGATTTTCGATAAAAAGGATTTGTATGCGAAACTGCTGGAGTAGATTGAAGTTGCTTTATTGAACGGACCACATTAACGCTCCACTTCAAACCTCTATCTATTCTCATTTCCCTTCTCTCCTGCTTTCTATGTATATCTAAAGTATCTGTACTGAGTTATGCAGCGAGTGGAAATAACAGAAATGATACTAATCCGTGACAGTGAGAAAGAGAAGAGATGTTGCAGTCTTAATCGTGAGTTCAACTTGGAATCAGAACAAACCAGAGAGCGGCCAACAGCCCGTCACCTGCGAGTTACGACTATGTTTTCAGTTAAGTACGCAATAAACGACACCGTTTAACCTCCTGCATATGTTCCCCTTTTAAAGGGGTTTTGTGCGATCTAATTAAACCATGGATATTCATGACGGTGATGCACTGACCATCCACTAGCAATCAAACACCTGTCATTGTTAATATAAACATACAGAAAAGTTCTCTGAAACTCTCTAATCTATTACACAGCAAAGGTTAAAAAAATGCAGGGCGATGAGGCCAGGGTCTTGCTAGGCTTCCCTCCCAATTCCTGCCCTACCATATCTGAGGTAACATTACACCTCAATCGAATTTTCGGGCGCCATTAATTTGTTTATTTATTCTTTCTTTTTAGGTTGAATTCAGTCTTTGAAGTCATCTCCTTTTGATCATTTGAATCGATTAGCAGCCATGTTTATTTGTGAATTAATTACTGGAATTGATGTTTGATTTTGCTATCAAATTGAGCTGTAGGTTAAAGCTGCTTACAAAAAGAAGGTATGGGAGTCTCATCCTGACCTCTTTGCCGGTCACGAAAAGTCTCGTGCTGAGTCCAGGTTCAAGTCGGTAAGCGTCACTGCTTTGTTGAACAGTTTTTTACTTTGATTAATTCCTTGCAAGTCTGCTTTTTTATCAGATCATTAGTATTACTTCTGGATTTTTTATCAAACTTCAGCTTTCATTTCAATTGCACTGTTAATTTGCATCTCTTATTGTGTAATAATTCAACTTTTGATTTAGTCACCAAAAAAGGAATAGTTTCCTGTACTATGGAGGTTTAAATTAAATGAATAAGATGTTTAATCATGCGCATATCAATTGTCCATGTAACTGTTAGATGTTTGATTCTGAATATACCCTTTGTTTGGTCAAAATGAAGGAACCTAAGGAATTTAAGTGAATGAACCACTATCACAATATTAAGAGTTTGAAAGTACATTTCGGTGAAGTTGCTATAAAGTATAACTGTCTCAGAGTTGATTATATTTTACCCTTTTAGGAGGGAACTGGTTAATTAGATATCTGTGTTTGAATTATGCATATTCTTCCGCCGAATATTTTTTATATTTTACAGTCCAGTGATGGATCTGACTGTACGATTTGCATTTGTATTTACTGCAGATTTCAGAAGCTTACACTTACCTGCTGTCTGGTAATTCTCTACTATCTTCATTTGTTATATATAGATAAATAATTATGCTCTGATATCATGGTTTGCAGACTCCAGAATGGACAATAAAACTTATTGGATAAACTTGCAAGTTTTAGTCTAACGCTTAAGGTATTGAAATTTTTATAGATTTTAGAAATAGTGAGTCATCAAACTGGTCATCTTGCTCTGTTTCCTTTCCTACTGTTGAGATCTGCCTTCATTTTGGTGAATATGTCATTTCATGTTTTACAGTGCTCTGGTTGCTTTTTTTTTTTTTCTCCTTATTTTCTTCTGGAATTGCAAAAAATTAACTGTTCCTCTAGTTTGAGGCCTGCATCGATCTTGAGGAAGAAACTGAAATCAACCAAGTCTTGGGGAGTCATGCAACAGGAAAGTTGCACACGTGGAAGGACTTTCAGAGTGTCAAAAGGGTATATACTATTCATAAATTAAACCACCCCCCCCCCCCCCGATTTTAGAAATAGTGGTCATCAAACTGTTCCATTCTTGCTCTGTTTCCTTTCCTTACTGTGAGATCTGCCTTCATTTGGTGAATTATGTCATTCATGTTTTACAGTGCTCTGGTTGCCTTTTTTTTTTTTTTTCTCCTTATTTTCTTCTGGGAATTGCAAAAATTAACTGTTCCTCTTAGTTTGAAGGGCCTGCATCGATCTTGAGGAGGAAACGAAAATCAACCAAATCTTGGGGAGTCATTGCAACAGGAAAGTTGCACACGTGGAAGGGAACTTTCAGGAGTGTCAAAAAGGTATATACTATTCATAAATTAAAACCACCCCCCCCCCCCCCTCTTTTTCTGCCCAACCCCTGTATTTTTGCCTTTTGAAACCTGAAGGAATGCACCACTAATTATAGTGTTTATTTGTTTCACAAATGGGTCATAACCCCCCCCCCCCCCCCTCTTTTTCTGCCCAACCCCTTATTTTTGCCTTGAAACCTGAGGAATGCATCCACTATTATAGTGTTTATTTGTTTCACAAATGGGTTCATTAAGTTTTGAGTTGTCCAGCAAAAGGGGTCCGTTTGGATTTGGGTTTGCAAACCATGATAAAAGCTCTGATCACCCTATCCAGAAAAATGAATTGGGAGATGAGTTAAACAAGTATATAGCACCAATGAGACTAAATTTACTTGCTCTGTAATGGTTATCACAGGTGCAAGAGGACCACATTCAGCTTCGGGTAACTTTTATATTTTAAATTATTTGCAATTTCATTTTTTCTTGTTTTCTTTTTCTGTCCTGTCTGTGTTTTGTCTATTAGCCACAATTTTCTTTTGATTAGCCACTTATTCTCGAGTTGTGAGGACTGGCATGCCAAGAGCTCATGGGGGAAGAAGTAATAATGTTTTAATCCGCATACCTTTCCTTTTTATTATACTGGGAACCGTTGGACTAGGGGGATTGAATGCCACCAGGTGATAAACCAAAAGGTGTCATTATATTGTTGGAAACCTTGACTTTAAAGCATATGTGGTTATACACCTTCCTTTCATTATTGTGCTTTTCAGGGCTTACAAAAAGCAGAAAGAGATGACTCCCTCGCACAATCCTTTTCTGCCTTAATGTGATACCCTCAGGTGGAAATACGTTGGCCAAGCATGCATGTTCCAACTCTCTGATGTAATTTACTTGTATATTTATTTATTATTTGGTGCTTGTTTGATTCAAGCTCATTACCTATTGTGGAACTTGTATGGTTGGACATGGAAGGACCAATTTATATCTGTTACCGACAGTTCATGAAAAATTGAAAATACAGTTGAATTAGTTACAAATTTTTAGCATTAGTCTGCTCTAATCAGTTGATGACATGGCTGACCGGGCCACCAATAAAGAATCCTTGTTATTAGGAACAAAATGTTGGTTAGTCAGTAACTTATTTTTGTTGACGGTAAAAAGCTTCCAAAATAGTTTTCATGATGGAAGTTTGGTGGAGCATTTCGACTCAGACTTAGTTCAATATAGCTTTCATGAATATATATATATCTATAGATATTGCTTAATTTTAATTAATTGTGGATCTATATTTGTTCACCTGCGGCTGGAAACGACTGGCAATCGTTGATGTGACTACAAAATATGCAAGTTAGTTCTCTTATATATGCTTTTAGTGAAATTTTAGGGAAATTTTTTACTTAAATTTTTTCCTGGGAAATATTTTCTATCAACAACTGTCTAAACAATTTAGTTAGAGGATAAAAATAACATATTTCCAAGCTGTGGGCAGTTTTTTTATGGCCCAATGCATAAATTTATTCATGTATTTTATGTGAAAACTTTCTAGCACTCTCAATTTTTATTTTGACGTGTTGAACACCTTAATTTATAAAATTGTATCGATTAAATATTTCAACTTGCAAAAATTATTTTATTGAATACTCAGTTTTAAAATTAGATTAATTGAATACTTGTTAGATAGTTGAAAAATATTAAAATTATTATTCTAGAGATTATACTAACCATACATTAAATAAATATCATGTACATAAATAGCAAAAACACCAAAAGAAAATATTATTATTAGTATAAAGAGGAAGACAATATTAACAAAAATCGTAATTTTATAAGCATAATAGGTCAGAGTGCCACAAGATTTTTTCGTGTCATACAAAGGTATATTTACCCATTGGCCATTTTCTTATCCTCCAACGTTTTAATCAGAGCTTCATAAAATAAACCAGTTGACAGTGTAGGAATTAAACTAAATACCATGGAAATCATATATGATCAAATAAAGATGTTTAGAAGGAATAGATATTTATTAATACTGAACGATTCCCAGTTTTACCCCTCTTGACTATAGGTTGTTCCCATAACCAAGTGTGAGTTATACGCCTTCATAAATAGAAGCAAATTTGGACATTAAAGCATGTATCACACAGAAAAAAGTAAAGGTGGCATAAGAGCAACAAAGAAAAGCATGTTTTCTGAAACATTTAGCATCTGCCTCCACAAAACAACCATATATGCCCTAAGAATACAAGCAATTCCAAAGAAAGAAGACAGTAATGTAGTAAAAATTTTGCTCATTACAGCAGATATAACCACGCCCTACATGCATGATCCAAAATATTGAACAATAGTGTAAAATTTCCAGTTGTGTGTACTTTAAAAGCTTTCTCGCCATTTGTAGTCACTCAATGTTCTTCATCGTCCATGTGTCACTGCCTATCTTTTTTGTCCGTTCTTCAATCAAGTATAAATGTAAAGCAAGCTAATTAGTCTCACTTGCTTATAAGAACCAAGCAGAACTCGTAATCCTCATCCTCATCTCAAGACCAACTCTAAAACTTAACCTTCATCAGGCCATCTCACATTCAACCATAAAACAGTATCGCTGGCCACACCACGAAGATATTGCTATGCTAAAACTAGACTGCAACTGTCACATCGGTGATTGATTTGCTAAAACCTAAGAGAGAGAAAAAAAAGAGAGAGAGAGAGATAGCCTTATTTTTCCAGAAATACCTGTAACACTTTCTTTTCTTTTTTCTGAAAGTAGTCGCTTTTGATCCTCTTTTGGGTAATATCCACCATAGACCATCAAATCTAACAGATGGCTTGACATGGAAGAACAGCCCTGAAAATCTAGGATACAAACAGACTCTTTTATAGAAGGCCCATTGTGCAAAAGCAACTTATAACTGCAGATCTGCAACTTCAGAGAACTTCATATTGGCTACTGATTGCAACCATTTCCTAAGCAATACTTTTTCTATATGTGCTGAAAATAAGTGCTTAGCAAACAAAATAAACCCACACCTACTTGTTTGCTTAATTGATTGAGGGATATGATAAATTCCATTATACTTCTCGCAACTTCGATGTCATGTTCCAAGAATCTTCACAACTCTAATATATTGCACACTCAAAACCGTTCTATTAACAATGTATTAAGCATCTATGCGCTCCTAAGGCCACTTTTCGAATATTAATATTGATATTGATAGATCAATCCTGTAGGCTGGTACCGGTCTCTGCGTTAGGCTTGAAGGGTAACAGCAATCGGTTGCCATCCTGACTGATGATGAATAATCCATTTCTTTAATGAAATAATCATATTCAAGACCTGAAGTACTTCACCCAAAGCATGGCCTTCCAAGCACGCCTTCCTTAAAATCAATGCCGCTTCATATCTGTACAGGATGAGAAACCATAGAAACCATGTCATACCTACAATTCATGAGAGCCAATTGGCAGATAAATAAATAAATAAACAAACAGGCTTACTTGCAGCTAGAAGCCAATATGGCTGATCGCCCAGATGAGGAAGTGAGGAACTTTTGTATTTCATCCCATTTTGCTGTTGGGTACTGGTTAGGATTACCACCCATAGGGTTCACGCACTTCCATAGTTTGTCATTTTTACCAACAAACAACTCCACAGCGCCAAACTTTTGCTTCAGTACCATATTTTGCTCAATTGCACTATCTAAAGCTTTCCGTACATCAGTACTTCGGTGTTTTGGGTCTCCAAAATGAATACAGTCAGTTATGTTAGCTTCAGTGGGCATAAGTTTTTCAGCTTTCAGGGTGTCTAAAGCCAGTAAGATGACACCAATAAGACCTTGCACATATTCTGAAGGTGGAAGCCTTCCTTGAGTTCCCCAAATACCATTACTAAAGGTAGTGTTGCTACCTGCTAGAGAGGATGAAGAAAATGGAAATTCTGGACTACAATAATTCCAATTGTTTGTCTGGCCACTGCGCATCATATGGCCTTTATGTCGTACATTAAAGGTAGCACGGTTAGAAGACTCAACAGAGCCCATCTTTAAATCTGCTACAGTTTGAGCATCCTGAATATAATTATGGCGGTCAGATATACCTAATTTACCACCATCAGGCACAATCATAAGCGAGGCTAAAGAAAGTCTAGTACCATCAGGTCTGGGATTCAAAGAGTAATTATCATGTGCAAAGGTGGGTTTTTCCACAGAGAAGTTATTTGACCTCAGATGTTGAACATGTTGATTCTGAGCACCTCCTATAGGATTACTGCCACTACTTCTTGCAGAGTCAGAATTACTTGGTAAAGAATTGGGTGTAGGCATACCTGTAGAGACAACAGGCCCACTGCCTCCAAAGAACTCGTGTGGAGCTTTCTTAAACTGCTTCACTTGTGTGGGTTCTGGCTGATAAGAGTAACCATTGCTCTTAGTTTCTTGAATTGCAACTGGCACACTTAAGGCTCTTGATATGCCAGGCTGATCCAAGGTATTATAAGCATATTTCCCTTTCGAAACATTATCCCCAGCCCTGACATTAGTATTTGAGTTTCCCAAAGAAAGGCTTTCAACTTTGAAAACCATTGGTTGGCTGCTTTGAGATGTTGCGCTATTAATGGTACGACTAACGTTGGCAAGATGCGTTGATTCACCACTAGTAAGTGGAGCTCCTCCAGCTGCAAGGTTTGTCCAAAGCCATACAGTCTTTGCTGCAGCAATAAGAGGTGCAGATGCTTTTTGTGGCTGTGCTAGAAGTATATTATATCTCCTCATCCTTAGCTGATGGAGACAATTAGAAAAATCCCGATCACCAGATATGAGCAGATAATTTGCCGGGGCACGGTTGTCTACTGCCCAGAAAAGCATATCAACTAGAATTTTCTTGTCACTCGCATCTTTCACACCTGTTCATTGTAGTTGAACATGTAAACAACCAAAGACTCTTTTACACCTAAACAACGAAAGATTTCATTCTCTTTCACCCACTAGACTTGATGCAAGAAAATCTATGAACAAGCATATTGAAATAGGAAAGCAAAATACTCCAAGAATGTGAAAGAAAACAAAAGGAACTGTAAAAAAATGCCTGCCTTCACAATAAATATTCAAAACTGATTATTACATAGAACTTAAAATTTCCAACTTATTGTAGCTTTGAATATAATTTGATAAGGGCACAAGTCCAGCAAATCAAAGGCAGGCCACACATTCAATCAACAATAAATGGGGTTTAACCAATGGGAACTAGGGTTTTTCCAATAAAAAGAATCAAGATTATATAACAATTAGAGGCAAAATAAATTAATTCAAAAGTCTAGAAAATGTGTGTTACCGGCAGGGACATGGTTAAGGGCGATGCCGGTACTAGAAAGGGCGTGCTGGACTGATTGGGGAATCCTATTAGTGTCGCCGTAGGCGGAGATGGAGACGGCCCCACAGTAATTCATCTTCACAAGAGCAGAGCTTATGTTCTGGGCAACAGCGTGAGGGTCACATCCTCTGGGCACCTGGCAGTTTTCTATGTCCCACCACACTGACGTCTTCGCAGACGCGTACTGCGCCTCCGCTCTATCTCCTACCTGCGCACGTGAAAAAGCAGCCGCCGTCGCCGCCGCATCGGCGGAGACAGTGCGACTGGAAGTTATGCCTCCCGTCACATCTCCACTCATGGCTAACGACGGCAACGCTTAAGATAGCATCTATAAGCGTAAATGCTATGACTATATCTTATCGCTTTAAATCTTTATCTCCACTGCAACTGCTACTAGTAAGAGTTGGCTGAGAAGCCGTTTCTGCTATTTAAATATAGTGAATGGAGTACTAACTTGGTTTTACGGTTTTGCCCTCGTAATTAATAGGGTATAACTGTAATGTGCTTGGCACAGTCCAAGCCGAAAATTAGGGGGCACTATTCAACAAAAAGTAACGTTCTGTGTGGAACGTCCTCGCAGCAGAGGACCAGAGGTTGATTCTGAAAATGAGTGCGGAGACAGACAGAGACACGGCGGGGCCTTGACATTGTCGTTTTCTACATCATAAACCTCAACGACGAAGTTTTCTCAGCTCATGGAAAATAATCCTCCCTAATAATATAGATATAGAAAATGAGATTAATTAAGGGGAATTCTGCGTAATTAATGATTGGTTTGCCTCATCAGGAAATAATCCTGAACAGTGTTAAATGGAAATGTAATCAATGATATGTTTATATATAAGTCTCAATAACCGATTTTAAAATGAGAATTTGGATTTTTATTAAAACTTTTATTTTTAATTTTCAATACATGGATAATTGTGTATAACAATTAGTTAATAATAATATCTTCCTTTTCAAAAATAATAATAATAATAATAAGAAAACCTATACTGCTTATTTTTGAATTTAACGGTTTAGATTATACCAACATTGCATGTAATGTTTTCATTATGTCAGAAGCATAAGATGATCCCGAGTAATTAGTGTTCTTCACTGCTACCTTCTACATGAATTTGAATTAAATTATTGTGTTAATTATGTTTAATTGATTTGAAAATATAAAAATAGATTGGTGTTACTCTATATACATAAGCTTAACAAAAAATAAAAAAGAAAAAAGAAAACACGGATATTTAATCATCCTCATCCTCATCCTCATCCTCATCCTCATTCTCATTCTCATATTGACTAATACAAGATCCTGAACTAGTAGTTCCATCACCCACGATAACTATACCACTTGCATCCTTATGGTTAGTTCTTTCTTTGTTACTCGCTTTCAACCTTTACAACAGCAAAATGTAGACTCTCTTCAGCTTTAAAAGACCACACTTGAATGAGATCCTCTTGATGGAGTCTATTATTTTCCTTAAGAGAATTCTAATTAATTCTAAACACATAAGATGAGTTTATATTCCCATTTTGCTTTGGATAATCCCATTGCTTGAGTATCATATTACTAATGTTGAGGCAAGGCTCAATAATCTTCACTTTTAATTGTTCTTTAGTTTTATTCTTTTCGCCTTCGTTCAAGAACTCACGTAAAATTTGAACATTGACAAACGACTATTACCATCCTTTGTATCAGTTTGTGTTATTCTTTTCTCTATTACTAACTTCCAATCACTACCTTTCATCTCTGCAATCTTGTTCTTGAATCTTTGAGGCAGTTCCGGTAGTGAACTCTTTATTACAACATTCCTCTTCTTGCTTTCAGTTTTAGTTTCTCCTTCAAAGTTTATCTCTTTCTTGAAATTTTTAATGGGACCTTTTTCTTTTTCAGAAAAATCTGCTACTCTCTGTAAAGATTTTTCTTTCAACAACCTTTGAAGCTTTTCGTTTTTCTCCAACTTAATAGAAGCAACTTGTGCAACTAACACTAAAGTATCAGACTTTGACATTTCTTTGGTGATATCCACATTGTTATAGTCTTCAAATCTTCAAGAGTTAAAAATCCAGTTTCCTTTTTATCATTATTCTCCCTCATCCCTTGTTCGTATTGAGAATCTAAGATTCAAGAAAGAAACTTCTGGCACTATTGTGGATTTGTATGGTTTTATGGACAGTCTAAAGTTATGCATAGAGAGAGAGAAGTCCTGAAAAATTAGTAAAAATAAATCCTTAAGAAATTGACATGATTCAGCCACAAATCCTTATGTTGATAGGACTAGTAGCGTATTAATCTTTTCCTTGTAATACTCAACCTGAATCCTCTCCGTTGAAATCCCCTTGCAAATTCCAAAATAAGGATAGTCCTTCAAAAGGGGAGGATTATTATTATTATTATTATTATTTTGGGAACAAACAGATGGTTTATCTGTTTATGCTTGGATTCAGTATATACTCTCTGGATTAGTTGACTTGGATTCAGTATATACTCGGATTAACTGACTTCCTCTAAAATAAGGATTGTCCCTGTCTTTGCTTTTGTTCTACGCTTAATTAATGGCTATTGGATGGGCTTCATCGGAAAGGAGACATCTTTGAAGGAATAAGAGGCGCTTCTTCATCGGCATCTAAATCGGGAATCGCTATCATTATGTTTATGCAAATCAGACGACGATTTTTTTTTCCCTTGCATCTCCTGCACTAATGGGAACACTGCAAAAACTTTAGCAAGCTTCAAGTCTTTAATAATGCATATGTAAACTTAACCATCAGTGGGGAGTCCCGTTTCTCCTCTAGACTGCCAGTGTAAATTACAGCTCTCGCGCAGGATGTTACACCGTACGGAGCTTGGGTGAGAGAGAACTTTGTCCCTCTAGATTGGTATTCAAGAGACTTTGATCACATATACTAAAAACCATTAAATAATATTAAGCAATAAAATGAAACCACCTGAGCCGAAAAAAGGTATTTATCACGTCATAATTCATCTGAAGTTTATCGAAGTATTAACATTCAGTTTATAACAGGTAGGATGAGGAAATCATATCTTCATTCACATCTGTAGGAGATAATAGACACAAAGTTGTCCTAATAACGTGAATAATTCAAGGAAAATTAAACCAAAAAATACAACGCATAAACAGCCTCACACATTATGAACAAATGAAATACATAGAAAATAATGGGTGCATAAGGAGCTGTCGAAATAATTTACTAACACTTCCTGTAACAACTCTTTGGTATGTCTCGGATACTTGCATGGGTGCACAATTGTGCACACACACAGGTAGAGAGAGAAAGAGAGAAGGTGGGGGGAGAGAGAGAGAGAGAAAATCATATGCTTGGCGCATCACCAGTAGGTCCTGGCCTAGCATTTAAGAGAGGCTGGAGAGCTTTAACTACAATGCTCATGTTTGGCCGGAAGTCTGCTTCATATTGTACACACAAGGCAGCAACCGCAGCCATCTGCAATGAAGACACAATATAGGTTATACAGCCAGCCTTAGTTCCAAAAGTTAAGATCTCCACCTAATAGGAGCCTGCATATATCCTATTGGAAACACATGGCTTCCTTGTAATTCCAAAAATCTTTGAAGGCAAAAGGTGAAATATAATGCTACTTATATAGAAAGGTCAATTCTCATATAACAGCATGTAGAAGAACTGGAGAAAGTGTGGTAGTTTGATGATGTGCCCACTTTTCAATAAAAGGAATTTTTTTGAGTCCTTAAAATTATCAAGGAAGATTTTTTGAAAGCAGGGTCGAACCTTTGCAACTGCCTTGGCTGGGAAATCTCCTTGGAGTCTTGTATCAACACACTGCCGTACCTTGTCCTCACTAAGTTTTGGTGTGGCCTAACACAATCCAAAATTAAATTATCAACCAGGAACCAAAGGAAAGAAACCCTCCCTATTAGAAGCTAACATAAATCTAGACATGAGAAGATAAAGACGATTAGTACCCAAGTCACCAGACTTTGCTGCCCACGTGGTAAAGTATGGTCAACAGGTTTTCGCCCAGTCAGAAGCTCGAGCAAAACAACACCAAAGCTGTACACATCACTTTTTGCATTCAACTGTCCAGTCATTGCATATCTGCATAAGCAAATGGACAAATGTTCAAGCAAGCAATCTCATATCAAAACTTTCAATAGAAAATCAAAGTAATTTAAACTTATGCCGAGTGTGATTGCCAGGAAGATGAGATAACAAAGTCAAACCTATGATTTTAAGCTTAAGTTACTTTCCCTTGTTGAAAATTTTGAGCAATCAAATTGAGCATTAGTCAGTTTTAGATTCTAGAAGTTAGCAAATGAGTATATCAATTATATAAGTCCCTTAATTTCATTGTAACTACATATTAGACAACAGCCCGAACATTATTTTATGTCCAAAACAAAGATATGATATGAATGCAACAAATGGAGGACCACTTACAAAAAATTTTAATACTAGTTAATTGTTTCAGGTATTTGGGTATTGTCAGGGTTTCATATTTATGTTGCCCGCATAAGTATTTGTTACAGACCCTTTGGCATTAGGTTGTTGATCAATTGACATTAAAATTAACTTGTCAGACAATTGGTTGCTATGTATGCATTTCATTTCTGATTGCTTGATCTGCATCTGTAACAGTAAAGTCCATCAATAACTTACTCAGGGGCATGATAACCGAATGTTCCTAGAACACGAGTGGAATGAAGACGAGCTGCCATATCAGGAGCTTGATTTGACAAGTCAAAATCTGCAATCTTGGCAACATCGTCATCAAAAATTAGAACATTGCTGGACTTAATGTCGCGATGGATAATATGAGGATCAGCCTTTTCATGCAAGTATTCAAGGCCTTTTGCAGCACCAACAGCAATCTTCACACGCTGCTGCCATGAAAGGACAGGACCAGGTTGTGCTCCTTTAACACCTTTCCTCCCTGCAATAGCAAGAGATGATTAATTAAATACAGATCACATAAATATGAACCAATACTTCATGACAACGACCCAAAATATCAATCATAAAATATTGCAATTTCATACAAGCATTTTGAACCCTATCTGTCCCATAACAAAATCTCCTAGATTAAGCTGTGCACTTGTTTATCCACATCAATGTTTTAATATATATCAAAATTTCATGCAAGAAACAAGCTGGTGAATTTAACCGGTTCTTCATTAGATAAGAACAATGCTGCAAGTACCAGAATACGTCTAATCCAGCTATATACACAGGTATATAATTGAAATTTCATACAGAATAACTAAAACAATGGAGCAAGACCAGAAATACCATGAAGAATATCATGAAGAGAACCATTGGATGCGAATTCATATGCAAGTACACGGGAACCTCCATCAACACAATACCCAAGCAATTGTACAAAATTTTCATGCTTAAGCCTTGATACCATCGAAACCTGTAAAGTGACACAAAAATTAGACAAGTAAACCCAAAATTATAACATAATTCAATTAAGGGCAGAACAAACAAACTTAGGTTTTGATCATACCTGGGCCAAGAACTCATCATCAGGCTGTTTGCTCGCATCTAATTTTTTGATTGCTGCAGCCTGTCCACTTTTAAGAACCCCATAATATACTCTTCCATATGAACCCTCTCCAATCAGAGAATTTGTCCCAAAGTTATCTGTAACTTCCTTCAGTTCATCTACTGAAATGGAAGGGACTTCAATAGGCTGGATTTTAACAGCCTGAGAACCCCTCGGTGCCGTTTCTGATGCATGATAACCTCCAATGTTACCTGCCAGGCAAAACTAATTTGAGATTATAATGACAAAAACAATAATAAATACAATTATACAAAGAACAAAAATGGCAAACAAATATCAAATCATCCCCTAAAGAAGACATTCAAAAAAAGACCACCATTTTCATTAGAAATTGGTTAAAATTCATTCAGTAGATTGACACGGATATTAAATTATTAAGAGAAATATACAAAAAAATCTTGATGAAACCCATCCGGTTTCATTTGTTGATACCTGCTGAACTTTTAACAGGGTATGGAACTCCACTGTCGGCAGCTTTATGCATGTCATCTTCTTCACAGCAGCCAAAGCAGCCCATGATTCAAACCTTGAAGAAACACACTAAACCCCCACAACAAAATCAATTAAAATGTACCAAATAAGCTCCTATGAATATTAATACACAGACTCAGGAGGGAGGAGAGGGGAAAGAATATGTTTTAGAAAGAAAAACATTTTTTCTGATTCGGCAGTTTGATCTATGATTTATCAATTTATCATTCATGGACATTGATAAGATCCTTCCACAGATGCTTGTCACTGTTAGTACACAGCAAACATATACAATAAAGCCTTAATTCCAATCTAGCTCCAGCCAGGCTAATGGATCATTTCTACCATTCTACTAGGCTATATTTATATGATAGAGCCAATACAAGAGGAAAATTTTGCATGCATTAATCATACCACCAGTAATGGAAATTCTCATCAAATTAATCTACATGTTAGATAACAAGCTCACTTCAAAAAACGACAGTCCCTAATGCAGTAGAGTTGGTCCATGAGATATGAAGAATTTAAGATGCCATGATGCTATAGGGAAGTAATTGAAGTGAAAAACAATCATGCCACCAACGTGACCAACTTCATTACAAGCATTTGGGACAGCGGTAACTTGCTTTTTGTTTGCTTAATCCTACACAAACACTAGGCACCAGCTTAATGTGTATATAATGACTTATCCAGACAATGCTACTGTTACCATTAGTAATTGAAAGTACCAATCCTAAGCGGAACAATGGACACAGAGTAGGACCCAATTACTTTAACCCACAATTTTCAGTTTACAAATCAGAGGCATCAGTTACTGATACTTGTTTACTATGGAATAAACACATTAATAAGATATTTCATTACCACACAGTAACAGAACTCCTAAGTAACAGTTCCGATTTATAGCTGCCAATATCCAGATCGAACCAATACCACCATAAAAACTAACCTTACATTTGCTAATATGAAAAAAATAAAAACGGAAACAAAATTCAAAACCAATCACTACAAAGCAGTTCCCAACTTAAATTTTGTAAGGTATTGTAATCAAGTTGACCGTATGCATATTAATCAGTCAACAAAAACCGAAAATTAAAAAGAAAATCGGGAATTAAAGAGTTGAAGAGGTCGATCCATACATGGAAGATTTTGCAGATAAAATGATAACCGTCTTGAATCAGTGGAGAAAGGGAGTGTAGTTGGTGGGATCTAAAACGCAGAAAGCCGGCCAAGGGTGCGCAGGATAAGGCGCGATGAATGATCAGGCAAGCGTCCTGAGACAGATTGGAGTTTCTTTTGACTTGAAGCTAAAGTGGTTTTGTATTCGGCTTCGATCGAGTTAATAATAAAACTTAAAAATACAAAGGAATTTAGGAATTAATTTTTTTCCTTTTCATTTTTATTAATAATGGTTGTTGTTTGTGCCAGCCAGACTTGACTTCGCTGTTTCACATTGAAATTTTCTAGAGGTTTTATTGTGTGAGATAAATTGTAAGGTAATGAAGCTGCGTGGCTGCAGCTGATTGGTACTAATAACACGGTTGACTCTGTAGCAATTTGAGACTGGCAGGCCGGTGAGTTTCTGCTCTTGTTGCTTGACTTTTTAATCTCTAAATTGGACTGTTTCTCGCCCATTGTTACCGTTGATTTACCGAATGGCACTATTTTGTCAAAGTAATAACTGCACGGTAAAATACAAAATTTTTAATAAAACCAGTTATGACCCACACATTGCAGCGGAATGTACAATTTGATTGTATTATTTTTAGAAATTTATATTACATGGTCTGAATTTAGTGTTTATATTTCAGACATAAATTTATATTACATTACACGCCCAGGCACAGTTTTGGTGTGTGTATATACAACCTGATAATAGATCCCGATTCACCAACTCTCCCTTTCAATATTTGAAAAAAATTGAATTTAATAATAAGTCTATTATATTATTAACAAAAATACTTTTTGATTTTTTTTCAATATGGAACAATATTTTTCTATACATATTATAAAATAAGGATGGAGTCCATATATTTAGGAATTGAATTTTTCTTAAAAGATTAATATAATAATAAATTTAAAGTTTGAATAATTAAAATGATACTATTTATGTTTCATAATACTTGTCACATTTGAAATTTCATGTCTCTTAATAAAATCATTAAATTTATCTAATTACAATAAATTATTGAGTAAATTGACTATATTACTCTTAATTTAATATTATTATAACATAAAATTCAAAACTACCCTTAATTGACTATAGTATTATAGAGCGGAAACAGTAGCTTAGAAATAAACTATCATAACATGAAATAATGAAAACTTTCAAAATTTTCAAAAGAATTTATTCCAAAATCCAAATAGATAGAGATGTACTTTAATATAATTTATCCTCAATAATTAAACTATAAAATATCTATAATTAAGTGTATATATCCTCAATAATTTTCAACATGATACTTTTTTGTTCAAAATACGAAAAATTCCCACCTCATAATATGTCAAATCCTGGATTTTTTGTTTCGATAATGTCCAAATTATAATTTATTTACTAGTACTACTACTATCTTCTTGTGCACGACGCCACTCAAAGTTTTTACATTCTAAGTTTGATGAACGGAATGCCCCGGTACAAAGAAGAAAAAGGCCGACCCATAATCCATTCAACCAGCTACAAGCCCATATCCAAAAAGGCCCAATACAAAAACGTCAGAGAGTAATGCACATAATAACTAGCATAAAATTAATTATCCTTAGCTGTCTTAATCAGATTAATGTTAAAAAGTTAATGCGTGATTTATATGGATTAATTTTGGACTTGAAAAGAAGTTTGGCACAACCAATAATCACATGGCTGAGGTTTGTCCTTAATGTGCTAATAATTCCATTGGAACAAAAGCTGAATTGGGACAATGTTATGATTGCATGCCAACGTGTTCATAGGAATCATATTGTCTAAACACTAACTATAAAATTCTCATAATTTCCCCATTATTTAACACATGATTAGCGAAACGAATTTGTTAAGTGGGAAGGGATACCAAATAAAATTACACCGTATATGCAACCAAAAACAAATTTTAACAATGAGATATTCACGAATGGAAAAAATAATAATAATACGCTTTGTAAAATTGTCATAATTTTGATAACAAGTGTTTTTTTTTGTCTCGTGTTCTTTTAAACAAAAATATTAAATTTTATTTTATATAGAATTTTAGTTTAATTATATTTTATAAATCACGGTATTAAAGAACTTTCATATAATTCGTCGATGAGGTGGTGATTTGATTGATTTTTTTATTTATATATAGTTTACAGTATTATTTTACCTCATTGGATATTAAACGAAATGAATTAAAAAAGAATTTGGGAGAATTTAAATTATATTTGTTGTTTTTATTTTAAGAATAATTCTAAAACAAAAGCAATAGCATTTACTCTTTTGCATGGGAAGATGCACGTGAAATGATTGTTGTGGACAACAATTACCGAATTAATTTTCGGAAAGAGAGAACAACAAATACCGAATTATAGCAAGAAAAGAGAGAGAAACGGTGGAGAATATATGCGTCGGTTGGATATGTCATGTGGGTGGTTATAGGGTGCACTAAAATACGAGCAATAGACGGTTCGAATAGAAATGCATGAAGATCTCCACCAAATTGGTTGGATTCGTGGGCTCATGTGCCCACTACCTACCCATAACCCATTACCCTATTCAAAACCCAATAGCCTAAAAAAATAAACAAAATAATAATGATAATAATAATTAATTAAGCAATATTCCAATTTGTAAGACAGTAATCAGGTTTTGAAGACATCACGTGAAACAAAATTAGTGATACGTTGGAGCAAGAAATCCAACACAAAATGAACAAATGCTAAAAGTGTCTGGGACAACACTATTGTTAACCAATTGAATAAACTTGGCATTATTGGCATGCCGTGACACTAGAGGTCAGGACAGATAATCAATTACTATATTGACTTGTTCAATCCCAAAGAATCCATACAAAGTTTTAATTAATTACATTTAATTTGCTAATCAAATATACGTCAGATTAGTCTTTTCACTTATATGAAAAAATAGAAGATCTCAAATTTAAATTCTCTTGATTATGATAGTTGTTACCAATTTGGTGAGTCAAAATAAAAATTATCCCCCTGTTGTGTAACTTGCAATGCTATTTCAGCTCATTAGACCTCACAATAAATAAAAAAAATTATTTACTTTTAATTTGGCAATATTAAAATTTTGAATGCAAATTCTAAAATCAAGGTTGATAAACAGAATTTTGGATAAAATTCGATGGAAATACTAAATGTTTGACGGAACAATATATAAGCTTCAAAGAACATTTCTATAAAAATAGGAGTGAAGTGGTTGTGTTTCAATATATGCAAGGATGTAATAGCAATTTTTCATTTATTAATTACTATGAACATTCTATAATCATATCATTAGCTTAATCATTGAAGCTATTCTTACTCGTATAAGATGACGCGTCTGCGCCTAAAAGGCCCACTTGTTACGAACCTTTAATTTCCATGAGCTAAGTGCAGTTTTTTTTTTTTTTTTTAACTTATTGAGTCAAAGGTTTTGTTTTACTCTCAAATTCAAACAGTTGATTTTACAGATACAATTTATTTAGAGATGAAATTTATTTGTAAGAGCATTCAAACTATCTTCACACAAAATAAAAATGATTAATTTATGTTAGTTATATAAAATTTAATTTTCAATTATTTCCATATCCTTTTATTTTTTTGTGTTAGTTGATTTAATAAATAAGGGTTAAAAAAGTACAAAATTTCTAATTTGATTTTTTCTTTAAAAGAAGGTAAAAAAAAAAAAAAAAATACAATTTATTTAGAGATGAAATTTATTTGTAAAGTAGCATTCAAACTATCTTCACACAAAATAAAAAATGATTAATTTATGTTAGTTATATAAAAATTTAATTTTCAATTATTTCCATAATCCTTTTATTTTTTTGTGTTTAGTTGATTAATAAATAAGGGTAAAAAAAGTACAAAATTTCTAATTTGATTTTTTTCTTTAAAAAGAGGTAAAAAAAAAAAAAAAAAATATAATATATATATATATATATTTTTTTTTTTTTTTTTTTTGAAATTTAAAAAGATGACACTTAAAATTGTTTATGAAAAATCTTAACCATTATGGAAAGAATGAGTTTTTTTTTTTTTAATTTGTATCTCATATCTATAATTACAGTTTTCCTTTTAGGAATTTTTCAATTTAATTTCTTATAAAAAAATGATAAAAAGGTAAAAAAAAAATTAATCTTTTTTGGAATTTTAAAATGAAACTTAAAATTGATAATAAAAAAAATTTTAACAAATTATAGAAGGAGAGTAAAGTTTTTTTTTTTTTTTTTTTTTTTTTTTTTAAAAAAAATTCAATTTTTTTTTTTTTTTTTTTTTTTTTTTTAAAAAAAATTCAATCCTGAATGCTATGTCTAAGCTCTCTGAATTTCCATGATTTGTCTAATTTCTATAGCTTTTGTAATTTGCGATGAAGACAATAAAATCGCTCGTAGTCCATTACACGCCTAAAATGGCGGTTCTTAAGTTGGACCCATGTGACTATTAATATAATTTTTTTTTTCGAAAGGGGACTATTAATATTAATTAAGATATAAATAATTTGATCAGCCTATTTGTATGTTACATATTTCAAACTCTTCAATAAAAAATGTTACGGATTTGAAAAATTCAATGTAAGAATTCAAAATTTTTTTCGTTGTGTTTGTGTGTCATTTGTCATGATAACATATTATAGTAACGACTAAACGTAAATATATATAAAAAATATCATATATCATAAATTTTAAATATATTTATTTTTTAAATTATTTGTTAGAAATATTATTTTTTAATTCATATAAATGTATTATTTTTCTCTTTATAAATTATTTAATTATCCATTTAATAAAATTTTTATGAAATTTATTTTAATAATTTTAGTCACATCTTATAGTGTTTCAAATATATAATAATGTTAAAATAAAGTAAAGGAAAATTAAAATAAAAAATACATAAAATAAACTTCCATGTACATAATACTATATTAAGTGAGTCAAAATTACAAAGTATTTGATTAAGATTATATTATCTGATTGTCAAAATTAATTTTTCATAGGTCGCCTTTACTTTTTTTTTTTTTAAGACATAGTTAGCTTATTTATAATGTTAAAGAGAAAAAAAGAATTAAGTAGGATAATTAAAGTTTTTAATTTTATATTTTCCAAAAAACAATGAATTGAAAAATTTTTTATCCATAAAACTAATTCTATATTTAATAATAAAAAATATTATATATATTAATTAACAAATAATAATATAATAAAATCTTAAGATGTATTCAAACTTTTCTTTTTTTTTCAATTGGTAAAGTTTCCTGTGCCCGACGCACGTTTCATTGAACTATTGGATCCGGGTAAGATTCGGCCCAATGCTCACTAATGGTATCCACGTGGAGTCGTTGAGTTTGACTAATTAAGAAAGGGGTCAAAGACAAGAACACTGAGGTGATTGATTAGCGGAACCTGTTCTGGAGCCCCGGTGCACTGAATCTACCACCCGTCGTGTTTGGTAAGGTGAGCAGTTGAGCAAGTAACAGTTTTAACAGAAAAAAGCCAAATCAAACCAAATTAAACCGACCTAATTTGGTCTTTTAGTTATATTTCAGACTGATTATTTAAATTATATTTATGTTGTTAGATAATTTTGTTAGTTGATTTTTACCTTTGTACTTTAATAATAATAATAATAATCACTGTTTCATTCCAATAAAAAGAAAAGTAGTATTTACCCAATGCAAGATCTGAAGGTATAAATGAGATAGAAAAATAAATTTAAGGTGAAATTCATAAAATACAAAATTTAAGTAGGTTTTATTTAAGACTTTTTACCTTGTTTTTTTTTTTTTTTTTTTTTTTTTACTTTTTACCTTGTTTTTTTTTTTTTTTTTTTTTTTTTTTTTTTTTGCCATCAGATATTATAAAAGATTAATTTTATGCGCACAGTAACCAATTTAGCAAAAAAATTAAGTAATGCAGTAGAAATAAAATCTACATAATATATAATTAAAATTTAAAATAAATATTTGAAAAACTAAATCGTATTTCACTCTTATTAAAATGCAAAGTACAACTTTCCTGGCCAAAAAAAAAAAAAAATAATCTTTAATGAATATCCTCAAATTAACTAATAATAATATTTGTTTTTTTTAAGAGAGGACATAATAATTTTATTAAAAGGAACAAGATGTGGCCAAAAGTGTATCTTTATTATTTTTAAAATTCTCAACACGGTTTCAGAAAAAATTTTAAATTATTTTATTTTAAATTATTTTTAATATATAATATATAATATATATATTATATAATTTTAAAATAAAAAATTTTGCTTTTTATTATAAGTTTAATCCAAATTTTTAATTTATTTGAAAAAGTGAAAATATTCAAAATAATATAATTTTAAAAATAAAAATTTTCTTTTTATATAAGTTTAATCTCAAATTTTTAATTTATTTGAAAGTGAAAATATTCAAAATAAAAAAATATTTATTACAATTGCGACAGTAAAAATAACAAGTAAACACAAAAATCGTCTATTGAGACACGACGAAATCTACTTATGATTCGTGGAATAGAGTGTGTTCTTGTTTTTTGTAATCTCAGTTGTAGGGAATCCATTCCTCGTCACGACAACGCCATTAATATTAGTAAATAGCAAGGACCCATCAAAATACGCGAAGCACCGGATAATAATCACCTTAATGAAAGAAAGTAGTAGTACATCTCTTACGAGTTACAGTGGAAAAAAAAACAAAGGAAAAAGAAAATAAAAGAAAAGCAAAGCATCTTTTTATATTATCGTGAGTGCGAGATAGACACGCGGTGTGCGAAACGGACCCACCATTTGTGTGTTGGGTCTACTGTACTCTCTCTCTCTCTCTCTCTCAAAGGTTAAAAAAAAAAAAAAATTGTACTCCCTAAAGATTGTTGATTACATTACATTATTTTTGTGTACCATACCATACAATACCACATTTATTGCATTGCCCAGACAAAAATAACATCTTCACATCATCATCAACATCATCACCACCGTCAGAACATTTCGCCCACTTGTCCTCGCTGCCGTGTGCTTTCCGGCAGGAAGCCGATCTGGATTCTGGTCAGACGGGGTATTTAATAGGTTGCTGAAAAAGTTAATCGTCTATTGTCTTTTTTATTATTTTTTTGTTGTTGTTGTTGTTATTTCTCTTTAGATTGTGTACGGTTAATTTAGCTGTCTGCAGTTAAGAGCTTGAACATGGGTTTAATGCTTTTTTTAGTTTTTGTATAGTAGATTTTGGACGGTGTCTGGGAGAGGTAGCTGATTGAGGAGGTGTACTGGGTATGTGGGTTGCTCTTAATTGGAATCATGGGTGTGTGGCAGTACTGTTTCTGGACTTTTGGGGAAGAAGTGAAGCTGATTAGCTGAATCTTTGAATTACTATTTTTCTGGGGTTTATTGAAGTTCTGATCTTTTAGGGGAACTAGGTTTTATTGGTATTACAATTCACTCGATTCAGTTTGCAAATTTGGATCTTTTGGCTCTCTGGGTTTGATCTATGGAGGCTAGATTTGGAGGTGAAGCTCAGGCTCATCATTTCTACAGTACAGGTGCCACGAATTTACGGGCAGTGGGGAAGAGAAGTTTAGAGTGGGACTTGAATGACTGGAAATGGGATGGTGACCTTTTCATAGCTAACCCTTTGAATCCAGTGCCATCTGGTGGCATGGATAGGCAATTTATCCCTCTCGCTACAGGAATTTCAGTGAATGGGAATTCATCCAATAGTTCATCCTCCTGTTCTGACGAGGTGAATCTGGGAATTGAGAAAGGAAAGAGGGAGTTGGAGAAAAGGAGAAGGGTTATTGTCATTGAAGATGATAATTTGCATGGTGAAGAAGTGGGTAGCCTTAGCTTGAAGCTTGGTGGACATGGTTATCCAGTTAGTGAAAGGGAGATGGGAAATTGGGAGGGAAATAGTGGAAAAAAGACCAAGTTGGTTGGTGGTAGCATGAGCCGTGCTGTTTGTCAGGTGGAGGACTGTGGTACTGATCTGAGCAATGCCAAGGATTATCATAGGAGGCACAAGGTTTGTGAAATGCATTCCAAGGCCAGTAAAGCCCTTGTGGGAAACGTTATGCAGCGTTTTTGTCAGCAGTGTAGTAGGTATGCATTCATTTGCTAGTTGCTTTGAATTGCATTGATTATTCGTTCCGTAAGTGGTTACTTACTACCATGATAAAGATACACTTGGTTTTAATTTTTGACACACTAATCATGCTATTAATGCGATGGCAGTGCTAAATTAGGAAGGGAATCTGTTAGATTTAGTTTTCGCTTATATTTTATCATAGGTTCTGGCTACTTAAAAATTGCCTGGCTTCCCTTGTGTGTTCACTAAGGCTTATAGTTGCTACTCTTATCATGTAACATTAAACTTTCGTTAATTTTCTTGTGAAAAATTATTTCTTTTAGGTCATATTTTGTCAAGTCTTTGGCAGGTTTCATGTTCTTCAAGAGTTTGATGAAGGGAAGAGAAGTTGTCGCAGACGGTTGGCTGGCCATAATAAAAGGAGGAGGAAAACAAATCCCGATGCTGTTGCTAATGGGACTTCATTGAACGATGAACAGACTAGCAGTTATCTATTGATAAGTCTCCTAAGGATACTTTCAAACATGCACTGTGAGTAATTCCATACTTCTGCAGTAAAATTACAGGCTTTAATTTTATGTATGAAGATATTCTGTTGTTCATCTTGATATTCTCTTGATTACTGCGCAACCCTGTGATCATAGTAGTATCTTGTTTCTATGACTGGCATATATTTGGTAGAGTAATGCTGACTTTCACGAGTTGCAGCTAATAGGTCAGACCAAGTGACAGACCAGGATCTGTTATCTCATCTGTTAAGGAGCCTTGCAAGCCATACTATTGACCATGGGGGAAGAAACATATCTGGGCTTTTTCAAGAATCTCGGGATGTGCTGAATGATGGCACTTCATTTGGAAATTCAGAGGTATTCTCAACATTGCATTCTATTGCTAGAGTGCTTTCGAGGCCTTTAACAATATCTTACAGTACATTTTTTCGGGATGCTGCAGCAAGTTGGACATGTGCATGGTGCTAACGGTGCAACTATACAAACCTCTTCTTCTATAAAACCTAGCATTCCAAACAACTATCCGGCATTTTCAGAAGTTCGAGACATCACTGGAGGGCAGGTCAAGATGAACAATTTTGACTTGAATGACATATATATCGACTCAGATGATGGTGCTGAAGATATAGAGAGATCGCCTGTCCCTACAAACATGGGGACTAGCTCTCTTGATTGCCCTTCATGGGTACAACAAGATTCACATCAATCAAGTCCGCCACAGACAAGTGGTAATTCAGATTCAGCATCTGCTCAGTCACCTTCTAGTTCTAATGGAGATGCACAGGTATATTTTTTATCAAAATGTATATCATTTGCCTTTTTGAAATGAATAGATGTGCTGGAAGAATTTCTTGGTAGATTTCTTAGGTCCCTCTAAAATGTTAATATTATTTTTATATTGGGAAGATGGTATATACTAGATTTGTTAGATTGTCCTAAAATTTGATTTATTTTGAGAAGGCGGCATTTAGATCTATTAGATTGAGTCTATAATGTTTCATTTCTCTTTTGGAGGATTCATCCTTTTTTTTATTAAGTGAAAGTTCAGACAAGGTTCAATAGTCATATTAAAGGCAAATTGTTGACCTCTTTTACATTTGAAGCAATTTTGGCCTTTTGTGTTCACATGTTTAATATTTTAGTGATGGACTGTTCCAGAGTCGTACAGATCGGATTATTTTCAAACTTTTTGGCAAAGAACCAAATGATTTTCCTCTTGTCCTGCGAGCCCAGGTACTTAAAATTCAATGTCTTACTGTAGTCGTTTGGTATTTCCTTCATCTCAAATGTGTAATTATGTAAATTGTTGAAATTTTCAGATTCTGGACTGGCTGTCTCATAGCCCCATTCGTCAGGCTGAGACCAAATGGGAGGAAGTAAGTTTTGTTTACATTCTTATGATTTTTCTTTTTTTTTCGTCAGGCTGAGACCAAATGGGAGGAAGTAAGTTTTGTTTACATTCTTATGATTTTTCTTTTTTTTTCGTCAGGCTGAGACCAAATGGGAGGAAGTAAGTTTTGTTTACATTCTTATGATTTTTCTTTTTTTTTCGTCAGGCTGAGACCAAATGGGAGGAAGTAAGTTTTGTTTACATTCTTATGATTTTTCTTTTTTTTTCGTCAGGCTGAGACCAAATGGGAGGAAGTAAGTTTTGTTTACATTCTTATGATTTTTCTTTTTTTTTCGTCAGGCTGAGACCAAATGGGAGGAAGTAAGTTTTGTTTACATTCTTATGATTTTTCTTTTTTTTTCGTCAGGCTGAGACCAAATGGGAGGAAGTAAGTTTTGTTTACATTCTTATGATTTTTCTTTTTTTTTCGTCAGGCTGAGACCAAATGGGAGGAAGTAAGTTTTGTTTACATTCTTATGATTTTTCTTTTTTTGAAATATCCAAGGCAGGTTTTTTGGCCTTACATTTTGAATACCTTGTTTTGTAGCTTTGCTGTAATCTTAGCTCCAGTTTGAGTAGGCTTCTGGATGTATCGGATGATGCTTTCTGGAGAACTGGATGGGTTTATATTAGGGTGCAGCATCAAATAGCATTTGTTTACAATGGTATGTTGCCTTTGGTTTTTAAAGTAATTGAATGCATAGTATAATCTATTTGATAGTAAAAATTTTGTCTTAAATTTTTGGTATTGCAGGTCAGGTTGTTGTAGATACATCCTTACCTCTCAGAAGTAGCAGCTATAGTAGAATTTTAAGTGTCAAGCCAATTGCAATATCTGCATCCGAAAGAGCTGAATTTGTGATTAAAGGCATCAACTTGTCTCGGCCTACCACAAGGTAGCTGTTGCCTTTGGTTCCCATATAAAGCCGCTAGCAAAATTTTGGATGTCCTGACTTTGCTTTTCTACTATTTCCTCATTCTACTAAAAATCGTGATATCCTTGTCTTTCATTTTGTCAGACTACTATGTGCAGTAGAAGGGAAGTATATGTTTCAAGAGAATAATCAAGAACTAATTGACAGTGTTGATAACTTCAAAGGATATGATGAGCTCCAATGCGTTAACTTTTCTTGTTCTATTCCTACAGTATCTGGGAGAGGATTCATTGAGGTACTTTTACTACTACTCTTATCAGAAATCCTTGTTTTTTGTCTTTATTTTTTTAACATGGGTAATTTGTTGTTCAGATGTATAACTTCTGGTATTTTCTTAAGTAATACTACTCACCCATGGTTTTGGTGTAATATGTTGAATTTATGGACTTACACTCTTGTGTGTGCATTGAGATGGGATTATGTGGGTAGGGGATTAAAGTGCGACCTTCAGATGTAATGTTGTGAGTTAGCTTGAGAATAACTTCCTTATTTTTCGATTAAACTGTTTTCCTCTTCACATGATAGTAGAGCCAAGCTATAGCTATATCTTTGTGATCATCATTTACTTTCTGGCAAAATAAATTTCCTTGTTATTTGGGTGGTTTGAATTATATTCTCACATTCCTGGGATAATTTTTAATATCTTAGACATTCCTCTGCTGTCTTTTTTTTGGTTAAATCTAGACTTCATTGTGTTTATTTAGAACTAATCAGTAAGAGGATCATAGAAGAGTGAAGACACATTAGCAGCTGGCTCTCGTATTAGGCAGTCATGCATTTTGCTATAGAACTAGTGTACGAAAGAAGATGCAGAAAAAACTGCTTCTGACCTTTTCTGGTTGTTGTTTCCCATTACTACACTCCTTTTTCAGCAACTGTGGGAAGTTGAATTTAACATGCTTTGGTTTTGTCTTTTATCTTCTTGCCATTGTCTAGTTTATTTTAAATTATGTGCACATGGATGTGTGTATATCCCATCATTTTCTGTTGCTGACTGTGTTTGATTCGCTTGAAAGTAACTCTATTCCCAACTTGCTTGTGCACATACGTATATATCCCAACATGTCTTAGTTGCTGACTGTGTTTGGCTTACTTTGGAGTAATTCTCTTTCTAACTAGATTCTGTTATTATTTTATTGAAGACACAGATGTTTACTGTTCTGGATGTTGTTCCATTGAATATTGATACTTTTTGAACATGCATTTCTGCGAGCTTAGTGTAAATTTTGCTTTATCCAGATTGAAGATCAAGGTTTCAGCAGTACCTTCTTTCCTTTCATAGTTGCAGAGGAAGATTTTTGCTCAGAGATCCGTATGCTTGAGAATGTGTTGGATTTCACTGAAACAAATGCTGATGTTAATGGAATTGGAAAAATGGAAGCCAAGAATCAAGCCATGGATTTCATTCATGAAATAGGTTGGCTTCTCCACAGAAGCCAATTAAAATATAGATTGGCTGACTTGGATCCTTACACTGACCTCTTCCCTTTGAAACGGTTCAAGTGGCTTATGGAGTTCTCCGTGGACCATGAATGGTGTGCTGTAGTGAAAAAACTGTTGAACTTACTATTCAATGGTGTTATTGGTATAGGAGAGCATTCATCTCTAAATGTTGCATTATCAGAAATGGGCCTTCTTCACCGAGCTGTGCGGAAGAATTCTAGGTCTCTGGTGGAGCTCCTTTTAAGATATGTCCCTGAGAAATCAGGAGCTGTAAACAATTTGCTTATTGGCGGAAGCAGTGAGAACTTTCTGTTCAGACCGGATGTTGCTGGACCTGCAGGTTTGACGCCTCTTCACATTGCAGCTGGTAAAGATGGTTCTGAAGATGTATTGGATGCATTAACTGATGATACTGGAATGGTAAATCTCTCTTATCATTTATTTTTGTTTATGAAAATGTTAGGAAAAACTTCTCTGAATTTGGTATTTGTTCTAATCTAAAGATTCATTGCTGCACTTCTAATTTGATGCTTCTCTTCAATTAAAACCACAGTGTTCATGGTTACATTTGCTGTATATAGTGTTAGGGAACTTATGCTAAACATGTTTGACTACACCGTTTGAAAATTGAATCTAATGTGGTTGTGGTCCTTAAATCATTCTTGGTGCTTCTGCTTAATTCAGGTAGGAATTGAAGCATGGAAAAACGCCCGTGACAGCACAGGCTTCACACCAGAAGATTATGCTCGCTTGCGTGGCCACTACTCATATATCCACTTGGTACAAAAGAAGATTAACAAGAAACCAGCTGTGGGGCATGTGGTGCTTGACATTCCTGGGACTCTACCCGACTGCAGCATAAACCAGAAGCAAAATGAAGGGGTGTCCACCAGCTTTGAGATTGGACAAACGGCAATAAGACCCATTCAGCGGTCATGCAAGCTTTGCCATCAAAAGCTGGATTATGTAACAGCTGGCAGGTCATTGTTGTACCGACCGGCAATGCTCTCAATGGTGGCCATTGCTGCGGTTTGTGTCTGTGTAGCTCTTCTATTCAAGAGCTCTCCTGAAGTTGTGTATGTCTTCCGCCCGTTCAGGTGGGAATTGTTGGGCTACGGAACAAGCTGAGGTCCTCCCAACCTGATGGCTTATGATAGGTTGTGTGCATTTATAGACTGTAAAGTTGAGAATCAAATGTACCGGTGCTTTAGACAAGCGTCAGATTCAGTAATGTTATTGACATATTTATCAACTGTTTAGTTTGTTTTTCAGCGGTGATTTATTAATGAGAGAGCATTATGAGATCATTGCACTTTATTATCTCTAATCCGTATCAGGTAACTTGAAGGGTTTTTGAAACATGAAGTGCTATAATGATATAGGTAAGTTCACTTTTCAGACTTTGGTAATGTCTACCATGTATTTTATTCGTAGTGCAGTCTATTTCCTTTCCTGCATCAATTTCATTACAACTGTTGCAGCTTCATAGATAGCTTTACAAAAAGTACCTAATGATGTTTTCATTGTGATTGTGATCCTTCAATTCAAGGAAAAAGGAGTTTTTTTTCGTTTTCCATAAAGTCGAAATCTCAAATTTAGGGAGTTGATTTTATGTCGGATGAGATGACTGTAAAAGCTGCTAAAGGCTACAATGGAAGTAAGGAAATTGAGAATAAAATATAAGTGTTAATTATATCTACTTTTGAGTAGAAAATAAAGGAAAATTTTAAATTAGTCTCTAATCTATAGCTAAATTAATATATGAGGATTTTTATTTCAAAAATTATTTATGGGTTTTCTAATTATGATTTTATAAATACTTAGGGGAGTCTAAAAACTCGAAAGGATAGCATTTGGAAGCGTTCATCATCATTAAATAGATTTTATGTTGGGAAGGAAGATTTCCAACGTGTTAACTCTTACTCCAAAAAGGAAGATTTCCAATGTTAACTCTTACTCCAAAAAAATATAAGTTTGAAGCGGTTCAACGGCAGCTCTAGAGACTTTTTATAATATATTGGTATTTTTATTTAAAATGGTCTCTTTTTACTGTCAAATTAATTGAGAAATTGATTTCTAAATTATAGGCGAATTATAAAGTTTTAACTTGTGATATTATGAACTTCTATTTTAGACAAAACAGACCAAAATATTAATAGTAATTTAAAGAATTTGTAGTAAGTTTTTAGAGATAGAGATATTCGTATTAATCTAATTATAATTTAGTAACCATTTTTTTTCTTTGAAAATAATGAGTAAAAATTATTGTAAGTAAAAAATTTATTTAATCTAAATTAAAAGTCATGAGTAAGATATCTCGCTTATCTACTTATTTTATATATACTTTTCGACCAAATAAAATGTTATATTATTATAACAAAGTGTAAAAAAATATTACCCTCATTTTGAACTAAACTTTGGACTTTCTATCTGATTAATGTACTCTTATTTTAGTAATTGTAATAAAACCAAACACAAGCTACTTAAAACCAGAGACTGAGAAGTAGCAGCTAAGTCGTTTCCAATTGACTCCGGCCCAATCGAGGCAGCTGTTCCATTGGGCTGCAAATAAAGGAGTAGTATATGATAGAAAAAAAAAAAAAAATCAAAGAGCACGATCAATAGTGGTGCGAATCTATCCTCGAGAACAGTGGGTTAGGTACGGATCTACATGAATGAATGCTTTTAATTCATGAAACAGGTAGTAGGTGCTTCACACAACAGAAATGAATTTTTTGTTGTGAAGGATCACACTAAAACGCAGCTTTTAAGTCAGAACTGAGAAACTGAACGAACGACAAAATGCACACAGCAAATGCAGTCTGTTACCGTTTCGTCTTTATGCCTGAAACTTTTTTTGCCCCAATGCAACCTCCTTTCCTTTCCACCCTAGCTTAGTCCCACATTTTTTTTTACCTTTATAATTCTTTAACCTTTTTCTAAAGCTGCTGCGCTTTTTTTTTTACATATTGAATTCTCGCTCACAAGGGCTTTCTTGACATTTTACATATTACATATTCTCATTCTCTCTCTATATATAGATACCTTCACAGTGTTCACATATCCTCAACATCTCTCTCTGAATCATATTTACTTGGGTTTTTTTTGACAGAAAAAAAGAGAATGGCTCATTCAAAGCATCCATTGGCTTTTATTTCTCTGGCTACCTTTATGTTGCTTCTTTCTTGTCCTCTTTGTATAGGTACGGCCATTAATTAATTTGTAGGCATTTTGCATTTTGTATTTAGTGTCTAATCTTAATTATGCAGAGTCGAGAACCCATGGAAGAGACCAGCAGTACCACAGGCAGGCAGCGAGTGGCGGTCAGGGAACGTGGTGCATTGCTAAGCCATCAACAGAAGAGGCAAAGCTTTTCCGCAATATTGATTTTAGCTGTGCACAAAATGGAGTGGACTGCGGGCCAATTCAACTAGGTGGAAGTTGTTTCCTTCCAAACACATTCATTTCACATGCCTCTTATGCAATGAATCTCTTCTATAAGGCAGCAGGAAAGCATCCTTGGAATTGTCATTTTAATGGCACTGGTGTCACTGTTACTCAGGACCCTTGTAAGTTTCTTCGTGTTCAAACGTTAGTAATTTCTTATTCTAATTGGTATATGATATGGTGATTGTCAATTGCAGCTTTTGGTACCTGTATTTATCCACTGTGATAAAGAGAGCTTGAAACGAGCAGAGATGATGAGATGATGATCGATCTGCTGCTGAAAAGTTAACCATATCAGAGGCTTTTTTTTTTTTTTTTTAATCTTTGTTTTGTTTATGATGTCCCACTCTTATGCATAACGAGAAAATAACTTGTCCCATTTTGCAAACGACAATGCTTTCTCAATATTGACTCTTCTTCCCGACATTTGTAGAAAAAAAAAAAATGCAAGGATCAGTAATAGCAAATTTCATGAGGTTAATAAAGAAAATATGTTTTATTGAATTAAGAAAACAGATCACATGCATATACTTCTAAAATCTTCTAAAATGCCCAAAGAAACAAATTAGGGCCATAAGTTGTTTGTACCAGACAACATAAAGCAAGAGTAATTTGCAAAACAAGAGGCAAGCTTGGTATCAAACAATTTGAAACTCACAGATATTGGACAGAAGTTAAGTGCAACAAATAATTTTTTTTTTTTTTTTTGCCAAAAGAACACGTTAATACATTTTGCTGCTGCCCTGCTGCAAGGCAGCCGCTCATTACTTCCAGCGCCATCAATTCAAGCAAAATTCTGGTACAGTTGTATTCATAGCACAGACACTGGTAATAACAAAAATAAAATAAAAAATAAAAAGTAAAAAGTAAAAAATAAAATTGAATAGGACATCTTCTGTTTGAGATTATAGTGCAGCAGCGAGACACAAGCCAAATTATTCACTACCAGCCAAGCAAGCAGCAGTAGGATATAGAATAAATCACTCTAAGCTTGAGGCTTCTCCCACTTGAGGGGCTTGACAACCTCCCAGGTGAAATCTGGGTCGTCCCTTCCAAAGTGACCATATGCAGCTGTCTTCAAGAACCTGTTGCCACCCCTCTTGAGATCTAGGTTGATGGTCATCATTCCGGGTCTGAAGTCGAAGTTCTCCTTCACAATCTTGAGGATCTCCTTGTCAGGAATCTTTCCAGTTCCATAACTGTCCACAAAGACAGACAAAGGCTCAGGCACACCAATGGCGTAGGAGACCTGCACAATGCACCTGCGGGCAAGACCATTTGCTACAATGCTCTTGGCAGCCTGCCTGACAATATAAGCACCACTCCTGTCCACCTTGGTTGGGTCCTTTCCTGAGAAAGCACCGCCACCATGGGCTCCCCATCCACCATAGGTATCAATAATGATCTTGCGTCCAGTGAGTCCTGCATCACCGTGAGGACCACCAATGACAAAACGCCCTGATGGGTTGAGGTGGAAGATGGTCTTCTCATCAAGGTACTTCTCAGGGATGACCGGCTTGATGACGTGCTCCTTGAGGTCAGCAGCAATTTCATCGTTTGTTACAGTCTCATCATGTTGGGTGGAGATGAGGACAGTGTGTACGCGGACTGGGACCATGGCACCATTGTCATTGTAGTACTCAACAGTAACCTGAGTCTTGCCATCAGGCCTTAGCCATGGGCAGGTGCCGTTCTTCCTAACCTCAGTTAGCTTTGCCCCGAGCTTGGTTGCAAGGACATGGCTCAAAGGCATATACTCAGGGGTCTCATCAGTGGCATAACCAAACATATGTCCCTGATCACCAGCACCAATCTCTTCTGGGCGCTTGGTGAAGTGGCCATGGACACCCTGAGCAATATCAGGGCTCTGTTGCTCAATGTTAACAAGGACCTTGCATTTGTCAGCATCAAGACCAACATCATCGGAAATAAATCCAATTCCACGGCATGTCTGACGAACTATCTTCTCATAGTCTACCTTGGCTTTGGTGGTAATCTCTCCAAAGACCATGACCATGTTGGTCTTGGTGCATGTTTCACAGGCAACCTTGCTGTCAGGATCTTGCTCAAGGCAGGCATCTAATACCGCATCAGAGATCTGGTCACAGAGTTTGTCGGGGTGTCCCTCGTTCACGGACTCAGAGGTGAATAGAAAGGTCTCCATTTCCTTTAGCTGCATAAAAAAGACAAAAGCCAACATTAATAGAGTGATGAAAAGCAATCCCGTGAAATCTAAGCTTGTTTTGAGGCACAAGAATATAGCATGTACAACAAAAGCAAGCATATTCTAAAGACTGAGTAACTTTTCTTCCAACTGTATGAGAACAATTTGCATATAGGAGGAAAAGATATTCGCTTCATGATATCTTGAAAGTCTATACTCCAGAGACCAATTACAGAATCACAGATAGCAGAAAAGCTAATAGATTCCTTTTACAACTAGAATAATAATAAGTCATAAAAGATATAGAACCCAATAATAGATTTGATATTGCTATTTGCACTGTGTGAGTGGCCTTATCCCTAATTAGTTAATTAAATAAAACAAAAAAAGTGAACTACACGGCATGAACATAGCCATCCATGCTGCGGAAATAGCATTCCTCGAATAAATCTCCCAAGACTAAACTCAACAATATGCTGCAGCGCACCCAAGCAGCATCATAAAAATATTAACTGTACAAGCAAAAGTGGGCATGGTGAAAGGCTGGAAGCATCTCATGACTTTTGATGAATTTCAGGGCTTGTAACAATTTTTTATTTTCCCATCTTGCCCTCGTATCATTCCTTAATCATCATTAATAAATAGCAGGAAACCATTACCGACACAGAGGAAAGTATTCATTTCTAGCTGTATGCCACAGAACACAAAAATTAACTGAGACATGAAAACATAAAGAACTACTGGATCTATGCCAAACTGACGCAATGGAGAGGATTATATACGGCAATTCTAAAATATATTTCATTTAGTATGCAAACATGACAAAACGTAGGTCAATCTCCGCAGAAGTAACCATAGATATATAAATCAGAAAATATAGAATCAGATCTGCCTTGTTTAACTGAGAAATGTAAAGAAAATACAGACAAATTCAAGCTTTAAGACACCAAAATAGAACTCCCAATAGCATTGAAGGTTAAATTCGAAACAAATGATAATGACATTAACATATATAAAGAGAGTTCGACATTTATGTCAAAACAAGCACTACAAAAGCTACAAAAAAGCTTAGATCTCCAAATCTCTCAAAACAAGAAGCTAAAAGCTCCGAAAGTTACTGAAGCCGATATTAGAGTACTCATAAAAATGACATCTGAAAGGCCTATAAACAACCAGATCTGTGAGCATTTGAGCGAACTTACTCATTAAAGCAACAAAAAACGCGAATAACAAAACAAAAGTTCTTTTAAAACAGCAACATTCATTTTCAAGTTATATATAAGCAACAAATCTATGAGAAAAAGGGGAAAATAGCATGAAATCGATGGGAATCCTTTACAAGATGGCTAGGGAAATGTACCTTCGTCTAGAGTCAGCGTACAGATCTAGGCCTTTGTGTGTCTCTCTAACCAGACCCCAAAATAAGCGGTGACTCTTTCCCTTTTAAAGCCCGATATTTATAGGCCAAACGGCCTATCAACTGGTGACCGGACGGGGCGGTTGAGATTCTTTTAAATTTATTGGGAATCTGCGCTGTTGATTGATTTTAGATTTTTAGGACCAAATTTAGCCGTTGGATGTCAGATTCGGAGGCGTTCAATATGATTGGAGTTGGTGAGATTGAGACATTGGGAGGATTTGAAAAGTATAATATGGCTGATAATTTTTTTAGGTAAGAATTTTTTATTTATGGAAAGTACCGGGATTAACCGGTCATGCACCAACCCTCATCGGTGGATGGCTTGAGACTAGATGACGGCTTGATTCATTGGCTTGGTTTGTTGACATTAGCTTACGTTTTGAGACGCGTGGTTAATTCCACGCGCAGCATTGGACGTGGCTTGAGTATTCTGTTTTGGTTCAACGTTTCATTAAGCTGAGAATTAGTATAGATTTTAATCAACGGCTTGTTGTTGAAAAAACTCTCATCAGCTAATAGTTTTAAAATAATATCATATGCTTTTTTTAAAAATTTTAATAAGCTATGAGCTAATTTATTACTTATATCATATTTAAATTATACTATTCTTATAAGTATAATTATCAATTAATTTTTAATCAAAATTTATGATTCTTAAAAAATTAAAATTATTTTTACTCAAATTAATAGTTTTTGTGTGATCATTTTATTTATAGTCCTTTAAAAATAATAAATAATTAAGTATGACTATTAAAAAATTTATTAGTATTCATGACTAGAAAATCCATGTAAATCTTAGTGAAAGATATTTATAATTAGAAAAGACGGATATATATAATATGTATGTATTACTATATTCATCGTATATATTATTTAATATTAATATCATATTATACGTAATAATTTTTCAAAAATAGAAGGGTAAAAAGCATTAAATTACACTCAAATGTATTTTACACTAATAATATAGGTTAAAAAGATGATACATATTTTGGCTGAATATGGAACAAGCGGGGCACCACATTGCAAGTAGAAAGTGTCGTTGTTGCTAGCATTGCTTCGTAATTGATACATGGACACTGCCATGGGTGTTTTCGGTATTTTAAGCCCGACGACAACATAGTGGTCAGTGTCCGCTCAATAGTTTTTAGAGCACCATCACTTGATAATCTTTTAGTGATTGTGAATGGAACATTGTTGTTGCTTTCTCCAACCTACTTCCTAGAGAAAACAGGTGGTTGGCAAGCAAATCATAAAAACAGTGCTAATTCAGGTTCACATTCCACCAAATTGACCTTATTTCAAGCCCCTTGGAATTTTCATAAAAGGTTTAAGGGTAGCCAAACTTAAAAAAAAAAAAAAAAATGCCAATGGGGTGTTTCGGTATTTTTTAAGCCCGACTGATCAACATAGTGGTCAGTGGTCCGCTCAATAGTTTTTTAGAGCACCATCACTTTGATAATCTTTTAGTGATTGTGAAATGGAACATTGTTGTTGCTTTCTCCACCTACTTCCATAGAGAAAACAGGTGGGTTTGGCAAGCAAAATCATAAAAAACAGTGCTAATTCAGGTTCACATTCACCAAATTGACGCTATTTTCAAAAGCCCCTTGGAATTTTCATAGAAAGGTTTAAGGGTAGCCAAACTTTAAAAACTTAAAAAAAAAAAAAAAAATGTTAAGAGTATCATATCTCAACTCGATACCCTATTTCATGGGAATATATCATTATCGGGTATGATTTGATTAGTCTTTTCATTTATGAAATTTCATAAATTTAAATTTTATGATTTTAATAGTTAATTTTAGAGATATAGTTCATTCGAGGACACAACGATTTAATATCAAGTTAATGACTGTTTAGATATAAATATATGTCTCCATTTGATTCTCCTCTCTCTTTATTTTTTAAAGATAAGTAGTATGCTGAATAATATTAAGAATTTGAAATCCTTTAAAAAAATATTAAGAATTTGAAATGGTGGTTGATTAAGTCTTCAACAACACCACTTACAAAAAAGTTGCGAGTCAAAATCGGACGCGTGAAGAGTGAAGACCTCCCCATGAACTATGAAGTATCAAGGAATTATCAAGTTTGGCCACCAACCAAACGGTTTTGATTTTTAATTACTTTCTTAAACAAATAATAAAAAAGATTATAACCAAGCCGGCTAAAGCTAAGCCGATAAGAGTTTTTAATCAGCCGCGAAATGACGTGGCAACAACTAGGGAAATGGGGCAGTTGGGATTTGTTAGGGAGAAAGCAAAGTGCGGTTACCACCCACAAAAAGATTAAAGAAGCGTTGCAGTGTTGCATTATCATATATGGAATTCCCAAAAGGTTGGGCGAACCGGCACGTGCCTGTCACAAAGGGTTGGTACGATGACTTGTCTGTGACATAGACACTTATCTCTGTCAACCTTCACTCAGGATCCATGGTCCACCTGTTATAACATAAAAAATCACGTTTGTTATTTTTGGGCGGTCGTGGGGAACTAAAGACTAATGAAATGCTGCTAGTCCGATAATAAAAATTCAACTTACATATGAATAGTTTCATTTAGATATTAAAAAGGGGAAAACCTTTAATTAACAAATTTAAGAAGTTAAAGTCTCATTAAAACAGAATTTATATTTAAATCATCTCTGATGATATTTTTTAAGATAGTATTTAATATTTCCATTAGGTGGGCTAACAATATTTAATGTTTTAGCTATCTTTGTTATTTTAAATATATATATATATATATATTGATTATGTTATTTTAAATATATATATAATAATATATATATATATATATATATTGATTATTAGAAATTGAATTACTAAATATTAGTTTTTTTTAATTAATTTTGCCCAGCGTTAGAGAATAAGAAAATGAAAAAAAGTCCACAATTCAAAATGAAAAGCCCTCTTTTGATTGGTGATGCAATGGGCTGAAAAGTATGGACCCATTTGCAGATGTAAATAAGAAAAGATAATGATGATGTGTGAAAGTTTGTGTCTCGTTGCCAATTGTGTTATATGGTGGCTTCGGTTGAGGAGTGCAGTGGTCATCACATTATGTATTCAAACAAATGTGACTATTTTTCAATAATTTAATAGCACTCTTCAGACTTTATCAATGGAACCCTATTGGAGAAAATCTTTTCGACAAAACTTAATTACCTTCAACTTATAAAATGATTATTAAGGATGTCATTATTTTTATATGTCATGATATATAATGCACACACGTTTTTTTTTTTTTTCAATTTTTGAAGTGAATATATTATTTTTTTACTTTAATGTATTATATAAGTCATTAATTATATTTTTTACATAATACTTAATAAAATTATTATTTTTAAATAACTATAAATACAATAATAAAATGATTGTAAAATAATACTAAAATTTTTCCTAAAAAAAATATTAATTTTATCAATACAAAAAATAATTAATAATTAATAAAACAAAAGTATATAGGATAAATTATTTGAACATAAATGCTATACTTTTCTATAATGCACAAATGATCATCAATTATGCCAAGAACGTGAAATCACTATAGTAATTAAAATGTCGTTTCCTAAAATTACAACAACTATTACGAACCCCCACAATAGTAAGAGAGCTAATCACTACAGTCTCAAAAGAATTTCAACCAATCATCCAAATTAGGGTTCTGAATGCAATTGAGTGTTGTATATACATTCCAGAATCACCGCCAGGGTAAAAACAAAAATCTCTGCATTAATTGTAATATACAAAAGAGATTACTAAAATCATAATAACTACTCGAAACAAATATGTAATTTTGGACGAACCCCATTCCTCAACAGATCATAGAAGGATGAATATTTAATAGAAATTTATTATTTTCAAAAAACAATAAATAAAATGATTGTAAAAAATACTAAATTTTTCTAAAAAATATTAATTTTTTCTAAAAAATAATTAATAATTAATAAAACAAAGTAATATAGGATAAATTATTGTGAATTAAATGCTGATACTTTTTTTATATGCAACACATGATCATATTATGCCAAGAACGGTGCATCTATAGTATATAAAATGTTGTTTCCTAAATTACAATTCTATTACGAACCCACAAAGTAAGAGAGTTCACTACAGTCTCAAAAGAATTTCAACCATCAAATCCAATTAGGGTTTGATGCAATTGTGTGTTGCTTCTCCATCAGAATTCCACCGGCCGCGGGTAAAAACAAAATCTCTGCATAATTGTAATAGTACAAAAAGAATTCTAAATCTGATAACTACTCGAACAAATATGTAATTTTGGACGCCCCATTCCTCACAGATCATAGGGTGTCAATTCGTCAGTAACAAGTAACATCTCTAAGATTAATATGCACTAGTTGCATATGATATGAGGTAACTAACTTCAATGTCGAATTGTTTGACTTGCTTAGGACAAAATTGCCACTACCATGTCTTCTATCATCCATGACTAGGATGCCACAAACTCGACCATCTGCATCCCCCTTCCAGCCACTGCAATTTCGTATCGGTTTCTGCATAAGAGAGACAGGAAAGTTTTAAGTATAAAACTCATGTTGTTTTTTAACTGTGAAATGCTTGTGAACTACCATGGATGAAAGGTGTATTTGAGAAGTTGAGATTCTACACTCACCTCTCACAGGCTCTGGCACATAATGCTTCTGGCTCAGGGACACTAATGATTAAGTGAGTTTTCTCAATCAATTTACAGTGATCCTTAACAGCCCAGCATCTGATACGCTGATCAAGCCCAGTAGAAAATACCCATGTACCATCTGTCCAAACACCTTCATGAGATAAAACAACTTCCAATCTGTCAGTAACCATAAAATATGCTTTCATGAATTTCTCCACAATACAACTTGGTTAAATTCATCCCTCAGGGTTTCAATGCCTTTACAAATATAAGCAAGTCCACCAAAATACAAAAAAATGGAAAAGATAGCAATCTAAATATGATTTGATTATATATTGCAAGAAATATTTTAGAACCTAGTCTTTCATATGCGATTTTAGCAGTCAACCATTACTTTGTTCAAAGAGATAAGAAGTGGCAAAATGGGGAAGGAAGAGGCACAGTTCTTAGCTGAAATGCAGTATAAAAACTGGTGCCTGCAATGGTCTCAGATGGGATAATGGGAGATTTATTGGGCACAAGATACAAGCATATTAATGGAACTACGACAAAACTTAAAAAGGAACGATTATTATTTCACCTTTTATGGCAGAACTATGAGCTGAGGAGATTCTATCGTGATACAAGAATCTGATTCTGTACTTCTTGTCCTGACATTGACTTAAATGAATAGAATTCTTTATACTCTCTGGTCTGCCGAATAAATTTATGACCTCTGGTGTGATGATCTCAGAATCCCTGCAAATTGACAAATCAAATTTGAGACAGTGAAGGGATTGATCATCGCCTCCACTTATTACACTGAAAAAGAAATTAGAGTCGCAACTGCAAGGGTCCCGTATGTCTGAAACATGAAGACAATTGACACCAGATTGGTGAATACTACTGAGAACATGCAAAGGCTGTATTTCACATATCTCAGGCGTAGAATTAACAGTTTTCATTTCTGGCTCAAGAGGTTTATCAGGCATAACTTGAGCACAAAATGTTGTACAGCCTAAAGGATCACTTGTTGATGCTTCACTCATAGCATGGTCAACCGAATTGCAGTTAGTCCTGTCTTCAACTCTAGGAGCAACTGAACCAACAGGTAATTTTTTCTTAGGTTTGCTGCTTAATGATCTCCACCATCGACCACCCTGACTTCCTCTTCCTGTGCGTGGCCGTGTCTGACTACTTATGAGCTTTTGTTCGTCAAGGGTTGACAACAGCCTCATAAAAGATTCAATACTGTCAGTTAGATCCCAAAGGGCAATACTTCCATCAGTTGCCCCACTTATCACAATGTACACATTTCCAATCCAAGTGTCTCCTGTCAATCAGGGGCAAAATAGGAATTAACTCCAGGAAAGGCAGTTTAAATGGAATCAAAATATTCAAATTTTGTGGTCACACAATGTAACTGGTAAGTTTGAAAAGCCATTTAGAAGTCAAATAATCAAACCTCCAGAAGGCAGGTGCTCAGGAAAGATAACATGCTGCAATGCCAAAACTGGTGATGATAGAGGAACCAATACAGCAACATCAAACCTGTAACAAGTTAAAAAGGATACAGAGCAAATTCCAATTACTGAATGACTTAACTAAAAATTTCTTCAAATGCATTACATTAATAGTAGTTCTCATAAGAGTACCATAACCGATGAGGTAAGACAAGAGCTCGCAATGCTAGGGTAGCATCTGAACAGGCCACAACAATAAAACAGACAGTTAACCTGAAAGAGAGACAAATAGAGGTATTTTTATTGAAGTTAGATTAGATGAATCAATGCAAGACAAAAATCATGACAAGACGATATAAGTACTCCCTCCCATCTCACCTGGAGCCAGTACACTTCACAAGAAAAGCAGTGACAGCCAGATATCTCCAGTCATCTTCATCTTTATCATCAAGGCAAACTTTTGATGCTACCTCCCCTTGTTCTTGTAAAAGAGATCTAGATTTGCCATCTGATTCCATTCTAGCAACGTTTTCAGTCATTCCTCCTATTTTCGCAAAATTTTTTGTTCTTCTCTGAGTACTAGAATTTTTGGTAGGCATGTCAGTGGAAAGCCACTTGAATGACATTGAAGAGGATGCACCCATACACGGTACCTCATTTCCGTTTTTGTTTTGTTCTTGTTCCACAAATGGGTTTCCGTTCTCATCTAGCTCTCTATCTCTCAGCAACCAAGAAGTTAGAACCCGCTTTGCACCAACAGAGAGTAGTAAAAACGGATTATCCCTGTCCTCAGTTAAAGCATTTTTTTGATTGCTCCAGTCAAACAAGTTGGTCACATCTGAAGGAATTATGTGCATCTTAGACACAAAGCATATTGATCTCACTGCTGATCCACCAACATGCTCCCCAAGCAATTTCGACGTAGACCAGCTCTCAACTCTTGGAGTGTACCTGCACCCATTACCCATTGCAAAATCAGTTGCCCATGTAAAGTGATCAAACCAACTGCTAAACATCTTGTGAAAAACATAATTAAATAAGGTGAAAAGTAGCCGTCAGAAGAAAAGATGAGCAGGAATGGAGGATGAAAGTGGTGAAAAATAGAGTATTCACATAAATACTCCAAAAATCCAGATATGCATAAAAGATAATACAGCTCTTTGCTCACTATCATGAGTTATCAAGCAAAAATGTAACTGGTAATGTCGAAAGAAAATTAATTACTTCTCCATATAAATGGCTACTAATTATCATATACCTAGTCAACCTCACAGTTCCATCTTCACACCCAGTAGCAATCCAGCTAGATTTGTCAAAAAGAGCATTCTTCCCATTTACTTGAATTCGTGCATTTTCAGATACAAAACATAAGGAATGCATCTCTCTCCCATGGAACTGGATGTGCAAATTCTGGGGAAATATTCTCCTCTCACGTTCCGGTACCCGTTGTCGATGAATATATATCATCTCATCCTTCAATAAAAAGAAAGAATATTGAGCAAGACTGCAGTATCAAAATATTAAGCTATAACAAAATTTCTGGAAAAGGAAAAAAAAATTATGCAACAGAAATTTATCACAACATCATAGATTAATCAGGACAGATGAAACACAAAACCTTAAGAAAAATAAAATAAAAGAGAAAGCAGAAAACAAGATATGGTGGCAACCACTATTTAAATTGCGTAACAATATTAGCATGTAGAATTGATAAAAGGTATATCTCCTTCAACTGATGAAAACGTCATTAACAAATGCTGGTTTCTATAATGTCTTAAGATGTCCTACTCTCATTGTATGGAAGGAGTTTTAAAATTTAAGAGAAGATTCTGCCAAAAATGTGGGAAAAAAACAAACAAGTAAACCAATGTCATCAGATGATTCTAAACTTATATTTGCTTGCAAGTTGCATGTGATTTAGAATAAGATGCATGCCGGTTTCTTCCCCTATACCTGCAGACAAGAAAACCCCCATCCTTTGCCATGAATAAATTGATCATCAGAACTCTTACCACACAAAATCTTTAATCGACACACACTGTGTCAACGCCCTCCTAGACTCTATCAGAGAAAGGGTTCAATCTTTAATCTTATCTTTAATTGACAATCTCATTTTAGTAAATAATGTAAAAATCATAGTATTATTAACGTATTTACACTGACTAGTCAATTAAATATCTCAAATTTTACAACTTCTTGAACACCTATTCCTTAATGGATTTTGTTATTTCTTCCTTTATTTATTTATTTTAAGTGTAGCAATAGCAAGTGATCATTGGTTACAGCTGCTACCCAGTTTCCTTTACATACAACAGTGGACATGGCCAAAATTTGAATTCATGTACCCTACCAAAATATTTGAGAAAAGGAATGTTTATTTTAGTTTTCTCGTACCAGAATGCCTAAAAGGAAAATTATTAATTGTAAATAGGTGCTCTCCAAGTCAAGCTTAGATCACAATTATGACTTGGGCTACACCTACTGAGATACATATATACTTCACCTCATTAATGTCGAGTACCTGCATGAATTAACAAACTACATAACAGTTCTAACCTCGAGACATGCAAGCCAAAAATAATGGTAACCAACATCATGGTATTTACAATTTCTTCTGAAGTTTTACCATGGAGTTTTGTTCAAAAAAAAAAAAAAAAAAAAAAACAACATACATAACAAGTTCATAACCCTCGAGACAAATAGCAAGCCAAAAATAATGGTACCAACAATCATTGTATTAATACAAAATATATACTTCTGAAGTTTTACCATGGAGTTTTGTTTAAAAAAACAAAAAAAAAAAAAGAAGAAAGAAGAAAGAAAGGAGTACACTCTGACATATGCAAAACAAAGTGTCCAATCTCTGTATATTGCACAAGATAAATAAGAATAGAGGGACAGTCGCCACCACCGACAGGAAATTTAGCAAGACCTAGCTCCAAGTTTAAGCATCAAAAAGAGAAATTTCCACATAGCACATTCTATATACTGCAGAATCAGGAGGATGACAAAGACTGCAAGAGACATGATTACCTATTGCCAAATCGGTTGATTAAGATCACAGATATAAATCTGTTGATGTAATAAACCAATATGCATAGCCACAGGTTTGCTAAACAAATGAGGGAGAGTTTGTGCTATCGACAGAGACAAGACTAATCAAACTCAATCCTGTTCACTTGTATTCATTCCTATTTAAACTCTAAGCTTCGTGATCTTGGTCAAAAATTTCAAAAGAGCATACACATACCATCAGCATCCAGTCTGAAAAAAAAAAAAAAAAAAAAAAAAGAAGAAGAAGAAAGAAAGAGTACCTTGACATATGCAAAACAAGTGTCCATCTCTGGTATATTGCCAAGATAATAAGAATGAGGACGTCGCCATCCACCGCAGGAAATTTGCAAGACCTGCTCCAAGTTTAAGCATCAAGGAAATATCCCATGCAACATTTATATTACTGCAGTCAAGGAGGATGACAAAGTCAAAGAGACAATGATTACCTTTGCCTCGGTTGTTAAGTTCCAGATTATGAAATCTGTTGATGTAAAACCAATTGCATAGCCACAGTTTGCTAAACCATGAGGGGAGTTGTTATCGACAGAGACAGACTTAATCAAACTCAATCCTTTCACTTGTTTCATTCCTATAAACTCTAAGCTTCGTTGATCTTGGTCAAATTCAAAAGAGCATACACAACCATCAGCTCCAGTCTGAAAAAAGGACCAAAATAATTAAAAATTTAACAGAAGAAAGCCGTTGCAAATGTTTTTCCACACAAGAAAACATCAAAACATGCTAGAATGCATGATCAAATGCAATTTTCTGTCACCGGTGTGCTACTGGCATGCCAATATTTTATAAGCTTTTGCTATGATGCTGCAAACCAAAGAAAACTCCTGATCCTATTGGATGACCACATCACAAGTTTTTTTAACCTTTGACACAAAAATGTTCGGCTAGTACCCTCATGGTTATCTTTTGCTCTCTTCCATATACTTATGATAATGGATCATTCCCAAAGAATATTTGGAGTATTATTACATATTCATACCAGAGATTTGATCATACCGAGCATAATTCAATTCCACAGGAGCTTAATTTAGATACAGAAATGCTGGTTATACTTGATATCCCATGAGCCCCTTTAAAGTAACTAAGTGGAGATATTTTTATTCCTGGTGCAGCAGGTGTTTCCAGCAACAAGCTCTTTAACAAAGGAAATAGAACCAGATTACCACGGAGATCCCCACAAACCAGAACCTGCAAAAAATTCAAGCATGATGAGATCCAATATCAATATTCAGGATTCACTTTGAGCTCAAAAGTCAGATGAAATTACACATTGGATTTCACATAATCAAGAGATTATACCTTATATTCTTGTACATAACAAAACTTTATAGCAAAATTTTTAACAATTCATATTTCATCTTCATACACTTCAAATTTGACAATAATTCACAGATAAAACACGAGAGAGAGATAGAGATACCTCATCTTCAGGAAATGCGTCTAAGCACATTATCCTAGTTCCAAAACATGATGTGAATTCTGCTATAAGGGACACATCAAAAGTTCTTGCAGAAGTGTGAGAGATAGGGAGCAAAGGATCCTGTAACTTCCACAGCTTCAAAACTCCTCTAGGATCAGCAGTAAAAATGAACCTACACATCAGAAAATAGTGCTCTTTAACTCATCTTTTCGATTAGAATAATAAAGGTAAAACTATGTTATCCCTCAGCTAACAATGCCCAGGCTTTTCTAGCAGCACTGAAGAATGGCATGAAACATATTGCTGATATAGCATATGACCAACAGCTTATCACTACCAGTATATCCATTATAGAGAAATCAATTGAAACACTAAAAAACCAATAGAGCTTCCAGGCTATTAGCTAAAAAAGGAGGAGGAGAAAAAGCGATGTCTGTTGTTGATAGTTTCAAAAACCATAAAAGAGAAATGAAACTAAAATCTCGGCATGTACCTTTATATACCGAAGGAAAGATACCGAAGAGATAACAAAACTATTGACATTATGAAAGCATAAATGATGGCCAATTACCTATATCCCAATGCCTTAGACCAATAGGTCCCCAATAGTTGTCTCTCTTTTCCAGCTGACCAAGTAAAAGTGAAGTCCATGATAGGAGTACTAACATCACCCGTAACTCTGGCGACTGTCGCGTTTCCTTTACCATCTCCCAAAGCAACCCAGTTATCAATACCAAGGGAATGCTTGGGAAAGCTTTTAGTCAGCAAATCCATACAAATGATTGGTACCTTTTCATTGACCTGGATAAGTTTAGTCCATTTCACATTCTCTGTCTCAAACAATTTAGCATGATACAGATAACCATTGTTTGTGGCAACGTAAAGGGCATCTTCAGATGTGAAATGCAAGCATCGTACATATTCACTTTTACTGCAACAAAAATAGCCAAGATAGGCTTTGTCACGTTAGGCAAGACGATGAGAAATGATGAAAACGGCAACAGAACAAAAGAGATGTCAAGGAATGGAGATGGATGAGGCGGAGTAAACCAAATGTGGTTGGGTTTGTCATCATCAGAGATGTCCCAACACCTCCCCCATTGGAGTTCCTATCAGCATCCAAATATTTAAATGACAACTTAACCAATTTTTGGGCCGCTCTCATAAGGCCAACAACATGAGATGGCCCAGTAACTATTAATAGATGGGTGCACAAGTTCCGCGCATCAAGCATCACCCTAAAAAGGTGTGATCGCTAAAATCCAATTATCTTGGAAGATTCTCATTACCATCAATCAGATAGAGACATCACATTCACCATTAAATGGGTGTTTTGCTGACAAGAAATTTAAGTTTTATCTTGCCCATCAGGAACTTAACTAGGCTTCCTCACAGAAGTTTTAATTTTAACAGAACTTACCTGTCCATGAGACCAATATGTTCAGATGAATTTGGGAGTCGACTAGTAAATATCTCTGTTCTGTCAATGAACTGTTCTGGTTGACTTTGTCCTTCCAAGCTATGTGGAAAAGCAGCAGGCAGTTGATGCACTTTGATTGCAGAATCAAATCCAGCAGTAATGAGAAGCGAAGAGTTTGGATCATACAAACATCTCCATACACCTCGCCCTCTGTATATTATCAAGTCACAACTGGTCGTTTAGAAATTGAATTACAATATATTTTGAGATATAAGGTGAGCGTAGACATGGTCAGCCAGGTAAGTATTAATCATGGATGCCTAGACCGCCATGCGCTTTGGCAGTCATACTGTACCTGTGATACACTACAAGCAACGTAAAACTTCAAGTAGGAGATACCATGCTACAAACAAAAGAAAGCACAATGGGGAATATTTTTGAATCCAAATAATTTAGGGTTTTTTTTCCCGCTCCCACGCTGTGTATTTTAAGAACATAATAAAACAAAAAAAAAAATCCACGTAACCCATGAGAAACAACAGACAGTGTTCTATACCTTGGGTCAACACATATCAGTTAAATGCCTTGCGGAGAAAAAATAGTGAAGAGAAAATTATTTCTTGGAGAGATTAATGAAGACATACTATATTTTGAACTAAAATTCTTGCAGAGATTATTATGCCATGAAGCCCATGCCCAAAAGTTTCATTTCATAATAAAGAACTAATAATAGCTCTAGATAACTCGATAAATTTTATGCCATAGAATCTGAAAGAAAGCTGAATTCTAAGAAAGATGAGAAAACCTAAATGCAACTTACATATGTTCCTTGATCATCTTAAGCTGTTTACCATCAAATCCCCACACACGGCATGTACAATCCTCACCAGCAGTGACAATTAACTGCCAAAAAAATAAAAATGGAAGAGTCATCTCCAAATTCAATAGCTCACATTCATAGAAAGGAGGACGAGGAGAAGAAAGAAAGATGGTAAATCATTGGAAGAAAAGAATTGATTTAAATGTGTGCAAAATGAATAATGTTAGTGTATTATAATCCTTTCAGCCCATTGCTACTAGATGGCTTTGCTATTAAGTCTGTCAAATTCAGACTATTATGCTTGAACCACCATAACCATGGAACAAGCACTTGGACAAGAATTAGTTAAAAATGACAAGAGGAAATTCAGTTATTTGAACATGCATACACGAATATCATATATAACTCTATCACGCCTCTGTTCCAATGAAATGCCACTTGTTCAAAATTGACAGCCTACTTCTCTAATATTTGGATCTCTACTTGGAATCAATTTGAAACAAGATAATTTCTACTGATGAAACCAAATTAAATACAAAGAAAGAAAAATCCTACCAACTGAAACTAAACTACAGATAGATGATAGCATCACTTATTATTTGCACATGTGTTATTGATTTAACGGTGAACTGATTATGCCAATTAATAATCTATTATCGGACATCCATTCTCAAGGATTGACACTTTGCAAATTTAAGAGCAATTATCATCCCTTGTGCAAGGTCAAAAAAATTCTGGACACATTCTAGCAAGGCAGCTTCGTTAATACTAACTATGATAATGTAAGTGTTGACAATAATTCACAGAAAAAAAAATTAATTGAAAAAATTCCAGCACATTTAAATAACTTAATTACACAAAAAATTCCCAACCATGAATCCCCTCTAATAAAACCGCTGTACGAGGATTCTAGACCAGAGATCAGTTTCTATTCGTTTAAAACTAGAAAGACTATCATGTAAGCAATAGGCATACCAAGATTCCATCAAACTTACAGAATCAGATATACAGCAGTCCCAAACCCTAGCATTATGACCGAATAACACAGAGCAAGCAGTCTCCTTTTCTTGGTCATTGGAATCTTCTTGTTCAGCATTAACTGCCCAGATACGAGCACTGTTCCAATGAGGGAACTGTATAGTTGCATTCAATTACTCCAGAAAAACAAAAAGGATAGTAAGAGTTAGTAAATTTCTTCACCTGCGATCATCAGAGACTGAAACCAGTTTGGATCCATCAGCGGACCATATTATGCGAAATATTGAACCTTCATGTCCAATAAGTCTACTTATATGGGCCGCTTTATGTTGCCAGTAATAAAGATTGAAAGAGTCTGAGTTTGAATTGTTTAAATGCATGCTATCTTCCATGGTACTTGTCAAAGGCAGAGCATCTTGTTGAGGAACTAGTTTCCAAATAATGATCTGTCCTAGCCCAAGTCAAAACAATATGTAACTGGATAATTCAATTGGAGCCACCATTGCAACTCCAATTTAACAAAAAATCAAGCTTATTTATATTACAAGGAAAGATTACCACCTCATTGTATATTGTACCAGAGGCGATTCGTAAAGATTCCACATTATTACCACACAGCCGCATGGAATACAAAAGGCACCTTTCTACATAATTTTACAAAATAATGAAACATTTTAGAGTTCAACAAAAAAAGCATAAAACAATATGCATAAGGTCCTTAACGCAAAATATCACCTGGAGATTGAACTTCAAGAATCATACTCGATTCTGAAATATCCCATATCCTGACCGAATTATCACTACATCCAATGGCAATGCTGTGCCTTCCCTCCTCGTGTTTAGAGGTTGCACCATTCTAGTGTCAATTAAAGAAACAAATTAACAAACAAAAATACTTAGAAGTGAACTTTAAAAAAAAATGTTGAAGTGAAAAAAAAAAAAAAAAAAAAAAAAAAAATACTTAGAAGTGACTTTAAAAAAAAAATGTTGAAGTGAAAAAAAAAAAAAAAAAAAAAAAAAAAAAGAAGTTTTACCTTAAAAAAAAAAAAAAAAAAAAAAAAAAAGAAGTTTTACCTTCAAAAAGGAAACATCCAAGACCCAATGGCTAAACTTAGGCAAGGAATGAATTAAAGCTAAATCTGCAAAAACTTCTGGTTGATTTTGAAACTTTAATGCCGTTTCAATATGCAAGTTAAACAGCTTCACTCTCTTTTCGCCAAAGACGACAACTTTAAAAGTGATTCTTGTAGAAGACGATCCTTTTGAGTAATCAATGAACCCACAAGTAATTCCATGCACACGAATTCCTTGAAACACTTGAAACGACCCTATTATCTTAACCGCTTCTAAATCATATAGCAGCATTTGCGAACCCGTCCCTGTTTAAAATAAGAAAACAGACATTTGGAGATTATGCTCTGGCATCTAAATAGATTCTCAAATTTGTGTTAGCAAATAAGAATCTCGGAGACAATTTGAGATACAATTACTATGAAATAAGAAGCGTACCAGCAAGGAGATAAGGGAGAGAAGAGAAGTGAGAAGGTAAACGAAGGAAACAAAGAGCGGAGATTTCTCCAAGATATGGCCCGCTGCGAAGTCGCCATTCACACTCTTGCTGCTCCGTCATGGCTGCTGCTTCTTCTGTGTTACTCTGGCATTAGAGTCTGCAAATTTCTCTTTGAAAGAAGTTTAGGTCTTAATGAGCTGAGTTCAGCAACTATTCAATGGGCTAGAAGTTGGAATTTAATGGGCCGAGAATAGAATGTTCTTTCGGCTTGTCACAGCGCCAAACCTGTTATTAAATACCGTGTTCCGTGCTTTATCCGTATTCTCGTTCATCTCTGTTTCTTCGCCCCTTCTCTCTCTCTCTCACCCGAATCAGATTAACAATGGGGAAGTCTAACTCATTCAAGGACGAGTTCACTTTTGGTTTGTTTTTTTTCCCTCGTCTTTTTTATTCTTGATAAAGTTCTCTGCTTTTGTATTAGTAACTTCTCTTCATCAGCTGTTGGGATGTGATCGAATCTTTCCACAAGTTTTGTCTTTGATATTAGTTTGTTTATTGCAGAGGAAAGACTTGAAGAATCGCGCGATATTATATCCAAATACCCTAATCGAGTCCCTGTAAGTTGAGGATAATAAACTGCTCTCCTTTTTCCTAATTCAATCTTTAACGATGATGAATCATTTCTTTAGGCCTTAATAGCAATTGTACTTTAGTCATCCAGTTAATTAGAGAAATCTATAACAATGAAGCTTCGAGTGAAAAGTTATTACTTGTTTAATTCTTCAAGATAATTTTCAATGCTGATTCCTGCTATGAGGAGCTATGGGTTTTGATCTCGGTGATTCTTTGAATCCCGGTGGATGATGGGAATTAATGATATATTTCTAGTTGTAATAATCTCTTACATGAGAATTTAGGTGGGGTTATTATCTTGCAGGTAATTGTTGAGAGGTACAGCAAAACTGATCTTCCCGAAATGGAAAAGAAGAAGTAAGTTTCAGCTTCAGCTCATCATTGAGATTTGAGGATGATGAAAAAGTTACATTTTGAAGAATATATCATTTATAACCAAAGTGCAGTGTTTTTAGAGGGATTTTTTATAATTATAATTTTGAGAAAAGCCACACTCCCTAATTTCTGATGTATGATGCTGGCTTTATAAGGTAGTCAGCAGGATTCAATCCCAAAATTACACGAGTCAAACATTTGCAGAATTTGATATTTGAACATCTGGTGACTTTGAGTAAGGTTTGTCCTGATAAATCTCTATTTGTCAAATCATAGATATCTGGTTCCTCGAGATATGTCCGTTGGGCAATTCATTCATGTACTCAGTAGCAGGCTTCATTTGACACCGGGAAAAGCTCTTTTTGTGTTTGTAAAGAATACCTTGCCTCAGACTGGTAAAGTTGCTGTTATCGATAATGTATCCCTTAAAAAACTCATCTGTGCCAACTTTCTGAAATGATTTGCTAATGTTGTGTATCTGTAACTTATTTACAGCTACTCTAATGGACTCTGTCTATGAATCCTTCAAGGACGAGGATGGATTTCTCTATATGTGTTACAGCAGTGAGAAGACCTTTGGTTATGCTAGTAATTCTTTTATGTAATCAATGAAGATATTACTGTACATTAATGCTATTCAATTCTCAAAATTGCTGATCCATAATCAATGTTGTAAATACTTCATGTAATATCCAAGACCTTGCTCTAGCAATAATCATTTTATTAGCATTGAATTTTCAAATTATCGGACATTCAACTCGAATCATTATTCTTCCATAAGGACCCAACTAAGAGAGCTGAGGAGAGAGGAGGGAGGGGGATTAGAAAGAATCACATACTATAATTTATAACTTTAATATATAACAGAAAAGAAACTTGTGGGTCATATCGGATATTTCCAGTTTGTAGGCTAGTAGGCTGAATGGCAAGAAAGAGGCGAATAACAGGTACTTAAGATTTCTCTTTTGGCAACAAGCAAACGGACACCAAATTCAATACACACATCACCTCTTCATAAAAAGAAGTATCTTTGTATTCAATAAGCAACACATTGTTTCTGCAAAATCAACATATTCTTATTTTGTGTGGTGTTTATAGACACTTGCGATCATCGAGATACAACCAACGGGGTCATCCACCAGCATGATCAGTCAAAGAGTATTGGGTAGAAAAAAAGGGGCATAAAATTCATCAACTGAATATAAAACCGAGCAAACTGAAAAAGGATGTTATGTTGCCTAATATTGCAATCAAAACAGCCGATGGAAGCTTTTCCTCCTATTGCATGTATATTTAACACTCACGTCTCCAAAAGCATCTCCCAAAATCATTGATTACAGAAAGAGTTTTTGTCCTCCCCCTTTCCGCCAAACACCACGAACAGGTAATCCTCCATTTTGATTACTGCTACCATCTGATCTGTTGTCAGCTGGATTAGGATCGGGATCAGGATCAGGGTCGGAGCTTTTATGATCCAAAAGGGCTGCCATTGAACCATCACCCAGCCTCACCCTATGAAACTTTGAGGTTTTCTTTCGCTGTTTATTCCCACTTCCCTTATCTCTAACATTCTGATTAGGTCCACTGCCAGTAACTGAATCATTTTCTCCACTCAATTCCACCTGTTTCTCATCAACAGCAACCTGAGACTTTCCTTTGGCAGTGCGATACCCATCCTTTGACAGCACCTCCACCTCTTCTTCCGGAGGCTTGTAATGCAACTGCAGTGTCCGGACAGTGCTCATAATGCTATCTGCCAATCTATCCTTCGAACTACTACCTTCACCATCTATGCTTTTGCCTTTCTTTGAGCTGGTACTATCTTTCAAATGGCCACTGCCACGGCTCCAACCATTCTCTTGTGGACTTTTGCCTCTCAAATTAGCACTATAGGTGTCAAGTAGTTCTTTTTGCTTCTGAAAATCAGGGCAAAGTCTAGCCAACTCAAGAACAAGATGTGACAGGCCATATTGCCGCACATAATGCAAGTATTTTTCAGTGTCAATTGAACCCTGACGATACTGGCCAGAAATGTCTTTAAAAGAAGTATATTTGTCCTCATCATAATCAAGAGCAGCTCGTATTTTTTCCACCAATGATTTGTTTGCAGTTTGAACATCTTCCACATTTGGTAAAACCTGGCTACTAGGAGGTGTCTTGCGAGTTTGAATTGCAGAAACAGGAGGAAAATCTGAAATGGATGGTTCCAATGATCTGCTCTCAGAAAGATTCGGAGCTGATACAGAATGGCTAATCTTATTTGTGTTGTCCAAGTTCCCTGGAGGACCAGCTGAGGGATGTCCATGAACTAGTGTGGGTCGAGCATGTGTCTGAATAGAATTTGCATAACTAGATGGAGTTGGTCCACCAATAGAACTTCGTGAAGTTGAAGGTGCAGGATTCATGTTAGGCCTATACTGCACTGAACTACCAGCTGCATTCCCACGAGTTGGAGCTGGCCATGCCTGAGCTGAATTAACAGCTGAATTAACAACAGTTACATTTCTTTTTTGGCGTCGAAGATGTGCTGCCATAGTATTATTAACCAAACCTTCTGATTCTTGTTTGGACTTTTGTTGATTACTGCTGGTATTCATAAGAAGGGGAGGAAAGGAAGATTCTTCCAACGGTGTCCTCCTGGAACCTTGCCCCAATGCTTGAAGATATCTTGAGGGAGTTTCTGAATCTGTAGCAGTTAATGATTCAAAAGGCTCAATTAATGGATCAATATCATCTGCATCTCCATTACCAGGTACAACTTGTGCACTGGATGATGATGGTTGATCATGATATGTGCTTTCTGAGTGAGCTGTCTCCAGACTTGCTTGGATAGCTATAGATAGTTGGTTATCGTATTGATCACGATGGAATGTCCTTCCCCTTCCACGACGATGATCTTGTTCACTACTTCGCCGATATCGGAAGCTAGTTGGTATCTAGTATTCAACGACAAGTGCGCCATCAATGACCAGAGAAATTTGATAGGAGGAGCCGCAATGGCTTCAACAATGAACGAAAATTGCAGTAAATTATCCAAATAATACCTGGAGAGCAGCATTGCGCTTGGCACGAGACATACGCCCACCATGTTCAATGGCATTGTGCCGCTGGAAGGTAAACAAGGATAAAAGTCAACGACTTGAACCACTCCAATAAGCAAACAAAGGAAAGCATAAGATAAAAGAGTTCCCCTAAATACACAAATGTACACAGAGAGAATCACAAAATTGCATGTACATATGAAAAGTAAAAGACTATGCAGATACAACATTCACAACAACAAATATAATCTAAAAGATACCTTCATTTCTGCTTCAGTTTGAAAGACAATGAACTTTTTGGCAAGACAAGCCTCATCCTCGCATAGGAAATGCTCTCGGCGGAAGTGAATCTATGACCAGTAACTTTTACTTGTCAGAAGAAATGTGAACACCATAATGTCACATAAACAAACGAAATAAAAGTTGAAGAGAAATTCAGAAATGTCATGCCTCAAGGTCATCATAGTTCTTATAATACTCATATTGTCCAGGATGCTGCCTGCATTTGAAATTGTACCAAGTTTTTAAGATTATACAGAACAATCTTACTTGTTACCGAGCCAGAGAGAGAGAGAGAGAGAGAGAGAGGGAATAAACAAATAAATAATTAAAAGGTATGTTTATCTACCTTTGGCAAATATGACAAGTATAGTGTTCAGTAGACATATGCGAGTACAACTCATTGTCTCCATAGAATGGGGATTTGCAAAATTCACACATAGGATGCCCCATGAATCCACCTCTCTCACTCTCAGTACCATCAACCTCAGAGTCACCTGTATTTATGTGCTGATTAAGTTGCGCTCTAGTGTAAAGCTTTTGTTCACAAATGAATACCTATGAAATTCAAAAGAAACCGAAGATAGTAAGAAGAATATGAAAGAAAAGGAAGCTGGAAACATCGAATTCCTACTCCAAAAGAAGCAAAAGATGATTATCAGTAATACCAACACTATAAATTACACGGGCAAGTTTAATATCAACATTTTCATACCTCAGTACACTCTAAACATCTAGCCAATAACAAAAAACTGAAGATTCCAAACAAGATTATGTATTTACCTTCCGTCCTTCTAGACATAGACTGCACATAACCAATCTATGTCTATGAAATAAATGGCCCTTCAACTGCTCAATATTCCTAAACCTCCCCCGGCGCTTTGAGCCATCATTAGCTTCCTCATCCATCTTGTCGCATACACTACATGAAAGCCTACACATGGCCTTTATCATCTTGTAATGATCTGCATCATCAAAGAATGCTTGTGTGTCCTCATGATACCAGTATGACCCAACTCTACCCTCCCTTGGTTCAGATGGAAAGACTGCGAAGTCATTAACCATCCTCGTATAATCACCTAAAGCCTACAACATAATCCAAATCAACCGACAATAATTTAATTGCAAAACACTACTAGATTACGAATGGAGAGAAAAAAAGAATGATTCCAAATAGATTGATTGTTCAAGGAGTAGAAAAACCCTAACCTTGGTGACAAAGATGACGTGAGATTCGGTCTTACAGATGCAGCACCGTCGATCGCTGCAAATAAAGCGAAGGCGAACCACGCAGGTGGAGCAGACCTCTCGATGGCCACATGCTCCATAGGCCACCCATTCCAGGGTTTCAGCGCACACCGCACAACTATCGTCCATGGCTTTCTTTCTCTAAATTTCAAATTGAAATTGATAAAGAAAATCTGATGTCCTGATATGAAAGACAAGCCGAAAGTTGTCGGCGATTAGATATCTAGGGTTTACAGGGAAATTAGGATTCGTATTTGTAATTTTCGCGTGGTTACGTGAAATAGGAACGACTCAAAACCTGGTAGAATCCTCCTGCTTCAATTTCTTTTGTGTTTACTTTTTGGTTTTTCTCTATTTAATATTATTTATATTCAGGCTGAATGGAATATTAGAATTTATTATTAACGTACCCTATTGCAGTGCGTTGTTGTTTTCCAATGCAAAAGGAGCACTAATCTCGTTATTTAATCTCTAAGATTTCGCCAAATTAGTGGTTTTTTTCAAAACAATTAAATAATTTTTATTTTTATTTTTATTTACATAATAATTTTTTATTTAAAAAAAAGTCAGTGATAAATTGGACTGATGGGGATTTGATTCGAAAACAAAATTAATGTGTTTGAAAATTCTTCTTTTAACCAAATACTATTTAACTGTTTTTCGGAATTCTAAATTAGGGTGGTGATTAATTTCATAAATTATAGTAAAGTCTTTTTCATCAAATTTTATGGCTTGCATTAGTTAAATTCCTTCAAGTCAAATAACTTCTTAACATTTTGTATTAAGCAAAATAAAAATAAAAATAAACTATAAATGAACTAGTTGTAAGATAAAAGTATATATAAATTGGAACAAATTTAAATAATTAAATTATAATTATTCATAACGAGTAAAATATAGATATAGATGTAATAAAAAATCAGCATCTCATGAGTCACGAGTATTTATAATGGAAATGTAGGTCATAATTTTTCCGATATCCATGAATATTTAGAATAGAGATGCGAATCACAATTTTTCCAATATCCACCCTACTTCCGTCTCTCTCTAATGGCTATATTGATTTTAAATTTTTCACCAAATTAACTAATTTTGAAATAGTAAATGACAGAAGCCATAAATCAAAATTTTAATAAAATTTATATATATACGTTAAATATTTTTATGCAAGAACTTGAATATTGATAGGATACAGCAATGATGAGGGGTTTATTTGAGACCATTGAAAAGTAACATTATTTTATTGCATAAAAAACAACGATATTTAGAATTTACGACTCTGCAGACTTGTTCTCCAAGCGATTGAATTTTTTTATACATAGGAGATCCAATAGACCAGAGTAATATTGTGGACTACACAACAGAGGACAGTATTCCCCTTCGAATAACATTCACCATATTAATAATAACTTTTACAGTGAAAAAGACTCAAATTCGAGACCTCTCACTCTATGTATCTTCTAGAAGAGGAAGACCAACTAAACCTCCCAAGCAGTTGAATTTAATAATTTATTTACCTGAAAAATTTTTCAAAGGTCAAAAGCAAGTAGTATAAAATTAAACTTTTCGAGTGGACAAGAATTACACCACAGTTAAACGACGGAACGGTTGAAAACGACACACCTACGAAAGATTTTATTCAAAATGAAATTTTGCCACGCCTTTTTATTTTCCAAGGAGCCACACCCACTTGAAAGAAATAACAATAAGAGAGCCTCATCGATTGAGATTATTAGAGATCGCAGGATATCCACAGAGGTTCATCGAACTGGCCAGTGAGCTTATCTCCGACCTGTTTATCCAAAGACAAACGGTCCAAGTCCAACTCGTTACCGGAGAACCACGCTGGCGTGCCATTTTCATACCCATTGCATGTCAGTCTCCTCAACCCACTCCCATCTAACCTTACCACATGCAAATCTCCATACGGCTGAAATTGATTGGCCCACGACACTGGCTCAGCCGTCACGCTATCCAAGTTAGACGCAAATAAGAGCCATTCTCCATCTTTGCTAAAACACACGTGGTTTATTCTCTCCCTAACTACCTCACTCGAGCCCTCTGCTCCTGCCACGTGTATTCTCCTCAAATCAGAACCGTCCGGTTTTATGACGTAGATACTAAATACAGCAGGATTGTCTGGATTATGTCTATTTGATGAAAATGCTATCAGATCTCCCTTGGGTGACCAGCTTGGCATAGTATCGATCCAAGCTCCATTCGTTAATTGACGTACAGTGCCATTGAACTCTCCGTAAACGGTGTCAATTATGTAAAGGTTCTTATGGCCAGATCGGCCGGACCGGAACACAATGGATTTGCCATCTGGGGAGCACGATGGGAAGGCGTTATTGCCTGTGTCTTCTCTCGTGAGAATCTTTACCTCGGATGGAATCTCTTCACGATCACCATTGAGATGCGAAGGGTCAAACATGACTCGTGCAATCTGCACCGTTGTTTTTGCCGATTCAAAGATTGGGCCCAGAGATGTGAAGATGACGTGTTTCTCAGTGGGACTCCATGAGTTGTAGAAGGCTGTACGATCCTTGATTAAGGTCCATCGCTTTGAACCGTCCGATTTAACGATATTCAAGCCCCCATCCACTATAAACTGAGGATTGCAGGCTATGAGATCACCGGCTGGAGAAAACGAGGGAAATGATCCGTTGAGTCTGAGCATCTGTATTTCCTTTATTGGAGACACCACCGGTTCGAGGTTAGGAATCGTCGACTCGCCGGGGGTTGAGTCGCCTCTAAATCGATGATACCCGACAAACATTGAATCAGGAGAAACAAACGGGTTATAGTGATGGAAACTCGGATTCAGCGTCTCAGTCACCGGATAAAAGGCCCTTGATGAGAGATCAAATATCTCGATATGCCTATAATTCTTGTTGCGCCTCCGAGTAGCAACAGCGATTCTTTTACCGTCGTGCATAGCCGCAGGAGTGAAACAGTGAACTCCTGTCGGAGTAACTCTAAGAGGAGCGATTGGAAACCCAGAGAACTGAAGATCTTCAGGGAAATTTACCTGGTAAATGCTCCACCAGCCATCATCAGCTTGGCAATGGAAGTAAATAGTCGAGTCACCTGACCAGGTGGGCCATCCACCTCTTTCACAAACAACTACTCGTTTATCCGGGTCGGATCCTTTTAAAACAACTATATCAGTAGAAAGCTCGTGAAACTCGCCGCCCCAAGGACGAGACCCATAAGATGCAATAGCGATATATTTCCCAGAGTGAGAAATAGCGGGACTGTAGTCAATTACTCCAGGAGGAGTCAAGCGAGTAATATTCCTCTTTTGATCATTAAGATCGGTGGCGTAAAGAGCGCACCAACTTCTGAAAGGTTGATCAGGCCTTTCATGAGCTGACACGAAGTAGAGGCGGTTATTCTTGATGATCGGACGGTCATGGAAAAGACTCTCCGGTACAAATGGAAGCCGCTCCGTTTCTGAAACCCCAGATTTGGATAGGTAAATTCTAGAGCAACCAGTTCGTTCAGAGACATAGACGATGGATTGGTTGTGTTCGTTGATGAATTGGGCGTTGAAGTTGATGGATACACCATCGGTGAGGCGATTTTCATCGGAGTTGGAGAATTTGAAATCTTTCAGATTGGAGGGAAGTCTGACAAAGAATACATCGAAGCCATAGTTTGGGCGGCCGACGGTGGTGAAGACGATGGTACCTGTAGGATTCATTTGGAAGCGTTTATTTATTTTGTCAGTGGATACTGGATAAGGTGAGTGTGAGTATTGAGTAGCAGTGAGCGGTTGGGTTTTTGAAGGCGCGACGACGAGAAAGAGGTTAAAGTGTGTGCGTGTGAGATGACGCAGCATTACTCTTCTTTTTTGTTTTTTGTTTTTTTGTTGTCCTGCATCCTTATGAAGAGTCCAAGAGAGAAGTGCGAATGAGTTTACCAATGGAATCTTTTAATCAAACTTGATTTGATTTGCAACTTTGCTGATTAAATATGAAAAAAAAAAAAGGAATCAATTAGATGCAAAATTTTTCTCATTGTAAATATTAATTTTACATATAGGTTTGTGATTTCTCAATTATTTTAATTGATTTTATTTCATGGCTTTATATATCATTTTGTGATTTGTTTGATAAATTCCATTTAAATTAAAATATCAAGGGATTGTTTTGCTTTTAATTTTTTTTATTTGTAAATCAAATTTAGTTTATTAGAAATTGAATTGATGATTTTGCAATTTGATACAACTAAAATAACAAATAGACCTAAAAAATTAATTGATGTAATTAATTAATGCAAAAATATCATGTTAATTAAATATATTAAGATATACCAGAGCCTCATCTTGACTAAAAAGACAACATTTTTCCCAAGCCAAAGGTAGCTAAAGCAGACATTGATAAATAAAATTCAAATTGTAGTGCATGCACCTCAGTGGGTTACGGCTCTACTAAAAATTATTTATTGAATTCATGAAGAATTAAAAGAAAATAATAATTTCCTAAAAGAGCTTGGCTTCCAAGTATCAAAGTTGGACCATGAAACAATGTCACCCTAAAGTGTTTCGCATACAAATTGAGAGAAACATAAAAAGATAAATTAATGTGAAGGGTCGATTGGACAGGGGACCCACTGGCCATCGGACCTACGCTTGCGATTGCCACAGAAGCTTAAAGAGTTTTTTTTTTTTTTTTTTTTTTTTTTTTTACCCCACTGGCCATCGACTACGCTTGCGATTGGCACGAAGCTTAAAGAGTTTTTTTTTTTTTTTTTTTTTTTTTTTTTTTTTTTTTTGAGTGGAAAAGCTTAAAGAGTTCAAGCAAAAGCAAATTCGAGAAATCGAATTTTGTCCTTGTTGGCAGCTAAAGCCTATTTTGTCCGTCCAAAATTACTTTTTTCATATTTTTTTTCATTAATTGTCTGGTTTTTCTCATCATAATCTTCCAATCCAAGCATTTATGTTTTACATATTTCGGCCCTAGAGTAGAGGCTTTGAGCCGAATCACCAAAAATAATTGTGGGCTGGTTTCTATAAAACTCGCTAGGCCCAGCTAGAAATTAAGGCCGACTACAACATTGCATCTGGAAATAAACAATCACCTAAGGCTTAATGCGTAATTCCACATATGCAAATCGCCATCAAAACCCTAAGTCTCCTCATCTTTCAAACCTCACACCCCAAATCCTAGCCGAAAGCTCTGCATATCCCTTCTCTCGGCATCGGCCACCAAAGATGCAGATCTTCGTGAAAACCCTAACGGGTAAGACCATTACCCTCGAGGTTGAGTCTTCCGATACCATCGACAATGTGAAAGCCAAGATCCAAGACAAGGAAGGAATTCCACCGGACCAGCAGCGTCTAATCTTCGCTGGAAAACAGCTGGAAGACGGCAGGACCCTCGCAGACTACAACATTCAGAAGGAGTCGACTCTTCACCTGGTGCTTCGCTTGAGAGGTGGTGCCAAGAAGAGAAAGAAGAAGACCTACACCAAGCCAAAAAAGATCAAGCACAAGAAGAAGAAGGTCAAGCTCGCTGTTCTTCAGTTCTACAAGGTCGATGACAGTGGTAAAGTGCAGAGGTTAAGGAAGGAGTGTCCCAATGCGGAGTGTGGAGCTGGCACTTTTATGGCTAATCATTTTGATAGGCACTACTGTGGTAAGTGCGGCCTCACCTATGTTTACCAGAAGGCTGGTGGAGAATGATTTTGAAATTGTTTCTCAGAGGGTAGACCAAGCTTTTGATTTTAAGTTTCTTCTTGTTGAGCTTACAATTTATGGTCTTAATTGTTGACTAGTTGGAATGATAATTTTGGCTATTTAAGTTTCATTTATACCTGTTTTTGTTTTTGGTGTTTCTATTAGCGGTGATGTTAGTATTGATATAATGATTTCAGCATGATAAGACTCTGTTTTAGTTTCTACAAAGGCATTTGCTTGCTGTAGAGCTTGTGGCAGGTTTAGCATTAGAATGATGTGAGTTGTTAAAAACCAAAATGGTTTCAGAATCTATAAAGATCTAGAATGTCTTGTTTGAGATGTAAAGGAACTATTTGGGAATTTTGTGTAGCCAGTTTTTGAAATATTTGAATCAATGGATTAGGCTTGTTGAAACTGTTTTGCATGTAGCCTTAGTTATTGCTGCATTCTTATTTATTTTATGGATGGCGCCAACGGTGAAGGGCAGTTTTTGATTTGATTTTCATTGGTTGTAATTTTTTCTTTTTTTTTTTTTTTTTTTTAAGAAACACGGTGAAGGGCAGTTCTTTGATTTGATTTTTCATTGTTGTAATTTTTTTCTTTTTTTTTTTTTTTTTTTTAAAAACAATCAATCTGTAGATTTTTTTTTTTTTTTTTTTTTTAAACAATCAATCTGTAGATGAGAAAGAAATCAAATCTGAGTCTTCCTTGGACAGTTCATCATCTTCCATTTGTGGAGCCCATAATACTAAAACGCCCTGCATGAATTGGATTCAGTCGAACAAGAAATTAAAACAAGCAATCAAATGGTAAATAATAGATTTCGTAATAATATATAATTACCGGTATTTTACTTGCTGGCTGGTATGGAGTAAAGCTTTTGCAGGGCTAGCTCCAAATCTTTACCACAATTTATGGTGGGTGGATCCCGTACTCCATCAGCATCCACCAAGATTGTGATCTGAACATCGAAATCAAAAGGTTCATCCTGCAAAGAACTAATTCCAGAAAAAAAAAAGAGGTTAATTTGACAAGAAACCTTACCTTACCACCATGTAGTTATCAGTATCACATAAACTGTTTGTTGTTTGGCAAACTCTGCTTTTAATTTTCATATTATTTACATTAGCTGAGTGATAATTAATCAAATTTCTCTTGTTCTTCCTGGGAGATTCTCATAAATCGCTTTTCAACATCACTCACACTATCCACAGCATCCACCTGCAAAGGGTCACAGTGTGACTAATATAATAATATCTAACAAGATTTCAAGAAGAAATATAATTAATACTTTTACTTACAGAAGTACAACAGGAAAAGCAGCAATCCAAATACTGATAAGTCAAAAACGGGACTGTCGCTACAACCACAAATAAGTAATACCATGTTAAGAGAAAAAAAAAAAAAAAAAAAAAAAAAAAAAAAAAAAAGGAAACGACAATTTTATAATTTTGGAAATCAAAATAAACATTGCCTTTACTTCTTAATTTAGATACCCAACCCAGCCGAGGTTGAGTATCACGTTGTTCAGCAATTCGAAAAAAAAAAAAAAAAAAAAAAAGAAACGAAATTTTATATTTTGGAAATAAAATATAAATTGCTTTACTTCTTAATTTAGATACCCAACCAGCCGAGGTTGATGTATCAGTTGTTTCAGCAATTCGGTTAAGATCTTTTTTTAGTGGCTGCACCCTTCCAAACAATCCAACTCAATAAAAAATAAAATAATTATTAGAAAAACTATTACAAAAATAGAACTAAATCAAAGGTACTTAACTGTAAGCGCGCCAAGAAAAACAGCAGGTACACCAAACAAAACAATTCTGGAATGAACGAGACGACTCGTGAAAAATGCGTCCAACTGATCTCATAACCCGAAACTGTATCGTAAGGTCTATAACACGACTCAGACCACGACGACGATGAATCAGACCCCCACGATGAAGATGAAGAGCTAAATCCAAATCCGCCAACTGCACCGCCGGTTAAAGCCAACGCTTTGTCAGGACGACACGTTGCCATCAGCAATAACAACTCCAACAGCAGTATGGCGGCGGCGGCTTGACGTTTAACGGTTTTAAGAGCATTATAAACAATTTCAAGATTATTACTTTCAGATCTCGAATTTACTTGTTTAAGTCGTTCGTATTGAGCAACAATATTGAGATGAAGTGATTTTGATCTGGAGAAACGGATATTGCATGGTTTTTGCCTATCGCAGGGAGATGAAGCCAGTTTCGGATTCCTTGTCAATAGATTCAATCGGATTACTGATGGTATTGTCATGAGTACCAGTACCACAGCCGAAGACCGACTACAGGAGCACCGCTTGATGAGATATCACTGTGTGTATCTATATCTATTCATTACATACGTTGCATTGCACTGCACTTCGGAATGAGAGACAGTAATGTTGGGACTGTTACAAATTTTCCTATTACGTTTAGGGATTTATAAAACTATCATTAACTATTTTAATTTCATTGGTTGAAATAATAAATTAATTTAATTTTCATCGGTTATTGCAATTTCTTATTTAAATTTAAATTATATTTGATAAAATAAGAAATTTTATTATCTATTATATAAGGTATATTAATATGGTAAGACTTCAATATCTTTAAAGATTTTAATTTTATTGATTGAAAAATATAAAATTTTTAATTTTATATTTAAATCTAAATTCTATTAATTATATTATTATATACTAAATAACACGTTATATTAAAATATGGTAAAAATATAATATCTTTAAAAATTTTAAACTTATTGATTGAAAGAGTCAGGTAATTTGATTTTTATTGGTTATTTTGTATTATATAAGGTACATATTGCATATGGTAAGCATATAATATGCTTACTTATTATTTTTAATAAAGTTTTAATCTAATTAGTTATAATTATTTCCTATAAATAATTTATTATAAAAAAATAAATGTATTTTATTATTATAGTTATAATACATCATTGAATATGCATGATAACCATAATGAAAGTAAGATTCATTTATAGTTTCTTTTCAACATAATGAATAAAAGAAAAAAGTCAAAAATTAATTGTTGAACATATTAATAATAAATCAAATTGCAAAAAAAGGAAAAATAAATATCAAATAACCAAAGAAATAGAGAAATATAAAAATTAAAAGAAATAGAAAATATAAATTGAAGTATGATGATTTGATTTGTTATATACAATTTTATTTGTATAACAGTAAAAAAAAATCTACAGTCATAAAGTAATAAAGTCAGGGGAGAATTTCTTTGAAGTTTAATTTGTTGGATCTTTGAACTTTGATGCCATTTAATTAGATTAAGGTTTTTTTTTTATCCATATATAATATATAAATTTCCAAAATAAAAATCGAAGTAAATAAAAATTTAATCGGATAGAATTCAAGTCCCGTCATGTATTATCCACTACCAACTCAAATTTGTAGGGTATTTAATTTTTAATATTCATCCCATTCCATTTATCAACAGGTCGAGTAAATAATCCATCGAACCGAGTTAAATTGTCATCCTTGATTCTCGCGATATAATCACTCGCCATCACATTGTTCCTTTTCAAAATAACTTTTAAGACACCATAATCCTCCAAATTATAAACCCTGAAAATGTCAGTGGATCTATGTAGAATTTGTATATTCAATAATTTGTATTAAAATACAAATATGTGCGTCGAATCTGCTTGGAGTCATTAATAAGGTTATTAAACACGACTCGGACATTAACCTAACTAAAAAACTAGATGAATGAATCATTGATTTAACCGATAGGTCAATGGTTTTATTGGTGAATCATAAGGATATCAATAATATATATTAATTAAATAATATAATTTAAAATATAATAAAAAATAATTAATAATATAAAAAATCAGTCCGGACTAATCAAGTCTGTATAGATCTCGGTTTAACCATGAGTCAGTTAAAAGTAAAATCGACTCGATTCTCCATACCGACACGTTGGGTCGAGCCGAATTTAATAATTATGCTGGATAGCATTCAAAGGTCTCAAATCGGAATATTTATTGTGCAGCTCTTCCTTGGACAATTCATCTTCTTCCTTATGTGGAGCCCATAATACTAAAATACCCTGCATGAAATTGAAACATAAATTGAATTAAAGTCCAACAAGAAATTAAAACAAGCAATCAAATAGCAAATAAATAGTAAGTTTTCTAGTACTAATTACCCGTATTTTCCTTGTTGGTATGGAGTGAAGCTCTTGCAAGGCAAACTTTAAATCTATACCACCATTTATGGTGGGTAGATCCCGTACTTCATCAACACCCACCAAGATTGTGATCTGAATGTGGAAATCATATGTTTTTAAAACAACACAAATGCAGAGTTAAAACAAATTTTCAGGTGAAATTAATGCTTCTGTAATATTAGTATTTGTAAAGAGTTCATTAAATCGTTGATTTGAAAACGGAAATCCTTACCACCATGTAGTTATCAGTATCACATAAATCGTTTGCCGTTTGGCTAACTCTGCTTTTAATTTTCATATTATTTACATTAGCAAGTGATACTTCATCAGATTTTTTCTTCTTCTTCTTGGGAAATTCCCCATGAATCGCTTTTTAGCACCACTCATACTTCTCACAACATCCACCTGCAAAGGTTCATTGCGTGATTAATAAATATACCTAACAAAATTTAAGGAGAGGTATAACAATTTTACTTACAGAAAAACAACCAGAAAAGCAGCAATCCAAATACTGATCAATCAAAAACAGAAAAGAAGGAAGTTTTATATTTAGGAGATAATAAATAAATGGGTTTACTTCTCAATGCAGAAACCCAACCACTGGAGCTTGATTTATCAATTGTTTCAGCAAGTTGGTTGAGATCTCTTTTTAGCGACTTCACCTTTCCAAACAATCCAACTTAGCTAATAAAAATAAAATAATTAGGGCAATACATATAAATTTATATATATCAAAATAATTAATTAAATCACCTATTAGTCCATACCTGAAGCTTAAGAACAGTAACTTCTCTTCTACAATCTTCCTTGATTGCTTCCAACACCATGTTATTTAACGGTGAGAGCAAAAAACAGGATAACGAAAGGCTTAGGATGGACAATGACATAAGTCCAGATGTTCGGTCTTCCTTTTTCCAATTGCAAGTAGAGCAATAAACACAGCAAACATCACTTGTTAATGACGATGACCCGTCCCCAGCACCGGTTAAAGCCAACGCTTTGTAAGGCCGACAAGTTGCCGTCATCAATATCAACTCGAACAGCAGTATGGCGGTGGCGGCTTGACGTTTAACGGTTTTAAGAGCATTTATAAGCAATTTCCAGAGTATTACTCTCAGGTCTGGAATTGAGTGATTTAGGTCGTCGGTGTTGAGCAACAATGCTGAGACGAAGTGATTTTGAAGTGTGCGAGGATGTGGAGAAACGGATATTGCATGGTTTGGGATTCCATGTCAACGGATTCAATCGTATTATTAATTCTACTGACATGAGTACCAGAGCGGCAGAGACGGACCATAACAGTGTCCGCAATCCGCATAACTATATAAATATAAAAATAGGTTTTTATTAAGTTGTAATGGGCTGTCATAGCAAAAATAGGCCCAAAGCCCATATCTGTTCATTAATATGCAGTGCACCTGGAGAGCAGTTTTATTGATCAAATATTTAACACATTACTAAAATTGCTTTCATCTATTTAAATAATCCTGCCATCCAGTTTTTTCTGACCATTTCTTCGAACATAATGCATTTGTAATCAATAAATTTTAATTGTTTTTTTTCATTGGAGGTCCTCCGCCAAACAAATACTTATTCAGAAATCCAAATTTTGTCAGATTCAATAAACTTGTACAATAATTGGCACACACCATAACAATGTAATACAACAGTATGACATGAATACGCGTGCAATTTCTCCAATTGTATAATGGGGAACAAGATATACCAACCACAATTTCAGGGAGGGATTGGATGAACACACTCTCCTTCATATACAGAAGTATAAAAGCAAAACCAAAACCACCATTAGAACAATTCAATTTTCAGAAATAGAAACTAGTATGATCTTACAAAAGCATGAGGGAACCATCTTGGAAAAGTCGAATTTTTTGCTTTGACAATCAGAGCATATATCCCATAACAGGGGATGTGAACCACAGCCAGGGCAAAATACCTGTAACATACCCAAATTAATCATACACATCTTATCTGTGCAATGACTCTTTAAGGCAAAATAAATTAGCCAAAAATGGGATTCCAGCGTACCACAAGGGAGCCCATGCTATGTCGAGCTCGAGGAATGGGTATGGCCACCTGAGATAGGCACAAATAATGAAGATCATGTCTAATAATGATTCAATTTAAGAGCTGCAAAATGGGAGAAAAAAAAAAGGGTTACCATGTAAAGCCACAGGCGTGAATCACCCATTGGAAAACAACGTAGATACAACTCCACTGTACAAAATAGGCCACCCGGAACCAAGGGAATGGCTGAAAGCAAGAAAAGAGAAGGAACCACTTAAACCGACAAAACTTCAGTATAGAGAAATCTAAACTCATCCTTAATGGTGATACTTACGAGGCTATTCAAAGCAGTGTCCAGCAAAAGACACGCTGCATTCAGAGTGTGCATGCAACCCATCAGCTGTCAAAACACAATTACAAGAAAACCTGTAAGAGTTTCATTGAAAACCTGTAAGAAAATCTGGTAGGGTTCAGATGCTACTTCTCACCACATTGAGTCCAAGATGTGCATTTGATCCAAATGGGACTATAATACACCAAAATACAATATCTGTTAAGATGACAGCACCTGCAGAAGTCTGTTGCAAGATAAAAACAAAAATGATCTAGAAAAGTTAGAAACAAGGAAAGTTGAGAGAAGGGTATTGGGATTAGAATACACAAATTGGTATCTGGATCGACTAACCTGATAAATAGTTTGCATGAAATATCCCCAAAATCCAGCTCTTAATCTGATTGCCTCTTCAGCGTAATGACTCTGCAACTTTATAGACCCCTTAGCCACTATTTCCTTGTAAGTTATAGGGCTGGCAGTTGTACTTTCTTCCACATCTGTTCTAAAAATTTCAGAAGGAATTTGCATGGATGAAATCCAGCATCCATACGCAGATGTGACGGTGGCAATCTAAATGGACAAACATTCGTTTATCATTTCAAAAGCGAAAGGAAACTGAAAAATTATGGGTTTATACTTTATAGTGCTTGGACGTACCGCAAAATATACCATAACTAATGCAAATGTCCATCTGCAAATCAATTATTAAATGAAATCAGAAAATTAGAAAGACCGCATATTATTATTAAATTCTTAAATGATTATTCATAAATAAAATCAGAAAATTATTCAATTGAAAATCACACATTAAACAAAATTCTCAGCAAAGAGGGCCAATTTTTAAAATTTTAAAACGACATTTTGATTAAATGATTATCCATCAATGATTCAACAACAATGGGCTTTAATCCGGTTCCTAATAAACCTCTTGTGGATCCAATCTGCTGGTTAAGGGCTTAAATTTTCTACCCATGCGAATAAAAAATAAACAAAAAAAAAAAAATGTTTCCGGCCGTGTATTATACTAAATGATTTGTAGATGACTAATGTAAATAACAAATGATTATTTTTATTATAGAATTTAACTTTATCTAATTAGAAAGATTTATTTAAAAAAAAAAAAAAAGAAGAAGAAGAAAATATAATGCCACGTCATCACTATAGTCAATGAATATTATTGAACTTAACTAACTAATCAAATCAGTGATAACTAACTCATGAGACAGACTATTAGCTTTGCAACAGAAAGTCCATACTAATGAATCCTCAAGTGTGTGTTATGTTGTTGGGTTACCATCTAAAGAGCGATCTTTTTTTTTTTTTTTTTGGGAAGGGTGTGTTATGTTGTTGGGTTACCATCTAAAGAGCGATTCTTTTTTTTTTTTTTTTTTTTGTGGGAGGCGAGGTACAAAGATTGAATTTTTTTTTTTTTTTTTTGTGGGAAGGCGAGGTACAAGATTGAATAACAGAGACAGCTCAAAGATAAATTCTAATAAACCACTAAAGATAAGCTAAGAATTTGGAACAATCAATTCATTGATCGATGAGATCTGGCTACTGGATAACGGTAAATTGAAAATATTAAGTAAAAAAGGGGAAGAAAAAAAAAAAACTTACTCGGTGTAATACATGAAAATGGTGGCTCCCCATTCCTCAATATCCCACAGTAGAAAGCCGCCCATAACAAGAAAGGAAGTGAAACGAGTAGCCAAAAGCCAAGCAGGGTGAAGCCCTCTCCAGCAACTGGTCCATAACTGGGACGAGCCAACGTGATTCTTGGGCACAGCGTCTGCGAACCCATTAGAGTTGGGTCGAGTCAAAAGGAGGCTCTCATAGACAGTATTAGAGTCGTATTTAGATGAAAGCTCCTTTCTCCATAGAACCCATAAAGAACCAATGAATGCCGCCGCTACAATGCCGAAACAAATGAAATCGTACCAGTAGATGACAAGTGCCATTACCGTGGCGTCTCCTTGGAAAGATTGGATATTTTTCAAGTGAATATTAAGTGAGGCCTCTAATAGGCACCATGAATGAGGAGAATGGCAAGAATTTGATTAGTAGAGGGAGATTTAGATAGTGGTTTTAACTTTTACGAGGACCGGTAGTTTTGACTGTTCGGTTTGGGTTTTTTTTTATAAAGTAAGTTAAAAACCAAAATGGCAAAGTGTAAGGAAAGGAAAGGAAAGGTTGGATTGAGAATGTTGGTTCCACATTTTCATTAATCAATATAGATGATGAAAGTGCCGATGGTTTTTAAAATTTTTTTTTTTCACATAGGAGAAAATCGTTTCTAACTTTCTTAATAATTAAGATAAAAAATTTAAAAATTTTTTATTATATAATAAACAATTTTCAAATTACAGATGGTGATGGACCGGTAGTTTAAAACTACACGTGAATTTGGTACAATGTGGCATGTTGCTTTTGCTTCATCATGGAACTTCTACTCCCTTCTTATGCCTAATTCATTTCCTGGCTTGGTAGCACTGACACGAAGTCGAGACACGTGATATGACATAAAGGCGTATATTATATATAAAATACTGTAATTTTTAAAAGATTAGGACGTGACAAACCCTAGATACGGTATATTAAAACATATACTTTTATATTTATATATTTACATTATGTAAGCCAATATTTACTTATACGAAAGTAATAAACTCTCCAAATAATATGTTAATCTTAGAATATTTTATGAAAAAATAGATAAATAAACAATCATATAAACATATTATTAGCTAAGTCTTAACATTAAATAATAATAATAATAATAATAATAATAATAATAATAATATATGTTATTATATTAGTAATATTAATAAGGGTAAATTATTATTTAGTCCCTCAGGTTTTACATAATTAACCAACTAATCTCAAGTTTTGAGCAAATATTTAGCTAGTCCCTCAGGTTTAACTCCGTCTAATTGAAAGGTCATTTTAACATTATTAACCAACTAATCTTCAAGTTTTGGAGCAAATATTTTAGCTAGTCCCTCAGGTTAAAAACTCCCGTCTATTTGAAAGGTTCCTCCGTCCGAAAAGTTGGGTTTTTTTCCGTTAATTGAAGACTAAAAACTAAAACCACCCCCCCTAGCTGACGTGGGACCATAAGGGGAAAATTAATTATTTAGTACCCCTCAGGTTTTACATAATTATCTAACTAATCCAATTTTGCACAAATTATTCTAACTAGTTCCATCGGGTTTAACTCCATCTAATTGAAATGTCCTTCCCTCCGTCCGAAAAGTTAGTTTTTTTCCGTTTAATTGAAAGACTGTTGAACGCTGTGTTTTTTATGCCCCGCCTTGATCTGATGAGGACACGAGGATAAATGGATTTAAATGCTATTTGGTAAGCGGTGGTTTAATCCAAGGATTTAAATAAATAAAAATAAATTAAAAAAAAAAAAAAGCCTTTTAATCCAAGGATTTAAATAAAATAATAATAAAAAAAAATTCATCTGTTTGCTACAGTGGCCGTGTGCTACAGTATCTGTTTGCTACAGTACCTGTTTGCTACAGTGTTAACCTAGCTCTATAAATTCATCTCTTTCTCACAATTTTCACAACAACACACACAATTTTTCACAACTCCACAAACGGCAAAATCCCAAAAAAAAAATACTGTGATGCCAATATTTGTCTCAAAAAAAAATTCTTATGAATTGATTTGAGAGAAATTGGTGTTAGATATAAATTTTAGGTGATTTAAATCATAAAAAGAAAAAAATCAAAAGATAAAAAAATATATCAATCCTTGGAAAAAAGCTTCTGGAGATCTTGATCCATTTACAATCCTCAATCTGAAATCTGAGGATAAGGCTAATTTCTTTTAACGTTTTTTTTTGTATTTTTTTTTTTACATATTTTTTTGTGTTTTTTTACATATTCTTGTGATTTTAAAAATATTTTAAAGCTTCTTTAAAATTATATTCTGCTTCAATATTTTGGCCATTTTTTTATGTGTCCTTAAATTACATTTGAACAAGAAATAAATGTAAAAATACTTAAAAATGGATTCTTGGGCAAAAATCACATAAATGTTCAATCGATGAACAGTAACTGTTTCAATCCAATATTCTAGAAATAATTCGATGAACAGTAAACTGTTTTGTTCCAATGAACATGTAACTGTTTTTTTTTAAATTTTCCCGCCCAGAATTTAATCGATGAGACCATAACTGTTTTGTTCATCGATGAACAGTGAATGTTCTTTAAATTTTTTCCAAGAAATTGAATACTGTTTCATACACTATTCCATGCACTATTCATTATTTTTCCCAGAAATGATTCGGATTGAATAGTAACTGTTTTTGTTCATTCGTGAACAGTACTATTCATCAATTTTTTCTTCAGAAATTTAATATAAAAAAATATATAAATTTTTGTACAAAAATAAAGTTTAATTTCTTCATAATCTGAGAATGCCCCCAAATATGAACAGATTATAATTTATTGGAGCTTTTAAAATATTAAAATGTGATTATATATATTTTATTTGGTATGAATTTTATTTTTTTAATTTTTGTATGAATTTTTTTATTGGTTTATTGATTTAAAATTTTTGATTCAAATCTGTATATATATTTTTGGATCCCGGTTTGTTTACGCCTTTAACCATAAGGCAAGAGCCGGGTCATTTACATTTATTCCCATTACTAATATTTTGAGTCGGTTTGTCACCTGCCCTTGAACCATCAGGCAAGAGCGGGTTTCCTCTTTTTATTTTATTGGTTTAACTTGCTTTAAAATTTGAATAATTTGCTTTATGTGAATAATTTTAGATTTAATTTGGGACGATTAAAATAATTTTTCCCAAATAGGAACTCCGGTCCGATTTCAATTTTGGGTTTGGGTTTTAAGTAATAAAATAAATTTGGCTTTTTCTAACTAAAATAAATTAGAAATCAGGTTAATAGAGGCCGGTTTTTTTTCGGGCGTCGGCTTTCAACGGGCCGATGTAACCCAATTCCCTTTACCCAGAATCGCATTGGTGCGCACTTGACAAGTCTTTTAAAATATAAATTTGGCCTTAAAATAAAATTGGGTTTTAATAATGGAGTCATTTTTTTTATAAAAACGGTCCCATTGCCTAAAATAATGGGTTGGCGACTCAAAAATTGTTTTAATAAGAACCGATTTATTCACCGCAATAAAAAAATAAACACATTTTATTCAAAAAACCACAAAAAAGGAAATTATAATAAATTATTGAATAAATTTTGACAATATTACTCTTAATTTAATATTAATCTCTAAGAAAATCATTAAATTGAAATAATAATTATTAATCATACACAAAGGGTAAATATGAAAAAAATATTTATTACTCCTTAAAACCGTAAATATAACAAGTATTTTAGACTAAATTAGACAAATATTTTAGAACAAACTATTTTCTCAAATCTGACAAGTATTATAAAACAAAGACAGTATTAAAAAAAGGATAAAAAAATTAATTTGATGTTCTAATTAAATATTATTAAATTTGAGTGAATCATGAAAGTAAATACATCTTCAAAAAAGTAATTACTTCATTTTTCTTTTTACCCCAAATTATCATCATAGTTTCTTTTTTAGAAAAAAAAGTAATAAACATATTTTCTATTTTATTCATATTTAATATGCAAATTTTATCAAGAAACATTTCTATTATCATTGATAAAATCTAAAAAAAAAAACAAAGTATTCCATCTATTCATAAATACTTTTAATATTTTTATGGTAATTAAGTAAGTAAATTTATTCTTATAAATTATAACAAAATATTAATTAATTTTATTACGTAACCTTAAGTATTTACGTAACCTTAAAGTAAGAGAGGAGAATGTTATATTGGATTTTGGAAATTATAAAAATTTTATTAAATTTAAATATAAATAAGGATAAAATTATAAAAAAAAAAATTAATTATCAATTAATATTCTAAAAAAAAAGATATTTGCGTAGAAAACACCGGCTCTAAAATAATAGTTAGTTATAGATAAAAAAAGTTATTATTATTGCCACCTATATTATTATAATTTCATAACTTTGAATATGAATATTAATATTTAATGCAAGGTTATCTGCGCAAAAGATAAACTAGGTATATCATTATAGCATGGAAGGAACAAAAGGGAAACAAACTAGGTATATCATTATCGCTTCATATTGGTCCACGTCAGCTAGGGAGAGGTGTTATAGTCTTTTAGTCTTCAATTAACGGAAAAAAACTAACTTTTCGGACGGAAGGACCTTTCAATTAGACACCTTTCAATTAGAACGGAGTTAAACCTGAGGGAACTAGTTTAGATATTTGTGCAAAAAAACTTTGGGATTTAGTTAGATAATTAAAATGGTAAAACCTGAGGGACTAGATAATACATTTTACCTTAATGGTCCAACGTCATTTGGACGGGGTATTTTAAGTCTTTTAGGTCTTCAAATTAACGGAAAAAAATCAAATTTTAGTCTTTTAGTCTTCAATTAACGGAAAAAAATCAACTTTTCGGACGGAATGACCTTTTAATTAGACGGAGTTAAACCTGAGGGACTAGCTAGACATTTGCTCAAAACTTGGGATTAGTTAGTTAATTATATAAAACCTGAGGGACTAAATAATAATTTACCCTATTAATAATATAGATAAAAAACTATTAACATTTATTATTTAAAATAATATTAATAATATTTAAATTTTGGATTTTATACTAATTTGCCTCTATTATTGGTAGGATATTAAGGAAAAACACGTGTTTCTCTTTTATTTTGTACTACGCTTTTTTTTTTTTTTCCGTGAAAATAGCGACATCTAAACAAGCATGTTTCGCAATTCCAAAACATTTTGAATTCCCCAATTTAGCTATAAGCTAATTAACGGTTAGAAATTTCTCCTTTTAATAGGCAGTCTTAGCGCCTTTTAATTATTTTTTTTTCACAATTAATAATAGCGGTCACACGTATTTCCCCGGATCCATCTCCTTATTAATATATTCATGATTAGATAATTGGAATATATTTTTAAGTTTGCATAGTTGAAATATAAGTTTGCATGTTGAAATATATATATAATATATATATAGTATATATATATTTTTCTGGATTTTTGTTTTGGACTTTTTAATATCATGAAAACTTATTAAACATGATTCCCAATCAATCTTTTAATTTTTCCACATTTATAATTAACAAAATATTTGATCATTATTTACTAATATTTAAAATAAAATTAGATGGCTTTCCACCTTTTATCTCACCTCTCTACTTGCAGGATTATTTTTAAAAAAGAATGGAACTTAAAGAAAACAAAAAAAAAAAAAAAAAAAAAACAAGTAAAAACAGACTGTTAAGGGCGAAAAAAAAATCATCGAATGTCAAATACACAAATTATTATCTCATATTATTTTTATTCTTTATTTTTTTTTTGAAAAAATTTCAATATTTAAGCATATTATCAAAAGCATTTTTTCATATTCCCTATAAAATGATACAGAAACAGTATTTTCTTTAAATTTTTATGAAAAAAAAAAAAAAAAAAAAAAAACAAGTAAAAACAGACTGTTAAGGGCAAAAAAAATCTCGATGTCAATACACAAATTATTATACTCTATTATTTTTATTTTTATTTTTTTGAAAAATTTCAGTATTTAACATATTATCAAGCATTTTTCATATTCTATAAAATGATAAAAGAAACAGTATTTTTCTTAATTTTATTGACAAATCTTTGCTTTTAATTATCTTGGAAAAAGATATCTGAATTTTTTATGGGTAACATTTTAAAAATTAAAAAAGGGGCTGAATAAAATTAAGAGAAAGCAAAATCAAAGATTGAAGGATATATATATATATATATATAAATGAGTGGAATTAATACATAAATATTAAAGTAGAAAAGAATAGCATATTGCAAGGAAAATGCACATGGCAATTCCTTATAACAAGGTTTGACCCAAAACATATCATAAAATTCAATTGTACGAGTATACTACTAATAACCTTAATCTAGATGGTTGAAAATCCATGATGAACCACCGTGAATCCACCGTCAACGGCCAAATTATGTCCACTGATATAGGCCGATTCATCAGAAGCCAAAAACAAAGCAGCATCTGCTATATGTTTAGCCTTCAATATAACCCCTTTCAAATTGGCCAACGCACTAGTATTAGCTTCAACTTCGCTAGGTTTCAAATTGTACGCCGTACAAGAAAGCGGAGTAGCAACGCCGAACGGCGATATACAATTTACTCTGATCCCATAAGCACCTAACTCACCACAGGCCGTTTTAACCAAACCCACCAGAGCATGCTTCGAAATTACGTAGGCATGTGGTCCGGCGCCACCAAGAGAAGATGCAACGCTGGCTGTACATATAATAGATCCACGAATCTTTTTAGCCACCATGGCACGAGCGGCGTGTTTGATTGTGGCGGCGACGCCACGTACGTTGGTGGCCATTGTGTTGTCAAAACCATTAATGTCGAGTTCTAAAATTCCTGCTAATGGGCCTATAATTCCTGCATTGCTAAATAAAATATCAATCTTTCCATATTTCTCCAAAGTGTAGTTTACTGTTTCTTCTACTTGCTTTTCGTCTCTAACATCGCAGTGGCGATATGTAGCTTTGTCTTGGCCTAATGATTCTACAACTTGTTGCCCTAGTTTATCTTGGACATCAGCGGCGACGACAAAGGCTCCGTGCTCGGCGAATAATCTCACTGTCTCCTCGCCAATGCCGCTAGCTGCACCGGTTATCAGTGCAACCTTACCCTCCAACCTAATTGAAATCGGATCTGAGTTAGTACGAGAGAAAATTAAGAAAAGAAATTAAGATAAAAATCTTACCTCGGCTTTGTCGACATTGATGATAAAATTGGTTAATTTGTTATTGCAGACAGACAGAGTTGCTCAAATAAAGGCCTTGGATCTGTTGTTTTATACTGTAGTACTATGTTTTTAGCTTTTTGCTAGGCTGCATTGCTCGAGAAAATGGTGTGTATATTATAATGCTTGGCTAATCATATGGATTATTAATTTTTTATTTTTTTATTTTTTATACATAGATATAGATTAATATTTTATTTTTAAATTTCTTAATTTGGACGTCATGTAGATATATGCATTAAAGATCTCTGATTCTAGAATTGGAGGAATATTACTCCGCATAATTAAATGAGTGACTGCTATTAGAAAATTTAATATTTTTTAATTATTTTATTGAAAAATTTACAATTTTGGCAGGAAACATAGTCACGTGGTCATGGCATATCTTATTTATCTTTAACAATAAAAGAAACTTCCACATTTTTTAAACTTTGAAGTTACAAACCAAAATGTAATGACTAATGAGATCAAATTCTTCAACATTAAAGAATATAGTAAAAAGGTTGGGAAAGAGAAAAAAGAGGTCATAAACCCTTTTTATCGGAATCAATCCGAAACTAACCAAATTTGAGTCTCAATTAACTTAAATCACGTATTTAACGGTTGCTAAATTTTGACATCTAGCATGGGACGCAAAGGTGATAGTTTGGCCACGTTATTGACTCCATAATTATATATAAACCTCTGGATTTAGGGTCTATTGAAGGAAATTACACAAAGTATAATAGATAAATAAATAAGGGAGACTGCAACGGTACAAATTTATGATTCCTGATAAACTAAAAATTATTATATAATTATGCTACCTTCCTTCAAAAAGAAAATAATAATATTAATTAATTAATTAATTAATTATGCTAGCCTAAGTAGCCTTGGACCAAAAAGAAAAAGCACCTAACAAATCCTGTTAATGCTTGGCAGCAATATCTCATGGAAATTCAGATGCTTATAAAACAAATTAAGTATTGAAATTCAGATCTAACAATTTATCACGAAAACATAAATAAATAAATAAAAAATCAGAGTAGAACTGAGGAGATCGCTTTATTGGATGCCAAACATACAAAAATGAATTTGGGTCTAGAAAAAGAATCACAAATCAAAGATCAGCCTTCAATTTCTGGAATCCTCCCATTAGGTTCCTTCTAATCATGTTCAATGGTTGGAAATGTGATTTCTACACCTTCCAGATGGAAAATGATCATTGCAGTATCTTTTGCGTTAAAGTTCATCAAAATTTGTCATAAAAAAGAGAGAGAGAGACAGAGAAGAGTTTTTCTACCAAGTCCAGTCCAGTCCAGTCCAATCCAATCCAGATCCAACTACTGTTGGACAGTTGGAATCCAGTCACTTAGGATATAGCCCAATTGAACACTGATAAAATATTGCCAAAAAACGTCGTCGTTCTTTCAATTTTCTTATTATTTTTCGCGTGTTCAAACGACAGAATCATTACGTATCGTCGTTCGGCCACTTCCTACCAGACGCAACTTTTGCCCGCGAGAAATGCTCAAATCGAATAAAATCATTGGTCTGTCGAAAACTTGTTGTAACAGTCAGGTAAGTGTGAAGAACGGGACAAAAATAGCAGAGAAGAGGCGGAGAAGTATGATATGAGACACTTGGGCTTGTGGATCTGGTGGTCATTGGTGACCACCAATCGTCATCTCCCCTTCTCTCTGCTTAACAATTGGAGTTTTTTAATTGAACATGTCTGCAACGGCCATTGCGTTCGTTTCAACCCCAACTTCTCTCAATTCAACGCACTTGTCCACTAAATACACTAATAAAATCCTATTCACTTCCATATCCACACCCACCTGTAATAACTCTAAAACCACATTTTCTATACACTATGGATCGGTTAATCGAAGCTCCAAGCTTACTGGATTCAAGTCGTTTTCTTCTCCTGTTATGGAGTGGCAGGATTGCACGTAATCAAATATTCATCCTATTTTAGCTTCTTCTTCTTCTTTCACTTACTGAAATTAGTCAAAATGCAGGGTTAAAATGGAAATCGATGTGCCTGTTTCGGTTGCTTACAAGTGTTACTCTGACCGCGAATCAATTCCACGTTGGATGCCCTTTATTTCATCTGTGAAGGTGTGATTAATTTTCTTTGAATTTGAATTGCATATCGTCTTGTTATGGCTACCTATTTGATTTCTGTTGCAATATTTGGATTCTAATTAGTCGATTTTACTTCTCTTTATTTCTCATCCTGAAAAGAGAAGAATTTGATTATTATTCCATTTGTTTTTAAGCTGATCGCAGCTTCAAATATGTACATTTAGGAGAAGTTGATGTTTGATTCTATTTATTAGATACTGGAAGACAAACCGGACCTCTCAAGATGGTCGCTCAAGTATAAAGCATTTGGTCGTGATATTGAATTCTCATGGCTTGCTAGAAATATGCAGGTAGGTACTAATCCCTTTCTTTTTCATTCTCTTGTCACTGCAAAGATCAGAATTTTATATATTTTACTTTGTTTCCATCCTTTTTAATTCCGTGACTACCTTCTCGCAGCCAACTCCAAATCAGAAAATTCACTGGAGATCTCTGGAAGGTCTTCCTAACAGGTAACCGGAAAAAGCACGTGCATGATTGGCAACTCTGGTATTAAGAAAAGGATAATACATTTTTTCTTTAACACAGTACTCTTGGTCATTATTTCATCAAATTTTGTTTAGCTCCTGTTTTGCCACGCTTTAGAAATCAAAACTCTTGCAACAAACAAATCTCTGACTATCATGTTTGGTTATGCATCTTCATGAAGTTAGACACTAGGTTCCTAAGGGGCATTTATTGACAGCCAAAGAATCATTTATCAGTTTTATCTTTGAGAAGATAATCTTAACACGTTTGGCATATCAAATAAGAGAATGCATATATCTAATTTGTTTGAAGTTGATTGATAATTGGATATATATAATCAAATTGGCATCCCCTCTTGCCCCAATTAAGTACAGATTCTTTTGCTCTGCCTTTTTTTCTCCCAACATTTTCCAATTTTGCTGATGTTTCTCCATGAATGTGCATAATTGTTTGTAACCGGTTTCTCTATCAGTAATGGCAATTGATCAAAATACTCAAGGTGGGTTTTCCATGGAAATAAAGTACGAACCTTCTGTTACTCAATTAAGCTTGCACACTGTCAAATTGCTTGTCAATAGTATTACCATTTTCAATAGAATCTGTTATAATTGTCCGTATCTTTATTCTATGGATTCTCACAAATAAGTACTGTTACATTGGTTTACATGATTATTTGAGTATTTGTAACTATGTAGTATCACCTAATATCTTATGGTCCAATAACAAGAATTTTTAATCAACTGTTTCTTACATGCAGAGGTGCTGTTCGATTCTTTCCTAAAGGTCCCGGATCATGTATAGTAGAAGTGAGATTTCCATGTGCAGTATTTAATTCTGATTGTTCTCTTGTTATTTTGATGCATTTATCATATTGACTCCAATTCCACGCTTAAAAGATGTACTGTATATTAGACATTTCTCTTCCCCTTTAGGACTGGCCAAAACACTATTTTATTGTATTAAATCAATTCATTCAAAATCCAAAGAGAGAACGAATGAAATTACAAAACGGAAAGTGATTTACTTGTTGCTTCCTTTCTTGTTCTTTTCCTTTCGAAGTCGCTTTGTTGCTTTAATTGGTTCAAGCTTAACTCAGGCCCTCATTGTCGTGTTTTTACTTTTCAGCTAACGATTTCATACGAAGTTCCTCAACTTTTGGTTCCTGTTGCATCAGTAAGCATTCCTACTTTGATCCAGATATCATTTTATTATGTTCAATATGTTTGTCATAGTTTCTTGAGATGGAATGAAGCAATCAACCATTCATTATAAATTTTTCTCAGGCACTGCAGCCTTTCCTTGAGAGCTTACTCATACGTGGTTTGGAAAGATTTGCAACATTTGCAAAAAGTAATTATGCAAGCTGAACCCTATGCTCTCAACTAGGTAACAAAATTTTAGATATTCAAGAATTGTCTTCAGTTATTTTAATGTGGAAATTTTTGCAATGAAATTGAGAAAAGGAGCAGTTCCTCTACTTGATTTATTAGCAATTGTACCGAAATTTTTTACTTTGAATCATAGATAATTTCTTAAATTTATGGACAGAATATTACTTTCATGGATTAATTGTCTATTGATTGGTGAGCCTCCAAGAAACTACAATAGTTACTCTCACTCTGCTTTCTTTGCTTCTCGATCCCCTCTTTTCTGTGTAGCTGAAGTGCTAATGTACTGTCCTTTCGTGTGTAAGGATCAGGCGATGAATTTAATTATCAGGCTTCTACAAATGGGATTTTCGTAAGAAGGTGTAAGGAAGCTATGTGTATGAATCATGAACTGTAATAAGTGTCATTAAAATAACACCAAGTGGCTTCGGAATATTCTGCCTCCTAAACCGCATATCTTCTTTGGTAGTATTGTTCCAATTTTCCACCATAACCCAGCTGATTTGCAGTAAATACAGATTACGATTCAACGATAGTAAGCTACCAAACCAAATTGAGATTAAAAAAAAAAAAAAAAAAAAAAATAGCCGAAACCAAATTGAGATTATAAAAAAAAAAAAAAAAAAAAGAAAACATCGTCCGTCGGCAGACAATTGTGCGTATGGCTGCAATAGATTTTAGGTTTCCATAACCTATTTTTAACTGATTCAATAGAATAGTCCAATAGTCCAGGGTGGCCACACCACTGGCTGACGGGGCGGCTAATTGGTTCAGTCGCGTGATATTTTGGTGACCGCGAGGGCAATAGGTTCGTTTTACCACGAAAAAAAAAAAAAAAAAAAAAAAAACACGTCCGTCGGCAGACAATTGTGCGTATGGTGCAATAGATTTTTAGGTTTCATAACCTATTTTTAACTGATGTCATAAATAGTCAATAGTCAGCACAACTCTGACGCGCTAATTTTATGTATTTGGTGACGGAGGGCAATAGTTCGTTACAGCCAACAGAAACGAAACTTTCTCTCGAGAAACAGGGAAAAAGTTCTGCGCAACTTGAAATGTAGAAGAAAAACGGAAGTTCAATAATGACAAAGGGAAGAAAAATATATGGAAATAAAAATGAAGATAACTTATTCAAAATGTATATATAGGCGCAGTACACAATTGAAAGTGAAATACATCAAATGGGGCAACCACAATGGGCTCACTGTTAGAGCAATCAAATCCCAATAAACACATTATAATACATGTAAATCTCAGTACCAACACCACCACCCGCCAGCCTCTTATGTACATCTGTCCAACTGACCACGTGCCGTTTGAAAAATCAGCACCTAACAAAAATGCAAGCTGCTTTTTCTAAGTTCAAACTGAAGCAGCCTGAAACAGTTTATTCCCCTCAAAAAGAGAATTTATTTTTAAATCATGCTATATATACATTCAACGGTTGGAATTGCCATCCAGCAAGTTCCTCAAGCTACACAAGGCCTCTGCAGAGAGGCTACAACACCTCTGTCTCCGTTGCCTAGAAGGTGATGGTTCCCCTTGATCAAGGGAGGAGAAACAAACAATAATCACAGTGAGATTGTCAAATGTGTTGCGACGCAAGGCCTCCATTACAAGGTCTCGAGCACATTGTTCTGGGTCATCATGCCGACGCAGCCCACGACGGACAAGGCTGACAGCATGCTGACTTGACATAACATCCCAAATCCCATCACAACCAATTATAAGAAATTCATCATCCTCTGTTAGAACCACCTGCCGGAACTCTGGTTCTGCAATGAGTGGCGAAGGGGCACCGCGAGGGTTTTTCATGTCCCAGTCCCCAAGAGCTCGCGAAACTGATAAAACACCATTGAGATATCCATCATCAATGTAACCACCCAATTCTTCAACACGCTTTCGTTCGGATGGATAAACAGGCCTATGGTCTTGAGACATATCTATTGCCTCTCCTTTGCGGCAGAGAACTGCTCTGCAGTCACCAGCATTGGCCACCAATAATAGCCTGGAACAAGCGAACAAGGTCAGGACACTAGAGATTTACATAATAATTGCTCAAGCAATAACATCAGAAGCACCCCGAAAATAAAAAGGCAGAAGTAACGAAGGTTCATGCAGAATTAACATTGAATTTCATGCATTTACCAATCAGGGTAATGCATTGATTCAACAACAGTCAGCAAGCCATCCGCCCCATTAATAGTAACATGCATTGTGGAATTTGTCCATTGCATACATCATAAGCACACAAGACATAGACATTTGCTGGTCCAGATGAAGCTAAAGATGAGTGTTGTACACAAGACACCAAGTCCAGCACTGCTTTCTAATAGACCATGCAGGATTGAGAATCATGTATGATAGACTATATCTTATTAAAGCAAATACTTGTTGGAAATAAGTCAAAGCGAATAGTGCAACATTGGTTCCAGTGTTCAACGTTATAGATATAAATCTAGACAAAACAGAGGTTTCGTCAAGATTAAGGTATTTATAGAATCAGTGTAAACATACCTTCCAAATATAAAAGCAGTAAGAGCAGTAGTCCCAGAAGAACTACTCACGCTGTGGTCATCTCCCAAAGCTAGGTCAGCTAGAACAAATGCTTTGCGAAGGGAGTTCTCAACCTCTGCCAAGAATATATTATCAACTTCATATGTTTGGGGAAAATTAACATCTTCAAAGAAGAGTCTGGTTGCATTATTCCTTATATAAGCTGCCGCTTCGGGTCCTCCATGACCATCAAAAACCTGCAAACATATTCAAAAGCTCAATCACTATATAGCAAAAGAAAAATTATGTTTTCCGATGGTAATAAATTACAAGGATGAAAGACAAATTACCCCATAGAAAGCACTTGGCTTGGGAAACTTGAAAAGGGAGCCCAGATGTGCAGGCAGATCATCTATCCTTATGTGCTCGTCTTCCATATATCTCCTAGGCCCAATGTCGGCAAAGCTGCCAGAACGAATGCTGGGAACAAATTGCAAGGTTGGAGGCTCAAGAGACACATCCTACAAAAAGGCATGGAGGGTTTTAAGTTTAATATTTGTGTCTCACAAATGATAAATCAACAATTGGGTTCTACCTAGGAGCTAAGCAAACATTACTATTTTGTTTAAATTTTTTATTCACGTATCATAATCAAACTCTGGCGTATAACATCATTCTTGGAATAAGATATCATGCATCATTATGTTCATTTATAATTATTGCTCTACCAATAATGAAGCTTGACTTTTACTCGGACAGAACTAATATTCCAAAATCATAGCTCACGCAAACAACAGATATCAACTATAACACAAACAAGACATAGATCACTATTCAGAAACGTACTAAAAATTTCTTCCAACAGAAGAACGTTTAGTGCGGCCATAGCATGGGACAGTCGGGCAGAGAATTGTAATGATACAATTTTTCTTTGAAGTGCACCGGAGTAAAGGCGCTAAGCTGACTTAGACAATAATAAACAGCCATGATATCCAGTCGATCAATGATACAAATGAAAACCCAAAAAAAAAAAAAAAAAAAAAAAAGGCGCTAAGCTGACTTAGCACCAATAATTAAACAGCCATGATATCCAGTCGATCAATGATACAAAATGAAAACCCAAAAAAAAAAAAAAAAAAAAGCAAAACCCAAAAAAAAAAAAAAAAAAAAGCTTCAAAATTCAGCTTCCTATGGAGCTCCCAAAGAACGAAATCAAACAAGCTCTAAATTTCAAATAGATAATCTAAATCCATAAGACTAACTAAGTTCACACGCAAACCCTAGCAAGGAAACAGGATAAACAACGATAAAGATTCAAGACAATCAACCAAAAAATGGGGAACAGAAGCTCACCACAACTTGAGAGGTAGATAAATCGGCAGGCACCAACTCCGAAACTCGTACTTGATTTAACCTTTTCGGCGAGACGGTAACAACATCTTCTATCTCATGAACACTGCTTTCATTAGCAAAGAATTGAACATCTACATGGACGCTCCGTTGACACACAACCTCTGCTTCAGCCACCATATTTCATTTACTATAGAAAAACTTTCTCCGATTAGATTCAAAGCCCGAAACTCTACACTACTTCAGATATTTTGTTTTGTTTGGTTGGGTTCTCTTCCTTTTTCTCGCGTTTTCTTTCTGAATTTTCTCGCACTTCCCCTCGGCTTTGATTTTTATTTTTATTTTTTCAGTTGAAGCGATCAAATTTTGTGGCAGGTGGGCTTCAACTTTTATTTATAGGAGCCAGAAGGGCAACCGGTGGCTACCGGTCCGTGTACGCATGTGGGCATACGATTTGAGCCGCTAGTGATCTCGCACGCAACCGCATAAGCTTCGCTTGACGGACACGTGACAGTTTTTAGGTCGACGCGTGACCTTTGAGTCTTCTCGAGGGATGCTTCGTGTAGAATGACCGAACCCTCCTTCTTGTGCCTCCCGCGGATGAGTTGTCACGTTGACCTGTGCAGGTATTTTTTTAGGATACGACTAGGATTATGGGATTTCGTAGGGATAATTTTGGAAATAAGATTTGCCACTTTAAATTTTGTTTCTCATTTTCTTTTTGTTCCCATTGGCTGCCTTGGTTTGTATACGTTAGTAGTTTTTTTTTTTTTTTTTTTACTTATAATGTGATTATGGGTAATTTGTGGGATGGATATTTTAATTATAAGAATTTGCCACTTTAAAGGTTTGTGTCATTCTTCATTCTTTCTTTAATTGTTTTCCCATATGGGCTGCCTTGTGAATTTGGTATAACGTTTAGGGTAGTTTTTTTTTTTTATTTTTTTTTATAGGTAAAATTGTACGTTAGTTGATTTTGATGGGTCTAAGGGAGCTTATTTGGTTGATTTTTTTTTTTTTTTTTTTTAGGAAATTGTACGTTAGTGATTTATGGTCTAAGGAGCTATTTGGTGAGATTCCAAAAATTGGGAGTCCGTCCTAATTTAGAATTACAATAAAATATATCTAAAATTATATAGAATTTGAAATATTTAATTATTAGCAGATTGCTTAAGTGTTAGATTGAATTTATGGAATGTGAAATCTCTTAATTTTAGAGAAATAATAGAATATAAAATTTGCGAATCAAGAGCAAAATTGTATTTTTCGCGTTTTGTAGAAAATGAAAAATATGAGAATTTCGAGTTTGTCATTTTATTATAAAAATCATCATAAATTGATTAATGTTATTAAAAGAAAAAGACATATGGTCGTTATACAGCCGACAATATTTTCGTCTATTGATTTCCTTTAAATTAAAAAAACGAATAAATTTTTTTCTTCTCAATCAAATAAAAAAATCTAATAAATTTATAGAACTTTAAATTTCTACACTTAAATTCCATCAATCTAAATGATATTGATTTAAGGTATTCTAATACTATTGATTTTACTTTTTTTTTTTTAAAAAAAAAAGGGATACTATTGATTTTACTTGACTCCATAATGAAAATTTATTGCAATTTTCACCATTTCAATCATATGGTGCAATTAATCGCTAATTTTCATTTTAGCATACATTTATCAAAAGTTAAAAAAAACATAATGTAATTGCAACAAATGATAAACTATTTCTTTTTTTAATTTTTACCGCATTCTGAATTAATTAATCAAATCGATTCTAAATTTACTGTCATTAATTTTAAACGGAAGTTTAAATGTGAACCCAAGAATGGAAGTTAAATAGTTTGAAAATTCAAAATCTGAAAGCCTCTTGTTTGTAATTCAAATATTTTCGTTGACCAATCAATTAATGTAACGGGTTGACTGAAATATATAAAAAATGCTGTTAGATTAATTGTTCTCTACAAGAAATCCATGGATTAATTAGGTTCATCGCAATTAACATTTTTTAAATTCAAAATTACTTTTATATGTTGCTATCAATTTTTAACTATGTTTTATCCTAATATGATGCGTCATGAAAGTTGTAAAAAAAAAAGAAAAAAATTTTAAATTATCCAGAGTTGACCTGCATTTACGCATGCTCATCAATCTGATGGTGGTATCGCATACTCCTAATTATGTTGGGCGTGGGCTGAGCAGGCAGCTGACAATCTAATTAGAGTTCCAATAATTTGCATCAATCAGCATGGAATCTGTCTGTCCCTCCATAAAAGATCCATCGCTCCATTATTAGTTACTGAAAAAAATAAATAAATGTTTTTATCTGCTATCTACTGTTCAAAATATTAAGCAGTTTTGAATTCTGTAAAAATAAAAACATAAATTTAATATTGAGAAACACGTTTTAATAGAATAAAAAATTATTATATTTTACGTCTCATATTATGATTCCACCAAAGAAAATTAAAAATGTTTTCTACTAAAAGAATGATATTAAAACTTTAATTATCAACTTTTAACTATGATTAGTAATTGCTAAGATATTATATTTAAATGGAAACATTAATAGTTAAAATATTTTTAATATTTCAATTATGATTAATAATTGCTGAAAAAAAACGTATTGGAAATGTTAGATTGAATCTAAATAATAGAAGAATGATGTTGGCACACTTGGCACAAGTGGGTTTGGTGGTCCAAGTAGCCAACCCACTAATAGCTGAAAAAAGCTCTCAGGCTCCCCTTATTGGTATTCTAAATTGACCTCTGGCTTCAAACAAGCCTTTGTTTTTTCATTATTTAAAATCAAATATGGACAAAAATATCTACATCAAACAAAAGGCGAGGGAGCCTCTTTGCAAGGCGAAGATTAACAGACAGATTGAGAAACTTCGGATCATCACTAGTCAAGTATAATACAAATCTTGGTGCAGAAACCCCACCACATGCATAATGCAGTTGCTAGTTTTTCCATCCTCACCTCCCATCCATACATCAAGTCAACTAATAAATATTTTTTTTTATCTTTTATTTTTCTATTATCGATGAAAAATCCTCTCATTTAAATTAAAATTTCATTTTTTGATAACTTAGAGAATAAATGATCTCGTAGGTAAATTATTTCCTGAATCGATTAGGTTATATGAGGGAATGGTTGGTAGACATTCATGTTGCAGCCCAAACATCTACCTAAACCGACCAATTAATAATTTGTGCCTACCAAGTGCTTGTGAATATGTGTGTGTGAATGAGAGACCAAACAGACAATTATTGGGACATGTCCTGAGGTAAGAATGTCAATGTACAGTATGGTTTTAAAAAAGGCAATGCATATAAGATAAGATTCAAGTTAGGTAAGATTAAAAAATGAAACAAATTAAATAATACTTTTGACTTTTATTTTAGAAAGAAAGCAATGCTTTTATCTGATTCAATGGCAATGCGAAACATGTTGTTTGTCAATTGTTTGTTTACAAATTTTGTAGTTCCAGTGGTTTGGTCGGTATCTCAACGATGCTTCTAGACAAATTAGAAAAGATGGAACAAACGTGTGAACTTGTTTTGTCACACATGTCGCAACCATCAAACCCTGTCTTTTTACGTATATGCTACGGGTTGTCGTCTCAGAGTCACTCCTCTTTCTTCTTCTTTTTATTTTTTTGTTTTTCATTTCGTGTTTTATAGGTTCAGATCAGATGCAAACAGTACAAGTGTACTTGTCAAGAGTTCATAGGAAGCTTCTCGTTCTTGATAGAAAGATCCGCTCTTGCCGTCACGTGTTGTTGTTCTTAGAGTTGGGCTTGGATAAACAGGCCTTAGGCCATTTTTGCAATTTGGATTATTCCATTGAGAAATCTGACCCACAGATAAGCCTATCTGAAAATAATTGAGGCCTCTCACCTTTTCAATCCAAGCCCTATTTTGAAAGAAATAATAATAAAAAAAAAAGCTGTCTAATGGTATTTGATCAGTTAGTGTTATATATGGATACACTATCTTTCTGACACCCTTAGCAAGAAAATCAAGCAAGAGTAGAGGGTGGAGATTGATGTCAAGCTTATGAAAGGGAGTCAAAACACTCGTTTTCAAGTATTTAAAAGAATTCCATATACATCGTTCAAATTAGAGATCTCTAATTAAAAAACAAAGATCTTTATCATCTTCCACAAAAAAAAAAAAAAAAAAAAAAAAAATTGGCCTCCCTCACCTTGGTTAATCATATATCCAAAGCCCTATTTTTGAAAGGAATATATAGTAAAAAAAAAGCTGTCTACTGGTATTTATTTGATCAGTTAGTGTTTTATATATGGATACACTATCTTTATAGACACTCTTTTACTTTATTTGTACAAAGAATTATCAAGCAAGAGATAGATAGTGTGTGGTAAGAACTTTTGTAAGTCAAGCTTTAAATGAAAGGGAGTCAAAACCACTCGGTTTTTCTCTAAAAAGTATTAAAAAAGAGAATTCCATATACAATCGGTTCAATATTACGAATAGATCATTCTAATTAAAAATAACAAGATTCTTTATACATTTCCCAACAAAAAAAAAAAAAAGAAAAAAAAAGAAAAATTCCTATCTCACCCATTTAAAGTATATGATTACTTTTTTATTGTAATGATATAATAATATAGTTCAGTAATATTATATATTTGGTTGAAACCTAATGTTGTACGTCAGGGTAGGAATGAATCCATTTTATCACTTTATATGTATATTCATAAAAAAAAAAAAAAAAAAAAAAAGAAAAATTCTATCTCACCCTTTAAGTATATGATTACTTTTTATTTTTAATGAAAAATATAGTGATAAAAAAATAATAATTGGGTAATTGTTAGTATAATTTTATCACTTTATTTTATCAAGCGATATAAGCTACTTTAAGGGAGGCATGAGGCATGGGCGCGTGGTGTTAGAATTATTGAATCAATAAATGAGAAAGTTACCTCCTTTATTTGCAGATTAGGGACTCGGGTACTAGTGTGTTGATGTGTTCACCATTAGCGTGGGAGGTTTACCGTTGGGCTAAGAGCTCACTGGAGTGATGATATTCATAAATTTTTAAAAATAATTTAGCTTGATTTTTTTTATTATTGTTTAATTTTTATTTTTCGTCAAATATGGAAAATCAATTTTATAATTATTCAAAATAAAAATACACTCTATAATTTAATTCTCATAAAATGTAATTACATTCAAAATTGAAAATTAAATAAATGATTCAATATGAGCAGTTTTTCGACAATTTTGATTACATATATAAAACTAAATATGATAAAATAATTTAAAATAATTATTTAATTTTGAATTCTTAATCAAATTAATTTTGATTAACTTTCAAATTCACATATATTAAAAAAAATGAAAACCAAAAACTAATATCAAATTAAAGCTTTTTTGAGATAAAAAAAACGCATAAATACCAGTACCATATTAAAATTTTAACTAGACCGTAAATTTTTTTTTTTAACTTTAAACTGATATATTTTTAAATTCGATATTCGATTTGAAATTTATCTTTGATCAACATAAAAATTCAATAAATCAATGCCCCAAGTTAGGATTGTAAATGAACAAATTTAAGATCTAGTAATTTTCTGCTCAAGTAGTTTAAAAATAATCAAACTTGAGCTCGATTCGATAGCTATAAACGGTGGAGCTCGTACTTGAATTCGAAATCTATTAAACTAAAATAACATTGTTTTAACATATATTTAATTCTTTTGACTTACTGAGATATCACATGATTCGACTATCTTAAGCCATAAAAAATTTACATGTTCATAAATCATGATAAATGAATAAAAATGGAATCAAATGAATTGGGCGGAGATGGTCGTATTGTGTGGGTGTTGACAAAGTGGAAATTGCCATCCTTTTTGAAGAGATTTATTCAAAGTTTTGGGTCCATTATTTATAAATGGGCCTTCTAAGTTTCAACAAATAATGTAACTAACCATCATTAATGTCCTCAACGATTGGCACCCATCTTCTTCTTCCTTTTTTGACCTTTTCATACTTATCTTGTTTTACTCTTCCAAAGATAGACCAAAACCATCAATTAAAACTTTTACTTTATAAATAAATAAATCAAACCTCAATTTTTATTTTAATCAATTAAAAATTATATCCATAAAAATTTTAACTCATGGATTATATTCATTTAACACTTTAACTCATAAATTTATATATTTATAATTTAAAAAGGTAAAATTCGTTACTAATAAAATTATTAATAAACTGGTAATAAAATATATAACAGTTATTAGAATAGTAGATTTTCTTATATAATGTCTTAATTAGGACAGACAATAAAACGTCGAATTCAAAAATATCAAATATAAATTCCACACACAAAAAAAAAAAAAGAGAGAAAAATATTAAATATGAATCAGCAAATTCATCTTTATCTAATCCGGCGTACCGTGGACAAATGGTGTGATACATTTTATTAGTTTATCTATGATACGAGGAGGTGACACGTGATATTTGATTTTATTTATTTATTTATTAATTATTACCATATCCCATCCACTTGGACAAACTCCATTTTCCAGCTCTCCAAACAAAAATTACCCAACAAAAATATATATTTTAAAAAAACACTAAAAACTTAATGAATGTACTCATTATTTTACTTATTAGAGGGTTTTTTTTTTTAGAACTACTATAGTTAATTTTTTGAAGCACAAATAAATATTTTGTCATATTTTAATAGCATAACACTAATATTAATATTTTGAAATAAGAAAATGGATTATGAAAAGTTATTCTCTAATGTTTAATTAATAAATATTGAAATAGCTAATAACTATTAAAGTTTTATTCTGTAACATATTTTGAAATAATATTCAATATTTTAATTAGATCTATTATTTATATTTTTTAATGGTATAATATTTATATAGAAAAAGATCCGAAATAGCATGGAGCGGGCATGGTTAGTGACATAATTCAAAATTGTTTAATTTTAATTTAAAAACTCACTTCATATTTTGAATTCAATTTTCATCAAGCGGAAATATTATTATATTAAAAAAATAAATAGAGTGTCTAAAGGGCAAAACAAAAAGCACGCCTTGAAAGACCAATTAAATATCACTGTCAAAGAATCAGTATTTTACAATTTAATAGTCCATTTGACAGTTTGGAACAGCTTCAAAACAAGTAGAAAATGATTGTTCAGTCAAAATAAATAAATCTTTTGTTTAAAAATCATAAACAATTTCAATTTCAATATTAAAAAAAAACAATTTCAATTTCAATTTAATTTTATCCCATTTAATTTAACAATAATAATAATAATAATAATAATAATAATATAAGTATTTAAATTCTAATCACCTGCTTTTATAAGGTTTCCTTTTACGGCTTCATTTTAAAAAAATATTTTTTGTTATATAAATAAAGGTGATTAATCTATTAATTTATTTTCAAATTATTTAAAAATGGCGTGTCCTGACTGACTCCCAAGGTTAATTTATTCAAAGAGACAGGAAAAACTTTGAAAGGGAAAAAGTGGGGCCCATGTGAGGTTGAACGGTCAAAAAGAAGAAAAAAGCGAAATAGATAAAAAAAGAAAAAATAAATGTATATACATAAATGTTTGGGCTATTGTGTTGACTGTGTTTCTTTCTTCCTTCTTCTCAAATCTCAAAACGCCACCACCAAACACAACAAACCCATTTCATTCATTCAAGAAATATTCATAAATCTACTTCTTTGTCCTTCAACTCATACCTTTTCTATTTTAAAGATCTAAAGAACAAAATCACACAACATACAAAATCCTTAAGCTTTTGGACTAAGATCCATTTTGATTCCGGTCATGAATCCGCATCTGCTGCCTCCTCATTTACTCTGTTTGTTTACTTGATCTGTAAGTTTTTATTCGCTGCAAGTTGTTGATCTGCAAAATTTAGATCTTTATTTTATGAATAGCTTTCCATGTCCGTTTTTTTTTTTTATTTGGTAATTTACAATTTTCTGAGTCTTCTGGATATTTATGGAGAGAGATTTTCGCTGGCTTTATTTTTTGGGGTTATTTTAGATTTATATTTCTATTTTTGGGCTTTAGCGGCACTGGTTCGTTTCAGTTTGGGACCTTTTAACCCCCGTTTGACTGCGTACAAAAACCCATCTGAAACGAACTTCACTTTGCCATCTCGTGCCTTGGTGTTTCTTTGGCTAGCTAACAGAGAAACAGAAAACCTAAGCTCAACCGATTAATTCGCTTGGGTTTAAATTTATACTTCGTTGGTAGGTTTTGTTGTCATCTTGGGTCCTTAATAAATGACTGATGCACGTGTCAAAAAGAAATTGTGGGTCTCTTTACTTATGTTTTTCAGTGTTAACAAAATGCCTATAAAAAATGTATGCTTTACTGCTAATAGAGCCAGTTAACCGATCTTCCTTTTACTATTAATTTCTGTTTAAAGATCGTTAATGACTTACCTTTAATAGCTCAGGTACCATCTCTATAGATGCATAAATTTATGGGTCTATCAAGTTTCTAACTTGCTGTTTGAGTAGCACTTTTGTTTATGTCTAATTATTACACAAATTTGAACAGCTGATGATCTGTTTGCACCTGTATTTTGTTATTATAAAGTTATTTACTATTGATATTTTGATTTTCATGGTTTGGGTGTATGTATTTCCGGAGAATTGATGCTGTCTGCATCTGTATGGATGAATGATGCCTGAAGTATCTGTATTTTGAAGTAATAGCATCATGGCATGCATTTGAGTAAAATGTTAGCGTGTTTGAAATTGTAGTGGTTAATATTTTTTGTGAATGGCTCCTTGATGCATTTTTTTTTTCTCTGTTCCTTCTGAGGACAGTTTAATGAAAATAACATGACCTTGTTAGCGGCATTTACTTTCAGGGAAGTCGCGTTTTGCTGACAAATATGTGCTTCCATATTTAAGAATCTATATGTATTCATATTCGGTGTTTTTTTCCCCTTTTCATATGGAAAAAATAATTAACTACAAGATGTTTTACTGCAGGCAATACTGAATCTATTATTGAGTTGGGAAGATAAATTTGCTAGGGAATCACCTTAGTTTCATCCTTCTTCTTTGAGCCAATGGCTTCTGTAAGTGTTGTGCCTACTTCTGGATTACGGGAACCAAGTGGAAATACAGCCGGTGCTGATAAATTGCCTGATGAGATGAATGACATGAAAATTAGGGATGAAAAGGCAAGTCTTGTTTCTCATCCTCTAGTTATCATGATCAGCATCACTCACTACTTTTCTTTCTCATTTTGGTTTCAATATTGTTTAAATGAAAGCTGTTGAATATTTTACAGGAAATGGAAGCAACTGTTGTTGATGATAATGGAACAGAGACAGGTCATATTATTGTCACAACTATTGGTGGCAAAAATGGAAATGCAAAACAGGTTACTTAAGAATTTCGTTTTTAAGGTTATGCTCTTTGTTAAGCAGACATAGTGATTCCTTTGAGTACATGGTGACACTATTTGTCCTTTCATGGTTTTAGACAATAAGCTATATGGCTGAGCGTGTTGTTGGACATGGATCTTTCGGAGTAGTATTTCAGGTAAGTTGTTAAATCAACAAACAGGTGTTGTTTTTAATCCTTATGCCTGGCTTATGCTGATGCAATATCTTTAACTTAAACATTTTGATAAGAAAGTTTTCTTTTTGCTTTTATTTGAATATTCAGGCTAAGTGCTTAGAGACTGGTGAAACTGTTGCTATAAAAAAGGTTCTACAAGATAAAAGGTACAAGAACCGAGAGCTGCAAACCATGCGTCTTCTGGACCACCCTAATGTAGTATCTCTGAAGCACTGTTTCTTCTCAACAACTGAAAAGGATGAACTCTACCTTAACTTGGTACTTGAGTATGTCCCTGAAACTGTTCACCGGGTGATCAAACACTACAATAAGATGGGACAAAGAATGCCGCTGATATATGTGAAACTATATTTTTACCAGGTATGAACTTGCAGATGTTCCATTTTTCTTATTTATGATATGTGCACACTAGTTATTAGTAGCCACAATTTGTGCCATGTGCATGTTTGGCCTATCATATATTTTGTCTAATTTCTCAATGTTTCTAAACCTTAATAATTTGTAGCCTTATCTAAATCTTTTATTTTCTTACTTGCCAACAGATTTGTAGAGCTCTTGCTTATATTCACAACAGTATTGGAGTGTGCCATAGAGACATAAAGCCTCAAAATTTGTTGGTATGTTGAGAATGGCCGTTATTGTAACTATAGTGAATTAAACCTGATTTGTTGTCTTCTTCATTAATTTATGCATCTTGTAGTTCAAGCATTCTCTAATTTTTGATGTGTTAATTTTCTTTGTAATAGGTTAACCCACATACCCACCAGCTCAAACTGTGTGACTTTGGAAGTGCAAAAGTGTTGGTGTGTACTTAGTATATCTGATTCTGGAATAGTTTCATTGTTTTTACAATTGCAGTTATTTAATTATGTTTTAATTATACTGATTTTTTTTTTTTACCCATTTTGACAGGTGAAAGGGGAACCAAACATATCTTACATATGTTCTAGGTACTACCGAGCACCTGAACTTATATTTGGTGCAACTGAGTACACCACAGCGATTGACATCTGGTCTGCTGGATGTGTACTGGCTGAATTGCTGCTTGGACAGGTTGATAGCTTCTTTTATATGGATTGTTTCCTGTATTTTCTAGGTTTACTAAATAACTGACATAATATCCTCAATGATGCCAGCCTCTCTTTCCTGGTGAGAGTGGAGTGGATCAGCTTGTTGAAATTATAAAGGTAATAGTACTTGTTTCTGGAATTTCTCACCAACAAAGAACTGTTTAATTTGACCTTGGATATTTATGTAATTCCAGTCACATCCAACTTGGAGAGACCTATCATCTCACTAAGATTTGCTAATTCAAACATTGTTATACTTACTGTAATTTGGTGTAATTCTCTTGCAGGTTTTGGGTACCCCAACGCGGGAGGAAATCAAGTGCATGAATCCCAACTACACTGAGTTCAAGTTTCCCCAAATTAAAGCACACCCATGGCATAAGGTACTTGCAATATTGCTTCACCTGTGGTCTCTGTGCAATTGAAAATCTTAGTGATTATACACCATATTCCTATATTCATCTACATATTGTTGCTCACCAGATATTCCATAAGCGCATGCCTCCTGAAGCTGTGGATCTCGTATCAAGATTATTGCAGTACTCTCCAAATCTTCGAAGTACAGCTGTAAGTACAAATTTTCTGTGAACACTTTCTGTCAATACCATTTAATGCCTGTGGTACACTGGGGCTCAATCTTAAAGCTTATAATCTTTCATCAAGCTTTGGCCTGTATGCTATATGGGAGGATATGAAGATGAATTAGGCATATATTAGCTTCACTGCTATATTATTCTTTTGTCATTTTGCTTTCATCATTCTGGTAATATTCTGCAATTTTCTTTGTTTTCAATGCAGTTGGAGGCTTTGATCCATCCCTTCTTTAATGAGCTACGTGACCCTAACACTCGGTTACCAAATGGACGATTCCTTCCTCCACTTTTCAACTTTAAACCTCATGGTAATGAATCATGGTTGAAAATTATTATACCCTTGCCTTCTGGAATCCCTTGGATAATAGTTGCTGACATCTATTCTCTTTATGGTCAGAACTGAGGGGAGTGCCAGTTGAGATGTTGGCAAAGCTAATCCCAGAGCATGCAAGAAAGCAGTGTGCCTTCCTTGGATTGTGATGCAGTTCTTTGTAGTTAGTGTCTGCTGCTCGCAGAAAAGCGTCCTGTAGAAAAGAAAATTTAGCTAGTTTCAAGTGATCATATTGAAGCAGTGTTATTTGTTATGCAACCCCTGTTCATTTATTACTTTTTTATATTTATTTTTTGTAGTTTTTATTTATCTTCTACTTCTTTGTAGAGAGCAGATATAAAAAGAAGGTTCTGCTTGTTATGTTAATCCTCACTGGATATGCTGACCCTTAGTTTTCTGTTGAAGACATAATCAACACATTTTATCAATTATAGACTGTTTCCTTCCTTTTTGATATTTTATGACGATATTGTATTACATAACGGATGTTAGACCTTTTCTTTTACTCTTAAGAGTGATACCTCCAAAGTTAAAGTAGCTAAAGGAAAATATCGGTGGGAAAATTTATGCAGCTAATAAATTGGCAAGAAAATTGCATAATCATATGCTGCCATATTTTGCAGAAGCTCGGTTTTGACTTTTACAGCATGTTTGTTATGGGTAGCGAGCTGTTAGCATTTGGTTGCAAAGTTGTAAAAAAAAAAAAATAAAAGGAGAGAGAGAGAAAAGGGTTAGTTGGGATGGTAAGCAGGTGATTGTAGGCCCTCAAAATATATGGGCAAGGAAGGAGCTAAGAAGGTGTTACTTTTTCTTTTTCAGAGCAAAATGGTCTTCAGGCATGCGTGGACTGGGGCGTATGATGCTCATAAATAATAATGGGAATATAGGCTTTGTTGAGCCACTCACAGTCACTTGGTAAAAAAAGGAACTTTAATAGCTTAGCCCCAGTCTTCCATATAAGGCTCTCCACTGGTTTAAAATAACCCTAAAACTTGAAAAGCTAGTGATAGAGTTTGAGTTGCTGATTTCTTAAAAGATCTAATCTGCGTATTCTGCGTCACAGATTCCTTGGATGCCTCTTCTCGGTCACCAAAAAAAAAAAAAAAAAATCTCGGTCACCAAAAAAAAAAAAAAAAGTTCTTATAGTTGAAAAAAAAAAAAAAAAAAGTTACTTTATAGCTTTAGCCTCAGTCTTTCATTGTTCTGTATGAAATAGGTCAATTTTTCAAAGGTTGTGATAGTTTGGCTATGCTATTTTAATAGTAATTATATTATATTCCTCACTACTTCATTTGCAGTAACAAATATAGGAAGAGAAAGGCAATTACTTTGAGTTTCTTATTTCATTACATCCTATCCAACATAGCCTTTGGGTGCTGATATGAATTTATAACCAGTTACTGAGTACAATTTTTAGATGAAAAATGGGCATCTGCAGTACAAAATTCTTCTGTTTGAAGAGAACAAATCAAAATTGAAATGGAAGATGATATTGTGACAGAACAGAACAAGATATTGGCTAAGATCTCCAATGATGAAGTAGAAGATGCTGCTATTGTGATTGATGCTTCTTTACTTCTTTTCAAACATTTCTGGTCGCACATACAATTATATATCCAACAGAAGACGCGAAATCCATACAGCAGATAACATTAAAATATTCGAAACCTGAGAAAATACTGGAAAAAGGGAATACAACAAATTCTTACCCTCTGTTGCAGAAACAGTGTGTTTATTGACATCTCATGATTGAGAATTTGAATTTTATGGAACAAAAGGTGTCAACTTGTTTCCTTTTTGATGGAAGTTTATGGATTTGAAGCTACAGATGTTTAAGGTTGATTATGTTATATACTAACTAACATGACTATCATCAACACTAATCTGCTGACATTGTTGTCAGAAATATTAATAGCTATCAGTTTGAATTGACGTAAACCATATCGAAATATTTTCTGGCGAAGAAGAAAAAAAAATCAAAATCTTCATCGTAGTTGATGACCAATCTTTGAATGGAAGCAAGGCAATAGCTGAATTGAGCATCATTGGCTATCACCGAAAGAAACCACAGAGAAATCCTGACCAGGCAAAGTGGTTGCATTAATCAATTTGGTCGGTTACAGAATCTGCAAGCTTTGACAAGGAAAGGAAGAGCTCTTAGTGGAATTTCCATTCCAAGGAAATATGTTTATAACATTAGTCAGAAATGTTAAACCAAGCATGCTGTTGAAGAGCTACTAAGTTTATGCAGTAATTTAATGCGCATTGCTATTATGCTATGTTGGATTGTACCTTAAGTGATCTCCTTAAAATCTGCTAATTAAAGAGACACGATTGTTTTTGCAATAGAGCTCCATGCATGATGCACGATATATACAGTCTTGCTTAATTCAACAACAAAAAGAAAAAGAGACACTTATCCAGAAATTATGCATTAATAGTACTAATAATATCCAGTTTTGGTGATTTTAATAATGAAATAACTGTAGGGGACCGAAGAAAGTGAAAGTTATGGGAAGAACATGGGGGTCTTATCGACTCTTGTTATTCCTTTTACCTTTTTCCAGAACTAGCATATGCACACTCCATATTCGTATAAAAAAGAGAAAAGAAAACAAAGGGCCAATGCTTACATGGAATTTGGTCGGTTCCCGCCACCAAAACTTACTAAAAGAATTAAAAATTGCAAGGTTCAGATGTAGTTGAATGTTACTTCCACTATCGTCAGCTCTTGTTATTATTATTATTATTATTATTATTTTATTATAATATTTTATTATTACATATATATATTATATATATATATATAGGATTCAGCCTTTCCGATTCTGCTGATTTCAATAGTTAAAATCTTTATCAACTGCTTTCTAGGTGCTCATACGCATATATATATATATATATATATATAGGATTCAGCCTTTCCGATTCTGCATGCATTTCAATAGTTAAAATCTTTATCAACTTGCTCTCTAGTGCTCATACGCATCTCACTCACTCACCCACTTACACTGTTAAAACAAACCACTTGCTGGTTTCTTTCTACTTCCCATAACTTAGGGTGAATATTTCCTTGTCAGATAATAGTCTCTTTTGATCTATTAACTAATAACTGATAGAGACAAACCAATTTTGAGCTTGGGTTCTTGAGTTTAACAGACTCTTTCAATTGTTTCAGACTTTTTACAAATTGATCTTTCAATATGAAGTGTTATCTTATCTGTTCCACTTATTTCATTATTTGTTCCTTGGTTGTCTTTGCTGCGCATGCTCGTTGGCATCATCACCACCATACAAAACATAAACACACTCACTCTCATAAAATATCATCAATTTCAGTACCTCCCTCTTCTTTACATGAGCCTGCTTATCCTCCATTTTCTCCGCCGGAATTTCCTGATCTGCCTCTCACTCCTTCACCTGAACCCGAAATTCCACCATCTCTTCCGCCTCCTACTAGTTCACCTATGCCTGCTAATCCTCCGCTTGCTCCGCCTCTTCCTGACCTCGTCAATCCAACACCCATAGCTCCTCCTGAGCCTGCTCATCCACTATCTCCTCCTCCTGCACCTGAGCCTGCTAATCCTAAGCTTGTTCCGCGTCCACCTGACCACGCTAATCTGACTCCCACCCCTCCTCCTGAGCCTGTTCATCCAATATCTCCTACTCCTGCACCTGAGCCTGCTAGTCCACCTGATGGGTACAGTTCTAGAATTTTTAATGTGAGAAAATTCGGGGCAGTTGGTGATGGAATAGCAGATGATACAGATGCATTCAAGATGGCATGGGATACAGCTTGCCAAACTGAAGGTTCTACAGTTATTCTTGTTCCTTATGGTTTCAAATTCATGATTCAGTCTACAATTTTTACAGGTCCTTGTCAAGGTGGTCTACAGTTTCAGGTATTGTGTACTTTATGTTAATTATTCCTGTCAGGTTACTTTTGTAGGCCTGTCGATGGTTAAAACTTTAAGGACTATAAAAGTTATTGCATTTTGACCATTGCTAAGGTTGATGGAACTCTTGTCCCTCCCGATGGACCAAACTCCTGGCCACAAAAGAACAGCAAGCGACAATGGCTAGTTTTTTACAGAATTAATGAAATGTCATTAGTGGGAGGTGGTGTAATAGACGGCAGAGGAGAAAAATGGTGGGATCTTCCTTGCAAACCCCACAAGGTATTTAGTACAAGTTCATTTTTCTTTGAACATCTCCTTTTTTTTTTCTTTTTTTTTTATTGATTTGGCTATTACTCAAGTTCAAACTCAAGATCTTTGATTTCTTAAAACAACTCCAGTATAATTGAGCTAAAACATTTTCAATTTAATTACATGGTCGAAGAATATCTCTAATTTATTATATGGAATTTCATGGCACAGGGAATAAATGGAACCACATTGCCCGGGCCGTGTGATAGTCCGATTGTAAGTTTGTACAGTTTTTATCTTACATTTTAAAGATACTACCACAAAGCATTAAAATGAATTGACTGTATCGTTAATTAAAATGCAGGCCATCAGGTTCTTTATGAGCTCCAATTTGACAGTTCGAGGACTTAGAATCAAGAACAGTCCTCAATTCAACTTCAGATTTGATGGTTGCGAGAATGTTCACATAGATTCCATTCACATTACTGCTCCTGCTTTAAGTCCTAACACCGATGGAATCCACATAGAGAACACTAATAATGTGGAAATATATGATTCAGTAATCTCCAATGGTCTGCACTACACATAATAATCTCATAATAACTTTTTGTTTCTTTTCCTAAAAATTTCAGTACTAAATAATACAACCCCTGTCACAGGTGATGATTGCATATCAATCGGTTCAGGCTGTTACGATGTAGACATTAGGAACATGACCTGTGGACCTAGTCATGGAATCAGGTATATGTACATTTCTTATAATTTATTAATGGAAAATAACTTCTCTGGAGAAAATTGAAATATTTATCTTCTTAATTCTACTTATCAGCATAGGGAGTCTCGGCAACCACAATTCGCGAGCCTGTGTACATAACATCACGGTTAGAGACTCAGTGATTAAAGTTTCGGAAAACGGAGTTAGAATCAAGACCTGGCAAGGTGGATCAGGAGCGGTCTCAGGAATAACATTTAGCAATATTCATATGGATAATGTAAGGAATCCAATTATAATTGACCAATTCTATTGCTCGACAAAGGAATGCACAAACCAAACGTCAGCAGTTTATGTATCAGACATTTTATATGAAAATATAAAAGGAACATACAATATTCGAAGCCCGCCAATGCATTTTGCTTGCAGTGACTCAGTCCCTTGCACCAACTTGACACTTTCAGATGTTGAACTTCTTCCTGCTCAAGGAGATTTGGTTTTGGATCCATTTTGTTGGAATGCATATGGAGATTTGGAAACCCTAACAATTCCACCAGTTTCTTGCTTGATGGAAGGCGCTCCTCGATCTCTGATCAGTAATGAGATTGAGGCTTGTTGACCTATTTAGATTTTAACTGTAAATTAATTGAAGTGATTTCTATATTTGTGTACATAATTGAGGATAGAGAAATCATGGCATGCATGGATGGATAGTACTGTCAGGGTTACTCTAATTATGAAATGATTATGGACTGGTGTATTTTAATCACCTCCCCATATAATAATAATAATAATAATAATACTATATAATTTATAAAATTTCCGTCTGATTTATCACTATCAACATATAGTTTCTATTTCGTATATGGAATTTTGTCATTTTATTAAAAATAAATTAATTTTATACTAGAAAGCAAACATAAGAGCGAGACTTTCATTTATATCAAATGAAATGCTAACTTTCTATTTCATTTGTATTAGTTATGTAAGATACAATGAAGAGCAAAATGAGAGATGGGTAAGGCATGCAAGATCATTATGGATAATGTAAGATATGATTTTGTTGTGGTTGAAATACAAAAAGAAGAATATTCCAAGTTTCCAAATGTCATGTGAGACCAGAGTAAGGCAGAAGGAGACAAGAAGTCTTTTAGATAAATAATAAGTGAAAGATACTAAAAAAATGCAAAGAAGAATATATAAACGGTGAGAGTGAGTGAAGTTGCAGGGAACTTTGTCGAACATTTGATAATGGGTAGGTGCAAAGTGGGGGGGACAACCTTTTCTCTACCTCTCTTGCACGCGAAGAGCCTACTATGATAAGTATATATACTATATATCATAATTATGTAATGTGCAGGATGTTCACATAACTCTGGTTCAAGTATAACTGTAAATATATATATAAATATACACTCTTTTATCTATTAATACATGTGTTTTCATGCTTGTTGAGAATGATATTCAATTAAAACTCTTTTTAACAATAATTTACCGATTTAATTTATTTTGAGATACGGTTCATTTATAGTAGATTATTAACAAATTACTTTGAATGCATATATATTAATGGTAGCTAATATTAATAAAAATGAACAAATGATATGCAATTCATCGTTCAAGAATTAACCCTGCATCAACTTTTTTTTTTTAAAAAAAAAAAATCTCTGAATTACTGATTGCAATTAATAATTTAAAAAATTAAAGTTAAAATTACATTTATTAATTTTAAAATCAAAGCTTTATTTCTTGCTCTGAAAAAGGGTCGTCGGTGCACGGGCTAAAATCCAATTGCCATCCACCAAATGAGCCTTTTGGATCTGTCTTTCATACAGAAAATGAAGAAGACGGAACGCTAACAACTTTTAAAACCTGCGTTTTTGTTCTTTTTATTCTTGGCAGTTGGCTGTGCTTCGAAGACTCACACTTTAAAATGAAAAAGTGAGCAACCAAACAAAAAACGAAAGGGCAGAATAAGACAAGAAAAAAGATTAATGTACTGTATTTTTCAAAAAAAGAAAAAGAAAAAGAAAAAGAAAGAGAAAGAGAAAGAGACAGTGATTAATTTACTGTAGATATCATTTGTGTGGGTAAGTGAGAGTGGGGAATAAGTGTTCCTTCATTTTTTTAATGGGAAATTCCCACTAGGCAAAAAATAATGAGGGAAAAACAATTGAAGAGCAAAACCGCTACTTATAACATCCGTGTGTATAATTTCTCAGTTTAAAATAAAAAAATAACAATTAAAAAAAAAAATGAAATAGTTTAGTGAAATCTGAAAATGTTGAGTTAGGCCCAACCAAACTGAATAGCGCGTTTCACATACGCACATATTAAACCTAAGACCCAATTTTAGTGTAATAATATGGGCTGAGACCCACAGAGTTTAATCACTCATAATCGTTAACTTATTATGAATATGGGCTAAGCTTTATGCCCAACTTATAGAGTCTCGGCCCAATCCAGAACTAATTAATGAATGAGCTTTTGAGTTCAACTACATTACGTTTCCGCCCAATATCTATAAACCTTTAAATTTCCGGAAGGAAAATTTTTTTTAAGTTTTACTTTATAAAATAGTACCATCTTTTCTTTAACTTTTGGAAATTTTTTTGTGGCTACTTTAAGTTTGGAATTTTTTTTATTCTTTAAAAGATTCAATGGATTGAAATAACAAAGAATTATATTCTCTATAATTGATAAATGAATTCGATATATTTCATTTTTGATACTAGAAAAAAAATTAATCAGATTACACTTGATAGATACCTAATTTTTTAGTTTGGTTCTGCTTATGATAAATGTTAGTATTGGCTCCAAATGTGATTTTATAATTAAGGATCTCGGCTCACATTAATATTGATTATGCTTTTCAGCATATGTTTATTAAGTTATGACTTTTATAATGCAAAAACGTTATTGAATTGGGATACTGGTAAAATAGGGTTATTAAATTACTAAATATGATTACGTGTGAATGGGGAAGTCTTGGGAAGAGTCAACGTTGACCTATAAAGACTGTTGTGTGAAATACTCCAAAACCAAAGTATTTTTATGAATTTCTATGGTGTTCTTTTTTTTTTTTTTTTTTTTTTTTTTTTTTTTTTTTTTTTTTTTTTTTTTTTTTTTTTTTGTAATGCTGTAGCTTCACTTTTAGCTAGAGAAGGCCCCACCAACAAGTTATGTCGGCCTGTAGACTCTCTTACTGGTCCTTGTTTATTATATAAGATATTTCTCATCTTCATCATTAAAATACTATATATATATATATATATATATATATATATATATATATAACATAATATATAACATAAACAAGTCTACAGGCCCATTATTTTCGTGAGATATATCAATTACACGTTAGTCCTTTCATAATTACATTTAGATTTTTAAAATATTTAGTATTCTATTTAATTTCGTAATTAGATAGATTAACTTCTTGTTTTATAGATTAAAAAATTTTAATTTTTTTAATTTAAAATTTAATTACGGTACTTACGTTATCTTTTAGAGATACGGCTCTCAGTTAAATTGCTATTAGAATCTCTCAATAAATTAGTAATAAAAGTGGCTGAGAATAAACGTAGATAACCTCGTGATTCATGATCTACGAACAAAGTTGTACTTGATCTTGGTCGGAGAATAATGTTGTAAATATCTTGGTTAGTTGCAGTCTGCAGATGTGACATTATAACCAAATAAAAATAAATAAAAAATAAAAAAAACAAAGATGCAGTTGTGTAAATAAAATAAAATTTATCATTAAATTATATTATAAAATACTAGCTAAATTATTTTTTGACTGCACAAGAACTAGTTAAATTATTTTAAATAAACAAATAGATAGAAAGTTGTTTACATAATACATAAATAAAAATGATTTACAATTTGATTTCGGTTTAATTAATATGATATAATTTAATAATTTATCTTGAATACTACATACTTATACCCAAATACTCCAATCTATTTATGAAAATTGAATATTATCACGAAGAAAAATAGATCATGTCATATGTCACGAGATACACGTCATTTTGGCAGTAAATGACGCAGATGCAGATGCGGAGAAACATGTGACTCGCGTGGACTTAGAATTTACTCGCCCCATCACATGCCACGTGTTTGTACTTTGAGTGATACGTATAAAATTATTGAATACTAAAAATTTCGTTCTAAAAAGATATTATTTTTTCTAGTTTATCGCCAAATATAGTCCATTTATTTTTTTATATTATAACTAATTCATAAATTATTTACTATATTCTTATTAAATTTTATCTTATTTTCAATAACGTTTATTAATTTTTATTTATCATTTTAATATAATAATAGTTCATATGTTACTCTCTCTATTCCAAAATATAAATTATTTAAGATTTTTGTACAATTAAGAAAATAATTAATTTTCATTGATTATGATAAAAATAAGGATAATTTGGCCGAATTATCCTTTGTAGTTTGTTGTGAAAGTATTTATTATATCTAATGTAAATAAGGGTAATGTTGAAAAATATCATTTATTAATCCTTAAAATGAATTATATTTTGGGATAAAATAATCACCTAAGAACAATTTATATTTTGGGTCAGAAAAAGTATTGAAGATGAATATAATAGGAAAATTATACGAATAAAATTATCTTTTAACCATAATAATAATTATTTTTTAATCTGTGTATAAATAAAAAATAGATTATCTTTTTGAACGGACTGAGTACTATATTATGTATTTAATTTTTTTTTAACTAACTGTGGTTGTTATATAAGTAATTATTAAAAAATATTCTTTCCAAAAAAAGTAATTATATATAAGTAATTAATTAAAAATATTCTTTTCCAAAAAAAGTAATTTATATATATATATATATATATATATATTATATATAGAGAGAGAGGAGAAGAGAGAGAGAGAGAGGAGAGAGAGAGAGAGAGAGTTATTTATTTCTCATGGGCTCATAGAGAGAGAGAGAGAGAGAGAGAGAGTTATTTCTCATGCTCATATTGTTTGAATATTTTTTTTTTCCTTATTTTCTCTATTTCTATGGTATTAAGAATGAATGGTTATACACATAAAGATAAGAAGTATTTATCTACTATTGATATATGGTCTATTCATGCACAACAGTATATTTTTACAAAGATTATCATTTATTTAAAAGTGTCCGCGTGTTGTATGGTAAATCATTTATTTAATAACACATAGTTCAAAAGAGAATGTGAATGTCTTTTCATTGGGAAAAAAAAAAAAAAACAATAGCGTGTTGATTTTTTTTAATGGTAATTAATTATTAATTTGGTAATAAGTATTTATTTAATGTAATTATTTTTATTGTCAAATTATATCAAAATAATTCTTTAAATTTAATGAAAAATTTGACAAAAAAAAATCAGAATATTAATAAATTTGATTTTTAAAATAGAATATTATAGTTAAAATTCTTTCCACCCAAAAATTAAATATCTTGAATTTTTTATAGCTCGGAAAAATTTTAAAAGAAAAGTTGTTTGCTTAACTAGAATTATGAGTGAAAAGTAGGGGCATTTTGGAGATAAAAAGAATTTCGATATTCTAAGACGAAAGCAGGTACAAAAGTGAAAATGATTGAACAGCTTGACCGTGGACACATATAAATCAAGGTCTCCAAGAAGCAGCGGAGGAAGCAACCAAGAAAGTGCATGCTCTGTTAATCCTACTGTAGTTTTCCTTTCTGTAATTAGTTCTCTGCATCAACGCAAAAACCGTCTACCAGCCATGGAGGACAGTCCAAGCAAGAGGAAGCTCTGCCTTAATGATGATCAAGACGAAGAAAATGAAGAAGTAAAGATAGAGAAGTTCTTTGCTCTTATCAGAAGCATTCGCGAGGCTCGCGAAAGCTTGATGAATGCAGATAATAATAAGAAAAAGAAGAGAAAAGTTGAGGAAGAGAAGCTGCAGGCTTCTGCTTGCGAACTTTCTTTTCAACCTGAAGATTTCTTGGAGGAATCTCATAAGGCAAAAAACCCTATAGTGGTGAGCGTTGGAGAAACTTCTCAAAGAACAGAAGCTCCAGTGAAAGAAGCTACTAAAGAAGATTTAGACTTAAGGCTTTCCCTCTAATGTTATAATTATCTAAGCTATAACAGTCGATAAATTCATCCAACAATGCTTATTACATGCATCATTAAGAGAAGGTAAGATGCCTCGATCAACTGTGCAACTGGCAGCTTCACGTTGTAGTTGAATTTATAGTGTGTGTATATTATAGATGGTGTTATATATATATATATATATATATATATATTATATATATATATATATATATATATTTCAGAAGAAAGTAGATATAGCTGAAGAAGTCTTTGAACTGGGCAATTTTTTTATTTATAAGATTTATGGGTCATATTGTGTGAGAAAATAAAGCCATAAATCTTTAACACTAATTCTTCAGTTTACGTGTTTTATTATTCTGTCTTCATAATTAATTTGAGGTATCATATTTTAGCAGTCGCGAGAAGAAAGAATCAATTGCAAGGTTAAATATTTTTGGGTCTCTAAATTATGATCAAATTAATATTTAGATTTCTCAACGTTTGAATAATTATTTTGAAGGACCTAAATAATATTATCGTTATACTGTGAGGTCCTTCTATTTAAATTCTTACTTTTCTTCCGTTTATATGGGTTGAAGAGCCAATATTAAGTGGAGGTTAAATATTTTTGAGTCCCTAAATTTTACTAAATTAACGCTTAAATCCCTCAATATTTAAGTAATTATTTGCTTTTAGCACATATAAACGGAAAAAAGATAGGAATTTGGATGGAAGGACTTCACAGTGTAACATCAGCATTATTTAGGTCTTTTAAAATAATTACTCAATCATTGAAGGATCTAAGTGTTAATTGATCATAATGTAGGGATCCAAAATATTTAACCCTAAAATAATTCATTCATAGCTTTTAAGCCTTTTAATTGATTTGGGTCAGAACCGAGTTAAAAATTAATTGAAACCATTTGTTCTTGAGCCATTTAATTTTTTTTTTTTTTTGGCTGTTAAAAAATTACTGGTATTGGTTTCCGATTCATAAAAAAAAAAAAAAAAAAAAAAAAAAAAAAAAAATCATCCCGTGTCTTCATTTCAATTATTACATAGTTATTTCCTTTAATTAGTTTTTGTTTCCTTTAGTATAATTTTTTTTAAAAAAATTTTCGAAATAGAAATAAAATATTAAAATTACCAATTACAATTGAAGTAATAGATGGGCCAGTGAGTTTAAGGGTTGATTATCATAGGTTCAATGAATCTTTCATGCTAATATAATATATAATATATATAATATATATATATATAGATATATATATATATTATATAATATATTAGGATAACATTAATATATAGGATAACATAACGTCAATGTCAAAGCAAAAAATATGATTGCCAGGTGAAGGTATTCTACTTACATCAAAATTAAACTGCACCAAAATGCAGACAAGTGGTTCAGTTGGAAAATTATTCGCAAGAAAAATGTTGAACAGATGGCGCTTATGCTTTTATTTTCCTCTTTTTCTTTATTATTACTTGTCTCATCTCATCCTCTTTTAAAAGGTCAAAAGAGGAAGAGAATTCGAGAAGACGACTCTTTTGGGCTCCGCGAAACAATACTTGTTCTTATGCGGTCCAATTGAGTTGTATTTGGGCCTGTTGATCGTTAATTGGGCTCTCGTGAACACCATTAGCAGTTTATAACAAAAACTACAATATGTTATGAACTAAGGTATATGTTAGGAAATTGGAATCAATCAATCGCAGTACGGTTAAAAATATATATAAATAATTTGGGTAGTAATTTAACAAGATATGGATAGAAATGTAATTATCCACATGACTATCGTTCTAACATTTAACAAGGTAAAAACATGACTGTCACTATGTGCTACCAATCTGGATGGTGGGCCATTTGCTATCGTGTTAATTTTAATCAAGTAAGGAAAATTAAGGGAATATTCTCTTCTTCTTATTATTATTTTTATCCTCCATAATTGAGTGAAATATAGTAATGCCTCAAATGAATTTAGGCTGATTGATTTATATGGTATGACCAGACCGACAATTATTTCAATTCCGGATTATGTTGGTTCAACAACCTTGACTGTTTTAGTTCAAAAACCATGGAATTACCTAATTTCTTGACATTGAAGATTTTTTCTAAACAATCACGATTTCCCTGACAGACAGCAACCAACTCCTGAAACGAAACCATTAACTCACATCCCATCCCATGTTAAACCCATCAAATTATATTTCTCGAATTGTGGCTGTGGGGTGTTACACACTCTAGTCGCTCCAATTAATGAATGATGACGGGTATGGCTATTCTGATCTATGTTTGAAACTAACAAGTAAAGTAACAATAATAAGGCCTTAAAAAAATCTTGGTGATTTGTATCCATTTATCAGTATTATTCTCTTATATCTACAATCACAATTCATTCCATTGCATTATTGCTTCGATATCTACAAATCATAAGAGCTTCAATTATTTAATTCATTGAACATTTAATTTAAAAAAAAAAAAAAAAGAATACAAGATCTCAAATCTCATTTTAAATAATAAGATGACACTTTGATTACTTACTTTTATCATGACGCCAGCCAATTGCGTAACTACTGTGCCTTTTGTGACACAAGCAATCAATAATTGAATGAAATAATTCCAAATAGTACAGTTATTTTCATGTCTGCTGGAAAACTCCTGCTCGCCAAATATCAAACTTGCCTTGGAAGACCAAAATCAATCAAATACTACCATCATTTCCTTCTCACGCCATTGTTTAATTAAACCATAGGCCTCGGCTTTTTTGTCGTCCCTTAATTAATTTTTTCCAACAACAAATTGGAAAAAAAAAAAAAAAAAAAAAAATCCAACAACAAATTGGAAAAAAAAAAAAAAAAAAAAAAGGACTGGCTTAGCCAAAATAACATGAATATGTGTTTACGTTTAAAAAAAAAAAAAAAAAAAAAAAAAAGACTGCTTAGCCAAATAACATGAATAGGTGTTTACGTTTAAGAGGGATTTTCCATCCAAGGTTAGTAACGTTAGCAATTTATTGTGTAAATGTGCATTCAAAACATTTTATACAGTCAAAATTTGTGCAGGGTGAATATTGTTTTGACACACACACACATCAAAAACTGTGCATCGGAATTAGGATACCCAACTCCTTAAAACATAGATTTAAGTATTAATTAAATGGATTTAGGGGAGAAAATTGTAATTAAATTTAAATATATATTAAAATTTTAAACAAATTTAATAGTGCAAATTTCATGAGTACTCATACCTTCTTCCATTCTACTCCATCTATATTTTTTCGGTCTCCCTCCACCAAGTCAAACTATCCTAAGAGGGATACATTAAATTAAACTAACCGTGTAAATAGTCAAAATTCAAAAATCACGACCTTTGTGTAAGCAAGAAACACAAGCCAGGCGGCCGCGGATGACGCCAGGTATCTGACATCAGCAACCTACCATTCAATTAATTACGTTGTCCAAACATATTCCTCTTACGTATATGTGATGACGTAGTAATCAACCTAACCTATCAATTCGGTTTTTTCAATTTTCACAGAGAGAGTCGCACAATCCTACGGCAGAAAAGCCTCCCAAAGATTGACGTCAAGTCAAGGGCAATTTCGTCTTTTAATCCAGATTGACAATTTAAAATTTCGTCTTCCCTATAAATTTGACAAACTTGGAACAAAAACCAGAAAACAACCACATCACCAAAAAAATTAGTCTCTTGCCGTGTAGTTAACGCCGGCCATGGAAAATGAGAAAGTTGACAATGGTGAAGATGAGCAAGAAGAGCAGAAAGTGGAGGAGTTTTTCGCTTTAATTAGAAGCTTTCAAGAAGCGCGTAACAGAAGAAAAGATCAAGCACTATTGGAAGAGAAAGACAGGAAGAAGAAGACTAAGCTAAGAAAGTTAAATGCGGAAGAGCAAGCCAGTTGGGTTCCTTCTTTTGAGTGGGAAGATTTCAATCAAGAAATTCAGTTTAGAAAGTCTCCATTGATTTATCCTCGTCCTTGTAATAACCAGAATGAAGACAAGAAACAACAAGAGGAAGACGGCGGTTTAGATCTCAATCTCACTCTATAGAGACGTCGTTTTAACGATTAATTCCGTTTTCAGCATTCGGTTTTTTTTTTTTTCTTTTTCTGTTTTCATCATGTTTTATGAATCTAATGTTTAACGTTGTTGTTGGGTTAATGAAATAGCAGCTACAAACTGACCTCAAATTGACATTTCTGATTAATTTTTTATTAGTTTCTTCATCTTGAACCGACAAAGAAAAGTATATTGAAGAATAAAGAACTGAAAAGGTTACAACTTCGCGTCAGAATTGTTTACGTTTTCTCAGCTGGAAAAAGGTTGAAGGAATAGAATTATAGAACCAAACTGTGGGTCAAAACTGAAAAGTAATAATTAAAGATGCTAAAAAATCATTCTTTTTTAAGGTAAAAGAAAGTTTTGGTGGTGAAGGCATAGTTTGGACACTTCAGCTTAAATATTTTCCAGAGACGGATCATACGCTTGAGGACAAAGTAAAAGATGAAGCTCCTTCCTATTTCTATTTCTATTTCTATCATGCACTTTGATACGGTGTCAATTTTTCCCTGTAATCAGTGTTTCTCCTTGTTTATATTCTAAGTCAATAAACTTTTTTTTTTTTTTTTTGGGTTAGTCAATAAACTTTTTTTTTTTTTTTATTGGGCTTTTTTTTTTTTTTTTTGGGCAACGTCCGTGTTAAATGCACTCACGGACACGTTATTTTTTTTTATTTAAACATCCAATGTTCAAAATTCAAGAGTTTTCAATTAATTTGAGTTTCCATCTCATAACTCATAAGTAACAAAGTATTTTTTCTAAATATTTAAAGACAGTATCCGTCCAGATTTGGAAATGATTTCTGTCATCTCATGTCAATACTTACATATGTAAAAGAGAGTATTTTTTTTTTTTTAAAAAAAAAAAGACAAACTAAATTATTGTATGAAAGTTGAAAAAACGCGACAGTTTTTCCAAATGGTAAAAAACCATTGGCTTGGTAGTTTTCTTTTTCATTTTACATTTTAGAATTCAAATGTAGTCACAAATAGATATTGACCTGTGTAGATCATATATAAGCTCTTTTATTAACCAAACTAATAAAAAATATTTATTTATTAAAGTGAATATATTTCTAATCATTTACTAGAAAAGAAAAAAATAAAGTGAAAACCTTGTAATTATTTATTCCAATAACAACAATAATAAATCATGATTGAAAAATTTATTATTTTTCACAAAATGTGGTTTAATGAGTCATAAGAAGCAATGTAATCACTCCAATAGACAAACACACAATATAAGATAATTAGCATAATTCAATCCGTCATATTTTTAAAATACGTGGAATTGAATTGAATTGAATTGAATGATCTGGATTAGATCAAGATAAAATGTGTCATATATAGGTCTATATATAAATTAATTACTATATTTTCTTCCCTCTTTGCCTCTCTTACTTTATACGTAAAGATTTTCACCCTTTAATTTTAGTTTAATTTCTAGCTTCATCCATGTTGGTGAATGCCTAATTAATAAACAGATCTCCGCTTTAGAGAATGAATATTAAGCAAACCCTACGTGATTAAACCCGTGGTTAAACCATATTTAACTCGGATTACATTGGTTCGATTAACGCGCGATGCAGGATGCACCCCTTAATTTAACTTGAGAATTTCTACAAGCAAATGGAAGGTGGGCTATCGGATAAGAATATCTTTTAGTAAATGGGCTCTGCTCTGTATTGGATGCTAACGGTCCAAACAAGCCCAATAAACCAATTTGAACGCTTTTTAGTAAATGGGCCTCGTAAGTTGCTTCAATCGAATGGTCAGTGTCCTTCATGCGACGCCAACAAGTACAAAGTGAGCAGACAAGAAGAATCTAAGCTTATGTCATGCGGTTTTCTTATTAATGCTCACAACATTTTTTAATAATACTTTTTAGTAGTACTTCTTTACACAGTTATTCTACCATTTACCAACAGGAGTATTTGAAGACGACAGCCATTAACCATTCATTTGGTCAACGCTCGACATAGCCAATACATTCAGAGGAACGTCTCTTCAACTTTAGGCTGAAAATTCCAATCCCACCACCACCACCCTCTTTTCTCTCTCTCTCCCACTCTTAACTTTTTACTTTCCATTTTTATACATTAATTTTAAAAATAATTAGTTTGAATTAATTTTAAATCTCTCATATTTAATTTGTAAAAAATGAAAAATTATCCACTATTTCTGAGGGAAGAAAGAATGACTTATTTAGGCATATATATATATATGGATTCATTTTATATAGAGAATCTATACGTAGATGTAGAGTGCATTACGTAACAATGATAAGCATGGACACAACCTCTACAGTGATAAGATGGTATAATCAGTAGGTAATTTGCCGAAAGAACCAATATATGTCCAATATTGAGGTTGTTGTCGGGGTTAGTTTCAAGGTTAAGTAAAGGCTTAAAGGGTGTTTCCTGGTAGCTGCTGTTTCTACCAACTTCTTCTCATAGTCATTTCTTATTTTTTGTTGTTTGGGTCTTATGGGCAAATGGGAACTAACGACTAAGAACTCCATTAAGTCTGGTCTTTACTACTTTTACTAAATTATAATCAAGGTATTGAATCGAATTATCGGACAACAGAGCCTGCCATTAATGGTTAATAATGAAGAAGAGAAAGTATATGGAAGATATTGAAGAAGAAGAGGAGGAAGAGAAGATCAATGCTTTTTATAGTTTGGTTAGAAATATTCGAGATGTCCACAATCAAATGGCGATTGGATCAAGCAATTCCAAGGTGAAAGAGAAAGAAAAAGAAATAATGAAGTCGTCTTCTTGGACCCCATGTTTCACATGGGAAGATTTTGCTGGAGATGCGTTGAATGGGGATAATCAAGCTATCCGAGGTAGTGAAGAATGTCGCTCAGAGAATATTGGCGGCGATGCCCATCATACTCGTCATTGTACTTCTGATTTGAACAAACAGAATGGTTATTGTTTGGAAGAGAAAAGCGTCAGGCTTCCTACTTCTCCTCCTCCTAAAAATGAAGAAAAATCTAAAACAGAGAAAACTAAAGATTTAGATCTCAATCTTTCACTTTGATGCTTCTTTGTATTGTCTTTGTCCATCAAAGGTAATTTAATATCTACACAAACGCAATGATTGATCAAGAAATTAAAGAAAATTTATATATCTTTATATTTTTTTTACTTTAATTTTATGAAAATATGTATGTATTTGCTTTATATCTCTATATTTATTATTAATGTGAGAATTTTCCCAGTATTGTAGAACTGCCTTAGCCAGATTCGCACCATATGCCGAATTCAAGAAGAAAGCATATATATGCATGTAAATGTTAAGATGGTCAATGACAAAATTACAGTCTCGTGGGTTAGAGAAAAGAATGAGAAAGACAAGTGAATGATCTGGTTTCACAAATTGGTTCTCTTTCAATTCACGTTACTGTTCGTTCATATATTGCGCTTGGTAATGGTCAACTTCTTGGTCATGTCTTCTTTTTGTTGATCGAATGAAAGGACTGAAATGAATTGAAAGCTAATAAAACGTTGTCCAGTGTTCACTAAAATTATAACATAAAGACATAGATACTCAAATCATTACAGAATTGAACAGACAAAATTAATTATGCCATGACAGGACGGCAGGACCTCACCTCACCACCCCATTCACTCACTTATTGCAATTTAGAATTTATAGACCGTTCTGTAGCGTAGGACCCTATGCCAATTTCTTCCATCTACTTGAGAGCTTATATAATGGCAAATATTTCTGACCACACCTTTTGTTTTACAGCAATTTCAAAAGGCAAAAGCCCCACATTTTTTCCCTTTTTGTCATCTTGAATTTGTGTTCCAAATTTAAGTTTTGAAGCGCTGACCCTTCTGTTGGATCTAACCATACAAACAGATATAATCCACAAGAACAATCTCAGTGGCCAATTATTTGTCTTTTACTACCAATTTCATAGGTCAACCTATATGTCCCAGCCAATGGCTAATGGGCCTAGTGGCAGGGCCACTTCAAGGCATATGTGGGGATAACAACATATAGGGTAGTTTCACTTGAGGACCTTACTGCTAGAATTTTCTTTATTTGGATTGTGGAAGCCTACCATCAGGTCACATTTGTATACTCACGACTGATAAGACTTGCTTGTACTCCGCCGCATGACTTTGCAATTGGAATTAGCTTACGTGGAATGTTTTCTAACTTTCTATAAATTGGTAGTTGTCTAATATTCAAGTTTTTGGTGCAGAGTTTAAAGTTCAAAGACTGGCAGCAAAGTTTTGTATTATCAAGTAACCATTCCTTCGCTTATTTCTGTTCTTGAAGAGAAATAAGCGAAGATGGTGAAAAAATATCTTCTCGTATGTTCTTTGACAGTTCACATTATCTTTATATACAAACTATTACAAGTAAAGATCCAACGGTAAAAGATTAAACAACTAAAACTATTATCTAATGGTGTACAATGAAAGGTGGAAAATATCTACAACTGAGTGTCCAAGTCAGCATATATAGGCTGGAAACTAAAGATGATAAATAAGCTAATGCTTGCTTGTGTTTGGATGAGTTGTGTTGCTCATCAATACTCTACAGTTCTTTCTTGGAAAAGAGGGGCAAAATTTTCAGGAATTGCTTGAATGATCAGAAAAAAAAAAAAAAAAATCAATCAAAATTTTATGAACAGATTACTCTGAGAAAAACAATATATATTAGTATACTTGTTAAGTTATAAATTTTACAGCAACTCAAACTCACACAGAAAAATAAAATGGAGTAAAGCACAAAGCAATCCAAAGCTACATACTAAAATACAAATCAAACTCAAATTATCTTTTCTTGACTAGTTTTTTTCAGAATTTGAAGGACTCTTCCCTAGCTTAGATAATCCTACGTCTCCAATTCTTGGACTCTTAGCCCCTTTTCCACTTGCCTTAGGACTTAATGCTCCTCTCAGTTCACTTACACGAGGACTATACGTATAAGGTAGATGAGGGCTTTGATGGCTTTTAGGATCATTCGCAGGTGTTGCAGTGGAGCTTGTGATTTTAGGACTACTTATATGCCTGAACTCTCCGCGACCACGCGTAATAACTTCATCTAAAATTTCTCCATCTCCAGCCTGAAAAGCTCCAGCACCCAATTCAGCCTCCTATGAACATAATCAATAATTTATAAATGTTGAGTGCAAGAAAATTTAGAAGTGAAATATGGATTAATTAGAAAATCTTACAGTTGCAAGATTGTAAGGTAGAGCTGGTGCCTCTTCGTATTCTGCTGCATCTAGGTCCTGAAGATGTGCTCCTTTGAAAAATGTAGGAAGGAAATATTGTCTTACTGGAACCAAAAGCATGATCATCAAAGGAAACATGACACCAGCAATTGGAACCCAAGTCAAACCAAAACATATTAGTAGATAAGTTGTTTGGAAAAGGGTAAATGTTGCAATTGTCTTGAATGGTACCGTTTCAACAAAAGTAGCATGATACTCCTCAAGAACCCTGCAAGAAAATTGAGTGATGTTATACACTAAGGATCTGCTTAGTATTACTCTTTTGAGTTGCCGTTGAAAAAAGAAAAAAGAAATAAAAAGTTAAAAAACTACGTTAAAAACAGGTAAATAGCATTTATGAACTGCTCCTTATAATAATATCTAATATGTTTTTTCAAAAAGACAGTTTCTAACTTAATGCCAAACAGATTGAAGGTAAGTGAAACTAAAGGATTTGAAGGTATTACTTGTATCTTCTACTTGGTGCAGTGAAAAGCAGCAATATCCTTTCCCAGAATTGATTTCCGGGCAAACTTTCAATAGCCATGAAAGCAAAATAACCCCAAAGAACTGAGGTTGGGATCTTTTTGAGAATAGGCATAGCTGCAAGGCATCCTCCAACCATCGTAGCTTGAAGTAAGTTGCTTAGACGCTGTTCTTTCACCTCGACAGGCAATAGATCATCAATCTCCTTTTCTATGTCAAATACTGTCTCATCAACTGGCGCATTGATGTTGCCATTACAAGAAGCTGCTTGGATTGTAGATTCTTTAAATTCTCTTAGACCCTGCTCAAGATATTTGACATTGATTATTTTCAGAACGACAGAACTAGAAAGAAATCATAAAAAATTTCATTACTCGACTTATGATCATACTTCAGATGGCTGCTGATAGATCAAAGGAGTCTGCATTTGTCGATAAGCTTCTTGCATATTTCCGTATAATTGTCCCAAGCTGGCATTCTTTCCTATGCTTTGACGAGCTGTTGCAACAAGTCGATTACGAAGCAACTGCATAACGAGAAAAAGGCTGTTCTTAGAAAAAGTTAATTGCACAACCAGCCAAGAAACAGAAAAAAAAAAAAAAGACTCGATTGTTGTATTAATTAAAGAATAAGTGAGAATGGGTTACCTGATGCTTAAGAGTGGCTAAACTCTTTGTATGCATCGGAGATTGAGGAATGACTCCATTTGACGGTGGAATTCCAAGAAGGCCGCATATTAAAGTCTGGAACACGAAGGATTAACTTCAAAATTCTGAATTTGAAGGAAAAAAAAAAGGGCTTAATAAAGCAAGAGTTGAGTAATAGTAAAAATTCTATACCAAGAACCCCAAAAGAAGCAAGTCATAGTGGTAAGAAGATGGCTTTCTCAAATTGAACTCTTTCTGCTGAGCAAGTTGAGAAGCTACACTATGATCAAAATAGTAAAGCACAGCAATCATAGTTGCAGGAATAAAAGCTCCGACTATGTAGAAAATTGGAACATTCAGCATGTCCTGAAATATTGGATTCTGAGTCAGACCTCGTTCACTATAACCAAGTTTAAAAAAAAAAAAAAAAATTACATGCCTTAATAACAGTCCAATTATCAGAAGCACCAGGGGACCAGGGATCTGGGCTGAAAAGGCGGCGAGGGATTCCATGAGGAACACTTCCCGCTGGGATGTAGGAAACAGCTGTCCACACTAGCACCATGAGGGGCACACCATAGTCTGCTACCAAACTTCTAAGCCAACCTGTCAAACAAATATACAAAATATATTCTTAAACTACATATATATAAAAATATATTTTTCCAACTCATAATCAGTGGCGGTTTGTTTCAGAACATACATACCGGTCCCATAGCGCCAGGATCTTGCCTTTCTGCTTCGTAGTGCAGTGAGCAAGAGACCGAATGACAGAACCAAAGCAAACATCCCATTTGCAAACCTCCATGAAGGTATAAACTCTACCGATTTAGGATCTTCCCGTTCTGGAACGCGAAATTCATCCACAAGTCCCTAAATAACCAGTAATTAGATTGACTAATTATGAAAAAACCGTTACATTGCTTATGTTTAACTATTCTTACTTTAATAGCTTGTTGCATGAAGAGCATCGCGATAAGTAGACCAAACAATTCCCCTGCAATGCGGGTAAACCTATTGATAATGGAGCAGGATCCTAGTACAGCTAGTAAGAATAGCAGGAGCGCAGTCCATACACATACCCTGCAATATGTTAGTGTTAGGCATCCAAATTTTATCACCATTTTCAGGGTAAACCAGGATTTTATTATGTATGATTAGCTCACCAGCCTGTCCATGCCAGAAACAAATTGCGGCCCAAATCACTTCTTTCTTTGGCAAAGTTAAACATGAAAGTGTACATAATGACAGTAGGCTCTGCAACTCCTAATATTAACAAAGGTTGACCTCCAATGATGGAGTGTATGATTCCACAGAGTGCAGTGGATGCTAGTGTTTGAACTGCTGTTAGAACTCCATCTGCAACCATAACATGTAAATTCAATTTTCATGTGATGATTTTCTTTTTTTTGTTAATTTCGCAGTCCTTTTCTTTCTGATGGAAAGTTTTTAATTTATTTGTAGTAGTAAAAGCAAGATATATCTTTTCTTTCCTTTTCTTTTTTTTCCTTTGATTACAAGATATTTCTTTTCTTTAAATAAATAGATAATGTAGAATTAGTACACACCGGTATTTCTCTCCAGTTGTTCGCCAAATGAAATGACTGGAATCGCTGAAGCAAAGAATATATAGGTGGTGGGAGCCAAAATCCTGAAAAGACAGAATTAAATGTTTGAATGATTGTATAAACAGAAATATATATTAATTTTGTTTGACCTCCGTAGCATATGAAGTTGCCGAATAATATTATACCTGAGACCTGCTTTAAATCCACTAATCCAGTCTTGCTTGTAACACAACAATCTTCCATTTAGATCATTCTTGATTCCGCGGAGAGGGACAAATGTCTCCTCCATCATTTCTCAGAGAATGAGAAGTCAGACAAAGAAAAATAACAAACGGAAGAATCTAAAGGAGGGTAACCCTATGGTGCTTTGAGGACGAGGAATTGATTTGCCATTGAGAAACAACTGACAGGTGACAAAAGTTACATGACAAGTTGAAAATTAAACAGCCAATGAATCAGGTCAACTTTTACAACAAGTGAGACCAAAATGCAACATCTGGTAATGAATTCAAGAAAACAAACGATAGAAGTTTAGCAGTCGACAGAATATAGACTATAGTGGATTATTAGACTCCGACGGAAGGATGGAAGCCTCTTGATGTAGTTGTTGTTGGTAATGTGGTGGCGCTTGGTTGAGAAGAAGGGTCCTAATATATAGTAATAAAGCTGCTTGTGGCAGATTGTGTGCAGACAGCGACGCGGGTTAGGAGGGACCGAGACAAGTAGTAAGAGTAAACTTCACTGTCGTTTAGTTTAGGAATAATCCTCTGTTACCTTCACGTTTTCTAATTTTATGCATCCTCCTTTGGATTTATATTGGATTTAAATCAATTCAGATGATTTGAACCGTTTACCAGCAGTTCTAGACTAATAAGTTGAATGATTATTTTAAAACACGTCCAGCTCACAATCAGTAGTTGACTCGCACTTCAATTTCATTGGTTATTATGAAGCCTAAGGTCATGGACTCATGGCATAGGGCTTGTATAATCTCTGATCTACCCGTGTTAGCATGCATCCACCAGAAAACGGGCCCTAGCTCAACATGACAAAATATTAATTTGATCGTATTATTATTACACTTTGGAATATTAATAAATATTTAATTTATCTAATTTTATAAGCTCAAAATTTTAATAGAATAATTTTATAAATTAAAGTATTTAAAAGATATTTCAATAAATTAAAATGAAAATAAAAATGTTATAAATTGTTCATGAAAGAATAGAGTTAAATTTATGTATTTGGTCCATAATTTTGTTTATTTATATTATTATTATTATTACTTTTAACTGAATGCTATTAAATAGAGAAATTTCACTTTCAATCCCACCTTCTCCATAGTTGGATGTTTTTGGCTAGCTACAACTACAAGTAACAACCTTACGTGACTGAATGAAAGAATGAAACCAGTTGACCTTTTTTTTTAAAAAAAAAAAAATTTTAAATTTTAAATAAACAAAAACGGATCTTTAAGTAATCTGTGTTGGTTCATATTGTGTAGAGAGTATAGTAGTGCTCGATCTAACTACAGAAGTTGCATTATTCAATTCTTGCCCATGTGCTTTAAAGCTTTCTACAACTCATCAAATCAATGAATAAAAGAACATAAAAAACAAAATTTACAAAAATATGAAAATATAGTTTTATTATATTTTATTAAAAATTTTGAAATTCTTATTACTAATTCGACTTTATTAGAAATTTCAATTGACAGGACATGGAGTAACCATTTTTATTTTTGGGACGGAAACAAATGTTGCAAGCTTACTTTCCAGGATTGCATTATTATGGCTTTATCATAGTCAAATATCAATTAGGAAAATGCGTAATTGTGCTTTGTGCACAACCAGAACCTTTTATCAGCATGCGAAAGTGGGGCCAGCCAATTGGTGTCTGTGATTTCTTGTGTAGTAATCATATTAACTGAGCTCCAAAATCTAATTGGACAATTAATCCTACTTTGTTTAGGCCAATCCTCATAAATCTTACTGACCAAAAATTAATACTTGGTCTGAGAATTCCGCAAGAAAGCAGCGGTTGAAATTCTCTGTCCAAAACGACAACATTGGTAAGAGACGCACAGTTTATTTATGTTGTAATACATCCTTCTCAAGTATATTTCCTAGAGAGTTATCAATGTTTGCCAACCCTAAAAAAGTTTCAAACTTTTAACCTAAAAAAGTATTAAAATGTGACTATTTATTACTTTTTATTCCTGTTTCTCAATAAAATATATTCTCATACGCTTATTTATATCAATTTTTATTATTAAATTTACTGGTCGAAGATCAAGCAATCATTTTCCAGCTGGTAAAGAAGAAACTCAAAATAATATTATAGTCATCATTTTCGTTGTCGAACATTATCATAAAGGACAATATATATATATATATATATATGGCTATGAATAACAAAAGAATAAAAGAAGAGAAGTGAAGCTAAAGGAAACCCATATATAAATTATTAAAAAGAAAAGGGAATCCATAAAGATTATTCTATCATAATCTTTAATTAAAAGTGCTTAACATAGGGCATCATTTTTTATGATTCAAAGGTATCCACCAACTCTTCCACATTCATTAAATTCAATCAATCTTTCTGCTATGAATGTAAATTAATTAATTAATTATGAGTTCTTGAATAAAATATTCAGATTCTCCAATATTCATATGTAATGCTAAAAAAAGTCAGTATATGCGGCCATCAAAATTTATTTCACGGCTTAAAGAAATGATCGTGGCTAGTTAATTAATTAATTAATTTGACTCACATAAACACATCTTTAATTTTATTTTCTTGCTTTTTATAATTGATGAAAGAGTATTATTTTTCTTTATTCTTTTCAAATATTTAGAGAACGTTAGTAAATATACTTGTATTCAGATAAAACACCTTTCGATATTAATGGCTTCATGTTTCCAACATCTACAGTTTAATCCATCTGACAGTGGGAGAAGAGATATAACGTATGCTATGTAAAAGGCAATAGTTTTATACACGTAGAGAATGATGTGCATGAAAAAGTATTTGTTAGTTTGTGGCATATACTCTTTTTGCCGTTGAATTATTGATTTCCCATTCGCATCTCCATGACAAAAGACCTCCACAATAAAAGAAGTGCCAGGTGTTTTTACCATATTTAAATATCCTTTTCTCTTTTTTAGAAGAAAACTATAATGCGTAATTGGGCTTTCTTGAATATTTAATTAATTTGCTCCAAAAAAACAACACTTCTTGTTTTTCATTTTGAATCAAACACACTTTGAGCTCTTTCTTTATGTACAGTATGATCTGACGCACATCTTTTATGCATGATTAAGGAAAATAATAAACAAACAAAGTTAGATGTCCATCTCCAGAAAGTATTCAAACAAGAACAGCAAAATTTTAATGAATGTCTACATCCACTTATAGGGTTAAGGGTTTTTTTGGTTTTTAGTTTGTGTTTTTGAAAGTGCAGTAAAATGCTGGGTTGCATTCGAATGATTTTGTCTAGCACAAGACTTTATTCTCGTTCATAATTGAAAATTTTGAGGCAAAGACAAAACCACCTGTCCAAAAAGATGGATCAATAACTTCCAATCACAGCCATTGACTAAAGTGGTAGGACCATTGATGAATGATGATTGATTCACATATATAGGAGCTTTATCAACATTAATTTCTTACATTTATTTATTTATATTATAAATTTTAGCATAAAATTAATTAGATTCAACTATTTATTCCATGGAGTTCTTGGACATCATCATGGCCCGGTACTGCTTTTTAGTTTTTACAATAAGAAGTGTCAAGGTGTGAACATAATCTCCTTCAGAATTATTCATTCAAAAATCTATTTTCTCATTGGAAAGAAAAAAAAAAGGACAAAAATATTTTTAAAAGGACAGAATTAATGTATATATTCAATTATTGCAAAAAAAAAAAGTATTTTGAGGATTGCCATTTTAGTCATCGAAACGCACGTGCGATGGAAGTGCAATGTCTCTTACGCGCAGAGAAACTGAGAAAGTGGTAATTAATTAATTTTCCATTCTCGTTAAATAAATTTGCTGGCGTTGACTATCAGTCTACTCGGCTACCGGCTGGACTACTTACCAAAATGTGACTAACCAATCAATGCATCTCATTTAATGGGCCGGGCTTTCGTATTCATTGCCCAATTTTATTCTAGGCTTAAGCTTGATCCAGTCCAAAGGTTTCAACTCAAAGTTAAAGATATTTGAACTCATCTTTAGTATTTTTTTTTTTTTTTTTTATTACAATGCGGAAATTATTTGTTATTACAAAAGGAAGATTTCAGAAAGTATAAGCTACAATAAGAGGAAGAAGGTTTACAATCCTTTTCATGTATTACAAAAGAAATTAAAGTTGGTTTGAGGAGAAGAGTAATTGCTAGAGAGTATTTTGGATGCCACAATTGCATTGGCAGCTTCTGTGTAGTGAACTCCATCCCAGTTTATGTATTTTGATCCTTCACCACACACATTATGCCCACTTTTCCCACATGTTATATTGCGATTATAGTTGTATGGTGCTCCACCATACCCACAGCACGCCATTAATGGATTCACAAACCCTGCAAGAGATCACCATTCCAAGAACGTTCATCAACATAAATTTATCTGCAATTATAAAAAATGGGTTCTGAACACTTACCATAAGTAGCGGGATTGGCGAATAGATCGTATTTGATGGAATACATGTCCACATATACAATACTGCTATCTTCTAATTCAGTTCTAAGTTGTACGCATAAATCGTGCAACTGCTGATTAAATTCCTTAGCAGCATTATTAATAGGCTGAAGGCAACCATGTTCGTCAAAATCGCTAGCAGTCTTCTCAGTTATGCTAAGTATTCGAGGCAAACAACCTAATGGCCCTGTGTTGTGTACCCAGAAGTTCCTCCCTCCATGATCATATATATCCTATCAAATATTTGAAATTTCATTTTTTTTCCTATCATGTGACTAGAAATTTAGGTTGAAACTTGAAATATATATATCAAAATTCACCTGGATAGCGTAGTCTATTTCTTCAATAATAGATGGGATTTTTCTCATAACTTCTTCATGTGAAAGATATTCAAATGAAGCAGCCAAATCGTTCTGTCCAATGTCAAATATGTACAGTGCATCTTCGAAGTCTTCCTCACTGATCAAGTCTTTGTATCCTAAAATCAAAGTAAAAATAAAAGAAATGAATTATATATATGCATGGTTTTTTTTTTTTTTTTTCTTTTATTTGAATTTAATAATTTTCTTTACTATAATAGTACCTTGTGATAATAGGTCAGGAGAGCGAGTTCGGAAGTGAATGAACTGAAGAATTTGAACGTCCAAGCTAAAAGGTTTAAATCTAGGAGAAGTGGCTGCACCACTAAAGGCAAAATTAACTCCATACTTGAAATTAGGCCCCAGGGGTTGAAGATATGGTGTTAAGTAATTAATGTTCAAACTTTCACCTGCAAAACACACCACCGTAATAAAAGTTTATTCATTTTGAATAAATAATCCATTTATGAGCAAATTTTATCACTAATGATGACTTCATAGGCATAAAACATTAGAATTGCAGTTCTATACTATAAATGATGCACATGTTAATTTCAACTTACATAGGAAATCAATGACTAAACGTCCGTCCGACAACCGGCCAGATGGCTTATTGAAGTATGTACGTCCGTTGGGAGCTCCAAAAAGCATACCCAAGCCGGAAAAATATGCACCGGTGTCGGTATTGGAGTCTCCAAAGGTGAACACTACCGGATTTTTTTTGCACTGCGACTGAACATACAAGGGAAGGAAGCAAAAGACAACAGTAAGGAAGAAAGGAACTTTTGTTAGACTTTCATCCATTTTTTTACTTGGCTTCTGGTAAGAGAATTGCTAGTAGCTGTACTTATATATACCAAACAACGGTAACATGAGGGTACAAATGCGTATAATTTCAATTATGTGATGGTACAGTTTGTTATAAATGATAATAGTATAAATAAGCAAAATAAATATTTACAAGGTAAGCAAAAGAGTATAATAGCAAAATGTTACTGCGTCAATTTGTTTCAATAAACATTTGAAATATTACAGTCTAAGCAAAATCTACATTTGCAAAATTGGTATTTAGGCATCATAAAATGCAGGGGAAAATGGCTTATTTTCATATTATTGGTGTAAGTTTATTTTCATAACAAATACTTATAATAAATTAATTTATTTGTACCACAGACAATGCTTAGAGTTAAGCAACCTTAATCTAATCTAAGTGAAAATAACAAACCTACACTAATTAATTACCAAAGAATATGAAAAAAACAATAAAGAAAAAATCCAAAATGCATTTGGTGGTTGCATTTAGAGAAAAACTGTGGGTGAATCAAAGTTGGAAACAACTGCATGCAAAGGTGTGTCCACGACAGAATGAGCAACTACCTAAGCCATTATTTATATGATCTTTGGCTTATTTGGTGAATGATTTCCAATGCTTTGATAAAACTGAAGCCCGTGAACAAGCTTGTGCTCATAAGAAACAAATTCTAGGGCAGAGAGAGCATTAATGTAACAAAGTTTTGGCTTGTGAATGCTAGCTGTTGAAAATGTACGTACATCAGAATCACCATTTTAGGATTGACAATGGCCCCATACATAAAAATTTCCTTTCAACTTTTACGGTTTTATCCACGTGACACTTCAAAAATTGAGAGATCTATATAAAATTTGTACCTATCAACTATCAGATGTTTGATTCCTATCAAAAATTACAATTATAGAGGTAACGATAAACTTTTCGAAAATTTGAGAGTATTATAAAGATAAAATTTGAAAATTTGAGAGTATTATAAAGATAAAATTTTAAAATTTATATATATCATTGAATTAAAAAAAATATGACAAACCATGATGAGTACGGGAATAAAATCGTTCATCAATATATATTATGATTATTAAAAGCAAAATCCATATTAGAACTTTCAAGTGGGATAAGTAGAGACACCATAATTGAGTGGGTTCCTCATAATGTTTCTACCTAATGCAACTGCGTTAGGACTAAAAGAAAAGATAAACATACAGATAATAGATAATAGAGGAAAAAAAGGTAATTAATCTTATTTGGTTTGGCCTATTTCCTGATCACTTTCATAAGTTTTGTCAAAAAACATAAAAAGCAAACAGTAGTATAATATTTTGTTTACTTAATTCATTTATATAACTCAAATAAATATATGGAAAAAGGCAAAGTATAAATATTAAATAACAGATGCAGAAACCGCTTGGTGCTTAGCATTATTACCAATAAATTCTTACCTGAAATTTGCAGTCTTTTCTTGCTCATACCGGTTTAATGGGTTATCTCTTTGTTTCCTCTTGCTAGGTCCTTTTTTCCACGAAACGTATAAAAAAAATAGAGCCTTAAAATCTCTTTCTGGGTCATATTCCTCCCCAAACTTGTCGCTTTTCTCTATAAAGTCTCCCTGTGCCCGCAATTTTCATCCGTCGTCGATGCCTTTAACTTTTATCAATTGTTTGTTAAAAAAAACCATCAAGCGGGGATAGCTCAGTTGGGAGAGCGTCAGACTGAAGATCTGAAGGTCGCGTGTTCGATCCACGCTCACCGCATATTTTTTTGTCTTTCATATAATATTTATTTGTATTGAGTAGAATTAAAATTATTCATTTGAAAGGCCTTTATATTTTTGTTTTAATTACGTTTAATTTGTTATTATTAAACTTCTATTCGTATGTATTTACCTTTCTCTTGAATTTGATCAAAATTTAGAAGAATACAATACTTTATTTTATCTCGTTGCTATTGAAATTAACATGAATAACTCTTAAATCTTCTAGTAAAATGCGATAACTATTATATAAATATTCCGAAGTTAAGTTTATATATATCAAATAATTAATAAACTAATATTATTGAGTTTCATTACTTTTTTCATATGTTGAAAGGGTCACAAGATTCTTTTGCTTTTATTCCTTATTCGTTTATATATAAATAATATGAACAAAAAAATTTTATGTTAAAAGTTAAAAGGGCAAACATGGCAAAATAAAGTCATAACAAAGAATGTTTGCAACTCATTTTGCCTCTTTATAGTCGTATATCACCATTTGCAACTGTTTCACTTGGCACATTATGGTTAGGAGGCAATAAATTATCTCGACATAAGTTTGAACTTCTTTCCAAACAGTTCATCAAAATGACTGCATGTTGATGTTTTCAAAATCACATTGGAAAATATCAATTCAGCAGACTACAACTGAATTGTCCATCTGATAGGGAAATCTTCTCTGCTTTTATAACTGTGTCTAAAGGGAGAGGACTGAAACTTCGAGAGGGGCCATAAAAATGAGGGAAGCTGTTATTGCCATCCACAACTTCATATATCAATCCTTTCCCAAGCTGCAAAAAATACACACATTGTCATTTACCATGTTTTAGCAGGGAACTGAAACTACGAAACTTCAGAATTGAACACTGTCAATTAATGGCCATTAATACCTTGTCATTCCATAAACCAATTGGAAATATACATTTCTCAGCAGTAGAATGTGCTAAATGTCAAGACTTATAAGACAGCACATGTTATCATTCCATCCTTTCATATAGCAAGCCCATTTTAGTCCCTTCTTAATTCTACTTGTTAGCTTTTTAGCCTACCGTCCATTCATCAGCAGCTTCAAGTCACAGTTCTCTGGGGTGTTTGGAAGTAACTATCAAGAATTCAGAGTGACCGACAAAGAAATATAACACAAAGTCATGAAGTACATATTTTCTAGCATAATCTGGAGTAAAACTTTGGTATTCAAAACATGACACAAGATTTGTTAAAAGCTTAGCCAGACATGTTTCTCCTATTACTGCCTTTGAAACAAAACTTAAGCTATTTAACCAAATTGGCGTGTAATTCAAGTAAAACCAGCAAAATCGATTTAAAGTCATAAAATGCATACCTTTTTAGCATCAATTTGAAGCAGGTACAACTCTGTAGTAGTGTTGAGGAAGAAGTTCTGTAATGTTGATTGAACCTGCAAATAAAATGCCAATTGATGGTATTAAGACAGCCTGCCCTTTACAAGAAACTCAAAAGAATCCTTGGGAAAAAAAAAATCTTTAGAAGGTACGTTTGAGATACTGAATAGGTATCACCTCAAGCCCCAGAATTCTACTCCAGTGGCTCTAAAATTAAAATCTTTCAATCTTGAGATAGAAAATTTGCTGCTTTACTATCCATAGAATATTTCTTTGTAACTTTTCATAATTGTAAGAGTAAATAAACCCAGGCATTTCGGATGAAGAGATTTGGCAGTTGTTTCATTTAGATGATTGTGCCTAGGATTGGAAGGTCCAACCATCAGTTTCTAAGTTGGATTACTGAAGTAATTGAAGAGCAAGAACGAAAGAGAGAAATAATTTGGCAAGTTGTTTCATTTAGATTGATTGTGCCTAGGATTTGGAAGGTCCAACCATCCAGTTTCTATGTGCCTAGGATTGGAAGGTCCAACCATCAGTTTCTAAGTTGGATTACTGAAGTAATTGAAGAGCAAGAACGAAAGAGAGAAATAGAGGGAACCTGGTCGCGCTTGCTGAGGTGGATGAAACCAGAAGATCGGTCAAGATCTCCACCATAGACGGATCCATGTTTCTGCAAATCTTCCCACTCCTTAGCTGTACTAATCCTGTAAACGTACTTTTCGCCTTCACTCCCACTCGCTTCCTCCTTCGCAGCCATCTTCAAGCGCGGCTGGCCACTTCAACAAACAAAAGTTAATCAGAATTCAGACGCACGGATTAACAAAAAAATCCACGCGTCAAACCAGAAATGGGCTTATTCGAACTTAACAAGGCCGGGCCACTTGTCAAAGTAATGGTTGGGCTTTCATAGAAGAAATCAATCGAAGTTAATAGTGTGAGCCCAATAAATGTTTTGCAGGCTCATTAAAACAAACTCAGGCCCAAATATCTGGACCCGTTGTGAAATTTCGGCCCAATTATCTTCGCCCATTTATAAATTTAGGGCCAATAATTTGGGCCAACGGAGGCCCATTTCGGAAATTAAGCCAATATGCTGGGCTCATTACAATTTTCCAGGCTCAAATTTCCGGCCCATCTACGGAAACCAGGCCCATTCGGTTGTTCCCACTTCGGCTACGCAGACCCATTTAAGGCCCAATATATTGGGCCCATTATATATTTTCAGCCCAAATTTTGGGCCCATTTACCGGCCCATTTTGGGCCATTCAGGCCCATTAAGGCCCATTATAATTTCAGGCACAAATGTTTCGGCCCATTTATGCAATCCAGGCCCAATATTTGGGCGTACTATGAGCCACACAGGCTCATTTATCAAAATTGAGCCCAATTTTTGGCCCATTGTAAATTCAAACCCAGTTTATTGGGCTTAAATCCACCCACTGTAGGCCCATTATAAAAATCCAGGTCCAAGTTCATGGGCCATTACCCAATTTAATGAGCTGACTTTTGCCAAATAAACCAATTTATTAAAATATTATGGTTTGTTCAATATTATCAATTTTTATTTTAGTTTTATATTTTTAAAATAATTAAAAAAATTATTTAAATTAAATATATAGTTCTACAATGAATAGGCAAAAATAAAAAATATGGGCCCATAAGCTGTCTCATTTTAATTGGCGGACAAATAGGGTGTTGGGCGATGAGCCCAATGGAGTGGAGCCCATCTCTACTTAAAGCATTTGATTCCACGCGTACATGGGACGTTATTTGCGAGGTAGTGCTGCCCCCTTGTCCTCATTTTGGTCGGTAGTACAAGAGAGAGTGAGAGACTACCCAAGTTTTCCGGTTTCCTTTCTGATATTCAATTAAATGGCCACTACGGCGAAACTGAGCTTGCTCACTCCGCTCCATTTTCATTTCAGGAAAGAATTCCCTCCTTTTGTTTCCACTTCAGTTCGTCCAAAGCGTGGCGATTCCCTTTTTCCTCAGTTTAACACGACCACAAAGCACGTAAAAGATGCACCCATTGTCCCTGTAGTAAGAGCTCAAAGCTCCCCTGGTATGGCTTTTCCTTTTTTGTTTTTTGGGTCTTTGACTTAGAGACAACACGGATGGGTATTTAAAATACTTAATTATTTTTGTATTTGATTGTTCGCAGAGTATATACCGGATGCTAAATTCTACAAAGTGGAAGCAATTCTCAGGTTTTTCTTTTATCAGTTTTTATCTTTGACTTCGTTCTTGGAAAACTTTTTTGAGTCATATTTTCCTCCATCATGGCTCTTTGCCGTTAAACGAGCTTGAGTTTATTGAGCATAGTGTCTCTAATTCTGTTTCCATCTTTCCACTGTGTTGCTGGATTTGGGACGGCATAGGCCCTGGCGGGTCACGCGAGTTTCGTCGGTAAGAGCTAATGAATTTCTGAATGGTTTTATGCGTGCTTTAGATAATGCAGTAAATAGCTTCTAAATTTCTTGCAAGATTAATAGTTGTGCCCCTCATATTTGGACTTCATTATGCATGCAAAAGCTGTTTTGGGTTACCAGTTAATTCCCAGCTTGTCATCGGATATCTTTAACTACATTTCTTGTGCATTTAGCACATTTGCATAGCAATAGCAGGATTCAATGAAGGCAGTAATTAACATTTGACATTTCTTACTAAAACCCTTGATGGAATGGATATAATCAAAGGGAATATATTGATCTCATTTCCAGAATGTCTTTGGTTAGTGACAGATGTCTAAATTATGCGATTGTTAACATTGCCACTGCAAATAGAATAATTAGCTCATTTTATTCATTATGCTTCTTAATATTCCTACTTTGACAAGTTGAAGCTATTAAGCATTGCAACTTGCAAGACCTTTATAGATGATACTAGTCGGTTGGTGGATTAAGCAGCTTAATAGAGCATATTAATTTATGTAACCATGTGTGGATAGCTTTAGTTTATAGTCACAAGTAGGAAGAGAATCCAGTTGTTTCTACACCCCTAAAATGTAAGATTATTTATTATTTTCACCAGTCAAGGTCATTTGTGCTGATTTCTGTCAGGCTGTGGTTCATATCATTTAACCATCATTGACCTACACATATAAACATACGTAATTGTTGAATTTCTGAAGGCTGTCATATTTATTAGACATCAGGTTGCTTAGTGCCAGCACTAATTTTTATTTATGTTATAAAAAATAAAGGCTCTGCTGAAAATTGGTATCCGAGGTGTTACTGTTTCTGATGTTCGAGGTTTTGGCGCTCAAGGAGGTTCAACAGAGAGGCATGGTGGTAAGCTCTTTAGTTGTGGAACTGTCAAAAGTTTCTTCTTTTCATGGCTAAGTGTTTTTTTCTGAAAATCTGTTTAGTTGATTGCAGAATGTTTCATGTTTTCATTTTTTGTTTTACACAGCTAATCTCTTTTCAATGCAATATTTCATTTTTTGTTTTACACAGCTAATCTCTTTTTAATGCAATACATTATAATGATCAATGTGAACAAGTTGAATAACTAACCATAGTATTCTTTTTGTAATTATTGCTTATGGTGCTGCAGGCTCAGAATTTTCTGAAGACAAGTTTGTTGCTAAAGTTAAGATGGAGATTGTGGTGAGCAAAGACCAGGTATGCATAATATGGAGTGTCAAGATGTAATTTTGTGGTAACTTTAGTACTAATAGTTACATCATTCTTAGGTTGAACCCGTGATAGAAAAGATCATTGAGGAGGGAAGAACAGGAGAGATTGGAGATGGCAAGATTTTCTGTAAGATCACTTACTTCTTTATTACTCTTTAAGTAATAGATTGCATGATCCTTCAATTCCTTCCCATCTCAAAGCTCTAATATAAAGTAGATGTTAGTTATATATTTTCTGCATAACTATGTTAGGAATATGCCACAAGCAGCACTTTTTGCTATTTGAAATATTTAAATTACTTTTTTCCTGGGACTTGTTTTGAGGTCTTCTCTTTCTGTTTGGGGCGAGCAAAGTTTGGTAAAAACTGAAAACTGAACCAAACTGATTTGGTTTTGTTATTAGGTTTATCGGTTTTGGTTTTGGTTTTGGTTTATATCTTATATGACTTTGGTTTCAGTTTTTGGTTTGGTTATAATAAAATAAGTAATTTCTGTCTAAAACTGAACTGAAGATACTGGTTCAGTTCTGAACTTACTTGATTGTGGTTCGGTTTCAATAAAAATGAATTTGGTTACTGAACCGAACTGCCAGACTGCACACCCCTACTCTCCATATATATGTGTGCACCTGCACATACTTCTGACTTGTATTCCTAAAATTATGTTGACAATGGTGGCTTAATGAGTAATTCTGTGTTCCCTACGGCATATTTGTGTTAGCTTGAAATGTCTGACTGTGCTATCTGTTTGTAGTTGCACTCTATCCATAATTAATAGCTTTGAGTTGAAGTTAGCTGAGAAAAAATGTATTAGAGTTTTCTTTATTTGTAACGTCTTACTTGTAGCATGAATATTGTGGTAGTTAACTGGAGACTCATTGGACCACTAGCAGGTCACCAATAGCAAACATAGGTCAGTTATGCCATCTGGTCCGAACATGTAGCTGCATAATAAGCTTCTTATGAACTCCCTTGTATGCACTAAGCTATTTAATTGTAAACTTTGAGATGCTAAGTTAGGCAGTTAGCATTGTGGAAGAAAGTCATATAGCCATTTTCTATTAGTGAAGACCAAACTATTGTGGTCATGGCTTCTACTTCGTGATTAATTCAGCCGCACCTTAGGCAGTTATGGTGCCAATATCTATATATAAATCTTGAACTTTAACTTCACATTTGAATTAGTAGAAAGCTGACATATATCACCAAATTTCTCATGTTGTTTCCTTGTTTATGCAGTGGTTCCTGTTTCAGATATAATAAGAGTGCGCACTGGTAATATACTAGAATTTTATCAATAAAGAACTCAGTTCTATTTTATTTAGGTACCTTGAACTTTGAAGCAGCAAAAGTAGTTTCACACTTACTAGAGCAACCTTTTTAATGTGCAATTTTCAGGTGAGCGAGGAGAGAAAGCTGAAAGGATGACAGGAGGGCGATCTGACATGATTTCTGCATAACTAGTTCAAATGCAAGATTAGCATCTGTGTTTCTTTTTAGAAAGCTTGTCTAACTAAGCCACATCTTTTCTTTTTAGGTTACTGTATACATTTTAATGTGATGAAATAATTGCCGATAAAAGGAAAGCTGATTTATTCTCAGTCAATGCTAGAAATCTATTACCCTGTGTTTGGTCGGTTTGATGGGTTGAACGAGGTTAGGTTTAATTTCTATCGGTCTATGGTTAGACCTCAGATGAAAGGGAGAGTTGGCTTAGCTGTCTCATTGTACACCCAACACAGCATGTTCTATATCATTTAACCTAGGCATGGATGGATTATGAACCTTGCTGGTGGCTTCCAAAGTATAGTTTCTAAAGGGACCACTACTGGAGAGGTGAAATGTGGACTCATTATTCAATTTATCAAAACTCTTTTGCTGTATAATAACTGGAAAGGTGGAAAACATATTGGGCTATTATTTTACTAACGGCCGACATTTTAAGTTTTAAATATTTTTAATATCCTATTTGTGGAAATGAAAGTTTATTATCTGCATGCAATTAATTTTTAAAATTTAATTAAATTTATAAATTTAAAATAAACAATTACTATATTGGATTTAATTATTTTAAATTCTATAAGATTTAATTTTTGTAAGTGATATTTTTATTTTTATTTAGCCAAGTCTTTTTGATAACATTTTCACATAGTTGTGTTGCATTTAATAATAATACTGTCTTTTAATTTTGACACTTTTTTGTTTCAGGTGCTTTTATAAAATCAACATAATATTACTTATTTTATTATAATTTTATCCTTCTCTAAATATTTTCACTAAATTTTATTTCTCTTAATTATAAAGAATTAATTATCCTCCTAAGAATTAATTAAAGAATAACTTAATTAATTATTCTTATTTTATTTTATTTTGAATGAATCTAATTTAATTATTTGCTCAATTCTTATTCTTATGAAAATTAAAAAAAAAAAAAAAAAGGGGCAAATTAACGTGAAAGTAATTAATTATCGCTCCTAAGAAATTAATTAAAGAATAGACTTAATTAATTATTCTTATTTTATTTTATTTGAATGAAATCTAATTTTAAATTATTTGCTCAATTCTTATTCTTATTGAAAATTAAAAAAAAAAAAAAAAAAAGGTGCAAATTAACGGCAACAAAGGGTAGTAGTAAGAAAACATGAAAACGGAATAAATCCGCATCTTTGGATCGGGAAGCCCCTATCCCTAAATTGGAAAAACAAGGTCCACTTTTCCCGCAAACAGATTGCAATTCACCACTCAAGCTCTCCGATGCAGGCCAAAGGCCCAAAGCGTCGTATAACGCCGTAAACCAGGCCAACCAACAGTACACAGAGACTCAGAAACACGGCCTATAACGGCGCGTTTAAAACCAGTTAAACGCCCATGCTGGCAATCTGTGCTATAAAATACACGCACTCTCATCTTAAACCGGTAAATATTGCCGTGAAGAGACAGCTCTTCATTTTAATTTTGAATTTGGTGACGAGTTTTTAGTCTCGTCTTACCCGCATTTGCTCTTGGCTCTCTCTCAGGAATTAAAAAAAAAAAAAAAAAGGTGCAAATTAACGCAACAAAGGTAGTAGTAAGAAAACATGAAACGGATAATCGCATCTTGGGATCGGGAAGCCCCTATCCCTAAATTGGAAACAAGGTCACTTTTCCCCAAACAGATTGCAATCACCAACTCCAAGCTCTCCGATGCAGGCCAAAGGCCCAAAGCGTCGTCATAACGCCGTAACCAGGCCAACCAACAGTACACAGAGACTCAGAAACACGCTATAACGGCGCGTTTTACAGTTAAAACGCCCAATCTGGCAATCTGTGCTATAAATACACGCACTCTCTCTTAAACCGAGTAAATATTGCCGTGAAGGACAGCTCTTCATTTTAATTTTGATTTGGTGACGAGTTAGATCTCTCCTTACCCATTTGCTCTTGGCTCTCTCTCAGGCAAGTTAATTCTTTTTAACGATTCTCAATTCTCTCATTGTTTTTCTTTTTAGATTTCGAACATTAGATTTGATCTCCGTTTTGATCTGATCTCCTGCTCAATACCTTAAATTGAGGTTCCGTTTCTTGATTCGTTTGTTTAGCTGTTTGGTTTGTCATTTCGTCTGATGTTAAGATTTCTAGCGGGAATGTGTACTCTAATTGATTGATCTCGACAATTGTTTAGTGTTTTGATCGTTACATGTGGATCTCTGTTTGTCTCGCTTTATCATTTGTTTGTTTGATCCAAATCATTTGATGATCCTTGAGATTTGGACATCTATGGATGTAATATATGCGATTTGGTGCTTGATCTACCAGTAAATGAACTCCAATTCAAGTTTTAAGCTATCATTCTTTTGAAACCTTTGTTTGCAATTTGCACTTTCTTGATTGCATTATAGGATGCTTCAGATTCATTAGTAATGTGAATCAATCTGTTGTATGATTTTGGATCGTAGTCTAAACAATATTATTATTTTTCTGCTGGTTTGTCACAATTTGTTTGCTAATGGAACATAGTGATTCTTTTTTGCAAAATTTCACCTTTTAAGGGCGCATAATATTAGGTTTTTTATGATGTGCAATTCAAAAGCTACAGCACTCTTGAACATTCATACTAATGAAAATGCTGTAAGATTTGACAATTGAAAGAACATGGGTATTTTTCTTCTAGTATTCTTACCTGTGTTTGGTTTACGTTGGGAAACTTATAATAGAATTAATGCTGGCTGGAGCTGGACTATCAATGATTTGATTTTTTTGGTTTCTGGCATCTCTAGGTGTGAAAAGATGGGGCTGTCATTCACCAAGTTGTTCAGCCGGTTGTTTGCGAAAAAAGAGATGCGTATACTGATGGTGGGTCTTGATGCTGCTGGTAAGACCACCATTCTCTACAAGCTCAAGCTTGGAGAGATTGTCACCACCATTCCTACCATTGGTAAGTTTGATATGATACTAATTATTTTAGTTTATTATCTATGTATAATAGGATTTTAGATAGGAATTGATGGATCCTTTCACATTTCACCAAAATGGCCTTTGTTTTAAATATTTAAATAAATAATTGTTTTCTGATGAGAATTTTACATTCAATTTCTGAACCTGCATATGTGGTGAGATTCTCCACATTATGTTTGTGGCTGCTGCTGCATTGATTTTGTTACCACTTGAGTAGCATTACCAATTGACATAGATTTCTTGTTTTATTTATCACATTTCTGATTCAGTCAATGGGAAAGGAGTTTTCCCTGTCTTTTCCCCTCATACTACGTTCTTTTGGAATTAAATTTTTTTATCTTTTGGCCAGGGTTTAATGTGGAGACCGTGGAGTACAAGAACATAAGTTTCACTGTCTGGGATGTTGGTGGCCAGGACAAGGTATGTATATTTTATCATCGAGCCCATTAACTAAATAGCAGTGTGAATTGTGTCGCATTAAGGACATTACTGTGCACTTCATTTCTCCCATGATTATCGAGTGGAAGACTTTATGCAATGGCTTATATTTTGAGACGTTTCATGTTATATCTACAGTACTATCTGTTTAGCTAACACTGTCGCTAGCCTAGCTGTATTCAACTTGTAATGCTACACACATCCTTTAAAAGATTTTGAAGTTCAAGCCATTAATTGTTTCCACTTTTTTTTTTTATCATTTCAGATCCGACCATTGTGGAGACATTACTTCCAGAACACACAAGGGCTTATTTTTGTTGTTGATAGCAATGACAGGGACCGTGTGGTTGAAGCTAGGGATGAGCTACACAGGATGTTGAATGAGGTATCAAAAAGCCTCCAGTATATATGAATGTCTTTCTGAGATAAAACATGACTTCAGTATATTTATAAAAAGTTGCAATCAAGTGTCAACATCTGGCTGGAATTTGATTTGTTATTTCTGCATGTTTTTCCCTTGATACTAGTACTACCTTCTTGCAGGATGAGTTGAGAGATGCTGTACTGCTTGTATTTGCAAACAAGCAAGATCTTCCAAATGCAATGAATGCTGCTGAAATAACTGATAAGCTTGGACTTCACTCTCTCCGCCAACGCCACTGGTAAGATATATGAAAGCTCGAAATCCCCTTGCTTCAAATTGCACACTCTTCCCTCACATTGATCCTTTATGCATGCTGTGCATTGCAGGTACATCCAGAGCACATGTGCCACTTCTGGTGAAGGGTTGTACGAGGGACTGGACTGGCTCTCAAACAATATTGCAAACAGGGTAAAAATATAATTATGACACATTGTCAAAATAAATAAATAGCACGAAATTTCTGGAGCGACCAATGGTTCTGATATGTACTCGTACTTAAATTTTGTTGCTTTAATTGCAGGCATAGGTGATGGCGTAACTCTTGAGTTTTTGATTGCAACAAAGTACCGGAATACACAATTGATAGTGCTCCTTTGTCTTCTGAATTTTTTTAAGCCTCCTTTAGCGGCTGTACCTGTTTAACCGTGTTTGTCATTTTTCGTCCAAACATTGCAATTTTTTTCCTGTAGCTTCAGAATAATTCATATATTTCCATTGTTGTTGACATCTAGTAGCAATATTTGTTTCTTTTTCCAAGAATCGTTGTCGATGTAATGAATATTGTGACATTTTTCATTCCTTCTCTAGTGGGGCGATTCTTTTTTTTGTCCCTTTTTTCTCTCCTGCCACCCTTCAGTAACGCTCGATTAAGTGGTATAACTTCTTAACGTCGCTATGCAAAAGTAAAGGGGCAAAAAGAACTTGACGTGATCACATTTATCAGGTTAATCGGTTTTCCTAGCAACTTGACGTGATCACATTTATCTTATTTGCTTAATCTCATTCCTCCATTGGACTTGAACATTACAAAATGGGCCGAGGTTTAAGTTTCAAAAGAGAGAGTGAGAGATTTGAAACTAATGACTTGAATTGTTTTCATAAAAAAAAAAAAAAAGACTTGAATTTTTTTTCTTTTAACCTATGTTTATATCGAATGAAGACATGGTTATTACTGCCAATCCTCCATTATTCAAATTTTACCGTTAATAGCTCTTATGTTAGTATGGTTGCCATTTTTCGAAGATTGCATTTCTTTTTATCTGAAAGTAGCTTTACAAGTTTAAATATGAAGTTGAAGGCCATTTTAGCAAAAATAAAAAAAGGACTTAAAAATTAATTAATATTGATTTGGAATAAAAAAAATTCCCTTTCTGTCCAGAGTGATGCATGCCATTAATTGTCCATCGCGCCATTAAGAAAAAGCCCAACTCAGCTGCCTTATCAGCCCAATAGGGTTCAAAGAGCAATTCTTCGCCTTCACCGCTGCCGTTAACCAATAACGCCTTCTTTCTCTGCATTTGAAGCAGCATAGTTTTGGCGATCAATGTCCAAAAGAAGAGTCTCGCTTTTCACAATCAATTCCATCACAACCTTGTCCAAGGTATGCTCTTCGATTAATTCCTCTAATTCAATCCAAACCCTTGCTTTATCGAAAAATCTTAGCACTGCAGCTCAAAGATCGGAGTTTCAAAACCCTGTTGGTAACCACTCTGAGAATTCTGATGAGCATTTCCAAAGCCCTGGTGGTTCCTGTGGCGAGACCCAAAACCCTCTAGAGTTAGTTCAAAAACAAAATGGGAAGGGCTTAAGCCCTAATTGGGGTTTTAGGGAAGCCGCTGGAAATGTTGTAGGGAACAATCAGTGTCCGAAGAATTGGAATTCTGTTGGGTCTTATGGGCAAAATCATAGAGATTTGGATGTAGATTACCAAAATTTTAGTGGGTCTTACCGGGAAAGCAATAGGGGCGTCAATCAGACTAATCCAGTTGAGAGGAATAGTAATTTTGGCGGACATTATGTGGATACTGGGGAGTTTCAGCATAGCCATAGGGAGGTTTCTGCTTCAAATTCAAAGAATTTACAGGATCATCCCAAAGGAGTTTATGGAGGTAATGCTAATTTTCAGGATGTTAACGGGTATTATCATCCTGAACCTAGAGATATAAGACAGAACCCAACTGGGCATGATTTGCAACGTCCTTCAGATTCACAAAGAAGCTGGAATAGCAATAATACTCAAAATGTTAATCAATTTCAGCCTGGCTCCAGTGGTTATCGCATGTGGAATCTTGGTATGTATCAGCATGACCCTAATTCTGCCCAATATCAGCAGAATGTGAATGTTGGACAATATCAGCCAAAATCCCATGGTGTTCAGAATGTAATGGAGGCTACTTCTCAAGTACAAAACAATGCCAGAATTAATGGGCATTTGGCTGTCTCTTCTGAAAGTAGCCCATCCGGAGGTTTTCTTAAAGAGCTTGATGATTTTTGCAAGGAAAAGAAAGTGAAGGAAGCTGTTCAAGTTTTGCATTCATTAGAGGAGCAGCAAATTCCTGTGGATTTGCCTCATTTTTTGCAGTTGATAGAGGCTTGTGGAGAGCTTAAGGCTTTAGAAGAAGCAAAAGCAATTCATGACCATATTTTGAGATCGTTGTCCCCTTTGAGTGTCAGCATGTCTAACAAGATCATGGAGATGTATGCGAAATGTGGTGCTATGGACAGTGCATTTGATGTTTTTAACAAAATGTCGGAGCGCAATTTGGAGTCTTGGCATCTTATGATCACATGGCTTGCAAAGAATGGACTTGGGGAGGATGCCATTGATCTGTTCAGTGAGTTTAAACGAGCAGGATCAAAACCTGATGCACAAATGTTTATTGGGGTGTTTTCTGCTTGTAGTGATGTAGGTGATGTTAATGAAGGAATGTTGCACTTCGAGTCCATGATGAAGGATTATGGCATTGTCCCATCAGTGCAGCACTACGTAAGCATTGTGGACATGTTGGGAAGCACTGGATATTTGGATGAAGCTTTGGAGTTCATTGAAAAGATGCCAATGGAGCCAAGTGTAGATGTTTGGGTAACCTTAATGAATCTTAGCCGAGTTCATGGGAACTTGGAGCTCGGGGATCGCTGTGCTGAGCTTGTTGGGCTTTTAGATCCCTCCCGATTGAATGCACAATCTACAGCAGGCTTTGTACCAGCAAAAGCTTCAGACATTGCAAAAGAGAAAGAGAAAAAGCTATCAAGTCAAAATCTTTTAGAAGTAAGGAGCAGGGTCCATGAATATCGCGCGGGGGATACCTCACATCCTGAAAATGATAAAATATATGCCATTCTTAGGGGTTTAAGGACTCAGATGAAAGAGGCTGGTTACATTCCGGAGACGAGATTTGTGTTGCATGACATTGACCAGGAAGGGAAAGAAGATGCTCTTCTTGCTCACAGTGAGAGGCTTGCTGCTGCTTATGGTCTTCTAAGCAGTCCTGCTCGCTCACCTATTCGAGTGATAAAGAACCTTCGTGTTTGTGGTGATTGCCACAATGCAATGAAAATAATTTCAAAGATCGTTGGAAGAGAACTCATTATGCGTGATGCCAAGAGGTTCCATCATTTCAAAGACGGGGTGTGTTCTTGCCGTGATTATTGGTGAAAAGGATGAAACGAAAGGTGCTTTCACTCTCATTCCCTTCATCCTTATCTTTTCAAAATTGAAAAACGTCAGAAATTAAGTGTATGCAAGTCATTTTAACCCTTCAGTTTCTTTTTTGTTCTTTCTTTTCCGTTCTTACATCTTTTACCTGCCAATTGCTGGATTTCTCATGATTATCTCACCCAAATAATAAATATTTGAGAAGGTTTAGTTGGTTTATTGCTGCCCTTGTTAATCCATTATTTATTATTTAAGACTCGTTTGACAAAAGTGCTTGCTAAGAATCTGTAGAAAATAACAATAACGATGCACAAGGTCCATAATCTTAGTCTTATAATCTTTCCAGTCGTTTATTGATTACAGTAAATTATGACTAGCCTTGAAGAAAATCCCTCATTCATACTAGTTGATAAATTCTAATTTGCTTGACCGAGTAACTTGTGATAATTATGCACATGAGCTGGCAATCATTGTTATATCATTGCTTAGTGTTGATATATCATTTGTTTCTTTGCAGGTCGTGCATTGAAGTTGATCTAGAAAGACTTAAAGTGAATTAGTGAAAAAATATTCTCTTCAAGAAAATCTATGTACTACACAACCTATCCATGGACACTCCACGCACGTGAATAGAGGCTGTAAATGAGAATTCATTAGCTGTATCACAAGGCAAAAGTGATTCGGGGGAAATGAAGAGTTAGGCCTGACCAGTTCAAACACAATTAACTTATGTTAAAAGGATGAAGGAATTTTTTTTTTTTTTAAATAGATTTACCATGCTTGCGTGGATGATGACATTGATGAGAAGATCATAAGATAGCAGACATCATACCACTTTTAGATGGCTGATTGCCATTTGTCTATGTATTTTTGAACTTCCAAACATTTAATATTATATCAATTTTTGGGTGACCAGATTATGAATTACAGAATCTGAAATCTAATTTCGCAGTGACTGTCTTCATTGCCAAGTTATTATGATCCTTCCATGCTTGGATGGCATTATGAGAATGTTGAAGATGAAAATAGAAGTAAGGCCTAACTTTTTAGTGGATAAATTTTTTGAGATTTGCCTTTAACGTGCTACTGAATCCCCATTGAGTTTTCCAATTAGAAAATTCAAAAACTATAAAATTATCATTGTATTAAACACTGCAATGCATGAAGTAATTGATTTATAATTTCTATTGATGTCCTCACATAAATCCCCCATATTATTATAGGTATATATCCAGTTTCAATTCTCACTTTCTGAACGGACCAAAAAGAGAACTTCTTATGGACTTGATAGTGCACAATAAAAGAATAGCGGGGTTCAATCGAAAAAACACCAAAAGTTTAGGGGTTCGAAAATGAATTTTCCCCGAGTGAAATGGGATGGACTTTAGAAACAATGGGAAAGAATTGAAATGGAAGTCCGCAGAGAAAGTAGCATTCACGGAACGGCCATATTAACATTGCAGCCCTCTGCTTTATGGAAACGAATTAACAATGGAGAAAAAGAAAATAGAAGAAAGAATTTCAAGAGCACTGCCTCTTCTCCCAAACATAACTTTGAAAACACCAGATATACAAGTTCTATAGCTTCATGAGACTTCGAAGGGATTGAATCAAAGAAAGCTAAAAACCTCTTATCAGGATGTTATTTGAAGTAGCTCAGGATCAAATCAATCAGCAAGTGAATGCTCCAATAATAGGAAGTGATTAAAATGTGAAAAGCAGATGCCCACTTAGAAGATGACAGATAAACTGTCAACTAAATGTTGTCAACTAAATGTTGGCAACAAATGCTTTGTATTTTACAGAGACAAGATCAAACCCAATTACAAACTGATTAGCAAAATAACAATAATGTAAAGGGATTCATCTCTTTCCAGGACCAAGAATCCAATTAGACGTCTGCAGATAGAGGATATAACTTTCTATCTTTCGCTGGTAGTGGTGCCAAAAGACCACCATCTTCCGCCTTCTCTCGCATAATGTGTTTCACGGCAAAAAAGCAAAATGTGTTTCAAGGCAAAAGCGCAACATACTTCAAAGACAACAAAAAGATTTGTTGACTGCATATTGCTGCATCGGAATGCTGTTCATCTAAGGGGGAAATTGTCACTCTCTACCAATGCAGCTATGCCATCTGTGGAGGCCCTTTTCCAACAGTACAGTAATTTCAACTTTCAAGCAATAAATAGTTACTGCTAGTCACTACAATGTCTCACTAAGGCGCTCTTCTCCTCCAGGAATTGGAATTGAAGACCCAAAAATAGCCATCTTCTCCAGCATGTTCTGAAGGGCTTCATGCTTGTTTGTCAATTCCATGAGGACTTTGATCCTCCTGAAAGAAACATTGCTTGGTTTATGTCCTTTCTCAATCATCTGCAGAAAACACTTCTCTGCTTCCACCAACTTCCCCATATCACAAAGTAAATCAAACAACACATCGGATACCAAAGTATAGGATCCAAAACCCTTCTCCACCATGTCATGCCACAACATCAGTGCCATCTCTACCTTTTCATGCCTTCTGAACAACCTTATCAGAAACATACAAGATTGTGTATTAGGCAAGCATCCAGCATCCATCATTTTCCTATACAAACTCCATGACCTTGTCAAGTCATTTGACCAATAAAAAACCCTAAAGAAAAGATTATAAGTAGTTGCATTTGGACTCAAACCCTTGCTCGCCATCTCATCTATCAAACTTGAAGCATAATCAAGCCTCCTTGCGATGCAATAGTTCCTAATAGCAGCATTGTATGCTGCAACATCAGGGTAACATCCATACTCCTTCATTTCCTTCAACACATCTCTGGCCTTATCCGGTTGACCAATCAACCCCAAACCACCAATGATGCTAGTATATGTTATGACATCTGGGGATATATCCTCCTCTCTCATCTTTTCAACCATCTTGTATGCCTTCTCCATCTCTCTACCTTTACAATACACATCAATTAAAGAATTATACGAAACAACATCAGGTTTAATACCCAATTCCCTCATTTCCTCAAAGAATGACTCTGCTTCCTCTGATGATTTCCAACCTGATAAAAGTATATTAAAAGTCTGCAAATTTGGGGTAAACTCTTTCTTCAATCTATGATACACATTTCTAGCATCATGCATACTCTTCTCCTGACACAAAGTCCTTAACAATGCATTAAAACTACTAGTATCATAAAAAGGAACCAACTTTTTGAACCTTCTAAAAGTTTCCACGGTTTGCCTAACAGAGCACAACTTAGCAACTCTACCCAAAACCACTTGCACAGTCCGTGGAGAAATCAAAGACGGATCTTTCTTCTTCATTTGAATTAAAACATCCCAAATATGATCAAACTTTCGGCTTCTACCCAGTATATAAAGCATAGTATCCAAAGAATACGAAGTGTGATAAAACCCTTTTCTATTTGCAGTGAATTTAAAGAACTCAAGTGCTTGCAATGGATTTCCATGGCCAAACCTGACCCTTTTCAGGACTTTATCGATCAAATCATTAGAGAGAAAAACCCCACTTGAACTTAATGATTGTTTAAGGTTTTGGGTAGAGGAAGAGCTAGTAACGATGCGGTAAACGACCTCGACTTCGTCGTTTTGGGAGGCGGGGCTTGTGCAAAAGAAGAAGCGAGAGAGTGAGCTATTAGAAACGTACCTCGATTTCGACGAAATTGAGAGAGGCTTCAGAATCATTGTTCTTTATATTTTCCCTTGAATTTCTTAGACTTAGAGAAATTGAATGTAAGAATTCGATTGGAATTGCGCCGCCAGCAGAGCTCACACTGGCTCTAAGTGGAGAAACGCAGTAAAGGGGATGAAACAGACGCCGTTTTACCAGGAAGAATTTCTGTTTAGTTTGCGCTGCCAAACTGCCGATTTAGTGGGTTAATTAATTGACCCTATTGGATTGCAAGTGGTTTTGTTTTTGCCAAATTATTTTTTTTTTAATTTAAAAAGAAAATTTATAGTGCTTTCAAAAATTTCACTAAATATCATATTATTTTGTTATTTTACATTGAAACACAACAATTTATATTTTTTTATGGTAATGTTGCTTAAATAATAATTACCATAAAAACACAGAACATCCTATATAAAAGCTCAAGACACAGGACAACACTCCAATAAACCAGACATATTTAATTATTATTAAATAACTAATTATTGATAAGAATTAATTGATTCTCAATATAAAAAAAATAAGACTCAAATATAAAGCTCATGTATATGCTTTTTTTTCAAATTTATAAGATGCCTGATGATCATAAATAACATAACAAGCTATATAATAAAAAAACAGTTTTTTCCTTTCAACTATCACTAAATTGATGAAATATGTTGAAATGCAAAGTTAGAAAATAAAATAAGATAAAATGTGAGCTCCTTTTAAATAATAGATAAATTTAAATAACATTAAATAAGTTAATTGATATTATAGAATGTATTAATCTTGTTCATACTTTAAAATAGGTTACATTCTAATGAGGAATAAAACTTTCATTAATTATTAAAATAATTTATTTTACGGTTATCATATAATACAAGACACATAACTATAGGATTTTTCATTTTGTAAATATTTTTACATTTAATAACATTATTAATTTGTCAATCATCCGTGATTTGGTTGGTCCTATCATTAATGTGGAAAGTGACATGTCTAGAATTCAAATAGTTTTTATTATGAGAATTTTCAATAATTTGATGATTATATGAGAAAAGTATTCATATTTTGACAGGGATTGAACTTTGTATTCTTTTTTCATCTTTTTATTTGAAGAGGATTTATTATTATTCGCATTAAGCGTGTTTAACACATATACAACATTTTATATTAGCAAAGCCAATTGGTTATAATTCTTTGCCTCAAAATTTTTTTTTGAGTTGGTTATGTTAATATTGACTTTATTTTTAATTTGTTTTTCCAATATATTAAAAATAAGATAGATGGTCTATTCAAAATATAATAATAATAATAATTATAGTAGTAGTATTAATAAGATATATTGGGGAAAATGATTTAGTAGCCTTAACTTTATTATGACCAACTAATTAATTAATCAAGTATACACATAATGCTAAACAAGGGCAGTGGAGACAAGCGAAGTGTCAGATCAATGTCATAAAATTTTGTAGTGTAAGATTAATTAAAGTATTAGATAAACCTTATTTTATTGCTAATGGCGGAAAATTTGTATAGTGTCGCGGATCAATGCAATAAAAATATGTGAAATAAAAGAAGAAAAATCACCACTGAGTATTGATTAAGTGAGGTCTATAGCTAATATAAAAATAATAATAATTAAATGGCCTTTGATAGCCATTGCTATTAAAATGTAAAATAATAATTATATATTATGATATATATATATATACTATTAATCTGACCAAACTAATTGAAATTAATCAAGTATACACAATAATTGCTAACAAGGGCAGTGGAAGACACAGCGAAGTGTCAGATCAAATTCATAAAATTTTGTAGTGTAAGATTAAATTAAAGTATTAGATAAAACCTTATTTATTGCTAATGGCGGAAAATTTGTTAATAGTGTCGCGGATCAATGCAAATAAAAAATATGTGAAATAAAAGAAGAAAAATCCCACTGAGTATTGATTAAGTGAGGTCTATAGCTAATATAAAAAATAATAATAATTAAAATGGCCTTTGATAGCCATTGCCTATTAAAATGTAAATAATAATATATATTATGAATATATATATATATACTATTAATTTTTAAAAAAGTGATTTTTTTTTTTTTACTTTAACATGTTATGTAACAAATATTAAATTAAAATTTTTTAAAAATACCCCTTTAATATTTTCAATAATATAAATAAAAAATACGTGTTAATATATACTATTAATTTTTAAAGTGATTTTTTTTTTTTACTTTAACATGTTATGTAACAAATATTAATTAAAATTTTTAAATACCCTTTAATATTTTCAAATAACTATAAATAAAAAATAGTGTTAATTTAAAAAAAAATACTTTGTTGGTTATTATTTTTATGAAATTAATAATTTTTATAAATGTAACACAAATACAAATTAGAGGTGGCCATGGTTCCGAAACCGCCGGTTTCGGTTCCGGAACCAAACCGAAAATTAACGGTTCCGATTACGGTTTAGAATCGAACGGTTCCGGTTCTAGTTTCGGTTCCTCAACGGTTCCAAAATAGAGAATTCCGACTGGTTCTCCGGCTGATTTTGCGACCGATTTCAGACGGTTCCGATCGATTTTGGACGGTTCCGGCCGGTTTCAGACAGAACTATAACCGTCGGTTTTGATAGGAACTGGAATCGCTGGTTCACGGTTCCAAAACTGGTGGAACCAGAACCGAATCAATTTGGACTGATTCCGGTTTGGACCGGTTCCAAACCACCAGTTCCGGTTCTAAAAACCGTAATATGGCCACCCTTAATACAAATCATTTAGAATTTTTATTATCTTATCACTTTAAAAATAAAAGCCATATTCTTTTCTTTTTATTTTTCACACTATCTATTAATACAGGTAAAATAATTTATGCTCACATTGAAATAATAATCGAAAGTAATGTTTAAAAAAAACCCTTACAACATTTTGAAAGCAATGCTGTTTTACTTACAAAATAAGTAACTATCAAATATGAATAGTATCATTTCTTTTTTTTTTTCCAATCAAAAGCAAATGTTTGAAAGCAAAAATATCATTAGACTAAATCCATTTCAACACTGTGATTTCTTTTTTCCCAAAGATAGATAGCATCGTTCATTAAATGGAATAAAAATTACGTCAAGTGGCTTAATGGTCAAAAGATTGTTGCACTGCAACGGTCACCCGTGATTACATGTTTCGACATCGCGAACCATAAAGGATCCGGACGCTTAAATTCGATAATGGGGAAATTTTGACCGTTGATGAGATTCCTGCATTGAATTAATTTTGCAGTCAGAAACATATGAAATAGAACACACAGTACGTAGTCCGGAAGAGCAGCTAGCGTGCTATGTTCCACAAAAGCCAAAAGATTAAAAAAGGATGGAGAAAATAACACACAACTATGAACTATATATATTCGATATTTCACCAATAGTTCAAGCCATTACAATCAGATAATCAGCATTTCTAATACGAAAACCTAAAAAAAAAAAAAAAATAAATACATATGTGTATATATGGGATCCGCCCGTGACTTGCTCTGTTTTTCCTTGCTAGGACGCGAGGACAACAGACCTGATTCAGATTCACTAACACCTTTAAAAAGGAATCCACCATTTTCTTCCCCCCTTTTTTCCCTTTTTTTAAAATTTTTTTGTGATCCTCATTTCTACGTCTACAATTAGTGGCTTTGCTTTTTTTTTTTTTTTTTTCCTTCTTCTACGGCAATCTATATAACTTTAAGCAGCTGATGGGGCCGTCACGTATTGAACAGCACCAGCTTCCGAAAGAGCTGCAATGAATGGCTGCAAGTTCACTGGCTCAGCATCACCATCCGCAGCTGGAACCTTCTTATAGTCGAGTGATTCATCATTATAAATGTCCCACCATTTCTTCACCAGCATCTTTATGTCTTCTCTCTGCATGTTCTCCTCTTTGCCAGTGTATCTCCATGGCTTAGAGCCCTATAAGCAACGATTATTCAAATTATTCCTGACAACCAAAAATCATTACTAAACTGAAGTTTCTGCAGTTAAAACATAATACTTACCGCTGCACAGTAGTGAACGACTTTGACCTTGTCAAGCTCCACATTCTCCGGATGACGCCACAACATTGCCAGAACAAGATTGTAAACCAGAGGCAGTGGCTTGTAGATATCCTTAAAATACATATTCAAGAAGTCCTGTCCAGCACGAAATACATATTTTTAAAAGATCGTAAATAAATCTGGACTTTCTCTGATCAAAACATGGATGTATTAAAGAAAGAAAATGCTATTATACCTGCTCTGCAAAAGAGGTAGGAGTCGTGACCTTGAGCGTCCTCAAAAGATCATGGTATGTAGAGATACTGGGCTCAAACACAAACATGCCAGCATTGAAATACAGAGCTGGGGGCTGGCCCAATTCAGCAGGCCACTTGACTCTGTCAGGGCACTGCTGGCAGTAACCGATCTTGTACTGTGGAGTGTGGCTCCAAGTTTTCTCGCAGAAGCAGTCCATTACGGCGTAGAAATATCCATCGGGCAAATCAAACAGATGATCTATGTTGTCATATACCTGTATGTCTCCGTCCAAGTATATCATCTTGCTGTACTCAACAAACTGCATTTCAACTTAAAAACCTATTAATACAAAGTCGTATGGAAATCAAACAAGAGATTCATTTCCGCCATAAAAATTGTACTCAAAACATGTGGAGATTTCTCTGGATAGACACGTGTGATATTAGAAAAGGCAATTAAGAGACGTGTAACAAAACAAGACACCTTCAAGTCCATATGTACGTGTGATGTAGGGAAATGTACGTACCTCCCATATACGAAGCTTGGAGTAATTGATGACGTAATATGCCATAGCGAACTGGGTCTGATTCTCTGGAGGGTAAACGGGTTCGATCTCTCGTACTATGCAGCCCTGTGATTCAAGAATCCGCCTGTGCTCCTCTGGAACGTCTGGTAAAATGGCCACCACTAATGGGTAAGCCGTTTTCACCTTCCGCAAACCTTTGGCTAACCCGACCACACCTTTTATATAATCTCCATTGCCAGCCAAGAAAGTGACATAAGCTCGCCTGGGCAAACTCGCTGGTTTGGCGAATCCGGCAGGTTTCAATGCAGCCTGAACAAGCTCAGGAGCCATGATCGATGAGAGAGGTAAGAGCAGTAAGAATCAAAGGAGAACTCGACAGAGAGAGACTGAATGCTTGTGAGCGGAGGTATGTGCTTGGGTGGCTTTGTTCTGAGGTAATGAGGGAACGATGGAGGTAGAAGGTTTAAATAAGAGAGATCAAAGTAAGCGTGGGGAGAGATTAGAGGAAAATTATCATGTAGTTTCCATAGATATTGGGCTGTGTGCCTTACACGTGTCCCTGTGATATGATCTAACGGTGAAGTTGGCATTTCCTGGAAAGTTCTGGAGCTGGGCCTACATTAATAGTTGGATAGAACACACTAGAAGAGGCTCTACTCTGAAAATTAGGTAGTAATCGGGTGCGACGCGGTACAGTTCACGGGATTGAACTGAAGAATAGAAATATTGGCGGATACCTTTTTTCGGACGGTTGCCTTAAACTTTGGGCAAAAAGTACTTTTCAGGTGTAATTAGGAAATAATTAAAGTGTAATTTTGGAACCAGAAATAAGCAAACGTGAAAATTACTGCTAGACCGCCTTGATTTATCCTGATCGTCTGTTTTAGTACGTCATAACCTTTTTTTAAAAGGAAAAAATCACATTTGTTAATAAATTTCCCTCAAACCACACGACATGCCATCAAAACATACGACAACATCCGACCAACTTCCATAGTTTTAGATCAACTTTTATTTATGGTTTTACTCCGCCAAAACAATTTTAATGAACAACATGTTATCCATCGGATTTCAAAAATTTCGTCGATCACAATAATAAAATAACAAATGATGATTTTGGCCTCGTTAAAGATCGAACAAAATGAATATTGTAATACGATGGGGCCGTAATATGAAAATAATAATTCTCAAACCCTTGGTGACCATTCCTTTTAAATATTGTGTATATGCTTAAATCTTTTTGAGTCCAGTATATTTAGCCTCAATCCATGCTATGAATATCTCTAACTATTAAACATTAGTATTTTTTTTTTCTTTTTAATTAATAAGTATTACGGAAATTAAATTTAAAAAAAATTTAACAAATTATTAAATTTTTTTTTTTTAAAATAGTGGGTCTATCATCTTCGGATTGTAGAGTATAAAGCTCCAAATAAATGTGTTTTACAGGAATTGAATTATATTACTATTCTGATGGAAATTGCAATTAATTGCACGTTTCGGTAATTAGTAGAAAAGTGAATCCGTTAATACAAGGTGAAGAAGGTGAGGATGGTGGGAAATGCTCTAAAACCTTCATGAAGTGTTTGTTTGTTGGCGAAAGATCGATAAAACAAGCAGCTAGAAACGTTAGGATACTTGAAGATGGATAGGAATGACATGAAATGGACAAACCCACCCTCAACCACACCCCATAATTACAAAAAAATAAAATAAAAGACCAACCGAGAAGTTGTATTGAATTGTCATGTTTTCTACAAGCATTGCGTGTTATAAAGGACAAAATCAACAAAGAATGAGTGACTGCGTAGATTCCTATTTGGAGAAGGATCCAGCTCGTCTACCCTAAACTAGTATGTGCGGAACCAAACCCTCTCAATTGTGAATGCCCTATACGGATACTATTACATGTGGGGGCTACACTTGCACTCATAATAGCTCCACTGCATCAACTTTGCGGTTCATATGTGTGGAATCTTGCCATGTCATGCATCTTTGTATCTTTTTCTCCACTTCTGTGATTCCATATATAATGTTTACGTGAAATGACAAAAATCAAAAGAAAAATTATAATTATAAACTGTAATTTATATAAATTATTAAATTATTTTTATATTTAAAAAAAAAATTACAATATTCTCATATTTTGACCCCGTTACTCATAATTTATTTTCAATTTAATTTATTCAATTTTTAATATAAGTGAAAGGAAAAATAAACGGTCAAAACAGCATAATACTATTGTTTTCTGAAGTATTCTTAACAACTCTAAACCATCACTTACTGACGCTATCATTGACCAAATTCTAGCCTCTAATTTATTAATTATCAAATTATATGTTGCGGTGGTGTTGATGGTTCTCCTCGAATTTAGCCATCCACTGGAAGATTGTAGACTAATCTTTTGTATTACTCCTATCCATTACCACAATTTTGGCAAATCATTTTTTCAATTTTTTTCCTTTATTTTGTAATCAATGGATATTACGTATAAATACGTCTGGACGAATCTTTTACTGATCGTACATAACTTTCAAGTCTCATGCAAAAATATTGTAATTTTTTCTTTTATTTCTCTTATTACTATATAATTCATTATTTTTATCAATTTAATGAGAAAAATTCATGAATAAACATAATGATCGAATAGGATATTAGAATATAAAATTATGAATTGATCTACAAAAGCAATGCTTTTTATTCAATTTTTATTTAAATGGGTGCGTTTGATATTTAATTAAAAAAAGGGAAAAAGTGAAAAACTTTCAAATAAAAAAGGGACTAAATTGGCTGATTTTGATTGGTATTTTAAAAATAAATATAATAAAAAATAATGGAAAATTCAAGACTTGTGTAGTATATTAATAGAGAAGTAGATGGTATGATACCATAATGTATTTACACTGGCTATCGATGCACCTGGACCACGCTGAATGTTTAAACCTTTTGTTTTTTTTTATCCTTTTTAAAAAGAAGAAATAAAGTTGCAAAAAGGTATAAGAGGATGAATTAAAAAAAAAAAAAAAAACAGAGAGATCTCCTTTTGTGATGAGAATAATAGTAATGAAAAAAGAATTGATCAATGCCCCAATTCATTCTCCTAAGAATAAAAATGAAGTATGTAGGTGCTTTTAAACAAAAGAACAACCCTTTTTACTGTTGGCAACAATCAATGGACCAATAGTTCGAGACCCTTTCATTACTTGGGCTCGTGGCCTAAAAAGGAACCAGAAATGGGTATTCTTGAAGCATGGATCCAAATAAAGCACGAAAATGGATCTTCATAATTCTTAAAAAGTCCATAGGCTAAGGGACTCAAGTCGACGCTAGCGAAGCCGTCGAGATCCGAAACATCAGATGATCCTGTGATTCTGCTCACCAAAGATTTGCGAGTGAGACACGAATTTCTATTTTAGATTTCTTCTCGATGGATTTTAGCCAGGTAAAATTCGACATTACTCTTGAGATCTATCGTCTCTTACAGTTCATGATCATTTTTTATTCATTTCTGACTCTAGATCTGTGATTGTGGTTGCAATTCCATGCTGGAAAATACTTGTAAGATTTGCCTATAAAAAAAAAATGCTGCGACTCAATTCCTTGTAACCATTTTTTCTTCTTACCTCCTTTTTAAGCTGATAGGTGTTCTGAGATATTGCAATATCTCTAATGCTTTTGACGGATTGTCAAATGGTTAGGGGCATTACATTTGTATCATTGGAGTTAGTTGCTTGCTGATTAAGCACTAAAAATGACATTTTACTGGAGATTTTTTATTTTTTGAGGGGGTTTTTAGTTTTGGTAATCAGATCGTGCTCACTAAATTTGTACCGTATATCGTGGTTGTGCTTTGGTTAGAAGCTCTTCATTTTTCGGCTTAATCTTTGTGTTAATTTATTTCATTTTGTTCTATATCGCTATATCTATCTTTCTCTTACAGCCTGCAGGGGAAAACTATGCTAATCCAAGGACATGCTTCTTTCATGTGCTCTTTAAGGTTAGAATTATCTTTTACACCTGTAATTATTGTATGAACTTTTAAGAATCAACTCTACATTGAACTTGCTATTGTTAAACTCTGGCAGGCTGCAGCCCTAGCATTCTACATACTCTCAGCCCTGTTTGTTGATAGTTTTGTCATCATCTTTGTGGTTACTGTTGTTCTTGCTGCCCTTGATTTTTGGGTAGTGAAGAATGTTAGCGGCCGGATCTTAGTAGGGCTTAGGTGGTGGAATGAAATAAATGAGGATGGTGAGAGCGTGTGGAAATTTGAATGTCTTGATCAAGAGGTTTGAGATTACGTTATATTTGATGGTAGTTTTATCTATTTCCATCTCCCTTTGCTAAGTTACTTACCTCATGTTTTCTATTTCTGTTATTATATTACTTTCTGCAGTCATTAGCTCGAATGAACAAGAAGGATTCATGGCTATTTTGGTGGACATTATACCTTACTGTGAGTAAATTACGCTGGACTCTTGCATGTAACTTATCCCCTCAACCTGTATTTATGTATAATAGAGATGCTTGTAGTTTTGTGCGCCAAAATTATCCATCTGATTGGAGAATAATGTTTTCTTTGTTTACTTTGATTGATGCTAAGTTCATGATGGTTAAGTTCTATAGGAAGATCATTCAACATGGTACAAGGGAAAGACAATAAACATAAAGATAATTGTGGGTTGATTTAGTGAAAATGGTGTTTGATAGCCTAGTATTTCCTGAAGATGCAATCATGATGGTCTAAGCATCTCAGAACCTAGTTCAGACGTCGTAAATGGTGTAACTTTGAAGTTCCATCCTTAAGTACTAAACCTTGGTGTGTGCATTAGAGTCTTGAGTGGATTTGTTTTCCCCCATTCTATGGTTTTTTCCTGTACTATTCTGAGTTCTTTGTGATTCAGTTTTAACCATTGGGTTATTTTATGCCAATAAGTATAATTTCATAGAATCAGTACCTGAAAGGTGAACAGCACCATCTAATCTGGTGCTGATCTCAAATTAAACTTATATTTCTGGTGCTGATCTCAAATTAAACTTATATTTCTTCTTTTAAGTAAACTCAACTGATTGGGGCAGCAGAAAATTTAAGCGCTTATAGGGTTAGGGTCTGGTCTAATAGCAATTACATATGAGGAAGGTTATATTTAAGGGACTTGGATTGGGAGGAATAAGATGTAGAGGACCTTAACCCTAATTACCAGAAAGAAGCAGAAGATGATTCTTTACTTGATGATGACAAGGTTGCTATTAATTTATCTAGGAATAGCTTGAAATGCAGAGTTTGGGTCATGCTATTGTAACCTTGAGTGTGTTTATTTCTGTGTGTAATGGAGGTTGCATTCTTTTCTCACTTGTGTGCATGTGAATTTTGCAATTAATCGTAGTATTCATGGTACTTTTTGTGTTAATGTAGATTGAGGATAAAATTTGAACTGCTCGAAGTTGAATTATACTGAACTCCAATTGGCACATGACTTTTATATTGATTGAGTCTAAGTTGTTAACTTGTAGTGTTGATGTTTTATTAAGAATTTTGGTATTCAATTATTGCTTTTATGTCATACACCTTCTTTACATGTACCTAACATCATAGAGGTTTGCTTGTACTCCTAGCCCTAGGTCCCAGGTAGCTGCAGCTAGTGTTCAACTTGTCTGTAGCATTATTACTTGCAAAGTTCCTTATTCTCTTTGAATCCAGTTTTTATATGTTATCATGTTGCATAATTTTCCCCTTGTCATTTGTGCAGGCAGCTGCTTGGATCGTCCTTGGAATATTTTCAATCATAAGGTTCCAGGTTGATTATGTCCTGGTAATCGGAGTTTGTTTGAGCCTTAGCATTGCAAATATTATTGGGTTCACCAAATGCCGCAAAGGTCTGAATCTTTATTTTAACTTTCAATGTTGATAATGTTGTTGTCTTCTGAAAATTTCTACTCATTTAAGCATTTATTTAGACTAAGAAGATGCAACTCCTAAAAATGCAGACTCACCGATGTTTGGAATTTAAGATCATCAACCATCTCGTTTTTGCTTGCCTGTTTGGTTTTCATACTCAGAATTTCATGCATTTCATTTCTCGTGATTCAGAAGGATTCATTGAAGGAATAGCATCCCCTACCTCTGTTTAAATTATTAGTTCTACAATACATCTTGATGTGCTAAGCTCCACATAGTTTTCTGCAATGCATTACTACAACCTGATTTTCATGTGCTTCTTTTCACAAAATAAAACGTCTGTTACTAACTGTGTTCATGAGTCCTGGGACCTGCTTGTGCTGCCATAATATCTTGCTTAGTGGCTCTTCCTTCTAAGCTCAACCTAGCCTGGTCAGCCAGAACCGTATTAATATTCTTAGCCAGGCTTGGGATTGCACTTCGTGAAGGCTGGGCTCAGAACATGTATATCTTCATTATTCTTCCCATATGGTCTGGGCTTGGTCAAAATCCTAAGCCTGATTGTTCAGGCCTGCTGAGGCTCAGGCCTAGCCCCCTAAGTTTTAAAGACCCAACCCACTTGGGCTCAGACCTAATATATAAAATCACAAGCCATTGGGTGGCCTACTAAGCATCCTTTTCTTTTCACCATATTTTGTAGTGTAAATATTCTTTCCCACTGAGTCTCCCAAGCATGGAAGGATACTTTGGAAGGCACTTGATTTCCTCTAATGATTTCCATGAAAAATTCTTGTTTTTAATCACTGGTAGGTTTCATGGGTGCAACACCTTGTCCGAAACCTGAACTCCAACAAGACATATCTTTGTTCTCCAAAAAAATTTTGTTATAAGACTTAACACAGAAATCCCCCTTTTTCGTTAACATAGTTAAATTTTGTCCTCTTCTCCAAGATGAATATGGCCTGAAGGCTCCCATTAAGGAGTTTGACATCATTCAGCATTAAGGTTTTTTGTTTTACAATTTGACATTATGAATCATTCCAACATATCGTTACTAACATAAACAATGGGGAGCAATAGCTGGGGTATGCAGCGGTTTTCTAATATCCATGACTGCCTCACGAGATTAAATATGTATCTGCCCCGCTACCCACCCCATATTGGGGCTGGACGGGGTAGGTTTGGGTTGGATTTTATTAAAAAAGTAAATGAAAAAAAACTTGTAGGCTTAATTTAAAAAAGAAATAAATGGAGTGAATTATAAGCAGATAAAGTTTTATTTTTAAAATCCATATCTGTCCATGTTTAAATGGATCAGGTTTGTTCAAAGGGGTGGGTAAAATTGCATCTCTAGCCTTGATGTCACTTATGTTTTACTTGATCTGTATGTGATAGTCTTTACAATGCTTGAAAACTCTCATATCATATGTTGCCTCCTGTTGTCTCGATTTTGGACTGTTTATTTCTTTCTACACTGAATAATGCTTTGTATATATTCAGATGCCAAGAAGCAGATTCAAGCATTTGCCACCCAGACTATTGCGTCCCGTTTCTCATCTACCATACAGTCTGCATTTAGCGTAGTGTGAGTTTCCCCAAAGTGAAAGCTTATCCAAATACACATACATGTTTTGCTTGACTCAGATGCTACGAGGCAAGTGATGTGAGACTTCGTTAGATTTTTGCTATAATCTTCTGCCTAAAAACACAGCTCTTGCTCTTGTTATTTTTATTGAGGTTAGTAAGTAGTAGCTGATATTGATGGAACTTCTTTGGAATTCCTTTTATTTTGGGAAGTTGTAAAGACAGTGTAAGGGATGTATGTAAAGAAAAGAGAGATGAAAAACAAATTGTAGAGGTTTAAGAAGTTTTCTGGAATACGCTTTTTTTCCCTAATTCAAATCATGTGATCAACTTCCTTATAGCTTAATCACTAGTGAGTGAAAATGTGTGAAAAGCAAGTGATAAACTATGGTTGACGGATAGCCCAGTTATTGATTAGAAGTTTCTAGGACATAAAAAAAGGGCCCTCTTTCCTGCATATGGCCTTGTGTATTTCTTTGGAGTGGAACCTCTTTTTGGGTAAAATGTGGGTCCTTGACAAAGTGAATTGTGTCTTTTTCAAAATCTAATTCCCTTGCTTGTACGACAAGGGATATATTCATCAAACATCGGACACCGTTCTTTACTGAGGTGGATACCCTGTTATTATTTTGTTTAGCATTACATAACAACATCAAAGCTGTTTTCATTATTACAGCTCAAAGAGTCAGATTGGGGTATTTCTCATTCATATTTTTATATAATCTGTGTTTGCTTTGGAATAATAATGGTGTCCTCATTCAACTCGTACGAAATTCTACCGCTTTGGAACCTTGTTCTTTTGTCATTAAAAGCCTAGAAAAGTTCCCACAAAGTAATTTAAACTTTTATTTTATGCGATGGGTGGAATGTTGTCGGCAAACGAAGGTGTTCACATTAAAGTTCATGAATGGAATTGCTTCTTAAAAGATTGTTGAAGTTAAAATTATATCCAAGAAGCTGCCACAATTTTGACCAAAGAACTCATCAAAAGTCAGCCTAAAAGGTCTGACTCAAATAGCTTTGAAAAGAAGACTGATTAAATAGTCATACATAGTAGGGATATGGCCTAAGGGAGGTAGCAAGTGGGCATTACCATTGACTTGGTTAATAATGAGAAACTTCCCAAGAATATATTCACCTTTCTTGGGCAGGAGACAGACGTCGACTTATGTTGTGGTCTTATAACCAGACAAATACAAGTAATATCAATTGAGTGGTGCTTGGCCACATTGTAATATTTCCCCGCCCAAAGTCAAGACAAGAATTGCTGGAAGGAACCTCAAAAAGATGCTAAACATAAAATTATTTGCACAATAAGAAGAAGAAAATAGTATAATTGCATAATCTATGATTATAAAAGAGTATAAAGATGTCAATTTTAAAAAAAATGGGCCATCGCCACTGAGGTTGCTGCCAGTGAATCTGGACTTTTGCGTGTGTTGATCTTCCAGGTTGGGAATTTGCACAAGGAATCTCTGTAAAATAAAACTAGAATAACATTTTTAACATAACATTCTCCTTTGTTGTCATTCTCGTCGTCACCTACTCACCGTCATCATCAACAATTTTTTTTTTTATCTTCCAATTCCAGGTTCTAGAAACTCATGGCATATACTACAAGTAACTCTAATCTAATAACATGCTTGCTATTTGTAAAACAAGTATTGTTCTCAGGAGATGATTCCAACATCAGTAGGAAATAGACAGGCACAAGTGTCCAAAGTAAACGCAATTTTGGACGGTTAAGCAAAGAGATAGAGAAAGGATTTTGTCACTGTTAAGATCGTAATCTTCTTCTTCTTTAATCTTTATACTATTTGTCATGTACTAGTTCCTTGTTCCCAACCCTAGGAAATAGACACAAAGTAACTCTAACCCAATTAAAACCTACCTATATTCCATAATTCTCTGGCTGCTCCACTCAGCTTGGAAACTTGTTAATGGTCATGGACACGTAGAGCATTTACATGCTACTAACCTACCATCTTCAATCAATCTTCCATGTCATTATCGAGATCTTTATTTATTATAACCATCATTTGTGGGAAATTGAAACCAACAATGCAATGCGTACTCTTGATGGGTCATAATTAAGCTTCTAAAATGTTCCTAAATGACAAACGTCAACAGTTAACTTGAATTTATAAGTGGGTTTGCTTTACCCTTTACTAATTAGAATCCAATCACTGGAATAATCATAAATGGAGAATTTTTCTTTCACCGTTCGCAAATTTGGAGGTCTAACTTTGATCAGACGATGAAAATGGATTTAATAAAGCGCACAAAAAATCAAATGGAAAATCCATTTGATTTTTGAGTTTGATTTGTAACATTGATTTTGTTTTACTAATTTCGGCACATTTGATCATCTTTTCCTTTTTTTTTCCTCCTAATATTATCGATTTTCTCTCGTGGCAAAGTTCAACATGAATATCAGAAGACACGTCTTTCTGTAAATTCAAAAACACACTCTTTTGCAAATTGCAAGTATTTTCTTTTGCACGATAAATCTTTAATCTGTCTTTATAATTAATTCTTGCTCATTCAAAGATATGATCAACCTTTACTGGATGCTTCCAGTGTTTCTTAAGCATCGTTCTAAACATCTTCTTCATTCAAAGATATGGTCAAATCACGTAATTTACTGGATGCTTGCTTCCGTGATTAAAGTTAATTATTTTGTTTCAAAATAATAAAATAGATAACCCAAAATTAAAGAAAATGAAGAGAGAAAATAAACTAATAGAAGGAAAAGAAAATATTTGGAGAAGGAAATTAATAATTCAACAAAAAGATTTTTTGTTTTTAAATTATATTAAGGGATAACAATTAATTTTTTGAGATAAATTATTAAATAGTAAGATATACAAGAATTAGTGCTTTCTTACTCGCATTAGCCTGTTGTAATCTAAATTAATCTCCTATTGTCCTTTTGACCAAAAAAGGGAAAATGAAACTTTGTGCGACTTCTTTGGATTTATTCCAAACTTGTGATTCCAAAACTCCTAATAAATTAATTTATTTCTCCAACCATGCAAAAATAAATTAACTTATTTCGTGGAGAATTTTCTACCTCGTCCACTATTGGGTAAGTGATGAACTTTGACCCTTCGTTATTTCCCTGCTGTGGAATAATATATTTACTTTTTACAGATTTATCAGTGAAATATTTTATTCACTAAATAAAGTTATTCATCGAATAAAACCTCAAGCATTGCGTAGGGCCCGACCAAATAAAATATGGATTATTACCTTATTTATTACTCAACCTGTATTTTAATCAGTACAGGTAATTAACTTCCCAATTAATCCGATTATAATTAATAAATCGAATGCTAATAATGGATTATTACAATTATAAATGGTGATGGAGTGGTTGATAAACAAAAAGAAAGAGAGAGAAGTTGAAACGTGGCAGAAGGAGATAATTTGTGCTTGGCTACACTAGTACTAGTGTTTCTTTCTTCTAGGTCTCCCACTGGGGAGTAAGGAATTAAATTTTAACCTGAAGAATAATTCTTGATGAGAGTGAGACTCCATTTATTTGACTATATTTATACACTCTCTAAAGTCGTTCAGCTTTTTACGTACTGACGAACCATAATTAGCAATGTATGCCTTTAGCATTTTCTTTATAGACGAGAGAGGTAATTAGTTTCTCCTTAATTAATTTAGTTTTTTTTATAAGCATCTTTCAATATTACCGTTGGTTGATTCGTTGATTAGAATTTTTTTTGGGTTCGTATTAGTTGGGTATATTAAAAATTAAACTCTTGTGCTGATTGGCTTGCTAGTTTGGCAAAATCGAGCTAAACCTCACTTATAATTTATTAACACGTTTGAATTGAATGGATTGTTTTTATAAGGACAGAGAAGGACATCCACGATTCTAAAAGGTTGAAAATATTTTTAAATAAAAAAAATTCTATTTAAATGAATTGAAAAATGCATTTTCATTCAAACCCTTAATTATTTTTATTAAAATCATGAAAACATTTTCCACATTTCTTGAATATGAAAATTTGAATATTTACAAGCACAAGACAATATGGGACTTATTTCAGAGCATATGTGTGGGGTTTAAATGTTAGAATTTTAAGAGTGTTGGCATGTTAAGAGAAGAGAAGAGTCCATGTGGATGTGATGGACAGATGTCATGAAATGTAGAAATAATGATTACCAAATTCAACCCTGAGTCAGAAGTATCATTTACTTTTGCTTAATTCACATGTCATTCTCCTTACAATGACTCACCAAATTTACTTTACACGTGTCGTACTATCTTCCTAATTGACTTCCCTAACTAATTACATCGAGGATTAGGCAATAACACTCAACAAACCTTAAAACATTCAATTAGAGACACAAACAATAGTAATTATCTATATATATATATCCACTGAAATAAAAAAGAGAAAGGGCAAAAATATAATTCCTTTCGAAGAGGGGTTTTGGTCCAAGACGTAACAAAATTCAGGAACAATGCCATTGCTTCATCGTGGGCTATAATGGCTAAGGCCTAGCCGGAGAAAGAACAATTAATGTATTAAACTATTATTAATATATATAAATTAATACTTTGATAGTGATCGGAGAAAATAATATATAATCAATTTATGAGAGCTTGGTCTGTCATAAAGATCATAGAAAAGGAAAGCACTCACTCGTCTGAGAAAGAAATAAACCAAACAGAATAAAGATCGGGTTAAGTTAAATTAATCGGTCTTCATATCCCTGTTTCAGTGTGCGTGTTTAAGAATGTTGAAAAGTCAAATAGTCAAACTCAATATATAAAACTCGCAATTTCCACTATCCGGAATCTTAAAAAAATTAAATAATACTAATAATATTAAAATATTAGTTTGTGCCAAAAAATGCACATGCTTCAATCTTTACCTCACTATATATACAAGAACTGCTTATTTATCCAAAAACCAAGTCTAGCTAAGCTAATCCAAATACCTCATATTCTCTATCTTCCGTACTAAAATTCCAAATTTCAATCTAATCTCTCTTCTTTTGGCCAGAAACCCTTTTTCTTGAATCAAGAAAATGGACGCTCTAGTAAACAATTACGATAATTATGTAGGTTACGAAAATGAAGAAGATACAGACATAAGGAAAGGTCCATGGACTGTGGAAGAAGACGCTATACTCGCAGAGTACGTCAATATCCATGGTGAAGGACGCTGGAATGCTGCTGCTCGCTGTGCAGGTTTGTTAAAATTGAAAATCCTTGATTCAGGACCCTTAATAACCTTTCGTTCTTCTTGTTTAGTAATAAGCACTGCAATTTATAATTTTGCAGGATTGAAACGAACTGGTAAAAGCTGTAGATTAAGATGGTTAAACTACTTGCGGCCAGATGTTCGACGTGGCAACATAACTCTTCAAGAACAGCTCTTAATTCTGGAGCTTCATTCTCGATGGGGCAATAGGTACTTAATTATCGAACACTTCTTCTGGTTCTTGCTGGGATTTTAATTTCTTGGCATAATCTAATATTTATTTGTATTTTTTTTAAAGGTGGTCAAAAATAGCGCAGTACTTGCCGGGAAGAACAGACAATGAGATAAAGAACTACTGGAGAACAAGAGTCCAAAAGCAAGCAAAGCAGCTTAAATGTGACGTTAATAGCAAACAATTTAGAGATGCCATGCGCTATATTTGGATTCCTCGTTTAATTGAGCGAATCCGGGCCGCTTCCGAATCTTCCCCGGCTCAACCCACCGTTAGCATTAACAGCAACTATGATGAGATTATCTCAAATGAAGTTACTGCCGGCGGCGATTGGGTCGATCCAAATTTTATGCCGGAGCAGTCAGGGACTCCGTCGGACTCTTTGGAAACCCAAGTTTCCGCTGTATCGGACCTGACAGATAATCAGAATCCATCATCAAGTATGCAGAACGGGTCAGGTTTATACCTTGAAGAAGAGTCGGGTTGTTGGGGATGGAATGGGGAAATGGAGCAGCACAACAATGGTTTATCAATGGAGAGTTTATGGAATGAAGAGAATATTTGGTTTCTACAGCAGCAGCTAATGTGATTATGATGAGTTTAGTTGGATTTTGAGTTTGTTTACGTGACGCTTCAGGTCATTGAACATTCAGCGATTTCGTGGTGGTTCTAAACTACTAATCTAACATTACCACATATATTTTGTTTTTCTGTTTTTTTAATTAAAGTGTCCATTATAAATTTTCAGATTTGACGTATATATAAAATGAATGCCTATTTTGATTTATTTTGCCATTAAAAAAAAAAAATCCAAATATTTATTCATTTTATATGGACCCTGATTAAGAAAAATTTGTATTATGTGATCTATTAAGTGCGTAAAAATAGGATCTTTTTTCATCCAAATTTAGGGCATTAAACCCAAAACTAATATTAAATTACTCTAACCTAACCTACGAAAAAAAAACACCAACAGTATCATTTAAAACGAGGTGCCGTTGCTTAGCCAATCAGGAAAACTATTTGCTTCCCTGTAAACTTTATGAATCTTGTAGCCACCCAATGAAATTTATCTCCTAGCTTAGCTCTAAATTGATGGATTAAATTTCTTAGTATTTTCTTAAATTGTGAGATTTCACTATGTAATGTATGATTATATGCTATTCGAAATTATAATAAAAGTTAATGTTAAAAAAGATCTTTATTTATATTTAAACCTTTTGATATCACATTGCTTTTTAATATCTTCCTTAAAAAATAACATTTCATATGAATTGTGAAAAAAAGAGTTTTCTCTGAGAAAAATGTTTCGCAAGATTTAATTAGAAGCAGATGTATCCTTGGAAACAAAAACAAGCTGTTAAGTTTTACTTATTAGGGTACATATTTTACACATTGTTTGCAAGAAAAAGAACAAGTTGCTCGTGAGAAATGTTTTGAACAGGATTTTTTTTTTTTTTAAGGAAAATATTTTGAACAGGATTAATGTGAACACAAATACTTTACTCATGAGATTCAACGGTGGATAAAGGCACACCGTCGACTGAAGCACTAATTGCCGGCCGCAACCCTTGAAACAGTGTAACTCTCTCCTTTGACCCCATTGCCAGTCAATTCTTCAACTCAATGTGAACATTTCAAGACTCTTGCCCCAAAACTAAATTTTTTTTTTTAAATATAATTCATTAATAATAATATAAAGAATCATAAATACTCATGTAAACTAGATATAAAACTTTATCATTAATAGCTAATAGAGTTCGCTTATCTTTTAATAAAAGAAAATTTTATATTTTTTTGAATAATAAAACTAAAATTAATAAATATAATATTAGATATTTCTGTTTAGAGTTGATTTTGACGGAAAAAAATATAAATCTTCTTAACAAATTACATGCTTATCAAATTTGATAGGACAATCATTTGCCTTTATACCCGACCAATGCACTAACTCCTAATAAGCCATAAAAAATTCTTCCAAGTCGCCAAAAATTCAAAACAATACACGTGTTAGTAATTTTTTTTCTTAGAGATAATAATGATAATATCATTTTAACATGTGAAAATCAAAACCAAGTCTGAATTGGTCTCGTCGAGGTTGGTGAATGGTGATATGGGTTTTGTTAAAATTTTACTACAATTTTAACTATCAATCTTTTAAACACTATTTTAACAAACACTAAACAAGTGATTAGAAAAATATTAGCAGACAAAAGTCTTTTGGTCTGACTTGGAAAAAGAATATATAATACATCCAATGCATAAACCGCTTTTCTTGATGCAGCAGCAGCAGCAGCTACTAATTCCTTAGTAAACTCCAAGTAAACGAGTTGGTGGGTTCGTTTGATAAAATATTTTATTGTGTTTCTAGAAATTAAAAAAGATGCAGTCATTGCTTACGTTCGTAAGTGGGCGCACCACCTGAATCTGAGCTGATTAGCACGCAATCAATCTGTACAACGAGACTAATAGTAATTGGATTCAAAAGCCCACTTCTGTTACGGGCTTTAGAGTCGGCCTATAATCGGAAAAGGCCCATGTGATTGCGCAGCTTCAAGATTTTAAATGGGCTAGTTGCTGCAGTGATTTGAAGATAATTTTAGCTTGTCACAATTAAATTTTCAGAATATTAGTATAACACACACGAATTTTCTTTTACAGCGTTGTGACCTGATTAATGAAAAAAAAAAAGAGAAATGATTTCTAAAACTATGAATGAGGTGTCCAATCCAATGTCCTCGCCCCCACAATAAGGGAGGTGCCGTACGACCGCAGAGTCTGTGACTCTGATTAAAATGGGTAATGCCTGGACAGCACTACGAAGGACTCTGATATCTACTGAACTATTCATACCCTATTTGTAAGAGACACAGAATGCTCAAATTTCTATTGCCAAATGGAATACAGCTATGCTCGCAATTCACTCTCCTACTCCACTATCCTCGGATAGGATAGGACCCGGATATTCATCTACTGCCAATTATGCCCTTACATGCTTTAAGAGTTTCCAGTAATTTTTTTTCACTCCCAACTTTGTTTCCTTTGTTATAAACACACTCTATTTCGAAATATAATTGCAATTCTAGCCGAAAACCAAATTAGGGTTAGGTTTAGTTAGATGTAATACAGCCTAGCTTTGATTCATTTGTCTCCTAAGAGTACTTTGCGTAGCGAATGCTTGACCAGATTTAACTAATAAATTACCATAAAAATGATTAGGTATAAAGACCGCAGTAAAAGCAATACTGACAATGCCAATTCTATACCCTCGCAGCTCTCTGTCAATTCCTTATTATGCATCCATTTGCAATTTTTATATTCCGATAACAAACATGCATTACCATCTAGCTATCTGACCCAACATTAATTCCCAATGGCCTCAAAGTACCATTTCAATTTCACTCTCTTCTTTCTTTTCTTATTCTCCACTTCTTGTTCAAGGTTTTTTTCATCTTCTTGTTTAGAAACAGAAGCAGAAACAGAATACTACCAATGGGTTTCTTGGAATGTTAAAAATCATAGGAGGAGATCGATCTTGGAGAGCTCTCTTGATGACAAGCTAAGGAAAGCTGAAATGAACAGTGTCAGAATAACAGTTAACCAAAATGGCCCTGGAGATTTCAACACCATCGGAGATGCTATTAAAAGCATTCCGTCACGTAATACCAGGAGAGTTATAATAGCTATCAAGCCAGGCGTTTACAGGTATATGTATCAGGAGCTCAGGACTAGTGTCTATAAGTTAATAGTCGAGTGTGCCTGACTTATTGTGTAGGAGCTCAGTGAGTTTAAATCCTGATACTCTTTCTACTATAAATATTTTTTATGTACCAAAAAAATATAATGGAGATAATACTAATTGACTTTTGATGGATTACCAATATAGGGAAAAGATTTCCATCCCAAGAACATTACCCTTCATTACGTTTTTAGGGGAATCAAGTGATCCACCTATTATAACTGGTAATGATACTGCATCAGTTAATGGAAAAGATGGGATGCCATTGAAGACATTTCAAAGTGCAACTGTTGCTGTTGATGCTAATTATTTTGTAGCCATTAACATAATTTTTGAGGTAATTAATTAAAGTATTTACTTTTAATTAATATATTAATAGGGAAGTATTATTATTTTTTTGAGTTTTGGAGTGAGGGGATTTAACCTTAATTTATTTTTAGATGGTATATATAGACTTAACATCTTAGCTATGTCTTACTGTGCAAATTCCTTTTTTTTTTCTTCGTTAATTATGTTTTAGAGAGTCCTTAATTCTTTGAATAGGATGGTATTTAACTTAATTAATACAATATGACTGATATTAGCATTCTACTAAATTAAAATAATAATAATAACAATAATAATGATTTTTTTCTCTATGTAGAACATTGCACACATATGACAAGCTGTTGAACTTGAACATAGAGATTCCATTGTTGTTAGAAACATTCCAAACTTCCAAACAAATACTATATTTTTTTGTACGGTTAACAGCACACATGTTCACGGGTCTGTAATTGCTTCTGCAAACCAATGGAGAATTTATCCAAAAATAAGAAAATTGTGGCAAATAATAGCGACAAATACATATGAATATTCTGGTCCATCTTAATAATTTAAACCATTCTAGGGCATGAACTAACCCAAGTCATTTCCATTATTTTTTAGCGAAAGACATAGACCTGACCGATGATTTATGAGTAGACAACCATTTTTTGAAAAACCAAAAAAAAAAAAAAAATGCCGTTGATCAGACCATATAGGGAAAAAACTTTGTCCGGTAAAAGAAACTGAAACTTTTCCTTTCAGGTATTTTTGTTCGTCATAAAAAAAGGTTTTGATTCCGAAGTCGATTACAATTTAGTATTTTTTTTCTTTCAGTTCAATATTTTTCTCCAAATAATCTTTTCCCATTAAAATTGTGTAATAATAATAATAATAATAATAATAATAATGCAGAACACAGCCCCTCATGAGATTGGATCGAGAGGAGGACAAGCTGTGGCACTTCGCATATCAGGTACCAAGGCAGCATTTTACAGTTGCAGTTTTTATGGGAATCAAGACACTCTTTATGATCACAAAGGCCTTCATTATTTCAATAATTGCTTCATCCAAGGCTCTGTCGATTTCATTTTCGGCTCTGGAAGGTCCCTTTACCAGGTAATACTTGAATTCGCAAAGCTGATATTGTTAGTGCAGCGGAAATTATTGATGTATAACTCTTTTGCAGAATTGCCGTTTAAATTCCGTAACCAAGAAGGTGGCCTCTCTCACAGCTCAAAAGCGCAATAATTCTTCATTAGAAAGCGGATTTTCCTTCAAAGATTGTGTAGTAACGGGGAGTGGGTTGGTCTATCTAGGAAGAGCTTGGGGTGATTATTCCAGGGTTGTTTTCTCTTACACATACATGGAAAAGGTAGTTCTTCCTCAGGGTTGGAATGATTGGGGCGACCAAAAGCGTGACGCGTATGTTTTGCTCGTCCGATAGATTGTAATGAAATTGAATGTATATAGTTTTTGTTTTTTTTTTATTTTTGTTATGGGTGTTTCATATTGCAGGAGGGTGTTTTATGGAGAATACAAGTGCAGTGGGCCTGGAGCCAACTACACAGGAAGAGTGCCATGGGCAAGAATTCTGACAGATGAAGATGCTAAACCTTTTATAGGGACTTACTATGTTGATGGAGACACTTGGCTCATTTCTCCTAGAGGAATTGAGTGTTGAGAGGTTTACAATAGTGGAAGATATCTTATTGTTAAATAAAAATAAGGTTATGTTGTGCTTTAAATTTGATTGGACTTAAAATATTAACTTAAATGTAATATCTAAAACTATAAATAAGGTAATAATATTTTCAATGCCCAAAAAGGTTTTTAATGCTTATTCTTTTCTTTTTAAATATGTAAAAGAAGAACTGCCTTCCAACACCTAATGATCTTATTCGGCCGGTAAAAAAGGTATTGGGCTTCTTTCAGCTTTTGGGCCAATAAAAGCAGTGGTTTGCAATATGTAGCTCTTGAAGCAGGCCTGGACTTTTATATAGTTAATTCCCATATGTTTTTGTAAAATTCTTTATTTAACAACTAAAATTTTTGTATGCAACTTCTCAAAAATGTCTAATTTCATAAATTTAGTCTGATGAAATTGGCTTTTGGACTTTCAACGGCCCACCAGATCTTTATGGCAAAGATGTTTGGACTTTCTTTCCCATGAAGGAGCATTTTCTGCTAATGTCCCACAATCCCACAATCGTGGCAATTGGGAAAATGTAAAATCATAAGGTTTAAGTAGAGAGAGATAGAGAGGGGAAGAAGGCGGGGTGGGGGGCGGAGGGAAGTGGGAGAAAACGAAAAGAACAAAAAGATAAAAAAGTTCACCGCTTTTCCTTTTTTTTTCTCGCTGTATGCATCCTTTGGGATAAAACAAATTGAGGTGTCTAATCTTCCTTTATCCTTTATATGGAAAAATAATGAAAGTAACTTTTATTTCTGTTCCCTAGATTTGGTAAGACATCGAGGCCACATATCCACTTTTACATATCGTTTTCTTTATCTGGTTATGGATGGAGTTCATGATTTCTTTCTTGATTTAGTCTTAAAAAGTACTTTTTTTCATCGAAGTTACTGTATAGCATAACATGCACCAACAATGGTGTAATTTGGAAAACCAGGAACAAATCATACTGTAAAAGAAGCACTACCACAGAACCATCTTTTATCAGAAAGATTGATTGTACAATAATGCGTCAATTATGAAATATATGTTTATATGTATACATATACAGACAATTGAAAAGATAGATACAGAATTTTTCTAATTAAGGCCAAATGCAGAACTTAGCCAGCTTCCAAGTTGGTACAGGAAAATCTTGGCCCGCAGTACCTGACTTCTTGTTGTTGGCGTGGTGCTGATCATCGGTGCCATATTTCGTGGTTGTGATGCAGTAATTTGATTCCTTGGTTTCTTTCCTTGGCAAAGCAACTTCGCCTTTCGAGGATATCACTAGAGCTTCTAATAGTAAAAATAGTGAAGCCATTTTAATGAAATTCTTCAAGCTTTGTCCAGAGCCATTGATTCTATATATCACTACTCATTGCGATTAATTTTCCAGCAAGAATGCTAGTTTTCTTCATGCAAGTTATTATTATTTAAAATATATTATCTTCACTTTTAAAAGCTACGGTGGTTATCCATTGTGGCTTGGAATTGCTAAATACTGGAGAGGGAGAGAGGAGAGCTGTATATGCTTCATTATCTCTTCTGCCTTGCTTTGTTGGTTGGTTAACCGTTACGAATAATTCTAACCATCTAAACCAACCTTACAAGTTAAATATTCATGATGTTGCAAATACCTCCATACATCCTTTTAGTATAAAATTCATCTCATTTCAAAATTCGTAATTACCTCTCTCCATAAATACTAAAGATTGAATCCATATAGTCTGTTAAATTTAAATTTGCTTGTCATTCATACCACTTTATATGGTATAAGCCAAGTATCTATATATTCAATCCACTAATAACATGGCAGTTGTCTCGCGAAGTTCTAAATCTGAAATTTAATCAAAAAATAATAAAATACAGTGAATCTTAAATATTGAACCCTAAAAAATATTTAACCATAAACTTTAAAACCTAAATGCTAAACCTTTAAAACCCTAAACTCTAAAGTTTTAAAGAACTTAAACCCAAAGTCTAAGACTCTAAAATCTAAACACTAAACTTTAAATTTTAAACCTCATAAACCCTAATCTGAAAATTTAAAATCTAATTTTATTATTTTTAAAGGACTCTCGTTACGACCGAATATTTTTCCATTATTTAAGTGAACCATGTAAATTAGGTGTTTACATCATTGAAATAGGAAAACGTGATTTTACCAAATGAAGTATAGAATATAGGAAATCTCCCCAAATAAGTAAGTTGCTTAAAATGGCCTAAATCAAGCTCCATCCATCGTTTTGAGTCATTTCATTTTCGTACCTACCATTCTTCAAAAGGCTATTTTACAAAGCAAAATGTCCGGTTGATCGAACTACCATCACCTGTTTATTTATTTGTCATAGTTTGGTGAGATTGAAAATTAGTGTGAATATTTATACACCACAATCCCTCTATATAAAAAGACTAGCTTGAGATCGTACCTAATTATCAGTCTCTGCACATAAGTGCTTCTTTAATGTTTATAAATCAATGCAATAATTTCTCAACTGCCATTTATAGTTTTGCTCTTGTATTATTTATTTATTAATTAATTGATCTAGATAGAAAAATAGTAGCCATGTATCCAACTTCAAGTGTCTGCATCAAGTGGATCATAATATTTGAACACAATTGGGCAAATGATTATGACCTTAAACAAATTTATTAGTTAACTTGATGAGCTTAGATGCCATTTTGGTATCAAGTAATTTTCCTGGCTTCACCACATTTGTGTGTGTAATATATTAAATATAAAAATAGAATAATATTCAAAATTAATTGAATATAATTACATCTACTGTACCAATCTTATTCTTTCTCAAAGAAGGTACTTTAAATTTTATTCTTGAAATAGTTATGGATAAAATTACAGACATATCAATAGATCTTTAATTCAAATCCAATTAAGAGAATACAATTAGATTTATTCTCTCACTAGCTTTAATAATAAAATTAATTAATTAACGGACCCACCCTTTTATTCAATCTGTAAGATGATCATAATGGTAGATACATATGGTCAATCTAAATTTGTTCTCCAGTCTAACTTAATTGGTTGTTCGTAATCATTCATTACTGTGCTGGATTGCAACATTCTACCTCCACCAATGAGAACTGCCGAGTGACGTACAATATGGATTTATACTAACGTCCAATAAGAATTTTACAATATGGATTGCAGAAAATTTCTTGCATACGCTGAGTGAAGCTAAGCTAAACTTAGTCCTATGCCACTTTAATTAAAACAAGTACTATAAATACTCTAGAAAGATAAAAACTTAAAAAAGAGAAAAAAAAAAAATCCATGCCGATCAAGATGGGATAACGTACCTTCAATTGTGGCCTATTTACAGCTACAAAAGAATTTTTTTTTCTTTTTTCTTTTTTTTTTTCTTTTTTTTTTTTCTTAATTAATAATGCATTGGCGCATTTGTATAGACAGCAATACAAGAAGTTGTATAGTATGGATCAAGACCCGATTTTATCAGAAGCATGAATCTTGAAGAGGTCAAGACGGGCATCTCCTAATCGTAGAGAGTAAGCAGCTTTCTTGAATTCACCCCAAGTGAAAGGCTTATATTTGGTCGGATTTTGTGGTGATACCATCTCCGGCAGAGGTGAAATCCACGTGTTAAGGGATGGTGCCCCAAAGTACATCATCGACATTCTTGGCTTTGTTGAGTTTGCTAGTGCCCTATGTCTCACGCTCATTAGTCTCTCATTTGTCAAAACCTTCCGTTCATAAAAAAAAATAATAAATTTTAATAAATAAATAAGGATTCAAATTGGGTTTGACATTAAAATATTTAATTATTAATTAATATGTAAAGAAGAGCAGGAAGAAGAAGAAGAAAATGTGAAACAACAAGGTGATGATGAGTAATGTCAATCACTGACCTGTAAGGCGTCCCCAACAATCAAGAAGAAGCCGGTGGGGTCTGGAGGTACAGGGACCCACAAACCATCATGTAGGCAGATTTGAAGGCCCGCGACATCGTTGGATCGCAAGATGGTCAAGATTTGAGGGTCAGAGTGCTCACCAAAGCCAATTCTTTTAGGTGATGGTTCCCAATCCTTGAAGTGTTTGACCGGTGGATAGTGATTAAGCCTAAGCACAGAATCACTATGGACGTCTCTGATTAATCTACTAAACACATATTTATCTTCCATCCATAAACCTTCTGCTAACAGTTGGAGAATTTCACAACCTAATTCTCTAACCTCTTCAATGTAATCATTCACAGCACAACTGCAACAAAATCAAAATCAAAATCAAAACCCAATTGTGAATTTTCTTTTCTTTTTAGGGTAAGGGTAGAGAAACTTAAATTTACCAATTTGCCAGATCTAGCGATGCAATAAGGTCCCATTCTACTTTTATATATGTCTTTTTGTTGATTTGATAGGGGAGTTATTGATTTTTATTGAGAATTTTTATTTTATTTTTCTTCACCCGGGCAATGATATGGCCATTAGACAGTGGCCTACCGCCTGTCGGAAAAAGTAGGATATTATTGTGGATTATTTATTTCTGTTGGGTAAAGGAATATACAGAAATAAGGATATTTATTTATTTATGAAGTAAGGGTTATACTTATAGTAAGGGTGGCGGGTCCTATACACGGACACACACACATATATGCCTCTAGGTAGTAGCAAATTGTCTCTTTCTTCTACTATAATATGATTGCCTCTAGGAACTAGTGTGGGCATGGCTAAGAGCTGGACAAAATCCAGGCAGTATTTGTTGGAGGTGACAATTAGGAAAATTATGACTCATCATGCACAATTATGAGATATTGATTTTTTTTTTTTTTATTGGACCATTCCACCTTGACAGTATATTACGGATTATACACGTAAATTACTGATTGATGAAAAAATGAAAATATCAAGAAAACAAATTAAGGTGGTAGACATTTGAATCTGAGAATGTTTATTTGCTAACTAAATCAATTTTGTTTCTTCACATACAGTCGAAAGTTCAATTAGGAATAAAATCTAGTGGGTTTTTTCATTTTTTATTTTTTATTTTTTTAATTTTTCTCTCACATATATCAGTGTTGCACGTGTTCCTCTTTTATTTCTAACGTCAAAATCTCCTCCATTTAATTCCGTGACGAAGAGCTACACACTGTAAAATCACTGAAAACGCTGTCAATCTTTTATTACTACTAATAAAATACAAATAAATTGAAAATTTACTTATTTATTCTACGAAAACAATTTTTATACGTGTACTAAACAAAAAGGAAAGACTTCTTTTTCTAGGACACCAAGCAATTACAATAAAAAATTAATTTTCAAAATTAAATTCCTTATCCAGCGGAACAAGTACCACATTATTATATATTTATTTCCTCCTATGAAGAAGAGGGAGCAACCGTTACAGCATTTTTCAATAAAATATATTTGTTGAAAATGAATCAAACACGCCACAAACTGACCATAAACCCGCGAACCTGTTCGACATTAGAGCAATACAAACCGAAACCTTTCTTCTATATTATTCTGGTTTGCTTTTTCAACCTCTACGCTTCACCGTGGTTATATATAATTACGTATATTCATTCATATATCTTTATTGAAAAACAAGAAGAATCAAGACTTACCTGAATTTCGCTGGATTGTCGCTGGAGATTGTTTTGGACTGCTCAGAAAAGGAAAGAGGATTTGATTGAAGAAGAAGATATTCAAGCTCTCCTACATCGCCATTGCAGCCGATAGTTTTGCAGCCATAGCCAAAAGGATTTGCAGGTCCTGCTCTTTGTTTCTCCATGGCTGGTTTGGCAAAAAAACCAACTCCTTCCTCTTCTAATCTCGATATGACGTTTTTGTTAATTCCGTGATTGACAACTTTGAAAAATCCATAATCTTCGCATGCTCTGACGATCAGTTCAGACACGATTGACTTATTTAGAGAAAGATCGATGGTAGGAATACCTACGGCTTTCGTTTTCTTGCTGCGCATTATTGGAGTTGGAGACGGAACTACCATTGTTGCTTGCTTTGAAGAAATCAAAGAAAAATTTTATATAAATCAAATATGAAGATGATGAAGAAATTAAAGAATATTTGAGTTTCAGCTATAATACGATGATTACCGATGAGGCGGTTCGTATTATATACATATACAAGAGGGAGAAAGAGAGAGAAAGATATGAATAAATAAATGCAAGGTAGGCATCACTTTTGATTATATTTCTTTATATATATTTTTTAGATTTTAAATAGTAACGTGAATTTTGGAGACGTGGACTTTGTGTATGTGTGACAGTCCAAAAGAGAATAAAAGCAAGACTATATAGTATAAGTAAAAATAAAGGAAATGTTGGGGATAAATTCACGCGCGAAGAAGGAAGTTGGGGCCAACCTGGTAGCGGCTGTTTGTCCCCTCCTCTTGGTTTATGTTGCCAACGCTTTTCAAAAGAGTGTGGGCGTTAAACTCCATTTTTTTCAAATTACGCGTGTTTTGACCTTTTCCTTCTTTTGACTCTCCCGCTGAATTTCACACTTCAGAGAGGGTTTACCATTCCAATTTCAATGGTAACTAACATTTTTATTTTTAATTGAAATATTAAATCATGAAAACGAACAAACAAATATTGGTTGGAGCAATTCAAATTAATAACCAAAAGAATCAAAGTTGAACTTTTCTTCCATAATTAGAAGATATATATTTAAGTCTCTGTTACAGTTCAAATACAACTACTATTGCTATTTATAGTATTATCGTTAATACAATATATATTTAGAGATTAAAAGATTAAGTTATGAAACATTACTATATTTAATATTTAATGTTAAACAATTAACAAGTGACAGATAATTACTACGATAATTACGTTTTTTAAACCGACCCGACGAGTTTGAAGATTTTTTTTTAAATCTAATATTTATTTTTAGTTAATTTATTTTGTTTTATATTTTTATTTAATTAGACAAACAAATTAATTAAAAATATCTAAAATTTACATAAAATAAAAATGGATTTAAATTAATGTTCAAAGAAAATATTATAAAATAATGATAAAATAAAAAAAAATTCAAATCACTATTTTTATAATCTTAAATTAATATACAATAAAAAAAAAATGATATACAATAAAAACCAAAAAGAACAAGATAAGTTTGGATCACAAGGGTACAAGAGAGTCTATATAGTATAGAATTGAAAATTTTTTTTAAACTGTCGTGGTCTAGATGTGAAAAAATAACACAGCAAAGTTGCAATATTTTATTTGTGAAAATAAGATGGTAAAATCCAATTGTTGACCAACATCTTGGCTTAGAATTGTTACTGTTACTTTTAGAGGGCAATTAATAATATATAAAATAAGTTTTCAACAAATGACAATCAAAAAGAGTGCAGACATGAACCGTGGAGATTCCACATGACATGAAAGTAGAACGTGTACGTAATATACTATACTATTATTATTAACTAAATGAAGTTTTTAATTTTTCAAGGAATATTCTTCAGACAATTTCCATCCAACAAGCTGCTGATTCTTCTCATTAAGTATTATTATCGCATGGGTGACCCATTTATTTTCTAGCATTTCATTTCTTTACGTATTGACAAAATATTTCTTTAATTATTATTCCAGTGTTTCTATCATTTAATTATTTCTTTAATTATTATTCCTCTTCTAAGAATTAATTTAAGAAATACCAAAATAGAAGAAAATGTACAAAATTGTATAATTTAATGACTCAATTGGATTAATATTCATTCGTGGATTAATAAATTAGATAAAGTGAATCCATCTGATTAGGAAAGGGGATGAAAGGAACAGGGAAAAGAAATCCACCACGCATTGATTCCTTTTTTTACTATACTCTCCTAGAAGAGACATAGTTCCTATTTCCTAGAAACGGTTTGTTTTCGAGTCCTGCGACTCTGAACTCTCACAATGGATAAAAAAATGAAAGTAATGCACAATTATGTTGTGCATTATCTTAATTAAGGCAAACTTTTAAGGTTTGGACCAATTAATTAAAAAAATATACTGAAAAAGAGTAACATTAACGATTAATTAAATATGGTTGGTGACCTAATTTAAGACACGCATATGGTTTGGAGGGATGGATGGTACTATTTAATTCAAATCTGTAATGGTCAGTGATTGTCTGATAATTTTCAAAAGGTTGTCACTTATAATGGATAACTTGCTTTCACATAAGAATTTTTTACTCAAGGTTTTCAGATTTCCGTCATTAAAATAATATAGCAACTTATTTGTTTATGGAGACAAGTGATCAGTAAATTATTATTTCTCTCTTTTATATAACAATTGACCTTCACTTTAGAGCAAAAAGAAAAAAATGAAATAATTTTATCTATGTATATTTAAGTAATTATACGGTATAACTATGACACTGTATTATCATCATGAATACTAATAGAAATGATAATGCAATAAAAATAAAACATATTAAACGCGAGAATGTAAATTAAAATGAAATAGAAATGGAGAGAATTTATTTTGCTTTTTAAAAATATTTTATTTTTATTGAATTGTAATTTTAATTCATGATAATAATGTGATATCACTTTGTAATATATATATAATAGCATTCGAAGTAATTTTAGGAAGCATTTCAAAACTTTGTTGTAACCAAAAAATCATAAGAAGTATACCATAACAAAATAAAATATACAGTTTAAAATTTTAATATGCGAAAACAAGTAAATATGCTTTGAATAATTCAAAATAAAGGGAAATAGAAACCTACTAAATAAAAAGCATTTTATATTTCTGTTAAAGTTATTTCTGTTTATATTTTTAAATTCAACTAGTTAAGTTGGAGTCAAATATATAAATTTACCATTACATTTTATTATTTTAGCATTATATGACACCTTCAATTCTGAGAATAGTAAGACACACCTTTCAAACTAACAACAATAATTTTTAAAATTTTTTTATTTTATACGTAAAATATTGATTTAGTATATGGTTAGTAAAATTTTCACATTTTTTCAACCATCAACGTGTTTTATTGATTTAATTTTACAAATTAATGGTATAATATGTGTAATTTTATAAATTGAAATATTTAAAAAATCAAAATAAAAATTGAGAATGCTATAAAATTAAAATAATAAAGTTGATAAGTAAATTTATATATTTAGCTGGTAAAAAAACAAGTAATAAAAAAAAAACAAATATGATTAATATTTTTGGATTAGGACAAAGCAGAGTCCTAATTAGTAATTATCCTGTTTAAAAAAATAGAAAAACAAAATACTATTATTTAAACAAATTATAGCATTCCCTTAAACACTGCACCTGATTTCACGCCGCAGGCCGGGAAAAGGGGTAAACATTTAAAACTAAGACCCGGCGGACAAAGCAGCATTAGTAAATTAGTAATTAAATAAAAAATTGTCGATAGGGAAGCATTTCCCATCACATCATTTGTCAGTAGTGGTATAGGTTCTAGAATCCTCCTCTACTGCCACATGGCACCCTGTCGAACTCTCTAAGTCCTTATCACTGATAGATATTGGGTACCTCATACGCTGATCAGCATGATATGGCAGTAATGCCACTAATATAATATATATAAATAAATTAAATAATTGTATTATTTATTTTTTTCAATATATATATACTTATTTATTTTTTTAATCATCTAAGTGCATGAGAAAATAAAACTAGCCTAATACCTGATTCCCTTTCAAAATATACTTAATTTACTGTAATATCAAAAGATTTATAAACCATAGGATTTTTTTTATTATTTTTGTACTTTATTTCAGATAAATAATTAATTGCTAACCAAATTTTAAGAAAACTTATATGTGGTAGCTGCTCCACTAACACCCGGTGGACCTGCACAGAAATTAAATAGTAGTCTTTAATTGTTTGATGAGTTTTAATTTATCAATGGGGAATAAATAATCCAATTATGATGACCATGGCAGCACTGATGAAAGAAAAATATATATTAGGTAGACTTGATAATGTTTTAAGTGTAATTAACTTTATGGACCAATAAGAAAAGACTAATTAGCCTGAAATGCCCCATATGGGTATGGGCCATGGCTGGAAATTTTTTTCAAATTAAAGAATTGTCAAATTAAGTTTAAGGATTATTCTCAAAAGAAAAAAAAAAATTATGGATCTCCAAATTTTTTCAGATCTTTTCTGTGATTTGATCTATGTAACTCCAAGAGTTGGAGCTTGGTCAATTAGGAAATAAACCTACTTACCAATTATTGAGAAGTGCAAATTGACATCGGAAGAATTAGTTGGAATAGAAAACTCCAAATGCAGTTGAAAGGTATAGACCTTTCTAAAAATTGAATTCAGAGTTACCCAGTGTAAAAGTACTGAAAATAGTTTCAAGTGAATTATTTGAAGCATGCCCTTCTTTGGCAGAGAGCAAAAAGGCCAAAAAGAAATATGGGCAGTTGACCTAGCCCTGCCCTGCAATGCTATTCTTGTAGACAGTACGAACCGAAGAAGAAGAAGAAGAAGAAGCAGCCAGCCAGGGCCAAGAACAAGAAGCAATAATGCATCAAGTTCAAACGCCACCAATCAATACCGTACGATTAACTTCAATTTTTTTAAACATAAAAACACTAACTAAAAAAAATAACCACTAACTACATACATGTGTATCTCTGTCTGTAATCTGACATCAGGAGAAATAAAATAACAAACAGCGCAGAAACAATTCCATTTCCATTAAATCAAAAGGAAAAAACATGACAGAGTAAGACAATAATGTAGTGTGTAATACAGGTTTGGATTATAGCTGTTGGGGCTTGTAACTGAATGTTACTAACATAACAGGTAAAGTCGGCAACATAAAGGGATTGTTGAATCCTGACAGCAGAAAACTACAGTCGGTGGTCAACTGTACTTCGCATAATTGTTTTTTTTTTTTTTTTTAACAGCCAATAAATATTCTTTATTATTATTAATAAAATCAGGAAAAAACTTAACAAGCTCTGGAATCAATAGATCCCCAATACAACCTAACCTAACTGGAGAAAAGAAAAATAAATATTCTGATATTGAAGTATGCGAAGAAACAAGCAACAGCATATTAAAGAATATGAAAAAATTCTTGAAATAAGAATACAATGCTGCAATAAAATCAAGTCGCAAGAATACAACAGGGTACGTCGCATAATTGTACCTCTTCTGTAGATGCAAAGTTATAAATTTGATGGTCAATAACCAATTTCGAAATCGTACAAACAGCTATATACTAGGCAAGTTCTAACACAGCGCAAATGGACACCGAAGAACAAGGCAATGTAGTTTACATCACTAAATTCAACCCGTGAATTGAATGCTTGCCATTTCTTTATTTAAAAAAAATTCAGTGTCTGTTTGTAAGGTGAATTTTTTGTATTGGTGACAAAATTTGTGGAAGAAAACAATTTTTTTTAATGTTACCACAATCATAATAAGTTTGATTTGAGTATACACTTAACATTGTATGAAATAGAGACGGGAACACCCTTTATAAAGTATGAGAATATATTTAGATTTAAGAAGACTCCTCAACATATAAATTATACCAAACGAGAATCACTTGTTTAGATTTAGTTTATGATTTTATTCTTGGATAATTCAATAAAAAAAACGATATTTTTTTAGAAATGAGAATATTTTACATCTTTCATTGAAAAAAAAAAAAGACGATAAAGTGAAAATAAATTTTAAAAGTCTCTATTTCATTAATTTGGTCCATATATTGTATCACCCACCGACCAATCCTGGAGATCCAGACGGCAGATGCCACAATCGGTGCCGGAGCACCGTTTTATGTCATATGCATAGTAATTTTTCCGGACTAAAATAATACCAAGTCCCGGACTGATGGTACTATTTACAGACTGGTAAATCACTATTACCAATACTACAGGAAAATCAGACTGTTACACACATACTAGAAGTTAAATTGCACAAACACAGGATACGAGATACAATAATGTACGAGATATGATAATTTTTAAAAACGGTAGGACATCCACACGCTTAGGACATAGTAAACTAAATAAGTAATATATTGATATTTTAAATAAATAACCAATCATTTATAATAAATTATAAACACAAAATAAAAAAAAATTATTTCAATGACACAAAAACAAATTCAAAAAACACTTATTTTTTATTAGTAATAAAAAAATCTTGGTTGATTAGTTTGATGTATAGAGCGGTCTTATATATCAAGAGTTATGTTACATTGAAATGGGATACAATAACTTCTAAAAAATATAGGACATCCACACACTTAAGACATAGTATAGTAAATAAGTAATACATTAATATTTCAAATAAATAAACAATCATTTATAATAAATCATAAATATAAAATAAAAAAAATACTTAATTTATTATTTATAAATCATAAATATAAAATAAAAAAAATACTTAATTTATTATTTCAATGACACAAAAGCAAATTGAAAAAACACTTTATTTTTATCGGTAATAAAACAAACTTGGTTGATTAGTTTGGTATAAGGAGTAGTCTCATATACCAGAAGTTGGACGAATACAGGATATGAGATACGAAAACGTACGGATACGATAATTTTTAAAAGTAGGACATCCATATAATTAGGACACACTACACTAAAAAAGTAACACTTTAATATTTCAAATAAATAAATAATCATTCATAATAAATCATAAGCGTAAAATAAAAAATATTTAATTTTTTATTGCAATTTAATTAGTTAAATTCTTAAAATTATTATCATTATTGAAAAATATATTAATAGTGTGTATATATATTTTTATATAGGTCATACCATGCATGGTTTTTGCTATTGCATACTTGATGAAAGACTTTGCATGATACTTAAGAATACATATCTTAGCATCGCAACTTTTCGGCATGTTTCAATAAAATACAATTTATCACTTTATTATATTATTTTACTATTTTTAAACGACGTTATAAAATACTATTGTTATAAAATACTATTTTATATTTTAATATTACCTTGTGTATCGTGCGGATTATAAAAGAAAAAAAAATTATATTTTCAGATAATATCATATAGGAGGAAAAAAACTAAATTAATATTAATAAGTAAAAACTTTTATATTTGGAAATAAGAAAATAATACAAGGGAAAAGAATTCTGAAAATTTTCTCTTCAAATTATAAAGAAAATAAAAAATTGTAAAATAAATTTTATAGATAAAAAGTAATTTTATTTTTCTTTTATATCAAGAAAAAAAGTAACAAAACTTTTTTTGAAAACAAATTTATTCTCTTCTTATTTTTTCTGATTATTCATTAATAAAAAAAGAAAATTCATTACGCAATACGGGAACGTACGCGATACGACAATTTAAAAAAAAGTAGGAGATTCACACACTTAGAACACACCATACTAAATAAGTACAATACATTAATATTTCTAATAAATAAACAATCATTTTATAATAAATCATAAATGTAAATAAAAAAAATTTTAATTTCTTATTTCAATATAGTTAGTTAAAGTTAGTTAAATTTTCTCAAAATATGTCACGTAATTGAAAAAGTAATAATAGTGTGTATGTATTTTTGGATGTAGGCATACTAAGGGTGATCAGAAATGATCACGACATGCTAAATAAACAATCATTTTATAATAAATCATAAATGTAAATAAAAAAAATTTTAATTTCTTATTTCAATATAGTTAGTTAAATTCTCAAAATTATTGTCACTATTGAAAAGTACATTAATAGTGTGTATGTATTTTTGATGTAGGTCATACTAAGGGTGTCAAAATGGATCACGACATGCGAACATTCACCTAGCACGCGAAATAAATGGGTTAGGATTGATGTTAAATGAGTTCGTGTCATAAACAACTCACCCATTTATGACACGAATATAAACGTGTTGTGTCGCGAATTGACATGCGAGTTAGGCGAGTGACCCGTTTATTTAAAAGTAAAAAGGTAATTTTAATGTTGGATATAAATACTCCAACTAAAACCTATTTAAATTTTATTATTCTATTACTTTTTTTATTTTAATTATAAATCTTGAGGAATTTATGTATTTTACGTGTGAAAATTTATTTTTAAATATGACTAGAGTTAAATAGGTTAAAAGTTAAAAATACTATAAGCAGGTTAAACGAATCGTACATAGGTCAACACATTCACTTAACTTATTTATGATATTAAACGAATTAAACATGTCGTATTTATATTAACCGTCTAATTTTCATATTATATTTATGTTAAAATTATAAAAAATTATTTTATATTTTAAAATTGCTCCACGCATGACACATATTTCAACACTAGTTTATGTCTTAAAAGTGGAGCTCGGGTGGCATAGCTCCAAATCAAAGCCGATAACATATTCAAGTTTCTGTTGCCCATTCCTACTGTCAGTCTCGTGGAGGCGAAGCTTGGGCCCATGTTGTGGGTAACCGAGCCCGCTACTCCATTTATTTGTGTTTATAAGACACCCGGTGGCCGGTAAGCAGTATGCTCTAAGAGTGTGTAATTGGGCAACTTAGAGAGCCCATTATCAGTTAACGGGGAGAATTTTTAACTTATTTGTGAGTCACCTATCTGTGACCCAAATCTTCCGACTTCGATTCGCAGGACTTTCGCGCTCGAAAAGGACCCTAATTTCACTCCAAAAATCCACTCTTCGATCCATCAAAAACCTTAATTACTCAATTTGAATACTTTGAAATCGAATTTACAGACTGAAAAACCCTAATTGAGTCCTTCATGTGTCTGGAATTCGAAAAGTTAGCGAATTTCAGAGCTGACAAAGGGAAGAAATAAAAACCCTAGAATTTCTTAACGACTAGCAATGGACGCCAAGGACATTCTGGGGTTGCCCAAAACTCCATTGCCATTAACACAAGAGAAGAAATCCCAGCCCAAGAAGGACTCCCAGAGAAAGCCCGATGGCATTTCCCGCGAGGTATGTATACAACATTGTGCATGTGTGTGGCTTCACGTTTTGCTACTATAATCAAGTAAATTTCCCTCTTAATGCTTGTGGTATCGTAGGTCTACGCGCTCACTGGCGGATTGGCACCTCTTATGCCGTCCATTGATACAAATCAGTTGAAACGGCGCCCACCATCGGACGAGAAGGTCTGCTTCTGTAAATATATTATTTTTCACTCTAATTTTTGTTCATTTTTTTTCTTGGTCATACTGTGAGTTGATTTAAAGATTATGTAACCTTTCTGTTTTTATTTTTATATCGCTTGGTTCAAATATACGAATTAGAATGTGCTTCTTACAAATTTATAATTTTGCATTCAGATCACGTGGCAGTGGCTTCCTTTTACAAATTCTGCTCGTAAAGATAATCTTCACCTTTATCACTGGGTAGGTTGTACTTGCTGAAGTTGTCCCATAACTGGGTGATCCAGTTTATCAGTTAGTCTTTTTTAACAGTCTCTTTCTTGTATGATTTTCAGGTTAGAGTTGTAAATGGTGTTCCGCCAACTGGTGATTACTCCTTTGCCAAGTATAATAAGGTGCGGACAAGTTTGCCTTCATCTTCATGAGTCTTAAGCTAAAAGACTAATGCAGCTCATTTTGTTCTCTTTCTTGTTTTGTTTTACTGAAGTCGATATGTAAGTTTTATTTGGTTTGGTGCAGTCTGTTGATGTTGTCAAGTACACGGACGAAGAGTATGAGAAACATTTGACTGATCCTGTAGGTATCAACTCATGGTTTCATCTTTATAACTTTTTGTTGCTGCTAAATTGTGAGGTTTCCATTAAGCATGCTGGTCAAGTATAAGAGGAATCATAATCCCCTGATTCCACCCATTTTTTAATTTTATCGAACTAATTCTGATACATTATATCTTTATCAGACTTGGACTAAGGAAGAGACTGATCAGTTGTTTGATCTGTGTGAAAGATTTGATCTTCGCTTCATTATTATAGCTGATAGGTTCCCATCATCTCGGACTGTGGAGGAATTGAAGGATCGTTATTATAGTGGTATGTTTTTTTTTTTTTCCTGTTCTTCTTTAATTGCTTTTTGCCGCTTACCATGCTGTCCTTATCATGGTTCATAATTAAACCTATTGTTTGTTTATATGTGAGGCAAAACATTGTAGTGTATCTGATTTTTGCTGATAACTGTGATATTTTGTTTATCTAGTTTCTCGAGCTATACTGATTGCTAGAGCTCCATCTTCTGGGGATGTTGCAGGACACCCTCTTGTTAAGGTATAGTCATTCTGTTAATGGATATTTCACATGAATGTTGTGCTGCTGTGAAATAATTTTTGGTCATTGGAACTTTTAATTATTGTTTCCTGCTTGTTTGACTGCAATCAGAAAATTAAATTTGAGGTTTGCTGCATCTATCTATAGTTTTGCAGCTTTTGATCTTTATTTCTTCATACAGGAGCCATACAATGTTTCACAAGAGATAGATCGGAAGCGTGCTTTGTCCATGGTCCTTTCGCAGACAAAGCAGCAAGAGCGAAAAGATGCTGAGGTCTGTATTTTTACCTTGTTACTGGTCATAACTTGACGTTGTGTTTCTGGCAAGGTTTTATCTTTAGAAGCTTCTCGGTGTGTATATATACTAAATTACAAGCTTCTTCTGTACAGGTTCTTGCTGAAGCAAAAAGAATAACTGAGTCACGCATGGCTGCAAGGGTAAGTAATGAACTAGACGTATATTTTGTTTCTTTTCTGAAGTAACTGCAGACCTTAGCAATGATAAAGACCTTGGCAAGCAGGGTAGGGATCTCAGGTTGTCCTGTTACTGATCAAACAAGAAAGTGTTTATTCAAAGTCACAACTAAACTTGAAATACTAAAATTGGAACCATATTGTGGAATGAAATTTCTAATTACCTACTTGTGATAGAGGAATGTGGTATACTAATCCATGGGATTGTTTTTTACTTAAATTCAGAAAAGCGTCTGATCTTCATTTGCATGCATGATGGATGTGTGCTTATGTTTTTTGCAAGTGAGTTACAATATTATTTTTTTTGTTTTACTGGTTTCAGGGCGTTGAAGAGTCTACATTGCCTGTAACATTGAATGCTGGTCCAGAAATTGCTGAGACAGCCACTAATATTGATGATACTGTAGCACCTTCGTCCAATCCTCAGCTTGCTTCTGCAGCAGCTGCACCGTCAACTTCTATAATGGCAGAAAATGCCTCCACTCTAGCTTCTCTTCGCATGGTATTTTTCTGATATTCACCCTCCCTTCCTCCCGCAAGCCCTCCTATCCCTATAAGTATAAAGAGAACTGCCTAAAGAGGGAGAAGAAAAACACAAATGCAAATAGTTTTTGTTTTCTTTGCTGAAAATATAGATCAAGCTTTATGTATCACCTCATCTTGATTTTGATTTATCTGATTTATCTATAGTCTTGCCAAGTGCTTTTTATATGCAATAACATTTAATATGACTGATTTTATACAAATGTCAGCTACGTGTGTACTTGAGAACATATGCACTTGAGCAAATGGTGCAAGCTGCAAGTTCATCTGCGGGCCTTCGGACAATCAAGCGAGTTGAGCAAACGTTACAAGATCTAGGGGTCTGTTTATACTCCCTGAACTCTTTAGCATTCTTTCTTGTTTTATTATTTAAGGTGGATGAAGTTATGTTTGACGATTGGACACTGGGACTTTTTTTTTTTGTTTATTTTTGCTACCATCTTGTTCTATTATTTTTGCTTTTGCAGGTTAATTTAAAACCAAGGGTGCCAACCAAAGCTGTTTGTGCAGAGCACCTCGAATTAAGGAAAGAAATACTGACTCTACTCAATCTCCAAAAACAGGTATTGCATATTTTAAATATTCATATATTGAATATGAACTGTATCGGTTCCATCACGACGTGTTTATTCACCCTTTTGTTTCACACATTTTATAATCGTGTGAAAATTTCCTTTTAGATTTAAGTAATATCATTTGCATGTAGTTTTTCTGCAAATAAACTGTCATTGTTGGTTAAAATTGAAATTGCTTTTATGTATGAGCTTTACCTTAACTTATCTTGTTGTTGAGGTGCTTCCATCAAGACAATGGTAAATGAGCTTTACCTTTTCTGTTTTCATGCCATGATATTTACACAAAGCATTCTTAATACATTTAATTCTGATACATCAGTCTTCCATTTGTTCCATAGTTGCAATATAAGGAAGCAGAAGGTTCATCTTTTCGTGATGGTTCATATGCTGAAATGCCAGGCACACCTAAGGTCACTAAACTCTTCACTCTGTAAATATTTTGTTGCATTTATTGTCTCACTGGGTTGGAGGCTTCAAATGTTCCACACATTTATTTATCTGGGACTGTCACAATGCTCACAGCGTTCACACCGTGATCAGGATCGAACATTTGTTCCAGACTCAATGAGTTTTGGTGGTAAGTTACAAATTTTAGTCATGTTATGTTTCCTTTTGCTTATTCTGCATGAGATTAGTGTTATGGGCCTGGTGACATTTTTGACTGTGATATCAGGGGAAAGGACAGGTCGAAGGGACCAGAAACGCAAGGTAGATTTCAGTCTATGTCCTCTACCAAATAGTATTTTGCTTTCTTTTATCTGCTGTGGAATCTGATAATCGTGCATAATTGAATCAAGGGACCTGGAAGGTTATCTGAGGGTCCATCATCGCCGGCTCATAAAAGGCCTAGAAAATTAAAGGCTGCTGATCTATGATTTTGAAGATGAGGAAGAAAACCAGCGTTGATTAAATGGGTTATAATTATTGAATCATTAGTCTCACAAGACTTGATATGCATTATTTCTTTAAGGTCCACCAAATTTGTCCGCTCGATTGTCCAAATAGCAAGTTTTGGGGGGCATTATCCAGATTAGAAGCCTCTGTTAAGTTGGTGCTTTTACATCTGATGAGATATATTGGAGAAGTCTTACCACTAGGAATGGTGATAACAGTTTCCATAATTAGAAGATTGTAAAATCCTTTTAGAGGGCATAAGGTTCTAGTTTTGTATAAATGTGCAGGCTTGGATATTTTGTTGAGCTAAATTTGACAATTATTTGTAATTGCAGCCCATCTAAGAATAGAAATCAATGCCTTTCCTGAAAAGAAAGGGAAAAGGAAAATGTATGCTTCGCTCTATTCATAAAGAATGGTTGGAGACTCTTGTTTAGTGGTTAAGATTAGGGTTAGGGTTAAGCTTCTGCAGCTGAGAATTTGTCTTTATAATGTTTGCGTGATGTATATAAAGGAACATGATCAGACATTTATTTATTTGTTATAATATGATAGTGATACATCCCAAACATTATTACAAGCAGATATATACAAGTAAATGAGATTATGGACAGATTTATTCATAAATTTGAAGGTCCTTGTCTGTCTGATCTTTATTATTATATATTTTTGCACATGTGGTTGTTGCTGTTGAGAAGCCTCCTTTGCCTTTCAGTATGTAGTTGTCGAGCAAAGCTGCAAGCATAATCAGAAATAATATTATAATTATAATGAGCATAGTGTTATAAATATTGTTTGTAGTAGTCATCTTACAATGTCAAAGCTTCTTCATTAGTGTAATTCTGCTTCGCATGAGCTCCAGTATTTGGGTCAACCACAGTGGCGTGGTTTTTCAGGATTTTAAAAGCAATTCTCTTTAACTCCTCAAAACCAGTTGTTGATCCATCCACAATTGAAGGCACAAGATTATTTGGTTCAAAACCCTGATAATTAATTAATTAATTAATTATAAAATAAAATCTATTTTTATTTAATTAGCAATATTAATTAATTAATTAACAAATAAACCTGGACGCGTAGATAATTGAGACGGCCCTCGTGCAGCTGGCTGGGGACAATCTGAGTCATGTACATTTCCATAATGTCACCAAATAAAATGTACATATACTGCAAAACTCTAGCCTTTATGCCCTTCCAAATTCTTTTTGAAATATAATCTATGATCACAGAAGGGACGGCCCATATGTCATTGGGTGGAGCTCTTCGTCTTATAGTTCCTAAAGACAGGACCAGATAGTTTTTGTAGTTTGGTCCACTTCCATAAAGTCTTGCTCCTTCTGTCAAGGCAAGCAATGTCTGCATATAATACATTATATACATATAAGATTATAAATTAATAATTAATAGTAATAATAATTAATTATTATAAAAGATTTGTAATTCAAGATTTTACAGGATTGTTAGCGACGACGCTGCCATCAGCGAACCTTGCAAATTTGCCACAGTATTTGAAAGAATGGAAAGGAAAAACTGTAGGGGTAGCTGAGGAGCTGAGAACTACATCTCTTAGAGTTACATCCTCATTATTATGTTCACGAAGTTTCTTTGCCTGCAATTGTTTAATTATATCAGCATTTTCTTGATTCCTTCCAAGGAAAACTTATAATTAAAATGGATATAATTAATAAACCTGACTGGTGGAGAAAACCACAGGTCTTGTGCTGTCGAAATGGAAAGCAGGAACAACGACATCGCTCAATGTCTGGTCGAGTCGTATATTTTGTAGCTTGTTTCTTAACTTGGTATCAAATTCTTGAAAGGGACAAATATCTGCTTCCCAATTTCTTTCCCAGAATTCATCGACTATGCTCCATATTTTCTTGTTTGGATCAAGAAAAGTCCTAACTGTTGAAGTAAACAAACCAAAAGCACCGAAAGCTAAGTTTACGGTTCTTTCAATTATGTTTTGCTCATCCTCATCGGAAAAAGTGTCGCGGCTTATCTCTCTTAATGAAGCAATAATATCTGCCATGTCATATTGAGGACGTTCGGCTTGAAGCTTGCTTGGTTTTGTGAGCATGGCTGCCATAAGAGAGCCAGTTCCTGTTCCTCCAACCACATCGAAGTAATCTGCAATTCTTACATCATTTGGACTCCCTCCATTTTGCTTCTCAAGTTCCTGTTCATGAATTTTCAATCAATTTAAGCTAATTAATATTTCTACGTAAAGCAAAATAAACTTTTACCTTGAGCTGAGTTTCGAGGTATTTGAGTAAGACTGCAGGAACTATCCCTTGGACTCCACCTCCATCGATACTGAGCACTGTCACACATTCACCATCACTGCGAGGATAAACCATTTTCTTGTTAACTTGTCAAGTTTAAGATTTTTTTTATTCTTTTATTTTAATATGGCTGCTTAAATCTTGATTTCTCTTCCTCTATCATCTGTCCGTATATATAGAGACAGAGATAGGTAGCGGCCATGCCTGTACGTGATGCACGTTTATGGAGGATCAAGTTCTTTGTCCATTGACTTGGAGGAACATATCCGTACTCCTTTAAAGAACCAAGAATGCCCTCTTTTTTTCTGGCAAGCAAGGGATCTATCTCTTGTGTGGGATCCATCTTGCGTCAGGCATGTTTCGTCATTGTCAGTATGATTTTTATATTTCTGGATTTCGTCATTCAAGCAACGAGTCTTTAAGGACGGGATGCTAACTGAAGTCTTGTTTTTAAGTTCTTGGAATTAAAACAGGGGGAAGCATATATGATCATAAGAATACTTTACTTGACCTTAAATTAAGTAATTAAGCTCTTGCTACCATAATCAAATTGTATTACAAGCTGGCAATATTTGAGCCCCACTGATGCCAGATCTCTTCCTTGCTGGCATCCAAACTAAGATTTTAATAAGCAAGGTACTTGATTCCAGTATCAGTACGAAATTCCGATCTCTTGCTTGCCGTAACCCAAAAATTATATTTTAATAAGAGGGATCTGACGTGTATATATAACACCAACATCCAACGACCATATTCATCGCACTATACTGATATATATTTCAGGTGACTAATTATCAGCTAATAAAGTGTTAGTGTTTAATTAATTCAGATGGCGCCATCTGAATTTCCATTCACTTCAAAAGGACAATCAACTGATCAACGGAAGAAGGTCACTGTACTTAGCATTGATGGTGGCGGAATTCGAGGGATCATTCCTGCAGTCATCCTCCATGAACTTGAAAAACACCTTCAGGTTCTTTAAACTATACGCAATTTCTTGTTTTTTTTTTTTTTTTTTTTTTTTTTTTTTTTTTTTTTTTTTTTTTTTTTTTTTTTTTTTTTTTTTTTTTTGTTCTTTTTATAATTTATCTAAGAGAATGAAAATGCTGATAAATTAATGAAAACAAATAACAGAAATATGATGGACCAGATGCAAGAATTGCAGATTATTTTGATATAGTAGCAGGAACAAGCACAGGGTCCATATTAGCAGCAATGATAACTGCACCAGAAAAAAGAGGTTACAACAACATTTTTGACGCAAACGTGCGGCTTCGTCCCAGGCTTGATGCTTCACAATTTGTTGGTTTCTACGAGAACAAAGGCAAAGATATCTTCGGAAGCCCGATATTTCATGTTTTTGATTATCCAAAAAAGATAAAGGAGGCTCTGCAATATATTTTGTGTCGTTTTACGTCTCCTATTAACTGGTTCGAAGCTGGAATGGCTATACTCACTAGACATGGACCCTCACCTCTTAGGTCTGCAATTAAGCAAGAGCTACAACAAATTGGCCTCAATGAAACTCTCACCAAAGTCGTTATACCCACTTTCAGAATTAGAAAGACCAAGCCTGTCATTTTTACTTCAGATATGGTTGTTCTCTTGTACCATCTCTGCCTAGTATTACATATTACTTAAGAACCGGGAATTAATATGCGTTTATATATATAAATATGCAGACGAAAGATTATAAGGGCAAGAACTACGAAGACTTTCGTCTTGCAGATGTAGTTCTTGCCTCCTCCGCAGCTCCTACATTTTTTCCTCCACATAAAATCCGTTTTAAGGGCAAGGAAGATGGGTTTTTTGATGGTGGTGTATCTGCAAATAATCCTGTACGTATGTGTAATTCTCAAATTTTTATTTTTATTTCAGTTTTAGTTAGGATTTTAACTAGCAAAATCGCAATCTCAATAATTATAATTACTTTTGATGGTCTGAATTAATTTCAGACTTTGGCTGCAATCTGTGAAGCAACAAAAACATATGGAAACGAAAGAAACTTTGAGAATTATTTGGTTCTATCAATTGGTACTGGCCGAGTAGACTTATCCCCATATCGTGGACAAGGTTTTGCAGAATGGCTGTTTAAGGAAATATTTGGGAAATTAAGATTTGAGTTCCTATGCAATACAGTCAGTGATGCTGTTGAGTTATACATGTCACGTATCTTCCACTGCAATGGAGTCTCTAAAAACTATCTGCGAATCCAGGTTAAAGATTAATCATATCACTTCTTTGCTTGTTTTCCATTAATATAATATTAATTAATGAAAATTAATTAATTTGATACAGGAATATGAATTGGAGAGTCAAATGGAGATTATGGATGATGCATCGCAGAGAAATCTTTTTAACCTGAAGAACTGTGGATCAGTTCTTTTGGATAAAAATGCAAAGATTGTGAATCCGGATACAGGATGTGTTGAGGAACTTTCATATAAATATAAAGACGCTTTGGCCGAGTAAGAATACCAAAATTGTTACACCATTATTTCTAAATTTGTTCGTATTTGATCTAATTATCTTTTCTGTTGTGCAGATTCGCTCGAGAGTTGGTGAAAGAAAAGAAAAAGACTCGTTCTTCTGCCTTCAGCTACTAATTTATATGATAGAGCTGCTTGCTTGATTAAGCATTATGCACCAAATAAAACAACCAAAGGAGACCTTTATTTATTTCCTTAATTTCCTGTGTATAAATAAATAAAAAAAAGGAAAATACATGATTCACCAATATTATAATTAGATATGAATGAATGTCTAATATCAATATTTATTTGTATTAATTGTCTTTATTAAATTTGCTAATAAAAAGTTTTATTTTTATTAGTTGGTTCATATATGAGGTTATGGACTCGATTTAGACAAATCAACCGTATAAATAAAAGTTAATATACAGGAGAAAATAAATATTTTTTTTAGAAAATACTTTTTAAAATTGAACCCATGACCCTCCCTATAAACCGAACCAATGCAAATAAGAATTGTTTGAAAATCATTTATATTTTATCATTTTTTTTCATTATATTATATGGTTAGAAAGACACTCAATTTAATAAAATTTTATATTTTCGTCAGTACGAAGGATCCGTTTATATAACTTTATGTTTGAACAGCGGACGTAGTTGACTAAGTAAAACATGTCTCTGATTCAATATTCCATTAGCTCTATAAACGACATTCCGTCCGACATTATTTGCCGTGTTGCCGTTACCTGTATAAACATACGTGCCACGCATCTCAGCCACGACTTTTCCTACGCATGCACCTTTGCGGTTCCAAATTAATAGACATCTTTTCATTTTTTATTTCCATTGTTACAACAGGAGCAAAACTGATACTCCATGAAACCATTAGCCGATCTCCAATCAATAGTGGAAAACCTGTCAAGGAGAAAAAATATGATAGGACTCGTTGTTTTAAGGGTTTTTTCTTCTCCTTGTTTTCTTCACGACCGCCATTACCATTCATGTACTGAACGTTACGTATCGAACTGAGTGCTGAAATGTATAAAGCTGGAATAGCAGACAACATCGAGGCCTATGTCTTATTTGCATTAGCAGAAATTATATGGGCGTCCCTGGACAGGACATCGCTTGGCTTCACACTAGCATCCTTTGTCGGCATTGGGTGTCCATTAGCTGAAATACCTGTAATGAAGCAAGGCTGGCTGGCTGCATTCTTTTTCAACAAAATTACTATTGAACATACATAATTTAGCGTTTAATGCTAGCTATTGATTCTGTTTGAGACCCATTTTCAGGTTCTTCCACCTTTGGTATTATCCACAAGCAAATATTAAGATATTTGGTCAGGTAACTTATCTCGATAATAAACAGAAGCATCCATGGCTTAAAAGCAACTTCCATCTTGGAACAATTAGAAGCTTTCTGTTTTATGCAGGGATTAGTCACTTGGACCATCACTTGCGACTTCGTGTATACACCATTCCTCATCAGTTTGGCACGTTGGCTCAGATCAGGTATAACGGCTGCTGATAAGTCTGCCTAATAAACTCGGTGCAGGTAGGAGTAGCCATTCTTTTAGATACAGGAAAGAGAATTGCGAGCTTCTCCTCTGTAATATGCTTTGAACAAATATCCTGAATAACTAAATCAAGAAACAATAGACCAGCATTGGAGTTTCTCACACAGCAATCAGCAAAAGCATGGACTCACGTTCATGCATTGCAGGCTCTGGGTTTGATATGTTCATATTTACGGCTAAACTATAAATGTAGTACATTTTATTAAAAAATGGTAACACAGACACACTAGCATTTGAGCTTTTAAGTATATATATCAAAAAGTGGCCTCTCAAGTCTGTACATTTCTCTATTCAGTATTTATGAGATTCAAATATGAAACCTCACCTAGTCAACGAACACAACATTCATGATGTCTGGGAACTTCTCCTTAATTGCTGCTTTGATTCCTGAGCCAATAGACTCAGGTCCTGAATACTTTACACGACATTCATCGCCCTCAACAGATAGTACTTCCACACTCCCGCCGAAGTTTTTAATTGCGGGTCTCAGTATGTCAAGATGACCATTCACTGCCTGTAGTTGCAGATAATGGACTAATTGTTAAGATCATCAAAGAAAATTCAAATAAGGGGATACTTTTATTATTTTCTTATCAGCTCATGGTAGTTGAGAACAAACCTCAGCAGTTGTCTCTCTTACTTCATCATATACTTGACGGATGTCTTTAACTGCATCTCCAAATTTTTCTTTCAATACTCTTTCAATCCCCATTTTCATGGTGGTTGTCGAGCTTGGGCAGCTACCACATGCTCCTGGTCATCAATTCAATTTTTTAGTAAAATCTTCAAAAAGAAACCTTAAAGTGGGATAACAGATATTTTTATTTAACCAACCTATGAGAGGACATGCTCCTTTTAACATGGGATTTCCAGAAATATTTATAATGAAAATTCCAACATAAATTTACAAAAACCTAAGCATTATATCCACGCTAATACTGCATTTGTAAGGCTTTCTTATACGGCAGATCGATAAATATTTTATCACCAAGGAACAGAATACAGGGCAGAGTTGACAAACTGAGCAAACAGTGATGGTTCATTTATCAGCCAATATCAGAGAGCATAACAAGTAACAAGAAGTCAAGCTACGCATAACTACAGTAATCCAAAAGGCATTACAAACCTGTGGAAACTGAAAACTACTAGAGTGAGTTGATTTGTTCATTCCTGGAATGGAGATCTATGAAGAAAAACTCATAAGTGACTATTTAGAGTTAGACTTCATACTAACATGCTAGAAGTGGAAACAAGCCGTAGAAAGAATTGCAAGTAACTAGCATCAAAGACTTGCTGCCACAGCCTATTAGATAGCAAGCTGCCTTATTCAAAATACTAGAATGAAAAAGAAAACGCTATTTTTGAATTGAAAAGATTCAAAATATTTACAGCCAAACTAGAGCAAACAGCTCAATCTGGTGGATACATGTAGTTCCACATATAGAGAGCTAAGAAGTAAAATCGTTTACGAAAATAATGTAAAGGCAGCAACTTTGCAGCAAGTCTAATCTTCATTTCGCCCCAAATTCACCGCCAAACCAATTCAAATTGGTTTATTAATCATCAATTTACCGCAAATAAAACTATCAAATGGTAAAGGGAACAATCAAAATTACCTTGGAGTTTCAGAGAGATAACGCCGTCTTCCACCGACACAACGTCGACGTTTCCACCATCAGCAATCAAGTAAGGTCGAACATCCTCGAGAACCAGGTCCACGTTTTGAACAGTGAGTTCGAATTTCTGGGCCGAGTAGAGTCCAGGAGATTGGGAACCTGTGGCAGCGCTTGGACTCGCAGCTTTTATTGTCAATTTCGACGATCCTCTTTTTCCAGAGACGTGTCTGAGTTGCTGTAGAGTTCTGGGTAGTAAAGACCGATGCGTATCGACCGGAATTATCGAACAAGACGGGAAGAACTTAGACGATGCGGTGGATGCTAGAGACGCCATAATTGCATTCGCGTCCGACTCTTTGAGGCTTTAAAATAAAATAAAATGGTTGGACATAAAGGAGGGTCATATTGGTATTTTCCGAAAGATCAATCTGCAAATACGAAAAACAAGCATATTCTGTGGGGACCGATATGGCACGTGCGGTCACGAATATTAGTGGTTAACTAGTTGGGATCTTTTGTGGGCGTGATAATTCAATCTTATGTACGGTGATTAAGGGCCCATATTTACTCTTGAAAGAATAATGTATATTTTTTTATTATTAAAATGCAAAATAACTATTAGGTGTGTAATTATTTTTATATATTATTGATGATATATTATATTTTTAATATGAATATTATTATTTTTAATTCTAATGTGTTATTATAAACAAAAGATTACTAATTAATTTTTTAAAAATAATATTTAATATAAATTTATTATTTTTAAATAACTATAAATAGGCTAGTGAAAAACATAATTTCATTGCAAAATATTTTTAAAAGATTAATGAAATCTAAATATAAGTGTCCCTAACTCTTATATTACGTGTTTTTATGTAATTTATAAGAAAATGTGTTGAGGTGTCATATATTTATAATTATAATAAATAAAAAAAACCCAAATACTTACAAGATTCTTAAGAGCATATGGTTGAAAGAAATCAAAATAGGAAGATATTTTAATTGGTCTCTAAAATAGAGGGACAAAGTAATTAATTTGATAACACTAGAAAAATTAAATTGTACTTCTTACAAATAATACATTTGAAAATTACTATAATTCATATTCTAATAAATAAACATAAAGTGCTCCTTGAAGTATTGATTATTAGGCAACCAACTAGTAATTAAGTAAAACAAATTCAACATTTTGAATAACTAAATCAAACACCTACTTAACTAATTGCCGTTAAGAATAAACTAACAGACAAACAAGGGGGATGAGTGGACAAATTTACATACCCTGCACTGGCGGCGTCTGAGAAGAACTCCGTAACGTTGACTCCTTAAAGCATGGTGATATGGGATACGAGATCCGCAAGGTGAGCGTCTCAAAATGGCAACAAAGATTTCGTGCAATATTATCGTTATTTTACTGTATCTTATTCATGTGAAGTAAACAGTAGCAGTGAAAAATCGGGGGAAAATAGCCCGCCAAAACCCACTAGCTAGAGGATATTTCTCTACATAAATACTGTGAACTTTTTCGATCTCTTGCTATTTTAACATAAAAGAAGAACAAAAGCCTCTAGGGTTTTCTCATTTCTGCTGCACTAACTAGCTTTTAATTCAAAAATTATGGTGGGATTGGACTCTGATCCCCAGCCTAAGAATCCCCATAATGACACTCACTCTAGCTTACTCTACAACAAAGGCCAAGAGGTGGAGGTAAGCAGCGACGAAGATGGATTCAGGGGTGCATGGTATCCGGCCACCATTGTGGATTCTCCTACCAAATCTGCTTCCAAAAAGAGAAAAAGGCTCATGGTTAAGTACAAGACTTTGCTTACCGAAGATGGCTCCGCCCCTTTGACGGAGCTTGTGGACCCCAGCCACGTAAGGCCTCTGCCGCCCGAGAATGGCGACCGGCTTTTTCAGGAAAACGATGTCGTTGATGCCAGGTACAGAGATGGGTGGTGGACTGGGATTGTAAGGAAGGTTTTAGAGAGTTCTAGATGTAGGGTTTTTTTCGCTAACCCGCCGGAGGTAATTGATTTTGATGGCAAAGATTTAAGGGTTCATTTGGAATGGGTTAATGGTCACTGGGTTCGACCTGAGAAACAGGTATGCTGGATAGCTAACATCATGGGACCTCGTGTATTTGTTTTCTTTTGTAAATGGGATGCGGTATTTGTTAAAATTTATCACTGTTGCATGGTTAAAACAGCGTTTCATATTTTTGAATTTATTTACCTAAATGATGACACGATTTGTTAATCAGAAGCATTAGCTGGAGATCATTTTGTTTCACTTAATTTATGAAACTGATATAGTATTTAAATTTTCAATTATTTTTGTTTCTTTGCTTTTGAGTTTCATCGATCTTAATATATCTGGTGTGATGGAGTCTCATACTTCACTTCTATTGAAGTCTTGGATCATTTTAGTATCTAGTGTCAATTGCATGTAAGAGGAAGAGAAGTTTACCGCTTAGATTTGGATGCAAAGTAGAAACGCCCTCTAGATTTTTTGCTCTGATGTGTGCCTTTAGTGCATGAGTTAGATGGCGACATTGAGTGCTTATGTACATGCTAAATTCTTTCTTATGCACATGACCAGTATAATTGGATTCAATTCTTGTGGTTTATGTAACTATTTCAGCTGAAATTTGTCTAAACTTGCCTTACTGCTCTGTTTCCCTGAATCACTTAAAGTAGCCACTTAATAATTTCTTAGTGCTTCAGTTTAGAGTCACCTATATAAGTTAAGTTTTGCTGTCGCAAAGCCTGCTATCCTCTTTTGGGGTGCAACAGTTTTTACTAAACTTTAGTTGTTTATGCTGCAGGATTGTGTGTATTTGTTTTTTGTATTCATTCATCTGTATGTTCATTTACTTTGACATCCAGTCACCAGAATTGTAATTTCATAGTGTTCCTTCTATATCATATATATAGCTTAAGGAACATGCTATGTGGCTGATTTGCACAAAATATGAATAATTTGGTTTTGCAATTTGATTTTTAAAGCAAACAACAGGATCGGTTTTTAGCTCAGGCACAGCAGTAGAGGTGAATATTGACCAAGAAAATGTACGTGATGCTTGGTTCCCTGCAGTTGTCATTAAGGAAAATGGTGACGAGACTTTCTTGGTGAAGTATCAAAGCTCTGGGAATAGTGATGAGGCCGGGACAAAAGTTACTGTGGATGCCCTCCATATTCGGCCCATGCCTCCTCGTTATGCAGACAGAAATTTTGAGTTGTTGGAAAAGGTCGATGCACAATATAACTTTGGTTGGCGGGCTGGAGTGATAACAAAACTTCTTGCTGGGAGGAAGTACAATGTCTTCTTTAAGCAGGGCAATGAGGACAGGGAACTTTATCACTCAGAAATAAGGCCTCATGTGGAATGGATTAATGGCCAATGGTTTTGTAAGTCCAAGGTATACTACTTTCTCTTTGGTGTTTAGGATTGTTGTTTTGCCATGGTTTTAGATTTTCATCATATTTGTGAATGTCACTCTTGCAAGCAGAAGAGAATAGAAAATAAGAAATTAAGATAAACTTTGACCTTCTTTAAAATTTTCTGCATGTTGTTTTTGATGATTATCAAGTAGTTTTGGCAAATGTTAGAAATCTTATTAGGATCAATAACATGGAGCCTGCTTAATATCTTTCAGGTTGATACCCACCTTTTCTATTTGGTCATTGTGGTTAAATTGTGTGCATTTCTATTAATGTCAAGAAGCTTGTTTCATCATGATGGTGTTGTATGTACTCGTACATTTTTACATCAGGTACTAGGTCTGGAATGGTGACCGTCCCTAGAATTTCCCCATTTTGCATAGATCCCTTTTGCTCTGTTTGCCAAAACTTACTTTTTTTAATTTTTATGTGCATTGATGGCTTTTGCTCAGTAATTGAAAATTGTCATAAGACATATGCTACATGTACGTGGTAAACTAGTATAATGAGTAACTAACATACCTATTAAATTCATAAAAAATGGGAGGATGTCAAAAGATTTAGAAATTAATGGATCCTTAAGAGCAGAGGGTATATTTTTTGCTGATCATCTTGTTGCTTATTAATTATCTTGGAGATATGTTTTATCTAGTGTGTTATTAGTTCTATCTGCACTGATTGCACAGAGATACATCACTTATAATGCTCTTGCTTCAAACTCCACTTAATGTTTTTGCAGTTTTTTGTTGCTAGTAATTTCAAATTTTGTGATTAAGTGAGTAGTACAGCATCTGGAATGTGAAATAATGTATTTGACTTTCCAAATGAGGCAATGCCTAGGAGAATTATAATGAGGAAGCACATGATCAGTTATGCCATATTTTCTTTTATCTTGGTACTTTATCCTCCCATTTATTTTAGAAGTTTGGCATCATGTGTAATGGGAAGCCCAAATAGATAGATTTCCATTCTTCATTTGGTAGCTTAACTAACAGGATATTGTTTCAGGAAATCGTGATTGCTTCTGATAAAAAAAACCAGTTAGGTAATGCCCACAACAGCACTGACAATGCTGACATGTTTACAAAACTAGAAAGATCAGGTGCTGTTGAAAGTAAGACTGAAGAAACAGTAACTTGTTCTGCAACCATAAGGAACCTGATAGAGCAGTCAATTCATTGCAATGAAAAATCACCTTCTCATGTCTTGCCTCCTAGCAAGAAGGTAAAGATCACAGCTCCTAATGGTGCTGGTAAGCATTCACATCCTGCCAAAAAGTCCATGGAAGGAGATGATACAAATTCGCCACTTGTGGAGATTCCAATTGAAACATCAATAAATGAAACTGTTCGTGGTTTAGCCACTCCAAGAACTGGAGGCAAACGAGCTAGATGCGCCAGAAAATCCATGGTTGGTGATCGAACTGCTGCTAGAACTGAGAGTCCTTGTGCAGGAAAGAGCGCAGTGAGTTGGATTTTTCTCTTGAGTCCATTACTTTGTCTAAGTCCCATACTTCTGATGCAAGCTCCCAATGTTGAGAATTGTCATGTAGAACAAATTTTTATCTGAAAAAAACATTCAAACATAAACAACAATTTTCTGCCATCTTCTGCTGCCATTTTAAGACCGTTGTATTGGCCCACCAGTTAGCACTATATCTCTGTCAAACCCATAGACTGGAACTTTTTTTTTTTTTTGGTCTTTATTTATGCAAATAATCATTTTTTTTTTTATTGAGGCAAGTGTACCCTTACAGAGATTACAAAAAATCAAGTTGCCTATAATTGGAATAATTGGATTTATTTGACACATTTTGATGGACAAAAGATAGAAAATCATTAAAATATAGCCATTTTTAAATCAAGGAACTCACCCTGCTTTGTTTATTGGTTCAAGAGTTCTGTTAAATAACATAATCAGTTATTCTGTGAATGATAGTTTAATTCTTCTTGTACATGCGTGAAAAGATAAAGAACTATCAGATGTTACATTATGGAGCCATTGGCAAGTAGAGTAGCAGTTGAGTGTGGGGGTTCAAATTGGGACCTCTCTCTCTCCCTTTGAAAATTTTCCAATGTTTCAAAAAGAAAAATTATATTATGGATCAACAGGGATTTATTACCATTTTCTCTTAGTAAATTGACTTTTGGGGCATAATATTTCTGAGTTTATGTTGAGTGCTTAATTATAAGCCATAAGTTGCTTTAGAAGACTTGTTTTCTGTTTTTCTCTTCCCCCTCCTCTTTAGTGTTTTACACCAGGTTTGACAACTAAAACGGGGAGGAAAAGAAAATAAAGAGGGACAATATGGGAAAGACCTCTTCATAAACTACCTCCCTTCTATTTTCTCCCTCTTTACTTCAAATTTCCTCTCCAAATTGGAGGTGGACCAAAAGGAAAGTTTTTGTTTATTTTCCTTCCTCTTTTCAAACAAAGGAGTTACCTTTTCTCTATTATTTTCCATCCATTGTTTTCCTTGTCTTACTTTTTAATTTTGTTAGTTATGCTTATTGGAGCGACTTAGTGGTTGCAGGTTGGTGCCCAATCTAATGGAGGGTTTATTAATATTAAAGATCTACCTAAGGTATGCTTCACTGCTTTTTCCCTAATTCATGATTTTCATCTTATAATTAATATATTTATCATAATTATTTTATGTGTTTTATGCAAGGAATTTATCAACAAATGAATTGCAAACTTCTAATGGTTACCTTTAAGTTAGACCAAATGAATGGAGTATCAAAACAATTGTTCTTTGAAAAGGATTGTTCCAATCACAATGGTAAAAGAGAGATTATGAAAGAGAATTTCAATTGACAATGATTTTAGAATTATTTATTATTATAAGTATCTATAGCTCACTTTTATTAAATAACTGTTATTAAAATGATTATTAATTATTATTACTATTATTATTATTATTATTAATAACAGAAAACTGCTTAGTATTTATGTAATTATGATGTTAAGATGTTTATTATGTTTATATATTTCATTATCTTACAACATATTACACTCTAGAAATATGTCTTTGTTTTCATAATTACTAGAAGTACGTGTGTACTAAAACCCATTAAGCATCACATATGACAAAAAGCTACTTAAGAAGGTCTTTGCCCATTTCAACTTTCCTTTTGGCGTTGACGATTGTTATGCAACAGTTTTGTTTTTCCATGACCCAGTATTCCTATTAGAATGTTTCCTTTTCATTTCTTACTATTGAATCACATTGTCCCTGGTTCATGCAGAAGGCTAAGCAGCAGAAAGTTGCTGAAGCTGACTCCAAAAAAGTGGAAATTGTGACAAGAAAAGGGAGATCTATTAAATCGCCATTTAGAAATTCTTCTGCAGCAGGTAATTTTCTCTATTACTTTTTAATTATTAATATACGTCATGCTGCTTGTTTCTTATAAAGGAAACTTGTGTGAAATAATTTTCTCAAAACAGTGGATGTTGCTACTCAAAAAATCAATGAAAGTAAGGATAAGCCAAAAGACAATGTCCCTGTCATCATAGCATTACAAGCTACAGGGATGAGGAGCTCAGACCTTGATTCTCCTTCTCAGCTTTCTGGTGAGGAAACACTGAAGCTTATTAGGGATCAAAAGAAGAATTTAAATGACTCAGGAGGCAAAGTCATGGTAAGCAAATTTTCTTTCCAATTATTGTATGTGTTCTTTTAAAGGAAAGAAATGTATGGATAGCTGCCAAAATTGAGAATCTCCTATTGAAGAGATTGCATAGCAGGGATGGGAATCCCAAATCATGCAAAATGTTAATCCATGTGATGTGCAATCACAATTGATGTTCTAATGTCCCTGTCAAAGTTTCATGGGCCTCATTAATTGCATTGTCTAACTCATATCATACTGTTAGATTAACCTCTTTCTATGTCTCTGTTATGGAAAATATGGTGGATTATGCTAGACAGAAGTAAAGATGGCAATCTTTGCTGCCCTGTCAAATCTAGTAGCATGGGGATGTGCATAGGCTACCTCTCCTTGCCTTGACCTTAGAAAAATATGCTTTGAACTTATATAAATATGAATATCTTACTTATCTTTGAGAATATACTTTTACTACTAAATATTTTTCTTATTTTTCAAACATCAATTAATTCAAAATTTAGTACGTGTGCATATAAGTACATGTATTTTTTTTTTTTTTTTGGTTTATAAATTAAAAAAAATATAACATAGCATTATCAACCCTGACTCCTTTTCCCCTTTCCATCTCAGCTCCCAATGTCTTACAGTGGCAGGGATGGGAATCCCAAATCACCCTGCCCCCTCTCCATTGTTGTTCCTGTATAGGAGAAGAAGTCTGTCCTGATATAGGATAACATAAGCTTGGGGTGCATTTGATTTAAATGGTTGTTTCTCACTTTTGCCTTCATTGCTATAGAACGAAGCATTGAGGAAAGCATTTGTTATAATCTAAGTAGATGGCTATAAAATTTCATGATTGAAAATCAGAGAAACTTTTGGGGAAAAGGAGAATAGTCTATTGAAGTGATGTATCATTTCATGGGCTCTTGATTGTATGAAGAAATTAGTGTAGATTGTTTAAAATTCCACAAATAGCTTCTTTTTTTTTTTTTTTTTTTTTTTTTTTTTTTTTTTTTAAAATTCCACAAATAGCTTCTTTTTTTTTTTTTTTTTTTTTTTTTTTTTTGTAATTTTTTTTTTTTTTTTTTTTTTTTTTTTTTTTTGTAATGTTTCAGTAATCAGGTTCATGCTATTTATATTCTCAGTTTGACGAGGAATGACTCATCTCTGTTTTTGTTCTACCTAGTTTTTCTCGTGTCACTGGCTAATCTTTCAAGGTTGTATCAGTGGCATCTTATTCTGTTGATTCCTTGACGTAATCTTTCTATATACATTATTTCTTCTGCAGGGACTCGATCAGCATAAATGTGGTGGAAGCTTTCAGAGAAGAAAGAGGGGAAGACCACGTAAATTATTAATCGTAGGCTTAAAGACTACAGAGGCTGGTACATTAAAACTTTAAACCAACTTCAAATCACAATCATTAGCTGGATACTTGTATATATTTTAAGATGCAAAAACACATACTACTATTTGTAGGCAAGGAGGACTATGGTGTTCAAGATGTTGCTAATGAATTAATTGTAAAAGATCGTGCCATTGATGAAGCTGAATTGCCAATACAGACAAGAGTGGAGTCTGCAGGTACGAGAATTATTTTTGGCCTTGCTATGAGGAATGCTCAATGCATATCAAAGATTAGGGGGAATTTCTGTTTATCCATCCAGACCCTGTTATTCAATAAGCCAGATAACTATAAGATAACACCCTTTAAAAAATTGACTATTGAGCCTCTCAACTGGAGGCACAATCTGTCAAGGTCTGGAACTATTTGATTTGATACTGTCGAGTGTTAATTTAGCAGGTAAGATTTAAAATCACAATAGAAAAGCTTGTCCCAGTAAGGGTGAGATCTAATCTCGGAGACTAACATCTCTGTTTACTAAGGTTGCAAATATATGATGTTTACATTGTGTCTGCAAAACATATTTCTATATGCAGACATCATGAATTGGTGTGGAAGGAAAACTTAAAGAGTTTGAAATTTTGGCCACACTATATCTGTGGAAAACTTGAAAATTTCTGGGGGGGGTTTTTTTAAGGTTTTGATTAATAGAATACCCATAACGAGGAACTGCCCAATGAAACTGTTATCAAGTGTTGGTTATACAACTGAAACCTTTATATAAGAAAAAGTTCAAGCAAAAAATTAGATAAGTCTTCATGACGTTCCATTGTGGCAAAAGAGACAGGACTTTTATGCTAGCTTAGAACACTGAGATTTCTTTTTTCAACTTCTGTTGCTTACAATCCTAGCTCCATTCTGTGGCATATAATTCAAGAAAAGATTAGAATTCTTGTAATCTCTTACTGGAACTTGCAAAGAAAATAATTCCAAATTTCTGAATTTCCTTTTTTCTTTTTTCACATTGATTCCTCTGCTGTTGGATAGAAGCATCAGTTCCCTTGTTTCTTGAAATCTTGGGAAGAACCTGGAACTTATGTCCCTGGTATGTTTTAATCCAACAAAGCAATGAAGAATCTTATAAAATAGTGAATCATGCACTAATAAACGTCCAACAGAGATTTTCTCAAAACCTTTTTTTTTTTTTAAAAAAAAAAAGAGGGGGAGAAGAAAAGAATGGTACATCAAGAAGATGAACAATCTTGCTTCTAGCTTCTCTTATTTACTTATTTGAATGGGGGCATGCCAACGTTCCTCCAACCCTTTCTTTCTCCCTCATTCCCTTTTAGTGCTCACCAAACAGAAGCATGAAAGTTAGAATGCCTCATACTTGCACTAATTTGTATATCAAGAACTGAAGCTTAGCATGTAACTTTGTAGTTTCTCAAGTTGCATCCAGAGAAAAAGCAGCTGAAGTTTCTGAGACAGATTACAAGACAAAAGAAGTTGATATGACCATTATCTCTATGTCAAAGGACGTGGTTGATGATGATCAGCCCTTATCAACGTGGATTGGGGGAACGCAATCTTCAGCAACTACTGAGGAATTGCGTAAGTTGTTACAGACACTTGAAATATACTCCCTGTTGTAACAATTTGTTTGATTTTTTTTTTTTTTAAACTTTTTTGGTTTGCGTAGGATCATCGTTTGGCAAACCCAATGCATGGAATGAAATAAGAGAAAGACATAGTGATCTAGCAATTGTATCTTCTGCAATTGATGCTCAAAGGGAAAGCATGCCAGATGAGAATCAGTGCCTGCCTTTTGTGAAGAGGTCCCCGGTTTGGGAAACAATTGAATCTATGGATATATTCAAAATCATGCCGCAAAGACCACATTTTCATCCTTTGGCTGATTGTAAAGAGGAGTATCGAGAAGGTTCAGCCATTGGCATTATGGTAACATTCGCCGGTTTGTTTGAGAAGATAACCTCATTGCGATTTGAGGATTCTAAAAGCATATTGGAGAGTACTTTGGAAAGTCTTATTGATTTGGAGAGGCACGGATTTGATGTCACCTTGCCACGCAACCGTGTGAATGAATTGCTGTCAATTAAGGAAGGAAAGGATCTCAATGAGTTCCTGAATGAATCAAAGGACATCGAAAGGCAGATAGAGGAGCACATTGACGACAGAAGAAAAATGGAAGCACAGATCAATGATATTCAAAGGAAACTAAGAGAGTTACAGGAAGAACTTGCTGCATCCAAGTCAAAGATGCAGAGCAAAGATGTTGAGATTGCCAACTTGCGTTCACACGTGGAATCTATGAATGGAATCGTAAACGACGCCCGGAATAATTTTGAAAACATAGTTAGAGCCCCTTGGAAATGGCCCTGATGCTCCTATTCAGTTTCTTCTTGCATATGTGGATACGTAGGGCAGGGCTGACAGTAAGAGTTGACATTTTTTTCTTCAAGAAAATGTATGTATACAGTATATTTAGAGAAGATTTTGCATGGTTGCTAGTAACGTATTTGGGATGGGTCATGGGTCACTGACTGGAATGATTGAAGTAGGACTTGATTGGGCCCGACCCGACCCGACCCATATGTATATGGTTTTTTCTGGCTTCTTTTATGTAGACTGAACAGAAAGGTGGCGTCTGGTGGTCCACAGTTAAATGGAAAATTAAAGTCTTATTTACACGTGCTCCATATTTCTCAGATATATCTTTTTATGTAGAACTGAACAGAAAAGGTGGCGTCTGGTGTCCCACAGTTAAATGAAATTAAAGGTCTTAGTTTAAACGTGCTCCACTATTTCTCAGATTATATATTATATATAATATATTATATTATTATATATACCTAGTATAGAGTTTAATATATATTTATATATACCTAGTATAGAGTTTTTCATCATAAATCTGCTCACCGAACCCAATCTTGATTTGGAATTGGGCCCACCAATCACTTTCACAAGATTACTAACTAATGCTTCGTTTGGTAAAGAGAGGAAGGAAAACAGGGACTGGTTGTATTATTCATTTTTTCTCTTGTTATTTTTTTCACTCTATCTAGATTAGATTGGAAGGGAAATAAATCTTTTTCTTGTAAATGCAATGTTTCCTCTCCAAAATAGAGAGAATTTAAATTAATGGGGCCGAGAAGAAAATAATTTTGATTTTGATTTTCCTTTCAAATTTCTTTCCTTCTAAAGAATCACCTGTTTCAAACGGACTGTAAATTACGAAAGAAATGAGAGAACTATAACTTTTGTTGAAGCATGGTTGGTTCGTATGTCATGAAAACAAAACAATTGACTTGCTCATGGTTTGTATTAGAGCCGTTGCTCATTTAATTATAAGTTTCATTGTGACCGATAGAGTTTGTGAAGCCTCCACTTGTTTAATTTTTGCAGGCTCTGTCGGCAATTAATATTTAATTTCCAGGTAAGACTTTGTATAGTTGTGATGCACTTACTATATACACACATTAATTAGTAACTGGAAATTAATTATGATGGTAACATAAGCAACTGTCTAGCGATTTATAAGGGCGTTGTGGTGGGTCCCTACTAATACTTTTAGCTCCATTGTTGTGATGGTGATGGTTAGAGTTAGTTTCTTGGTGAATTAATTAATTGAACCCAATTATTTTTGCATTGTAATTTTCATGACTATGACTAGTTGTAAGATTGGATTTGGATGCCACGATAAACTTTTAACGGGTACTTACAGTAAATTTTTAGGTTAGAAATTGGTTGAATTTCCTAGGGCATTTCATATATTTGCCACTATTAATATGAAATTGTATTTCACAAACGGAAACAAAACTTCTGTCTGTAAAAATATACTCTGATATTGTTGGTCTCATTAAAAAAAGTAAAATAATTGTATATTATATAAAAATTTCAAAAACTATTCGATAGATGAGGCTGAGTTTAGGCAAATCATTCTCTTGATTTTAACTGTTTGTCTTTTCACTTGTTTAGTTGAGCTAACATATTTAATAGCCACCGTCAGGTCAGTTTCCGTTCTTTCTGTTTCGGTACTACCCATAAATTTACTTCTTACAAAGTTAGTTAGCTTCCACCATCATTTGCATGACCTCAGTCCTCTCCTCTCTTCTGTCCTTTCTCCCTCTGTCTGTCATATACATCTAATGACGATCTTTTTGGTAATTAAGCTGCTGATTTTGTGCTCTGTTTGGTTAAATAATTAATTAATGGTTGCCAATCTTTTCTAAATTATTCTACTTCGCTTCGTAGGTTTCATGCTTTTCCAGTTGGTTGCCGATAACCTTAGTTTTGCTTTACTTAACAAGTACATTCATAATAAATGCTTTTACTATGGGCTTTTTCTGCCGCAGGATTTTAGATTTCGCTTTTAGCAGAGCAGCTTCTCTGTTTTTATTATCCTTTTAAACCTCAACAAGGCTCCGTTTCAGTTTTCGATTTTAGATTCTGCTTCCAGGTTAATATTTTCTTTTGGCAGAACTTGCGTACTGGTTTCTTTCCCTTCCTCGCGTAATTATTCCTGACTAACAAACTTAGAATTTTAAGTAATTGATGACTTTTCTTTTCCTTTTGTTTTTGGCTGTGATTGACCGGTAACTAGGGTCATTAGTGCTTCAACTGCCTATGTTATTTTACGACGACTATATATATATATGCACACACAAGGATATGAACCAGAACCGCTTCAAATTGCAGGTTTAAGGACAACAGAGAAAAATGAAGATTTTTGCAGCTAAAGTTGAGGAAGGAAAAGAAGGGAAAGATGGAAATCCTTCCGTTGGTCCTGTTTATCGAAATTTACTATCTAAAAATGGGTTTCCTCCTCCTGATCCTGATATTTCTACAGCATGGGATCTTTTCAGGTTTTTCAATCCACTTCCATTTTCTCCTCTTCTAATTCATTATTTATTCATTCTATATAATTTATGTCTGTGATTTTTGTAATATAACAGGCTTTTCTTCAATTATTATATATATAGTTGAAAAAAGTTCTGACTTCTGACAATAAAGTTGGCTTGATTGTTCAGCATCTCTGCAAAGAAGAATCCTGGAAACAAAATGCTTGGGTGGCGTAAATTAGTTAATGGAAAGGTAATAATTAAGTAAATGGGGATTTTAACAACTTGATTAGTTCTGTTTCTTGTTAATATCCTTCTGAAATATTTCATTGTATTTTGCTTTTAGGTGGGGCCTTATGTTTGGAAAACTTATAGGGAAGCGTATGAAGAAGTTTTGAAAATTGGTTCTGCATTAAGAGCATCTGGTGCTGAACCTGTAAGACTCTGCATGTGTATTACTATTTCATTGACTTTAATTTAGATACCAAGAATTGGAAACCAAACCAATATATTGTTTTTGAATTTTTCATGATATAGGGCTGCCGAGTTGGAATTTATGGATCTAACTGTCCTCAATGGATTGTGGCAATGGAGGTCTGTTTTTGTATCATGCTCTGTTTTTTTTTTTTTTTTTTTTTTTTTTTTTTTTTCTCTGTTTTTTTTTTTTTTTTTTTATTTCTTTTTTTTTTTCTTGCCTTGTTACCACTAACCAAAGCCCGACTAATTTTAGGCAAATGTTTCATGCACAAGAGTAACTCCTTTAAATGGTTTAAAGACTGCAAAAAAACAAGATTTTTATTTTTCTGCTTATACTTTGTTTTTTTTTTTTTTTTTTTTTTTTTTTTTTTTCTCCTTGTTTACACTAACCAAAGCCCACTAATGTTAGATGTTTCATGCACAAGAGTAACTCCTTTAAATGTTAAATGTCAAAAAAACAAGATTTTTTATTTTTCTGCTTATACTTTGTCTAGGCTTGCAATGCCCATAGCTTGGTTTGTGTGCCTCTATATGATACCCTTGGTATGCTTCTTTACACAATATTTACCAATCTTTTAAAGTTCTAAAATTTCCATTAATTAGAAAAAAAAAATTTCAAAATGAGTTGTGTTCGATGCAGGTCCAGGTGCTGTTAATTTTATTCTAGATCATGCAGAGATTGATTATGTTTTTATCCAAGATAAGAAGGTCAAAGAAGTAAGTTTAGGAAAATTGACCTGATGTCAAATTAATTACTATATGTTAAAAAATAAAAACCGCTAAGCCTCTAATCTTAACATACTGTTGTTTTTGCAGTTGTTGAATCCAGATTGTCGATCTGCTTCCCAGCTTAAAAGTGAGAATAATTATACAAATATTGATTTGCTGTTGTTAGACATGCTATACTAAGTTTCTCTGTGCTTGCAGCCATTGTGTGTTTCACTTCCTTCACAGAGGAAGAGAAGGAGAAGGCATCTCAAATGCAGATAAAGCCATACTCTTGGGACGAGTTTCTGTACTTGGTCAGTTTCTCCACTTCATTAATTTGGTCTTTTTATGTTTACATTTTGGTTAATCTTTAACTGTGTTATCTATCAGGGAAAAGAGAACCCATCAGAAATATCTCCACCTCAGCCTTTTAACATTTGCACAATAATGTATACAAGCGGCACCAGTGGAGAACCTAAAGGCGTTGTGTTAACACATGAAACATTGGCATATTTCGTAAGAGGCATTGATCTATTTCTAGAACAATTTGATGACAAGGCAAGGAACAAAAATAATTTCATAAGCATTTTCCGTTTCAATTTCTCCTTTTTATATTCTAACTTTTTATATCTGTTTTTTAGATGACAGCCGACGATGTGTATCTATCTTTCTTGCCTCTTGCTCATGTTCTCGATCGCGCGATTGAGGAATACTTTTTCCGGAAAGGTGCATCTGTTGGCTACTATCACGGGGTATGTTGCTGTATTTTGATAACTTAGTATCCTTTTTTTATCAGTCATAATTTTATTTCTTAAAAATTTGAAGGATTTGAATGCATTGAGAGACGACTTGATGGAGTTGAAGCCAACATTTTTAGCTGGTGTACCTCGAGTCTTCGAAAAAATACATGAAGGTGTTATAATCTTTCATTATGTACACATAACTTGATTTTCAATGACCTGTTGCACAGTAATGCTGTGCTTATCTTTGTATCAGGTATAAAACAAGCATTAGAAGAACTGAATCCTGTAAGAAGGCGAATTTTTCAAGCTCTATATAACTAGTAAGTTGCTTTTTGTTTGATTATCTATACTGATAATAAGCAGAAATGCAGAAACTTAGTTTAGGCACTATTAATTGAGACTTATGTATCCTTTATACTGTATTGCACAGCAAACTTGGTTGGATGAATCTAGGTTATAAGCAGAAATACGCTTCACCATTGGCAGATTTTTTAGCCTTCAGGAAGGTTATAGCTCATTTTATTTCGTTACTGACATTTTTCCATATACTTAATTAAAAAATGATTATGAATTAAATACCCATTTTAAGTTTTTAAATCTTTTTCTTAGGTCAAAGCTAAGTTAGGTGGTCGTCTTCGACTAGTTGTATCTGGAGCTGCATCTTTAAGCACTGAAATCGAAGAATTCTTGCGAGTTACTTGCTGTGCTTTTGTAGTCCAAGGCTATGGTACAGAAACATAATGTATCAAGTCAAACATTACGAGCATTGACCGAGTTACTCTTTAATCTTTATATTGACTTATCAAAATTGTGGGTGATTCAGGGTTGACAGAGACCTGTGGACCGGTGACACTCGGATTTCCAGATGAAATGTGCATGATGGGAGCCGTTGGATCAGTAGCTGTATATGATGAGCTACGTCTCGAGGAGGTTCCGGAGATGGGCTACGATCCTCTCAGTAATCCTCCTCGTGGCGAAATTTGCGTACGAGGAAAAACTATCTTCTCTGAATACTATAAGAATCCTGAGCTGACAAAGGAAAGCATGAAAGATGGATGGTTTCATACAGGTTAAGTAAATATATATAGCCTTTTAATTTCCTGGTCAAATTTATTAATTTCACATTTTTAAATATTCATTTGGCTTTTCAGGAGACATAGGGGAAATTTATCCAAATGGAATTGTGAAAATCATTGATAGGAAAAAGAATCTTGTAAAATTATCACAAGGAGAATATGTTGCACTTGAGTACTTGGAAAATATTTATGGCGTCACACCCATTATCGACGATGTAATCATCTTTTCCACTTCTTAGTGATTGCATAAGAAATATTTTATCATGTGTTTCTACTGATGTTTTAATTGTTCTGTTAAGATGTGGGTGTACGGACACAGCTTCAAGTCAATGCTAATAGCAGTAGTTGTGCTCCATGAAGATAATACTAAAAAATGGGCACATTTAAATGGTCATATGGGTTCATTTCCTGAACTGTGCTCTCTTGATCAGTTAAAGGACTATGTTATTTCAGAACTAAAGTCCACTGCAGAACGAAACAAGGTATACTACTTTCTGAATTTGGAATTTGATAAATCTGTAGACTGAATTTTTCTTTTAAACTTTGTTTATATTACTAATTCTTTGTCTGAAACCAGCTGAGAGGCTTTGAGTATATTAAAGGAGTGATTTTGGAGTCTCGCCCTTTCGATATGGAAAGAGACTTGGTGACAGCAACATTGAAAAAGAAAAGAAATAAATTGCTCAATTATTATCAGGTAATTACATACTAATAACTACTTAGCAGTTGTTAATAATAATGTCTGAAAAGATCACAAGTAATCTAATGATGCGTGTGCAGGTGGAAATTGATGAACTTTACAGAAAATTGACTGTGAAACGAGCATAAATGCATAAACAACCATCTGCAGTTCAAATAATTGCTTATTACTGCACATTCTGTCCTCTGGAAATAAGATGTTAGGTATTTGTATCTTAGTATTCTTGAATGTAAGTATTCCAGTTTGATGGAAGGGCAGAAGTTATAAACTTGTTTTTTGCTGTATTTCATATTCATAATTATCAAATTTCAAGTAATAGAGCTCGTTTATTTTGGACGTTCCAAAACGAATTTAACCAAAAATTCAAAACTATAATTGTCGTTTACTTCTAAACGACTGAAACGCCGCACCTAAAGGTGAAACTAAGGAAGCAACGTGCTGTCGTTCATATTGTCCGTACAAATTAACGGTCAATGTCTATCTGTAAACAGCTCTATCCACTTTATCCTTTGGCACAATTACAAATGAGGGCAATTAAAGGCAAACGTATTAAGCCGCAGAGCACAACATACGAATGTTAGTGATAGCCTGTCTTTAAAATTTCCCCGCCATATCGGTGCTCTCTCGGAGGCCAATCTCAACTACTTCACCGAAAGTCATCTCCTCCATAGCAATAACATAGCTAATGCAAACACATCCTTCGATCAAAATCCCACATTCCAATCTCAATCTACGCGAAATCCCCTAGAATCCAACAAGCAGAGGACCTGTTCGATAATATGCCTCTGAGAGACGTCATTTCTTGGAACACCATGCTAGCCGCCTTGAAAAAAGCCGAATGGGACAATTTGGTGAATTTTGGGCTATTTTGGACCCACCCACTTCAAAACACACAGGCACGGCGTCGCATGTTCCTCAAATTGGGCCCAAATTGAGATTCTCCGTTTGCTCTTTTGCTTGTACCCTTTCCATATGAAGGCCCATTAAGCCTAATCTATCTGTTACCATTAGAAACCAGATTTTAGCTTACAAGAGAATTATCTTTCGCTTGCACGTTTTTGTAATTGCATTTTTTTTATATATATAAATAAGCCAAAATAATACAGTGCGTATACAATTAAGAGAGAGAATCTTACATTTTTTTTTCCTTTAAAAAAAAAATAATAATCTTATATCTTTTGAGTAACATACAAATGAAACCTAAAGAGAATTTAAATTTAAAATCTTCACTCCTCACATTTTTATAAAAAGTAAGAAAATTATATTTGATTGAATTTTTAATAATTATTAAAATATATAATGGGAGTTGAATCCTGTAAATTGTACATAAAATGTTTGAAAGATTTAATATGAACTGAGCTCTCTAATATGATATAAATGACTAATTATTAAATTTATTCTTTTGAGCTATACATGGTCTTTGTTTTTATTTTTATTATTAATTGTTCAATTCCCAAACCGTAGGAGTATAATTTAATCTCACATGTCAGTAATTAGTTATACAGTTTTTTGCAGACATGTAGGCAATTTTAGCTGGGGAGAGTTATTTGATACTCGTACCATATCCATGTGCATGAAGGTCATCGAATGGCAGAAAGGCACTGAAAAAGCAGAACATTAAAGAAGTGAAGGATGAAATTTTTTTCTCTTTCCTTTATAATCACTTGAGCAAGTTTTTTTCTTCTTTTTTTTTTTTTTTTTTATGAACTAAATTATTAAATTTATTCTTTGAGCTATACTGCGTTCTTTGTTTTTATTTTTATTATTAATATGTTCAACTTCCCAAACCGTAGGAGTATAATTTTAAATCTACCACATGTCCAGTATTAGTATACAGGTTTTGTTTGCAGACATTGTAGGCCAGATTTTAGCTGGCGGAGAGTTATTTGCATACTCGTACCATATTCCATGTGCATGAATGTCATCGAAATGGCCAGAAAGGCACTGAACAAAGCAGGAACATTAAAGAAGTGAAGGATGAAGTTTTATTTCTCTTCCTTTATAATCACGTGAGCAAAGTTATTTTCTTCTTTTTTATTTTTTTTTTCTTTCTGCAATAGATGACTATTGTTACAAGAAAATATATTACTATCTTAGACAGTTGCTATACACTATTTCAACATGTCATTAATAATAAGAAAGCTGTAAAAAAAAAATTTGGCTTGAAAATGCTTAATAACTTTTTTTTCACAGCCTAAAGTTAAATCCATAAAATGTTTTAAAATAATTTACTAATATTGTTCATTTAGACTTTATTTATTTAAATTCTTTTGTTTTTTTTTGTGTAATAATCAATTTACAGAAAGTTTAAAAAACATTTCAAGTGTACTATTAAGTATCTTTTATATAAGTTTCAGTGTCACTTAATTTTTTGTGGGCGCGTTGCCATACTTCCAGTTTTTTTTTTTTTTTTGTATAATCAATTTACGAAAAGTTTAAAAAACAATTTCAAGTTCTATTAAGTATCTTTTATATAAGTTCAGTGTCATAATTTTTTGTGGCGCGTGCCAATCTTTCCAGTCTGAATAAAAAGATGAAGAAAGATTTTATTTAGCAAAAAAAAAAAAAAGTTAATATTAATGGAATAATAATAAATATAATAAGGCAATAATTTAGAGCAAGCGAATAAATACAATAAATACAAACTGGAGAATTTCCTGAAGCTGAAAGATCATATTTAATATACAGATACAAAAGTTAATTCATTTTCTTTTACATCTTGTACATAATCGAGAGAAAAAAATAATATAATTATAGCAATTCTCTGACTCTGATTCATTATATTACAACCTAATTAAAGAATTATTAGAAAAACAGTAAAAAATACAATACATGTACCATCTTCCCCCATCAATGAAACAAATACCTAAGAATACTACTAAGAAGTAAAACCCTCATTACCCGCCAATATCAAATACTTATCTCTTCTAGTAAGTTTAGTGCACTCAAATCCCAATGCCTTGCCAATTTCACTCTGCACATGATTAGCAACTACAAATCTTGATTTCTGATCACCATTATTCTTGGAAAGCCCAGATACTTTTTCAAGAAACTGGATAGTGTAACTAGGTGAAGGGTTCATGAGAAAGAATAATGGGTCTAAACACTTTAACCCACCTGCAGTTGTTCCATAAAACATGCTAACATTTGTATCTAAAGCAACAGGTACAATTTCATCGCTCATTTCTGAAAATAAAGGGCTAAACCTTAATAAATATGGTTCTCTACAGGTTGTTCCTTCTGGGCATACCGCAAGATCCCCTTCACTTAGTAGTTTTTCCATCATCTTCCCATCTTGATCACGGTTACGCGTTAGTCGGATGGTCTTGATAGGTGATAGAATTTCCGACATTCTACTAAGGCTGTAAGTGACAGCAGAAATATCTTTCTTCAAAGAGAAAGAAAGGTACAAAGGGTCTAGTAATGTTCTATGGTTACAAACATAAAGGAGGCCCTTTTTTGAATTATTTGACGCTTCTAGGGTCTGAAGATTATTGGGTTCTGACACAGTGCAACGAAATCCAGAGAAGGCTAATATGGGAATGGAGATAGTGCAGGGGAGAGTCAAAGCAACAATGGCTCTGATTAAGGCAAGGATAAAACCGAAAGGGATCCACATGAAAAATGAAAGGGTAGACAGTGGGGTCGGTCTAAAAGCTATTCTACCATCATGGAAAATAAGTGGTTTGGGGTATTTGTTTCTGGGTAGTGTTTGCCAGCCCCTCTTGTCTGCCTTCCTCACCAGGTAAATTTCCTGTATAAGAAACGGCATCAATATTTAGTATTTACTACAGTCTGTCTCACTTTCAAGAACGAAGCCATAAATTCTATCCAAATGAAAGTATTTTTTTCAAAGTAAAAAAAAAAAAAAAAAAAAAAACTTTCAGACACGAAGCCATATCTCTATCCAAAATGAATAGTACTTTTTTTTCAAAAGTAAAAAAAAAAAAAAAAAAAAAAAGTAAGTTAAAACGAAGCTTACCTATGCAGTAAAGAGAATAGAGTAGAAAAAAAAAAAAAAAAAAAAAAAGAGTTAAAAAGAAGCTTACCTTGCAGTAAGAGAATAGGTGATGTTGATGATCAAGAGATCTATCAAATTGATTAATACCAATAACATCTTCATTAGTTATCTCCTCCTCTTCTAAAACTTGAATGTGTTTCTTTTTCTCTTCCAGGAGTCCCACAAAATACCCACAAACAGACTTAACTTCTCTTCCAATAACACAATCAATCTGTAAATAATCTTTCAAAAAACTCTCAATCATTACTTGAGGAAAGTCACTCAAAGCCACTTTTCTCCTACCTCTTTTCACCACCTCACATGCTTCTAATCCAACATCTTCCAAGAAAAACTTGGGCAGGACAGCTCTTCCTACTCTAAAACTTTCTTTCTTGATCCCAAAGAAACAGACCATCACCATTATCTTTAACCCTATCTCTCCATTTACTAAACAAATAAGAGGGTATAAAAGGAAAAGAACTAGAGCCCTTAAAATGCTTCCAGCTTCAAAGGCTACAAGCATAAAGTAAGGAAACAAACAAGAAGATTTCAACAAAGTTCCTTCTACGTTAAAAATCAAAGTTTTTTTTGATAGGTCTGATCTATGAACAAGAGAAGGGTACCTTTGATACTTGCTCTGTGTTAACATTCCACGGAGATTGCTAAAACTCCTATGGAGAACTTTTGGGTTTCGAAACTGTCTAAAGAAGAAAAAGAAGAAAGTTTTGAAGAAAGACGCGTTAGTAAACATTTTGACCTTTTGGGAGCAAACACCATAAGAGAATACGCTCTTCGTCCTCACAGACCAACTCTCTCATATAGAGATATATATATATACAGGTTTTAGAATAACCCTCGGAGTTGTTGATTATTACAACTATACCATGTTTCCTAATCTTTTGCTGTCTGAGAACCTGCGTGGGGCCGAGTTCGAAATTTGGAACCAACTGCGAAGTCAAGAGACCGAAACACGGACGCGCGGCTGCTAATAAAAGCTCAAGCTTCATCCAAAAAATAAAATAAATAAATAAATAAAAACCCCAAGCTGGCACTTTTTCAACATCAAGGTTGAAGAAGGTGATGGAGGACAAAGACATTAAAACGACCTCGAATGATTTATGAATTTAAATATTTATATTTAAAATTTTAAAAAATGAAGATTTTAATTTTAAAGATTTAATTTTATAAAATTGAACATAATTAAAATAAATCCTACCAAAAAAGTGAAATTTTCAAATAAATTCAATAAAAGTAAATGATTTAAATTTTTATAATAAAACTATCTACCATTTCAGTCTTTAATTATTATGTTAAAGGTGTTTAAAAAATAAAAATAAATGAATATTCAATCTGAACTTCTTGAAAATATGAAAATGTCATTTGAAAATCAACGAAGCATACCTAATTATTTATAAATGAATTTAATATTTTGAAGATTTAACAAATAGAGCGTAATTGAGATTTAAGATGGGTTTGACAGACCAAAAGAAAAAACAATACCATGCATCATTGAACACATTGTAGATGAATTATAAATATTATAATAGATAATCCATTCATCGTAAAAAGATAATCGACTTTCTATTTTCACATATAAAAAAAGTAGCAGTTTTTATGGTTAAAAGACGATTTTATTCATATAATTTTTCTATTATACTCATCTTAAATAACGCACGAGCAATTATTATATTGGAATAATAAATAAGAATTAATAAAAGTTATTAAAAATAAGATAAAATTTAATAAAGGTATAATAAATAATTTAAGAATTAATTATAATAAAAAAGGGTGGATTATATTTTGGAAAAAATCAAAAAGGAAATATAGACTATCTTTTTCGAACGGAAGGAGTACTAATTAATTTTCACTTATTGAAACACACTTTAGATTTTTTTTTTTTTTTTTTTTTGAAGAAGTACGTAATTAATTTTCACTTATTGAAACACACTTTAGGATTTTTTTTTTTTTTTTTTGTTTACCTACAAGGATTTGTTATTATCAATCTATTCAATATTTTTTTTTTTTTTTTTTTTTACCTACAGATTTGTTTATTACTCATCTATTCATAAATAAAAATCATCTTGGGAAAGTTTCTTTGTCTATAAATATTAGTCATTTTGAAAATATTAAAGAGTAATTAATGAACTTCTAATTTTAGGTTTGTATATAAACATATTACTTACTCATCTATTACAAAATATAAGTCATTTAAAAGTTTTCCACGATGATTAAGAAAATAATTAATTTTCTAAAGTCTAATAAAATCCTGTAATTGACCAAATTGTCAATTATTCACATCATTAGTCTTATCTTAATTATATTAGCTAATCTAAATGAGGGTGAAATTTGGTTATTGTAATTAAGCTTGATATATATACAGAGAGACAGGAACTCGGTATAACTTTATTTTTGTGAAAACTTACCGCCGTGAACCGTCGTGTTCGATGGTTGAGAAAACAAAATTTAAAACATCGAAAGAGAAGGAGAGAGAGGGCTACGTACGTGGGATAAATTTTGGGCCGTAGATGTTACAGTAAATGCCTATCATTTGAATTTTCAATCTGACCATCTCCATATTTTATACTACCTTAGCTTTCTGTGTAGTTGAAGAGATGCCCATTTATGCATGCATAGATTTTTTAATCTAATAAAAGAATAGACGAAATCATAATAACTAGGAATTTTGAGACCTGTAATTAATACTACATGATATAATTTTATAGCTATATATGCAAAAATGGAATATTTTTATTGCATGATAGAAATGGACCGTTATGATTAAATGCAGTTTTGTTAGAAACGGACCCATATATATTACTCCAGATTGCCATCAAGATTTATGAAGGTACCCAATTGTAAGACCAAGTGTGGTTATTTATGACCAATTAGGAAATAATCAACTAGGTTTCTGCATGCACGTTTGGACCGCAATTTGAAAACCAGTTTAGACTGCTATGCTTTTTTTTTTGACTAAGTCTCGTTTTGCAGCTCAGCTTAACATCACTTAATTAGCATTAAATGAGTTTATTACGATATTTCTTTTTGGTCATCCCCATTTTTTCTGCTCCCTATTAATTAGCATTTTCTTTAAGTTCATATTACATGTGTCCTTAGTTTATTAGATGAAACTTAATTTTATTTCCGCCGGATTAGGCCCACCAAAGAGAAGTGCTTTTAACAAAAATTTTTTCATTTACAAAGATTGAATATTCGACTTTTTATTTAAGAGATTTAATTTTTTTCTACTCAATACATTTTCCGTTGGTTGATTCATAACCTTTTGAATAATTTGGATCTTGATTCTCGTAGTTCAATTTCTTTTTTTTTTTTTTTTTTAAAAAAACAAATTTTAAAAAAAAACAAAAGATGCATTGTCCCTGCTTCATAATTTTTAATTGGTGCATATGATTATTCTTAAACAAAGGTCGCGATTTCAAGTTACTCAATAGGCTAATTTATATATAATATATAATATGGTGGAAATAGATCTGTATCCTTCAAATTACTTCAGATTTACAAGTTATATAAGATCATAATTTCTGTAGCCACCATTGCTTAGGAAGGAATTTATTCTACGTAGCATCCTCTGTCGGAACATGATATAACTTATGGAGAAAAAAAAAAAAAAAAAAAAAAAAACTCTGCTAATTGTCAAAACAAATAGGAATGGTCAGCCTTATTAATTGTTTGTTCTTTAATAAAATTCAAACCCCTAAAAATTATATCAGTCAACTTCTAATTTTTTCACACGAAAGAATTCTGAAAATTTTTCATTTTAAATTATCACAATATCCTTTTATTAGTTTCCTAACGTTATATATTTTTATAAAAAAAAATCAACAGAGTTGAATTATAGTGGGATTCAATAAACAAGGGTAAAAAAAATAAAAATATGATAAATTCTTTCTTTATTTTATAAAAAATAACAAGGTGAAAAAAAAAAAGAAAAAAAAAAAACCCTTTAGTGAAAGGGAAAGGGTATTAAAGGTTTTCCCTAAGAAACAAAACTGAAAGCCAAGCCAAGTGATGATTGAGTGCAAACATGAGATTCAATAAATAATAAAGAAATGTCAACGGTTTGACACAAGCTTCCTCAAATAATGAAATAATAGTTCCAAAAGCCTTTTAGCCGACCACGGTTTGCTACAGCAATTCCATTAAACGCGCAGTTATGAGTGAGCGTTGTTAAATGGGCTGTAGAAAACAAAGCAAAACGTGATATAGAGTGCAACCGCCATACCGGCCATTATTATGATAATATAGCTTCTCATTAAGGAAACTCAACTGGATGGTGATGACGATGAATCCTAAATGTGGACGTCTAAAAGCAAGTACCCTTGCCTTCTGACAATTTCGCAGGATGGGCTTTTTAAGGACATATATGCATATGATCCTAATTTTTACCCAAAAAAAAAAAAAGAATATACTCGAAATTGAGCGTTTGTTCATTGAATTTAATTAGTTGTCATCAAATTGCGTGGAATTCTGGAGAAGGGGAGGCTCATATTTGCCAAGAACATATATATAGTGCAAGATGGGCTTGTTGAGAATATCCATGAAGATCGACAAGCTTTATGAATAAGGGGATGGCGGAGTTTTAATTTTCATTGTCGGAAGGAATCATATATCTCTCTTGATATGTGCCTTTCATGCATGCGTGCATGCAATTTTGATCAATTCACCTACAGTCACAAACTAAATCGCGGATAAGATTACATTATTGTATATATTTATAATTAACTCACCACGATCAGCTCTTTCTGTCGACCTTGCTGAATTATATATATTATTATTCATAATCCAATTTATTCCATGTAACGTAATTTGAAAATTTCAAGAAAGATTAAAATTTGTTCAATAATACAAGGTAAAACAATTGCACCTTAACGACAGAAACGCAAATCCAACCTCATTCTTCTGTTCTAATACATACGAATAATGATGTTTTGAGTATATATAAACAGAAACGCAAATCCAACCGTCATTCCTTCTGTTCTAAATACATTGACGAATAATGGACTTGTTAGTATTATATATATATACTCCATATATATTAATAGTAGTAAGATTTTTCTTATTATTTTTTTATTTTTTTATTTTTTTTGTCCTAGTGAGAGATGGGAAAATTGGAGCCAGCGTAGGGATATTCTTGAATGGTTCAGAAGAATGTGTGAGCGAGAAAGATTCAGAGCAATCACCATCAATCCACAAGTTAAATAGTTTATAGTAACGTTTTAGGATAACTAATAATGAACTGGAGGTCTGGAGCTGTCAGATTGTACTAGAAACATCAGAAACTCAGAGCCACACAAAGATTAAACTTTTAAAAGATCTTTGTCAACTCCTATCGAGGATGAAAGTGAAGTGGATATATATGAATTTTCAATTCTTCGCACCCAATTGATTGTCTTAAATCCATTTAAATATTTATATCTTAATTTATTTAAAATTTTATTACTTGCATCTATTTCAAAGAAATAAGATATTGATAAATTTTAAACTTATCTAATATACATTTTTATACTATGGATGGATACCCACCAATATCCGCAACCATTTTAATAGCGAGTACTATATATATATATATATATATATATCTACCATTTTCACATAGCGAGTACTATAGGTATAGATAATATATATAATATATAATATATTGTTATCCATAATAATTTGATAACTATTAGGAGTATCGAAAATCTCCAAGAAATGAATTTAGTGTTTTCAAATCTATTAAACCAAACCTGATAGGAATTATATATATATATATATATATATATACAATTGTTAATCCATATAAATTTTGATAAACTATTAGGAGTATGAAATTCAAATGAATTTTGTGTTTTAAATCTATTAAACCAAACCCTAGAATTCAATTTGAAATAAATTCCAAGTAGAACCCATTCGAATAAATTCCGCAACATTATAGAATTGAACAAATACCATGTAAACATTGAGTACAAAGGTTAAGGATTAATCAATTATTTAGTCAAAAAACAGAGACTTAATAGTAACTGTGGTTAAACCTCATGGACTAAATAGTACTTCTATCTCTTTTTTATTTTCAATTTTTTATCTTTTAGGTTCATCTTATAAGATATTATTAAATTAAAAAAAAGAAGAAGAAGAAAGAATAGCAATGGAGAAATACCGCAAACAGCAATATTTGTGTAGTAATGGAGTATACCTTCTGGTGATTTCCAGCACAAACTAGATAAAAGCATAAAAAAAACCCATCCAACATAGTTTTTACCAATTTCTTAAGAGAATTGCTGAAAGACAAAAAGTATTACTGTCTTGTATTTTAATATAATTTCAGCTCAATTAGCCTCCAATGAATAATATTAATATATTAAAAAAAAATCCCATCCCCGAATAGACTTCAATGGAGAATAATAGGAGTTTCACACTCGAACACTAACAGAGGCGCCCCCTCGCCATTTGGAAAAGCCTATAGAAGGGTGAAGTATGGCTAGTTCACCGGAAGTCCCCTGCACTAGATGACAGTGAGTGCTATTGTGTGTTCTAAGGCTGGACCTAGGAGAATAAGACCAACAAGAGAAAAAGCTATAATACAGTCTTCAAGAAATATTAACCTTTTAAAGCAAAAGAAGATGGTCCTGAGGAAAAACCGAAAAATGGAGTTGGAGAGAAGGGACCAGGGCGTTAAAATATCATTAGGTTATATATAATATATAATTAATGGAAGCGTCAATATCTTCATCCAAATTTTAAATAAAATGCAACAGCAAATAAACCTGCGAGTTACTCATTGTACAAACCTGTCCTTTACAAAACTGTCTCCTAACTCAGTGTCTGTCCACATATATACAAAACTCAGAGTAGTTCAGGTGGTGTCTCAGCTTCAGTTTACAAAATGAATAAGTTATTCGAGTCTTAACTTAGGTTCTATGCAGCACAAATAGCAAAGTTTACTGGAGGAAACAGAAAATTCTGCAACTTTACTTCTTAAATGAGCCTGAACCTGAAACTTGTCCTTCTACCAAACTGTGTATGCATAAAACATTGGATTAAAAAATGAATGAGAGAGCAATCTTATAATCAGAAGCCCGAAAAAATTGGTCTACCACAGTAGCATTCACCTATGCAATAAAAAGTAATGCAACAAGCGATATCAGGAATACGCACTTTGGAGAACCAGAGCCAGAGCCAGGTCCTTCACTTTCATTGGCAGAGTCCTTGTAAAACTGAACTGAAATTAAATCTTCGCTTGCAGCAACTGCTGACTTGGATGACCCTTGTAAACACATCCTTCCACTGTTCCTGGAGCAAATTCCTACAAAGAAAAGTTTCAAGTGCATGTATTATCAACATAAAGGAGCTATTAGAATATCGTTGTTACATTAAGACTAAAGACTCTTTGAATATGAAAGACATCGAGTGTTTGCTTTGGACCTGAAAGTTTGTGCACAAATCAACAGCAATGACACTGGCAAGTATCCTAAATAAAAACCAAGAAAGGAACGAAATAGGCCATAACTGATCAATATGATGTGAGCTAGCTCTCAGGGCTGTGTATCAAATTGAAGCACACTTGATGCAAAAGAATGCCTTTAGGGACACCATGGCATGCCTGATTAAGCACTAGTGAGAAAAATTCAACTATCAAGAATGCACTATTATGGACTCCAAAAATGGGTACAGTGACCATAGGGAGACAACCACACTAGCAAACAAGCAGCAGCAGTGGTATCATAGAAGTCAGCAAGCTATGAACTAAAGCAAGGGATAAGGCAAAGGACACAAACCCTCTATTCTCTTTGAGGACTGGAAAGAGATCAATAAACCAAGTTCAAAATATTTTGTTCCAAAAAGTTTTTACTCAGAAACTGCAAATATTTCATTTCATTGCCAAGAAAAGTAGGTGGTGAATGTGGGGAGAAGAGGAGTGAAGTCAGCTTTCCTAACTTTTCCTCTCTTACATTATCATAATTTTTTTTTTTTTTTTTACTAGGTTTACAGGTGCTAGGAATTACAACAAGGATGGAAACAGTCCATCCTATTTCCAATGGCATTTTATAACAAGGATAAAAAATATTGGATGGAAGTTCAAACAACCAAAAAATAATCATCTCAAAGTTAATTTTTAAGTTTTAAACTGGATCCATTGTGATCTGTCAAATAAGTTCTATCATCTGCTTGGACTGATTGCTTAGATTAAATATGAAAATCAGAACAAGAGTTTTGCAGTTTCAATGTTGCAATGAGGAATAACAGAATTATCTTTCAACAGAAACACCATTATTAACACAACTAATCTTTGGCATCATGCATGAAAACTTAAAGAATACCAGAGAATTGAAGAAAACACAAAAATATACAATCTTAACCAATGATTCTTTCTACAATACAAACGAAGTGAACATTGGGGGAGGGTAAATCCATTCAGATTGTGTAAACAGTCAAATGCCATAAAGAGTTGATAAGAAACAACTTGTCAAACTTATAAAGGTTGAAAGTAATTATGTATTATCACCAAGGAAAAAACATAAAAATTCAAATTCCTTATCCAATAAACATATTCTTCATAGCCGGAAATCATCTGTAGGTGCTGATTACGAGGCAAGTGTTGCATGCACTTGCTAAATAATTGAATCTGGTTATGCAACTAAACCGCACAAATGCCAGATGAATTATATATCTAGTCTTGGTACAGATGATAAAGGTAAAAAATCTTCCAAATAAAATTTCAAAATGCTACTCATACCTTGAAAGATAATGACAAGGCAGAAGATAACAGTGATGACCATGGCAAATAGGCTGCTGTTCCAAGATGATGATTTTGTTGCTCTCATCTTTCTTAGTGTTTTAATGCGTTCATTCCTGGCACGCCTTCTCATGGCAAGCTCAGTGATTTGCTGCACCAACTTCTGGTCTGCAGCATCTAGTGATGGACCTTTAGGAGGTCGGGGTGGCTTGGGAGCCTTTCTAGAATTTTTCTTTGTCTGTTTCTCTTCTACAAGCTTCTTGTTCACAAATGCACTGTTCTGTTGACCTTCTTCTCCTTCACTCTTATCTAGCAACAACTCTGCATTCTCATTAGCATCCTCGCCAAATTTTGATGAATTCACCAATCCATCAAAACTCAAAGGCCCAGCCCAAACACTACCTAAAACTTTCTTGCTTTGCTTATTTGCTGAAACGAGATCATTTGTTGCATCCTCTTCACTAGTTGTCCCCCCACTTTCAATATCTACTTCAAGCTCCCTTTCTCCCAAAACCAAACGATCCATCATCCAAGGTAAATCTCTATAACACAGCTCTCTACCCATTGTGTGTTAAAAGTACCGTTTTTTTATCATAGAACTCCAGTCCTTTGCAAGTACATAAATTAGTGAAATAACTTCCCACCTCAAAGTAACAGAAAGATAACCCTTTTATCAACTACTATAGTCTAAACTTGAGCCTAAGGAGTGTCACGAATGCTATGTTCTAAAGCTAACAACCAACTTTCATGAGTAAGGATCCAGTGATTCTGGTTCTTTCACACAAGTGATTCAAGAATTATCTCCTTCTCCCCAAAATACTCAGTCAATACATGAGAAAGCTTTGAACTTTTCTATAAGGATAAAAAATGTCACACAACCCTCGAGCAATCAAAAAAAAAAAAATCCTGCGTTTGAAGACGAAACAGGACTTATTAGACAACAAAATTCAATGGAATATCCACACTTTCTTGAAAGAAAATGCAAAATAAAAAGATTCAACGGTTATGAAATGATCCAAAAAAGTTATTTTCTTTTGTAATTTTTCTTTCGTATCATCCACAAAGCAGCTGCGGCCTAACCCATTAAACCAAAAACACAGAATTTCCAAACCAAATCATTGACTTAGCCAAAACTAATCAAACAACTGCAAAAAAATTAAGAAGAATTTAAATGATAATATTAAAAAATGCACCTTTTAGAGGAAGTCAAGAAGAGCTTAGCAAGGTGAGTGAATGGGCGATTGAACATCCGTTTCCTCGGAACATGTATCCCTAAATATGTAGCTTCTCGCAGACATAAAAATGTAAAAACAGTAAATATACTACTCCAGAACCAAAAATAGAAGAAAAAGAATAACACACACAGTAGAAAAGAAAACGCTAGTACCAGGTTTTTGTCAGTTTGTTGCCAATGGGCGAAAAGTAGAATTTTTGAAGTTGAACGTGTCGGCTAGTGACCAAAGACGGCAACGGGTGATTGCCGGTAATCACAAAGACGTGTCAACCCTTTAATAACTTAATTAATTTTAATTAAGTCTTACGAAAATTGAAATAATTTATTGAAAGGGATAAATACGAATTTTTAAAAACTCAAAGATTGAAATTATGTTGTTCGTACATCGTTCCTGGACAAATGCCATCCGGCCCACCCATTACTAAATTTAATTAATTTTAAATTTTTGAATTGAATAAGGGCATTTTGAATTGCATTCGCCTAACGGATTACTGTTTTTTAAGATTCACCAAACAGCTGATAATTTAAAATTATGATTAATTATTTTTTTAATTATTTATATTTCAAAAGGAAGAAAATATTTGGATTAGAATTATAATATTATATTATTATTATTCCTGGATATTGTGATAAAGCATATTCCAATGGAATGTCTGTCCAGTCCACTATACAGATTAATTAAATTAATTTCTCACTTTTCCTTATTAATTTACTGCAGATCTTACTGGATGAAGAATTTAAGATGCTTCCTATGTTTCGAAAACAAGCAGAGATAAACTAAGTATATAAATTTTAAAAAAAAATAAAATTAAAAAGTCCATTTGCGATATAATCAAACAAAATTAATAAAAACAACAGATCAACAAAACGCACAGCCCATCAAAGCAACCAAAACTTAGAAAAAGGCCAGAAAACATAAAATAAAACATAACCAAAAGCCAAAACCCTTCCATCCTGGTCATGAAAATGCTTACCAAAACGTCATTTTTGCAAAATCAAAACTCCTTCAGTAGCCTACGGCCAATTCGGTCAGAAGCATAAGCATTCGATAGAAGCATATTCAATCTGAGCATCATCGAGCACTCTTGATTGCCAATCTCTCCTGCAAATATGGTTAGGCTTAGGCATATCAAGCCCAACAACACTTGTAGCAATATCTTTCAATCCAGGCTTTTGTAGAACAATAAAGGAAACTTGCTCAAAGTCAATTCTCTAACATCAGCAATACTAGCACAACTTAGTCCATACTCGGCCTCTATTTTTGACACATCTCTAGCAACTTCAACACCAACGAAAGTGAAATTACGATCTCTCAAGAAATCCTTAAGATACTGAGGAATGTCATAGATGAAGAAGAGCTGGACAATTAAACACTTGGCGTCTATACAAAGTTGCAAGGTCGCAGTTCTGTTGTTCATTAATGGAGTTACATTTGGCCTCCATTCACAATCCAGTCCTAAAATTACTTGCTGCCCACAGAATTTACTGCGTATGCGGAGAATCCATGCATCAGCTTCTTGTGCTCTGCTAGTGACCGTTGTTTCTATAATTTTACCAGAAAGTAAACTTAATGAGTGTTTGCCACAGCTACTTGTATTATATGTTTCTCACAGTAACTTTAGTAGTATAAATTTTCTAATGGATAGTGTCCTTATATATAAACTTAAATGAGTGTTTGCCACAGCTACTTGTTATTATATGTTTTCTTCACAGTGAACTTTAGTAGTATAAATTTTCTAATGCGATAGGTTGTCCTTATATATATTATATATATATATATAATATATATATGCACTGTGATATATATATATATATATGCACTGTGGATTGAGACTGAAAAGGCTAACTTGGAAAACTAAAACGCAGATAGAGATAGACTTATCTAAATATAGGAAAAGAAAAATTATTTTTCTTATTTTACTCCCTACGTTCTCTTTATTTAGAGAAAGCAGAAAAAAAAAATTAAAGTGCTAGTTAAATTGAATATTTTTCATTTTTTACCTAATATACCTAATTTGCATTAATTGCTTTTTTTAGTTTTGATGGAGCCAACTCACAAGAGAGAGTCCAATGGTACATTTATTCAACAATTAATGCCTGAAATGGAGGAAATATTTAAAGAACTGCTTTTAATTATTTTGAGAATTCAAAATTTCCAAATTTGATTTTTACAATTTGAAGTTTTGATTTTCCCGCGTTTATATTAAGTATTGCGTGTTTTTCATAATATGCACCAAATTTACCAAACAATTGGAGCCAAAAATTTTAGTTAAACCACAGTCTCCTCAACTTCTATAATATGACTACATATAAATTTCAATCAAACTTAGAACATATAATTGCATTCATAGAGTTTCTGAAAATAAGTGCAATAATTTTTCATACCTTATGAATCCATCTTTTTTATTTGATCTCAATAACATCCCAATAGTTTCGAGCACACAATCTAAAGATACGTCAATTGCTTTTCAACTGCCAGACTTGAACTACCTACCTTAAATATTGTTCCAGGTAACAAGAAGAAAAACATTGCTAAGGACGTTAAAAATTCTATAACCACCATGCTTTTAGCTGAGATGCAACAAAATAATGTGGAGACAGTATTTTCCTGTTATTTACAGTCGTCAATTGACGCTAATGAGAAGGCACAAGGCGGAGGTTGTGAAAATAGTGGATTGTGTATAGGTGCGATGAAGGCAATTTTTAAATGTTCTCTCTATATTTTGAACCCTTATTTGAAGAGGGGGAAAAAAAGGTGCATAACCCTACAAATATATGTTATCTTATAAAATAAAAACATAATGCTGATAAATAGATATAATAAAATGAGCACACATTTGTAAATTGAGCACAAGTAAACGACTTAGACTTCTGTAGACGAAATATTTATGTGTCCAATATATTTTTAATATGAGCACATTTGTTAACTTTCAATAGTTTACAATTCTGTAATAAAATAATTGTGTACTTTTACTTTGGAAATACAAAGGCATTATCAATAGTTTACAATTCTGTAATAAAATAATTGTGTACTTTTACTTTGGAAATACAAAGGCATTAAATGCTCAATTTTTTTTGTCTACCATTTGCTCTTTCTAAACGTGCACAATTAACATAGGGAGTCAAATCAAATGAGATTATTTTAGACTTTGAAAAATTGCATTCTTAAGTTTCTATTTTAAGTAAATTTCTCTGTATAAAAAGAACACTCTAAATAAAAATTTTCTCTAAATAAATAAAGAGGACAGAGGAAATATTAATACTAAACATATTTCTAGGTGATAATTCGTCTTGGGAGCAGAAGATGACCTAATTACCATCGCCACCCATAAATTGTGCAATAGAACTATTACTATATCTTACAAGGATTGATAAAACAAAGAAATCCTATTTTTATATAATTTCATTTTGTTTGTTTCATTTTAAAACAACAAATAACAAAATAATTATACTTTGAATACATTTTTCTTTTACATCTAAGAAACAAAAAACAATCATATGAAACAGGCCCTTATAATTTGTGAAGGCTGAAAATTATTTCTTGTTAATTGTATCTAATTCAATTACAACAAACAATACTTAATTGAGTTCAAATATCAATTCATCGTTCTAAGGAATTTAACACACAAAGACGAGCATTAATTGATGGACGCTAGCTTGGATAGATGTGCAAGAATTAATTTTTATCTGACTACATCAAACACCAAACTTTTTAACGTTTTGAAACTACCACCAAGTCCTCAGGCGTGCCACCTTCTTAAATTGACAATAGTAATTACAAAAATTTTTGAGGTTTTTTTTTTTTATATATCTTTGTTTCCAAAAATAATTTAAAAAACATTTTTGAAATAATTCATTTTTCATTGTTTGATTGTAATCTTAAAAATTATTATGAAATTAGTAAATTTTTTAACTTTATCTTTATAATTATAGAAATTCTAGATTTTAATAATTTATTATTAAAACACGAAGAAAATAATAAAAATAATAAATTATAATAATTAACAGTGGTGATAGATGACTGACAGTAGGCAGTGACCGATGACCGATCATGGTGATTACTGGAAATTTAAATTAATTTATGTGTAATTTTCCCTTCAACAACACTTAAACAAATAAAAAAAAATTGAAAACACCTCAACCGTTAAAAAATATTTTCCACACAAGTTGTTATTTTTTGGCAAGAAACATAGCTTGAATTGCACTAATCAAAATTCATCGAACACATCAATGATAAAGACAATTTCCAAAACAAGGTTTTTGATCGAGAAAGATTTATAAAAAAAGAAAAAAGAAAAAAAAATTAGTTAAAAATCCGATCCTACGTCACAGGACACACCATAAAATAGCGGCAGTGCATTAGAATTTAGCAAATAGGAACAGAAGAAAAAGAGGGAGAGAGAGAGAGAGAGAGAGAGAGAGAGAATTTAGCAAATAGGATAAGGGTACTCGCTACTCACTCAGCATGTAGATTCCACGAATGTCGACAGGGAAGCATGTAGCTCAACCCTTCTGATTATTTTTGCAAGAAAATAATGTATACACAGTTATACATTTCTTTCTGAGTTAAAGAAACAAAACACTACCATTGACATTACTTGTTGGATGCGGAAGGAGAGAATGAACTCGTGCATCCGCATTCGTATGTTTATGAGCATGTAATTTAAACTAGAGAAGTCTGCAAATACTAATCCATTGACGAAAACATCATCCATCTAGGAGTTCAAAACCACTTACAACAAAGTTGTGAACAGAAATGAACCACTGGCACTATTTGAAATGGGATCAATTCTACCGATGACATAATAATTAGACCAGACCATTCCCTTCTGAAGGTTGGTTACTATACTTACCAAGGTTTGGGCCTCCCCTGTGCATTACTCATACCCGACCATGATCCAGACCCTGAAAACGTTTGTAGTAACATTTTAAGCCAGGGCAGAATAATCAACATAAAAGCTGCAAATACCCACAAAAAGAATCCTAACGTCTGGCATCCTCACCCAACAAAAATCCACTAAAATTTTAAAAAAGCAGCAGCATCTTCTCAGTTGTGCACAAACAATTGCAGTTACTGAAATGATATTCAGCAACATTCTCCCATGCAAGCAACCAACAGTTACCCCTTCATGTGATGGTTAAACTTACCAAAGATTCAGGAATGGAGATAATGGAACCAACCAAAAGGAGATAATTGAGAGAGGGCAATCAAAATTTCAGGGAACCAACCAAAAGTAAGAAAGTGCAACCTCTTCTCTTTACCCAATTAAAGACTGAGAAAACTCACCAAAATCAGTTCCAGCACATCAATTAGTATCGATTGTAAGCTTTTCCAAAATCTTCACGCCTCTGTCGCTGGAACTCACCGTAACTGTCATGAGGCCTTGGAGGATAATTTTCCACATGATTTGGGTACCTGGCCCTTGAATCCATTGGTAAACCAGCCCCAGTATAGTGAGGATTAGCTGACGAGCCATCATAGTCAGAAAATGCATGCTGCTTATAACCACTAAAACCTGATGCAGGCATTTGCTGTCGTGCTTGTTGACGCCTCTGAGCATCAAGTTGAAGAAATTCCTCCCACTGTCTTGTATGTGTGCCCCTCAGTATAGCCAGTTTCTTCATGTAATTTTCTCTCATCTCCCTAATAGTCTAGACTCGATGGGACAAAGAGAAAATATCAGAAATTCCTTGCAATAAAGAAAAGGGGCATTTTAGGACAAACTTGTATTGTCACAGATGATAAAGGAAAATGCATCAGCTCATAACTCAGAAAACAAAAAGCTAATAATAAATTTGAAAAAACAGGGAAAATTTTGAAAGTTACTTAACAGAATGTTTCCTCCATACAGAAAGTTCACACTGATCAAAAAGCTGTAAGGCGCCTCTAACTTTGATTTACTGATTATTTGTTTGATCATTATAAATACACTAGAGCAGGGAAGCAATAGAGATAGAGGGACCGAAATCCGCATACAAATGATTCACACACTATGTTCAACCACAAGACGCAAATAGTTTATAAGTAATGTCACAAAAAACAAACAATCAAAATTGTTCAGCTAGAACTCTAAGCATGGAACTTAAACTAGAATTTGCCAGGTGAGAATCAATTATCCAGCATTTAAAGGGAGATTATTACCTCGCGATGCTTATAATTCTCTTCCTCCTCTTCCTTGTCACGGATTCTACCAAGCTCCATTGCCTCCCTCTTATACTCCAACTCTAGTTCTTCTAATGTCTGAGGGAAGGTTTGGTATTCAAATTGTCGACCAGATTGCATATCGGGTCCCCTTCTCTCTGCATCCCACCCTTCATTTCTATAACCACCCACATTGTAATTGTGTCCATCATATGAACCATATGAGTTGCCAGCATAAGGGGGACGTGCAGGAGATTTAGAATGGCTTGAGCGACTTCTACCACCATCATTACCATAAGCTTCATAAAATGAAGAGTATGTTAAGCACTTGATTCGAGATGCTAGATGGTAGCTTTAACTACATGCTATTTAATATTCACACAGAGAACCCATCCGTCGCAAACAAGTCCAAATATGCTTTCAGTAAATAATTTCGTTTTGCAGATAATCCGATCAATTCAGACCCACCCACCAAAATACTTCAGAATCGTACACATTATGCTTGAAGCTAAGAACTTACCTCTTGCTGCAAAGAAATGATAAGCAACAAGAGTATCATTGAGAATTCAGAACTCTAAAATCAATTCTAAGAAAAGCACAAGCATATAGGGTCCTAAAAATCAATGAAAATTGGTTTCACTGGTTTTGCAAGGATGCTAAACAAACCTATGCTGTCCCTACCTTGCGGAGAACCCCTAGAAAGCTTCTGCAGGTCCTCGCGAACACGGTCTTCAACAGTTTTATCTTGTCTCCCAAACCTTTGTTGATACTGTGACGTATCACGTGGGTGACCTGGATAAGACCTTTGGGATTCAGAGCGCCGTAATCGTGAGCCAACAGGACTTCGCTCAGGCGACCTAGATCTACTCCTGTGGGAACTGGTAGAGCCCTTTTGATCACCCTCCCCTTTAATGACCTTGTGCACAGCATCAACACCTTTTGCCAGAATTAACCTATCCTTGCCACTAACAATTATAAATTTCTCCTCCATTTTTATTTTGCATCCAATATCCTTTTCGATCCTCTGTATCACTTTCTCAGTGAACAAGGCTTTTACATGCCTTTCTCTTGCAGGAACCCTTTCAAAGAAATCTTGAGACTTGCGATTTGCACCAAGGGTGGAAGGGCATCCCTGTATATGTGCCAGATGACAAGAGCAGGGTGTTTAATCCCAAAGGCAAAAGGGAAAAACTAAAAGGAAGAGTTGGGAGGTGGGGTGGGGAGGAATGACAAAGAAATCATCCCTCTTCTTATGTTTGCAAATTGGCATAACCCAGGAATTTATATGTCAAGCCAAAAAAAAAAAAAAAAATAAGACACATGACAAAGAAATTCATCCCTCTTCTTATTTTTGCAAATTTGGCACAAATAACTCAGGAATTTATATGTCAAGAGCCAAAAAAAAAAAAAAACAAAAAAATAAAATAGTGAAACATGAAACATATACGAGAGCCCGAAATTTGGTAATCCATAATAGTCCAGTAAAAAAATAGAATTATCGTAAAAATAAAACATTGGGATATCTTCTTTTTAAAAAATTAAGCAAGCCTAAATATAAGAGTTTAGGTACCTTCTCACGTTGAAAAAAAAAGGTGGAGAATAAAAATTAGTCCTCTTTCTATGGCTATAAGGAGAAAAAATATTAAAAGAGCTTAAAAAATTGTCGACCTGGGTGCGCTTAGTACATACAGGCACATTAAACAGAATTGACATCTCCTTGTTGTAAAGACAAGCTTTGGAGACTAAGTGTAAACAGATAATTTCAATAATTCAGTCTATACTACAAAAGCTAGGTGGACGATATATGACTGATATGCGAGAGATATCAATAGTGAGGATAAACTAAAAAAAATGACCTGATTTCTCCAAAAAAAAAAAAAAAAAAATAGTGAAATGAAACATATCAGACCCTAATGGTATCATAACTAGTAAGTAAAAAATAAATATAGTAAAATAAAACATTGGAATTCTTTTTAAAAAAATTAAGCAACCTAAATATAAGAGTTTAGGTACCTTCCTCACTTGAAAAGTGAGATCAAATTAGTCTTTCATATGGCTAAAAAATAAGAGCTTAAAAATAATGTCACTCTTAGTACATACAGAATTACAGAATTGCATCATCCTTGTGTGTAAGACAGCTTGGAGACTAAGTGTAACAGTAATTTTCAATATTCAGCTATACATAAAAAGCTAGTAGGGTATTGCTGAAGCGAGAAAACAATACCTGAGTAAAATGACCTGATTCTCCACATATTTTACAAATCATTTCTTCTTCTTTTCTTTTCTTCCAATTCCGCTCTGTAGCTTTCGATTTAGCTTCCCAAACCTTAGCTTCTCGGCTTGTGAAGTCAGTCGGCACAGCATTTGGGTCCCGAGTTTCCTCTTCCTCATCAGAGCCTGCATGGGATCGTTTATTTTCTTTTGATCCATCTTGTGTATTGTTAACATTAGATCCCGGAGGACCAGTGTATTCCTTGTAAATTTCACTAAAATCGTCATCATCATATACATCCGACCTTGTTGCCATCCAAAAGAAAGTTAACTTAAATCAATCTCCTGCATTAACGACATAAACCACCTTAAATCATCTAGCAAGCACGAAAGAAGAAATATAATCATCCTCCACCAAAAACAAAAGAAACAATCAAAGGGAACTTGATAAGACACTAAAATTTTGTTCTACAGATACAAATTTTACAATTATTCTCACGATTAGTCAATCTTTTGTGTGCATATGCGTGTTTTAGCACTGCAAAAATGTATCAGCAAGGTTATAGAATGGATAGAATCAGTTATTTATCCAAACAATACACCAGCAAATGGTTTTAAATTCCTGGAGCAGAAACTTTTGCAGGAAATTTCATATGAGAACAGCACATGTAATCATGGTAAATAGATTGGAATCGCCACTCGTGCGTAAAAGAAATGCTACCTCGATGCACGAAGCAGAAACGAAAAAGAAAAACAGTACCTGAGCGGCGAGAACGAAATAGAGAGCGAAGGCCTTGGACGATGACCAGTGAAGCTAGGGCAGTAGGGCTGGATTACTTTGGCTTTATCAACTTGGAATCGTTTTAATTTTTTTTTATATTTTATTTTGCCTCCATATATATATACTGGTGTATTCCATGTTTATTATACTAATACTTGTAATTTACTTTTTATATCTAATTGTTGATTAATTTTTTATCTAAATAATATAATGTATTAATCGTCTATCTTATTAAAAATATCACATTTTTTAAATTGATTATAGGAATTTTAATGTATATAGATAAGCTACTATTTTATTAATAGTAATTTGAGAATTAATATCAAAAATATTTATTTAAAATATTAAAATAATAAACTTAATATAATTCTTTATCGGTCAATTGAGTCGTATATTGAGTATGTATGCATGGATATTAAATGTTTATTTATATTTTTCTTCAACGAAAATAAATCAATATCTTCTCATCTATACCAATTTTTTAAAATTATAATATTGACATTTTTTTTTTTATACTCAACATATATATAAACGCATCGTCAAATACCATTTAATTTGATTCGGAACTCGAACTCGAAAGCTTTTCTTCACTTAATTCAATATTAATTGAGCTACAACTTATAAATATTCACAATTATAATTTGGTTAATGTTTTTATTATCAAATTTGAAATATTTAAAGTGATTGATTGAAAATTTGATAATTATGATAATTATAGTTTTTTTGGATAATTATGAAAATAAAAGATTAATAATTTAACTTCATTAAAAAATATATTTTTTCTACACTTATGGTACAATGATTAAAAATCATATTAAACTTTTAAGAAAATACATGCAAACAAACTAATATTTTTTTCTTTTGCATTATCAGATCATAATTAATTCATTATGATATGGGGTTGTACGGGTTGAACCATATACTATGTTTTTTTTTCTTTTTTTCTATTATCGGACCATGTTTATATTTATTCAAATTAAATATTCATATTTGTATTACCTTAATCCAAATTATTATAACGTCTTTTAAACATTACCCTTAATCCAATTAACTAATATTCTGTAAAACTAATATTAAAATATATATTAAAAAAAACAAACCTAGTATTCAAATATACACCTCACATCTAAAAATGTTGTCCATGTCATCCTAGAGTGTCAAAATGAATCTCACACGCCAACACAATTTGTTTAATACGTAAAATAAACAGATTATGGTTGAGATTAAACGAGTTTATGTCATAAATGAGTCGACGTTTATGACATAAATATAAACGTGTTGTGTCGCGGATTGACACACAGATCAAATAAGTAACCAATTTATTTAAGAGTAAAGAGGTAATTTTAGTGTCAAATATAAATACTCCAATTAAAACATATTTAAAATTTATTGTTGTGTTAATTTTCTTATTTTAGTCATGAATCTTGCAAAGTCCATGCATTTTATATATGAAATATTATTTTTAAATATGATTTTGAGTTAACTAGGTTAAAATTTAAAAATAGTATAAAAATATTAAGTGGGTCATATACAGGTCAACACGACCCACTTAACCTGTTTATAGTATTAGACGGATTACACTGGTTGTATATGGGTTTAACACAATCCATTTAATATGTTTATAATATTAGGTAGGTTACATGTGTCATGTGCAAATTTAACTCGATTATTAAATTGGTCATTTTCGTGTTGATGCTAATCGTGTCACGTGTTAGGGGAATTCACGTTGAACTCGACCCGCCAACCCTTGACAACCCTATATACATAAAATAAAATTTCAATTAAAAAAAGAACAAAATAATCATTGAACACTATCATTCTTATAGCATTTATAGCAAAAAAAAAAAAAAAAAAAAAAAGTTTAACACTACAATACCAAATTTATGCAGAGTAATGATTTATAATATTCAGGTAGGTTTTTGTGTCATGTGCAAATTTTATACTCGATTATTATTAAATTTGGGGTTCATATTTTTCTCGAGTGTTGATGCTAAGATCGTGTCACGTGTTAAGGTCGGGAAATTCACGTTGTAACATCGGAGACTCCCGCCAACATGAGGTTGACAATCTCCTAATATTACGCAGAAAATATTCCAAAGAATTATTTTCAAGCTTAAAAAAAAGAAAACAAAAATAAATCATTGGGAAACACACATTATCATTCTTATAGCAAGTGTGCTGGTGAAGTTGTATTGGAATGCCGAAAAGAAGGAGAAGAATAAGAAATAAGAAAAAAACAGACTGATCATGTCCCTGTATTTACGTACATAATATAATCTAGATTTATAAATCAATACAAAATATAATAATAATATATTTCTTTATGATATTATGAATATCGTATTAGCAGAAAAATATTAAATCAAGAAAAGTAAGTTTAATTGTCAATCAAGGAAGAAATAAAAAAAAAAAAAAAAAAAAAAAAACACTATCATTCTTATTTACTACATAATATATTAGTTTATAAATCAATACAAAATATAATAATATTTCTTTATATATTATGAATATCTATTAGCGAAATATTATTAAATGAAATTGTAAAGTTTAAACCAAATCAAAGAATAAGGAAAAAATTGGACAACAATAATGTTTAAAATATTTATAGTTAAGTTTTTATTTAACATTGTACTTGTTCTTTACTTTTATTTTGCATTACATTTTAATTTTAATTTTGCTTTTAAATGCAAGTTTATTTGAAGTTATTTTAATTTTAGAAATTTAATCAAATTAAATTAAATTGCATCTATTGTTTAGTTTAATTACCTTATGATTTGGTTGGAATTAAAATTTTCATGAACTTCCATTCCAGGAGTGAAACATGAATGTCAACACTACTATCCTTCAGGAGGGACAGCGTATTTCATAAGTGCTCGGGAATCGTTAGGCCCAGATGTCTTAAATTGGAATATTAACACCCAACTGTGGTCTGAGCTGACGGAACACTTAAGTAGTCTTTCTTTTTTTTTTTTTAAAAAAAAGGGGGAAAAGAAAAGAAAAGAAAAGAAAAGAAAAGAAAAGAAACATGAATGCCAACACCCTACCAGTACCGTCAACTACAAATAGGACGATTTGCCTTCCAATCAGTGAACGACCACGTGAAAGTTAAGCGACCCCTCAAAGGACGAGAGGAGGAGAAAATTTGCCTTTACAATGTCGTCAACGGAAGCGTGTGTATATATATTTTTTATTTTAAAAACGCAGCGTATATAGTTAAACGACCGAGCATCGTAGCAACTTCGTTTTGTTTGAAACAACCCCAACCGCTTTTTGTGCTCTCATATCCAAACCCAAACCCAAACCCAAACCCAAAACGAAACCCAAACTGAGAGCCTGAACCAAACGGATTCTTGTGTAACGGCATCGCAAAACGGAACTAGTAGGCTCTCATTGCCCGAAAGAATTCGTGCGGGTAGCCGGCTATTCTCATTTTCCGTTCAGGGCATTAGAATCGCAGAAATCTTTATCATTGAGTAGGGTTTAGATGATGGAACGTCAGAGAGAAGAACCCCACCATTACCACCGCCACCATCGCCCCAATTACTCGGACCAACAGGAGCAGCTTCTCAACTATTACCAACATCAGCACCAGCTCCCGCATGCACAACAGCACCAGCTCCCGCATCCACAACAGCACCAGCACGCGCATCCACAACAGCACCAGCACGCGCATCCACATCAGCATCAATACTTTAACCCCCAGGATCCCTTCGCCGGGCAGAGCCAGGACCACCAATTCAACTACCACAACAACCACGATAATCACTCGAGTAATGGCACTAATTCACAACCGAGGAGCGTCGAACCGAATGAGTCGTTTGGTGGTAGTGGTGGAGGTGGATTATTCAGTTCTAATGACCGCAAAAGAGGCCGATATCTTTCTGGAAGAGTAAGTTCTCCAGGTAATCGGTAATTTTGTACCACTATTTTTATGTCCTTTATAATTCAATAATATTTTGGTCGTCCCGCTGATTAATTAATGTTCATGAATTTTGCATGTGAAATATGAACTCTCAAGGTAATTTAAGCTCCTCCATAACTGCTCTATTAGAATAGAGGCGTGAGATACTGAATATTGGACTCCTAACCTTTCGAGTGCGTCTTTTAGTATCTAACGTTGGAGAATTGTCTGCATACTGTGGTTATCTAAAAGCAAGTGATGTACTTAATTTCTCATGAAATATTTCAGTCAATCAATTAATTTGTTCTACTTGTGGTTTTGCTTTTGCCTCTTTAGCTGAATGCCTTTGATCACATGCTGATGGTGGTACTTTCAGCAAAATTGAATGTTAGTTTATAGGGCAGGCTTGAGGTTTGAGTGTACGTGACTTTATATTGTTTTGCCTTTTCCCTTTTCAGATCATATGGATGATGCTGTTAGCGTCAAACTTTATGTTGCACCGATTGTAAGAACTGCAACTGATGAAGAAGTAAGTTTTTTCATTCAAGCATTGGCATGCTTTTCTTATTTGTTCACAGAATGGAGAAGAAAAAAAAGAGAAAATTAAGATTATTCTGTAATCAGTTTATACATGTATATGTTTTTATCTAAGCATGCACATGTTGTCCATAAACTTATGGAATGAGGATCTGCAATCTTAAGAATATTTTGGGGTTCTAAGCGGCAAGGAGCCAATAAGTTTTACTGATTCATGTCTGATGGACTAACTGTTTGGCAATGATCTCATTTTGGGGCTCTAAATTTTGGATTAATTTGGCAATGATCTCAAATGACACCTTGAACTTTACTACTATAAAATTTGTTTCCAATCTTTAATCACCCTTGGCCCCATATTTCTTAGATTCTTCTACTTCTTGGTCCATGCTTTCAAAAGGCAGGTAGGGTATATGAGTGTCACACCTATACTTCCTCATTTTCTTTGTTAACCTTATTAACAAATTTGTAATCTTTTAATTGTTTGCTTATTTTAACAATAAATTTCTGTATAATTTTCTACTATTCCTTCTTTGTACCAGATCCGCCCCTTGTTTGAACCGCATGGTAGTGTTGTTGAGGTAATTTTCCCCAAGGATAAGCGGAGTGGCCAACAACAAGGTACTTGGAGTATACTCTAGAACTTGTTTTAAGTCCGCTATCAATGTCTCTTTTGGGCCTTTTGAGGGTCTGACTTGAGCACTTGTATTCTTTTGTCATAGTTTTGCTATAATATAATTCACTATCATGCAAGCTGATTGATTCTGAAGGAGTGCTAGTTAATCAAGGAAGACATGCTTAGGGCTTAGAGATAGGTAGTTAAGGAGGACAAGATTAATCTCATCATACATATGAACTATCTGAATATGGCAGTAGTGTTAGTTTCCATCAAGTAGAGAATTTTTGTGTCAAGTGGTTGTTGCGTTCAGAGCTATTAGCTATATTGATGATTGCCTCCATGCCTGCATAGTGGGACTGTGCTAAAGCATGTCTAGAACTTTTAACAAAACCGTTTAATTTGTTTTTATTTGTTAGGCAGCAAATTTATGGCTGCTTTCTTGTTGAATGTGTTGAATTCCATTTTTAGCATCTGAAGACCATTCAATTCATAACTCATGATAATACCCTTTTTTGTGTTTTTATTTGTGTATGAATTGTTGCCTATTGGACCAAGCTTCATTTCCATTGACATGTTGTTTCCGTGACTATATTTTGTTCTCTTGCACCTTTAAGATTTTTGAATTTGAAATGCTATCAAAGTAGTAAGGCCTTTGATTGTCAATTTTTGGTATTATTGCATATATTTTTGCTATTACTTCATGTCCACAATAGATTAATTTTTTTTACAAATTTACCTTTTCAGGCTATTGTTTTGTGAAATATGCAACAAAAGAGGAAGCTGACAGGGCTATTAGGGCTTTAAATGGTCAGTATATTGTTCCAGGGGTAAGTTATTCGGCTGCTGCTATTGAAAAATGAGTTATGCTGTTGGTTTGTTGCTGATATCTAAATGATGTTGCATTGTTTGGTAAATTTTCTTTATACAGGAGGTGGCTCCCATTAAAGTCAGGTATGCTGACGGGGAGCGGGAACGCTTTGGTAAGGTTGAAAGGGATCGTCTTGGTAAGGGAGAAAGAGAACATCCAGGTATATTTTTGGTATTCAAAATATACTATTCTATAGACTTTTCTATTAACATCTTGCAATCATAATGTCTAGCTCACCTATGTTAGTACACTTCTGCCATACACAGTTTAATTATTGTTTATATTGTATTCATCAGATAATGTGCTCTACAACCCAATTTCTTGCCATTTGTTCTGAGACGTGTAATGGTGTTCTAGACATGAAAATCAACATAATGATATAGTTATTGTCAGGTTATACATATTTTCTTATGTAGCTTGGATGTGCTACTCTTAATGATTGGGGTAGATGATGATTTCCAATTAGACCACTTGGTGCCTTATGCTGCTTCCAGGGAAGAAACAAGTACAGAACTGCTGACAAGAATCACTTTGGCAAAATTGTTTTTGGGTAGCAACCTCTGGCCATTATGTCATAATATTGATTGAGAAAGGGTGTTCCTTTACATTTGGTCTTAATTTGGTTAAATTGAAAAGGGATCCTTTAATTTGCTTTTTGTGCTTTTATGTTTCTATAGTCCATACTATAAGATTCCTTGCTGTAACGGTACACTTGATATGGTCTTCATCTAGCCAGCAAGTCTCTGGGTTTTTACTTTAGTGCATATATATGTGTCTTACTCTCTTCAATGTTTTGTTTTGTTTCTATTATCTTATTAATTATATCATCATTGTCCTATGATAGGGGGAGGGGAGTTTGTGGACAAACTCTATGTTGGTGGCATCAACAAACAAGCTTCAAAGCAGGATATTGAGGAAGTATGAGCACTCAAACAAAATAATTTTAAATCTGATATTTTTAGTATATTTTTGAGAGTGAAAAATATGCAAGATCAACAAGTGCACATTGCTTAGTCATTGTCATTTTGAAATAAAAAAAAGAGAATATGTTACTAGAAGGCGTAGTCACTAAATATTGAAGGTTGTGGCTTGCATGCAATCGCCAAATTCATTGCATAGGTAACAGTACTTGTATAAACCATGCAATGCAAGAGCAAATGGACGTATTTGCCTGACACATCGCATGGGAGTTTTAAGAGTGAAGAAACAATATGAAAGTGATGTATATCTGAGTTAAATACCTTTGCTTGGAAGTTTTAGGTATAATTTAAAACCTTTACATTCCATCCTCTAACCTCCCTGTTTTGGGGTTAAGAAACATTGCTATTTGAAGGTTAATGGATGTGAACACTTAACCTCCATTTACTTTCATTTAAATTATAAAAAAAAAACTCATGGACGAGATTAATAGGTTAACCTCATTTATAATTATATCCATCATTTAACCTCCTTAAATCAACTCCCATGCAATACCTGAGTGCACAGACAATGTTAATGCACATCTTTTACCTGAGTGCACGGAGCATGTAATACTTATCTTTTGTATTTCTTGGATCCTAGTTTATATGGATGTTTTCTGTGTCAGGTATTTTCTCCATATGGTCATGTGGAAGATGTCTACATTGCACGAGATGCGCTGAAGCAAAGTCGTGGTATATCCATTTTTCTCATTACTCATTATTCTTCTTTAGTTGGAAATGTATTTGTAGCTAGCAACATAATGGAGATTGAGTTGTGCTATGGCTCTTTATTTTAAGGTGGTGCATTTCACCTCTATATACATATATAGGGCCTTTTCCTCCCAGGTGATTGTCATTGTTTCTTTTCATGGTTTCTTCATGTATTGTTAGATGGATAAGTGATACAAGAAATGAGAAATTGAAGGCTTTAGAAAAGTTCAATGTTAATGACTGTTTAGTGACCTGTTACACCAAATTACTCTGTTTGAGAACTCTGATTTGTAGTGCAGAAACAGTGTGATGGGCTTGTCTCGTGATGTTTCAGCCACTTCAATTATGTGTTAATTTTGTCTGAAGATTTCAAGTTGGTTGGAAATTTGTTGTGGTTCTGATTTGTTCTATGGTTTTATGAAGGATGTGCCTTTATTAGATTTTCTCATAGAGATATGGCAGTGGCAGCAATGAAAGCATTAAATGGGACTTTTACAATGAAAGTAAAGTGTATTTACTATTTTTGATGTGTTATATTCACGATTGTACTTTTGAACGTTATTTTCTCATTCTTTGTTTTTCTGATCTTCCAGGGTTGCGATCAGCCTTTGACTGTTCGTTTTGCGGATCCCAAAAAACGCAGGACTGGAGAATTTAGGTATTGTTTCCTTTATACAATTGCACTTGTATTCTTATTCATATTTATCCTCCTATTAACGTTTTTCAGAGCCTTAGAAATTGTGCTTGTATGAACAAATTAATAAGTGAAAAATCTATACATGCTATTAAAAAGCTGCTAATAAATCTTAAAGTACATAGTGGTGATTATGATGAGTTAGCTTTTTATTTGCTATCTCATGGCCAGTGCTGATTAACTAGAAATCACACTCCAAATAAAAGGTTATGGCATTTACTTCTGTTTATTCTTGAGTTCGCTCCTTAGTCTGATGCTCTAGGTATAAAATAATCTGCTTTTATTTTGCTAAGGTAGAAGCCAACTCACCCAAATTAAGATTTACCAATTAATTTTTTCTTGTTCTTGGATATTTATGTCACAGACAAAATAAGAATAACTCTTCCATTGGAAATATGATTTAGTTGACCACCATCACCTTACAGTTCCTAATCAATACTTTCTTTCTTAGGGGAAATTATGGATTTGGTGGACAAAACTTTGGTCCATGTTCCCAGGAACCAATGATGAGGTGCGTTTTTTAATATTCTCCTTCCTATCAATGTTGATCTTGTTTTGCTTATACCAAGTAGCGTTTCTGGCTTATGGTTTATTTGCTGCAGGCCAGCACCCAATTTTGGTGACTCCATAGGAGTTTGTAATTTGCCTAATCCTTCATATCCTGTGCAAGAAATATCCATAAATTCACAATCACAAGCTTTTCCCCACACAATACAACCAGCAATTGGAGCTCCTCATATCATAGAACAACCAATTCCTCCAGTTAGGCAGCCACCAACACAGTTGTCTCAGATTCCATTGCAACAAACACAAGCTTCTCAGAAATGTTTGCAACCACCTCAAGAAGCTGTCTCTGAGATGATGAAATATACTCATAATTTAGAGCAGCAAGAGACACTACAGATTCCCCTGGAGGTAATGCTATTAATTGCACTGAATAGTGATATAATGAAATGATTTTTAGGCACAATTGTGGCACCTCTTATATACATTTGAGTTGTGTGGAGTTGCAAATAGGACCTTTTGTCCTTTCTCCGAAACCTGCCTTTGGCATTACTGGCATTTCATAGGTGGGACTAACGCGTGGCAGAAAATGATTCCTATTCACAATGGTGTTATATTAATGTGCAGTTTATTTTCTCACCTAAATAGTAATGTTGATTTTTTTTTTTTTTTTTTTCTTTCTCAAGATCAATGGTTTGCAACACACCTCAAAGAAGCTGCCCTCTCGAGATGATGAAATATTACTCATTATTTTAGCCAGCAGCAAGAGACCTACAGATTTCCCCTGGAGTTGAGATGCTTATTAATTGCCCACTGAATAGTGAGTATACCCATGAAATGATTTTTAGGCACAAATTGTGGCACCTCTTATATACATCTTGAGTTGGGTGAGTGTTCAGAATAGACGCCGTGTTCCTTTTCCTCCGAAACCTGCCTTTGGCCAGTTACTCTGCATTTCATAGGTGGACTAACGTCGTGGCAGAAAAATTGATTTCCTATTCACCAATGGTGTTATATTAATGTGCAGTTTATTTCCACCAAATAGTAATGTGAGTTTTTTTGTGTTTAGCAGAGTGCAGTGTGCAAGCTCATTATATGGATATCCTCATATCTTGTAAACTGTTACTAATGCAGAACTTGACTATCTGACGCGATGTCGGCTAGCGCTCTACAGTCTCAATGGACACTGAGAGAGCAATAACTCTGGCTGTGAGTTGTTACCTTCCTGCCGCACCTGCAGTACTGCAAGCCCAGACAGCAGATCCACAAGAGTGTGAATTGGAACGTGAGCCATAGCTGCCCTGAGGGGACACAGTTACTAGTGATGGATAGTTGCGAGCGAGGAGACTTGTTTGAACAGTAGAGTAAAGTTTCCTTGCCTTTATCAACTACATGAGTATTCTTTTTTTTTTTTTTTTTTAGCAATTCATTCAACTCATTATATTGATATCTCATATCTTGTAACTGGTTACAATGAGAACTGTGACTATCTACCATGTCCTACCTTCCTACAGTCTCAATGGACTGAGAGCAATACTCTGGCTGTGAGTGTTACTTCTGCCGCACCTGCAGTACCTGCAAGTCCCCAGACAGCAGATCCACAAGAGTGTGATTGGAGTGAGCATAGCTGCCCTGATGGGTACAAGTACTATTATAATTGCACAACTTGTGAAAGTAGAGTAAGTTTCTGCCTTTATCAACTACATTGAGTAGGTTCTTAGAAATTTTTGTAGTTTAAATTTAAAATCTACTCTTTCGCTTCCTCATGCACAAGCTTTTTATGTGAGGTTGCAGAAAGGCAACTCCAGTACGACCCAAATCTGGCCACCATGCCACTTGTGTCTAACATTTATCCGAATAGGTTGCAAAATTAAATCAATTTAACTGATTAAGCTGGAGATCTTTTCTCAGGAAGTCTATGGATGCATTTTTTAAGTTGAAATTATGAAAAATGCAACTGCTTAAATGCTTTGGCGGGTAATGAAGGGTGAGGGGAGGGACCGAGAAAAGTGTTCAGAGTATGATATTTTTCTTGAGAACACTAGTGAGCTATCTCCTTATCTTAGGAAATTAGTGTTCAGTCTCTGTTTTGTGAGAACATCGCCAACAGGAAGGTTGTAGAGAAAGAGAGTATGTTTCAAAAGATATGATGGGTTGGGCTTACGACACCCAATTGCTAACAACAATATTTTCCTTAGGTTTGTTTAAGCTATAAGTTTCAATTTGTGAGAAATTGCTACAATTAGAATTGATTAGACCTTTAGAGGTTGTGACTATTGTATTGAACTTTGTCGTGCAGTGGGAGAAGCCTGATGAGTTCACCTTATTTCAGCAACAACTGCAAAAACAAAAGCTACCCATTTCTAGGCAGCAACCTTGTTCTCTATCTGCTAGTTTTTGTGGTGAAGAACTTGATCATACACAAAAGGTGCTTCTTTTGACACATCTTCTTCATCAAAAATTCCAAATTGACATCATCGTCTGTGGTATTCTCTTTCTTTTGTATGGTTTTCTATGTTAGAATCTTTTTGCTTGTTTAATAATCAAGTGGTACTGCAGTTGCAAGTCATGAAAAAGCCAGAGTGCACTTGAATTTACATTTTTGTTCTTGTGGAAAATTGACTTTAGATGTTATCACAGTACAAATTACGATCAGCAAGCTAGAATTGCCTAACGGAAGTAAGATAGAAATTCATTTCAAGGTTAATATAGTCTTCAGTTTTCAGCAGATTCTGATATTATTGCAGGTGTGTTGCACAAATTGTGCTAATTTGTGATTGTAAAGGTTCTTGCCAACTGTCAAGGCTTTGACAGTGGACCGTATCTCGATGAGAGTACAAAATGCAATGGCTAATGAATTGCTTCACTTATCTTATGCAATCATCCATTCTTTGACTGTGATATTTGGCAAGGGGATTGTACTTATATTTTGAGGATTAGTAAAATTGAGGTACAACTCTCTAAATTGATTAGAACCCCACAAGTGAACTGTGCATCTACCAGTTTGATTATTTTTCAGAAAAGGTCTAAACTATATCTCGGGGGCTTGGACTATTGGCCTAAAATCCTTATTTTAGAATTAGAAACTAAGAGGATGTTCTTTTTAAAATTATTGCATTCTTGATCTCTATCTATTTAGATGTCAGATTTCAGAATTTGCATTGCCTACCTGTCCAAGTTGAAAGGAATATCGTTGTTGTAATTGCTGATAGATGAGTCATCTGGAGTAGGTGGTGGTTGCTATTACTTGTATCAGCATATGGTTTCATATGTTTGTTCTCGGAGTTGTGTAGATTTGCTAGTTTCATTGAGTTCTCTCACTTGAAAAAGCTTGGACTCCCCTCAATCAACTGATCACATTTGTCTTCAACCATGTGATATGAGAAGTGATGGGGTTCCTGCCATGTGCTGGAATAGAGAACTTCGGTGTCATTGTTCATGCATTCGAGCTTATTTTGTTTGGACGTTTGATGCTTGTGACATGGTTTAGTTTTTCTTTATAGTCATCCTTGCTCATATATTCAATAGCTGCTGTTTCCCTTGAATAGATGGAAAGCATATTTCATTCCAGTGGGCTTTGTGTTTTGTCGCAGGACTTGGATCATCTGCAAATACAATCAGAAACTAGGCCAGTTATTGATCCTGTCTGCATTTAACAGGTATCCATTGTTAATGTATTTGATCTCCATTAGAATTTAGGGCTCTGATTAAAATCTATGTAATTATTGCAGAGGCTTCAGTTAGCTGGAAAGTGGTTCTTTGAAGTGGTTCCTGAGGTTTTATGCATTCTTCTCACTACCAATATTGACTTGTATTTGCTAACTTAAGATTTAACTGTTGAGTTGTGTTTGTATGCAAGCTCTCAGAGATATTTGAGGATGGTATATAAGCATTCTCCATTATATGCTAGAATTACTGTTCGTCTCTGATGTTGTACCGTACCTAATTTTCCAATAAGCTGCTGATATTAAATCTTCAAAATATATAGCAATCAGCAGCTAAGTGTAAAATTTTTCAGCTCTATCTTCTTTTTCTTCTATAACATGTCCACATGCAAGGAAAAAGAGAAAAGGTAGAAATTCTATTTAATTTATTTTTAGATTTGATGTGTTTTGGCTGTACATGGTCTCCTCTTGTAGAATTTAACATACAAAACATCTTTTGGGAGATCCTATTGGTTATTATTGCACTTTTAGTTTATCCTCCTTGGATTATCTGCAGGCACTTACCGGTGAAATTCGAGCATTCTGATGGAGAAACCATATATATGAAGATTTATATACGTCTTTGGTGGATTTCTGTGGGTGAATCTTGCAGGAAATATATCATGTCTTAGGGTTTTGGGGTCCTCATGTTGCAATGTGAATTATATGACGATTATTGACATCTGTTCCTGCCTAAATTTTTCCTCCAATTGAATCTTCTTGTTCCCAGTCGCTCCACAGGAACCCATGTGAGTCCTTTCCTATACCACGAAATATTCTGAATGCCTATTTAATCAGCATAACTTATTTTCCAGCTAACTTCACATTTATGAAATATACAAATGAGGAGCTGCACAACCTTAACTTTCACAATCGCAGTTGCATGTCAATGAAGTTTTAGCAATGGAGTTACCAGGCACCCAAGTAGTAATTTGCTTTATTTTCTAAAATATGCAAACCATAGATCGATGCTTAAAGAACAAAAATACTCAGTTATTGCCTTGTTGGGTTGTGCCTTGGACGCTATAGTTCCTGTTGTGTTTTGTTGTGATAGAATGGGCTTGATGATTTTTGTTTTCTTTTCTCGAGTTTCAATGTTTAGAACTCTTATTACCAAAGGTTGAAGATGAAGGGAGTTTTCTGTTTGGGCTGAATTTTAAATAATTTATTGAGTTGAATGATTAAGAAATGATATTGAATGATTAAAAAGTGAAATATGATATTATTTCATTATTATAGGAGGCAATATTTTGTCTTGTCTTCAAATTTACATAGTTCATTGAATATGCTCTAAAAAAAATAGTTCCATTCAGAAAAAAGTTTGGCTTGCAAATTTAGATATACACCGTAAGTTTATTTCACTGTTTTCTGGACGAATAGGTAAAGTTCCGATAAAAGTGTAAAAACAAAACAAAAGACCTAGAAGTCGGCAACTAAGCCAAAGATTTTCGTTTTGAAATTGGGATTTTTCTTTTATTCCTATAATTTTTGGTTACTATCATCAGAGTGATGTTAAGTGTCAGTGGCTGGCCCGCTTCAGAGTTCACGATCAAAATAAGGCTTTTTTAGTTTTTCTTGGAAGGTTGCATTTCCCCTGGATTGTAACCGACCAAGGGACAATTTACCCTTGATAGAAACTAGTCTAGTGTCCCTAAAGTCTGAAGGGCATAAATCCCTAGCCTTTACCATATCAGCAAAGTGGGTCATCTTTGATAAGCACAAGCAAACTGACAGAGATGCTTATTCATATATGGTGCTGAGTATAAATTCGAACAAGTTAATCTTTTTTTAATTCCAATTTGGCATTGAATATTTTTCTGACGGTGGTTGGACATGAAATACTAGGTCGATAAATAACTTTCCACTATTTAAAATTAAGGTATTTCAACGAAGGATTCGAAAGGAACAAAGAATAGGATATGAAGGATGGGGAGACTTTATCTTTAAAATTACGGTAAAAAATAAATAAATAAATAATTACGATAAAACATGATTTGGAATTAAAATTTTATGACCGGTAAATTGTTATTAAACAACAAATATTCTCAGCAAATAGGAAATGCAAGTTCACATGACTAAGAGGGCATAGAACCACAGAAAGTGTAGAAGCCACTTGTATTAGAATCCATATTCCTTTTACATGCATTTGGAAGTTGTTTTCTCCTCTAAAGTCCGAGTCCATGTCCATACGTATACATTAATAATAAAAGACATATGCACACAAACAAGTGAGAAAGAGAAATTAAATAGTCATTAACTATACAAAGCTGAAAGTGGGTCTGAGTGGTAGTTGAGTTATTCTTGCTAGCTCTTCGCATCCCTCCATTGATATTTTAGAGACAGCACATTAATTTTCCTCACCCATTTCTCTCGATTGGACCCTTTGTTTTTCTTTTTTTTTTAAAAAAAGCAATAATGATATTTGTGGATTCCCACACAAAGGAAAATAAGGAAACCTCTGTATTTTACTAACTATCCTTCTCATGAAAAGAAACCCTAGCCATCTTTAACATATCTTTGGTTGCATTACTTACTCTCTTGAAATCAATGCACATTCCTTTGACAACAAAAACAAATGGCATAAGACAAACAATAGAGTCAGAAAAGCTAGCATTAAAGTTGAAATAACCTCATTTTTCTATATTTTCTATAGTTCCTTTTGGCCGAAAACCGCAAAAAAAATTTTAAAAAAAGAAAGATGTAGCCAAAGGAAACTGAACCCAACAGAAAAGCAGTTTCTTAGCATTGGAAGATTAAAAAAAAAAAAAAAAAAAAAAAAATTACTTACTCTCTTGAAATCCAATGCACATTCCCTTGACAACAACAAACAAAGGATAAGGACAACAATAGAGTCAGCAAAAAGCTAAGCATAAAAGTTGAAATAACCTCATTTTTCTATATTTTCTGCATATTCCTTTTTGGCCGAAAACCCCCGGCAAAAAAATGGTTTAAAAAAAAAAGGAAAGATGGTAGCCAAAGGGAAACTGCAACCCAACAGAAAAGCAGTATTCCTTAGCATTGGAAGACTTAAAAAACACAAAAAAAAAAAAAAAAGAACCATTCCTTACACTGAACACAATCAGGAGTTTAAAAAAAAAAAAAAAAAAAAAAAGAACCATCTTACACTGAAACAATCAGAGTTTTCATAAAGATCAGAAGTCGGATTCTTCTTCAACAAAGATCATCATAATTAACCTGTCAGCAAGAAAATTACATACTGCATTTTATATATTTATATATCAGTAAAGGGTCTTTCATCTACACCTCCTTTCAAGTTTAAAGTCAGTTAATAATGGAACTATAAAAGCAGTAGTAATTGGGATTTCTCATTTCTCATTTCTCATCTACTACTCCTTTAACATATGAGAAGGGACAATGTCTTGAAGAAGCCCATGATCTTGTACCAAACCAGAAACTGAAGGAGGAGTGCAAAATCGCTTCTCATTTACAAAACTAGCATTCGTATTATTAGCATTAGCTCCATTGTAACCCAAACCCAAAGGTGATGCGAAGCTATGAACAAAAGATTGTTGTTGTTGTTGTTGATACAGTGAGAGTCTTCTTTGCATTGGCATTCCAAAACCAGTGTTTGGAGAAAAACTAGATTCTGAATTGATACCAGCTCCGACAAAGCTTGGACGAGGCATAACGGGACTAGGATGAGTGTGTTGGCCTTCATAAGTAGTGACGACTATACTTGGATCACTGTAAGATCTTTCTACTCTTTTTTTCACATTACATGAGGCACTAGTGCAACGATAGTAACTCCTAATAAAATCAAGAGATAAAAACAAAGAAAACCCATTAATTTATTTTCCAAATATGAAATAAAATGAAATAAGTAGAATTGGTTAACATTGAATTCAGTACCTAGGAAAGGGGCTATTTTTCACAGCTTTTTGACCGTACTTTCTCCATCTGTACCCATCTTCTAAATGATCAACCTCGCTCTTTGTCATGAATGCGAATCTTGGCTCTCTCTGTCTCTTCTGGTTTGTCTTCTTGGGTTTCAACCTTTAAACAATCATATAAAACCATCAATCTTTAAGTTCATATAACATAAAAAGGAAAAAGGAAAAAGGAAAAGAAGAATTCTTTTGCTTTTCTTAATTACATATCAAATGAATAACGCTAAATTTTTTCTCAAATGGGTATTTATCTTAACATAAAATTAAAACAGTCTTTAATTTAAAACTCACTCTTTTGCAGTCTTCTGTTGCTCTTCTTCCTCATTATTAATATCCACAGGTTTAACCGGCTCATCATTTAAAGCCTCACTAGAAGCTGAAGAAATAGACGAAGAGTTAGGCGTTGCAGGCTGATTCAAAACCTCCGGTGGCGACTCCATCTTTTTAACTGGATTAATACTAACTGTAGGCAGCGGTACCGTAGATGGTAACGGTAGAACATCAAACATAGAAGGATTAAAATCCTGCATACCCAGTAGCTCCATAAACCCTAAATAGCTCTTATCTCCTTCACAAAACTCAGATACACCATTTAGAGAATAACTACTTTGAATATGATCAGGAAATGTCGTCGATCCAGCAATATTCTCTATCTTTACCGCTTCTTTCCCTTCCATAGCTATATCAAACAACCAATTTCTTCATCAATACCTACAGAATACACAAGGAGATAAATAGAGAAAACGAGAAAAAAAGAGGGCTTTTTCTACAGCTTTGAAGAAAGAAAGGGATAGTAGGGTAGGGTTGATCTGGTTTTTATGGTAGGTAGGTAGCTGAGAGAGAGAGAGAGTGTGTGTGTGTTCTTTCTCTGGGTGTGGAAGAAAGTGAGATTTTGTGGTTTTTTTTTTTTTTTTTTTTTTTTTTTTTTTTTTAAGATGGGTAAAACAGAAATTGTTGACCGGCAATTGAAGGTCAAGTCTTTGTAAGAACATGAAACAGTGCCGGTCATCGAATTCAATGCACGAGAGTGTACCGACAAGCCTTAGGTGGTCGTTTCTTTCATACATGGTTTTTGACCGGTTAACCGGTTTGGGGTGTGAACGGGGTTCATCTACACGTGAGATACTTACGGCTCAAAAACCCTTCACATAATACTATTAGTCTTCGCTCGTGTGCATGTGAACAGGATATAGAGAGAGTGAGTTTCTCTGAATCCTTCAAAAATGTTCTTCTTTCCTCTTTCTTTTTAATTTCTCTCTATTAGTATTATAATAAATTAATTCGCATGCATTCACACGGTTAAAGATTTCATCATCATGAACGAAGTAAATACTCAATTTATAATATTTTATTATTTAATAAATTGTAGTTATTAGAAATTTTAAAATCATTTTACTCTCCACACGTAAATAAAAAAAATACTAATTATATCATATTTAATTAAAAAAATAATTTAAATAAAGAGAGAAAAATATCTTAAATAATCTTAAATAGAGAGAGAAAAGACTAATGTTGTAACATTTTTGTCCTGATTGATTTATGATATCTTTATATCCACAAATGAAAAAAAAAATAAAAAAAAATAAAAAAGAAGTGTAGGGTAGCTTAAAATTATTTAAGAAGAGTGTGATGGTTTTGGGTATTGATTGCATATATAGTTATATTATATTATATAAGTAGATGCAAATGCAATACACCTCTCTAATTAATGAGTTGTCATTACAGGACAAGCTGCCTCTCTCTTTCCACAGTACATATATAGTACAACCTAATTTTTTCTCTGACGTTGAAATTTGATTTTCTAGTTGGCATAAACTACCGTGAACCACCTTATGGCAGTTAAATTTTGATTTTTTTTCTTTTTAAAGGTGGTATGATTTTTTAAAATAAATTAAAATTATTAATAAAGAACCTAATAAATTTTTATCAATTTATATATTCTATATATAAATGTGGGAATGAAAAATGATGAGATTTTCGATATCACTTTTAATGAAATTTAGAATATCCTAAAATAGTCTTAGTTGTAGTCAATTCAAAAATTACATTTTATACAAACGAGTGTTTGGATGAGCGGTTCGACGCTCTTCTCCTTTATGTGAGGTTGAGGATTTGATCTTCATGAATGAATTAAATACTTGCTATGAGCACTTTATCATTTCTTGGGCCGATTCGGTACGAGCCAGATTTAGTTTTGGGTTTGGGATACACGTGGTTAAAACAAAGAAAAAAAAATACTCTTCTTTTTCTTGTATGTTTCTAGGAAAAATTGTAGTTTATTTGGAGAGGATATAATGTTTATTTTATGTATTCTTTTTTTATTATTTAATTAATTTATTTTGCAACTTATAACAATAGATAAATAAAATACTTGAATAAACTCATTAACTGATAAATATTGGATCCTAGCATGATTTGCTTTGTAATTTTCATTTATTGACTTTGCTTTTTTTTTTTTTTTAAATAAATTGCGCGCACGTCCTAAGCATGATTTGCTTTGTTAATTTTTCATTATATATGAACATTTTGGCTTTTTATCTTTTTTTCTTGTCCACTACAAAATCAAGATTTGAATTAATTATAGGATTTTCAAAGATATTATTTTATGAAATTCAAAATTGAGTAATTTTTTAATATAATCTCTTATTTCATATGTTTATATGTGAGTTCTAAACAGATTTTTATTCTTAATAAAAATTTATTAATTTACACTTATTTTCTCTTTTCGAGTTATTGAATTAATTTGCATATACCACATGATCAGCTTATTAATTTAGTAAGAGATTTATATTTCATTATCCCTTGCAATAAATAGATGACCTTAATCTAAACATTTTTTATTTTTCTTGATATTTTTCTTTTATATTCTAATATGTTTGACTTTCTTGTTATATGTTGAGTTCTTAAAAGATTTTTATTCTTAATAAAAATTTATTATTTATTATTTTCTTTTTCGTTATTGAATTAATTTGCAACCACTGTCACTTTAATTTAGTAAGAGATTTATATTTTCCTTGCAATAAATAGATGACCTTCTAATTAAACATTTTTTATTTTCTTGATATTTTTCTTTTATATTCTAAATATGTTTGACTTGAAAGAAAACAGTGTTTATGAAATTGAAAAAAAACTATAACTATATATTTCTATTTTGTGTCATTTTTTGAATTTCAAGAGTTTGTGTGTATGTTCATATATTCTTTTCTCTAATATACTGGGTAAGTAATACTATTACTATAGCCAAAATGATTACCATTATTAATTCAAATCACATTCTCTTTTTTTTTTCTTTTACCTATCAATAAAAAATAATTCATTACTATTTTTCATTATAGCTGTATATAGATATTGATTTGGAATGGAAAGCAAGGGTTGGGGATTGAAGGATAACTTGATTTTTGTTTAAGCACCTATCAAGGTTTTAAGAATCTGCATTTATAAATTAGAGACCGAAGGATAAAGTATAGGTATTTGATTAAACTTTATTTTGAGACCACTTCATTATGTGAAAATAGAATTAAGTATGTAGAAATAGCATTGTAAGTAGCTCAAACAATAAAATCTAATACAAATTAATCAATTGTATTTATTTTAATCTAAACAAAAACTTGTACTTTAATATTATATAGATAAAAAATTAAAAAAGTACAAAAAAAAAAATATAACGAGCATTGTCAACATGCAACGCACGTTATAAAAAAGATTAATAATTGAAAAAAAAATTCAAAAGCTCTAGCGTAGAAAATTGAGAGGAACTCGAATTAAGAAATTGGACTCAATTATTTCAGAAATTAATTAATTAGATAAATGTCACACGATTTAACAGTGCAAGGCACTATTTTGGAAATCAATTAATTTCATTTTTAATTATAATTTCTTACAACAAATTACCAAATTAATGAAACAAAACTCAAACAACTTTGTTAATTGTTTTAAAGAAGTTAATTAATACGAAAAAGGGATTTGAAATGGGATTAAACTGTGTTATGCTTCCTTAATTATATTGTCATTAACCACTAGCTAGGGGGTGGGTCGGTGAAAACGGCTGCTTTAAACTTCTCCTTTTCATTCAATTCTTTTGTAGCTTATGAAAATCACCAACAGAAAAAAGAGAAGAAGATAGCAATCTCTTTCTTTTTGTTGGGATGTGTAGTGTATATAGAAGAAAAGAAAAGCTCATGCACGCACGTGTGGTGGAACCATCTCAAAACATCATAACATAAAGCTATGTATCAGATTCATCGCACGCTGCCATTAATAAATTGCGTGTAAGCCCTACTCACCTTTGCATGCTTCAATTATTTGCTTTCTCACATTTCCTTAATTATTTCTTAATCTTTATTTATTAAATTAAATTAAATTAGCTCAGAGTTGTTTCATGATATAGATTGATAATTAGCAGTTAATTAATTTGCTAAATTAGTAATTTAGAATAAATTGCTTAATCCATGCACCTGAGAATTGCATACGTGAGGTATATATGTTATACTAGTAGTATTTACGAAATGCCACCTCAGCTAAAATAACCCTCATCCCTTGGTAGCTGTCAGAGTAGGTGGTGTATTCATGGCATAGCTATCCAAAGTGGTACCATCACTTATTTGAATATTATAATAAATAAAATCCATTTCTTCAATTTCACAAGCAAAAGATAGATACCCTATGTATATATCATGATAAAAGCACATTTAGAGTGTGTACATTAACCCCAGATATATTTTTTTTTATTATTAATTTTTAAAATCCAAACTGACATTTATTAATATTTAATTAATATAGAATAAGTTTAGAGATGATTTGGATGAATAGAATTTGAATGGGTTTTGATAGAAAAGAAAAAAGGCGGGTAAAAAAAAAAGGGCAAGAGACAGTGGGTTTAGCTAATAAAATAGATTTGTCATGTAAAATTGAAACCAAAAATAAGATCTAACATATAATCATGCGAACCGAATTAGGTCCACAATACACGGCCTGGTGTCCCTATCGCTCCCCACACATCGATCGATACACGGCTCCTTTCTTCTTTTTTATCGTACACGTGTTGTTTTCTTGTTCATTTATTGGGTCCTACAAATTCCCCCGCCACGATACATGTTTTTTCTGATCCGACGACCTTTATTCGTTTGCGTGACATCAATCTCACGTGCCCCTATTTCTGCCGTGATGTTTGGCCTCTATCGCTCTCAATATTTCACTATCATCACATTACATTTTCAATGGACCCTTGCCGTTCCTAACAAAAATATAATTCATATTTATTACTAATAATTTTAGGGATATTGATTATATTTTAAAATTTATTTTATATGATTTATTTTGCTCTATTGACACAATTCATTTTTGTTGTTTTATTAATATTAATTAACCTTTTTTTTTTAAAATTTTTTGTGTGATGTTTGTATTTGAAAGGCAAATGTTTGTCTGGAGGGTATATTACAAGAAGAAATTTGATGGAATGGGAGAGAGGTGGCAGCATTTAACACGGCGGTGGAATATTTGGGATTTGCTTGCAATATAAGCTCCCATGATCTATTTCTTTATTCTATTGTTAATATCTAATTAGGTATTAGTGTTATCTTATTATAAGATTAAATTAATTGACCACCATTATTAATTTTTTGAACTGGAGCATTAGTTAATTGTATATTTTGAAAAAAATAATATTAAAAAATTAAAAATACCGGAATAGGACTAACAATGTAGACAAGGATGGGTATGGTTGACTAAAGTTTGCTTATTGGATACGTTTTGGAGCTCAAAAAGAGACAAAAATGAATATATATATATATAAAAAAAAAAAAAAGAAAAAATAATAATATTAAAAAATTAAAAATACCGGAAATAAGGACTAACTAATTGTAGAGCAAGGAAGTGGGTATGGCTATA